TTCCATCGAACACCATCATGAATGAATGTATGCAATAGGCGAGGATGTTGTATTGAATGCAGCCAGGGTTTGAGGGTGCGGACGAAGTGCCTTGCCTGTTGAAATAAGCGTCAGTTCCTCATTGGCTCGGATGTAGACCCGGAACTTATCCGAGGAAAGTAGAAAACAATTTTTTTGCCCAAGTATGGCCTTTGCAAATTCTCGTACATTTGCCATACAAGAGCAAAGTGAGTTCTCTTTAAGTTATTTCTATGCCACGCTACTGCTGCTGGTGCCGTATGCCATCCCATAATAGGGCCCGTTTACCCTTCTTGGTTTTTTCCCCTATAAAACGGCAGCACTCCTCTTGCTACCCCTCCATGAATTCTCCATTCGCTATCCGTACTCTTCATACATACCGCGCGCATATTTTCTTCACCTAGATTCCTCTGCGTCCTCCTTCTCCTCCATCGCTATCTCTCATTGCTCCTCTACCCTACGCTGCATACAAATATCCTTCACTCTCTATTCAACACACCAGCATCCATCCATTGACCATTCCACTCCTCACCATGCCAACATCCTCTCACTGATCCCTCAGCATGCAAACATCCTCCTTGATCCACACAGCTGCACACATCCCACTCCAACACCCTACCAACCAACACGCGTCAGCACCATCAATTACCCACATACACACACGCACCACGTTTTACCGCACACAACCTCCTCCCTCACCCAACAAGCATATCAACAAAAACTCTCCATCATGACCCCTCGTCCCACATCACCAATGCACAGCACACCTGTCCTTTCTTACCACCCTCCATCCGACGATAAATAATCCTGCGTTAATAGCCACGGTCAGGTCATCACATTGTTAAGTTCAAATGTCGTTTAGTTGTGAAACAAATAGTGTCTGTGTCATAGCACAGACGCGTGGAAGCATCGCACACATACACACACATACACACACACACACACACACTCGAACTGCAACACGCGTCTACTACCCAATTCAACACCATGCTGCAGTCTCCAGGATATAAATGAAGAACAGTTCATTTAGATCACTGTAGACAAACTACAGTACAAAGAGAGATCATATCATATCATATCATTTTTTTTTGTTTACGCGCATCATTTTTAATTAGAGGTATAGTTTGATAAATAAACTGATGTTGTAAAAAAAAAGATTACAAGCTTCGACTGAAAGGCCCTTTATTGGCACATTTCATTTCAATGCAGCAACTGCTTAGGCAGTGGGGGGATAGTAGGACTTGCTCTCGAGAGGGCACAAGTCGCCACGGGTACCCCACCACTCGACCATCTCAGCGTCACGGATGGTGAAGATGAAGAACGACAACAGCACCATGAAGGCAACACCAGAGTCAAACGCAGCCGACAACACATACGTGAAACGCAAGTGCCACTCGGGATGGTAGCGACGGGCAAAGAACTGGAAGGCGAAACCGAGAGCCAACCAGTTGGTGTAGTGGTAAGCTTGAGCTGGGGGCATCATACCGGTGGCGGCCAGTAACACAGGGATGTGGACATAGTCCAACCAGGTATTGGGGAAGGCCTTCTTGAGGTAGTAGAAGGGGATGGGGAGGACGAAACCGATCAAGAAGAAGTAGTTGATGGCGTTGTACATCGACGAGGCTCCGAACATACGGTTGGGTGAGATGACACCCCAGATGACTGAGGCAGAGTAGAAGGTGGTGGCTGAAGGACAAGAGAAGATCTCGTTATCGACGCAAACACCTTCCTGGGAGCTTAAGAGCCAGTTGGCAGTCAACAGGTTGACGAGACCAGCAATGACGGTACCGAGGAGCTGAGCCCAAAACATGGCACGAGGAGGGACCTTCATGTAGTGACCCAACTTCAAGTCAGAGGTGAAGGTCATAGCCTGGGCCATGGAAATGTAACCAAGAGTCTTGAAGGTAACGTTGGCAATGGGACGACCAGGAAGAATATAACCGATAACATACTCAGTGATGATGTTGAGACCAGGCTGCTGGTTGGTGATGGCCTGAATGAGACCAACGGGAAGAGCGAAAATGGCAGCAAGAGCAATGGCCAAGAGAACGCCCCACCAAGGGAGCTTATAGTCCCAAATCTCGCAGGTGATGATGGCAACGGCGGTCATGATGATGAAGAGAGCGGCATACCACCAGTCAGGAACCTCAGGGTAGGCCTGCATGAGCTTGTGATGGATATCTTCAGAGTGGGTGCGCGACTGCTTCCATTGGGCAACCAACTTGTGGCGGTGGTACAACCAAGTGTGGGTCATCATGGACGCGAGACCGGCGAAACCGATACCATAGGTCAAGGCGAAGAAGGTCGAGATACGGAGGGGACCATAGGCCTCGTACTTAACCTCATCCAAGACGTTGTTGGTCAGAATTTCGGTGGTATTGTACTTATGACCATTGTCACGGAACAAACTTGGGGTAAGGATAGGGAACTTCTTGGCCTCCCACAAGTTGGTGTAGTAGGCAATAGGAACCAGGACCCAGGCCATCAGGAAGAAACCGAGGGCAATGTTGACCTGAGCCCACCAGGGGACGATCAAAGGAGAACCCAAGAAGGAAACGATGTTGTTCCAGTCGAGAGAGATGGCACCGAATCCAAGACCACCAGCACCAGTGAGCTGAGACAGCACCAGGTTGTCAGGCTTGATCCAGCAGATCCAAGCAATGGAGCTGAGGACGGGGAAGAGGAAGCCTGGGATCCACTGGTACAGGAACATGGCCAAGGTAGCAACCAAGAAGAACTTGAAGCGAGACCACTGGCCAGGAGCGAGGTCCTCATCCTGGTGAAGGGTATTGAACAAAGCGACTTGGACCAAGTTGGCAGGCCAGATCATGGCAGCGGGGTAGACAAGGTAGCGACGGAGGACACCAGCCATACCGTAACCCAACATCTGTGTGCAGAGAATGAGAAGGAAGTTGGCAAGGAAACCAAAGTCTTCATGGTAGAAGACCTTCTGGATGACAGTGATATCGACGGCATAGGCAGTACCACCGGCACAGTTGGCAGTCAAGGCAACCAAGACGTGCTCCTTGATGGAGAATGGACCAGGGTTGAGACGACCAGCAGGGAGGACACGAGCCATGAATTTACCGAAGGGGTAGGACAGCAGCTGGATGACCAGGGTGGAGATGGTCATGGGATGGTTGCGGAACCAGCTGTGGGTCGTCCACAAAAAAAAAAGAGACGGGGTGGTCAGAATCACTATTAAAAACATATATCAATAGAAACCAAAGGTGGTAGGTGACTTACAAGAACTGGTTAAAGAAGGAGAGGATGACGGAGAAGACGACGGCCATCACATAGTAACGGAAGGTCATCACAGGGACACTGGGATCATCCTTGTTGGAGACGATGGCAGCGACCTCAGGGATGGGGGAGTTTTCTTCTTCATCAAGGACGACGGACGAGCGCTCGATATCGAGCTTCTCGTCGACGAGGTCCTTGTCAGCGGGGTATTCGTGTTTTTGTTCGGTTGCCATGTCAAAAGTGTTTTAGACAGGACTGTAGTGTAGGGGGAGAAAGAGGGAAGAAGGAAGTGGGAGAGGTCAGGGAGCGAGTGGGCTGGCGAAGACAAAGAACTTCATGGGAACGAGGGCACGGCACTCTTTTATACTGACGGCTGTTGGGAAGAATGGGCGGATGGGCGGACGATCCAAACGCCAGATTTTTTTGTACTTTTGGATTCAAATGGGCATGGCGATGGGGCAGAATAGAAGTCAATTTCTGTTAAAGTGAGAAAAATGGCTCGACTCAATTCAAGGGAAGATAAAAATTTCCTCTATGCTTTTTGTGTTCGCATTCGTGGACGTTGGCACAAAATCCATGCAAAATAAATTATATTTTATCGTGGAAATATTTGAGTAGTGCCAGTATGTATCCTGGTAAATGAAGGCGGAGAGGGAATGTCCACAGACCTCAATGTTCCCGAGTGGCGTCTGGACGAGAAAATCACTCATTTGTGCATATTGTAACATGAATAGTCATGCTAATGCAGCGACGCGTCTATTGTTTCCTAGTAAGTACTGGGATGGACATCTTTTTCACCAATAGGATCTCTATCCAGATCTATCATAGAGTTTGTCTGATTACAGCCCTGTTTGCCCTGGGAACTCTGAGGCAAACAGAGTAGTACCAGATCATTTCCATCAGTCGAACGTATCCATCCTATCGGCACCGTCCCTTGTGGGGACAGGAAGGCTAGGTCGAATATGGTTGTTAGTGTTAAACTAGTCTTTACTGTCTCTGACCGGAGCACAGCGCTTTTCTCTCTCTGCTCTCGTAATAAAATGGGTTGTATTTATAACTGACTGAGTGGTATTATCAGATATGAGAGGGTTCTTTATTTTCAAACGGAGCAGCATTCTTATAGCATACATTGCTCTAGTCGTGACTAATATAATACAGCTAATAAGTGTGTGTCTGATAAAACGCGTTCCTTTGACAAGCGCAATATTTCTTTTATGCTGATTCCTTATGACAGCAGGCCGATGCTTGCTTGTCCTAATAGGTAAGAGAAAGGACGATTGCCGCAGACGACTGTATCCCTGGTGCGAGTATGTGTGTACTGTACATTAGAACGGTACTATATTACTGTACAGGCAAGCCTTCCATCGAACACCATCATGAATGAATGTATGCAATAGGCGAGGATGTTGTATTGAATGCAGCCAGGGTTTGAGGGTGCGGACGAAGTGCCTTGCCTGTTGAAATAAGCGTCAGTTCCTCATTGGCTCGGATGTAGACCCGGAACTTATCCGAGGAAAGTAGAAAACAATTTTTTTGCCCAAGTATGGCCTTTGCAAATTCTCGTACATTTGCCATACAAGAGCAAAGTGAGTTCTCTTTAAGTTATTTCTATGCCACGCTACTGCTGCTGGTGCCGTATGCCATCCCATAATAGGGCCCGTTTACCCTTCTTGGTTTTTTCCCCTATAAAACGGCAGCACTCCTCTTGCTACCCCTCCATGAATTCTCCATTCGCTATCCGTACTCTTCATACATACCGCGCGCATATTTTCTTCACCTAGATTCCTCTGCGTCCTCCTTCTCCTCCATCGCTATCTCTCATTGCTCCTCTACCCTACGCTGCATACAAATATCCTTCACTCTCTATTCAACACACCAGCATCCATCCATTGACCATTCCACTCCTCACCATGCCAACATCCTCTCACTGATCCCTCAGCATGCAAACATCCTCCTTGATCCACACAGCTGCACACATCCCACTCCAACACCCTACCAACCAACACGCGTCAGCACCATCAATTACCCACATACACACACGCACCACGTTTTACCGCACACAACCTCCTCCCTCACCCAACAAGCATATCAACAAAAACTCTCCATCATGACCCCTCGTCCCACATCACCAATGCACAGCACACCTGTCCTTTCTTACCACCCTCCATCCGACGATAAATAATCCTGCGTTAATAGCCACGGTCAGGTCATCACATTGTTAAGTTCAAATGTCGTTTAGTTGTGAAACAAATAGTGTCTGTGTCATAGCACAGACGCGTGGAAGCATCGCACACATACACACACATACACACACACACACACACACTCGAACTGCAACACGCGTCTACTACCCAATTCAACACCATGCTGCAGTCTCCAGGATATAAATGAAGAACAGTTCATTTAGATCACTGTAGACAAACTACAGTACAAAGAGAGATCATATCATATCATATCATTTTTTTTTGTTTACGCGCATCATTTTTAATTAGAGGTATAGTTTGATAAATAAACTGATGTTGTAAAAAAAAAGATTACAAGCTTCGACTGAAAGGCCCTTTATTGGCACATTTCATTTCAATGCAGCAACTGCTTAGGCAGTGGGGGGATAGTAGGACTTGCTCTCGAGAGGGCACAAGTCGCCACGGGTACCCCACCACTCGACCATCTCAGCGTCACGGATGGTGAAGATGAAGAACGACAACAGCACCATGAAGGCAACACCAGAGTCAAACGCAGCCGACAACACATACGTGAAACGCAAGTGCCACTCGGGATGGTAGCGACGGGCAAAGAACTGGAAGGCGAAACCGAGAGCCAACCAGTTGGTGTAGTGGTAAGCTTGAGCTGGGGGCATCATACCGGTGGCGGCCAGTAACACAGGGATGTGGACATAGTCCAACCAGGTATTGGGGAAGGCCTTCTTGAGGTAGTAGAAGGGGATGGGGAGGACGAAACCGATCAAGAAGAAGTAGTTGATGGCGTTGTACATCGACGAGGCTCCGAACATACGGTTGGGTGAGATGACACCCCAGATGACTGAGGCAGAGTAGAAGGTGTTGGCCGAGGGGCAAGAGAAAACCTCGTTGTCCTTGCAGACACCCTTCTGGGAGCTCATGAGCCAGTTAGCAGTCAACAAGTTGACGAGACCAGCAATGACGGTACCGAGGAGCTGAGCCCAGAACATGGCACGAGGAGGGACCTTCATGTAGTGACCCAACTTCAAGTCAGAGGTGAAGGTCATAGCCTGGGCCATGGAAATGTAACCAAGAGTCTTGAAGGTAACGTTGGCAATGGGACGACCAGGAAGAATATAACCGATAACATACTCAGTGATGATGTTGAGACCAGGCTGCTGGTTGGTGATGGCCTGAATGAGACCAACGGGAAGAGAGAAAATGGCAGCGATGGCAATGGCCAAGAGAACGCCCCACCAAGGGAGCTTGTAGTCCCAAACCTCGCAGATGATGATGGCAACAATGGACATGATGACGAAGAGAGCGGCATACCACCAGTCGGGAACCTCAGGGTAGGCCTGCATGAGCTTGTGATGGATATCTTCAGAGTGATCGCGAGATTGCTTCCACTGGGCAACCAACTTGTGGCGGTGGTACAACCAAGTGTGGGTGATCATGGAGGAGAGACCGGCGAAACCGATACCATAGGTCAAGGCGAAGAAGGTCGAGATACGGAGGGGACCATAGGCCTCGTACTTAGCCTCATCCAAGATGTTGTCGGTAAGAATAGAAAGAGGCTTGTATTTGGCACCATTGTCACGGAACAAACTTGGGGTAAGGATAGGGAACTTCTTGGCCTCCCACAAGTTGGTGTAGTAAGCGATGGGAACCATGACCCAGGCGATCAGGAAGAAACCGAGGGCAATGTTGACCTGAGCCCACCAGGGGACGATCAAAGGAGAACCCAAGAAGGAAACGATGTTGTTCCAGTCGAGAGAGATGGCACCGAATCCAAGACCACCAGCACCAGTGAGCTGAGACAGCACCAGGTTGTCAGGCTTGATCCAGCAGATCCAAGCAATGGAGCTGAGGACGGGGAAGAGGAAGCCTGGGATCCACTGGTACAGGAACATGGCCAAGGTAGCAACCAAGAAGAACTTGAAGCGAGACCACTGGCCAGGAGCGAGGTCCTCATCCTTGTGAAGGGTGTTGAACAAAGCGACTTGGACCAAGTTGGCAGGCCAGATCATGGCAGCGGGGTAGACAAGGTAGCGACGGAGGACACCAGCCATACCGTAACCCAACATCTGTGTGCAGAGAATGAGAAGGAAGTTGGCGAGGAAACCGAAATCCTGCTCATAGAAGATCTTCTGGATGACAATGATATCGACGGCATAGGCAGTACCACCGGCACAGTTGGCAGTCAAGGCAACCAAGACGTGCTCCTTAATGTTAAAGGGACCAGGGTTGAGACGACCAGCAGGAAGGACACGAGCCATGAATTTACCGAAGGGATAGGACAACAACTGGATGACCAGGGTGGAGATGGTCATGGGCTGAGTGCGGAACCAGCTGTGTGATGTAACATAAGGATACGAAATGAGTATTCATTTTTTCCTGGTTCAAGTTCGGTAATGTGAATCAAAGGCGAGCAAAAGATGAGCAGGAGAACAGGATACAGGAGTGGCGAACTTACAAGAACTGGTTGAAGAAGGAGAGGATGACGGAGAAGATGACAGCCATGACCCAGAAACGGAAGGTCAGGACAGGGGTGCTAGGATCATCCTTGTTGGAGACGATGGCAGCAACCTCGGGAATAGGGGAGTTTTCTTCTTCTTCGAGGATGACGGACGAGCGCTCGATATCGAGCTTCTCGTCGATAAACTCCTTGTCAGCGGGGTAATCGTGTTTCTGCTCGGACATGGCGGGCAGGGTTGTGGTCACTCAGACGGAGGACAGGGAATGGAGGGAGGGGAAGAGGGTCTTGGAAGTGAGGGGAGTACGAGGTGGTTACAGCCGTAGACAAGGGTTCAAACGATTCGGGGGAGTGAGGTGGGTTTTATAGCACAATGAGAAAAGCACTGAGCATAGAGCGTCATTCAGCCAGTGCTGCAGTAGTAGACCTCATCCTCGGCCATGGCTCTTCACGGTCTTTGCGTTTCAGTATTGAGTCAAAACATACACTAATAGACAAGCATTCGCTGTAAAGTATTGCCATGAAGACTTTCGTCTCGCTGAGATGAGAGATAGAATCTTAATACAACAGGATAGAATGATATGTTTTGCTCTCTCTTTCGTCGTCCTGGGATTCGTCAAAGCCCTGCCTAGGGTTCGTGATTTGTTGTGGTGGACAGGGCAGTGGTGAATCAAGTGTCCAGAAGAGTTGTTTGTTGTTGTTTACATGGTTCTGGTCCATTTAGGTTGTTTACTCTGTCAAACGGACATAAACAGACTGAATGAGCATCGATGGAAGACCTTCTGCTAGGACTGCAGTAGGAGTCTGGGCCGCCGTTCCCCAAAAGAGACTGGCCAGTGGACGAATGGACGGAAAAGGTCCAGCAAAGTGCAGCTCGACGCTCATTTTTGGAAACACCTTAAACTCGGTTGAACACCTTAATCCATCTTTGGTCCCATTGGTCAGTAGGGCCTGCAGATCCACGAGGACATGCTTCTGTCCATATGGCTTTCCATTCATGGGCCAGTGAGCTTGTCCAACTGGCCACATCCTGACTACAGTAGAGACTACGCTAGCTATACCTCTACTCACCCTTCCTAGTAATATTACTTCCAAGGCTAACATTTTCACAATGGTATGCCATACCGCTTCTTTTTTTTTTATTATCCTACCTTACTCTATCTCATCTTAAAAAAAAAAAGCGGCAAGCACCTTTGCTCAAAGACCTGTACACAGCTTCCGCTATGAAAGGTAGCGCATTCCTCCATTGATATGTCCACTCCTTTTCACTACGCGGAACAAATTACAGGGGGATCCACGGAGTGTTCCGTCGAATTCATTGTTATCCACGCATGTCTACAACTACTCATTAGCTCGCCCCCCTCAGGATATGTCAAGCTGCGTCTTAGTCAAACAGTGATATGAACTTCAGTTGACTGCATAAGCGAACAGGATAGCGAGTTAAGTTAACTTGACAAACTGATGATTCCCAGGATGTGATTGAGCGTTTGATTTGTTTGTGCACTTTTTTTGCCAAATTTAATTTACCTGCATAATGTTGCCACTCTATGTTGTATTATTGAACCGAAGCTGTTGACATTTCCCATCAATACACCTTCAAGGTCATACAATGAAATTGAATAGAAATAATCGTTACAATTTAGTAATGTAGGTCCATGGACAATACACAGGGGAGAGGGGGTTTGCTTGTGTAAACATCTTTCAATACACAGGACCTCCTCGAAACACTTCACCCAAAGCGTTGTGTTTTTGTTGCCAATCGTTATTCCGGCTAAGGCATTGACCTTAATCTGCGCAGAGGCTCTGTTGTCGTCCATCGCGTGGACAGACCACCCTTCCAGGATGGAGCCGCTTCCGGCGGGCAGAATAGGGCTTTTTGGTATCCTCCAATGAAGTCCGCGTGATTTTGTTATCTGTCTGTGTCTTATCATTCGCTTAGACCTTTTACACTCTCCCCAATTCATATCTAAAAAGGCCGGATTTGCCTGGCTACGGAATTCGAATGCTAAATGTAGGGCTCAAAGTGAGAAGAGAGATGGCGCACAAGGCGCGCAGACCATAGTTCTCGGTAACATCCTCCTGTCTTGCTTTCAAAGAAGATGAGGGAGGAGGCACACAAAAATGAGCTTCAGTACGCCTGGTAGACTAGCTCTCTGCAAAAAAAAAAAAAAAAAGAGCAGCTGCAAGGAGGAACAGCGAATCGGAAACGTTCCTGGGGTTAGAGTTAACAAGTCCAGCAACAGCATGGCAACTTAATTTTGTATATACATCGAACGAAGTACAATGGAGGGCTCATCCTCGGACTCTGCCGCGTGACAAACAAAGCCGAGGAACTGTGAGAATTTTCAGTCCCAGGGTATCGAAGATTGCACACGCTTGCAAAGGTATTGGCCTATGGGAAGGCCTCCTTCAAAGTCTCGATGTTCCTTTGTTTATGTTGTTGTTTGTGTGTAATGGGAGCATTCATGGGTACTAAAATGAGTCCCAAGAGTGTGTGTGGACAGAAGCAGCAGGCCTGGTTGAGCAAGGCAGACCAGTCAACAAATTGGATGCAAGCAAAAGTTACCAAGAAGAAAACATCAACAGCTGGTTAATGGGCTGTAACCTTACTGTGGGTCGCGCATGCAGAGTCGCCGCGCCATTCCCCCTTGGAGTAGTGCGGATCTATCGCAGTCGGCTACACAGAATTTAGGGCGCCCACCCAAACCTGCCCGCATCATAGTCTACCGTTTCATTTCTTTCTTCAATCCATGCACAGGCAAGAAGCACTGGATTCAAGTGAGAAAGTCCAGAGCTGTGGCGGAATGAAGACAAGTGGAACCGTTCGTTTCCCATTTCCATTTAATATTCCATAATAATCTAAATAATGAAATGAGCAGTATGAGCTCCATTTCTTTCCATCTTCGCTCTTGTGGAAGTCTCATGGACCGTCAAGTGTTTATCGAACAAGTTCGTCTTACCCAATTTAGCTGGCATGGACCTTTGCGGCCTAGAAATAAACATAGGATTATTTATTTTGTTCGATGGTGTGCCTGACATGGATGCTTGGGCAAATGATACAGTAACCCTGGTAAACATGGCCATAGTTCTTTTTTTTTTTTTTTGCCCTATTATGTGATCCAATCGGACCAAAGTTTTTACCTTTGCTTACTTTGTTCCCAAGATGAACAAAACTCTACATCCACATGTGCACATGTGCATATGTGTGGGCTAGAACAACAAGCCCTGTCGTTATCATCCTCCCCCTGGCGACCTTCCGTCGAGCTTTTTTTCCGCTCGAAGTTTAAATGGTCCACGATGCCTTTGGAAGAAATTAAGGAACAAGGGTGTCTGTCTGTGTGGCCGGAAGACCAACCAAAGACCGGGAACGCCTATACATGAATCAAGTACATGCAAGCCTTCCGAACAATGACCGTGTGCCACGCCACATCGCGCATCTCGGACACCGCTTTTTTAGGCGCTCCCTTGCCCTTCTTTCATGTCGCCCGAAAAACAGAGCATTTTTTTTTTTTGTTTACTCTTGTGAAATTCTTCTCTGCCCGATTGGTGTGGGCGTGGGGAAAAAAAAGCACACAAACAGCCGAGTGAGAGGCCTGGGGATTTACTCACGTCCGGGCTGACCTTTCCCTTCGTTTTTCATCCATGCTAACTTTGTGCCACCAGAGCTAGAAGAGAGCCATTCGAATTTTGCCCACGTAGGAGAAACTTCCACGGTCTCCATCTGTACATCGCCTACTCTGCCTTGTACCTCTAACAGCCTGTTCTCCAGTTCACCAATCGCATTCGTCAGAATGGTCGAGTTTGATGGGAAGCTTTTTATTTCTTAGATCGATCTAGGCAGATCAGCTATCGGACTTCATCAATCTGAGTACGATTAAGAAGCAGAAGAAAACACGCCCTTTTGCTCTAGGCCTCTAGATCTGATTAGACCAGTGCTATTTGTCGCGGTATAAGTCATAGTCTTATGTGAACAACACCGATAAAATAAAATATAATAAAAAAAGGAAAGAAGCGCGAAGGAAGGTGGGATAAGATGAAGCATGGGACTTTATTAAAGTGCATGCTGTGCCTCCGATGAGCAGCGGAGATGCAGCATAATAGAGATACGCTTACAGCTGAGCAGCTCGCGTAGCAGCGGGGATTCAACCCTCCAACTTCGGATCCATATCCACGCAAGGATCGCCTTAAACACGATAAAAGTTCCCAAGAAGTCAACAGGAGCGTGCTGTGGTGGTCTAGTTGATTCACACTAAGAGCTTGGGCTCCAAGCGATGAGGACCTATATGATTCATTTCAGCTCAGTAGTCTAACACCGCCTAAGGCGCAGTGGCCATCCATAGATCGCAATTCAATGCTGCTCAGAGGTGGTTTGTTTGTAACTTTGGAAGGTTAGAGCAACAATATTCGGACGCAGCGAATCGGAATGCAACCCACATATTCCATGAGAAAATACCCATGCAAAGCACATGCATACATTGCAAGGCTAGAACCTTGTCCTGTAATTTCTCGGTAACAACATGAGCAGAAAAGAGCTGCCAATGGATGAACTAGAGTTCCGAAGTGGTTTAGTGGACCAGTCTCTAGTGTAGACTATGGTGCGCACGTAAATGAGGTTTAGGTTGCTCGTGTAGAGTAGGTCGCAATGGAAGGGATCTCACTCCAAACACGCGTTGCAACAACTACCACTCCTAGTCTACGACCTCCCACAGTTACCGAGTATCTAATGCTAGTCGATTTATCAATCACTGCACTCTTTGGTTTTTTTTTTAATCTTTTGTATGCCGTTGAGCAGACACCCCTGGGAACTAGGTGGTAGTTACTAACAGAGGGCCAGTTGGGTTCTACAGAGGGTGATGATGAACTGACTTCAGTTGTTATATATGCATGGATGTATTGCCTCTCAATGAAGTCCGCGAACAAAAGTGTAGATAGAGGATGGGATACACCGAGGACACCGTGACAGAACGAGGCCTTTTCACGCAGCAGCACTGCCAAGCGGTGAAGTAATATGACTTTTCATATTCTCGACCATCCAGTTAAGCACCCTCTTCTCCGAGATTCGACCAACTGGAGTACGAATGCACTTGTATTCAGTAGAGTGAATCTGATCAATCTCGGTGAATCTAGCTGCTACTACTCCCGACAAAAGCAAGAGAACATATTTCCTCGCAATGCTCCTCAGCTTGTGTCCGTGGTTCTGCTTTCTAAAGTCAAAGTGTGTACAGCAGCTGTATCCACACGGAGCTGTACTCCGTAAACCTCCACAGACCCAGATCGTCAGGAATGTCTCGACAGGTAATAGACAGTTACTTTGGACAGACTCAAAACTCTACAATAGCTCGATTCAAGGAACCCTGTAGCACGCCAAAAGACGACTAGGGTAGGTCTATCCGCTCACTCAACCTCTCAACAGACTCAGTAGAAGACCTAGGATAAATAGGAACTGTTTAGTGACCGATACATCGTGGTCTACGTTCAAAACAGAGGGCATCGCCTATGTAGTTGCCACACTTCTTGTGTTAATATGGACAGCTATAGTGGCAGTTTGGGTCGACAATCTGATTGCAGCAGCAGCACCGACATCCGCTTTTTGGAAGTAACGCAGCCCCATGTGTGATGTGTATACCCCTGCTCTTGCTCGTTATTCTCGCCTACAGTATATAACCTTGTAATCCTCTGAAAAGGACCCATACCCATGAGGCCACGTTTTATTGTGATGCTAGGTTGATGCATCCCTAGGAATATCTGAGATGGGAGTAATGGATACAGCAGGGCTATGTTTTTCTGAATATTAGGAGTCCTCGCCAAAAAGTCGTAACCCCAACCTTCTCATTGTATTTTGTATTTGAAGAGGTACAGTGGCTAAGACCTATATAAACTCTAAAAAAATCATCCCATATGTGGCATGAATTCAGGACAAGGGATATATGATTCATTATATAAGGGTTACGACTTTTGGTGAGCTCTAAGGGTGGGGTTACGACTTTTTGGCGAGGATTCCCAATGGCATGCAGAGTCCATTAGGTGATAAAGGACATTCGCGACAGCCAAGGAATATATATATAAATCCTTAAGAGCACCCAGGAATAGAGAAAAAGAGGTTTGTTCGAGTATTTGCCCTCAAGGGTCTTGTTAGTTTCTGCAGAAAGCCTCGCTCCAGAATAACGGAACAGTGTCTATGATGACGAATAAAACAGCAACAACAACAACAACAAACACAGCATTCTTGACTTGAGAGTCATTCGTTCGTATTATCAGCTCCAAGGAATACATGCGTAGGTTTTAAGAGACGTAGAGAACGCGAGTAATTGCCCCCTCCCCCCCCCCCAACACTCTTGCTGGTTACGGCAGCGCGAATGCGAAATGGACCCTACCAAGAGTAAAAGTACTAACGATTCGTAATGGCAAGGAACACCGGAGTACAGAAGCTGCAGGTCCATCTTCACTTCCAGACCGTTCAACAGCAACTTCTCAGGTTCCACCATCTAGGTAAATCTCACTCTTCAAGACACGGTCGCTATCTCTCTGTTTATCGTCCTGTAGGAAATGAGTATCGTTGAACGTTCCCCTGATGGCGCCTTTTTGCTCCACCCGTGACTTTAACTAGATGCATATTCAGCTGCTGAAGTTGCACTCTGTCGGCCATGTCTATCCTCTCAAGAGCTTCAACAAGAGATCTCAGAACAAGGACGACTTTCTGATTGACGCATATTATTACTACATGTGAGAACGAGGACTAATGCCCCCAACCGATCCATGTTGTTCTAATAAGAGGAAATGTATCGCAATCAGAATGGCAGTTCAGCGGCGACCAAGACATATTTGAAGAGACGGGCTTTGTAGTCAAGAATATCGATTGCTATCCAAACATACTGGAACCCTATGGCTAACGTGCATTAGACCACGGTTGCGTCGTGTCTTGAGCGGCGTATTCTGAAGTGACATGGATGCCGGATGTAAAGATGCTGACAGATACGAAACCCCTTCCTCCCCTTCCCCCCCCCCCCCCCCCCTCTGCCCTTTATTACACAAGAACCAAAGTCTGGGTTCTCTTTCCGGGATACCATCGATTGCAAGGAGGCAATATGGCGTTTTTTTTTTTGGCCAATACATAAAGGTGGCGCCACCTGGCTATCTTGATTGTGCGACGCATTATTGGAGATAATCAATGGACCGAGCCGTTTGTGCTGCTGGGTTGGGTACAATGGAGGACCATAATGAGGAAGAAGTAGGGCAAGTGGGCATAGGAGCACAGAAATAACAGCACAGCAGTGAGGATACAGAGAGCCATGCATGAACACCAAACTCGTTTTGTATAAACAAAACAAAGAGGCGATAGGTTTTATAAACCGCTTTCTTCCCCGCAACGATTTTCTTGGACCCCACCATCCGCGCCTACCGCTCCCCACTTCCAAGCATCAGCATATTGTATATAGAAACCTACTCGACCATGACCGCTCCTTCGACTCGATCCGCCTCCACTGGTACCTCCAAGGTGACCCGGATCCTCAGGAAACTTGCTCTTTTCTCGGTTTTGCTGGCCTCTACCGCGAATGCCTGCACCCCGGCTACGTGCGAGATCGCCTATGACCCCCTGTTCGTCACTGCTCACAGGTCCACCTACTTGACCCTGGTTGTCCGTGGCAAATACTCAAGAACGATCAGGACTGAGTGCCCTTTGGGAGGAGAAAAATTTGGAATAGTTGTGTGCTCGGATGACAATGTCTTCTGCTACACTATTGACTGCCACGTTGATTACGTCGATCTGAGGGTTTTACACTTCAATGCCCTGCAGTACCCTCTCAATGGCCCCCAAGAAACTAAAAGGGACCCGGTTGATTGGAAACTTCATGATTATTTTTGGGCCTGTGTTTAATAGCAAGGGTCCTTCACTATCCATCGACCGGCCTGTAATCATAGTAAAAAAATGTCGAAATAAATGGCTCGCTGTCGTGCGTCCATGCTGGTTTATTGCGAATGTGGATGATATAGTTTTGTCCTCGCTCTAGAGACGGACGACGTTACTGAGAGTCGAAAGCTAGCCTTTGTTTGTGAATAGTTGGGTCAGGAACGAGCGTTTGCGTGTGGCCCATAGTCATTGACTCGTATGCGGTTCATTTGGGCCACAGCGCGCACGGGTCCTGAACTCTGAATTCTTCAGGCAGCCTGGTTGCAGGGACCATGCCAGCTGCAGAAGGCTGCTCTACGGAGGGCCTCCATTCTATCCCGCGCCCCAGGATGGGGCTCCCGTCTGGCTCCTGAGTAAGAGCCAGAGGAGGTTCTTCTGGGATATGGGATAAGCAATCGGGGCTCTCTGTGTGGTTTGACGCTCTGGGTACTCCTTAAGCTTCCATCCCAGTCTGGCTGGACCAATAGGCCATGTGGTTCCAGCGGCGGGACAGGCTAGGCTGAGCAGAGGAAACAATAATTATGAGTCGACCACCGTAACATCTCCCCCACGCCCCATATTCCTTTCTTTTCATCTCTTCTCATTCATCTCATTCAACCGATCTACTCGCCTTCTCGACATCAGCTAGCATTATTATCCCAAGATGAACATGATCGACCAAAGCCTGGACGACATCATCAAGTCGGAGCGCCAGGGAAAGAAAAAGCTGAAGGGAGTGGCAGCGGCGGCTACGAAGCCCTCTGCACCCTCCAAGAAGGGAAGCCCCAGCATTCAGACCAAGGCAGCAGTAGGAATCCAGACGAAGGGAGGCGCAATCAGATTGCAGAAGGGCAACAAGGCCACCAAGGGCAGCTCGCCATATGCTGTAAGTGTCCATGTCCAGGGCCGAGGCCCTCGTCCACAGGTGTCTGGGTGTGCAAGAGTATAATAGGCCTGTTTTTTCCCACAGTACTGATGCCATCCCATGCCTTGTACATGTCCTTGGGGGGTGACTTCTTCTCTGCAGCGTCCGGTCAAGGTCAAGACGGAGACAGCATTGTTCACAGAGTCATACAAGGCCGCCAAGGCACCTATCAAGGAGATCTTTACCGCTAGCTATATCGCAAAGCCGGCAACGAACCTCAAACTCTTCACTACGAACCTCAGATCAGGAGCCGATAGGGGTAACCGGGATCAGACGGGATCATCAGTAAAAGAGCAATTGACGACCAAGTCTGTGCGGCTCGTTACCACACAGCAGGTCAGGCGAGAGTCAGCACCAGCATCATCACCAGGAAGGCTCACGCTCACGACCCAGAACGAACGCATTCCTACTGGCCCCAGGAACCCTGGTCCATCGCCACAGAATGGAGGGAACCGTGGTGGAGACCATCACCGATCTAACGTCAGCACTAACAGCCGATTGAGCGACAGGAATGACAGAATCGGCAGGAACGACAGAATTGATAGAGACGACAGAATTGACAGAAACGCCTTCAACAGCAGGAACGATGATAGACGAGGAAACGATGATAGACGAGGAAACGATGATAAGCGAGGAAACGATGATAGGCGAGGAAACGATGTCCGCAACGACGCTCGCTTCAGTGGTGGAAACAGCGCTCCTTCGAACATTCGCATCAACCAGAGCAACAATAACCACCAAAACAGCAATAGCAACAATGGTCAGAGACGCACAGAGCAAAGACCCCTACAGGATAATAGGCCGCCTGTCGCGAGCAGAGCAACTGGTGCCAGGATGTCCTTGGCGGATCTTTCTCTGCTGAACCCCTCTGCGATGAACCCTTCGTTGATGGACCAGGCTTTGATGAGCGTAGATATGGACATGGATATGGACATGGACAGTTCTATGCTCTCTATCAAGGGATCAGCACCGAACTCCAACGTTGCCTTTCGCGGAGAGAGCGGTCCCGTCACGATCGAGATTGAGAACCTCGATCCCGACACCACTGCGGAAGATGTTATGGTAATGGCACATACGAATAACAAAGCTATTGTCTATCATGGTATGCCCTTTCTTCCATCTGTGCTGACAAAGTCTTTTGTTATATTATGGGTGCAACCAGTTTGTCTGCTCCCGATTTGGTGAGATCAAGTCTTGCATCTGCACCAATGGATTCTCTCAGGTCACATACGCCAGAAAGGTGGCGGGTCTTGCAGCCATTGAGAACTTGCACGGCAAGAGAGCCGACAATGGTATGTCTATTGTGCTATAAGGGGTGTGTGAGCCTTTTATGTACATACAGCCCTGTTTGACAGATGCTAACAATTGAATGCTGGCATGCTGGCTGTTCTTTATTTTTTTATCTAGGCAAAATCTTGAAGGTCTCTATGCGCAAGAATGCCATCATTCACGGCGATATGAGTCCAACGGGGGCCCATGTGTCTACTCCGATTTCAGGACCCATGAAGATTCTGGAAAAGGCCGTTCAGGGAACGTATGTGTTTTTTTTTATAAGATCGTGGCAGGACGATTTTTTTTTTTTTTCCTTCCCGGGATGCATGTGTGAAAAGAAAACCTGCTAACACCCTCGTTCTTGTTGTTGATGAACATTAGAATCACCAATGCAGGCACACTCTACTCGGACCAGCTGTTGGCAGCACAGCATATGTTGAAGGTGCAGCAGCATAGGATGGCACAGCTTCACCGAGAGGAGCAACGTATCAGCTCGCTACGCGTGCAGGCAGAACCTCAATTGAGCAACTTGAACTCGCTTTCAACCTCGGGTGTCAACCGTGGATTCTTTTGAGTGCAAACCGATCAATAAAGCTATCATTTTTTTTTATATGTTATATGTGTGTGTTTTTTTATTCTTCAGTGGAATGCTCATTCAGAACTATTCCGCAGCGTGAACATGGCCCAATGGCAGGAATACGCCATGGACGAGTGCATGGCCTGCCTCGTGTGAAGATTACTTCAATTGGTCAGCCAATGGCGTCTTTTTGACCATCTGATAAGGATAGTAATAAGCATCCAATAGTTGGTTCTATTGCCTCAATTGCTTCCCACACTTTGATTCTCGCTCGCACTCTCTCGTCTTTTCCCTGCACCTTCTTTTGCATCCCTGCTTCCCTCTCTTGGCTGTCCATCCCACTGTTACTCCCTCATCTGTGAATCAGATTCAGACAAAACATGCAACTGATGTCGAGCGACGGTTCTTCTTCTTCCTCTTCCTCTGTCGACCTCCAGTCCGAGTACGACAACGAGATCAAGGAGTTCCACTTCCATTTGTACTGGTTCCAGAACAATACGGCCTCACAGGCCAGCGCCGTGAAGCTGCGGGATCGGATTCTGGAGCTGGTTAAGCAAGGGTTCTTTCAGGTAGTGCCGCTCAGGAACGGGGTCAATACGTCGCCACGAGGCCCGCATCCGATCGGGAGTTATGAGGTGTGGTGTGCCCGGGAGGATTTTGCGCGGTGCTACTCTTGGTTTGTCCTGAACCGGGGACCGCATTCGGTGTTGATCCATCCGTTGACGAAAGAGGAGGTTGCGGACCATTCGTCGAGGGCTACGTGGTTGGGGACACCTGTGCCGTTGGATTACTCGAACTTGACCCCGCATCTGGATCATGTCCCGTCGCAGTATCCGGAGCTTGGACTGGGATACAATGCTCCTCCCAAGAAGGAATCGAATTAAAATAGCGCAGCCCTGGTACCTCTCCAAGGGGGAAAAAAAGCGGTTTCCATGTAATAAACATCTACGTTGTAAAAAAAAAAAAAAAAAAAAAAAAAAAAAAAACCTGAATGGTGAGTTCCATCCCTAGGCTCTACTGTAGTCTTCTTTGACTTTGTCTCTGTTCATATCTCTGGCAAGCCCATGTTTGCTATGCGAATGAGGGACGCTTAGTCGCTAGTCGAGATGCCTTAATGGCACCCAATTTGAGCGTAAGCAGGACTGGTCAAATCTCACAACAGCTGTGAAGTTAATGCACAGCAACGGGTCCAGTCAGCCCTGGAAGCTGCTTCTGCTTGTGAATGTGCCTCCTGTTCTTATCAGTTGATGGACAAACTATCATACACGCATGCATATTCGGCCATAGCCATAGCCATGCCATAGCAATAACCATGCCATGGCAATGATATGTCTGTGCTGGCGATGTGTAAGCCTGTTTGACTACGCACAGAGAGTGGCATGGCGGGAGATAGATAGGTAGCACGATACCCCAGAGGTCCAGAAGGGCAAACAAACAAAACAGAGGCAGGAAACAGCTTTCCGTGCACCGCCTCCCGTCGGTTGCCTGGGGGAGGAGGAGAATGGCGACATGCACTCCTTGGCAGCGATGGCAGTGGCGGTGGCGGTAGTAGTGAACACCAACGGGGCTAGATGGAGCCGAGGAAGGGCAGGAGTGAATTTGGATATGGGATATGGGATATGGGATATGGGGAGATGGAGCTTGTTTTAAAGGCCCCCGTTTCCAATGATTCCCCGGCTCTTGCTCTTTTCTTTTCTTCTCTTCCCTTTCTTCCTCCACCTCCGCCTTCTTCACCTCTTTCCTCTCCCCCTCGCACAAGACAGGCGAAGCAAGGATGTATCCGAATCCCTACCAGGACAACAGCAGTAGCGGCTATCCCCCTCAGCAGCAGCAGCAGCAGCAGGGCTACAGCCAGTACCCGCCCCCTCCATCGCAAGGACCATACCCTCCCCTTCCTTCGCAAGGACCATACCCGCCCCTTCCTTCGCAAGGAGGACTATACCCTCCCCCTCCTTCGCAAGGACCATACCCTCCCCCCGCATCCGTGCCCTACCCTCCTCATGCCCCCTATCAACCCCCAGCTGCAGCTCCACCAACAGTGCCAGGAGGAATGATGTATCCACCTCCCGCAACCCAACCAGGCTCAGCTCCCGGTGCCGCCTACGGGCCTTCTATCCCTCCTGCCACGGGAATGTATCCACCCCCACCTGGATCTCCCGCAGGAAACCCCTATGGCGTGCCTACCCAGGTCCCAACTCCTCACCCAACAGGATTCCCTGCGTCCATGCCCCAACCCTCGCCAGCGTTTCCCTATGGTCAGCCGCCTCCACAACAGTATCCTCCAGCCCCGTACCAGCAGCCAACGTCTCCGACGGTTGGCCAGCAGCGCCAGTATCCTGGCCAGGGTCATGTTCCTCACCAACAGCAGCCTTCTCAGGCGTTCGCCGTCAAGTGCGGACCGATGATCCGTTACCAGAGCCTGGATTTGCATAACGGACACTGGATTGGATCTGTGTTGGTGGTGTCGAAGCCCGAGGCCTATGGACAGCCGGCGCCGGTGTTGACCTGGTCCGATGGACGGGCGGGACCGCAGATGGTGGCGGCTCAGCCGATTGATACGTTCAACCAGTCGGTCTTCTGGAGGTTTGCGTTGGTGATTCCGCAGGATATGCAGGCGACCAAGAAGATCACGTACTCCATCAATGGGGGACCAAGTTATTGGTTCTTTGTCGCGGGCAGGGCAGAGTCCTTTAGGTGGATGTTTTATAGTTGCAACGGCTTCTCGTCTGCCACGGATTCTGGTAAGTTGACTTTTCTTTTCTTTTCTTTTTTTTTTTTTTTTTTTTTCTCGGTTTGTCGTTTGCTGACTCGCTCGAGAAGTTCGGGTGTTTGTTATCAGCAAACTACAAACGTGCCCACGAGAATCAAACAGAGAGGAGTTGTAAAAAAAAAAAAAAAAAAAGCCGATGACAAAACAGAAAAAGAGGGTTGAGCCTAGTACGTAGAAGGGATCATCTGGCTTTCTGCGCGTGCGCGCGGATGTGGATGATGCCCCGCTCTCTTAATTATTATTTTTAACGCACTGGAAGGGGAGGTGAGATGAAAAAAGATGTTCCCTCCCTCGGTGTTTGGTGAACTTTGTGTTCGGGTATTCTTTCAAACCCAATGTCTTTGTGGAGTGTATAATGGACTCGTGCTCCAAATCTCCAGGGCCAAAATGCCTCGGTTGTTTATTGGAATTGGTCGCGATAACTCACTAAACATGGTCTTTTTATTTTATTTGTGTGTGTGCGCGTCTGTTTCTTTAGTCGCAATTGGAGGCGCCAACCCACTATGGAACGACGCAATGGCAAAGCACACGGAGCACCCTTACCATGTAATGATCGGAGGAGGCGATCAGCTTTACTGCGACAGTCTGTTGGAGGAGAATGAAATGAAAGAATGGTTGAAGGGCTCGTTTCTGGAGCGGGAAAAAGCGCCTTGCACACCCAAATGGACCAGTGCAATCGAGAACTATTATTTCAACCGTTACTGCACCTGGTTCTCCCAGGGTACCTACGGACAGGCGCTGGCGGCGATCCCGACGATTAACATGTGGGATGACCACGAGTAAGTTTTTTTTGCGTCTGAATCCGTTGTTGTTGTTTTTATGCGCGATTACGGGCAAATAAGACAGTTTCTCTTTCTTGTTGATGTTTGGTGCTGACCAGTTGTTCGTTCTTTTTTCTTATTTTGTTTCGATAGCACGATTGACGGATATGGTTCGTATCCGGATCCGATACAGAAGAGTCCAGTGTTGACAACGATCGGTGCAGTATCACATCGGTTCTACCTGCTCTTCCAACAGCACACGACTCCGGCTTTGGTTCCCCAGCATGGATTCTTCTCTGCGGGCGTGGGCGAGAACATTTTGACATCGTTGGGACCATCGACGACTATCTTGGCTCTGGACGCACGCTCGGAGAGGACGAAACATGTGGTCTGCTCAGATCAGACGTATGATCTGGCGTTCTCGAAGATGTATCAAGAGATCCCGCAGGGGACGAGACATCTGTTGGTCCAGCTCGGTGTACCGATTGCGTACCCACGCTTGGTGTTTGCCGAGAACTTGATGGGCAGTGTTGGATCCATTCTTGGAAACATCGCGAGCGCGAAGGGTGTGGTTAATAAGCTGAATGGCGAGCCCGAGCTCTTGGACGACTTGAACGATCACTGGACCGGTATGTGGAATCGCACGTCTTGTTGCATTGTTGCGGGATGTGTGTGTGAGAGAGTATATAGCTGGATTCAGTCGTATCCCGCTGTTACTAATCTGGATTCTTTTTCTTCCTTTTCCTTATGTTATCTCATCCAGCCAAGGCACACAAGGCAGAGCGCAACAAGTTCATCACCCGCCTTCAGGGTTTCGCGAACGACCGTAAGATCCGGGTCACCTTCATCTCGGGCGACGTGCACTGTGCGGGCGTGGGTCGGTTCACGGCCAAGATTGCACCCGCAGAGAAGGACCCGCAACTGATGTACCAGGTGATTTCATCCGCGATCGTGAACGAACCCCCACCCGAGGGTGTGATCAAGTTGCTGCATTTCCAGGACAAGGTCCATATTCTCGAGGGACGGGTCAAGACCTACGAGGACATGTACCCGATGTTCACGCAGGATGTGGATGGGAAGCCGTTGCAGATGGACAAGTTGATGCGGAGGCGGAATTATTCGCAAGGGCAATATAATCATCATACGGGAGCAATGGAGGTTTTGATCTTTGTGGAGAATATTCGTGGTGGGCCTGAACATACGCCTGGAGCGGATAAGGGAACGAAGCCCTATACAATTCATGTCCCGCGGTTGGAGGCATAAGTTGTTACATATTTGTTTTGATAAAGCCCATATATTCTGAAGCCAATGTTGACAGATCAAACAAAAAGAAAAAGAAATGCATGGGGGCCGGGGAGTATTATAGAATTTTATTACGATGGCCCAACAAGGAAAGAAGACGAGGAAGAAAAAAAAAATGTTGTTACAAGGTAAAGAACGACAAAACACGCAAGTAGAGCAACCGCAATAACAGAGTAATGAGGGAGGAGAGGAACTGCAAAGAAGCGATCCGTCCGTCGTCCCCCTCATTTTTTTTTCTTTTTTTAATGTCGACTGCTCTCTTTGGCAGCTTTGATGAGGGGAGACAGTGTCCGGACAGAATGTGCCTTCGTGATAAACGGATGCTTCAACAACTCTGTTGCCGTCGGACGCTTCTCCGGATCGACCTCTAGACATTGGTGCAAAAAGTCCGTAAAGTCCGCAGACACCTTTTCCGGATGCTGGAGCGTTGGTGTTCCGTTCGTCGCAATCAGATACAGGGCCTATACACATTTTAGTACAGAAAAAAGAGCAGTCAGCATGACATGAGCTGCGTGAAATCAAAAGCAGCAGGCAGGAGGAGCAAAAAAAAAGAAAAAAAACATACGCGAAGAGGGTTCTCGTTGAGGTATGGTGGTTCTCCTTCCAACATCTCGATGGCCATAATGCCCAGGGACCAGATGTCGACCTTAGGTCCGTATTCCTTCCTCGTCACGACTTCCGGTGCCATCCAGTAGGGTGTCCCCACCATCGTCGTTCTCTTGGCCTGACTCTCCTTCAGTTGTGCGCAGAATCCAAAGTCGGCTACAGTGGGGAATTGAAAGACGGATAGTAGGCATAATAGATTAATGGGCAGTCTGACATGGGATGACGTGCTTGAAATACAATGGTGTCGCCGCCGCCGCCGCCGCTAAAAAAAAAACTTACTCAGCTTGATATCGCCATTGAGGGCGAGCAGTACATTGTCCGACTTGATGTCGCGGTGAATAACGCCCTTCGAATGCAAATGTTCCAAGCCCAACAGTGTCTGAACGAAATGAAAGAGGACGAAAGGATGTCAGCAAACGCATGCATCTTTCTGATGGTAAAAAGCAAACAGACTCTCTGCAATATCGTCCCATGGTATTACCTCGCGACAGACAGCTCCGATCTGGGGATCAGCCATCTCGTTAGTCGTCACCACCTCCGTCAGACTTCCGCCCTCCATGTACTCCATGACCACCCAGAGATCCCCACGGTACAAGAACGAATCAATATAGTTGACAATATTCTTGTGGCTCGACTCCTTCATGACCAGAATCTCATTGATGATCAAATCCTTCTTCGGCTGCTGCTCCAGATTCATCTGCTTGATAGCGACAGACAAATTCGTGCCGACCTGGTACGCCGTGTACACGCCCCCAGAAGCGCCCTGTCCAATTTTCACTAGGCTACGATACAACTTTGTCGGATCCGCGTCCGTGCAAATCGCCTGCAGTCGACGAATCACCTCCTGAGAGCTCACTGAATCCTTGTCTGCCTTCTTCTCACGCAACTTGGTTGCTGTACCGCTACCTGTAGAAGACCCTCCATGACTGGGTTTCGGTGGCGTAATAGTCGTGCCTTGGTGATGGGGTATTTTTTTGGGCTTGGGTGGAGGCACCTTCGGTGGTGGCGACGGCATTGGCGCTGTCACCGTAGGTGGAGGTGGAGGAGGAGATGCTGGACTCGGATCTACATCTTCCGTTTCTACAAATTCCTCTTTATCGCCTGGCGCCTGTAATAATAATAGTAATAATAATAATAAAAAAAACCCCCTGTCAGAATGCCTTCCATTTGAAATTTATCTTCCCAGCGCTAATAAAAGAAAAAGGTTTCCTTCATCTTACCGGCTCTGCAGGGTGCGGTATTGGAGGCTTTTTCACGGGCGGAGGAGTTGGAGGAATGCGCTATTGATATGAGAAAAGACCAAACAGTTGGTTGGACATGGCTCTAAGCAAATGTTTTGCATCCACAAATGCGCTATTAGATCCAAGCAGTAGTTTTTCCAAGCGGCTTACAGGATTCTCAAACACCGGGCGGGACGCAGGAGTGGGGCGATCGTGACTTGTGCGATCTCCCTTTGACGAAGGCGGTGGGTGCTGCTTTGGAGCTAGTGCAGGCTTGGGTGGTGACTTTGCCGCCTCTGTCGTGTGTCCGAATTTTTTCCAGACTGCGTCGCTCTGCTTTCCTTCTTGTGAATCCTTGTAGAATCCAATGATGTCAATGACAGCCTGCGGATGCGCAGCCTGGTCCTGCTTTGAGATTCCAGATTCTTGTAACAGCTGCTGCCATTCTTTTGGCAGGCCCTATAGGTATAAAGAAGCAATCATTGTGTCAGTCGCTTTTATGTCTCGTCTTGTGCCGGTCAATCCAATAGCCGAGACCTTGACCTTGGTATGCTTTCCGTTCGATAGCAAACTTACAGTAAACTCGCCGGTATCGAGGTTGTAGCCCACATGTGTCAAATGGACGGGGTTATAAGGCGACGAGATCTCAATCTTTTTGTCCGATGAGAGCAAGTCTACATTGTTGGGCCAAAGCATAAGAGCAATGTTCCGCATCGTCAGTTGTATGAGGTGAAAAAACGGTGTTGACCATGTTGTCTTTCTAGACGTTTGTCATTATCGCCACTGGTCCATTCGCATTCAGCACGTGTGACGCTCTCTGTTTTTTTCTTTCCCATTGTCTTGCGATATCGAGACACTCCGCCATGAAGGTCTTTCTCTTCCTTTGCACTTTCCTAATGCATATCCGAAAAAAAAAACGTAGCTAGATGTTTTCTTGTTGCATACCTGACATGGAGCTGACAATGTTGCTAAAGACGCCCTTGAAGGTCGATCGATTCGAGGGATAGTCTGAAGGGTCAAAGCTCTGATGAGAGCGGGAGGACTTTGGCGAGGACGAGTGCGAGGTCATGTTGAGGGTGCTGTCCGAGTGATTGGATCGTAAGGAGTCATGGGGGGCGTTCAGCCTGGTAGAATATGGGTTGCTGCTGCTGCTGCTACTGTAGTTTCCATTGTTGTAGACGCTGTGCGAATAGCCAGACTCGTTTGGCCTTAAAGGCTTTTGTGGTGGGGGAGGTCCCTTCTTTGGCGGTGGGACTCGAGGAGGTGGTGGTGCTGATTCTCTGTCTAAAAAGCGCCAGAAAACAACAATGATAACGGGGGTGTTTAGTCGTTTCAATTGAATGACAGCACTTGGACAGGTGTCTCCAGCAAACAAACGACTCCGTGCTCTTTCTTACTTGAGGATGTAGACGGTCTAGGTGGCGGAGGGGCCTGCCGCTGAGGGACAAGACCGTCCGCTGAAGGGGGAGTTGCGGTCATCGCGATTGAGCGTGTGCAGCGTGAGAGAAGGGGAGAAAAGATGAAGAGGGGGAGGATATAGGTTAAACGGCGGCGAGGGAAGAAATGGGGTAGTAGTGTTCGGCAGGAGTGAAGGAAAAAAGGGAAGAGAAAAAAAGAGCAAAGGACAGAAAAAATAAAAAAATAGGAGGCAGGTGAGAAAAAACCGATGGTCAGCATATAAAAGACAATCCAGCAGGTCAGCCATCGTTTTTCTTTCCCTTGGCGCGAATACAACCGTATCAGTGGGGTCCAATTTCCTGCACAAAAAAGCTTTGATGCTGGATGCATTTGATACGAAGTTCGAAACTGCATATCCGATGTCGAATGAATACTACCGACTGAAGCATAATCGAACTGCGGATCTTTTTTGTTCAGGTCGGAGGGGCAGTCTGACATGCTCATTGTTCAATTGCTCGACCCTTGCACCCCATGCTCCTGAACAAAATCCATGTAACATCAAACAGAAACGTTTCTGTGCCGCTTATCTTCTTCACTTACAGGGAGTTGACGGTGTGGGTCGGTTGCCGCTAAAGGAGGGTCGTGAGGACTGTGGGGGCGACCCCAGGTTCCTGGGCAGGGCTGAGCCTGAGCTTGGGGTTCCACTGGTGTAACTGCTGTTGTAGTTGTAGCTGTGGTTGTGGTTGTGGTTGTGGTTGTAGTTGTTGTTGCTGCTATTTCGGCCGAGGTTCTGAAGACTCTTGATACTGTTGCTATAGTGAAGATGACCATTGCTGGTGGTGGACGAGTGCTTGTTGCTGCTCAGACTCGAGTGCTTGGGATTGGGATTGGGATTGGGATTGGAGTTGACGCCGACACTGACACGAGTGAGACCCGAGGAAGTGGAGCTGGTGCTCTCGCGCGGGGTGGCGGTGTTGATATGGTTGAGGCCAGAGGACATCTCGAAGAGAGGGGAAAAGGACAGTCGAAGGGAAGATGTGGGGGGGAGGGGAGGAAGAAGAAGCGGCGGTTGGTCGAGGTCGGTTGGTGGGGAAAGGGAGGGATCTAGAGAAGAAGAAGAAGAAGAAGAAGGGGAGGAAGAAGAGGAGGATAGCATGTTATGATTATGTTGTTGGTGGCAATGAAGTAAGTGGGTGTTTAGTGAGGTAGTGGTTTGATTGTGATTAGATCGACAGCAAGCAAATAGAGGAAGAGGAGGGAGGAAATAAGGAAAAGAGAGAAAGAGAGAAGGAAGGAAGCAATAAAAAGAAGGAAGGTGAGAGGCAGAGGTGGAGAAGAGAGAGAGAAGGGAGAGAGAGAGAGTGCGTCTCCGTATATGTGTATATATGTGTGTATGTGTGTGTACTGAGAAGAGGAGAGTTGTTGACAGTTGCGAGGCAGTTGGAAGGGGAGGGGCGAGGGCAGGATTAGATAAGATAGATAGATAGAGATGGTTAGTACCTTCGTAGTCAAAGCGTATGGGTGAAGAAGAAGGAGGAGCAGAAGAGGAAGAAGAAGAAGAAGGAGAAGAAGGGGGGAATGGGCGGCAGGGTGCGAAATGAGGAATGGGATGTGTGAGGGGGGAAGAGGGAGGATGAAAGGGAGGACAGAGTCGACGTCCATTTCCCTGGGCATGAAGGACGGAGGGGGACCCTGACCGTCTTTCAACCGCTCCTTGGCTGAGTAAAGAAAGACAAACAAACACCCTCGGCGAGACGCGTTCTTCGCCTTCTCATCCTCCTCCTTCTCTTCTCGTCCAATCACGCCCAGAGCAATATTTATAATATTTATTACGATTACGCATGGGTCTAAACGCTGTTGCGGGTGCATGCTGCTGGCTGTGGTGCGATCGAGCGGACAAGGGCAAAGCGCATGCGCACTGATCCACCCCCACCATTCTCCCCCCCCTTCCCTCGCTTGCGACTGCATGCTACTTACCATGGACTTGTTTCTTCACACCCGCATATGATATGATGGACAGGCACCTGTTCCCCCCCCCGCACTAGCTTATCTCCTCCTCCTCCTCTTCTTCTTGCTCCCTTCCTTTCCCTTTCACTCTTTCCTCCTCCTTACCTCTCTCATCAGCTCATCTCCCTCGTTCCTCATTCAGAATCGAAATGAAGGACACTGCTGCCTCAGAGGATCCCTCCGCACAGTCCTCGCGGCTTCGCAGTCTCGTCCGCACTGCTCTCCTGGTTCTGCTCTCCGCCGTGGCTGTCCAATGGACGCTCTTCCCTTCCTCCAGGACCACCTATCTCTGGTCCAACATCAAGAACATCCACCGGCCCATCCAGTACCATGGCCAGGGCATCTCCTCAAGCTTCTTTGAGGGCTGGTACTTTAAGCTTGTCAAGCCAGGCAAATCTGAAACGGACCCAGTCCTCGGTATGGCCGTCATCCCTGGCATCTACAGGCCCCCTCCAGGGGATGCGAGCCACGGCAGGGCCCATGCCTTCGTCATCCTTCTCGGACTGCCTGGCTCTCACAACTCGGCCTACTATCGATTCCACACAGAGGACTTTGTCGACCTCGGAGGGCGAAGCCCAGGAGAGGAGGGCGCATTCCGTATCAAGATTGGCAAAAGCGTGTTTGCGCATGATGAGATTATCCTTAACCTCCCCGCAGAGAACTTTGACCACATCCCTGCAAGCGAGCTCGAAACCTTTTATACCGAGGCCAGCCATCAATACCAGACCCAGTACTTGGTCTCCACTCAGTCTCCAGATGAACAGATCTCTCAGGCATTCTTCCGAAAACAGTTCCCGAGCTCTGACCAGCTGAGGCAGCAGGAGCAACAGGGGCCCTTCGCAGTCCAGGGTCATTTCCTGTTTCCCGCCAAGACACAGACACCTCTGCCAACATCGCTTCTGACCCCTTCCATCATGGGCTTCACCGCATATATACCGTTTCTCGAGTGCAACCACGGGGTCGCATCTCTGCACCATTCCATTCAAAAGGGCCGTATCGCCACTTTGTCTGCAGACAACTCGACCCAAGCAGAGGCCACATTCGATGGGGGCGTTGGGTACACGGAAAAGGACTGGGGTATCAACTTTCCTTCAACTTGGATCTGGGCTCAAGCCAACATCTTCAAAGAGTCGCCTGGGTCTTCCTTGCTGGTAAAGGAAATACAAGACCGAGATGAACTTTACGCGTACACGCATGGATGCAACACCAAAAGCCCGTTCTGACACGGTATATCTATCTCTTCTAATTTACTCTGCTGTAGGTCTCTGCGGCATCAGTACCAGTCCTGGGGCCAGAGGTCACCGACTGGGTCAACACCTATTTGAAAGTGGCATCTCCACTGACGACTGCCCCAGGCATGTTATTTGTTTACTACCACGCGGCCACCAAGACCCTTTACAACTTCTCGTCCTACATACTCTCTGCCAAGGTCAAAAGTCTCAAGGTGACCTTCGATACCCGTCAGCTATCGCAGACAGTTTCCTTGCATGCGACAACCAAGGACCCCAAGAATGCCCACAACACTGTGGCGATACAAGTCAATGTCACAAGAGCAATAGGTACCGGCGTGCCCCTGCGAGCTCCCAGTCGGCTCAAGGGTAGGATGTTCACTGCCGTTGAGGAGACGGTAGTGGCGCACACGCAGGTCAAGCTATGGCACGTCCATTCAGGCGAAGTCATCGTCGAGGATGTTGGACTGGGCAGTGGACTTGAGGTCGTCGGCGATATCCAATGGCTACAAACTAAGTTTCGCCATCCTTGAGGCTGACAATTGCAGTATCTAAGTGTAGATCTAGATCACCATAAGGACCTGGAGCATATTATAGACAAAACTTCCTCCAATAAAAAGAAAGCTCTGGTCCCCGACGACCCGCCATAATCTCCGACTGGATTTTGACGGGCTTGCGTTTTCTGTCTTCCTATTCCCCGCTGTTAAAGGCTGGTTGACCTTTTGAATTGACCTTTGGGCAGTCCCTGGTGCCGTTAAGGGAGAGATGCTCTATGCATGAATGGTGCTTTGATACTTTATGCATGCTTACAGCTCGATAGTCTACAGAGTATGTGCGTTCTCTTGTCTTTCAATATCGACCCACGAAGGTTCCGCATCCAAGGTCCCGCTGCCAGAAAGACCCAGCACTCACGTTCGCCCTTTTCTTTCTTTTTCCTTTTTCCTTATTTTTTTTTCAGGTCCCGATGGTTTGAACTCGGGTGAGTGGTGACTGCAACCTGAAGAAAAAAAAAAAAGAAAAGCAACGCAAAACAGACGACGCCACCGTGTCTGCCCTTTTTGAGTTTTAAACTCCTCCCAGGAAGAGGATAAAAGGGCGCGTCGTTGGTCTCGTTTGCTCTTTTTCTTTTCTTTCTTCTTCTTTCTGTTATGTTAACCCTTCACGCGACTCCCTCCCAACCCCCCTGCCGGCGAGGACCCTTCCCATTGACATCCACAGAAAACTCATTCACATTGCATACTCCCATTTCTCCCCTTGTATTTTCATTGTATTTTATCGCATAGCATTTCCTCTTACCCCACATTTCTTTTCCCATAATGCCTTCTCAGTCCCGTCCGTCGTCTTCGGCTTCTTCCCAGGCTCAGGCCCAGGTCGTCAACCCCCTGCCTCATCCTCCTGTCACTGCTTCTCCTTGTGACCAGGCCGAGGTTTCCACAGTAGCAACACTTGTGCTCCAAGATGGCACTTCCTACCAGGGTATCTCCTTCGGTGCAGAGACCAAGAGCATTGCCGGAGAGTGCGTCTTCCAGACAGGTAAGCTTTCCTTCGTCTTTGTTGTTTGATCGACTGGACGTCAACATCCTCACATCCTCACATTCTCACGATTCAAATTGCATAATTGACGATGGAAACTGATGTCCATTTAGGCATGGTCGGATACCCCGAGTCCTTGACCGATCCTTCGTACAGAGGCCAGATCTTGGTGATCACCTTCCCCCTGGTCGGTAACTATGGTGTGCCCTCGCGCGAGACCATGGATCCCCTCCTCAAGGACCTGCCCAAGTACTTTGAGTCGAACGAGATCCACATTGCTGGTCTGATCGTTGGCCAGTACTCGCAGGACTATTCCCACTACCTGGCCGCGTCCTCGCTCGGAGCCTGGCTCAAGGAGTACAACATCCCTGCCATCTACGGCATCGATACCAGGGCCATGACCAAGAAGATCCGGTCCCAGGGAGTGATGCTTGGAAAGATCCTGTTCCCTACCTCTGTCGTCGGACCCACAGTTGTCCCTGCTGAAGCCCAGTGGATGAACGAGTACCAGAATGTGGATTGGATCGATCCCAATGCACGCAATCTCGTTGTTGAAGGTGTGTTTTGTTATTCAGGGCTTGGATTGATTGTTCAATGCTCTCTGGGCGCAGCTGCATCAGCAATGCTGACCGCTACATATGATGTGTTCTTTTTGTCTCGGTAGTTTCCCTGAAGGAACCCAAGATCTACGCACCCGAGCCCTCTACAGCGCTGTTGGGACCCGATGGAAAGGCGCTGCGCATTGTCGCTGTCGATGTGGGAATGGTATGGGTTCTTTGATCTGACACTGGACTGCTCAACGCTGTGAAGGGACTCTGGGATGCGGTATCTAACCAGCGTGTGTTTTGGTATTGCTTTGTCGAAAACAACAACAACAACAGAAATACAACCAGATCCGCTGCTTTGTTACTCGCGGTGTCGAGGTCAAGGTCGTTCCCTGGGACTACGACTTCAATGGCGATACGGACTATGACGGTCTCTTCATTTCCAACGGCCCTGGTGATCCCATCATGAACACGGTCACCATTGCCAACCTGGCCAAGGCTATTCAGATCGCACGGACCCCCATCTTTGGTATCTGCTTGGGCCACCAGCTCTTGGCTCTTGCGTCGGGGGCCACGACCAAGAAGATGAAGTTTGGTAACCGTGGACACAACATTCCCTGCACAGACATGATCTCTGGACGCTGCTATATCTCATCGCAGGTAAACTAAGAGGACACAGAGCAGCAGCATGATCGAATGATGACGATGGTGCAAGGATGGAAAAGGAAACAAAGTTATTGACAGCAGCACTTGCTTTTGACAAAAAAAATATAACAACAATAATAGAACCACGGATATGCTGTTGATGCCAACTCGCTTCCAGAGACGTTCATGGAGCTATTTGTGAACGCCAACGACGGATCCAACGAGGGTATTATGCACAAGACTCTGCCGATTTTCTCGGTCCAGTTCCACCCCGAGTCGACGCCCGGCCCCCGCGACACGGAGTTCTTGTTCGACGTCTTTATCAGCTCTGTGAGCGAGTTTAGAAAGACGGGCACATTGAAGGCCATCACGATGCCCGGAGGCACCAAGGAGGCGGCGGCGGCGCTCAACCCTCGGGTCAGCGTGCGCAAGGTCCTTGTTCTGGGCTCTGGTGGTCTGTCTATCGGCCAGGCTGGTGAATTCGACTACTCTGGGTCCCAGGCGATCAAGGCGTTGAAGGAGGAGGGGATCTACACGGTCTTGATCAACCCCAACATTGCCACGATCCAGACATCCAAGGGCCTTGCCGACAAGGTGTACTTCTTGCCTGTTACGCCTGAGTTTGTGCGCAAGGTGATTCTTCGGGAGAAGCCCGATGGCATCTATGTGACCTTTGGTGGTCAGACAGCCCTCAGCGTGGGTATCAAGATGAAGGACGAGTTTGCAGGACTCGGTGTGCGTGTGCTCGGAACACCTATTGAGACGATCATTGCCACAGAGGATCGTGAAGAGTTTGCTCAGCGCATGCTGTCGATCGGCGAGAAGATTGCTCAGGCACAGACGGCTGTCACTGTGCAGGAGGCGGTCGCAGCAGCGAACCAGATCGGGTATCCCGTCATTTGCCGTGCAGCCTACGCTCTTGGAGGTCTTGGATCCGGATTTGCCAACAACGACGAGGAGCTGGTGGAGCTTACGTCGCGCGCGTTTGCCACGTCGCCCCAGGTGTTGATTGAGCGGTCGATGAAGGGCTGGAAGGAGATTGAGTACGAGGTTGTGCGCGATTGCCGCGACAACTGCATCACTGTGTGCAACATGGAGAACTTTGACCCCCTCGGTATCCATACTGGCGACTCGATCGTTGTTGCACCCTCGCAGACGCTGTCGGACGAGGACTACAACATGCTCCGGACGACAGCTGTGAATGTCATTCGGCACCTGGGAGTGGTGGGAGAGTGCAACATCCAGTATGCGCTCAACCCGTTCTCGAAGGAGTACTGCATTATCGAGGTCAACGCCCGCCTGTCGCGTTCGTCCGCTCTTGCGAGTAAGGCGACGGGTTATCCCCTGGCGTTTGTTGCGGCCAAGCTTGGTCTGAACATTCCGTTGAACGAGATCTCCAACTCTGTCACGAAGGTCACCTGCGCGTGCTTTGAGCCCTCGCTCGACTATGTTGTTGTCAAGATGCCACGCTGGGACCTGAACAAGTTTGACCGGGTGTCCAAGTCGCTGTCGTCGTCGATGAAGTCTGTGGGAGAGGTGATGGCTATTGGTCGTACGTTTGAGGAGACGATCCAGAAGGCGATCCGAGCCATTGACCCCTCTCTGGTTGGATTTGCAGCCAAGGAGTCGTACGATGTGATTGAGGACGAGCTGACCAACCCCAGCGACCAGCGCGTGTTTGCGATTGCCAACGCCCTGAACCACGGATACTCTGTGGATCGCATCTGGGAGCTGACCAATATCGACAAGTGGTTCTTGAACAAGCTGCAGAACATTGTCCGACTGGACAAGACTCTGACCAAATATAGCGCCACCGATGTCCCGATCAACCTGGTGCGCTCTGCCAAGCAGCTCGGCTTCTCGGATCGGCAGATTGCCACGGCGATCTCGAGCAACGAGCTCTCTGTGCGCCGGATGAGAAGCGACGCAGGCATCACGCCGTTTGTGAAGCAGATCGACACTGTGGCAGCCGAGTTCCCGGCCTTTACCAACTACCTGTACATGACGTACAACGCAGTGGAGCACGACGTTACGTTTGAGGACAAGGGTGTGATGGTTCTTGGGTCGGGAGTCTACCGCATTGGTTCGTCTGTGGAGTTTGACTGGTGCGCAGTCCGAGCTATCCGCACTCTCCGCAGCCGTGGTGTCAAGACTGTGATGGTCAACTACAACCCGGAGACAGTCTCGACGGATTACGACGAGGCAGATCGTCTGTACTTTGAGAACATCAACCTGGAGCGCATCCTGGACATTTACGAGGTTGAGTCGTCGTCTGGAGTGGTGATTGCCATGGGTGGACAGACGCCCAACAACATTGCTCTGCCTCTGCACCGACAGGATGTCAAGATTCTGGGTACTTCGCCCGAGATGATCGACACTGCGGAGAACCGCTACAAGTTCTCACGCATGCTGGACCAGATCGATGTTGACCAGCCCCTGTGGAAGGAGCTGACGTCATTTGGGGAGGCAGGCGAGTTCTGTGAGAAGGTCGGCTACCCTGTGCTTGTCCGTCCGTCGTATGTGCTCTCTGGAGCAGCCATGAATGTTGTGTACTCTCCCGACGATCTTGCCAACTACCTCGGACAGGCGACTGCAGTCTCTCGCGACCACCCCGTTGTGATTTCCAAGTACATTGAGGACGCCAAGGAGATCGAGATGGATGCTATTGCGGTCAACGGAAAGATGGTGATGCACGTGATCTCTGAGCACGTCGAGAACGCCGGTGTGCACTCTGGAGATGCCACTCTGATCCTCCCTCCTCAGGACTTGGATCCGGAGACGATCCGAAAGATTGAGGTTGCGACAGCCAAGATTGGGCAGGCGCTGGATGTCACAGGATGTTACAATATCCAGTTCATTGCCAAGGACAACGAGATCAAGGTGATTGAGTGCAACCTGCGTGCGTCGCGGTCGATGCCATTTGTGTCCAAGGTTATGGAGGTGGATCTGATCGAGATGGCGACCAACGCCATGCTGGGTTTCCCAGTGGAGGCCTACCCCGAGTCGCCGATTCCCAAGAGTGGTTATGTCGGAATCAAGGTCCCACAGTTTTCGTTCTCGCGTCTTTCAGGAGCAGATCCGATTCTCGGTGTTGAGATGGCGTCGACTGGAGAGGTTGCGTGCTTTGGCAAGGACAAGTACGAAGCGTATATCAAGGCGTTGGTGTCGACGGGCTTTACTCTCCCCAAGAAGAACGTGCTGTTGTCGATTGGTTCGTTCAAGGAGAAGCTGGAGATGCTCCCTGCGGTCAAGAAACTGCGTTCGCTCGGCTACAATCTGTTTGCGACATCTGGTACAGCGGATTTCATGAACGAGCACGGTGTGCCGATCAAGTACCTGGAGGCACTTGAGGACGACAACGACAGCCAAAAGTCCGAGTACTCGCTGAACCAGCACTTGGCCAACAACTTGATTGATCTTTACATCAACCTGCCGTCCAAGAACCGCTACCGCCGGCCAGCCAGCTATGTGTCGAAGGGTTACCGCACCCGTCGTATGGCCGTTGATTTCTCGGTTCCACTGATTACGAACGTCAAGTGTGCGAAGCTGTTTGTTGAGGCCCTTGCGCGCCACAAGGGGTTTGAGATCGAGTCGGTGGACTTTAAGGCCAGCAACCGCACGGTGACGCTGCCTGGTCTTGTCAACATCCAGACCATTGTCCCAGGTATTTCGACAGCAGCCAGCAAGGACTTTGAGGTGGTGTCCAAGGCATCGATTGCGTCCGGATTCACGGTCATTGGAGCCATGGCGACGGGTTCGCCCAAGGGTGTGGAGGATAACGCGAGCTTGGCGATTGCGCTGACCAACACGCGCAACCACGCGCACTGCGACTACTTCCTGTCGATGAACGCCAATGCGGAGAACGCCAACAGTCTGCTGAAGGAGACTGCGGCCCTGTTCATTCCATTCTCTCCGATTGCTGGCCGTGCGATGGCCAACGTGTCTGAGGCGGCCAAGTACTTTAGCACATGGCCGGGCATCAGCCCTATTGTGACGGATGCCAAGGGCACAGATCTTGCTTCGATCCTTCTTTTGGCCAGCCTGCACAACCGGTCTGTCCATATCACTGGGGTGTCGAGCCGCGACGACATGGCGCTGATTGCGATGAGCAAGGACAAGGAGCTGCAGGTGACGTGCGACATTGAGGTGTATTCTCTGTTCTTGAACAGCGAGGAGACTGGGTCGAAGCTGCTTCCTTCCAAGGCTGACCAGGCCGCGTTCTGGAGCAGCCTCCACGTCTTTGACTGTTTCACTGTTGGAACTTTGCCCTACCGCCTTGCCGCGGAGAAGGGCACCGCTGTTGCGTCTGCTGGTGTCCAGGAGACGCTTTCCCTGCTGGTGGATGCTGCCAACAAGGGCCGTTTGACGATGGAGGACATTGTGGCGAAGCTGTACACGAACCCCCGCAAGATCTTCTCTCTCCCTGAGCAGAAGGACTCGTATGTGGAGATTGAGACTGACCGTGCCTGCATCCTTCCGGCGGGCTCGGGACCTTTTGCCGGCAAGGCGCTCTCAGGCACAGTCCATCGCGTGGTCCTCCACGGCGAGACTGCCTACCTGGACGGTGCCTGGTACACGACCGGCTCTGAGGGCGAGGATCTGTCAATCATGACTCAGACGATCACCAAGGCGATCAAGAAGATCACGATTCCGACGGCTGCTGCTGTCGCTGGCCAGGGTTCGATGCACTCGCCCCGTCTCGGACCCTCTGTGGAGATCCCAGTCCCCGGCACACCCACGACTCGCGCCATTGATGGTCGTCGAGGCAGCATTCAGATGGAGAGTGGGTCTGGTTTGACACCTGCTCATGCCCACAAGGAGACACTGCCCTCGTCGATCTCGCGGATCCTGAACAACTCGCCTTTCTCGCATCGTCACATCTTGTCATCGAAGCAGTTTGACCGCAACGAGCTCCACATGTTGTTCAGTCTCGCACACGAGATGCGCACGCAAGTTGAGCGCAACGGATCGATTGATTTGCTCCACGGCAAGGTGATGTGCTCGATGTTCTACGAGCCCTCGACGCGCACGTCGTGTTCGTTCGCAGCAGCGATGTCCCGGCTCGGTGGTACGGTCGTGAGCGCGGACGGATCATCGTCGTCGGTTGTCAAGGGCGAGACTTTGGCGGACACAGTCCGCACTCTTGCCTGCTACGGAGACCTGATTGTCCTCCGTCACCCTGATCCCGGCAGTGCCGCCACAGCAGCCAAGTTCTCGAAGGTGCCGGTCATCAATGCCGGGGACGGTATTGGTGAGCACCCTACGCAGGCGTTCTTGGATGTGTACACGATCCGTGAGGAGCTCGGAACTGTGAACGGTCTGACCATCACGCTGGTCGGAGATCTCAAGAACGGCCGCACGGTGCACTCGCTTGTCAAGTTGCTGGCGTACTACCATGTTACGCTGAACTTTGTGTCGCCCACATCGCTCCGGATGCCCGAGGAGGTGAAGGCCGAGTTGATGAAGGCCGGCATTGCGTTCAACGAGTACACGGATCTGAACGAGGTGATTGCAGAGTCCGATGTGGTATATGTGACGCGTGTGCAGAAGGAGCGGTTTGCGGATCTGGAGGAGTATGAGCGGGTGAAGAGCGCGTATGTGATCAACAATAAGATGATGAGCAAGGCCAAGACCCAGATGGTGGTGATGCACCCCCTGCCCCGTGTTACGGAGATTGAGCCCGAGGTCGACTTTGACCAGCGCGCGGCGTACTTCCGTCAAATGCGGTATGGTCTCTATGTCCGCATGGCTCTCCTCGCTTTGGTAAGTTTTTTTTTGTCGCGCTCTTTTGAATCCTTAAAGACAAGGTACATGTACCGCAAGTGCAGTACTGTTGCTAATTTTCGTTCGTGTCTTTCTCTTTTGCAACCACAGGTCCTTGGCAAGTCCTTGTAGATGATTCAGCACACCTCGGTTCAAAGACTCTGAATATGACCCTTTAGAAGATTTGTCATTATTTATCATCTCTTCACTTGTAATTATTACTCTTTTGCTTATTCGTTCTTTTATTTCTATTTGCTTTCATCGTTTTCTCTTTTTTGATTTCATTATTAAATCCTTCCCCTATACATTTTGGTACGGGCTCTTGACTATGAATGAATAGATCGTGCTTGTCATTTGGATCGTGAATAATTTCATCAATAATACCCCTCATCCTCGGTTGGTTTTCCCTGGAATCCTCGCCAATAAGTGCCGGCACCAAAATTTTTATCAAAAACTCGTCAAGCCGCAAATTCCATCAATTTGCTCAACCTGTCTATTTTAATTATCGCGTCTTCGCTTCCTGTAGTCAGAATACACGGGTTGAAAACTCCAAATGGCCATCATCATCGTGGTTCACGTTATGGTAACCGTCGGTGGTATCGTCTTCTAAATCATGGTTCCATAATGGGAAGTCGCTCGTGGTCGTAAGGGTCACGATGCTGATTGAGTTGGAAGATGATGCGCCAGCAGCATATCTCGGCCGTTTACATGCAAATTGTGCGGAGGAACAAAATTTTGCCAAAAAAAACTTTTGAATTGATTTCTTATTCTAAAAATACAAGGTCCTCCTCAAACATCGGTTTTGGGGAACAAAAAAAGTGTGGAATTTGTGGCTTGGTGAGTTTTTGAATCGAATTACTATTCTGAAACTATTGGTGCTGGCACTTATTGGCGAGGACTCTATCTGGATTATTATTATTTTTAATATGTTTTTCGTACTTCCTTTTCGTGAATAAAATATCATTCAAAGAATTTGCTCCGCATCTCAGAATCCTTCGGGTATCAAAGCTATTATGTATTACTTCCACGCTACAAACTACTTTCTTCATGACTAAATAAAATATATAATAAGAATAAGAATAGGAATAGTAAAAATAAGAACGCGCGGGTACCAGCCCCGGGTTAGGGGTGGGAGGGAGGATCACCAAAATGTCATCCTCCTCTTTTTTTTGTTTTTTTTTTTACGCCTTCGAAGCAGAGGGTGCATGTGTCTCGATCTTGCGATGCTCTTTAGCTTTGTTCTTATCCTTGGTATCGCTGGCGCCGGTACTGCTCTCGGGTAGGACAGGGGTAGAATTGTGACCGTTCGGGTTAGAACCGGACGTAGGACTTGTCAAAGACAATGTCGTAGGCGAGGTCGAGGTCGCGGCAGAGGCCGCGCCCGTGCCTGAGAAGTTGGCCTTGTCCCAGAGGAAGAAGTCCAGCCACCGGGTCTTTTTCTCCGTGTAGGGCTATTATTTCCGTCCGTAAAAATAAATAAATAATAATAATAATAATAAAAAATCAGAATGTTTGCTCACTTGCGTGTATGCCGTTAAGATATTAAAAAAAAAAAAAAAAAAGAGGGGCTGCCTTACCGGGTATCTCAGATCCAGTAACTTCTCCATACCCATGGTCTTGATTAGTGCGCTCCTTTCATGTGAGAACACATCAAACGACCTCTTTCCGTGATAATTTCCGATTCCCGAAGGTCCCGTTCCACCAAAGGGCAGATTCGATACAATAAAGTGCACCAACGCATCATTCACGACCACGCCTCCGGACCTCGTATGATCCAGAATATAATCAATCGCCTTCTTGTTCTTGCTGAACACATACAGCGCCAGGGGTTGGTCCATCGAATTCACATACTTGACTCCTTCCACCAACCGATCCACCACCATAATCGGCAGGATCGGCCCAAAGATCTCGCCCTCCATCAACTTGTCGCCCTTCTCCACCCCCATCACGAACGTTGGCGGGAAGAACCGGTCCTCTTCATCGATCTCCCCGCCGAGGACGATCTTTTGACCCTTGGTCTCGGAGAGGAGGCCGCGGAGTCGTCGGACGTGTGAGGCGTTGACGATCCGGCCGTAAGAGGATGAGGCCTGAACGGCGGAGCCGTAGAACTCTTGGATGGAGGCCTTGCAGGCTTCGAGGAGCTTGTCTTCGATCCCGCGTTCGACGATCACGTAGTCTGGGGCGATGCAGGTTTGACCACAGTTGAAGAATTTTCCCCAGCAGAGACGGCGTGCGGTGATCGCAATGTCGACATCACGAGCGATAAATGTCGGGCTAGTCAAGGAAAAAAGAAGAGCAAATCAGTCAAGAAGGTTGGTCAGTCAGTCAGCTGGTCACTTTGCCCTTCCTCCCCACACCTGGAGAGCCGTAGAAGTAGTCTCCATGTATTAATACACGACGCGAAGTTGCGACCAAGGAGTCGTGGCAAATAAAATTTGGGCTCAGTCGTTTGTTTTCTTTGGGCCTCGCTCGGTTTTTTTTTTGTGTTACACCAAAGAAAGAGTTGCAGTCTCCACAAATAAAATGCATTAACGAGCCGCGCGTAAGTCGTTCTTGGTCAGCAGTAATTAAAGAAACTCATGTCCTCCTGCAAACGCGTGGCAAAAAGGAAAAAAAATGTGGTCGTTAAGGCAAACAGAAAAAGAGAGGGGAGAAAGGAAGAAAATAACATCGCGTGCGTGTAGAGGAAGATCCAGAACGTTGGAATAAATGAGGTCAGCGTATTAAGAAAAGTGCCTCCGCTTTCCCCTCTCCTATTCAAAAGCAGATAGCCAGCTTTCGCCCCAAGGATAATGATATGGAGAAGAAGGGAAGAGTAGCATGTGAAGAGCAATTCTCTTTTCACACCCGAAACTCAAAACCGAAATTAGCTTTGTCATTTTGAGTAACCAAACTCTGAACCCGCTTTCTTGTTGTTGCTTGATGGTCCATCCAGTCTGGCCTTGTCTTCTTCTAAGTCTGGCTTCTTCAGGATCGCAATTTAACCTCGGCGTTGAGTGTGTAACACTGTAGCGAATTTTTCTCCAAGTCATTTAAAGCTTGGCGTATTCAAATGATTGAATCCAATGCAGCAGTGTGCATATGTGTGTGTTTGTGTGTGTGTGTGGAAGAGGAGTGTGTGTTGCTGCCCTTACCTCTTGCCTCCGAGCTCGAGTGTGACGGACGTGAGCTGCTTCGCCGCCGCCATCATAATAACTCTTCCGACCTGGCCACTGCCCGTAAAGAAGATATGATCGAACTTATGCTCCAACAACAGCGTTGTCTCCTCCGGTCCGCCGTTCACGATCCTATACGCCCGCTGATCCAAGTACATCGGCAAGAGCTTCGTCAACAACACGGCTGTGTGCGGTGCCACCTCTGAGGGTTTCAACAACACCGTGTTACCCGCCGCAATTGCGCCGACCGCCGGTGCTAACAACAAGTTGAGCGGATAGTTCCAGGCACCGATGATCAACACCATGCCCAGGGGATCCTTACGGATATGAACATTATCGAACTTGTTGACGATCGAGGTCTTGACGGACCGGTTGGCAGCCCATTTGTCGAGGTTTTTGATGGCATCGATGCATTCCTGTTTGAGGACACCGGATTCGCCGATCATGAGCTCCTGGGGAGATTTGTGGAGGTCATTGAAAACGGCTTCGCGGATCGCGGCGTCATTCTCGGCGAGGAGGTTGTAGAGGCCTCGGAGTTGTTGTTTACGGTACTCTAGGGGTTTGGTGAGGTTGGCACTAAACGTCGAGCGGAGGCCTTGGACGATCTGTGTGAGGAGAGGGGGTGTGAGATTTTTTTAATTCTATGTCTATAATAGGATATTTGCGATGACTAACGATGTTGCACCTTTGGGATCTCGCTCATGGGGGTGAATGTGAGCGACATGGTCGATGAGAGATGAGACGATGGAGGATGAATAAGTGAATGAGCGAATGAGAGTGGAGTGCAATGGAGTGATAGAAAGAGAAGAGAAAGAGTGGAGGAGAACAGAAAACTTTACGTTTTTCTAAGGCCGTAGGATTCTCATTCACGAGGACCGAAAACCTTAATTCCCTCCACTGTTAAAATATTATGAGCTTTATACGAGCTCCAGGTTGGCGCTTTTTTAGTAACCTGTAGAAAGCTACACCAGCTTCTATATACTCTATTCATTAGCTAAGCCCTGCTTGTCTCTCTTTCCGCTCCTTCCTCGGCTCGGAAGATCGCTTTGCTCACTGACTCGGTCATCAAAATATGCTCTCTAGCCAGCAGAAAAAAGTCCGTGTTTGTCTATTAACACACTGCAAATCCACATATCCACGAATGCAAAATTACGTGCAGCACGCATGGCGCATTTAGGATAGAGCTTCAATCATCTATCACAGTAATAAAGTAGATTCTCGGGATTCGTGCTCATGATACACCGTTACGCGACTTTCTATTACTGTAATATCTAACCAAATACAGTAAACTCAGTCTATTTCCTGCGCGTGCAGGGTCTCAAGCTATCCGTTCAAGGCCTACCATGGCCCTGAAAAGGAATGCCTCCTGGTCACTCTCCACGATGTCGTGCGAAAAATAAAAACGCCACTAATTTTGTGTAGCGCCACCAATTTTGTTTCCAAATGCTCCTTTTTACATCCAATGAGCATTGAGACCAATCGCGTCGGTTGTCACCCATACCTAGGTGTCTACTTTATCCTTCTATCCCTTCTCATCATGTAGCAGGAGAGCTCAAATGCTAGACTTTTTTTTTTTTTTTTTTTTTTTTTTTAATTCCTTCTCCATGGTCCTTTCAAAGTACCACTCCTCTATACGAACATGACGAACAACCATCTTGGATACCATAAAGCACGCGTACATCCAAGTATCCCAGCAGCGCGCACGATATTGTGACTACAGGCGCACGCTTCAACATTACCAAACGTAGTAAGGTGAACCAAAAGGTTGACCCGCTCATAATCGAAGCCTGCCACATTGTCACACCAGAGTGCCAAGCGCAGCATATTAGGGGAAAATAAAGAGCATCTCACGCTGTGGCAGTGTTTCTTTACGTCCGGATCTCGAGATAACGAATTGAGCCAGGTCGAGACCCATTCCACAGTTTCTATAGCATTCTATAGCAACCCCCCTCCCTCCCTCTCTCTCTCTAGCATATGATGGGAGGAATGGCTGGTCGGAGGCGTAGGACTTCAGAAAACGGGGTGATGGTCATGGAAAATTGCTAAGCCCAGGCTAAGAGGGACAAGATTGCACGGGAAGACACGGACGAGGCTGAGAACAAGCGTTTTTAGTTATTTTTCCCCCATCAACGCTGTGTGTGTCGACGGATATGGGAATGGACATCACCTAGACCCATTGGTCTCCCAGTTTGTGACCAGGCACAAAAAGAGGGAGGGGAAAAAACCAGGGGCACTGCCCGTTCTCTCAGGAACGCATATAAAAACCATACATCCATCTTCGCGTCTTCCCTCTTTTTCTTCTTTTCCGTCCCACCAACCCTCCTTCAATTTCTCTCTCTACCTTTCATCCGGCCTTGACTCTCTTTCCATCCGCCAAACCTAATAATCAGATACAGTATACACCACCATGGCCAAGAAGACAAAGTCCAGCAAAAAGATTTCAAAGGAAGCCCTGGTCCAGATTGCGGCCGCACAGGCCCAGCACAACAAGACTCTGCAGCTGCCCTCAGTTACCCTAGTGGCAACCTCGGCCATGGTTGCCGCTCGCGAGGCATGTGCTGCCAAGGTCGATGCCATTGTCGAGGAATGTCTGGCCAAGAACTGCAAGTTCCGCGATTCCAAATTCGATCTGTTGAACGACCGTCGCAACTGCCTATACGCGTCCTTGATCAGCGAGACCGTCTACAAGGATATTGCAGGAACCAAGCGTCTGCCAGATCTTTTCAGGAACCCAGTGTTCTTCTTGAACGGCGCCAGTCCTGATGATATTAAACAGGTACTTACTCAGATGGGAAAAAAAAAGAGACGTGGGAGACGAATGCACTGCCTTTTGTTCTTTCCTGTTTTTCTAAACTCAGATCATGTGTTCAATCCACGGATGTTTTTTTTTTAGGGCTCTGTGGGCGACTGCTGGTTTGTGGCCTCGCTGGCCGTCCTCTCCAACATCCCAGGACTGTTACAGCAGCTCTGCGTCAAGAAGAACGAGCAGGTGGGCGTGTACGGCTTCATCTTCTTCAAGGATGGCGACTGGGTGTCGACCGTGGTTGATGACCAGCTTTTCTACAAGATCGAACCGCAGTCGTTCCGTCGACAGCTTTACTTCAGCTCCTGCAACGAAGAACGCGAGTCGTGGTTGCCTCTCATTGAGAAGGCATATGCCAAGATCCATGGCGATTACGAGACCCTGACAGGAGGATACACCGCAGAGGGGATTGAAGATTTGACTGGAGGAGTCGCCTCCATGATGTTTACCGGCGATATCTTGGACAGAGACCGATTCTGGGAGGAGGAGATGAAGCAAGTCAACAAGGCAACTCTGATGGGATGCTCAATTAACTTTCAGGAGGAGGATCCCGAGAAGCATGGTATCCAGTCTGGACATGCTTACAGTGTCTTGCAAGTGGCCGAGTACAATGGTGAACGCCTCGTTCATGTGAGTAGCGATCTCTTATCGCGCTGCTGTCTGCTTGTGCTGCAAGCTGCGACCATTGTATATTAATGTGTATCATTCGCTCCTTTGGAAAACTATAGATCCGCAACCCATGGGGCGAGGTCGAATGGAATGGAGACTGGTCTGATCAATCTGAAAAATGGTCTCCGGAGGCCATGGAGGCCCTCAAGCAGGAGGATAAGAATGACGGTCGCTTCTGGATGCCATACCGCGATTTCTTGCGCATCTTCACAACCCTCGACCGCTGTCGCGTCTTTGATGCATCCTGGTCTGTGGCTTCGAGTTGGATCCCATACAATGTCGAACCCCGCTCAAGCGGCAAGTTCCACTTCACCTTGAACCAGGCCAGCAACACGGTCATTGTCCTCTCTCAGCCAGACACACGCTACTATGGCTCCTTTAACACCGAGTTCATCAATACGCTGTCGTTCCACGTATACGACAAGGACGAGAAGCTGATTCGACGCGCCAGGATCACTGTCCCCTACTCGACGCGCAGTGTCAATTGTGAGCTGGAGCTCGAGGCTGGAACTTACACCATTATCCCCCACGTCCAACGCGAGCCCACTGATATCGTGCCAGAAACCTCAGAAGGTGATAGCGGCGATAATGCCGTGAGTCCCTCAACACGCAATGATGATGTCCAGGTCCTGATCGAGTCTGTGAAGATGGATAAGAGCTCGTACATGTTCCAGCAGCGTAAAGCAAGTCTTATTCGATCCATGTCAATGGCTCGCATGACTGGTCGTAAGTTACTGGGTGTCGATGATGAGGACTATGAGGCCGATGCTCTGCCCACTTCGTTCGAGGAGGAGCGCTGGCAGGTGATGCTGGGCCTTCGTGTGTACAGCCACGACCGGAAGTTGACATTGACGGGATCGGCTGGTACACATCCGTTGTTGAAGGCTGCTCAGGAGACCGATGCCTTGGACACGGAGGAGAAGGAAGATCCTGAGGGCGTTACAGCGACATTGGCGGACAAGAAAGACTTGGTCGCCGACCCCGAGAAGACGACCGAGAGCGAACTGGCGCCTGCCAAGGAAGAGTAGAAGCCAGTCTCACGCATGAGTCTCGTGTACAGAATCCGCTATATATCATCAGAAATAAACCCAACCTCACTATAGTGCCGCGCTTAGATATCTATTAAAACCTTGTAAATCTGCTAAGGCCTAACGCTCCTTTTGTGATGCCCCAGGGCAACACTAGACTAATCGGACAGTGGAAAATTCACCACAGGAATGCTCTTTTCTTTTTTTCCGTAATATTTTTCCACATGGACGTATCCAAAATAGAGCCAGCGGGAGAAATGACAAAGCAGATGGGGCAATTTAAACATTAGGATAATCTCCACCTTCTGTCCTACAGGCATTAAAAAAGACTAGGCATGTTCTCATCGCTCGGTCCCTAAGCGCCTCAGGTATGTTTTCTTTCCTCTTCCTGTAAACATAATGTTTCAGGCATGTACTGAAGTCGCTCGTTGTCTTTTTTTTTTTAACTTTGAGAGAAGTATCGTGGACGCATGCCGGCACAGATGGCTGTCATACAGCATTGCTAACTTTCACTGTATAATGGACCATCGAGGCACCCTATGACCGCAAAGACGGAGTGGTCCACACGCACAGCCTGATGGCGCCCAAGGATTTCCCTGACCATTGGTTATTTAATTTGCTGAAAGAGACTAGTCCTGCCCCAAACAGCCTCTGTCCCCAAATGTCCGACAAGAGCTCATGATGTGGGTCAGAATAGCTCGCCCCTGGCGGTTGCATCGGAGGTTTAGCCCGTTCCCCGGTCCTCTATGTCTAATATGGTACGGGTGCTCAGTAGTTCCCTTCATGAAATGGGTGCAATAATGAAAGGCATGATTAGAAGGGCTCTGATTTTGCTCATCGGTTTACCCTCTCTGTTCGCTGATTGTGTGGTTCACAAAAGGCGGCGGCCTAACAAGGGTTACTTTGTTCAAATGCAGGCTCTCATGCCATGACACTCATTCCCCAATAGGCTGGTTAAACTCGGGGTCCTTGGGCCCTATATAACCAGGCACACTTCTTCCTCGTTCCCTGCTGGCATCCTTACTTCTTCTCTTTCATTCCTCCTTCGCCCTCTTCAGTATCTACTGCTGCGTCTCATCTGGCTTCATTCGCGACACTCTATAAAACCATACAATAATGAAGACCACTGCATTTGCCAGCAGCATCCTGCTGGGAACTAGCATGCTCCTTTCGCTGCTCACCCCTTCCTCGGCTCATATGGCCATCTCCAACCCTCCTGCCCAGGCTGGTCCCTGGTCTAGCCACCCTTCAAGCAATGTCCATGCTTGGATTGGCTATGAGGGCAAGAAGTTCCCATGCGGTAAGCAGGGGGGTTTTTTTTTATTAATTTCAAAGCACACGTCGTTCGCTTTACCAACCCATCGTGTACTCATTCATACTCTCCATTGTAAATCACATAGGCGGCTACAAGAAGGGCCCTGTCACAACATACAAGGCCGGTCAGGTCATCCCCGTCCGATTCTGGAACTTCAACATCAAGAACCCCAAGAAGTTCCCTCCACCCAGTGGACTCAAGCAGTCGCGCCATGGTGGCGGTGCCTGCGAGTTCTCGCTCTCGTACGATGGCGGCAAGACCTGGAAGGTCATCGGCCAATACACCAAGTCGTGCCCGGACATCTACTACGAGTGGCCAGTGTTGATCCCCAAAAACGTGCCTTCGTGCACGAACTCGGACAAGTGCCTGTTCGCGTTCTCATGGACGGCGTATGCGACCGACCAGTTCTACCATCACTGCGCGAACGTGATTATCAAGGGCGCAAAGAATGGCAAGTTGCCACAGTTGGATATGACGGTTGTGGATGTGAAGCAGAAGAAGCAGAAGATCAACACGCATGCGACCGGTGATGGCAAGAAAACCAAGGCTAAGGGACCGGATAAAAATGAGGTCAAGTTGAACAAGGGTGGATACTTTGCCTATGGAGGTGGAGCCGGCAAGAAGGGTATCAACCTTGGTCTTGTCCGCCGCTAGAACACGTACATAGACAAACGCGTTCGATATCTGCACCAAAATAAACGATTGATGCAAAAGCACGACCATGCGCATGTATTTGGACGAAAAAAAAAAAAAAAAAAGATGCGTGTGAGGAGCTCGGCCCTGGTTCATCCATGACCAGTAGGGATAAAGCACCGAAACTTTATCGGTCTCACCGACGGAGAGACGAACGGAACGGACACTCCTCCTTCAGTTCCATTCCATCTCTGCTCCTACATCTCATCGCTCTCCATCAGCTCCCACAAGGCTGCAGAGGAACGGCATCACCCCTTTCTCATCCGACGCCATGGCATTCCAGCCCGCCTCTGCCCACCTCCCCACCAGGGTGGTATCCACCGGAGCAACCACTACGGCCGTCGTTTCCCAGAATCTCCTCCGGGCCACTGCACGCTCCAAAACCAGCCTCACCCAGATCGACTCCCTCCGCGCCTCCTATCCACTCAAGCTCCTCTCCCCGGCGTCTGACAACACCATTTTTCTCGCTTCCCCAACAACCAATGCCTCCTCCGACTATACTGACTCATCATCACCTATCACAAGACCTCCTCTACCCCCGCCTCCCCGAATCGTCTACATGATCACCTATGGCGGCGGCCTTCTCGCGGACGACCATCCAGATCTTCAATTCATCCTCCAACGACACGCTCGTCTCCTCGTCTTGGGACAGGGCAATACCAAGATTTACAAGTCTCCTCGGCCAGATTATCCGCCCGCATCGCAGACCCTCCATAGCACAGTCGGACCGGGTTCATTGTTCCTCTTCTTAGGACCCGCGGTCGTGGCATGCGAGGATTCGAGTGTCTTTCTGAGACACGAGATCTTGTTACAGGCACAGCGATGTAGGATCGAAGGGAAGGCTCAGGATCAAGAACATGATGAGGATGATGAATTGCCGAGTTGTGTGGTGTTGGATTGGATCGCGGGTGGACGTGGTAAGGAGGAGCGATGGAAGGCGAACCGGTCAGAGTGGCGGCTGATCGTTCGATGGGCGGAGCTGGAGCCAAATTCGACAGCATCGCTGCAGCCGAACCCCGATTCGATCACAGATGTGAAGCAGCAGAATGTAAAAGGAGAAGAAAAAGAGGAAGACGAGGAAGAGGAGTACGTTGATGAGGAAGATCCTCGGGATATCGCCGATCGACTGGCGGGAGGCCCTGTCGTTTTCCGCGATGGCTTCCTGATCGAGCACAACCCATCCTTGCCATCCAAGCCCTTCGTCTCGGCATCGTCAGCAACGTCAGCATCAGCATCAGGATCGGCCCCACCAGGTCCAAAAATGACATCCTACGCTCCATCCCTCTACCCGCACTCGACCATTGGCTCTTTATTTATCATGGGTCCCAAAACCGCACGTCTCCAACGATCTATTCTCCGCCGTTTCGAACAACTCACTGTCTACCCGGGTCAGAAACCTGACCAGCGCGCTGACTACCCTATCCTCTGGAGTGTTACGGTCGTCCAGGTGCCTCGCCCTGCTGGACCGAATCAGGGGCCACCTTCGCCTGGGTCTTCAAAGAAGGGCTCAGTGCCGCGGAGGAAATTGGAGAAGATGAACGCGATGGTGGTCAAGATGGCTTCGCAGGGAAATGAGCAGATGCAGGATTTCATAAAGTCGTTGTTTGAAGAGCAGGCTGCAGAGATGGATAATCGGAAGAAGATGATGGATAGTGACGACGAAGACGATCACGATCGTGCTCATGATCGACGTGGTGCCAAAAACGGCATGAGCGGGTTAGACAACCGACCAGAGGAAGAGCTATCGGTCATCGAAGAGCTGTTTGGTGGAAGGACTGTCTGGGAACGCGTATTCCGATAGATATCCTCATTACATTAAACATGCGTTCTCCTGTATGCCTCCGCATATGAGCTTTCAATAAACGAGCTCTGCAATTTCGTCCGAACTTTCCTTGCTGTGTTTTGTAGGACTTTTGCGCGCCTTCACTCAGTTAGGCAAGAAGTGCGACCCTGGCGAGAGTACTATGGATCAAAGGAAGCAAGTTATGGGATTGACGAGGCTACAATAATATCAAACGATCCTGATACCATGGGATGATAGGAGCTTATGGTCGAGAGGATTAGAAAGCACTCAAAGGCTGAACAATGGGCGTGTTGGTCACGACGACCACTGGAAATAAAAAGCATCCGACGCTTTTCCAGGCGTCTCATCACTACTTCCAATGTCCTTTCACCATATCAAAACGATTGAACGATCTTAAGCACTTTGTGTTGTAGTATATTTCAAGTTTTTTGCACAAGGAGAGAAAAAGGACAATATGGTACTATCGATGGGCAAAAGTGTAAGGCGAAAGGGAGAGAAAAGAGTCGAGAGAGAGAGACAGAAAATGAAAGGATGTATGTGCAATTTAGTGGGCATCATCGCGCTTGGAAATGTAGTCGACAGCCTGGGCAGCAGACTTGATCTCATCAGCATCCTTATCGGGGATCTCGATCGAGAACTCCTCCTCGATGGCCATGACGACCTCGACAGTGTCCAAAGAGTCCAGCTTCAAATCGTTGTTGAAGTTGGCCTGGAGAGAGACCTATTTTATCGATAAAATCCGAAAGGGATTGAGGCGTTAGAGAAGTGTGCTGCGCAGAAAGGAGTCTTTTCGGGATCAAGTGTGAGGATGGGCAAGTAATTGATCAAGTGTAATAGCGACTCGGCCGTCTTGAGTGCGATACATCGAAGTGAATGCCCATTGAAGAGGTCCTTTTTTAATGCTGTTGATAATCCTGGGAAATGTTTCTGGCTGTGTTGCCACGGCCTTGTTATTGTAAACAACCGAGTGAAAGATCAACTGTGCGTCTTGTCGAGTCCAACAACGTGCGATCTGTGTCCTCCGACCAAAGTCTTCCAAGTGGGTGTCCGCACTGCTTCCTGTCAAATCGTTTGCAATCCAGCCTTAGGTGTGCGTGTGCGTATATGCGTCTGTCTAATCACAGTCGTGATTTTGTTGTTTTTCCGAGGATCAGTGATGGATCGCGTCGGCCTCTGTGTCCTTGCAGATCGCACCATCGTCAACGGCAAATAAAAGAATCCAATCGAGCGTGGTAGTTATGACTGATTCCATTACCTTGTTCTGGTCGATCTTGTTGAATCCGGACAAGATATCCAAGACACGCTTCTCAATGTCGGAGCGGGCAAGACCGGCCGAGGCATAAGAGCGAGCAAAGTTCAGGGCCATGGCGCTGCGGGGAAGGGCGGCGACAGCGGGGGCCTTGTAGAGGACCGCGGAGCGGTAAAGGGCAGCAGAGGGGCGGATAGCTCTGAACATGGTGCGTATTCTATGGATATGAGGGGGACAAAGGAAGAAAGAAGAAGAGTGATGGAATCTTCGGTGCTGCGTTGTTTGTGTGAACACTCTTCGGAGGGAGTGGGGTTGAGTTACTTTTTCTTATGCGGATCAGGAAAAAAAAAATTGATGACGTAGACACTGCGGACAAACATTTGTTTGGAAATAGCGAAGCGTATCCAAGTAGACTATAAGTCCATTAAATATGGTGCAAGGAATGACAGTGAGGGTGTGAGAGGGGATTGACCATGGAGAGTTGTGTTAGGAGGAGGAAAAAAGAGAGGGCCTGTGGCCCTTTTTAAGAAGGAAAGGGTATGAACCAGTTCTTCCCAATCAATCCTCCCACCTATCCAACCTCCTCAGTTCCATTAATCACAATTTTGCGATATCCTTGGGCCTTTTTATGTTACCGTTCGCTACGCTTATTCCTCGCACCCTATGGACGATGCTCACCGCATTGTCGAGCGAGAGATACTGAAGCTTGGGGCCCAGACGAACTTGGTTCTTCACTTGGACGGCCTTCCTTCGGTCTAAAAAGAACCCACTCAAGTGCACCGAGAGAACCTTCGCAAGGAAGCTGTTGAACGCGTCGACAAATGTCTGCGCGAGCTTAAGGTTTGCATGGGTAAAGAGCTTCGCGTGCTGAAACACCAGTTCGTCGACATCAGAAAACACTTGAGCTCAGCCTTCTATTGGTCCCAAGAGTTATCGCCAGACGGCCCCACTAACGGACACGGAGCAGCCTTTCATGTCGTTCTCTGAGCGTGAGCTCGATATCTTGTTTTGGTAAAATGCTGCGTTGAAGAAAAAGCTCCATGAGTTAGTACTGATGGACTACGAGAGCAAGGACCGCAGGCTATACTCCTCAACCTGCGGCACTTTCATGCACCGCAATATTATGTCAGGGTACAACATTTGCACCGTCGTTCGCAGCCATTTACTCCATCAACAACGATCGCTCTATCTTCAGCCAGTAGATAAGGACGGACACTACCCTTGAATGCAAGATGCAAGACCGCACACAGAAGCCGAGAGCAGTAGCAGCAGTGCTAGCGCAGTGGAGCAAGGGTGAGGGCAAGGACGAGCTGGAGGATGCAAGCAAGCAGCCTCATCCTTGGAAGGGATGGAAACCCCTGGCGTCAAACAATGATAGACTATGTAGATATATATCTATGTCAGGAAGCACACTCTACAGTTCAGATGCAGTACTTTCTTGCAAGGATGCGTTCTGTGACGTATTTGAGCCTGAATTGTTCTGTACTCGAATGGGCAAAAAGGTCGTTCCTGATCATGTCTCTTCATCACCCCAACAAGGATCTGCAAGCCATACCTCGACTCGAAAGCGGCCCCCCATAAAACGAATATCAAAAATGTTTGCACGGAAAGGAATCGTTGCTGCGACTGTAGCCTCATCACGATCAGCTCACTTCTCCATTCTCAGGCATACTGATCAGTCGGCCGCTCTGTCGTTCCGGATAACCCGTCTCTTTTCCTCGTCCCCCGCCAGATCCGCCTCAGAATCTGCCCGTGTACCCCGCCCGATCCCTCTGGATATCGGCAATGGCCCTACCGCATCATCTGCATCCGCCATTACAGAAGCAGCGTCATTATCATCATCAACAGCAGAGGCAGCCGTCGCGGGATCAGCCAGGAGATCATATCGCAGCTCAAACAATGGATCCTTCTTTGGTCGATTCGGCGAACCCATCATCAACGTCCTTATCTACTCCACAGCGGCATCATTGGTCCTACACTTAATTTATCACCATTTGGCATTGGAGGAGTACAGGATCGCGTCGAATAAGAAGATTGCAGACCTGGAGGCAGAGATCGAAACCATCAAGAGTCGCAACGCCTCAAGTTCTGTACAACATTCATTAGGAGGGCGAGGAGAGTTCGTTTAATTAAACAACTTATGGAGAATGATGAAACGACATTCTTGATCAAGGCGGTGCACATTGTATCGGATAAATATTTGGGAATGGAGGAGGACGTTTTATATGCGCCAGTCGTGGTGCTGGGGATCATCGCGTACGCCGGTCAGCTGCAAAAAAAAAAAAAAAAAGCATTGCAATTCTGTTTTACTTTTATTTATTTTGAGATTTTGGGACGCGGGGCTGACAATACTCTATGCAGATGATTCCCCGCTATTATGAAGACTGGTATATAGAATAGATGATGCGAACTATGGTATTACATTTGACTGGGAAGCGCTTTGTTGTATAGTCATAAAAAAAAAGGTAGAAGAAAAACCTCTTAGTTCTGCTCGCCGAGACCCAAGAGCTCAGAGATCTTGTGGAAGATCTCGGTGTTGTCCTGGATACCAGCGAACAAGTGAGAGCCAGGGCCGGAGGCAAAGATGGGGACATCCTGGAGGGAGTGGACACCGACGGACTCAGTGGTGCCCAAGGTACCGCTCTTGGTGATGCCATGGGGGGCATCATCGGGGTTAGGCTCGTAGACCTGGTAGTGGTGGTGAGAGTTGGACTTGGGGACGGCAGGGACACGGGTGCCGTTGATGTTGACCTGGAAGTCCTCACGGTGGGCGGGGAAACCGGCGGTACCGGCAGCGAGGGTGTAGCGGACATCCCACTGATCAGGGAAGCCATCACCATCGGCATCGACGTACGAGGGCCAACCAGAGTTCTCATAGGTACCGACCGAGTTCTTCTTCTCGAGCTCCTCAGAGTCGGAGAAAGAGTTGAAGTACTGGGTGTCGACAGAACCGTAGACATCGAAGGAGTGGCCGTGGTCAGCGGTGACGAGGACCAAGGTATCCTTGTCGAGCTTGTTGCGCTTGAGCCACTCCTTGGTCTTACCGACGGACTTGTCCAACTCGAGGAGATCGGCCAAGGCGCGGTCGTAATCAAGGGGGTGCATCATCTTGTCGACGGAGGCAGCCTCGGCCATGAGGAACCAACCCTCCTTGCGGTGGCGCTTATCCAAGATCTCCAATCCCTTGATGACCATATCGTCCAAGTTGGGCTGGTTAAGAGCGGGGAGACCGTTACCGGTGGGGTCGGTGCCGTTCTTGTTCAAGTTGTTCTTGTAGACGTTGCGGTCCATCCAGACATCCATGTTGCTGGAGTGGAAGATTCCGAGCAAGGGGTCAGAGCCCTTGTAGTCGAGGAGACCCTTCTTGTCGTTGACGACCTTGTAGCCACGCTCCTTGGAATAGGCAGCATAGTAGTCAGTACCGTTGAGGGACTTGCCTCCAGCCTTGCTGTGGAAGTACTTTCCACCACCTCCGAGAATGACATCGGCAACAACGGGGTTGGCACCGTGAATCATCTGGTCGACAATGGTAGCCTTCTCATCACGGTTGCGAGTATGGGCGTAGACGGCAGCGGGGGTGGCATCCTGGACCTCAGCGGTGGTGACGATACCGACACCTCCGGCACCACCGTTCTTCTTGGAACGGCGACGCAAGAGCTCAGCAAGCAACTCCTGCTTAGGGTCATCGAAGGGGCTGGTGGACGAATCGGGGTAGACACCCAAGGCGCCAGCGGAGGACTTGTGGCCAGTGTTGTAGGCCGAGGCAGAGTTGGCAGAGTCGGTGATCAAAGAGTCCAAGGAGTGGGTCATGATGTGGCCGAGGACAGGGAACTGGTCGAGGTTGAGGTGCTTCTGGTACTTGCCGTTAATGTGGGGCTGGGAAATCAAGCGAGCGGCAGTGATCATAGCGGTGGTCATACCGTCACCAATGAACAAGACAACGTTCTTAGCCTTGCGCTTCTTGACGGGGTTGACGGTCCAGACGGCCTCGGTGGTCTTGCCGCTGTTGTACTTCAAGGTAACTTTGTAGGTGCCAGGTTCCTTGATCTGGACTCCGCGCCAAGCGGTCGAGGCGACGTGGACGGGGGTAGCGGCGGCCTTGTCGCCATCCTGACCCTTCCAGTAGGCAGCAGCATCCTTGTTGTAGGAGAAGTCCCAGGACTCAGGAGCGCTGGCCTTGATCTTGGACCACTTGGAGAAATCAACGGCCTTAGGACCGCCGTGCTTGTTGTCCTTGGGGTTGCCGCTGAGCTTTTGGATAGTCAAGGTGTAGTCGGTGTTGGGCTTGTCCTCGTTCTCGGCGTGGACCTCGACACGGACGTCAAAGTGGGCACCAGCAAGGAACTCAGCCCTGTTATCGGGAGCGGAATAAAATGAAAAATGCGCGTTTAGATTAATATATGCACTCATCTCTCAAGAACAGTTTACGCCTACTACACCACTGAAGTAGATTGTACACAGATATGGCTACTGAGTGGTGTGCAGGGGCACTGGCGCCAATGTTAATGCTAGTGGCGATGAGGATGGGCGCTTACCTATCTGGGGGGAAGACACATCCGAGGGTGGGGCAGGCACCGAGGCGCTTGAACTGACCAGCAGCGTCAAGGGCAGAGACAGCCGAGATGGCAGTAGCGATGGAAAGCAGAGCAAAGGAGACGATCTTGACCATTTTGATTATGAGAAGAGGGAAGGCGGATAAAGGGAAGGAGAAGAGAAACCGAAAGAAGCGGTTGAATGTATCGACAAAGAGTGTTAGGAGTTGGTGGACTGAAGAAAAGAAGGAAAAAAAATAGGAAAATAGGCAATGGAGCTGAACCATTTATAGTCCGGATCAAACTAAAGTATGTCGTCTGCTGTAATGCATGGGTAGCCATGGGCCATGGTGTAGCCAGAGGAATGAAGGCGAGCGTGCAAGGAACGCTACGTGGAACAGACCCGGGCTTGTTACTACCATGAGTATTTTAGCGCATTCAATTGCATCTCCACTGAGTGTGCACAAAGGAAAAAAAAAAAAACACAGTTGATGAGCGTATCCTCTGAACATGTGTATTATCACATCCACTGCTCCATTTCCTTCCTTCGTCTGTTCTCTGCTTATGGCGCCGGGTATGTGAAGAATCGAAGCGTATCTGATCTCAGCAAAGAAGAAGTATAGGTAGCCTGTACATGGCATTGGGATTCCGTATTCAGTCATTCGCCCGGAGAGGTCGTCCTAGCCTAGCCAATGACCGTGCGCCCCCATTCCCTTGTGCGCCTGCCAATGGCTTTGTCTGCACCATCCCCGGGTTCACCGAGGGTGCATGCCTTATCATCACACAACCTGATAGGGCCAAAATCCCAGGGTTCAACAACACTCGCTGAGCAGAGCCCTTCTCCAAAGAGCCAACTGCATAAAACTGGGAAGACGCTCTCGTTACTTTTTCGACTAACGAAACCATATTCGATCTACGCGTTCCGGTCTTTTACTGTCCAGATGGTACAATCCTGGAATTTCATTGGCTCGAAATACTATCCCACCACAACAAGGTGTCGATTGTTACTTTCAATCCCAGGAGAAGCATAGAACCAGGTCATATGTATACTCAGCAAATACCCGGTTATCAATCGTCGCGTTGATGCGTGAAAAGCACCTTTCCGTATACTCTGCCCATTCCGGGGTCATAACTAACGCCCTCCTTTCATGAAAAACGTGCAATAGACAGTCAATCTCATTCGCAAGGTTTAACCATGATCCGTCGTGCTGACGACCTTGAGTTGTTCTTTGACGGATCAAAAGCAAAACGTCATAGCGACAGTAACAGGAACTCAGAACACACCCGATGTATTTCATCTAGAAAGCCCACTTCCTCTCTTCCCTGCGCTCAAAAAAACTTCCTAGGAGCATCGCAAAACAAGAGGGCGGAGCGAGTGAAACGAGGCAACGTGCTTCTGTTCTTGACATCTGCAGTGTTACGCCCACCTGTCCAGCTCCTCGCGACCTTTTCGCTCTACGTAGATGTTATTTGGTTTGTTCTTCTATCCCTGTATCCCCACGCGCTGTCCCATTCATACAACGGCTATTCTTCTTTCTGATGTTGCTCACGACATCTATCCATAAAAACACCCCCAGTTTTCGGAGGGCTGACGGTGCCGGTTTCTGAAAGGCACGTCTTGTTTTTTTTTTACTATTTGCTCTTACTGTCTTTTGAACTGCGCCATACGGTAGAGAAAGCGAGGGCATGAGGTAAAAAGATAGGTTGTGAGAAATGGGTAAAGGAGAAAAAATTAGGTCTTTTGCAGCTTTTGACATTCCCGGGTACAATGGGGCTCTCTCGCGCATTACCTGTTCTTTTCCGTTCAGACACAAGAGTAGACTACTATACACGATGGTGTATGCATGTATCCCTTGAGCAATCCGGAAGATGCATGAACCCCTTTCCTCCCTCAAATCTATGTAGGAGGGAGGAGGACAAAGAACATTCACAACAACGGTCGGCATCGTTTGGCAAGGCTGTCTTTTGGAAAAGTTTGGTCCAAAAGAAATAGGGAAGACGTGTGGGAAGTATTGCACGTTCCATGTGGGCCTGTCGCGACTTGTTCGTAGCTGGATTTATCTTTAAACTAGCCTTCCTATTCTTGAATAAGATGGGCGCCGTGCTGCAGCCAAGGGGTGCCTCGTTGACGCGATCGCGAGTCGTGAATCGCCTCGAGGGAAAAAAAAAAAAAGGCCTGTCTGTCGGCACTACTGCCATTCCGCTTCTTTCTCTGTTCCTTCCTAAGAGGCAAGGCTCATTGCGGGCGGGGCTAGGAATGTTCATAAAACGGTCTTGTACCTCCCCGCGTGGGTAGGGATGCGTTCCAGAACCCCTTCATCCATTTCATACCCTTCACAGTGGAGTTTGAAGATTAATTGCAGTGCACCCAGACAAATGGTGCTTTACACATGTCTGTCGCGCTGTTTTCTTTGGCTGTTCTCCATTTTCTTGATTCCCAATAAGTTCGTGGTGGCACAAGCAACGGCTCCCAGGGCTTTGTTTCATTTCGATCGCTTCGTTGTCACCCAAGGCCATTACAATGTGAACGAACGGAGGGAGGATCGTTCACGATTGCAAAGGTCAAAAATAGTAAACGCGCATGCTCACCTCTTTGTTTTATGATTATTCCATGGAACCCTTCCAGGATGGTTACGGCGACCGGACTTATCGGGTCATCCATCTATCCAACCACCCACTGCATCGTCCAAAAGAGGTAGTGCCTGGCCTTCTGCCCTTCTGTTCACATGCTATAGCGAAGAATAGAGTTCCCATCCTGAATGCGCTCTCAAGGGCCAAATGAATGTATACGCCGCCACCCATGTTTGTTCTAAAAGCCTACGAACCTTTAGGGTCATGTATATAACACAATATGCAACCGTACGTTTATTCAAGCAGGTTTATTATTCATATCAAACGCGCTTCCTAACTGCTAACGCTCGTCCACTACTCCATTTCAAAACCTAAGTTACAATAAAGAATGCTTCAATTACAAACAGATAAGCAAACAGTCTATGTCGGGGGCATCGTCCATTCCTCCCTCAGCTTCGCCAGCCCCCACGCCGAGATCTCACACGACCCTACCACGATATTGCCCACAGATCCTCGCCGCCTTCCGAAATGCGACTGCTGGAGCCATCGCTGCGGTGGTTCGTCATCTGCTTGAATCGTTGCCACTCCTGGTCTCGGCGCCATCATCACCGGATGCTCCATCAGCTCGGGCAACAATATTGCAGTACCTTGGATCGCTGAGCCATCAACTTGATTTCCATTCGCCGCTAGCTGGTCCTGTACATCACGTTGATGCTGTAGCTGTATCTGGTGTAGCTGCTGAAGTTGCTGCTGGTGCTGAGGCGTAAACCAGGATTCGAGATGTAGACTTGCTGGGACTCCGACACGTCGTAGCGTGTTCTCAAGGATGTCGTGACGGCTTGAAAGGGGAAGCCTTGAACGAGGGTAGGAGTGGCGTCGGGGCTGACGTTGTTGAATTTCCTTCAAAGGGAGTGGTTCTGAAAGTAGCGATGAAAATGAGGAGGAAGAAGAAGAGGATGACGCAGTGGACGAGGCAGAGGATGTGGAAGAGGAGGAAGACACAGAGGAGGCTGACGATCGACGGCCGTATTGCTGTGATCCCTCCCCGTCCTCCTCTTGTGTAGACGCGACTCCCTGTCCTGGATACTGCTGCGGGTGTTGCGGGACCTGGTCATTGTTTTGGAAGGTAGCTGTTGGGCGATTCAGCAATGGACCCACATATCTTCCCAGCCCTGCACGGCTCGGTATCGTCTGTGGGATCGCATTGTCCACGAGCTGCTGCAAGTTCTGAATCAGAGCCGATGGTTGCAACAGATCCATTCCCGAGGCACCGTTCGTCGTTTGATGGAGGTGTCCAGATTCTTGCTGTTGCTCCTCATGCTGACAAGACTGAGCGGATGACGAAAGCGGGGATACTGCGCTCTCGACTGCACCACTGTCAGTTGATGAACCGTCCTGTAAATTCTCATTATCTGAAGAAGAGTTGATGGTGGTCACTGCCGGGTCCAAGATAGACTGGAGCGACTCGAACCATGACCTAGTCACGCCACCACCACAGAACGAGGCATCCAGCGTGCATAGATTTTTTAGCGACATCACCAGAGGAATGATCCCGCTCAGCGTCAGCCTGTGATTGTAGGACAAATCCAGGCGCCGAAGGTTCGGGAATAATCCACCAGGCGGCTTTCTCTCCTGGACGCCCTTTCCTTTCGAGTCTTCCAGGGTCAGTGATGCATATGGCGATGAGATATCATCGGGCTGCAGATGGCTTTTAGCCAGCTTTGTCAAACACGCGTCAGTCAGACCATGACATGCACTCAAATCCAGTTCCACCAACGATTGAGCACACTTTGCAGTTGCCAATTGAATCACCCCAGCATCGTCCAGTTGTGTCGCTCGCGGGATGCAGAGGACCGTTAAATTCGGACAAGCATTTAGGATAAGCGCCAGTGTCTCCGACCGAATGGCGTTCGCATTGTCCAGCCGCAAGCTCTTCAACCTTGGCCCGATTCTTCCCACCAGACAAACAACGTCGTCGTGAGTCAAATTGAAGGCATCAAAGACCGTGATCTCCTCCAGTGTCGTCGGTAGTGTTGGAAATAACCGTGTCGCCTTGCGAACTGGACCCGCATTGGCCATCGTGGATAGTGCTGTATTCTTAAGCGGAGGATACGTAAATGTCAAAGAGACCAACGACGATCCACAGCCGCCTGATCCGTCCAAGTCTGTCTCTTCCAGCTGCTTATCTGACAAGCACTCCGCGATCGCCAGCAGGCCCTTAAGCGTAATGCCATGGCATCCAGCAACACTCAGCTTTGTCAGTCGCGCATTCCTCGTCCTGGCCTTCGACGCCGGATCGAGCTGCACCATCCTTCCTGATGATTTGAGCAATGCCAGCAGTGCTCTATCCGTCACCCGATGACACTGTCCAATGTTGACCTTTTGCAGCCGCGTACAATGATATGCAAGTTCCTCGATCGCATCATCCGTGACTAATCCACACTCTTGCAACGACAGATCCTCAAGCTGGCTGCACAGCTGTGCAATAACTTGGACCGTCAGATTGGAGATGCGTCTGCATCCTGTCAAATTAATCCGTTTGAGATATGGCGAGGAAGCTGTGATGAGCTGGATGGCTCCCAAGTCTGTCAGTGCAGTGCAATGGTGTATCGACAGCGAGGTGAGGTGGGTTAATGACGAGATGGCAATAAGGTGACGATCGTTGATACAGGAAGGGAGATATGGGGACGGACGAGGCACTTGACAATTGCTGGTTCCTGCAAGTGAAAATGATCGGATGTATCCCTTTCCGGCGTACCCAGCAAGACCTAAGCAGCAGAAAAAAAACGATGCGCAGGGGCCAAGTTAGCGGAATGCGGATTTTTTTTTTGCTACTCCATATGCTCGGCTCGGCTGTTTAATGTGCCTTCATATCGCGCCATTCCATGATGGTGCCCCCTCCCAACCGACCACGCCGTGTGCTTGCATCGCTCGTCTTAATCGCATAGTGACACGACCCAATCTCTGTTTGGTCCCGTTTTTTTTAGGTTGTTTGTGGGGTAAGACAGTAAAGTTTGCTCTCCCGCAAGAGTCATGTGCTTATTTTGCTTGTACTCCACTCGCCCTGCTATTCGGACCATCTGTCCGGGCGTGGTTTCTTTATCCGGTGGATGACACCACCTCTAAGCGAAACAGTCATCCCCGAGTCCGTGAAAGTCCAAGAAGCCAGATTCCAAGGACGCTAGCAGCCCATGGCGAGAGTGGTGGTATTCGCACTCATCTTCACAGCGCCTGCCCTCCCCCCTTTTTCTTTACTGCTTCATCCGCTTGTTGTCTTTTCGTTAGTACGTGAGTACCAAAGGTACTGTACCTGGAGTGGGAGAACAACTTAGAGAAGAGATATCCTGCTCCGATAACGGTGTCCTTGACGATACTTCCGAGAATCCCGAGCGAACGGGCTGCTTATGCTGTAGATGGGTAGCATTCCCCGCATGCAGCAGCTGTCCGTGTCCGCGTTCCCGTACATCGTGTTCCGTCGTAGTTGCATAGTCGTCCCCTTCTTTACACTCCCTGCCCTGCTCGCGGTATCCGTTTGGGGAGTAGACGATTGTAGGCTCAGTATCCATGTACGAAAACCCTGGGTCAAGGACCCTACTAAACTGAATAAACGATTCCACGCTCTGGAGATCGACCTCGCGCCACAATGTGTCCACAGCGGCATAGTACCCTACGTTAGTCAAGTGACAAAGACAAGTTGGTTGAAGTTTTCAGCAAAGATGCATGAATGACTTTTGCAGGAAGAAGGGTATCAATATAGCAAAACCTACAGTCTCGGCAAACGAGTGCGCAGGATAAAATATTGGATCGGTCAAGGGACAAAGAAGACGAGAACGAGATAAAGGACGTGGGGGTATGACGATGTTGAGGTCGTTCCTCGAGATTATAGAAGATCTTGACGAGCAGCTCGTGAGGAACCATTTGTGCCAACGGATTCCTTGTTGCTTTGAGTGAGATACAGCTTTCGTTATTGGTAGTATTATCCGTCGGTGCGTCTGTCATCGAAGCCACTATGATAGCACAAAGCTAGGAGAGAAAATGGGAAGAGGGTTTAAGAAAGAGGCGTCTGTACGGATGACGACTTCGGCCTGTTGAAGGACGAAGAGGAAAGTGTGAGGTATAAGAGAGGAAAAACGAAAAAAAAAACCCCCCCTCCTCCTCAAGTTCGTCTTAACTGGTAGATGAGTGTGTTACAAGACACTCCTGACAACCTCAGGACACGTACGCCTTCCGCAGACGACTATACGTTTTGGTCCACTGTGCAGAAACTCAACAGATAGGGGTGCTAATTCCAATGCCAATAGTACTCCATACCCCCGTTGGTATGCGAATGGAGGGGAGATATCCCACCCCTTACTCCTTGAACAACCAGAACAGCGGTCGCCTCGGTAACAGACCCTGGCACCCTATTGCACCTACGAGAACACGCAGAATTCATTGTCCTCGGACCTGCCTCTAAATATTCAAATGCGGCTTGATGGCAAATTGGCATAGACTAAAGTGGATTGACCAAACGAACATGAAGCCATGTAAAAGACCCGCCAATGATAGTTAGGTTGTACGTGGTGAAGAAACGCTTCCTCAATACGAATGCTATCCTCAGGCTATCTATCAAGGCCTGCCGAAACAAAAGGCCTCGCGTTCTTGGCAGTGCATGCATGCGTTGATGCCCATAAAAACCGCGCCTTTTGGCAACTCTCCATCGCTCCTACCTTGCGATGCACCTCCATCTCACCAAAGCACACCTTGGACTTTATTAAACCTTCTCCTACACATCCCAGCTTTCCCTAAAGAACCATGCTACAATGCAAACATAGTTTTTATCCCTGACCTCGGGCATACGAAAGCCCTGAATGTCCTGAAGGCCCAGGCTCGACAAGCCCAATAAGCCCAACTCGTGCTTTTTTCGCGAGCTACTCCCCATCCTAGTGCCGCCAGCATCACTATCGCCGCTAGTCAGCAAGCACTGGAGTCATCTTCAAGCTCTTGACATCCAAGAACGATGCCACGGGGGCTCTCAAAGTGAAATGGTATTTTATTTTACTAACATTTCAACCATGGGTTGTAGGACTATAACTACGGTTGTTTATCATGAAACGCGTTGAACATATCAAAGTCATTAGGATTACGAAAAAAAAAAAAGCATGGGTGACAAGAGAAAATAACGGCTATAGGATAATATGATACATAAAAAGAGCAGGAGAATTAAACTAGATGGAAAACTAGATGGAAAAAATAATCCAGCGAACGAAACCCGACAACAAGCAAAACCAAAGAAAAACGCATCAACACCTGTTCAAATAGGGGAAGTAGGGACTTTGACTGATTTTTTGGCCCCGCGGTCCTCGGTAGGAGGCAAGTAATCCAACAATGGGCGCACCTGGATCTTATCCACCGATCCAAGTTTGATCCATTCTGGCAGATTGAACAGGATCTTGCGCTTCAAATCCGCTGACAGACCCTGTGCGTTCATCAAATGCGACATCGAGCTCGACACACTGACTGCATTCCTGGCAATCGGGCCGCGCTGTACATAGTACGCCTCAAAGACCTTGCAAAATTCATGATGACTCGGATTGTCACAAATGCGGTAGAGCAGGTTCACGAGACAAATCACATCCAGAATTGCCTGCTCTGCGCCCTGGCCTGAATAGGGCACAAACTGGATATATAAACAAATGAGCAAGGAATGCCTAGATGATTAGCTATTGTGAACAATACAAACCAATTCACAAACAAAAAGTACATCGATCTGGATTACCTTATGACATGCTGAAGATACCGAACAGGAATAGTGATTGTGAAAGAACGACGGGAAGAGCATTTAGTCCGTATGTCCTCTTTTTTTTTGCCTTGCACCAGTAAACCATCTTGATGATAGGCTTTCCCATATCATATGGATCGCCAGCAAACGAAGGTAGCGCACGAGCATCTCCAAAACTCACCTTCACCGATGAGTACCGTGCGCCCATAGTGCCATGTCTTGTAGTGTTTTTCTTCCACCATGACCTTGGTGATGAAATCCCGCCGCGTATGTCCTATCAAGTCCGCGAGTGTGCCACCCCAGGGCGTTTCCAGATCCTCGACCAGTGCACACGCAGCATCGATTGCCTCCGGTCCAAACTCTGATTGCTTGAAATTAGCATTCGTGCTACCCTCAGGTGTCAACAAATCTCCACCTACGGACCATGCGACTCTATTGCCCGAGGTCGGCGAGAGCCATAGCGTGTAGGGCGATTCCTTGCCGACCACAATATCGACCTCGCTAAACCGCGCTCCCACAGAAGGGTACTTTTCCAGATCTAGTGGGTTGGTGAGTCCGATTATGGCGTTGAGCGTGTGCTTGAGTGGTTTCATATCTGACTTTGGCAACAGGTTCTTTTCCTGCATGTGTTTGTACAGATTCTGACGGACGGCTGAGTAGGCGCCATCAGCACCGACGAGGATATCGCCCTGTTCTATCGTTCCATTGGCACAGCGGCATTGCACGCCGGCGTTGCCGTTCACGATATCGAGCACGTATCGGCCCCATTGAATCTTTTGTGCAGGTATCCGCGAGATCAAGATCTGCAGGAACTCTGTCCGCTGGACAATGGATGAATAGTGACCATATCTATAAAGAGATAAAAAGGGTGGAACAGAATAGATGAAGCGCGATTTAACGTTCTATTTATGATCTTTTTTTTCTTTTTTGCCCTGGACGCTGTACCTGGCATTGAGTTGGAGTCGGGTCGAATCGTACCTTTCTTTGACATAAGTCGCGTCAATTTTGCCGACGACAGCCATGTTATGTTTCCTTAGCCTGACCATCGAAACGGGCTTTGCAATCGCCATGACCTCATCCAGCAGGCCCAATTGCTCTATACACCTCAAGGTGTTTGCAGATAGCTGGATCGTGGTCCTTGGTAACTGAAGTTGGGGCATTCTTTCCAGGATCACGTACTCAATTCCTGCTCGTTCGAGACACAGACCCATCATCAGGCCACCCACACCTGCGCCGACGATAAGGGCCTTGAAAGGCGAGATACTGCGGGGACCCTTCATGACAGGGGTGCTAATGCCACTGGATTCTGAAGAGATCGTAGGGTTGTAGCGCCGTGAGCTATCAGACGAGAGTGATGATTTGGAGGAGGGCGCCATTGTTTTGGGCCGATGGTGTGATATGTGATATGGGGCGGATTCCTTTGGTCGTTTCCTTCTTCCTGTAGAGCTGGAACTCCAACGAAGAACAACTGGATCAAGGCAAGATGGAGAGAAAGGAAGAGAGATAGAGAGAAAACGTGCTTAAGGAAAGCACAATTGGAGTTGACACCAAATATGAGTTGTGCTGAGCAGAGCGCAAAAAACTGTTATGCGGAATAAGGTGTGTAGCCAAAATAGAGTGCGAGAAAGAAAAACAAGAACAAAGAGCCGAAGGTGATGAATGGAAGAAAGGATGCAAACCAAGACGAAAGATGAATCCTTTGGAGATGACTCTTTTCTAGCTGATCGCCCACTTCGTAACCCATTCTTTTTTTTTGTGTGCCGATTCTTTTGGCGTGTGGCAATACAGAATATTGAATTGGGCTCCAGCTTGCGCAGGTGTCAGCGCTCGATTGTACTGAAGGTGGTACCCAAGTCTACGGTTGAAGGTCTGCGCGGCACTATGAATACTGACAGGGCTAATCTACCATTTATTCCGTATAAACTGAGCAGCTCACAAAAAATATAAAAAACAAGAGGGCGAATTGCATGCCATGCCCTTCATGTTCGTGCTCAGTAGATTACAACTGCAGTATGGTATTCTATAGATCCATGGGCTTGCCAAATGATGGCGTGAGCACTTTTTTTTTCGATCCGCCGCTCCGCACACACGCCACCATGCAACGGGACGGGTTGTTCAGCCACCAGTAATCCGGAAAATCCTTACGGGTTACTGGAGGAAGTGCCCTCACGTATTCAGTTCATTTAAAAAAAATATATAGCTTTACCTCGCGCCCAATTGTCACCATTCATCCTACATCCGCTGCCCTCTCATCGAACACCATGCCCAAAGCCGGACACAAACTTCGAGCGAACAATGGGGTCTTACCTTCCAAGGAACCAGAGCGACAGCATCATTCGCGTACAATGGAGGAAAAGGCGCGATTTATCGCCAGTGTTCTAGCTGCCAAAGAGAAGGATGAGAAAGCTTCCTTAACCTATATTGCACGTCAACATGGTATCAAGGCTTCTACGGCTCACGATATATGGAGCAAGCGGCACAATATCCTGGCAATCGTGAAAGGAAACCCATCCCAAGTTGCCAAGAATGCCTTACGCAATCGTAAGCGAACAATGGAGGCCGTGGAAGATGCCCTTTACGAATGGTATCTGGCGCAAAGAAAACTCGGTATGATAGTTGTTTATTCATTTCCGTTATGTTAAATGCTTCTCCTAGAGCGCTAACACTCTTTTTTCAATAGGCATCAATCTGACCGATGCTCGCCTACAGGGAACAGCTGTGGTTTTATGGGGCACCATGAAGGATTACTACGCCAGTAATCATAGGCCGGACCCAATTGCTTTTTCAAGCGGATGGCTTCGTGGTTTCAAGACTCGGCGGGGAATCTCGAAGTACACTGGGCATGGCGAGAGCGGCTCTGTGGATCTAGCGAGTTATCGGTCCCAGATTGAGGACGCTCAAAGGAAGCTCGTCGACTTTAACCCCAACGATATCTACAATTGTGATGAAACTGGCCTTTATCTCAAGACCCTTTCAAACAAAACACTTGAAACTGGTCAGATTCGTGGCAAAAAGATCGTTCGAGCAGCTCGTGTGTCGATCTTGCTTTGCAGCAATGCTACCGGCTCTGACAAACGCAAGCTGTTTGTACTATGTGAGTGAGATATAACTACACATTCGAGCAGTGATCTTCGCGATGATACTCACTAGATCCATTATTACATCTTATTGTTTATAGCGAAGAGCCATCCCCGGGGGTTGAAAGAAGAGACGCTGGGGCGCATTGATGCTGACACCAAATGCAGCGGATATATGACCCACTCTCTGTTCGACAAATGGCTTAAAGACCTAAATAAGGATATGCAACAACAAGGACGCAAGATAGGCCTACTTATCGGTAGCGCAGGAGGACATGGTAGAAGCGAGGACGCAGGTCTTACCAACGTTACTATCATACGACTGCCATCAAACGCAACATCCCTTATCCATCCTCTGGACGCTGGCGCTATCCGGTCTTTCAAGCTTCGATACAGCCAGGAAATGCTCGAAATTATAGCTCGTGCTCGTGCGGAAACCGGAAACCCGAATGCAACAGTTCCTAATAGAGTACTCTGGGCTTGTCTTGTTGAGTCTTGGAAGAAGGTGGCTCCTGATTACATCCGCAACTGCTTCATACGTGTCCCAATCATGCCTCGAGCGCACAGGGATCTTTTGCGAAGCCTCGGTGTAGAGACAGGAACGGATCAAATAATCCGCCTTCAGGAGGAGCTTATAAAGAAATATCAGGAGATCGAGGACGTCATTTCCAAGCAAAAAGACTTTTCCGTCCTCAACTATATCAACATGTGCAATAGCGAAGGCCCTTCAAAGGCGATCCTTGCGTTTGCCACGAAAATAATGAGTGACGACAAATACCAGGACGTTTTCAAGCAGCACGAGTGTGATTTTATCGATGAGGACGAAATTGATGAGGACGACGATTTGTACATGGATTATGAGGCTCCTCAGAGGCCGAGGGAAGCGAGGGTCATTTTTGTTCTCCGTAATCGCACCGTTACCGCTACTGAGCCTCCCCTCGAAGAACACTCATCGTCAGAGTCGAGCCCACGCAAAAAGGAGTTGTCCTATATACGAGAAATCTGTCAGGGTCTCGCTAATGCCACCCAGGACATCCTTGACAGCGATAACCCCAGATTGCTGCATGAGTTCAGTCGCTTTTACAGATATGCGGAATCCTTTCTGGATAGGATTCGCGTGTTGGAGAATGATGATTGCAACAGTGGTCATAAATGAATGAAACAAAACATACCCACTCTAAACCTATATATTCTATAGATTTTTTCAATTATACTGAATACTTGAGGGCACTCCCTCTCGATTACTGGAGGATGACTGACTAGTTACACTTGTGCAAGCAGCCAATAATCGGATGTAGCAGTGAGGAATAGGAATAGCCATGCTTGCATTTGCATAGATGTTCGGATGATAGACTATCTACGACCAGTGAATCGGGCATGGCATGGAGGCGCATTAATTTCATATAATATTCTCTTCCATATGAGTGAGCATTAAGCTGAACTTGCAAGAGAACAAAAAGAGCAGCGAGGGCCAATGCGGGCATTCCAGGCGGAGTCGAAGCCATGCGGTGAGGATTAGCGCCACATTCTTGGTGGAATTCGAACTATTTTCAAGTCAATTGAAGAAATAAAATAAAAAACGGGGCCAAATCGGGCGCCGTGAAATATGGCGGCAGTGGTTTCAGGAATATTTTCCTTTTTGAGTACCCAGGGCACCCGCCTTTTTTTTTTTTTTTTTTTTTTACGATCTGAGACTGGCCGCCCAGAACAGCCGTTTTGTAACTCTACATCTCCAAAAAGCAGCAGCGGTTGACAGCACCAGCTACAATGGCGCCCTCAGAAGTGAGGACCCTGGCTGAGCGACACAAGTAGGTTCTCGCCCCGCTCTTTTCTAGTGATCCGCTGTGATTCGAGCACCGGCCCCTTCTCATTTCCTCCGACTGACCAACCGATGAACGGAGCTCAACTCTGTGCCTCAGCACTTCAACTTAGCACACTAACATCGATCTGGAAATAACAAAGGGCACATACCAGATCAACGGGGAGGACGGACTACGCACCTGACAAAGAAATGAAAATGGACTGAGCCATGCCTCATTTGGCAATTAAAAAGTCCTTCGGGCTCCAACGTGCATACATGCGCATAGCATAACAAGCTCGCGTTGCAGGAAGAATTTGGCTCATTAGTAAGAACTATTTAGTTCATTCTCCAACCCTAGAATTCGGGTCGTTCTATAAGATGAAGAAAACTAACCCATGTCTTCAGCAGGCCCTTCCTTCCCTCCAATAGGACCAGCCCACTACCGCCTCAGAAAGGTGAATTTTTTTGGAGGGAATTGTCCAAGAGCCAACCACAGAGAGGAACCGTACCTTTGTACCGATACGAGATGGATCAGGGGCAGGGGACAGAGGGTCACCGGCATAACCTTGTTAACCTCTTCGTGAAACACAGCCAAGCAGGCGCCCTCTCCTCCTCAGTCACTTACTAGTGAGGCCGCCTGCCAGTCATCGCCTTCCATTCCGGTCCGGGGCCCTTTTTGACTCGCAAGGAATGTGATCCAGGGGGCCAGGGGAACTGGTACAGGGACAGGGGAACAGAGACTTATCCAGTCAGCAACCTCGACCGAGGCGGAGATACTTGCAGGCTCCAGATCTTTGTCGTGTGCCTTTAGTCGTCTCATAGTCCCTGCACCTGAACGGCACCTTTTTTTTTGTTATAAAAAGAGACATCTTTCCCGCTATTTCCTCCATCATCAAAAAGCACATTCATTCACCTTTCCACTGTATCTCTACAGGACCACCCACTACAGCCCCTCTTGCCCTAAAGAAGACATTCCTCCTCTCCTCAAATCCTCCAACTCTCTCTCTCTCTCTTTCATCTATTCATCATGGTCAAGTTCGCTTCCGTCGCTTTCCTCGCCTTCGCCGCTCTCGCCTCGGCCGCTCCCATCACCCCCTCCCCCTCCGTCAAGGTCGATCCCGTCACCCCCTCCCCTTCCGTCAAGATCGATTCCGCCACCGCCGACTCTGACAATATCTTCGCCACCGACGTCAAGTACACCGGCAAGGCCACCTGGTTCACGGATTCCTATGGCTCCTGCAACATCGAGTGGAACGGCGACTCCGAGCCCACCGTCGCCTTGAACGCCCATCAGATGGGTGCCGTCTCCTGGGGCAACCCCGCTTGCAACAAGCGCGTCCTCATCGTCAACCAGGCGAACGGCAAGTCTGTCGAGGCCCGCATCGTCGATAAGTGCCCCGGTGACGAGTGCGCCTGGGGCTCGCTCGATCTCTCCCCTGCCGCCTTCAAGCAGCTCGGTAGCTTGGACACCGGTATCCTGCCCATCGAATGGCACTATATCTAAAGCATTCCCTCCCCCCTCTCTCCCAGTATTTTTTTTTCTTCATTGCGTTAGTGCATACCACACAGCACAGCCACTGCTCATTTTCTCCTAGACATTCCACACCCCTCAAGGCTGGCCCAACACTGAAACACATCACAATAGACCATTACAACTATTATAGAATAAATAAGGAAATCTAGGCGCTGGCTCGCTTAGATAATCCAGACAAAAAAAACCCCCCTCCCGAACTCTGGGCGCGTTAGTCCATGAGTCCATTTATCAATGAATAGTTTTATGGTTGGCCACGCGGCAGAAAAAGAAAACCCCTGCAGCATCAGCTTTAATTTAACAGCGGCAAGAAAAATGACAATGAGAAATCGGGTGATTTCTGCTCAGATAGCAAGCTTGACTCGTCTCCTACGCTATCACGCCTTCCTCATTCAACCCCCCCCCTTCAATGTCACACCTGTGTGAGATGGTCAGGACTAACAACGTGTTCCTTATCCAAGAAATAAAGAAGACATACACGCTCGATTTCATCGGGAGATTCTGCAGTTTATTTGGTGAAAACTGATGGGGTCCAGCTACACCTAACGGCTTTTCGACATGCGTCAACTTTGGCAATCGCCCAAAATTAAGGCTCAGATCCCGGAGATCACGTCGCAGTCCCTTGACAAAGAATCTCCTGACAGAGGTTCTCGACTAAACCCTCCAGGAGGTTGCGGCTCTGGGGATGAGCTCCGGCGAAATCATTTCCGCATCATGTTGCATGCTGGACCCTCTTCCTTCGGAAAATGAATCAGACGCTCCGCCCTCTACAGACCCAGCTTGTCATTCAGAACCGTGGTGGGAACCCCTTTCCTCCCCCCTTCCCCTCAAAAAAATAAAAAAGAAAACCGAACGGGCCGGTCTAGTACTTCTCCAGTTTATTGGGGCCCAGTTATTATGTGCAAAAATGGATTCAGTGATATATAACAAAACAAGATGCGTTTTCATGCATATCGTGTGAAATCAACCACTGACTCAAGACTCATGATGCTCGACTGCTGAGCCCCGCCTGCTGTGCCTGAAGTACTGTTCGTTCCTGCGGCATTCGAAGACGACGATGACGATCCTCCGAGACCCAGTCCAAGTCCGAGTCCCAATCCAATGCTCGAACTGTTGCCTCCACCTTGGTTTCCGCTATTGCCTCCAACAGATGCATTGTTGTTTGACGACCCTGGTACTCCTGTATTCGATCCACCAACACCGCTTCGTAAACCAGCCCCACTAGTGGTTCCTGATGATGATCCTCCAGCACCAGAGGCACTCGTCGCTGCCGCTGAATTAGCGCCCGCAAAATGACCTCCTACTCCCGCGCCTCCAGCCCCAGATCCGCTGGGACCTCCGCTTGCCATAAGTCTCTCCTTCACTCGTTTGATCTGTCGCAGACGCTCCTGCCAGTTGGAGACATACTCAACCGAGTTCTGGAGATGCTGGTAATACACCTGTGCATAGATATTGGCATGCAGCGCCATCTGTCGAGTGAACCGCGCCAGCTCAGAAGCGCTGATGATCTTCGGTGTCGCCAGCGGCCCAATCTCGGGCATATCCGGCCGACGCAGCATCACGACCTTGAACCAAACATTCTTGAAAGACTGTACAACGCCAGTTGTTGTTGTTGATACTATCGCCCCGACAGGCGCTGTGGAGGTGAAAGCAGAGATATTGTCTTCTGGCCTGTTCGTAGAGACCGAGGATGACTCGTTGCTGTCAGTCCCAGATCGCTGATGCTGCTGCTGACTGATTCTGCTCGCAGCTTCTGTGAATGTTACCGAGGCCATCGACACCGGCGTAACAACAAGCGTCATAAAGTTGAACTGGCCTGAGATCGTTCCAAAATCATAATCCGCTCCAGACTCGTTGAACACGATCGTCACCCAGTCGTTACCGATATGCCGCTTCTTGAAATCAAAGTTGACGTCGTGTGGTTGGTTGGGCATCATGGTAGCCACATGAAAGATCATTTGAGTGATCTCGTCCTGGTGTGAATACGCGTACTCGCCATCGAAGTCCATCTCTAAATCGAGTCCTCCTGCGTAGATCTTTGCATTTTTGAGTCGGACAAGTGATCCCAATCCCGCGAGGAACTTTGTGTACTCGGACGAACCATGTGTGTTTCCCAAGATCTCGCTCTCCTTTGTCTGACCTTTGCCAACGTACAAGACTCCGATCTTGTGGAAATCCACCACAGGAGTCCTATCCAGCACACCTAATGCTCTATTCGTCGCATCGTCGTCCGCCAGCAAGATTGGGGTCTCCCGCGCCATCACATCGGGATACGATGTCAGCTGCATAAACAAGAAGCTCGGATCTACAAACGTCTCCATCTTAGCTTTGGAGAACGGCCGCGTAGATTCCGTATTATTCTCGCGGTCATAATACCCACTGCTGCTCTCTGTCAAGATGGGCGGCCGATGGTCATCATGACCAAGCGCCAGCCGATGAGCACGGCCCATTGCTGAAGTGATACTGTTATTGCGTGACGAGGCCAGCGAAATGGACCGGCGTATGTCGTCCCGCTTGCTGCCCGCCATCGAATGAGACAGCAACGATTTTGTCTGCTCTAGCGCACCGCCTACGGGTCCACGGCTCAGTTCCGCATGCTTGACATTCTCTTTGAGCGATCCACCCGCGTGATCGGACGTTGACTTGGATCGTCCAAGGTTGTTCATAACACTTGAGGCGGTGGTGGAGGACGGTGCTATGGCGTTTGCAGAGAACGCTCCTGAGAGTGGGCCGCCATCTCCCTGTGAAGACAAAGAGTAGGTGAACTTGCTGTCTATGTCACCTGAACCATCGTCCTGGCTGTGTGCTGGCGCGCCAGACTCCTGAAGCGGATGAAGGGAAGTCGAGAACAGGGCGACATGCTCAGTGGGAGCGGTTTGCACGCGTTGGTGGCCACCCTCAAAGACCAGCTTTGATGTAGCAGTGTTCATGAATGAGCGTAATGGAGGTGAGCTCGAAGGTGTATTATCGCCGGAAGGCAGAGGTGATGCTTTGGGTGTGTGGTGAGGAGAATCACGAGGAGTATGCAAGGGCGTATGAAGAGGCGTATGTTGTGGAGTGTGGTGCGGTGTGTTCCTTGGCGAGAGCCAGGAGGGTCGTGCTTCGCTCAATCTCTGTGATAGTCCCGATACAGCTGACAAATGATTTTCATCCTCCTGGCGGCTCTTAGCTTCCAGAGATGGCTCGGGCGTATGTTCGCTATCAGTCGCTGTGTCCTCTCCGGCGCCAGAAGTTCCTGTCGACTGTTGGGTCACTGCATCGATAGCCAATGCGTCCTCTTGTAATCTTAATAGTCCTGGCAGTGACGCAAAGTCCAGTTCGTTTGACGAGTCCATAAACATCTCATTCTCAATCTTAAGTAGGAACGACGCCGTGCCGGACGCCCTGCGGACTGTAATCTCTGCCCAGCCGACGTTGTGCGCTGTTTGGACGGTGATGAACGCGTTTCCTTGAATCCAGGTCTTTGTGATCATTCTTCCAGTCTTGCTCGTAGGTCCGATCAGGATCTGTTGAATCAGCGATGGCTTTGGCTTCGGCTCGCAATTAGCATACGAGTATCGAGCTAGCATATCCATGCAGGTCTCCGTCTGTTCGTCCACTTTCTTTCCGGGATCATTGGCCATAAGGAGGTTCCGGACAATGTATGGCACGTATTTCCTGCGCTCCGTCAATCGCTGAAGCATGAACCAGACATCGATGACCTGATAAGCCAGGATAAGCACGTACTGAGGAAGCGCTCGTGCTGCAGCTGTCGCAGGTCCTTGGGATGCTACAGCTGGGGAATTAGGAAATGATATTGCCGAGGATGGCATCGATGATGAAGGAGCCGGATGGGCGTTGTTGCTGGAGCCCGTGTGGGTGTACTGGACATATTTGAGAGCGATGCCAAAGACACGCTTGTAATCGCTCTCGACAAAGTTCGAGTAGAGCATCGGTAGACGCGCGACAGTTGATAGGAACTCGAGAATGTGCACTCTGATAGTCACCGTCGACATGATCTGTGAGAGCCTCAGAACAGCTACCGAGAGATATTTCGTCATGGACTGAGGCAGTTCATAGCAGCAGACAGCCAACGCATGGATACAAATCTTGGCACACATTGCTTGACGTGAAAGGCCGGACATGAATGCAAGGACCAAATCGTGCAGCTCTTTGGTGCTAAACTTGCTGTGGTAGCACAGCAGGATGACGAGAACTTTGTAGGCAAGGATGTAGATATTGTGTCGCTTGGCACTGAGGGGCAGGTTACGGAGCGAGTCAGGGATCTTGTCCCTCAGTGTCATGTCGACCAGGACATTGTGAAGCCTTGTGACCTGCTCCGAGCTGTTGCAAAACAAATGCTTGTTGAAGAGCTGAGAGGGAAGCCGCTGGATGACGAACGAGTAGATCGCAAAGTCCTTTTCCTGCTCCAGAATCGACAAGACGCCGGTCATGTAGAGAGGAATGTTGAGTATCACTTTGGCGCATCCAACCAACGGCGCAGGTAGCGTCTCATCGTTCGAAGACTCGGCGGTTGTTGAAGCAATCTCCAGGTATGAAATTACATAGGGGCTCGCCTTTATGGTCTTGCCTTGCATGAGCGGCTTCCAGTTGCGTGTGGGGTTGGCGGCGGATGAGAATGAGAATGGCTCTGTATGTTGTCGTACAGAGGTGGAGTGCTGCATCGTTCCACTGCCTCTCAGGTTGCTCACTGCCGATCGGTCGCCTCGCTCCTGTTTTACTTCCTCGGCGAGTAGCTGCTCGGTGGCAGCGGCAATGCTCTCGACTGTACTCGCCTCCGAGCAAAAGATCCTGTGGTCCAAATCGACGCGAAGACACAGCAAAAAGTCGAGTAGGATCAACCTGCTTGCTCTATGAATACTTTGGTCGACCGCAAGGCCAACTAACAGACAAAAAAACGTATCGACCCTTGAGGCGCCATTCGGGTCATACAACGCATGCTGGAACAGGTCAACGATTCCAATGGATGCTGTCAACGACTGGCACGCGACCGGAGGACTTGGCGGGTGATTAAGGTGATGACTGGATGATAGCGACGTAGAGAGTGATGAAGCCATGCCAAGTCGTGAGGCGAGTGATGGCTGAAGAGTCGATCCAGATGGTGAAGGTTTCGGAATGTGACACGTACATCGGATCAAGAGAACTATCCGGTCCAGCAGTTTTGAGAATAGTTCCTCGGAGGCGATCTGCGTAGCATCAATCAGCAATGTCGAGACTCGCGACGCCACCTCCTGGTCCGTTTCTGAGTCGAGATGGTCAAACACATCCATGAACACTGTCGAGACGATCTCGTCGTGAAAGAAATCCAGTGATGACACGTACACATCCAGGGCGATCGAAAGAGCCTTTGACCGAACCTTTGGCCGCTTATCTTGAATAACCGAGACTTGAACGAGGTCGCGCAGTCTCTCCAACCAGTTGGGGGTATATGGGTAGAATTGGTGCTCTGAGTAATAATATTCAAGTAGCAACAACATGGTGTCTTCTGGAAGGTGGTCCTGCAACGACGCCAGGAGGTTCATTACTCGAGCAACTATTCCCGGCATTTGCTTGTTGTTGTAGATGCGGATAAAATGGAATAAAAGGTCACCATATGCATCTCGGAGGGGATTGTTGGGCTGCTGTTGCTGTCCTGTGGTGACGACAGTATTACTAGGTCCCAGCCGAAAAATGAATGGCTTTACTGACGCGCTCTCCTCTGCTGGCTTCTCGTCGACATGCTGTGAGAGGAGCTCTAGAATGTCCAGGATGATTTCGTACTCGAGATCGCCCAAGTCTGCCGAATGTGCCTCTAACAAGATGCTCAGACTCCGGATAATATCCTGGTCGACCTCCTTGGACTTGAAATCGACGGCGCTCTTTAGAGACCACAGGATTGTTGAGTATGAAACCGACAGAGTCTCGATCGGGGTACTGCTCCACACCGAACGCTGCAACAGCCTGATCGATCCCTGAACAACTCGCATCTGCGCTATCGAGTCGTTCTTGGACCGCAAATTGAGGCACAGCAGTCGAATGGCGCTATGTGCACTGTGGCTCTTCATGAGATTACTGGTGATTGTCCATGCCTGGTCCTTGTAAAGATCCGAGAGTGTGGTATAGCAGAGGATTTTCAAAAACGTTACAAGGCCTTCCGCAGGTACGTAGCCATAGCGCACAATGATGTCCAAGAACCCAATCGCATGTGGTGTATCCTCTGGTGCGTTGATGCATATTGTATGTAAGAGGTCGAGGAGGCCTGCAATCTCTGTTTCGTCGAAAAACACAAAGTTGAACCGGACAACGTTGATGAGGAGCGCCATGGTGACGTCGAGATGCGGGATGGGCTTTTGAAGAAGAATGAGCTGTGGTGTGCTGCTGAGGGTTGCCAATGAAGTCGTGGATTTCTGCATGCCGAGTCGCTGCTGGGTCATGTGCTGAGCGACCTTAGCTTGCTCAAAGTTCGACTCAACCCAATGCGCCAGAAGTCGTACAATATTCTTTTCGAATCCGTAAACGTCTCGACCGTCTTTAGTCAACTCCTTGAGAGCCTTGATCTTGTCATCAAAGTCCTCCCAGATCTCATGGTCATTGATGGCTTGGTAAAAGATGGCTCGGAGCATACCGAGGTCCTCAAACTGCCCACGGATACAGGCAATCATAAAATTCCATGCAGCTTTCCGTGCATTATTTGGGACTCCAGCTTCCAAAAGATCCGAGACCGCAACCCAAAGCTCGCTGATGTGTTGAAATGGATAGTTCTGGATGATGGTGCTCAACTCATCCAGTGTCCTGAGGCGTGATTGCAGCGAGTGATTTCCAGGCAAAAGCAGCTGCACAATTTCGTTCGCATCTATGGGGTCTGAAGGATTGGCAGAATCTAGACGTAATGTGTCGTGTAGTGATGTCTCCTTGTACGGCATGCGAAACTTGAAGAAGCTGTTGAGCTTGGAGGAAGCCGCCTTTGGTTTGCTTGCCATTTTCGACAAAGACCGGTTTCCTCAAGCTGGATTTTGAAAAGATGTGTCATAATGGTTAGATATGCGTCATGTTCCCAGAGCATAGAACCATTGCTTAGCCATTGCTTAGTCTGACAGACTTACCTGATGGCGTGTTTGGGTTATAGCTGTTAAAATCCACAACGAAGCAAGAATGCACAATCCTAATCCTACTGGACTAGTTGAAGCGCCAATGGTTAGTATACAAACATTCTTCTCTTTGGGATTGCTGCGGCAACTGTAAAGGATCCAGCATGGTGGTCGCGTACACGTGGAATTGCAGGCAAAAAGCGCCGATGGTCCAAGCGTCCAGGTGTCCTCTAGTGTACGGGCACTATTTCGTTGTATCTCTATGCGCCCTTGGGGTTTTTTGCTCGATTTCCTCGACAGGAATGTGATTCACAATTGAAGGTGGAGTCGTGGGTAAGAGCGATGATTGATCGTTGTTGAAGAAGAAAGGCGCGGTGGCGATGTCAAGGCAGAGGAAGCACCACCGCCGTATACCATGCCAAAGTGACTGCCTTATACGTGACGTACAGTCACCGAACAAAAGTAATTGGCCAATCATAATTTTAAATTACCTATATACAACACACCTCAAGAGTTATGGAAACATCCTTGGTGAATATCAGAGTGATGTATGCTGAAGGAGAGGGCTGCAGCTCGTTCAATATCTGCTATTACCGCCGCTGTACTTTTTCACGAATTCCAGTTTCTGGGGCATCGTGTCGATCAGCTTTGCCAGCTGTTCTTGTGGTAAAGCATCCCACTCCTCCACTAGAGCTCTCACCAGGGTTGCAATGTCCCAGGGTTGTCTTTGTCGTCGAGTGAGAGAAGTACCAAGGAGGGACCAGACATGCTCGATGGGGCTCAAATCTAAGGAGTTGGCTAGCCAGTCCTCTATCTTGCGAAAGCCGTGTGCTTGGCGCCAATTCTTTGATAGCGCGTTGCTGCGCACTGGGGCACCATCCTCCATGAGGATTCCATCCTCCATGAGGATTCCATCCTCCATGAGGATTCCATCCTCCATGAGGATTCCATCCTCCATGAGGATTCCATCCTTTACCTCCGTCATAAACCTGAGCAATTCACCCTCATACACATCCTCCACGAAGCACTGTCCGTCGCGACGTCCTCGCTCAAAAACAACCAGCCTGGACTTCTCAGTAGCTGTAAATGCGCCCCAGACCATGAGGGAGGTCCTACCACTCTTGAAAGTAGGTGCGAGGCAATCGCCATCGTACTTTTCCTCCGCTGTTCGCCAAACTCGAATCTGGCGAAAATTCTCTCCAACCTCGAATATTGACTCATCAGTCCATACTACCTTCGACCATTGCTCTGTTGTCCATTTGCTGTACCTCCGCATAAATGTGAGTCGACTATCCTTGTAAACGTCGCTGAGATAAGGTTTCTTTGCGGCTACCCGGCTGAAAATGTCAGCTGAATGGAGCGCTCTCCGAGCGGTGTATTCGCTCACCTCATGGGGTACCATGTTGGTGATATCCCGTAGAGTGACACGTCTTTCACGCTTGGTATTGCGTATCATGCTCCTAATGTCTCTCTCACTGAGCGCTCTTGGCAGTCCAGAACCTGGGGCGTGTGCAGTGGTGCCTCTTAGATGGTAGATGTGAATAATATTGGTAACCGTGGACCTGGGTGTGTTGCGTTTCGTTGCAATTTCCGCATGGCTCATTCCCGCTAGACTCATTTCAACGATAATACCTTTTTTTTCCATGGATAACTGTGTCGGCATGGTGGTTACTCAAGTTGCTGTCGACTGTGCTTGGAGAAGAAAGTCGTGTTGCATTTATTTGCTCATGGCTAGAAAAATTAAAGTTGCCCAATTATAATTGTTAGGTGGCTGTATATGTACAGCGCCGGAATGCTTGGTACTCATCCTGCTGTATAGGGGGTCTAACAACGAGCTTTGTAACTTCTACTATTAGTTCTATTTACAACAGGAGACACCGCGCGATTAGGACTTCGGCGAGGGCGTGCTTCGGTCATTTACTGGTTCGCGGTGCAGGGTCTTCCTTTAGATCGGAATGAATTGACACAAAGGTAAAATAGACTAGACAGAGATAGAAGGAAATAAATATAGGGAGTTGTTTGGCTAAATGGTTCGAGCTAGGACTATGTTCCATTGAGAATGACTGGGGGTAGTTACAAGGTATTCACATATATGATGTCCGATGAAGTGAGAAGTCGTGACAATGAAGTCCACCCCTCAGGAGTCGTTGTATGGCAATGTTCGCTGATTAGGCCTCCATTGTACCTTTATAATACCGTTTCACGAGGGTAAGCCGATGACGGATGCTCAATAATGAGACGATCGGAAATCGGGGAAACGTTGCAATTGATAGTGCAAAGGTGGCGAATGATCAGGCTTGGCATTCTCTGTTGATTGTATCTCGTTGCGTGGGTTGCTGACGACGGCAGTCAGTACCTGTCGATGATGCGGTGTTATCCGGACAATCTAGACGAATGCATACAAGATATATATGTGAAGAAGACTCTGGTTCAGGAACAGACCGTTTATTCTTTTATTCTGGGAGCGGTGCTCTTCCCCGTAATTTAATATCAAAAGTTCTCATAGGCTTTAGTCCTTTGAAGGTTGACCGCGCTACTTGACTGATTTCCCTATCCTCCATTGCATCCCTAGCGACCTATCTAGATTTGCACCTACCTGCGTACGTTGGAAACAGCGATGATGGGGATGTGGGTGGACATCTGTGTCAAGCCGTGGCAAAACTACTCGTATATCACTGATCGTGCTTCGTGTCAAGCGACTAGCATTTATCAGTGTGATGGCTCTTTATCAAAGCCTTTTGTTACTCTGAAGAAGCGCGGTTTGGATCCAGTTGCCGCGGATCCTCAAGATTACCAGAACCAAGCTGTTAAGGTTGACCTCTTCGGCGCGTTTTATGGATCCCTCGTTCGCCAGATCACGGATGATTACGATCCAAGCAAGGTCCGAGCTGTCAGTCTCACGATGGCAGCGCGTTTGGCGAAGGACTTTACTCCTGCGCAATGTACGATTCACATCGATGGCGCCCCATCTCAACAGAAGCGGAACGAGCACATCAGGCGAAAGAACAGACTGACAGCGGACCTCAAGAAGTTACAGGCGGACTTGAAAGTCATGAGCACGAAGTCGTCGAACGGCCAATGGACCTCGAAGAGCGTGATAACGAAGATCAAGAAGGGCCTCCGCGATGTATACAGATTTGATGCAGCAGCCAAGCAGACACTCCGGGATGCCTTACGAGAAAAGGGGTTTTCTGTCTGCACTTGCAAGACCGAGGCCGACACCTGCATTGCATGCACACTGACCATGGCAGCCGGTAGCTTCGTGGTGTCAGCAGATTCCGATCTGTTGATATATCCGTCGGTCACCAAGGTTTTGCGGCCGATCTTCCACGGCCTGGCCTATGCATTGTATACCAAGGAGAGTGTTACCAATGCACTTCACGTTCCCAGCGCAGACTATGTGACGCTGCTGGGCATCGTGTCCAAGAACGACTATACTGAGAACATTCCCAGCCTTGGAATAGTTCGCAACCTGGAGATCATCCGCGCCCTACCCCAGTCGCCCGATATTAGCCATATGCTCGATGCTTACAGATTCATGGCAGCCATCAAAACCCATGAGGTTATCGACCAGAGCCGATTCAAGCCATCGGAAGACATCTTTTTGGATCTCGAGGAGAAAGTGCTCCAACTGCAACCAGGAGATGAGGCCGCCGGTGAGGACATGCTCGGCTTTGATTTCAACAGTGCAGCACCGCAGTTCCGGCACCTCAAGCTGCAGCGATTTGCCGTCGCTGCATATCAGCATGCGAGTAGAAGGTAATTTAAGTGCGAAACCACTTCATTCACGCACGCGTTGTACAGGTATCAAGTTCTCTAACACCCTTTGCATGGCGATGTATGCGTATATTTACTAGCGCGGTTCCCTTCTACGTTGCGAGGAACTCAAAGCGGAACCAGTTCCGGCCGATCTTTTCAGACAAGAAATCGATCCTACCGACAATCGATTGACTTCTCGACTGCCGTACCTCACGATCGCCCACAGCCAAAAGCAAAGCCCCTCGTCAAGTCTCGGAAGGCGATCGTGAAGAAGAAGAACAAGAAAAAGAGGGAGAAGGGGGCACTGCCGACCCATCGAACCCACGACCCACTTCTGCAATTGCAGCGGACCGCCACCTTCGTAAGCTGCATATAACCAAGGCACTCACTGTGGGGAGTATCCAGGCCAACATAAAGCGAATGGATCAGATCTCGGTTGCAGAAAGCAAGCTCCTTTCAGACAGGCTACGTTCAACGGTTGCGATCCTTAACGCGATCCAGATGCATATATACGAGGCTATTGCACTGGATATCGCGCGGCTTGTTCGCTCCAAGGACACAGCGACAGATGTGACACAGCGGAAGGAGGATATTTCAGACATTCTCGACAGCAAGGCCTTCTACTTTGTACTCAACACACTCTTGTGCAGTGGTCAAGAAGGACGAGGCTCTCAGGCTGTTCGAGTATTGGTTGCCCCTGCGCGCAGGATGAGCACTCGAAATACGCCATTGGTTCCTGGCGTCCCGCAACCGCAAGTACAGGCACAGGCACAATCACAACCACAATCAACAGCCACCCATGCCCGACGTGTCTTTGATGCGTACACGACGCTCACCGGCTTTGTCCCCTTTCGCCAACGAGAACCAGAGATGTTCCCTTCGACGGTCTCGAGGCTTGCTGTTGCGGCAGTCTACAATGCAGTGCGAGTCCATTACTATGGCGCAAAGGTATATTAAAGAGTGTGCAAGATGTATCCGTTGTGTTCCTTGCTTTTCGGAGCACTAGTGTTGACCATTAGCTCTTCAACTTTCTTTAATAGTTTTCCGAGAACGAAGAGCGCCCCGAAGCTGTCAATCCGATCGACTACTTCTTCGAAAAGAATACCGAGAAGCGCATGTTTGCAGACTTTGTCAAGGCAAAGTTTGCAGCTGGCTTCGTGTTCTTGTCAGAGGCGGACCTTGTCCATTTATTCTATACAAGCAATACGACACGGCCGATTATAGTCCGAATGCTGAGCGATACAACATCCAACGCTGCGGAAGCCAAGGTCGTCGGCAAGAAAGGGATTCTCATCGAGAAGCTGCTATACAGACTGGACCCGGCGACGCGCTTTGACGGGTATTACAGGAAGGTTTCGCTTCAGAGTGATAGACAGCACCACACAAGTTCAAGCTTCGGGGCATCATCTGCACGAACGGACTGGTGTTGCATCTTCTTGCGCATGATACAACGACAACGCGACGCCGAGCACCCCGCCAAAGCATCAGGGGCGATGACGACGATGAAGAAGAACACGACGACGACGATGGCGACGGCGACGAGGATGTGACTCTGTTCCGCGATGTTGACGGTGACTATGACCTCGACGACGCGTTTCTTGAAAGTGGAGGGGACGAATCTGGTACAGATCCGGTCGCAGCTACGGCGGGACCCGCCAAGAAGAAACGCATCACGCTCCCGTCTTCGACACCAGAAAGTTCAAAGCGGCAGAGGTTGTCGATACACCAACTGCCACCCACAGACCCTACTGCGACTGCTTCGTCCTCATCCAGCTCAGAAGCTCCATCTGATCCAACGTCAGGCGCAGATACGATCGATGTCACACGCAACACCATCAACTGGAAACGAAGTTCAAAGATCCTAGAAAACGTGGAGGTGCGCTTCAACTCTCCTAGCACTTGTCCACCAGACGATACTGTGGTCATCGGCATTGACCCGGGTGAGGTTTACACAATGACAGCGACAAGAATCGACCCCGCCTTACCTACGAGAAGAGAGTCTTTACGAATCCGCAGGGCATTCCTCTACAGGCCTTACATGCTCTTCAAGCGTCTCCTAGAAAAGCAGAAGGCCGCGGCACGCATTGATGTTCTTGAGGCAAGACTGCCCTCATTTACCGTAGAGAAGATCGAGGAATATCTGGCGTATCTGGAGGCGCCTGGCACGGACGGCACCGCCGCGACCGCCACGAGAGTCCGCCTTTTAACTTTTACAACAGTCAGTGGATGCTAAGGAAGCGCTGGGATCTTCAACAGGCTCAACAGGCAACGTATGACTACGCAGTTGCGGGCTTGCTTGACCTCGCCGTCAGCAAGGACTTTGTTGGCCAGCCGCTGAGCTCGCAGGATGGTGTAAAAGTGGTGTTTGCAATAGGATTGGGCTCTTTTGATTCGCAAACTGGCCTGCCAAGCAAGCATAGTGCACTCGAGAAGAAATTTGTCGGCAAGGTAAGAAGAAGGAAAAAAAAAAAGAAAAGGGTGGCATACCATCTCTCATCCGCACTGCAACTTTTTCTCATCTGTTTATTTGTTCCTTGATGCTGCTGATAGGCAAAGGCTATGGGACACACTGTGGTCGGGGTGCACGAGTACTACACCAGTGCTCGGTGCCCTCGTGACAAGTGTATGGCGTTCTTAGAGTCCGACAAGAGGCGGTCAAAGTACTGCCGAAGCTGTCAAATGTACTTTGATCGCGATATTGTCGGCTCTGAGAACATTGCCACCGTGTGTCTGTCGCAAATCCAGAACCAGTGCCGGCCTGCCAAGTTCATGCCATCAACATAATCATAGGGGGCCGGAACCCTCTTTCAAAATTTGTAAGTTCAACATACAAAAAATAACGTGCATGAACACCCAACCCATTCTGAATTCTAACCAGTCACTTTTTTACTTGATTTGGGTGATTTCTGGTAGACAGATACTGTACATGTACAACACCACTGCAGCCAGAATGCACAGAAGTCCACTCCATCTTCTCACGAGCAGGCCAAGAGTTACCGAGTATGTTATATATATAGCTTACCTGACTCCTCGGTCGCCAGCAGCGGGCACCAAGTAAAGCAAAAGTCGATCATATTCCTAACACCAATTGTTTTTGAATCCAAGGGGTTTGATATCCACATTTCTTCTCGCCCGCTTTTGTATCCTTTGCCAGAGCAAGAGAAGGTTTTTTATTCTGTATATGAAATCCTGAAGTTACAAAAACTGTACAATTGTGTTGCGAGAGGCACGAACTTCATTTGTCGTTTTTCTTTTGTTTTGTCGAAAAAAAGAGCAAAATTTACTGCTGGAGCTCGCCAGAGGCAGCGATGGTAACCTTGGCCTTGGGGCTACCAGATGCGGAACCGAGATTCTCAATCTGGCGAACGATGTCCTGGCCCTCAACGACTTCACCGAAGACGGTGTGCTTGCCATCCAACCACGAGGTCTTGGCAGTGCAAATGAAGAACTGGGAGCCGTTGGTGTTGGGGCCAGCATTGGCCATGGAGAGAACAAAGGGGGCAGTGTGCTTCAGGGTGAAGTTCTCATCAGCGAACCTAGATGATGTCGGCAAAGGATCAAGAATAAAGCGCATAAGAATCTGGGACTCGTACACGATTCGAAATAGAATCTGAGGACATAGAGGGCTTGAAATGCAAGGCGGCAGAAGGCACTTACTTCTCACCGTAGATGGACTTGCCGCCGGTACCGTTGCCGCGGGTGAAGTCACCACCCTGGATCATGAACTCGGGGATGATGCGGTGGAAGGAGGAACCGGCATAACCGAATCCCTTCTCACCGGTGCAGAGAGCGCGGAAGTTCTCAGCGGTCTTGGGAACAACATCCTTGCGGAGCTTCATGACGATGCGCTGTATACAATTGAAGGCAAAGATATAAAATCATGGAAGCGAATCAGTTTACGGGCTCCACGTTCGTATCATCATCGATTCACTGAGAAATAAAGAGCAGGTACATACGCCCGCTGGCTCGTCATTGATGGTGATGTCGAAGTAAACTGGACAATTAAGAGAGAACGGAAAAAACTCGGTTTAGTTTCCTCGCAATCGCTAAGACACGATGATATCGACCCCGTTGATCCATTGATGCTGACAGATCGTAACAGCACGGCAAAAAGGGGGGTAGGGATCCAAGCAGGGCCATTGCGCAATGAATTCCCACGGCATCACCCCCGCGTATTTAGTGCGGACGGTGGGCTATCTCGACCGACAGACGCGTCCAGAGACACACGGGGGCGCATGGAGCTGTGATGATTCGCGTGGGATTTGATAAAGACGTGCGAGCATGGCCAAGGAAGATAACAGCAAAAAGGACTTCACACGCAATATACCTCGGGGGTTGTTGTCCATTGTGATGAGAGTTGTTTGGAAGAGGGGAAGGTGATGAGTGAAGGAGAAAAGGAAAAGGAAAACAGAGGGGGGAGGAGACAGAACATAAACACCCCATTCTTCCATTGTATTCCTTGTGTACGTAGAAAATCAGCAGAAAGAAGGTTTTCGCTCCTGCCTCTCTCCTTGTCTCTCCAAGAGGCGCTAGTCTAAAAGGGTGCGGGGTTCCACCTCTTTGTACGTGCAAGCAAGATGACATCACCCACACTGAGGGCTGAGGCCTGCAGAGGAGGGTTCCCAGTCCAAAAACAAAAAACAAAGGACTGGCCTCGTCCCCGCCATTAGGCCATTTGTCTTGTGCAACACGCTAGACCCCTAGGCTGGACTATGTTGGGTCGTGGTCTCTATCATGGAACGCGTTTTTGAGGAGGCGTCTTGGCCAGAAAAGAAACATCAATGAAATTTGTTCAACAGCATAGATAGGATCTGTTAATGTTTTAAGAAAAAAAATCCTGCAGCCATCGCAGGAGGATATTCCCCGAGTGCGGACAAAAAGAAAGCGCGTTTATCTACGGCCGATCATCCTTACCGCAAAGTCGTCAAAGGCGACACGGACAAAACGAAAAACGGAGTACATGCGCATCTAAGCGAGTTTTCGAGAAAGAGCATAGACTCCGAGAAATATCTGCTTGTCTCACGCTGCAGCAGCAAGAGAAAAAGGAAAAGAGAAAGAGAAAAAAGACAGAGCCTCGGTGCTGTTACCTTCAGCTTGCTCGTTGCAGCAGTGCACTGTTAATGTCTTGCAAAGGAGATAAATAAATGAAACGCGACGCGTTTCTACACGCGAAAGGCTGTGCAACAATCGGATCGGCGCCCGCCGCGTTTATTTCTTCCTTGACGCTCCTGGGCCAATATGCGATTCGATACGGCCAAGACGCTTTCGATTACTATTTGGACGCGTAAACAGACTATCGTTGAACAAGCGGCGCCGCCATCTGTGCAATATATCCATTTGACCATATCGTTATCCTTCTGATGTCCTCCACATTGTTTCATTTTAATCAAACCATCTCCACGCGCCGCTCATTCTTGCACCCACATCGGTAAACACATTGACAGCAGACGTGGCACTGGCACTGTAGCGCCGCTGTGCCAGTCGGTGCATCCACGCCGCCATCTCCGTTCGCCTACTCAACTGAGTCAACCAGTGACTGCGGACGACCAGCCCGATTCATGCTATGATGATCGGGCCGATTGCGCTTATTGCATTTAAGATATTATGCCTTGCCATCCGTTGATCCTCTCCTTTTCTCTCCTTTTTCCTTTCTAAAAGGAACACATAACACTTGCTCTTCCTCATTCCTCAGCTGCATCTCCTCCTTCTTCTTTGTCCTTTGATCGCACTATCGTCTCCACCCTCACCTTCTGCTTCACGTTCTTGGCCATCTAAAGCCTTCTTTCTTCAACAGCTAAACAACTCACAGCTCGAACACAACCAACCATGTCTCCTATATCGGTAAAGCCTCGCGTCCCCACCTACGCCGAACCCACCTCTTCCACTCCAGATATTCCAAAACCGACTGCCGCCACCACCAACGCCGCCTCCGCTCCTTCTCCACCACCATCCCCATCTCCTTCTCAGGCTCCTGGTGCCTCTCGGAGAACCTACTCGCCTCCTTACGTCCGCTCTGTCTCCCACTCCCCACCCTTCCCCGGATCCTCACACTCCCTCCCCTCTCCCGCTCTCTCCTCCGCTTCCTCCACCACCACGACCGACTACCTCGACCGCCCCTACCCCGACTACCTTCGTCTGATCCTCACATCAAGGTGCTACGACATTCTCAAACAAACCCCACTCACTCACGCCATCAACCTCTCCAACCGTGTCAACAACAACATTTACTTCAAACGCGAAGATCTCCAGGATGTGTTCTCCTTCAAGATCCGAGGCGCCTACAACAAAATGGCCCACCTCTCGGAAGACGAAAAACGTCGTGGTGTCATCGCCTGCTCGGCGGGGAATCATGCCCAGGGTGTAGCCCTCGCCGCCAAGACTATGGGTCTCAAGGCCATAATCGTCATGCCAACTCCGACCCCGGAGATCAAGTACAAGAACGTTCAACGACTCGGATCGACCGTCATCCTCCACGGCAAGAACTTTGATGAGGCCAAGTCCGAATGCGAGCGATTAGCGAGTTTACACAACTACACCAACATCCCACCGTTCGATGATCCCTATGTGATTGCGGGCCAGGGAACCATTGGGGCCGAGATCCTGAGACAGCATAAGATGGAAGAAATAGATATGATCTTTTGTACGGTTGGAGGCGGGGGGTTGATCGCGGGTATTGCGGCCTATGTGAAGCGAGTTGCCCCGCATATCAAGATCGTCGGGTGTGAGGCCTTCGATGCGAATGCCATGACTCGGAGTTTACAAGCCGGTCGACGAGTCGAACTGGCCGACGTCGGACTGTTTGCAGACGGTGCGGCTGTCAAGGTCGTGGGGGAGGAGCCCTTCCGGCTTTGTCAGAAGTTTGTCGACGAGATGGTCGAGGTGACTAATGACGAGGTAACAACATATATCTGCTTCACCTTCAATGCCTGCTTTCTCCTCCATCTTTACAAACCTATTATCAGAGAGAACCGATAGGATGAAGATGAAGATAAAAATTGAAAAAGGAGGGGAGATAGGAGAATGGTCGAGATAAAGGGATAGCCTAAGGGGTCTCGGCATTTGCTTAGCTGGGTGACACATATGACACATGTCAAAGGTGGGCGAAATGCGGCGGGTACAAATCCTGTTTAAGATTAACTTATTTTTTCTTTTCTTTTCATTTCCGGCAGATCTGTGCGGCCATCAAGGACATCTTTGAGGATACGCGATCCATCGTCGAGCCTGCGGGCGGACTGGCTGCGGCAGGGTGCAAGAAGTACCTGCGCGAACACAACCTGTCCCACAAGACCTGCATCGTCATCACATCTGGCGCCAACATGAACTTTGAACGACTCCGCTTCGTTGCCGAGCGTGCCCTGCTCGGCGAACAAAAGGAGGCCCTTCTCTCCGTGGTCATCCCCGAACAACCGGGTGCATTCCTCAAACTGTACATGCATATCCATCCTCTGATGGTCACCGAATTCTCCTACAGGTTCACGCCCAACAAGAAGCACGCACAAATCTTCATGTCCTTCCTGTGTAATGATCGCAAGAATGAAGTGCCCTTAATCATGAAGACCATTGGTGACCATGGCATGCAGGCTTGGGACATCAGTGACGATGAGATGGCCAAGAGCCATGCCCGATTCATGATCGGAGGTCGCTCCAAGGTACCGAACGAGCGTATGTTCCGATTCGAGTTCCCCGAGAGACCTGGCGCACTGCTGCAGTTCTTGCAGGGTCTACGTGCCGGCTGGAACGTTTCTCTCTTCCACTACCGTAATCACGGCTCAGGTAGGTACCTGGAGTCTCTGTTTTCGTTCATTGCCACACAGAATTCGCATCGCAACGCAGCGCAACTCACCATTACTCTTTTTTTTTTTTTTTTTTTTTTTGTGCGTGTGCGTGTTCCGCCTTCAGATATGGGCAAGGTTCTCGCAGGCCTTCAGGTGCCCAAGAAAGACAGCGTAGAGTTCGCAAAGTACCTCGCACGCCTAAACTACCACTGGGTCGAGGAGACTAACAACCCTCTCTACAAGCAATTCTTCAGCTAGACAATCTTCGTCCATATACCTTCATATACCACTGCATACACATATACACTCCCTCTCCCCCCCCCCCCCTCCCCCCAAGCAAGCCTCAGTAGGTCCCAAATAAAGCGCTCTCTGGTAGATGCATCTTTTCATATGTTTTGTATTAGTACACAGGTGTTCATGAAGACGACTTTGATGGCAGAGATGAGGCCGAGGTCAATGCCGAAGACAACGGCGCGTTCGGAAGTGTCGCAACAGACGATGCCTCTGTTGTTTTCCTTGCCTTATCTTTCACTGCATCGCCTTGGTCTGTAGTCTCCTTGTCAATGCCCCCCAGCAGGCCTCTTCTCTGGAGTTCCATCGTCAGAATCGCACTACTCTTTGCCCGCTCCAGCAACATGTCCCCGAACCCCTCCATTGGCAGATCAAAGTCCATCCGCTCCAGTATCGGCACTTTCTCTCCAAACGCCAATGCAACCCTTGAGCTCTTGCGTGCACCGGACGCAAGTACCGATCCAGGCTTGATGAACGTCGTAATTGGTTTCGGTGGCGTAGGAGCCTCCTCTGGTTTCGCCGTAGTCGTAGACAATTTCTTGGACGAAGCTGGTTTTGCGGATGTCGAAGACGCTGCTGCGACCGTCTTTGTGGATGGCACAGCTGCCGAGGAGACTTCCTTGGTCTTGGGATGATTAGTAACAACAGCACTGCCATCGTCCTTCTGCTCCTCTGTGGACACCTTGAGAACCCTGACCTTCTTTCGACTCTGTCCATCCCCGACGGTCCTTTTCTCCTTCTTCTCCTGCTTCACTTCCGCCGCTGTCGTCTTTGCAACAGCCGTGCTCGACTCGCCAGTCTTAGGGGCTGGAAGAATCATGGTGGCAAGTCGGTTCTTTGTACGACTGAACGGCGAATACTTTGGTGCCGACAATGTATTTGTCGTATCCCCGAGTCCTAGCTGCTCATACCTCCGCAAATTCTCTTCCGCCTCCCGCAGCAACCGCCGATGATATTGATCCTGCATAACCTTGGCCGCTGCCAACGAGATCGGTACATGGTGTTGCTGCTGCGTAGCCTCATCCGCGCTGGACCCTGCCTCCCTCTGCTGCTGCTGTTGTTCTTGCTCAACCGTCTTCTGAAGCGATCGGAACGCGCTGATGGGCATCAGGCGATTGATCTCAATATGCCTCAGCTTCTCAACCACCAGCTGCTGTTGATACATCGCATGCCGCAACTTCTCTTTCTCTCGATTCTTTACCTTCTTCTCTGCCATTTCCTGCTTCCTATGCCGCTTCTCGTACACCTCGTCCGATAAATTCTCCTCCGGTCCAGCGCCGCCGTCAATACCTTCAATCTTGCCCAGGGTCGTATTAGTTGTCGTTGCTTTCCTGCCATGCGAGTGTGAGGACCAAGAGGGGACTGCGGTCTGGACACTGACATGTTGGTTATTCACAATTTCCTTGTGCTTCTGACGTGTCGAAACGGCTCTCGCCGTGGCAGAAGACGGAGAGTTGGCGTGCGCAAGTGCCTCGGCAGCTGCTTCGGCCTCAGCCTTGGCGAGCGCTTTGGACAACAACTGCATCCTGCGCTTCTTTTCTTCCTGCAAAAACTGGCTGATACTGCAGGGTCTGAAAATGGGCACCTCAATATGAGTGGGAATAAACGGCGGAGGCGCTAATTGGGGTATTGCTAGCTTTGATAGAGAGCTTGATGCGGTCGTTGATGAGGATGACAGTGGTGCTGTTAGAGGTTGAAAGTCTTCTGAATCATCTGCTCCTCCACAGTAGGCTGCTGGTGGGACTCTGTTAGGATCAACCGTGGCCCTTTGCAGGACTTGTTTGTTGGCGAGATAGAGAATGTATTCTCCTGCAGGAGCAATTGGAGGTTCTAGATATACAAGATAATAGAATCGACACTGTTAGGCAAAGACTACTTAACGCATTTGATCCAGGCGGGGGAAGCAGCATAAGCATGAGCATAAGCGTAAGCAAATCAGTATAGTGACATACCGAAGAGCGTGGCATCTATTGGGAGCACACCAGTCTTGTCGCGTAGCATTCCACCGCGCGAAGGTAATACGCGTTTCTGGTGAACCGCATCGGAAGGGGGCGAGGACGCGGCGGCGGCAGATGGAGGTGGGGATGCAACACTGGAAGCAACTTGGGGTGTGCTCCGGGACTTTGTTGACTTTGTCGTCTTCGTTTCGCTAGATGCTGCCTCTGTCGAGATTGCAGCGGAGGGGGTCGTAGAAGGATGTGATGCTTTCGTGTCACCATTGGCATTGCTATCGCGTTTGCTGCTGAGGGATGCACTCTTGGTCGTACTCTCACTCGCACCCTTAGAGCTCTTCTTGAGTGTCGAGTTCGATGCAGACGCACTCCCGCTCTTTCGCGAACCAGCGTGTTTGGCAGCAGCAGTGGCTTCCGTTGACTCGGCGTTCGACTGCAGCGGTGCCTCATCCGTGTCCATGCCATCGACATCGACTTCGACGTCGGCATCAACCTCCGCCGTCTCTACTGGCTGAACTGCAGCTAGTGGTTCCGTAGGCGCATGAGATTGGCGCGAGTGTGAACGTGGAGTTGTTACTACCACGCGTTTCTTCCTCTTATTGCTTGAGACCTCAACAACGCGCTGTTCCTCCTCCTGGTCCCCATGGTCGTCTTTGTGCTCATCAATCAATGCCCGCTTTTTCTTCTCGGAGATAGTCGTATGAGGATTCTCCGCCAAGGCTGTTGGGTCAGTTGTGGATGCACGCCGTTCGGCAGCATTAGTGGCCTTGCGTTTCCGAGTGATATTGCTGCTATTGTTGCTGCTATTGTTGCTGGTTTGGTTGTTTTTATTACCAATTGGGGTCGAAGTGGAATTTTTGGCGTTGGTTGCGATGGAGGCAGCAGAGGCAGTATGGGTGTGAGCCTTGCGATCAGTCTTCATGGTCATGTCTATGCTGCTGACGCCGCTAAGTGGGATGCTGCTTTGGTGGCCAGTGGTTTGTTTGGCGATGTCGCTTAGATTGGCCAACTGACGGGCGATGACCGCTGAAAGAGCAGCCGAGTCAGCAGGGTCCAGTGAGAGATGTGAGTGAGATTCGAATGCCGATGCAGAGTGGGATTCTTGTTCGGAGGGATGCTGGGCCTGAACGGTCGGCACAGGCATCCTTTTAGACGATAAGTTGATGGAGCAGGCAGACGGGAAGTCAGCCGGGTTGGGTATACTTCTTTTTAGCTAATAGGATATTGTCGGCGAGAAAGAGCGATCCAAGCAAATGAGGTACGCAGGATCAGATAGTTGAATGAAGAGCGAGGAATGAAGAAGGAGCAGGGAGAGTGATGGCAGCCTTGGAGGGTGATCTCGATGGGTGCCCTCCGAGGTTGTTATTCTAGCCTCTCGTCTCTCTTCTCTTTTTCGCTAGAGTGAGCAGCACTGTTTATTTTATTTTTGTTGATGTGACCTCGCGTGAGAGAGTTACGCGACGCATTCGTATCCCATCTACGAAGCACACGCGCACCTGGATATGGCCACTTCAAGGGTCCGTTGGGTACAAAAAGAGACGCTCGGTATGGGTGCTGCCACTGCTGCACTAAGACCAGCACCACGTCAACTGTTTATTGTTTCACGTCGACATTGAGCCTAGAGAGATCGGGTTTGAGACTAGACTCGCCCTTCTAGACTGACTTAACCTCTACGCGCTGTCAGGATCTCGACACCCGTCTTGGTCACCACCATGGTCTCCTCAAACTGCGCAGATCGCTTCCCGTCCTGTGTCACAGCCGTCCAATCGTCCGGCCACATCACGTCCTTCCAGGTGCCCTCGTTGATCATCGGCTCGATGGTAAAGACGTGGCCCTCCTTCATCACCCCCACGGCCTTATTACGCCCATAATGCGGGAAGTTGGGTGTACAGTGGAAATGGCGATGGACTCCATGCGCCAAAAAACTCTTCACCACAGAAAAGCCCTGGCTCGTCGCATGCTTCTCAATCACATTTCCAATGTCTCTGTAGAGTGTGCCTGGCTTGACTATAAAAATGGGGCGACAGCAACAGGACACGATTATTATTATTTTTTTGTTAGCAATCGCAAGATAATGCCATGGAATAAAAGTATCTCTTTCTCCCAATACTCGACTTACCCATGGCAATGGCTTTGTCAAGACACTCCCTTGTCGTCTTGATCAGCCTCAACCCCGTCTCATCAACGTTACCCACCGGCACCGTGTCATCCAAATCAGCATGGAACCCATCCTTATAGATCGACACATCCAGGTTTACAATATCCCCATCCTTCAACTTCCGTTGATCCGGGACCCCATGACAAATCACCTCATTCACAGATGTGCAGCACGACTTCTTGAACCCGTTATAGTTCAGTGACGAAGGATACGCTCCACGCTCGATGGTCGCCTCATGCACGATCCTATCAATCTCGTCCGTCGTCACCCCGACCCTGATCGCCGCCAGTCCGATATCGAGCACCTCGCGTGCCAGCTGGCACACCACCCGCATCTTGTCGATGTCCTCAGGAGAGAGGGCCTCGATCGCATTGGATCTTTGGACGCTGTACTCGGACAGGGGCACGCCCGTCTCGGCGTAATCGGGTCTAGCGATATGATCTGGGACAAGTCGACGAGGTGACAATGGATAGTGGGGTCGAATCGAGCCCGTGAACTTGAAGCCAGGCCAGGGATCAGAACCCCCTTCCTCTAGAAATTTGTATCGGATTTAAAAAGCAAGGGCGACGACGTGATGTGTGAAGCCTTGCGAGGTGAGTTGTTGATGTGTTTCTCAATAACCAAACCCCCTTTCATATTGATCAACAGCAGACAGTTGAACAACAAGTAAATGAACAAACAAGCAATTAAGGAAGTTGTACCTGCAGGAGGACCATTGACAAGTGCCGCAATCTTATGGATCGCCTTATGAGTTGCCTATCAACACAAAGAACACCAACGGCCCCCGTTCCCTCAGCTGTCAGCTCAGGATCCAGATTCTCACATGGCATTCCATCCTACCCCACACCCTATCCTCGGAGTACTTTTTTTTTTTTTTTGTTCAGGGCGCGCGCCTCTTACCCAATTGTCTTTAAAACATCCCTGCGAACAAAAGAACGAGTTCGGGAACTGGAGCTTCAAGCACGTCGGGCATTGAAGCGTCGCTGCCTTGTCGCAGTTCACTCCCTGACAGACCTGTTGTTCCGTCGAGATCACGGTTGTCGTTGTCATTGGCTTTCGAATGATCAAAAAAAAAAGTTTTGAGGTTTTGAGGTTTTGAAGTTTTGAAGTTTTGAATGAACAGGGATGCGAACACTGAACAAGCTTAAATACTTCAATGACATACTGCGGCAGGGCAAGTTTTTTTTTTTGACGCCAGATCCCCCCAGGGCAGGATTGGTTTTGCATCACGTGCGGGATACATCCATTCAGAGCTGCATCCTTTATTTTGGGATGATTGACGAGGATATGCTGAAGAAGCAAGACTCCCGGAGGTAAGCAATGAACAATGGCGTCGTTGCCTTCACGGGTTTCTTGAGAGTATTGAAGGTCGCCATTGGCCCCCAAGAAATATGTATTTCTACAGCAGAAAACATCCAATCCCAGGTGTTGCAACCGATTGTGCATCACATAGGAATAATCTTTTTTTTTTTTTTTTTTTTTTTTTTGATTTTTCGGAAGCATCCTTTGGAGTGCTCAAGATAATCATAGAGGGCCCCTGCTCGGTCCAAGTAACGTCCTTGTCCTTGTTGGCCTCCGGGGAGGAGTATCCGGCAGCCTGGTCAGACTTGCGGCCGAAAATACCGTCCAGATTGGGTTCGACCGTGTTGACGCTGTTCTAGATAAAGCACGCCATTAAAATAAAAAATAAAAAGACGCCAGAACCTCTAAAACGAACGGATGATAGGACATTGCTGTGCAGTATGCCAAAGGTAAACGACTTATAGCCTCGACGGTACGGCTCTGGGCGCAGCAGGTCCTTGAAGAGATTAATTACCCAATGAATCCCATTATAAGATATTCACGGTCTGTGAACGCTAATGAAGATAAGAGCGCTAACACACCATTTATGAACGACGTCTCCGGCTTTCATTGTAAAATATGCAAACTGGGCCGGTGGTGGCGACTGGAGGGTTACAAGAAAGAGCAGCAGACTATCGCCCACCGTCAAAATCCAGTTCACGGCGCGCGGAAGCTAACAACAACGGTACAAAATTGCATCTCCGGAGGCGAGCCTAAAAAACCCCCCTAGTTAGCAATCGGATGGTCCTGGCGCTTTAGACCCCATAAGTCAAGGGGTCCTTTTTTATTGATATAGACATTACATGGCCAGCCCGTATATATGTGTGTAAGGGGTAAGGGGAGCCGCATTCAGGAAGCCTCCTTGAGGTATGCAATGATATCGCTGCGTTCTTGGGCTCCTTTGAGGCCATGGAATGGCTTCTTGGTTCCTGGAATATATTTCTATTCCACCGTGGAAATAGTTCAATAGTTAGAACACGGATCGGATCAGTCATGTCAATGAAAAGATATTTAATAATACCGGTTTGTTTCTGCCAGCACAAAAAAAAAGGGGGGCCCCATTCGCTTACAAATGCGTCCGACGCGGGCGTCCCCAATTATTTTGTGGATGTGTTGAAACGCACTTCGCTTACATGGTCTCATCCAAATGTCCGTTCAAAAAAAAAAAAAAACACCCCATTTGAGCCTTTTGCACACCATTCAAATTCAGTCTTTTCATCGTTACCTTGGGATCCTCCAAATATTCAAAGAGAGTCTTTTCAGTCCAAATAATGCCACTACGCGCGTGTGCCTCCGAGAATATGAATCCGTTTGCCTGGCCAGCCTTACGCCCAAAGACGCCATGTAACCTTGGTCCATACTTGTTGATACCGTGCTACGTGTTGAAAGAAAAAAAAAAAAAAAAAAAGTGATGGCGATGGTATCAGCACATGAAATTCCTTTTAATCTGTCGCTTTTTTTTTTATGATTTGAAATTCCATTCAAAGAGATGGCTGGGGCCTTACTTCCTCGAGTGTGTGGCAGTGATAGCAGACGCGCATGAATAACCTGGCTCCTGAAACGTTTGTTGAAGGTATGTGTTCAGAAAGCGAAGAGAGGAATGAGCGACAAGAGTGGTCCGAGAGAGTGACAAGGGAAGAGGTGAAATGCACATAAAAAAAAACTCACCCGAAACAGCATTTCCTTTTGGTCTTGATGAAGAGTCGGACATGTTTAATATGCGATGTTAATAACAAGGGGAAGAGGGTTGGAAAAAAAAAAAGTCAAAGAGGTGAACGATGAAGAGGAAAGTCGTGGGAACTCCTCCTTCTCAGGTTGTAATGTTTTGGACATGCTGCTGCATTCGCCCACGCCGATATGCTCAACCTTTGAAATAAATTGTGTTTCGGTGTTTCTTTCCGAGGGATAATACCGTCTATGTATGGATATGCGGCAAATCCTAGTTTCATCCATGACCACGACTAAAACGAAACTGATAACTTTGGTGGCAACACAATTCAGTCTACAAAAAGCTTAGACAGAGCCTTGGCATAACGAGAGTGATTTTGTTTAAATGTTATATTTGTGGACAAAAAAAAAAAAAAAAAAAAAAAGAGTAATGCATTTTCGCATTGAAATAAAACAGAAGATGATGTAAAAAGAACTTGGGCAAAGACGATGCAGGTGATGATAATGTTGAAACAGAATATAACAGACATGGACAAAGGTGGACTGAAATAATAATAAAAAAGTTCGTAAGTGCGGCAATGATCTGGTCTAAAAAAACGCTTTCTTTAACCGTCCATTGGGGACTTCTCTCCTGAACCCGTATAATAAGAAGAGTCTTGAGTCGTCGATCCCGACTGAACCTCCATTGAATGTTGAGGATTTCGTTGACCTGTGTTTGTTGTATTAGAGGGGAGAGGTGATTGCTGTTGCTGTTGTTGTTGACCGAGTTGTTGTTGCATATGTTGGTTGTGTGCCTGCTGCTGCTGCTGTTGCTGTTGCTGTTGCTGATCTTGTAGCTGTTGTTGCTGCTGCTGCTGTTGCTGATCTTGTAGCTGTTGCTGCTGTGGATTTTGGAATCCGAGCTGCATTTGCTGCGGGTAGAGTAGCATGGGTCCGGGCGCGTTATTAAATGGGATAACTGTCTGTGGAAACCGCATAGAACCGTCGTTCGCAACATTGGGCGCCAATCGGACACCCGAGGAGGCGTCGAGGTGACTAGAGCCGATGTTCTGCTGGACACCTCCAAGCGCTGAATTCGGTTGCATCCTGATCGCTTCTCTGAACAACTGTGGGGACGACAACATTTGGGGTGCTATATCCTGAGGAGAAGCTGGGAGTGACAGGGACCCGTAAAAGCGCGTGGCGCCTGGTCCAGGATACAGCTGCTTTTGTGGCTGTTGAAGTGCTTGCTGAGTTAATTGGAGGTTTTGAGGGATGAAAATCGATGAAAATATCGGTTGTCCTCCGGACCGAGACGCAGTCTGGTTGGCGAGAGCTGTGTTCATGGCCAGTGCATCGTGCGATAGAAAAGGCGAGTGCGACTGAGGCGGTTGGCCCTGCGCGGCCATGGTCATCGATCCCAGGCTCCCAAAGGATGGTGTCGTAAACTGCATTGGTGATGCGGTGCTACTAACAACACGGCCTTGCATGATTTGTCCCGGGAACATGCTCTGGTTTTGTACGTCGCCTGTCACAATCGAAAGGGGGTGTCCTGTCGATGTTGGGGCTGCTCCTACGAGCCCACCCTGAGGCTGATTGCCAGCGCTGTTACCAGAAGGCATCATCCAAGATCGGCCTTGTCCTATAGACTGCTGCGGCTGCTGCAAACGTGATGTTTGTAGGTTTCGAGGAGACAGTGAATCGCCTCCTGGAAAAGCACCGGTAAAGGAATGTTGACTTGACGAGACGGATGACATGCTTGATGAGCGCTGGGTATTATCTGAGTCGCCTTCGCCTGTGTATCCGCTGGAGATGTTGGTGACACCCAAGCCGACCAACCCCATTGCACTACCAGTCGCCTTCACGTCCATTTTGCCGCCTGCATCCCGGGTATTCAGATTTTGAGAACCTACGCCTACTGTCGACCGAGGATCAAATTTGAACGGCTGGCCGGGCTGCTGAACGGGCTGTGGTGTTCCTGTTATTGGGTTGCTTGGAAAGCCTGGTGTGCCATGGGTGTGTGGTACTTGGAAGGTCGGACTTGGCAGCATGCCATATAAATTTGCATCAATAATGTTATTGATATGGTCGTAGGTATGGGTCATAGAGCTGGTGCCTGATGGTGCACCTATGGCGGGAAAGCTTGGAGGAAGAGCCGAGTTATGGGACTGAGATCGGGCGCGCGTTGATCCCGCAGCACGCGGTACCCTCTATTGATCAAGGGCGAGGTGGGATGTAGGAAATGCGTAAGGGTGAGCAAAGGTGGATGCAAGGGTATCATATGATGGAGCTCAACATCTACGTGGGTCACCTACTCTTGGGTACGTATAGCCGGGCTTCAGTTTGTACATGGCCCCCTCCTTCAAAAGACGCCCTTTTTTTGCTGCCTTCGAGATGGCCTGTCCACAGGAGGCACGAAACGTCTCTGGAACTGGATAATGGCTAATCAGGGAAGAGCACAAGAAAGATAGTGATTAGATTTTTTTTTTATGTATGTTATTCTCTGGGGGTTCTTTGGAAGAACTGCACATACGCTTGAACCCAGTCCAGGATCGCCTTGGGTGCACTTCCTCCTTCCTGCTTCAAATCAGCAATGGCCATGAAGATCATCTCTTCATAAGGAGGTAGATCTTGGGCTTTGACGGTAGTGTACGGTCCCGTAGATCCGGTTCCGGAAGCTCCAGGTGTTTGACGACCCGATGCTTTTGGAGTACTAGGTGTCCCTGGCTGACTGGCAGTGCCTGCACCACTCGCTTTTTGAGACTCTAGGTTATTGGACGGAGCCGGGGTGGTCTTATTGAAGACTGTACGCTGCAAGTTATTAGTCGGTGTCTCTTGAATGCTAGGTAGTGGTGAACTCTGCATAGGCTGAAATTGATTGACAAGTGAATCTAGTGCGGTATGAAGTTGAGTGTCAGACCGAAGCGATTTATAGAGCGTCTGGAACAGCTGTTGCGCAATCCTTGTCGAACGTACCAAAATAATCAGCTCGAATACCCTGCATTCCTTGATGTGGGGAACTTTGCTGTACCGCGTTTTGAGTGTGCGTTTGTGCCAGATCAAGAGGAACGGCTGTCTCTGTAACGGATGTCGTTGGAAAAATGAGCTGCTCCGAATGTGATGTGGTAGGCGAAGAAAGGCGGGAAGGGTATAGTTTGACAGATGGGGAAGAGGACTCAATCCTGCCAATGAGTTTGAGGAGATTCGATTTCGAGAGAGATCTGAGGTAGTTTTCTTTCACATCCTGCGGAACCTGCTGGCCAGTCAATGACATGTCCTCTGTGAGTGCAGATAAGCCCTGGGAACTCGTGGTGCTCAGCGGTTGGCTACAGGCGTAGCATGTCCATTCGAGGTCCGCGATTTCTACATACTTGCTCTCGATGGGTGGCATGTAACAGAGTTGGTGAAAACCTCTGTCGCAGTTGTCGCACAATACTATTAGGTTCTCGGGGCTGTCATTTGTCTGCTGGCATATTACACACCCGCCATCCTCTCGTGCGGGTTGCAGGGGAAGGTAGACTGCAAATTAAGACGATTAATACTCTTCGCTCTGAAGTGAAATGCAAGAAGAGGTGTCAGGATGTTCACTTACAATTCTGGTTTGATGGAAAACTCGGCTGGCTACTTGCGGAACTTGCTGACCCATCCTTCTGCTTGGCCATTCGATGGTAATAGGACACTGTGGTCAGTAAAACAGTAGCTGGCATGTTACTTTCGTGCTTGACTGACTTCAATCTGGCTCCAACTTACTCGGCTGTCCTGTAAATGCCTCTTGAACACTGGAACTTGTCCATATGGGCCTTGCCCATACTCAATGTCTACGAATAGACAATCCGCTGAATAAGTTTAACCGGACTTTCCTTCTATACCGATCTCATTTTCAAAAGTCAAAAGCCTTACCAAACTTCTTGCTTTCAGACTTGGATCGCAGCCTTTTCATCATAATGGTGGATTTCTGTATGGATTCATCGATTTCAAAATCATCCTGATCGCCGGTCTAACGCATTACAAGGTTTTATCAGAAACTGCATACAGCCTGCGATCTGTCCAAGCCGACATGAACATCAAAAACAAAAAAGAAAAAACTTACGTCCTGGTCTTTTCTATTTGATGACATCGGTCGTTTGGATTTTGATTTGCTGGTGGTAGGGCTTCTTAATAATGACCTTGCTTGCGTCTTTGAATGTTGACCGTGCATCTGTTCGTCTTGTAAAGGTGCAGCCGCTGCTGCACTGTCGTCGTCCCTCCTAGCCCCAGTGCCACTGGTAGGTTTGTGAAATTGATCCTGCGAAGTCCTTCCAAACGGGTCCGAGGGATTGAGGCCACTGATTGTGAATCTTTGCTCGGGATTGGGGCTAGTGAGGCCCTGCATGGTATCTGACCTTTCTAAAGACATCATTTCAAAATCCTGTGGCGATGTCTGGAAACTGGACATGTCCACCGAATCCTGAACGGTGCTTGTATGATGCGGTCTGCTTTTGATCCTCTTAACGCGGTTGCTGGACTGATCCGTCATCAAGCGGTGCTGTTAAGGTGAGATGTGCGGGCCTTCCTTGGTTTATCTGCAGAGACGGAGGGCGGAATGTAGGTGCACTAATGATATCCTTGCCACTGGACACTTCCAGCGCCGGTCGAGCTCGATGTGGTGCCGTAAAAACTGTCGCTATCTATCAATCTGCGTGGATCCTACTTTTGAATAAACGCCGGAAGAAGCAATTTAGAGCAATATCTGGAGTTAATATAATCTGAAGCTTCCATGCTGGAAAAAAGAGCACTTCGCGAGCTCGCGTCGTGTTATTCTCTCACGACCTGCCCTGTCGTTTAAAAGAACCGCTGTGGGTGATTGATAATCTAATGACCGATTTTAACGTGAGATAAACGGATGAACGCAAAAAAAGAAGTTGGAGAGGAAAGAGGGCAAACGCAAACGACTCGATCCTAATCCTCTGACTCATACACGGCTCGACACAGAGTCCCGGCGATGAGGGTCGACAAAGATGCGTGTTTGCGGCAATGCGTCATTGAGTTGGACGTACTTGATATTTTTGCCACCAAAAAAAAAAGAAAGAAAGAAAGAAAGAAAAAGAAAAGAAGAGGAAAACAGAGCTTACGACAGCGTGTTGCGTCGAATGGGAGGGATATAGTGGAGCAAGGAGGATGGAGAGGGTAGGAATGATGCAAGAGGATGTGAACATAAACAAGGCGAGGCACAGACGAGGTAAGGGGACAGGAGGGGATGAAGGAAAGAAAGGGAAAGAGCGTGGGTATATGGTGGGGTATGATAAGTTGCTGTTGCCGTTGTTTTTGTTCATGTGCCTGGTACGGCTGCATATGGTTGAAGAGGGGATGAAGGCGAGGAGGAGAAAGAAAGAAATGGTCAAGGGCATCGTTGTAGAGGTTAAAGGTGTCTTAAAAGGTGTGCAGGGAGGAGGGGGGTAAATGTCTCGCCTGCATATATTTTTTTTTGAGAAACGAACCCGGTCCGTTGTGTCCATGTGGGACGGCGGGGCCTCGGACGTTTGTGTTTGAGTGTACGAATGAATGGTGGATAGCATGTGTGTGGGTGTGCATAGACTGGGGTGGGTGAGGGACCATGGTACTTGCATGTAGTATAAAAATAAGGAACTTAGACTACAATAAGGTGCGAGACACAGGGGAGGGTGGACAATGCGCTCGAACTGAGAGTGAGAGAGAAAAAGAGAGAGAGAGAGAGAGAGAGAGAGAGAGAGAGAGAGAGAGAGAGAGAGAGAGAGAGAGAGGCAGGCAAGACAGAACCCAGGGACAGAGCCTCGCCACCACTACCACATCCACTGCCAGCCAGGGATTCTTTTCTTTTCTTTGCATATCCAGCAGCGCATGGAGCGCATGCCGCGATCGAATCAAATCAAATCGGTAATATAAAACGAAATTCAAAAGCACTAAAAAAATTTGAAAGAGCCGCTCATATTTCTCGCCTGGGTCCGCGCCTTCTTTCGTATATATTACTTACTATTCACTTACTCAATCACATACCCACTCAACTCACTCAACTCAATCACTCACTCACTCACCCACTCGCAAAAGGCACACTCAAAGGGACCTCCCAAAGCAAAAGTAACCAACCTTGCCACTGGTCCATCAGATCATCGTCCGAGATCAGCCCCATGGTCGCCATCCAGATCCAACTTTCCTTAACTGTGGAGATCGATTCCTGATCACTGTGCTTCGCCAGCCTGCGCATCGCAGCGAACTTTCTTTTTTATTTTTTGTTCCCCCCTCTTCTCTCATCTTGCTGCGATGAATACTCGAATGCTGAACAGACCATGGCTTGTGCTCGGAATCCATCAGCCTTCACTCATCATGCCGATCCCCCCACTTTACACATCTCTGACCCTTGAGCATGACCCCCCCTTATGTCCTGTCTTGCTTTATGTTGTATTGATCCGTAGATAAAAAGAGTACATGTGTGATACAGATCCTCAATGGCTTGGTCCTGGAAGGCTGCGCCTGCCCTACCTTGAGTCGAAAATGCGGAATGGTGTATATGCAGCTGAGGGCGCAATTACAACGGTAAAGAAGAAGTGTAAGAGAACAGGTATCTCAAGGAAAGAGATAAGAGAGAGAAAGTGTGGAGGAAGGGGAAGTAGTGTGCCTGGGAGAAGTCGCAATGGAATGGAAGATATACGATACAACCAAGTTTTACATATGGAGTGGAAGAGTGAACGAGGGTGCTGAAGAAGATAGAGGGTTATACGTAAAAGAAGGGAAGCAAAAGGGAAGGAGCATCGGTCATCCACATGAACGTTGCTATACAATTTTTTTTTTCGTTTTGTTTTCATTTTGTTTTCATTTCCAAAAACTATGTTAGCCTATGCTTGGCCTACTTCAGCCTTACACCTCTCTGCCCATCTGCCTCCATGCCAGTCTGCTGCGTGCGTTCGTTCAAGTATATGGGTTAATGTGCGTTGACGAAATCGATGATGCGTTTACGTGTGTATTTGTTTACCTAGCCTCTATTCTTCCTTCATTCTAGTGAAGAAGGCACAGCGAACGTCAATACCACGGCGTCGCTCATTCTCCATTCCCGTCTTCAATTGAATGCCCAGATAACGATCAGTCGTCGTCGTCTCTATCCAGGTGGCCCTGGTAGTGCCCTTTTATTTTCATCCGCATGCAAACAATATATGTTATGTATAAATAAAGGACTTTACACCTGTTCGTTCTGCTCTTCCTTTCATTCGCCCTGAGAGAACAGGTACCTAGAATGTGCTCTGAGAGCATCCCATCAATGCAATCCTATGTTGCACACTCCACAACCATCTGCATTCTGCATCAACAAAGAGGTCAGGCATTTCGAGGAAGTAAACAAATCTAGAAGCGAAAGATGATGTGGCAGATGGATAATGGCAGGAGGGGAGGAAGGAGGAGGGTTGATAGCAACAATGTCTTTGTAGCACGGAGCCATGCGCCCATGACCCCATTCTCAATGGCAAGGTGAGCGGAGACATGTTCGATGGCGATCCTGAGACTGATCCCTTCCGTCTTCCCCAACAAAGTAAAGATAATGAAGATAAAGAAAAAAAGAGCCCTGACGATCCGAATGTCAAGTTTTTCCATACCTGGTTCCCAAGCAGCGGGACTCAGGACGTCCAATGTAATGGACAAAGGAGACAAAGTACGTAGTATGTAAACACGGGTGTGGGAGGGGCGTACAAAAAAAAAAAATAAGCGCCCTGCCCCACCCTCCCCCTCCCCTACCCTCCTGGCTGGTGCACGAACCCATTTGTACACGCGCTCAGCGCGTACATGGCTCTGCATGAAATCATGAAATGAAATGCGCTGCTGCATGAAAGACGAGTGGCTACCCTCGGGGGGCGCCTGTCCAATCGAAGGGTGCGATAAACAGACGAACACAAAAATACGAACACTGGATTGGCCACCAATCCTCAATCCCCAATCCTAGATCCGCAGATGTAAATTCGGCATTGGTGGTACGAAGGACCATTCCTTCTTTGGTGCAAACCAAAGGCTGCTCTCCCCCTTCCCCTCTTCCCTCTCTTCCCTACCATCCAAGCGTGGGTACATTAAAGAGCCCTGTATCAATCGGCGCTTTTTGTATTGGCAGTCTGGTCGTTCATAGATAGTCGGCCGCCTTGCCAGACTATCGAGGGAAATAAAGTCAAAAACAAAATTGCAATCAAATAAAAAGAGCTCCCTTCTCCTTCAGGCCGGCATTTGGACAAATCAGTCGGGAGCTAGATAAGAAAGGAAATAACACTCGGCAGCAACGCAGGCATATGCTTTTGCACGATGAATATGCCGGCATCTTCACATGGTCCACATCAAACGGTAAGTCCTGAAGATCTGGTGCATGCTTTAATTGTCAGTGCACATTGCCAGCAGCCTGAGACCACTCGTCAGACGATTTGTAGACTATTGCAAATGGCGTGTCGCACAGAGCAGCCGAGGAGCAATAGCGGATCCTGAACCATCTCTGATCGAGACTAGGTGGACCTGTTTGCCTTCCGAAGGATCGGCATTTTCCTCTGTCGGATCGCTCTCTCGTTATCTTGTTGCTCATCACTTTTCTGTGCTACCATACTCTACGCGGGCCTGACGATCTGCAACACACCGCGGTACTCAGGCGCAGATTGTGTCCCACAAGAGTACTGTGTCTGACAGCGCGCCACGCAATGCACATCGCGACGCCCAGTCGGATCAATCATCGTTGTGAACAATGCGCCTTCCCCTCGGAATACGTTGGCATCACCAAGCTCGCTTTCTTGCTTAGAGAAGTGTTCGGCATTGATTTCGTACCGCTGTTTGGCCCAGAGATGCTTGTGGAGCTGCTTTTTCTTCATGTTCAGCAGGTTCCTCTTGTATCCTTCTTCCCCGAATCGACGGTACGCTCCCTCCTCAAGTCTTGAATGTCGCTGTAAGATCTGGACCTCCTCGATCGCATCCCAATCGTCTTGATCTAAATCGTCGTTCATGCGTTGGTCTGGCGGCGATAATTGCGATCGCTGCTTTAGCATGCTCTCAGCCTCAGCTTCAAAGACGCCGTTAGAGCCGTCTGTAGACACTTGACTAGAGGCGTGATCTTCTTTCTCTTGACAAGTTTGGATACAGCTGAGGAGGTTCATTCTGCATAACTTGAACGGGATAGGGAACTGCCAGTCGTTTAAAGCCTTGTTGATGTCGCTGGCACAGATGCAGCTCCATTCAAGTGTCTCTATATCGCTAAAGCGGCATCCCAAGCAGGTTACGTTAGCGAGATCTTTGTTTATTACGACTTTCGACATTCAAGACCTGCCTCGGATCTCCTACCATGTCTCGATTTGCACTTTGTTTCGACACGAGGCGGCGCACATTTTTATTTGATTCAAGCAGAGAGTTTCTCGTAGGTGGACATTCATCCTAGTCGGATGTTTTTCTACATATGCTGAGGCAAGCTGCACGCTCACAAGGCCGATACAGAACATTAGCAATGCTTTCCTTTGCGATTTTAACGGGCTGCGGTGCTGTTGGTGTCGAGGCATGTTTTGTCTTTGTGTATTTTGGCGAAGGAATAAAAAAAATGAAGGAAGCTAGAAGAGAAGGAGGGCCTTGAAATGTCGATACTATTAAAGGGACAAACGTATTCCCATTCCTACCTATTCATCTTGTCGCGGACACGATCCTTCTCCTTATCTTTTTCAAAGGAGAGCGCTCTCTTTTTTTTTTCGCGGACGTAACAGATCGCTAAGCGCATGACTAGCACAGCAAACCTTCGTTTGTAGTAACCTTCATAAGAGGAGTCATTGCCTTGACCACATAGTCGACCTGGTCGGCGTGCATGCCATCTGCAGGGATTACCAAAAATTGGTGGCGTAAAGCGTCATTGAAGCAGCGCGCGCAATGCAAATTTGTCTCCTGTTCTTCATGCTGTTCTGCTTGCAGCCACCCTTTTTTTTACAACCACGAACTGTGCACTGGCCGTAGCTCGAGCCCAGGTTTGTAGATGGCAACCAAAGAAGGAGACTAGATAGACAACTCCTGAGCGTGTACTATGACTGCTCGTCAGAACCATGGCTGAGACCCCTTCTCGTCGACTTGGCCCGCATGCATAAATGCAGAGTGCTTCATTATACTCCGCTGATCCCCTTTGCCCTCTATTTCCAAGCACTGACCAACGTGCGGGAAGTGGAGGGTTTTATTCACGTCCTCCGTTCGTCGCTCCGGTTCACGACCCCACAAACGGGACTGTCGCCAATCCAGTCGAATCGTTACATCATGTCGTGTCTCGCATAAACCACATAGAACGGCCACAGCGGGGCAGCACTCGACCTTTTCCGCTCTTTATTTTCTTCCTTGTGAAATGCGCGAACCATGACGCTCAAGTGGCCTGGGAACTTTTTTCTTTATTAATAAAAAATCCAAAACTTACATCATGCGCCGGATAATTCTTTGGTTAGACCCTGTGTTCCCCACCAAGACATAAAAGGGCAAAAGTGAACATCCCCTCCTTCTTCCCTCATACTTTCCTCTTTCGCCTTCAACACAACCCATCTCCCCTCCAACGTTATCCATATGCTCCACAAACACGTCGACTCTGATGAGATCATGAAGCGCGCGAAGGCGTCGCCCGCCCACCAACTCATGGGCAAGTCCAAGACTATCCATAGCTTGGCCTACGGTTCACGATATGCGACCCAGGATATCCCAAAGTACAAGCTGCCTGAGCAGTCGACCGAGGCTGCGGCGGCCTACCAGCTTATTCACGATGAACTCGAGCTCGATGGACGCCCCACCATGAACCTGGCATCCTTTGGTAAGTATTAACAAACGGTGCTGTGCCGCTCATCATGGCACATTTGCTGGCCTATTGGTGTGTTTGTGTAGCTGACGTTTTGGAAAAAAAAAAATAATAATAATCAAATTTTAGTTCATACTTGGATGGAGCCCGAAGCTGATAAGCTGATCATGGAAAACATTAGCAAGAATCTCTCTGACCAGGTATACTACAGTTACGATCAAAAAAATTGTCTTTTCTTGACATTTTTTATTCACATTCCGTTTGGTTCTAATGTTCTCATAGGACGAGTATCCCGCAACTATGAAGATCCATGCCAAATGCGTTTCCATCATTGGGGATATGTGGAAGAGCAAAGGTGCTGTGGGAACATCCACCATTGGATCCTCTGAGGCTGTGCAACTCGGAGGGCTGGCTATGAAGAAGCGCTGGCAAGCAAAGCGTAAGGCCGAGGGCAAGGACACTTCGCGACCCAACATCGTCATGGGAAACAATGCGCAGGTTGCTTTGGAGAAGTTTGCTCGCTACTTTGATGTCGAGTGCCGTCTGATCCCTGTCTCGGTAGAGAGTCATCACTGCTTGGACATCAAAAAGGCAGCCGAGGCCTGCGACGAAAACACCATCGGCGTCTTTGTTATTCTCGGCAGTACCTACACGGGCCATTTTGAGGACGTCGAAGGCATGTCCAAGGAACTCGACCGCATCCAGCAGGAGAAGGGCTGGGACATTCCAATCCACGTCGATGCAGCCAGCGGCGGTTTCGTTGCCCCTTTCGCATTCCCTAAACTCAAGTGGAGCTTCGACTTGCCACGTGTTCAATCCATCAACACGTCTGGTCACAAATATGGACTCGCCTATGCTGGCATCGGATGGGTCCTCTGGAAATCCGAGGAGTTTCTCCCCAAGGAACTGGTGTTTACGCTCACATATCTGGGAGCTGAAGAACAGACATACACACTGAACTTTTCGCGCCCAGCATGTTTCATGGTAAAGATTGAAAAGGAATGCGAACATTCTTGCTGTACTGCATTATAGGTTCTGTTGCTTACTAACATTTTATTCATTTTATCTTGCTTCACTAGATCGGTCAATACTACAACTTTGTTCGTCTTGGAAAGCAGGGCTACAAGTCTATCATCGAGACCGACCTGGTGAACGCACGAGTGCTGTCTATGGCACTGGAGAGCACCGGATACTATGATATGGTGTCAGATATGCACCGCCCCAAGGGGGTCTTTGGAGTCGAGCACAAGAGCAGCCTGGAGTCCAACCAGAAGTCCATCAAGGAAGGTATTGAATACAATCCAGCCCTGCCTGTTGTGTCCTTCAAACTGACAGACTCCTTCAAGAAGGAGAACCCTCATGTCAAGCAGGCAGGCATTTCGACCTTGCTGCGTACCCGAGGCTGGATTGTTCCCAACTATGCGCTTCCCCCGAACGAGGAGAAGATTGAGATCCTTCGAATTGTCGTCAGAGAGTCGCTCAGTCAGGATCTGGTAGAAAACGTCGTCGGCGATCTGATCTGGGCGGCGGAGTCACTGGCTGCCAGCGAGAGTGAATTCGACACCGATATGCTTAACAAGAAAGACGATCCCGTTACGGATGCCCACAAGATGCAGCAAAAAGGTGGCACCAAGCACAATCTTGGACGTCAGTGCTAAGGATGTCGTCGGGCCACACGCAATTGTATATACACTCCTGATGATTTCAGTTTGAGACCCGAAAATTGGGTCCCCGCACCAGATGGTCCATTGAGAGGTGCTCCGCCCTCTATGCACTCATAAACTACATTAGACAAGATCAAACGCGTGTGGATGCTCGGGTAGTAGCATAGCAGAATAAACCGAGAGCACAGAAACTGAGGAAGGGTGAATCTTATCAAAGTTTGTAATAGTGCATATATTGCAGCCGCTTGTTCTCTACAGGCTTGACGGTGGATAACAAAGGCAACGAGCGGATCTTGTTTTGTGGGCAGCAGGGATACGGAGAGCGACAACAGGTATACATCTTTGTTCACACAGTCTACGTTTCCGTCTGTCTTCAGTCTACATAGTCTTTGTAATGCAGTCGTCAGACCACTTCTTTTTTGCCAAGATAGCCCAGCTGCGCATTAATTTAAATTTTGGGGCGGTGCCTGAAAAATGAGCTGCCAATAGTTTGCGATGGAACCCATGGCCTCATGGCCCCCTCTCTCCTTCCATCGCTTCCATTCAACCCGCTGCTGATCAGGACCAGGAAGCAATGTCACTCAGGCTGGCCGCCATTCACTCTTCTGCCCATCAAGGTTACGGGCTGCTGAGTAGGATAACACCAACCCCACGCCTAAAGTCCCGGTCTCTGTCGAACCCATCCTCCTTCTCGACTTCCGCCTTCACCGCCAACTCACGGTATTGGAGGACCCCTCGCACACACAAGGACGACGAATTGCCAGTAAAGAAGATCAAGAGGTTAGCCAAGAAAGGCGAGTTCAGGGATGCGCCCAGCAACACTACTGTTACAGACACAGGGGCCACAGGACGATCGGGAGCAGCATCGATCGAAGGCACTCAGTCAACAGCTCGTATTAACCCACTGAAGAAGAGCGACAGGCCGCAGCGTCACGAGCACTATGGGTCTTCAGAGAGTAGCCATCACCACAGCAACAAGGAACATCGGCACCACAGAAACCATCGCCAAGGCCATGACCCGTCTCATCACCAGGAGCACCAGGAGCATCACAAACACACCTCCCGTCTCCATTACGAAGCCCTACAGCACCATCGCCAACACTTTTTGTATCGCCAAAGACTACTGTACTATCTGCGCCAGAAAGGAATGGGTCGTCAACAGCGTCATCACTCTCATAGCCATAAAGGAGCAGACGATCAGCAGCGGCAGCACAACGGGCGGTTCAGAGAACGGTGGAATTCGTGGCCTCCACATTGGGACCCCATCCTTTGGTATTTGGATCTATCACGCAAGGCCATCGCATGGGCGTTTTTTTCGGGGGTATTTACAGCGGGTGTGGGTATTGCGGTCTGGAGCGCCAAGAAGACTTTTGGAGATCAGTGGAACGTGTTCGTGAGCGACTTGGCGCTGATCAAGAGCCATTCTGTTTCAGGATCATCCTCATTAATGTCACAAAGAGTGCCTGAGCAAAACGGAGGACGGGTTGGACTGGTGGATTTATGGAAATCACCATCATCGCAGGGTTTGCATGGGTCCCAGAAGACCCTTGGGATGCTGACGCCAGAGCAGGTCGAGCTTCGGTTGGGTCAGTACCAGAAATCTTTTAGGATCGTGGATCAGGAAAAGAATAAGAAGAAGAGAGGAACCACAAGGCTATCAAATCAGGATGTGGTCTTGGGATACTGCGTCAATCAACTTCCATCCAATAACCCGATTGAGGACGATCTATCCCGTCATGTGGTCCGGAACCAGTACGGCGAGATCGAGCGGTTATTCTTTGGCGTCTTTGACGGCCATTCTGGATGGTGCTGCAGTCAGAAGGTCGCGCGGGAATTGGCTCCCTCTGTTGCCAAGGAGCTCGATCAGGTCAGGAACTCGAAGGATACGAAGGCCGTGATGGAGGCCATCGAGCGTGGGTTTATGAAGCTAGATCAGCGGATTGTGCATGATAGCCTCAAGCGGGTTCTGGAACATCCCTCTCGTCCACTGGCCTGTTCATCGTTGTTGCCGGCGATTTCGGGGTCGTGTGCGTTGATGGCGTATGTGGATTTGAGGGAGAGGGATCTTTATGTTGCTTGCACTGGTGACAGCCGAGCGGTGATGGGTGTGCGGGAGCCGTTGCCGGAGGGTGGACATGTCTGGAGAGCAGTGCCATTGTCGTTTGATCAGACGGGTAGAAATCCGTGGGAGGTGAAGAGGTTGCAGGGGGAGCATCCTGGTGAGGAGAGTACCGTTGTGATGCGTGGTCGTGTGCTGGGTGGTCTTGGTAAGCGGAACTGCCTTTTCAAATTGTATGCGAAATATTTGATGTGTTACACCATAGCACGGCTAACATCTATTTCTCTGCGACTTTTACTCCATTACAGAACCAACAAGAGCTTTTGGAGATGCCCGGTACAAGTGGTCAAAGGAGGCTCAGGACAGGGTCTTCCAGCTCTTCCCGGCCTACCGTCAGCCGAGCCGCAATCTCAAGACCCCTCCGTATGTCACAGCGAAGCCCGTGGTACGACACCATAAGATCCAACCGGAGGATCGATTTTTAGTCATGGCCACAGATGGACTCTGGGACAAACTGACGTCTAACGAGGTTGTGCAGCTGGTCGGTGATATGCTCGATGGAAGAACTGGTCATGCAGAAATGGTTCTGGACAGGGAGGAAATCCGCAAGTACAGGCAGCAAATCAAGGCTAAGCAAGTCGCATCATCATCGCTAGTCAATGGAAAACCGGGACAACAGATTCAACAGCAGCAAGAGGAAGAGGAAGAATTAACGCCGCACAGCATGCCGGCCAAGGGTCCTACCAGCCAGATTCGAAAGTTCACGTATAGGGATCAAGCTAATGCTTCGACACATCTGATCAGGAACGCTCTCGGCGGTGCAGACGACGATAAACTGGCAGCAACACTCTCCATCCCTTCGCCCATGAGTCGCCGGCATCGCGACGATATTACCGGTATGTGTGCCCTTTTATATTTATATTAGTATTATTTTGCAATGCAACGGTGGCCATTGAGCAGTTTCTAACACCCATCCATCGCTCTGTCTTCTAGTCACGGTCGTATTTTTCGGTCCACAAGAGACTCCCTCATATTGTCAGACGCGCAGACTTCGGACGGTTTGGTTGACATTTCATAAACTCATCCATGCTACATCATGTACATATCCGCAACTTAATAAACAACCAAAAAAAAAAACCGAAACAGAAATTGACATGAGTATGTGTGTAAGAAGATTGAAAAACAACGCGTTTTCTTGATGCATTCGTTGGCGCTTAAAGATTAACAAAACGATGAAGAGTAATGGAACCCGATTTTTTTCTTTTCGAGTATACATCTTGAGATCAATTCAGTCGATGTGTTCCTGAAAAGAGCTTCTTATCTTTTTCAGGACAAGGCGTCAATTATGTATGTTCCTTATTCATGACAGAAAAAAACTTTATTTCTCCACAAAAAACAACAACAAACAAACAAGTAAACTAAAAACTGCTGTGCCATGTTGCGGGCTGCATATTTTTAATGGAGCACTCCCTCCCTTCATGTTCCTGTTCCTGTTCATGTTCGGTATTCCTTCACTTCTTGCAGACTTTTTTTTCTTTTGTAAAAAGGCGTTTCTTGTTTCGTGTTTATCCCAGACATGACTACAGAGTCTCGGCCTTTCCATTCTCGAATTCTCTCAAGTTCCAGCAGTTACTCTTAGCAAATGAGTAAGTAGTGATCTATCAGAGGCGCTACCGGTAGGACCCAACTTGGAAAAAGATAACAGAGATGGCTACATTTCCCATTATTGCGTACTCCATGAATCGCCTCACTCTGCACTTTCCATGTTCTCACGTAACTTCCAGCAGCCAATTACTGCCTAAAAAGGGGCAAAATGCTCATCGCAGGGATCGAACCTGCGACCTTCGCGTTATTAGCACGACGCTCTACCGACTAAGCTAGACGAGCTTCCGTTATATTGAAGTCTCTTTTTAATACACTTTATTCTAAATTTAATTTACCATTCCTTAAGTGCAATATCAATGAAAGTGCCATTTCCCCATTCTTTAAGTAGGCCCGATGGCTCAGTTAGCATACTGGTCAGGGCACCTCCCTTGTAACGCGAAGGGACCAGGTTCGAGCCCTGGTTAAAGCACAGTAATATGTGCTACGCATAGAAATTTATTTGGAGCATGAGTCGGGCGTACTACCCCACTTCAGTTATGTGGGTTTCCTTTCCCCGGCGACCCCCACATTGAGTGGCACTACCCCATGTAATCGTTGTGGGTTTCCTTTCCCCTTCCTTAACGCTTGACAAAATGCTCAGAATAAATTTCACCCTTGCGCTAGCCTCCGGACTTCGAGAGGCGCTGGTTCAGAACTTCCCAGCTATACACCAGGGTGTACAAGTTATTCCACTGCACTGGCAGCATGCGTCTTAGCTACCCCTGCCGGGGTTACAGGTATAAGTTCAAAAGTGAGTAGGCCCACTTTATAATAGGCTAATCTGAGCTCACATCCAGTGACCTCAGGTGGAGGAAAGACGGGACGAGGAGGTGGAGGAAATGTTACAATAGTAGAGGATTCGGCTCGCAAGCCAGTAGAACGGATTCCGTGCTCTCAAGAAATCAAGACCATCTCCCAGATGTACAGGTTACAATTGGAGAGATGGTCTTGGCAGATTAGCAGGTGAGGAGCCTGCCAGCTAGCCGAGCGGATCGCAGGAGAAAGACCTCGGGACGCTTAGGGAGGTTACAGTGAAGTTGTTGGAGATGGTGCGACTGCCACACTAGAAGATTTAGGGCCAGATAGACACAAGTCTCAGAGACTATTCACTAGGAAACCAGCACTGATTGTTCTCTCTCGGAGGCCATGTTGAATAAAAAAAAAAAAAAAAAATTCCCCATTCTTTAAGTGCACATTACTGTTAAAAAAAATTCTTGTGCTCATGGGGATTTATGTTAATAAAAAAAAAAAATGTTTAAAAAAATTCTTCAAGTGCACATTGCAAACTGGTGCAGATCCAGATCGTTAGAACGCACTGTCTCATGAAAAGAGCTGGCGTGATATGTAACTCGTCTTGTTCTAGTTCTAACTCGCTGCACAAATAAAATATGGCTCTTGGGGAGGACGAAGGTGATCGAGGTGGTCTAGCAAGAACATTTGGACGAACTTGGGGTGCAGAGGCTCGAATGCAAATGCTCCGTCTCTACTCTTGCTAGCGATACTGGGGATGGTTAGCTGTGGAGGAGTATACCAATCGAGTGTGGCACAATGAGTAGGACGATGTATGCGTGATTGCCTTATTGTATCGTGTGTGGGCAAGTGTTGTTACGAGAGTAATTTTTTGGAAGAAGCAGACCAGGAACCATTTGGCCCCGCCCCAGACCCTAAATGCCTTCCATGCATGGCATAGCCCCGTCCCCTACTAACTATGTTGGCTTGAGGCGTCAGATTTATAACCAATGTCGCATAGCTAGTCTAACCTAACTCCTACTTGACCTGCTGCGTGTATCGCGTCTCCTAGTCAAGGTCCAATGTTAATAAAGTTGTTTTTAAACCGAATAAGCCCTCCATTATGTCTAACTTCCCTCGCCCCAAATAATGCTGCAGCACCCTATAATCCGCGGTCCGTCTTCCTTCCTGGATTCCCGCTGTAAACTGATTGTTCTCTCTTGGAGGAGGCCATGTCGAATAAAAAATAAATAAAAACCATTTGGCCCCGCCTTAGAGAATTCTATAAGTGCACACTCCCTATTGATTCTTTCTTTTGTTTGTTTTCGATTCACAATCCCTTCCTTGTCACTCTCCTTCGTGTTCTATTGCACTAGAACAAGACCAGTTGCATATCACACCATTTAATGATCCGGACCCGCACAGTCACAATTATTTAAGAGTACCGTTGCCAATTGATAGAACCCCAGTCTTTGTCCAATAATTATCTACTCAACCACAATCGCGTCGATTAATAAGGGCGACAAAACCTCTCGATATAGCTGCAGAGACAAAAGTAGGACCAATATTTTAGTAATAAACTCGGAAACTCGGTCCCTGGAGAGGTTCTCATCTGATATAGTCGTTTTCAATTGTTGCTTTGTACAGTTGTAGAAGTTGAATTGAATAGGCTGAGGAGCGTACTGAGTCTTCCAATGGAGCGCCTTAATCAGACAGCCGTGTTGGAGAAAGGGAACTTGCATCAATAGTCAGGCAAGGAAGCGAAAGACGCCTTCAAGGAGAAAAATTCGCTCTGTGACAAGATCGACAATGTTTTCACCCACATTTGTACCCTATCAAACGTATTTGCGAGCCTCTCGGACAATGGGATGTGCGGAATAAGTGCACCATCAGAGCTGGATCCCTCGTCATCGATGCCTGCGGTGCATTCATTAAATTGTCTTGCTTATATAAAGTGCCCCATTTCTCTGAATCCGCTATCATTTCTAGTCTCCTATACTAGATACATGTATAGAGATTCCCTAAGGCATGACTTGCCCACTATTAAAAGAGGATCTCGTTTTTCACTGATATCGATCTTACATACTCCTTCGTCTAATAAACATCTACTCAACCACACACTCAGATTTGAACTTGTTGCACACTTATTCTCCAGAACACAAGGCGCAACTTGACCGCCATGGTTAAGAAGATAGACACGTTCGGTAAAGATTAAAAAGGTCCGAGTACTGATTAGTAGGCAGTGGTTCTAGACGGTCCTTGGTACTGTCCTTGTTCGTCTTTGCTTCATTATGATGGAGCTTTCTGAGACCGTTCTGGCAAAGCAAAGTCTTTGGATATTAAATAGAAAAAAGTATATCACAAGCCCTTCTTGCAGCATGACCATTGTTCATGCAGACATCTGTGTGAAAAGCAGGCACTCAAGAACGCCAATACATGCACATATGGTCATTGGTACATGTTCACTTTGTTTGCTGTAAATGAGATTGAATAGCTCTCTATTTCAATCCCTATATATTTTGTTCGATACAATATAACATCTGACAGCACTCGCTATAGCATCTGCATGGTTAGCCCCGGCTCGTGCAGTAACCATCATGGTGCATGCTAGATGGTATATGTTAATCAATAAACGGATATTAATTGGAGGTGGCAATTTCCTTTCGAAAGATATTTTAAAAAAGCATCTTTCGACAGCATACTGGCTTATGCGTATAGTCGGAGCGAATTCGGTTGCAACACATGCAGACAATTAGAGCAGGAAACCCAGACCCCATGGTACTTGTCCCAAACGTACAGCAGGCTGCTGGTGCCTAGCGCTGTATTACAACCGACAATAGCCGCAGGCATTTTAGCATTCATGGTAATAGTCCCAAACGTACAGCCAGCTGCTGTGTAGCACGCATCGCATCCTGATTGGTATGCTCCATATGCCAGGGGATCTGCGTTCGATAGACCGAGGATCGTTAAAAAGATAAGGAAATAGTATAACATAATGAACGAGGAGTACTGAAGGACAGAAGACAAGTAGTAGGAGAGGGTTGGTTCCAAAGGTAAGTGAGGAAGAGATGTAGCTCTACATACCATATCAGCGTAATATTTATTAATTAACTCGAAATTAAGTTCTAGAGGTAATGAATTTATACGGTAATAAAGCATACTGGACTCGACTGAATATGCAACCCCAGATCATCATTTTGCAGCCCCCACTTGCTTGGTTTTCTTGGTTTGAAATACCCTGATCGTCTTGTCCTTGGGCTTTTTGTAGTAGGGCTCCCTTCCGAAGGATCCTACCCTGCTGATTATGCTTTCGTCCGAGAACATTATATTACGCCATTCTTCAGCAGTCCAATGTAAATGGCCGCGAGCGAATATGTACCGATTATTTGGTCGTCCTTCTTAGACTTAACGTATCCTTTCAACCCTCCTTGTCTAAGGTAGTTCCGGATGGTATGCACACGGACGTGAACACCTTGTCTCGAAAGGACAAGTTCCTGACCACCATGTGGAATTAAAAGTTTTCCACTTGACATTTCCGGGCTAAAAGGGTTGTGGTGTATTCACCATATTGTCTTGCTTATATAAAGTGCCCTATTTCTCTGAATCTGCCACCACTCGGTGCCGATTGTTTATTAAGAGAATTGTGCACCTAGAACTACTCCCTATGTTTCTAGTCTCCTATACTAGAAAGAGATGTGGCTCCACACACCACATCGCTTGGGTATTTATTTGTATAAAATTTAATAGTGTGCTAGAGGCACACTTATTAAACTAAATAAAATAAACTGGACTCTGGCGACACTTAGTAAAAGGCACGACCTACCATTATTAAAAGGGCATCTCATTTTTCACAGATATCGATCCCATGTACTCCGCAAGGGTCTTAGTGGCCTTGTGAACCTTTGATGGCCTGCCTCTTTTCTTTATGGGAACGTAACATTTGTAAAGTTTCCTAGTCTCAGATACCATTCCGACCGATATACGGAGGGCTTGGGAGATCTCACGAGGTTATTCCTTGTTTGAGGAGGGCAAGTGCTTTCGCTTTGGTTGATTTCGGCAGGGACTTCGTCTTAAGGCACAAAGTTGTAGGAGTGAATACAAAGGGGAATGTAGTGTTATAGTAATGTTCAATCGACGGTTAGGGATGTAAAGTACAGCGAATGGAACTATTGAAGTTGGTTCTTATATGCAAAAAGAAAGTTCACATGGACATGGAAGTGGTGGACGTAATACCGGGGTATAGGCCTCTGAGTTTCTGAAGCAATCGAAGGTAGGAACGCGAAGTCATGAAGAAAAAAGAACGTTTTTTTTTTGCGCACTGTATCTTGCCTTACCCCAGTTGGCCACACTGATCAGGAAATAAAAAGAACTGTTTACATTGCACACAGAGGATTTTGGGTGGTATCTGAGCAGGATGCGCAGAGGTCTTTTGATTTATTGACATTTCAAACCTGAGGCATTGAAGCGCAAGGCCTCTGATCTCGTTAATGCGGTCGCTGCTGTGAGTAATTCGGCTGTTGTCGCTGTTGCTGCTGAGGTTGCTGTTGAGGCTGCTGTTGCGGCACAATGTTTCCTCGAACGACGAGTCCCCGAACGTTGTTCACAAAGCTTCCGACAATGTCCATGAATCGATCAGCCTGTGATCCGTGGCTGTTTATCCGGATATCTCTCTCGCGAACCAGCTCCTCCGGATGCACGAATTCAATCTCCAGCTCGTGTGTGAGATCCTGTACATTGGTGTTCATCGGACGCATTTGACTAAGCTTGTTGGCGTTGTTGGGTGTGTTCGCCGACTTGACCTGGGTCAGGTCAATTTTAAAGTTGTTGTGACGGTAGGATATCCTGTCCTTGTGCCGTTCAAACTGAGGCTGCCCTGCTGGTAGACGCTCTATAGGAACATTATAAGATTGTGAGTTACAAGTCCTTTAAAGTTTGAAAGAGCAGGTGTGTGTGAATGTGAGGAAAAAACGCTCTAATTACACAAGGTACTCACCTGGGACTTCGATATTGACGGAAACACGGTAGTCGAACGCGTTCTTTGGTGAAAAAACATCCAGATCGGCGATTCTCTCCTTTTTCACAATCCCGTTCGTAATCACGGCGTTCGTCTTTTGATCCTTGGTCACTCTGACCTTCCCGTTTTGGGACGTGAAAAATTGATCGACTTCATATGTATGCTGGTATCTGATATGACGCTCCTAAAGATGTCAATTGGAAGCCGAAAAAACAAAGAAAAAGAAAAAAGAGTCAATAAAAAATGTTAATCGGGTATTGAACTTCAATACTTCCGATTGGTGATACCTTTGGCTCTGTCCGCCGTGATTGCTCCAGTCTCCAGTTCAGAGTCTTGTTAAAGTGTGCGTGTTGGTCCTAGAATTCACTCGCGTCAAAACTCGCTGTAATTAGAACTCCAAATCCGTATGGTTTTCAGTTGTTGCGTTCTCATTTTGTGATTGATTTCACAGTGGCCTCTTACCACAGTCATGTCTGAAGAAAATTGGTACCAGCTCGGACGACCCTGTGGTGTCAGTACAACCTCATTTCTCACAGGCAGCTCGATCCGCCGTCCTGTGCTCTTGTCGATAAGCACTCCCAGCTTGGCCTCGATCTGGTCATCGTGTTGTTCCATGTAACGTTATTAATATCAACGCTATTTCTCTCTGAACATTCATTTGAATCAGAATCAGCTGCATACCTCGACGTTGGGATGGTGACAGTGCTCAAACAGGAACTCGCCAATAGTTCGAACCACATCGTCCAGGACATCCGTGCCAAAGAAGGGCAACTCCTTCCGCGGTGGACGATGCTGCTGATTTGGTTGTTGTTGCTGCAGCTGTTGAGGCCCTGTTGAGGAGGAGGAGCCTTCAATCGGCGGTGGACCTCCTGGTGCGCTTTGAGTAGTGGTCACTAGTTCTTCAGATTCCAATTTCTCGACGCGCACCTTCTTCGACGCTAGATTCTCCCTATCCTCATGTTCTCCTGGGACCGATGCCAGCGATTCCTCGTCCTGCTCGAGTGGCCTCTTCTTGGATGCGTTATGGTCTGACATAGGCTGGCTGGTGTCTCCTCGATGAGGAGGCTGTCTAAGGAGAAAGGGACTCCTTGCACACGTTCCGCTCAAGTGGTCCGCCACACAAAGATCGTGGTAAAAACAAGCCACTAGCGGATATACTCAGCTCAGTTTCAACAATAGGCTTTCCTTTTACCTTCCCGCCCTCTCACCCAGTCGTTGCCTGCAGGATCAGATCTTCAGATCCAATGGCGAATCTATACAGGAATTTAACGTGCCAAAAGACCAGCTCATGGCTGTCCTCTTCCACCTCATGGACCACAGGATCGTGTCTTCAGCGACTGTCTTCACACACCCATGGAAGCTCTCCGTTCGTATCGCATTCCACCCATTATCGACCATCGTCAGTCCGACGCTTCACCGCAGACTCGACCAAGTTCCGAGGCGAATTATGGGCCTCAAAAAAAACAAAGGACGGACCATCGTCAAATTCTGGATCAGGAATGGTACGAAGACCTCTTTCAAGGGACGAGAAACCCAATCGCTCAGGCGATCCATTTGACAAGAGCACGAGCGATAGAACCAACCGCTCAGGCGATCTATTTGGCAGGAGCACGAGTGACAGAACCAACCGCTCAAGCGATCCATTTGACAGAATATCGAACGATAAGGACTCTGGAAAATATGGACGGTCATCATTCGGCCAGCGCGAGGCATCCTCCAACCCTCGCAACTCCTCCTTCGTCCGAGATCGCTCTTCAGACTCATCTTATTCGTCGAGGAGTGAAGGCGCCTCATACAGCCGTGGATCATCATCTTCAGGAGGTTCAGCGAGAAGCTACGACCCCATTATGTCGGAGAGCAATGGCGGCCCTAGTCGATACATGTCATCAGACTATGACTATCTCTATTCTCCCAACGTGGTCCTATCGGCACTGAAGAACGATCTTCGAACACCACACACACTATACTACCTGAGGACGATCACCCAGAACAGGAAAAGGTAAGGCGGACAGTGAAGTGTCATGTTGCTGGAGAAACTAGCACTATGATCCGAGATCCTGACGAGAACCGAAAAACGTGCGATTATGTTCTGTTCTCAATGTAGGCTACTAGCAGATCCGGTTGCTGAATGCATTCGCGCAGCACAGGCAGCCGGCGTCAAGGTCGTCAAGACTACTAAACACGAGCTCAACGAAATGGCACAGCAACGGCCGCATCAGGTATGGTTCAATGGATGAACGAGTTTTACACTGATCTGTTTGAATAGCCTGTAATGAACAGAGAGCTCATCAACACCACGCGTTTCTACAATTTGGTCCGACGTTATTAGGGGATTGTCCTTGAAGCTTCAAAGTTACCAGAGGTATATGTCAAAGGCCTGGGACCTGTCTCTGTGGATAATGAATACACACTGGATGGCAAAACCCGTAACAGGACATTTGTGGGCCGCAAAGACGAGCCTCCTGTGTGGATCGCATTGGACGAGGTGGTTGATCCACAGAATTTGGGCGCCATCTTGCGTACGGCTTTCTTCATGGGAGTCGATGGCGTTGTTGTCTGCCACAAGAACAGTGCACCACTGTCTGCGGTCGTCGCAAAGGCGAGCGCGGGTGCACTAGAAGTGAGACCGACCTATGGTGTCCAGAGTTTGATGAAGTTTATACAGGTACTTGAACGTGTTTTCACAACAGCTTGAAGAAGGCCAAGCTACTGGTTACGGTCACGTTCTCACAGCGTTTTACTTCATGGATATATCACATCACACGTAGGCATCGCAAAAGAACGGATGGCATGTAGTCGGAGCCCACGTTACATATGGATCAAAACGCAACCGTCCCTGGCATACATGGCCAAGTACAGGGGTCGAACAGCCAACGCTTTTAATCATGGGCAACGAAGGCAATGGACTTCGGAAACAGATCATGGGCCAGTGCGACTCGTTCATTCAGATCCCATGCTTGAGTACTACCGAATCCAATGTCGACTCTTTGAATGTGAGCGTCGCAACAGGAATCATCTTGTCCAAGTTGATGGGTGGCCGGTTCCTGAGCCTGCCAAAGAATTTGAAAAAGTTCCCGTTGCGCGCACTCAGGGGACAGGAGTCAGCGACTGCGGAGGACAGGGACGGTCAGGATGAAGACGACGATACCGGTGATAACGACGATGACGAAGATACCGGCAATGATGACGATGACGATGACGATGACCAGGATGAAGACGTCGAGGTGGATGAGGACGACAGCGCTAGTCAAGGTAAAGGTGCTAAAGGATCGTCTAAGACAGAACAGCCCATGCCATGGTAGTGATCATTGCCAGTAACTTGTGAACTCAATAGAACACATGCAAATCATCTCATGCAAAAATTTGATGTGAATGGGTTTTGTGGTTATATTTTGGGAATGTATCTACATGTAATCGCGTGCGCACATACCGGGCGATGACACTGACTGCACCAGCTCGATGCGATGCTGCTGCAAGAGCCGCCTCATCTCCTCCTGTCGCTTGTGCAGCGCTGTGTCCCGTCGACAAGATGCTGGTGTAGTCAAGATCGTGTTCTTCTCGCAAGAAAGAGTCCGCAGCTGAGGCATGTGTCTCAGCAGATCCGCGAGTTCTTTTGGGCTCCAAAAGCGTCCTTGTTGATTCATCAATTTCAGGGACTGGAGCCGGACTTTCGGTCCAAACCCCTTTTGGATCAGATGCTCGACCCCCTTGGCTGAAATCCCCAGATGCGCCAAACGCGGTAGTGTTTCGAGCTGGGCTTGCAGCTCCGTAAACGGATTACTGTACCGCTCGTATCTCCACAAATGATACATAGGGTATCCCTGGTGATGCGCTACCGAATATGGATCGCGGATGATGTTGCACGATTGACTACTGCTGCTATTGATGCTGTTGATACCAGCGACTTGAGGCGTGCTCCCGTTACGGATATGGTGCGGGTTGGGCGACATGTGATGATAGAGCTGAGGGTGCAGATGCTCGCTGCTGGTGCGAATTCGGTCCACAAACATCTGTCCCCCGATTTCGAGTCGCTCCAGTGTCTGGGCACACGCCCAGAGTTTCTTCTCTGTCCCGGTTGGCTCGGTGAGATCCTTAAAAATGTTCAACGTCGGTTTAGAGAGGTATAGGCTGAGGTCCTGCAGTTTTTCGCAGTGTTTGAAAATAGGGATGATTCCTTCGTCCGTGACATGGGGGCACCATTGAAGAGACAGGGTCACAAGGCTGGGACCTTGGTGAGCAGCGAGCGTCTTCATGACGGTGTCGTCTAGTTGCAACAGGTAAGCCAGTCGAACATTCTTAAGCTGGAGACCTGCCCGATCGACTGGCTTTCCTGTTGACGTCGAGGGTCCTGATCCTGCTGAAGTTTGGTTTGTTCGAAACAGCAGCTGCAGAGTGTCCGGATGGATGTGAGGAACTGAACTCAGGGAGATTGTCTCGAGCAAAGGAGTGTATGTGAGAATCGACTGTACAACGTGCTCATCGAGTAGTCGACAGTCGTGCAAGTGAAGTTCCCGGAGACCAGGGGTGCATTTCAAGAGCCAGGCGCACTCGCGGTCCTCGATCGTACACGAGTTCAGAGACAATGACTCGAGTGCTGACGCTACTTTGGAGTAACTGTGAGTGTCTCGTTGTAAAGAGGATGTGGAGGAGGCGGACGTGGAGTAAGCTGATGTGATGGAAGAATACGATGACAACGATGACATAGTCGCAGGTGAAGACGCTGCCGTGGTCGTCTGCAGGGGTTGTGTTGTTGCTGCAGCTGTAGGCAGGGGTGAGATAGAAGTTCCTGAAAGGCTGGCAAGGAGCGCCGAAATTTCGGCCTGGTAAGAAGCGCTCAATTCTCGACTGTAATCCCACTGGCAGATTTTTGCCCGCGTAAGCGAGAGCGTTTTCAGAGTCGACCCGCAGTTCGCAAACAACTCCTCGAAAGCGGATGCAACGATCGTACCGGTGACAGAAAAGATGAGTTCGAGTCGCTCGAGGTTGCTGGAGAGTCTCCGGGCGATGATTCGCACGGCCTCTGGTTCTAGACCCTCGAGACTGATCCGCTTGGGCTTCTTGAGCAGGAGATTCGATTGGTGGTGTTGCATGTATCCGTTACTCCCGCTCCTCGAATGCCAGGACGTGGTAATGGGCTCGACCTTGTTGACGATCTCGAACTTGAAGACTTTGAGCAGTGGCAACGAGCTCAATAAATCATCCAGTCTCGCAAGGCTCATCACTGTCTTGGTGATATGTAGTTCTGTCAAGTTTAAGCTGGCGCACGCCTGGATCTGGAGCAGATGGTCCTGTACAGGTGATGGGCTGCATGGGACAATTGATCCTGCTGTTGTTGGCGATAGCGCTGCTGCTGTTGCTGCCTTGATGGTCGAGCAGGAAGTTACTGCGCCTGAATAGTGGTGTGCGACAACCAGATTGGATGCTTGCAGAACCTTGATCCAGCGCCCGTATTTGTCGAGGTTCAAGAAGGGCATCGCATACTGCTGCAGCAGCAACAATTCTGGCGGGGAATGTGTGGAGAGAGGTAAGTTGGCATGGTAGGAGTGTTGGCGATGGCGGTACCGCACAGCGTAGTACAGAAAAGGTGTCCATGCTTCCTGCCAGTTTCTGCACACTCGAGAAGCAATGGCTAGGTCGTGCGGGTCTAGGTGTTGCTGTATCATGAAGGCGAGCTCTGGAATAAGGACTGCGTTCCGCTTCGAACTTTGGTAGGAGTCCATGGCGGGGTTGATTGCGATGCCCATGTCGAATGAATCCTTGAAGAGAAAATGATGTGGAGAAGAAGGAGGAAGTGTAGCGAAAGAGAGAATTGGATTCACGCCGTCAAAGCTTTTTATACGAGGCCAAAGCACAGAGACCCGGTCTTGACCTCGTGCCTGGCGAAACGTGGAGGGGGCAGACGATCCAAATGGCAATGGTACAAGCAAACGGATACAGTGGTGTATGAAAGAAAGAATAAACGAGGGGTGGAAAAGATCGATGGGGAGTGAAGCGGACGAAAGAGAGGAAGAGATGCGCTAGAAAGTATCTATGCCTTCCTAGGGCTTGTTCAAGGAAAAAAGAGATCTCCATCAGTTTGTCGCTGGTGGGCACTTGTTCCTTGTGTACCCATGCATCATGAAAAGCTTTATTAAATGAGCCTAGAACGAATATGGACTTGCCCACCAGGCTGCCTCAACTTGCTTTTGTCAGGGTGGTTGAGGACCAAAGGAAAAAGTCCGTTGTAGGAACATAAAGGGCCACGTTTTTAGATCACCTCTTCCAACCCCACATTACGAGCAAGAAAAAAAGATGAAGATAAAGAAGATCGAACCTGATTACCTCCACTCTTCGCTTCGCCCGGTGCAGATGGACCAAGCAATGGTCTTCGGGGTAAAATACTGCCTATACTATTGCTGCCCCAGGACCTTCACCACACCGGTTCAGTAAACGTTGATCTGCTCTGTTTGCTCTGTAGCTCTGTAGTCGTTGGTCCTGGTCCAAATACCATTGAGCAGGTTAGACCAGATCATAGATGGGGAGGAAATAAGCCTTCATGGTAAGGCAGACTAAGCAGGTAAATCCAAGATGAACGGAGTGGGTTGTCTCTGCATCGTTCGTGGTTTAGTACATATCGCCCTCAATGGCAACGGCCCTTGTTCTTTTCTTATTGATCTTATTGCTGCTCTTCAACATCATCGGCCGCATGAAATAAGACATTTATTGCTTTAATATTACCGTAGACAACGGCATGGGGTTTATGCAGCCCTTCGCCACATTGACAGCACCCCGAGTTGTACATGTAATAATGTTCCTGTTCAAGCACACAGCTCATAGCCTATGTGGAGAGTCAGCGTATACGTCTACCATACTTTAGTCAAGAAAAGTCTCCTCCCCCTCGCTCACCGTCTACAGAAAACGAGTTGGGTTGTGGTGAGAGCCCTGGGGCACACAGCAAAAGGGAGATGGCCCGACCTCAATAAGCTCCCCTCCCCTCCATGTCCGTAAACCATGAGATGAAACCTCGGAACAAAACGAAGAAGAGCCCTTTTCGGGGAGAGGTCCGTCGCCTGTGCTCGGAGGCACTTTCTGTCGCGCCTCGATACGTAGGCATGAGCCGATGCTAAAGTTCCTGGCATATAAAAAACTAGGCGTTTCAAAATCACAAATGATGGACTCTTCCGCCCTGTACCTGAGTGAGCGCATTTTTATTTTTTTGGGAGAGAGAGCGCGAAGCGGGTGCGCTGTTAGCAACGTGAACGACTTATTGGAGCCCGGTATCTTCGTCTGGCAATTGGCTGCCAGCTATCGCCTCCACGTCTCTACAATGCAATGAGACGTCCTGCAGGACACAATGATTTGGATAGACCAGAACAATCCAGAGGAAGGCGTACATCTAACCATCGATCTCTTATCAAGGATCATATGAACCTTTGTTGGGCGTTTTTCGCGCCTGCAGCTCGGATTCACTTCTCACGGCAGTACCGGGACACTTTTGGGACCACCTACAAGGAAGGCGCCTTTCCCCCCGAGTTGCACTTGACCGGACGACAGCGGCACGCTATTTATACAATCCTGCTGCACTTTATTTTCATGTTTTTCTTTTGCGTCTCTTCCGCACCCTTTGCATCCACCACTCGACATGCCCAAGTACAAGTGCACCCCCGGTTGGGGTCTCTTTGTCAAACCCGTGAACCGCGCCGTGGAGGAGTCTGACGTGAAAGGCGCACAGGAACAAAAGGAATGAAAGAGTGGTACTCTCTCCTTTGCCCCTTCCTAAAAATACATGCGGATCGAAATAATGAATTACTGTATTTTTATTTTTATTTTTATCCTGCGTGTGTTCCGCATACAAAGTACGCCAGGCACAGGTGACAAAAAGGAAAGGTTTACGGTTCTCGTCTGATCCCCAGATGCTCACCTTTGCCCGGTTCAGAGACAACGATATATAAACGCCGGCCTGTTTCCAGACCCCGGTGTCTCCTCACTCACTTTCCTCGACATACTCTCCACGCCGTTCTCCTCCGTTCACCTACACTACCGCATTCCACTGTATCCTTCGTCCTTGCCATAGACCATCCTCGACGACTTCAAAAGGTATGGGCAAATTCTATAAAACCATCGAATGTCCTTCACACCTCTCACCCCATCAGACATGGAAAGCTGCCTGCAATCCTTCAGATTTGCATTACACCTTGTCCTGTGTCATCGTCCTAGAAGAGGATTGATGATCACTAGAGTCGTGCAACAGTTGTTCCTTATGGCCCTGTCTCGATGACTTGTTGCTGCTATACTTGCACTCGCCCTCACAGCCTAAATTGGGTACTCTTAAACCCGGGCTAAGAACAATATAACGAATGCAAAACAGTATACTAATTAAAGGCTGTTTCCGCAGTTTCATTAATAGCAATAGTAATAGTAATAACATATACGCAGGAACACACACGGCCATAAAAAATGCGTTTCTCTACGATCTCACTTGCCGCCGCAGTGTCTGCCTTCCTCATTGCCGGCCTCTCGGGTGCCGAGGCTGCCGCTTGCGACCCTGCCAAGTGCGTCTTTCCTGCTTGCGTATGTCCCTCTGTCAACCCTCCCAAGGGCATGGACCCCAAGACAGTGCCTCAGTTCTTCACGCTGACGTTTGATGATGCGGTCCAGGCATCAACTGTTCCTGTTGCGGCTTCGCTCATGACTCCCCACAGGAACCCCAACGGTTGCCCGATCAAGGCTACCTGGTTCGCTCAGACTCTCTATTCAGACTTTGCGCTAATCCAGCAGTGGTATGCTGCTGGAAACGAGGTCGCAGACCACACCATGAACCATCTCGGAACCCCGCCAGCAGGTAATATATTAATTTTTGTTTTGCTTTGCTTGATTGGTGAGGCGTGTCTGTGTTACCTTCTACCTTATTCATAACCGCGCTTCCATTTTACTTTGCACAGACGAGGTTATCGGCAACCGCCAGGCGATTAACGCGTTCTCGGGTATTCCGTTTGCGAAGCTGAGCGGATTCCGTGCTCCGTTCTTGAACTATTCCAAGGCGACCTTTGACATCCTCGCCCAAGAAAAGTTCCTCTACGATTCCTCGACCTCGGCTGTGCCCACGGATGCGTACTGGCCCTACACGCTGGACAATGGGCTTGCCAACGACTGCTGGAACGGCATCTGCAACCAGACGATCAGTATCCCTGGCATGTGGGAGATTCCCATGCACGCGATCATGGACAGCGACCTTCCCACCGCTAACGCCTACTCAATGGATGCTCAGCTCAGCGGCACCCCCGACGCTGTCGCGGGCTGGCTCAAGAACAACTTTAACCGCCACTACCAAGGCACGCGCCAGCCCTTCGGTATCTATCTCCACCCAGTTCAGGTCACAACCTCTGCAGGACTCTACAACGACTTCTTTGCCTGGGCCGCAGCTCAGAAGGATGTCTGGTTCGTCACAAACCAGCAGTTGCTCCAATGGATGCAGAACCCCGTTCCAGCCTCGCAACTTGCAGACCAGGACTACATGAAGTGCAACCAGCCTGCGGTCGGAAAGGAGATTTGTAACGGTTTGGATGATACGAAGACCGGAACCATTGACAAGGGTGTGCTCGAGACTTGTAATTTTGCGGCGGGTCCTTGGTCGACTTGCTACGGATGCCCATCAGAGCAGCCAACCCCGGCTACACCTGTGCCCCTACGCGTCGTTGCGGCGGGCCAGACTAATTACCGTACGCCGGTGCCTGCGAACTGTGCGATGGAGTGGTGGGACCCTGTAGCGGCACAGTGCTTGTGCCAGAGCTCGAACTGCACATTCACCGATATTGCAATGACGACGACGTCGGCCGCGGCCTCGCCCACAGCGACTGGAGGCGCGGATATGAACAAGCCCAGTATGGCGGTCGGTCAGATGGCTGGTGCTTGGACGGGTCTTGGAGTTATTGCTGCTGTTGCTGCGGGACTTGTCCAGATGTTGTAAAAGGACCATCATATCTAGTTATATAGTACCGCTTTATTGTTTTCGTTTTTTTTTTCTTGTACTACCATATATTGTCGCTCATACCATCTAGTGTAGTTTGTTTTTCTTTCTGTTCATAAAGCCTTTGGAGAATAATTTCCTCCGCAAGCATGTCGCGTAAACGTTTTTTTTTTTTTTTTTTTTTATTTTGGATCAGAAATAAGAATGGAGCCTGGGAAAAAATCTGCAAAAACGTTATTTTCTCTTCTCACTTCTCATTCCATTCCATCGCCATGACCCTCACCGCCATTAACCGCCTCTCCGCCATCAAGGGTCACATCCGCACCATGTCAACCACGGTCAACAAGGTCGTCCACACCTCCACGGCCCCCGCTGCCATCGGTCCTTACTGTAAGCAACAGTTCAAATAAAATGAACTAAAATACTACCACAGTTTGTCGTCTCGTCCAAGCGCGGACCATTATTACGTCGACCTAATGTTCTGGTTCTTCTCTCATGCGATCCACGGATTAGCTCAAGCTATCGTCGCCAACGGCTTTGTGTTCTGTTCAGGTTCCCTCCCCGTCAACCCTGCCAACGGTGAAGTCGTCCCTGGCGGTGTCAAGGAGCAGGCTGTAAATGCAACAATCCCCCTTTCTCCCCGCTCGCTCTTTATTTCAGCACTTACCCAGGAAAATTTTCCCAACAAAAAAAAAGCGGTGTTGTGCAATGAAAGGAGAACAGATCGGATTATTCGGATATTGTCGGACAGCCTCGATCACAAACGCTCAATGGATCGACAGTGGAGAGTGTTCATGGATTTTTACTGAAAAGGCGGGCGAAGTGTCACGATGCTTGGCAGTTTTTTTTTTTTTTTTTTTTTCATCCGAGGTATCACGTCCATAACTGGATCAGAGGCGCTATTTCGGAACAGGGAATGACGCTCTACTGGAACTTTGTCGCTCAGGATCCGATGCTGATTCAAAAATACCGCCTATCCTTTATATTAGGAGCAAGTGTTGACCAACATGGGCGAAGTCCTCAAGGCCTCCGAGTCTTCCTTTGGCCAGATCGTCAAATCAACTGTGTTTTTGAAGAGCATGAACGACTTTGCAGCCGTCAATGAAGTCTATGGCAAGGTACATACCGCGCATGCGCCTTAAAAAAAAAAAAAAAAAAAGGCATATTGCAAAGGGATCGTTTCTTCCGCTTAAAAGTCGTATGACCGGGATACTAATGAACCCGTACATGGTTATTATAAACATCACTTATAGCGTCTCGGAGGTGCTCTTCCTGCCCGCTCCTGCGTCGAGGTCGCTCGTCTGCCCAAGGATGTTTTGGTCGAGATCGAGTGCATTGCCACCGTCTCCAAGTAATCATCCCAACTCATCCAATCAACATCCTTAGAGCGAAATAAAAGCGCGCAATTCAAACGACAATGGGCCTCGACAAGGATATATATCCATTCAGTCAGATCCCCTTTCAAAGGGCTAGGAACAATTGCAGTGGTATATCATCATATTCATCAGCAATTTCATGTATTAGTTGATATTGTTGTTTATGTGGACAAACATAATAAACTTTAAGCCTTGTGGAGAGAGGAAGCGCGACGCTTCTTGACCTCCTGACGCTTCTCGGCAGCCTCCTTGACACGCTTGGCAAGAAGAGCCTTGTACTCGGACTCGGCCTCCTTGGCGTTCTCGGCACGACGCTTCTTGAGGGCCAAGATGTGGCGCTTGCGCTGAAGGACAACGGGGGTGACCAGACGCTGGATCTTGGGGGCCTTGGTGTAGGGCTTCTTCTCGGGGTTCTTGGGCTGAACCTCGCGACGGATGACAAACTTGCGAACATCATCATCCTTGGTCAAGTTCTAATGATTCCAGTATCCAGGATAAATGGAGTGTAATGATTAACATCAAATCTATGGATCATAGTGTTCATGGTTCTTGAAATCGCCAGTGCCTGTCCCGAGTGGTGTCAATTTGTTCCTGGCTGCATGATATCCTGAATGCTTTGAGTCGCACAGTCCGCTCTCGGAAGTGTCCGATATTGAGTACTGCAATCCTGCTCCCGATGATTGTTTTCGTCAATGAGGGATGAGAAGAGTTGATTCTGAAATAGCAATTAAAGCTTGTGGAATTTTGTTGAACCTATTCCTAATATCGCATCGAGTTGTCCTGACATCGTGCAAGATCGCTGGCAGCAAAAAATCAAAAAATCAAAAAATCAAAAGAGCACGTACGAAGAACTTGCGGATGTGGTTGGCACGCTTGGGTCCGAGACGCTTGGGGACGGTGGTGTCGGTGAGGCCGGGAAGGTCCTGCTCACCCTGCTTGACAATGGTGACGGAGAGGACAGACATGTCGGAAGCGACGATGCATCCACGGACGGACTTGCGCTTGCGCTCGCCGGTGCGGCGAGGGCGGTAGCACGAGTGGCCCTTGGACAACAAGAGGCGGACACGCGAGGGGAGGAGGACACCCTGCTTCATGGGGAAACCCTGCTTGTCGTTACCTCCGGTGATACGGAAGACGTAACCCTTGAACTCGTCGCCGAGCGAGTCGACGGCGACCTCAGCGGAGATGCGCTTGTCATAGAAGATGCGACTATTTGTTGAAGTTGGAGAAGAGCATGGTCCAAGTGTCAATGCTATGGTTTCTCACAGAGTGTTCCGTTTTGCCGCTTTGCCTCGTTGGATTTGTATTCCAGATCAACGTCGTCTATGTATCGCCTCTGAACGAATTCCAAGGTATTGTCGTCTCCTTTGAGATACCGGTCCAGCGTCGGTTATTGCCTACTCGCGCAACTCAATTCCCTCCCATAGTCCTATGCTCTGCTTCATGTTGACCCTGTTCCGTTTTGCTAAGGCCTTTGCTTGTACAAGGAAATCAACTTACGTCTTGCGCTCATCATCGAAATCGATGGTCTTCTGGCAGCCAGTGGCTGGGTTGGCGATGTTCAACTATTTCAGCGAAGGAAGGATGGTAGCGCAATCAGTACTCCTTCTCTGAATCCTGGCTACCCCGGTATTCGGTAGTCGAAGTGCGATCAGTTCAGCTCCTGTTGAAGTACTGATGTATGTGATCGCTGCTGCTAGCTAGATCAAAGGTCCGTCGTTCCGGTTACTGACCAGAGCATTTTTGGAGCTCTAGCATAGTTTTCTTTCATATCTCTCCTGCTAATAAGTCAACCATGATACTGATCCGCCTCTGATTCGCATGCACTTGGTGAAACCTCCCATGCTTGCCATGACCAAAAAAAAAAAAAATTGAAGATAGTTTCCAGGTAATATAAAGGCGCTGCTTTGATCCTGGATGTCGGATCATGGCGATAGTGGGTGCTAGATCGACTGATGGGTATGTTTCCGAAACGATGGATTGATGGATATTTGGCGACGATATGGTCACATCCATTGGTATGTTGAGGGTCGCGAGGGCAGGGGACGATAGCTGTATGGGGCTACTACAGGAATATCGGCCAATAGGATTTGATTGGTCCATTCCGCACCTTCATAATGGGCCAGCGAAAAGGAGGATCAAGCAGACTCTATTCAGAGCCAAAAAATATTCACATTTGGTACAACTAAGCCACGCAGACATTCGAGGCGCCCTGCAGATCTTTGGGCAAAGCTGAACGGACCATTGCATTCCAAGCGCTCAACTGGAGACCCCATGGAGGGATAAAGATTATGAGAACTCGCCAACCACGAAACTCAGTTGACACTCAGTGGTAATGTTTTAAAGATAGATGAAAAACGGAAGCGAGAAAGCTTTAGAAGATACCTCTTGCTCTTCAAATTAGGGCCACCAGAATGTAATTGATGCAATTGTTCTCTCCAAGAAGAACCCACTTTTCTCCTGAAGCGTATAGGATGAGTCGAAGGAAAAGACCGTTCGTATTTCTCAAGGTGAAAGCATTGAAGGTTCAGCAAAGACTTTGTGCATCCCTTGCGCTGTGACGGCCAACTTTTTTTTCTGGGCTTTTGTTCCTCACTCTGTTCAATCCTCACACCTTCTTCTAAACCTCCTTTTAGAACTTCTCTTCCAGCCAGTTTCTTCTATAAGTCGTCAATTAAGCCCTATCCTTTTGATCATGGATCACCAGGTCGACACCGCCATCGCAGGTTCCGGCCATATCGCCGTGTCCTTCAACTCATCCTTTTCGCCTAAAGCCCCCACGACCCCGTTCGTCTCACTCCGCTGCAAGCCCATACTCTCGGCTCTACCACTAGAGCTCCTCTCCAGGATCGCCTTTGATCTATCCCTGTATGAATACTCTTTCCTGTCCCGCACCTGCTCTTGGCTGCACAGATACCTCTTCAATCCTGCAGAGCTCGTTCTCTTTCTCAAAACTCGCTATCGACTGTCACTCAAGTCTGGATCCATTGTCATCTTTGCCTACCTGGCCAACATGCAAGTCAGAGCGCCGTTGGTGCTAGAACGGATATTTCAAGAGTTCTTCGCAGACTCGCCTGAACGCCTTTTGGAAGAGGAACAATGGAAGAGACGATGTCAGCAACAGAAGCGACTCCTCAACCAGAACACCTTTGAGCTGAATCAGATGATCGTGGGTACTGGTTGTGGTGTAGGTGAGAGTAATAGCAGCCTGGCGATTCAGCGCATGGACAGTTCGGAAGCACATCGCTCTGCGGAAAAGGCTAGACGACAGGCCAAATGGGATGCTGTCCGCATGCTGGGTGTTCTCTATGCTCTGGATAAGACTCATGTCGGTGTAGGTATTTTCTCACAGGGGGCAGGAAACCGCATTCGCTTTCAGTGCCAACGCTGATCAGCCCCATTCCGTTCTTTTTTATCGTTATTATTATTACTATTATCATTATTATTATTATTTTCGTATTCTATCCAGACTTCGAGTTCAACCAATGCTTTGGTCCTGAGCGGAGCAAGCGATACAGAATCATCGACATCAGTGTGCACCACTACCATGCCCAACTCTGTCCCAGAGCCCATGCCTTCTCCACCAATTGATCCATCGTCATTCTCACTTTCAACCTCTATGCCCTCCGCTCCCTCTACAACGACAGCTGCCTCGCTCTCCTCATGCGTGATATTGCCAATACGAATGAAGGAGCAGGAAGCCATTGGATCAGTGACTAGTTCTGCTCATAGATGCTTCCGTGCGAGAAGATTTCCACGATCCCTTTCTCAGGAGACACAACAGGATCCGGGCACGGTATCTCATTCAGCCACCATGGACACAGACACAGACGCAGACCCTCTTCAGGATGATTGTTCGCAGGAGCGAAACCAGCGCAAGCGGCATTCTCCACAAGTGGGTAACAGGCGTACCATGACTTTCCCATTTGCAGACTCGCACAAAGTCGACGATCATGGCAATCAGCGGGCTGTATGGAACTCGAACGTACTCTCGCCTATTTCTTTGTCTGCGTCTTCTTCTACTTCTTCATCGTCTTCTTTTTCTTTTTCATCTTCGCCTTCTGAAGCTCCGGGTTCGGTATCGGTACCGATCACTCATTTAACGATGCAGACGGATAAGCAAAATATGCTCAACATTCCTGTCAGCAGTAGCAAGAGGGTGCCCGCGCAGCGTTCGACAGAGAAGCGGGGCAGAGGTGAGACAATCCCAGAAAGGCAGCATCATCATCATCATCAGCAGCAGCAGCAGCAGCAGGGGGACGTGCATCAAATGTACTACGAGAAAGAGGAAAAGGATGACCTGAAGATGTGTTGCCCCTCCATTGTGGACGAGACTGGAGCAGAAAACGATCGCGATTTGTCTATGCTATTCACCAACGACGATGCACCTTCAATGTGGAGTAGTAGCTGTAATAGCAATAGCAACAACAGGAGAAGCATGGACATCACTGGGGATGGGGGCGATATATCACCCGCAGCGTCGTCGTCGTGTAAGCAAAGGCAGATTTTATTGACACCAGCTGCCTCTCCATGTTTCTCATCAGCGTCTACATCTACACGCGTAGCAACGCCACAGAGGCCATTGGATGCTTCGCCCAAAAAAGGTAGCAGGAGCAGCATTCAAAAACAGCAACAAGAGCAGCAGCAGCAACAACAGCAAGAACAACAGCAGCAAAGGCAGCAACAACATATCCTTCAGATGGAAGATAAAATTGCGTTCTTGGCAGAGTACACGGACCGAATGCATTTGAGACTCCAGGCGTTAGGGATTAAGGACTGGGGTCAGGAAGATATTCAGAGGAAGAAGACGTACCAGTTAATGATCCGACATAACGACAAAACTGGAGAGAAGGATCTGGTAAAATTTTATTTGGGGCGATATGGTGGATCTGTACATCGAGAGGAAGAAGAACAGGAGCACCAGGAGCAGGAGCAGGAGCAGGAGCAGGAGCAGGAGCAGGAGCAGGAGCAGGAGCAGGAGCAGGAGCAGGAGCAGGAGCAGGAGCAGGAGCAGGAGCCGGATTTGGGACTGGGACAGGAGCAACAGCTTGGACCAACGGATACGGAGATGGTTTCTGCGATTCTGTCTTCTGTAGCGTCCTAGTTGTCTCATGTAGAATCAATGAGTATGCATGCAAAAATATATGAGCGATAGCATGGCTCCTTGATTCTTCTTTGTTCCTTCATGGCCTGGCTTCTGAGAACAATGATGCAGTTCTATGTTAACCTGGGAGAGTTTGGGTTGGAAAGTGTCTTCGTCCTACAGCCTATAATCTTTGGTGACATCAATGCTAGTCATGGATAGACACAAACAATCCATTCAGTCATAGCAAAAAGGAGCCCGAGGGTAAAGAAGCACTCAAAGAGGGAGAGTCCTGCTTTGCCACATGAGATGTCATTCGTCGCAAGTCTTTTTCTTGGTCTTAGTCCTTTTTCGTCTTCCTCAGGAACAGCCCTTCGCGTTGCACCTTTTCCCCTTCTTTTCTTCCTCCTTCCTTCTTCAATTGCTTTTTTGCTTTTTTGCTTTCTTGCTTTCTTGCTCACCGTCTTCTTCCCCATTCACTCACTCCTTCTCCCTCTCCTCCCCTCTCCTCCCCTCCCCTCCCGCCCTCGTTACGCCGGTTTCCTCATTCCTCACACCCGCAGACAACTCTAAACTAAACAAGCAATCGACCTCATTCACACCATCACCACAATGGCACCCGTGCAAAACGGAAGCGGTAACTCACAAAACCTCCTGGCACCAACTAAGGAGCAGATCACCACCCTCTGGTTCATGTAAGAGGACCTTTCTCGCTTCTTTGACAACCAATTGTCTAAGAACCACACTATCTCCTCGGCCCCTTTTGCTCTTCTACCACCAGTTGATACTGACAGCATCGCTTACCTTTTTTTTCTCTCTTGCTCTCGAACACTTAGTGGAGGATATATGGTCGGTATTCTTCTCCTCTGGCAAATGCCCTATCTGAAGCACCTGTTGTATCCATTCAAGGTAAGCACACCCTTTCTGAGAACCTCCATTCAAGAAACAGCACCTAGGGGTGGGGCGGTGGGGGGATTGGAATCAGCGGAGGGACAAGGAGAGGGGGGGGGAAAGACTATGAATAGACAGAGAGAGACACACAGCCTTACTGGTCGCAGCCCTTGTGGCCCTGCCTGCCTGCCTGTCCTCCTGCTCGCCTGCCCTGGATTTATTAAACAATAATCAGGCACAACAGCCCAGCCCAGCCCAGCCCAGTCCAGTCTAATCCAACCCAACTCACGCCTGACGTGATCACTGGGAGTGAAACGTATATTGGCGCAGATATTTTTAGTCCGGGTCTTGGCTCGGTTCGAATTACTCTACCCTTCTGTCTTTCTTTGTTCCTGCAGTGTGTGCAGTGTGCGGTGTGCGTGCCTGATTAATTAAAAAAGACTTGCTAACAATATTCCGCTTTAATTATTCTTAATGAAACCCAATTACATAGCTCGTAACGATCGGTCTACACGAATTCGGACATGCTTGTATGGCCTGTATTAGTGGCGGGAAAGTCAAATCCATTACGGTGGATCCAAATCTTGGAGGGTTGACGACGTATGTTGGGAACAGGAGAACACAATGTCTGGCTTTGCCGGCAGGGTACTTGGGAAGCTCGCTCCTCGGTGGGATCTTGGTGTTCTGCGGATTCAATGTGACGGCATCCAAGGGCGCGGCGATTATGTTGATCGTATGTTTGGTACTGACGATGTTCTGGGCGAGGAACCTGTTGGCGTTCGGGATCTGCTTGTTCTTTGCGGGAATTATTGGACTCCTTTGGTGGCTCGATGGTGGAAGGTACTTGAAGTACTTTACGCTGTTCCTTGGGTAAGTTATCTTTTTTTTTTTTTTTTTTTTTGCTCATCTCAACTTGTCAAACAAGGATTCCTCCGTTTTGTTTCGAAAATGGCAACTGATGAATTCAACTCTCTTTTATCTGATAGTGTTATGAGCTGCATTTACAGTATCCTTGAGATTTTGGATATGCTGGTACTGAGGAAGTCGAACGGATCGGATGCGGAGCAGTTTGCAGAGAAGTACGGCATCTTCCCTGCGCAGGGATGGGGATTCATCTGGTTGTTAGTGTCGCTGATCTTTTTAGTGGGCTCAGTCCTTGCAGGTCTGGCGGCCTTCAAGGACGATGGCGCCGGAAACTCAACAAAGTCTCCGTAGAGACATCGGGGACATGAGCAAGGGACAGGACCCTTCTCTGTGATACCATTCTTTCCTCTTTCACTCTGTACATAATACATTCAAATAAACAAGGTTCATCTCCTTTACTCTCGTTACTGCGTGCACAGGTCAAGAAGATCCAAGGATATGTCATGTCATCATGACATGCGATGTTCGTTGGATCGTTGGAAAGGAAATGAACGTTTGTGGGTACAAAAACAACAACAACAGAAATAGATTACAGGACTCCGTAAGAATTAGCGAAGGAGCACTGCTTGGATAAGTTTGCTTCTTGCAGATTAGGGGTCCGCCTCTTCGGCGTATTTTTTTTCTGTAGCGAAAACGTGTTGTAGGGTCAAATTGCTACCGAGCTCTTTGATTGGGCGCATTTCATACTCACAAAGCGCGTTTTTGGGTTTAGGGCACGAACCTGGGCGGAAGTGCAAGTTGGTGGCATTTGGACTGGAATGGGACATGGTGGGGTGTACGTGCGTCTCCTGTGGTGCTTTGTCGACTTTTACTATTGTTACCAATCTATGTCTATGGTCGGCTGATCGCTTAGCAAACACAGCAACTGCATTGGATTGAGAAATGGGTCTCTCGCGGTATCTCTTACTACTTTCTTCCTGTTGGATTGACTAGGGATAAAGTGGGGTCGTATCCGCAAACAGACGGAAAGAAAAATGAGACAACTATCCACATGAGTAGCACAACAGAAAAACATGTTTGCTGCTTATTCAGTTTTATTACCGTGGGCCATGCAGTTTTGTTTTTCTTCTTTTTTTGTCGATATCCTCATATCCATGTCGACTCTTTCCTTTTTCTCCTTCACTTTGATCCGAGATTCATGAAAAGCAATCGATTGTATGTGCTGAGCACGCTCTTCAGCTGTGCACTAGCTTTATTAAGCGGAAGATGTATTGTTAAAGTAGCAAAGATAGAAAAAAAAAAAAGAGAAAGAAGGAATAAAGTCGGCGTATAGATCCCAAAGATATGAACCGATGAGCCGACTTTTGTTGGTTGTGGTGCTGGTCGTCCTAGCTTATGCTTCAGACACAACCTTCAGCATTGGAGGAGGGTCAGTGCAGAAAAATTGAGGCAGACACAATCGCCCGTTTGGTTGAGCCCGTCGGATCAAGGTCATGTATGCATTCGAGGCATATGTTTTTTTTTGTCTTGTTCATTTGTCGAACATAGTTTAGTCCACTTTATTTTCTCACAACGGCTAGCATCGTACCTAGTGTGTGTCTCTTTATTGCTGACACCGGCATTTGAGAAGAGACGAGCAAGCAGATTCCAGCCACACATTACGGTAACGGAGCTGCCGGCATTGACAGAGAAGGAGGGGTCTTTATCATTGATATGCACTCACGATTGTGCAAACAGCAGGTATTCAGGATCTTCCCCCGTAATATGATGTGATCTGCTTGCGAATGTTGTGATCTATTGAACAGCCATTATGCAGTCAAAGAGGAAGAATTGCACATACACGGGTCGGTATCTGTAAGCAGTTGGAGAGGTGTTTGAAGGATGAATAGTCCACAGTGGACCTGGATCCAGGATCTGGGGTCAGATAGCCAAGGACAGCTTCCATTAAAACCGGTTATTCACAAAGCATCATGTATGCGTCCATTCAGGACGGATCTGAGCACTTTGCTTTCTTTACAGGCTGGCTGAAATAAATTGTGATCACCAGATCAAAAAAAAAAAAAAAAAAATAATCTATTTCTCGACCAGTGAGTACATACTTTAGGGCTTCCTGTGGATTTGAAAGCTCCCGGAACTAGCTCAGCTAGGACTGGCCGGGTCTCTCTCCACCTGAACTTCTCTCAGGGAAGCTACTCTTTTTCTATACCGCGCCATTGGATCCCAAGGTGACCCCACAGCCATATCTTCGCACTGCATAAAAACGCACCCTCCCAGTGGCCTAGTGCTGCTAGGCATAATGGACTGGCGCACATGCCATATGATCTGCCACGGGCACAAAAGAATGGCATGACACGACCGATTCAATTGCGAGACGGGACCCTGTGCTGTTTTATGTTTCGTTGCAGGAGACATGAGAGAACAAAGATGATGGCGACGACGAAACAACGACGACGAACGACAACAGCGCCAAGGAGGAGGATCCAAGGATCAGACCAGGCCAGGCCAGGCCAGACAGAGAAAGGGGATCAAGTTGATCAGCGGCAAGATTGGAGCAAAAGGGGCCGATCTGTTCTCTGCCTTCTCTTTCGCGATCGCTTCTGTTCCCTTGACCAGTTAGTCTGACCACAGCCTGTGGAAATTCACGCTGTCGTTTTTATAGGCTGGCAGCCCAAGTCTTCTTTCCCGCTTTTCGAATATCTTTCATCCGCACCATCCTCTTTTCTTTTTCTCGAGCACTTTACTTCGCACTCCATCCTTCATCTCTTCTCTCCCCTTTCCCTTCCCATCACTATTTCTTTATCCTATCGTCCCCCACCTCCCCTTACATTGCTCTCATCCACACACTCTCACTTGCATTCTTTTACCTCTCCTCACTCTTTTACTCTTTTACTCGATAACTCGATAGCTCTGTTTCCTTCTCCTCTACACACCTCCTACACTGATCCATGAAAACAGACACCCGTACTCCCACTTCTTGTCTTTATTAGTCGTGGTAAGTATCCAAATACCTATTCCCTTCTTCCTTCCTTCCTTCCTCCCTTCCTCTCCTCCGATCCATTCATTTTTCTTGGACACAAGCAGTCTTGACAGTCTCAGCAGTCAAAAAGAACACTCCGCCCTGCTGTGTGCTCTGTTCCAGCTGGGTTATTTTTGGTGGGGCGTGCGTCCACCTGGAACTGTGCCGTCCCTTTTTTGCCACCAAGAGATGTGATGGCGTGGAGTGTGGGGTGTGAAGTGTGAGCTGATGCCCATCATCCTTCTTCCTTCTTTCCCTCTCCTTTCTTTCATCAGTTTCGGTTTGAGTGATGAGAACATCAGTTGTTGTCGCCCTGATGGGCTGATGAAAGTTAAAAAGTCAGGCGCTGCACTCGACTTTCTGCGGGACAGGAGTTGTGTCTGAGTGCCTGTATGCTACTTTGCCAGGAACAAGGGTGGTCGGCAGCAGCGACGAAGGGGAGGAACCACTTGTGTCTTGTCCTGCGTTGTCCTGTGCTGTTCTCTCCCCCCTCCCCTCACCTCGGACAAGTGCTGTCCAGACCGCTATTCATCATACTTTTTTTTGGCTTGGGTTTCTGCAACTGCTCTCTCGCTTCGCTCACTCTTTCTCTCTCTATGGTGATCATCCGCCCAATTTCTTTTTTTTCCCCCCTTCTCCACCAACCCAGTACGCTGTTGTCTCAATGCATGACAGGTACTGGTAGTACTGGTGTTGATATTGGTGCTGATGCTAGATCAACTCCAATTGCTTGTCGACTGAGGGCAGTACGGACATCACACTCATACCATTCATTTTCACGAATAAGCACGACATGTCGTTCTCCTCACTGTGTCCTCGTTTCGAAGTCGTGCATTGTGTGCCGCTGGTTGCCTGATCCGTTTTCAGTACCCGCTAAAGAAAAAAAAAAAAAAAAAAAAAAAAACTCACAATAGTCTCAGCAATCGGCTGGGTCATTTTTAGAAGAGAGGGACATTCACTTGCGCCCATGGCACACAGATAAACTCACACTCACACAATACAGAAAAAAAAGTGCAGGCTGTAGCTGTAGAAATACACATTGTAAATGTAATACGCAATCTGCTCCATCTCAATGCTCTGCTTCAATTGCATGATCAATATACGATGTTGTAAAGAGGAAATGATAAGAAGGAAAGTGGTAAGGGACACAATCAAAAGAGAGATGGATATTTGGAGAAACCAGATCGAGCGAGGCTGTGAAAGAAAGGGCCCTTTGGACATGGAGCGCATAATGATGCCGGCTAGGTAGATGGACCGAAGAGGGGGGGGAAAAAAGACGAAGAAGGAGAAGGAATATCCGTTTTCATCTCGTAGTCTTTCTACTAATTGAATACAACAGGAGCTGGTTGTATTGACTACATGGGTGCGGGTGTATGTGTTATTTGTGAGGATATCGTCGCTGACCATCATCATCGTTATCATCATCATCATCCGTCTTTTTTTCTCCTGCAGCCAACTTTTGTTTTTTATTTCTTCTTCCCTTCAAGTAACCCATCCATCAGCTGGTCTTTCTTCATCCTCCTTTTGATCCACAACAGAACAAGTCCTTGTTCCCCGCACAAAATGTCCATATCCAATCTGACAGTCCCCACAATGGCTGCGCCCGTGCCCGTGCCTGGACCTGTGCCTGTGCCCGTGCCTGCCGAGCCATCCTCGCTGTCCCCCAGACGGATGCGCTTCAGCCTCTCGGCGCTGCAGAGCCCCACATCCAGTGCCACTGCCCATCTCAGCCAAAGAGACATCCAGGCCCTCCAGAGAAAGGGCCTCCTGCGATCTAATATCACTGCCAACAACAACACTCTCGAGTCCCATGATGTCCATAGCGCTATCCAGATCTCACATTCATTTTCACATCCATCCTCCCATCCACATCGATCATCGGCTAACTCCCCAAGACCAAGCACACCATCGCCCAAGGCTCCTTCGTCGCCGTCAACATACCACACTCTTTGCGCAAAGCCGCCCCTGCCGATCGCTGCTCGAGTCGCCCCTCTGATCAGCTCATCCAAATCAAGATCAATCCGCATCGCCAAGCAAAAGTCTCTCAAGGGAGTTGATGACTCTGCCCTCGTCATCCACCACAGAGAACGCCCTCTTCCCGCCTATCATCAAGGATTCATCGAGGACACCTGCTCTCATCTCCACGTCCCAGGTGTTCTTCGTCGCCATTCTGACTCGTCAAATCAGCGCTCCGTCACTGCAACAGCATCAGCCCTTGCTCGCAGCCCACTTCCAGAAGACACCTTGGCATTTGATCCGATCCGACGCGCCTCTATCGCCACCGCATCGCCAACGGTGCCAACTCCTCTTGGCGACAGGACAGTTCTATACAGAGCATCTCAAGCTCACACTCTCTTGGCTTTGCCCTCCAAGAATGCCTTCCTGGGCAACACTCAGGCCGGAGATCACTTCACGCCCACGCCCCCTACTCCCGAGATGACAAGCTTCCGTTTCCCTGCTGACCGTAACAGGTCACCCTCCCCAGCTCTGTCGCCTTCCATATCAGCCATGTCCCCGACAATGGCCATGAGATCGAAACGCAAGAGCAGCATTCCCATGCGGTCCCCGAGTGCAGGCGACTCGCTGGATGCATCGCCAGGTGTTATCTTTCAGCTGCCCTTTGGCACGCCGCCTCTACCCCTGACTCCGTTCCGCAAAGCTAGTACTCCCTCTATGCTTTCCCTTTCTTCTACCTTTCCATCGGAAAGCAGAGGCGATGAAAGTAGCGGTTTGAACAGCGAGGCGCTAGCGACCTACCCTTCTCCCGCCTCAAGATCCGTATCCGCATCTAGCGGCTCGGGCGCAGAAATACAGGAACTGCCGGCTCCGTCGATCCGCTTTGATACACCGCCCTCTCCACCAAACCGATCCGGCCTTGGAATCCAAGTTCAAGAGTCTTTCGCTCAGTCCAGAGCGACACACCCACTCGAATCATCCTCGCTGTTATCTGCGACTACGAATGCATCACAAGCACAGCTGCACCCGATCACGTTCACAGACGAGGACTCCACCATGTCGATCGGCGATATCATCGTTGCGGAGCAAGCATCGGCTGCGCATAGACAAGAAGCACAGTCGGCCGAGGTGTCAGAAACCACTGATCACCCCGTTCTGTCAAGTTCCATGCCGACGCCACCACTGACATCCAGGGTCTTGGCCTTGAGAGTGATGGAGGTGCAGGACGGTCCAGGCATGGGTACTAATCTGGGCAACAGCTTGACCTCGCCCCTAACACCGTTTACTCCTGGGAATGGATTCACGGCTAGGTAATGGCCTGGATAATGGGTTTCTTTGATGGAGAAAAAAAATAAATAAGGCTACCAGGCATCGCACCGCACCGCATCGCGGCTAGTACTCGAGCGATTCTGTTCCAGTCATTTTACTCAACATTTTGGCCTCCTTTTTGGTTTCGCCTTTCATTTCTTTTCTTTTTTTTTTCTTTTTTTTTTTTTTTGCATATTCAGACAAGATGCTGTTATCTCAAGAGAGCAAACAAGTGTCGTCTCCTTTGAGGCGTCAGATGTGGTCATGGAGTCTCAGGAAGATGGTCAGCAAGAGGATCCCTCAATTGAAGCAGCGGAGCCACAACACGACCGTAACACGCGTGCGGGATCAACATCTTCGGATTGCTCGATCATCAGAGATATGGAGCAGGATGGCAAAGAAGATCCATCGGCTTTGCCATTGTGGGCGCAGCGTCAACTCCACATCCGTCGGCAGTCGTTGATCCCTCGTCCGGAGCTCGACTTTGTAAAGGGATCCGGTATTCTCCCGCCTGCTACCAAGGGTCTGGTCGCTCCTGGAGGCGCTGTCATTCTGAGTTACCCAGTCTTGATCTCCGATATGGTGCATGTGGCACTTGACGAGTTGCAGGCTAAGGGCGTGCCCCTCGACGGCAGTGATCTCTCGGAGGAATCGGAGGAGGACATGGAGCAGCCTTCGATCGTCAAGGGCGCCACCAAATTTGGTGTGAGGACAACTCGAGGCTCCAAGCGGAGAAAGAGCGCCGGCCACGGTCAGACAGGGAAGAGACGCGGCTCCGGAGCTGGCACGAAGGCTCAGGCGATGGCTCATGAGGGTGAGGATTATCAGAGCGGAGACGAGTATCCGGGTGAGCTCGAGGGCGCAGAGGAATCTAAAGCACAACAAGGATATATGTCGAGTCAGAACAGCAAACGACGTCGTCTTGATGGTGTTGTCAAGGACAGTGCGGAATTGCTGGCTCGAACTCGAATAGTTCCTGAGCGCCATAGTCCCTCGATCTACCGCAGACGTGATCAGCATGGAGCTGGATTCTCGCCTTCACCATCAACGTCCCCTCATCTGGGTTCGGCACCGTTCCGTCAAGGCAGGCGCGTAGCATCTGCCGTTAAGTTGGATAGCCACCATTGGTCTGGAGATGAGGATTTGGTTATCGAGGACGCTGATGTCGACGACGACGAGATCGACATCGACGACGATGAGATTGTCCATCAGAACCGAGAATACGATGTCTACAGCCGGAAACATCAGTACAAAAATCCGCGTCAGTCGCAGGTTCCGGAGCATCTCCGGATTCCGCCTTCGGAGGTCGAGATTGCCGTGAGGCTGACGAAGGAGATGATGGAGCTGAAGAGGAAGCGGAAACCAAACAACAAGGAGACACTTAAGACTCGCGCTACCAACAACAATCATAGCAGCGGTCGTCCCTCACTCAAGGCACTCAAGCCGCTGCTAGACGCTACGATGAAAGCGGATCGCGATTCGGTTACGGAGCATAATAATGAAGACGATGACAGCGAGATGGAGAGTCCTGAGAAGATCAAGACAATCAAGGCATCGGGGAGCAGCACAACCAAGAAGACGGCGACGACCAAGGCGAACAGTAACTCGGCTGCTGCTGCTGCTGGCGGTAGCAGTAGTAGTAGTGCTCCCAAACGGCTGTCGAAGTCGAAGGAGGGCAAGATGAACACGAAGCGGTGTGAGGCATGCGGTGCGACGGAGACGCCATGCTGGCGACCGGGATACACGCCGCATTCGGCGTTGTGCAACTCTTGTGGACTGAGGTACAAGAAGTCGAATGTGTTTTGTCCAAAAGTGGGATGCAAGTATATTCCGTTGAAGACGGAGTATGCGGCTATGGAGGTCGAGCGTGCGAAGGCTGGCCGTGCACATTTGTTGTGTCATAAGTGCAGGGGGCCTGTGGCATTGCCTGTGCCGAAGGAGTAAATGGTATATAGCCTCGGATGGGGAGGGATGAGGACGTCCTTATTTATTCTTGTCTCGATACCCTCTTTTCTCTTTCCCCTTCCCCTTTCCTTCTCCTAGTCTCTTTCGCAGCTTCGGTCATGTAATGCCTCACAGCCACGCCATTTTATTATGCCACCATCACCTTTTCTACGAAAGAAAAAAAAAAAGAAGACTGAATCTCCCTTGGTAAGTCTTTTCCGGGGAGGACCAGATCGAGGTTCATGTTTTTGTAAGTCTGAATAAAATATTATCCTTTTCCTTTTCTTAATCGAATAAAATAATAAAATAAGGGTGTATACATTTGAGTTGACCGGGTAACTCAGGTCAACTCATTCTGAGCCAGAATAATGTCCACTCAAATGACGGGGGCAATTGCACAAGGCGTAAAATAAACGGCGCAAACGGCCTTTCCCCCTACTCGATCTCTGCACCTCTCACTTCACGCAGCCATCCAAAGTGTTGCACTATCTGCGGTTGAGACAACCCTTTGTAACGGGATCCAACAAATATTATTCGGCTGCGATGATCGTACGCCATTGAGCAGTGAGATTGAAAGAGGAGACATGCGCTTTATCCTTTATCGAAGATATGGATCAACCGTACCAGCACCATGTTCTGCCACTTCAAGGAGGCATGCATCAACGAATCTACATTTACCCCAGGCGAAGAAGATCAGGCTGATACTGGGCTTGGTAGTGCCTGTGAAAGCGAATAAATGGAGTATGGGAGTGAGTTAGGGGTGTAGAAGTGAGAAATGGGATAGATGATCCAGTTTGTCTTTATTTTGGGGTGCAGGCACAATTTGAGTTGACCCAGGCGTCATTTGAGTGGACATTAAAGGGTCAGAATGAGCTGATCTGAGTTGTCCGGTCAATTCATTTGTATACACCCATGACAAATTCTCTAAATTAAATGACTTCGCCCAAGTCTAACTTGATCCAACTGAGGCGCAAAGGAACTGAGAAAACAGATTGAAAGCGTGCACAGAAGACTGTGCGACAAGGCAATGAATCGAGAATAGCATACGATTATGGGGGACATTCAAGGGGGTTGGATGGAAGGGACACGACGAGTTAAATCTTTGCTATCAAAAATGTTTGCGCAGAGACATACGTTTCTGAAGATGGAGATGGTGGGATGTTGGCTTCGGGACATGAGCCACGGGCTTTATCTCTAGTTGCAGGTTTTTTTTTTTTTTTTTTTTTTTTTTAAAAAAAAAAAAAATAAGAACTCTCGAGCTTTTCATGTCAAGACTTGCATCTTATCTTTTTGATGGCAATGTGCTGCATTGTTCGTTGATCTTTGTGCCTGTGTACTGCACTGGTATAGTACGATTGATGCACACAAAGGTTCAAGGACCGCCAACGCATCTTCTCGTCAGATTAGGACCGCGGCGCGTCCTCTGTCCTACCGGCTCGCTGTGCTCTTCTGTGTCTGTTCTATCGACAGATATATCCTCTGCATTTTCAAGACATGTCTATTAACACATTTTTTTTTTTTTTTTTGTCACTTGAAGAGGACAAACAAAGAGCCTGGTATGTCAGCAACAGTAATTTTCAGAGTCGGTTGATAGAACTGAATCTCGCGATATTCTTGCGACGCGCTGGTATTTGAGTACAAGGCTGGTATTTGAGTACAAGGCTGGTTTTTTTTTTTTTTTTTTTTTTTGGAGGGGGGGGGGGGGGGGGAAAGTGGCAAACAAATGCGCTTAGGAAAGATTGCTTCGCCCAATCCTTAAAACGAGACATTGACACAAACTTTCTTTTTCACCCGACGGCATAAACCCCACGCGTCGAGACATGGTCCAGCGACGCAATTATGGGCGTTCCACAAGCCTCGTTTTTGCAGACACCTCTCATAGAAGCACGTCCAAGGGCTACGCAAAAGAGCAGGCCGATAAGAGCAAAGCAGCAGCAACAGCAACGACCCATGCGTAGTAAAAAGTATTCAGGTGTTCATTAGGAGCTTTTTTTTTATTAGGTATAAATGATAAAATGATAAAATGCAGGCGGATAAAAATCGCGCTGATGTTTTAGTGTATGTGTATGTGTAAAGGACCCTCCGTCAAGGAAGATTATATTTAAAAGTGTCCCAAAGGCTGGGGTTCGCCTGCAGGAGCAGGGTAAGCAAAAAAGGGCGTATGCATGCTATTGGCCGCAGTGCTGGGTCCACTTGTGAAAGCAGGAGTAGCAGCAGCAGCGATCTTCTCCATGTTCGTGACCTTGGCGCAGGCATCCCAGTCCAGCCAGGTGGTGCATTCGGGGCAGCGGATGGCGTTCAGAGGAACCTTCTTAATGCAGTAATCGCATGCCTTTTCGGTGACCTGGGTCTTAGTGTTACGTCCGACTTGATAAACTGTTTGGGTGAGAGATTAAAGAAGGGGGATTTGGTTAGATATCGAATACAGATGGCGTGAAGGTAGGGAAAACAGACAGAAAGCGAGAAAGAGAGAGACAGTGGACGAGAAAGGAATAGATAGGATGCTGTAGGTGGTGTTTCCTTACCTTTGACGATGACGAAGATGCAGGCGGAGACGATGAAGAAGTTGATGACGGTCTGGATAAAATTTCCCCAGTTCCAGGTGATGTTCCCGTCGGCCTGTGCAAGTGCTCTCGTTGGCCACTGTGGGGGGAGGGGAGGTTGTAGTTGACCGAGACATGAAAAATGGTGATCAGTTGTTAGTTTACTTGAATACACTTTAGGAGAATCGTCCAATGCGAGAAAGGACATGCTTGATGATCTTACAATTTTCCCCACAAATTCAGGATCTTTGGTGCGGCGCAAAATGATAAAGTTCTCCTCCAGATTCTTTCCGGAGGCCAGAGCAATAATGGGGGTGATAATATCGTTCACCAAACTTGTCACGATCTATGAAAGAAGAAAGAGAGGCGTAAAATAAAAGGGTTTAGAATGTGTCCATCTGAGGCACTAGTGATCAACAAAGATGCTGAATATGACGGTATTATAAACTTACAGCGGTGAAAGCAGCACCTGTTTTTGTCCAGGCAAATGAAAGGATCAAGACACGGTAGATACGGTATTAGCGGACTCGATCCTGTCCAGTCCCCGTCCCCGTCCAGTTCAGTCCAGTCAGTGTTCACTCAGCAAGTCGAGAGTTTATACATACCGATAACGACTGCAACAGCCAGGTCAATGACATTGCCACGATCCATGAACTTGCGGTAGTCCGCAAAGAAGGAGACCCCCTGCTTGACACCGGGTACCTTGTTCAACGTGTTTCCAACGTTGTTCACGCCCTTCTCAACTATATGCGCATTATTGTACATGTCAAATGTCAAAACCAGACTCGATCGAATCAAAAGGTTAAAAAAGAAAGCCACCAATCCAACGTTGGTGGAGAAACCTACCCTGTGAGATACCCCCGCGAACAACATTGGTGCCCTGTGAGATACCTCCGCGAACGACATTGGTGCCCTGGGAGACACCGCGCGAGACGGCCTTGACGGGGTTGCCCAATCCACGCCTCTTGGCCTTCTTCTCGTCGAATGAATCCCGGTAGGGCTGCTGGAGATCAGGACGAGAGAGTTCGTCAGGATGGGTACCAATGTTGTCACTCTGGCTGCTCATGGTTGCAGGGGGATGGATCAAGTGATTCGAGATGAGAATGAGAAGGAATGAGAAAGAAGAAAGTGAGAGGCGGAGGGTAGGGGATTAAAAAGGCCTTTTGCGCCTGCTGCAGCGGAAAAGTGTCTTTATCTTTGGTCTTCCTGTTTGTTGGTAGCATAAAAACAGTTGGACCCGTTGACCAATCAAACTAATTCGGCAGTTTATTGGATTCGAAAGAACGGTGCCTTGGTATATTAACAGCCGGGATCCCATACACTGATACTGTAATCCATTTTGACACCGACAATGACGACGACGCCGCATGTACTCAGCATGTTCATACTCAGCATGTTCATACACAGCAATGGGATCTTAACCCACCATGTATTTTTGTTAGTGGGGTAAGGCCATGGTACTGCTGCATGTTATCATTCCACAGCTATCATAAAACCGATCATCGCGTGCCTTGGGCTACTTTTTTTAACTTTTCTCCACCTGCTTGATTAGTTTGCGCAAAAAAAAGGTGCCTGCACCACTTAGCGATACTCAATTGTTATGAAAGTGCGTTTTGAGTGTAAATAAAGCCAAAAGTCTGACATCCGCCTGTTGCCCAGACACAGCCTCCTGGGTACAGTAGGAGCACCTTCCTTAGGACGGACGTACGCGCATCTCCTGGCAATATAATATATATGTCAGAAGCTGAGGGTCATAAGAGACCGGAGGAAAAAAATCTGTGATGAGAACCGGCTCCTCGGGGCTCGTTGGCTGTTGTTTTTTTCCCTCTTGTAGCAATGTTGGGGACTGCTGTTGAGAGCAGCTTAGCTAATACTGAGTACCACGCCAGGTCGTACATTACGCGTGTGCAAAGGGCGGTTTGGTTTACATACAAACATACAAAACGCTCCATTGGTGGTCCCCCTTCATAAGCTGTCTGGACGAGAGTGGTCAAGCAACGAGGACCCATATGAGCTGCGAGCGCAGCAAGAGAATTCTGCTTCTACGAAGAGAAAAATAGACCCATTGTCGATGTATCCTTATAGTTTCACAGCTGGTTGGAGTGCGACCAAGGAGTACAACAACGAAGACTCCATGTCCTCTTTTCTCAAGGCACATTCGCGATATACTTTTAGTTATTGTTGGTAGACTGCAGACCCTGCAGACTCGTCCTAGGATGACGAAATGCTGTAGGCGACGCGTTTCGAAATAAAATCGAGCACATATTCGCCCCAGTACCAATCGCCGTTGCTTCGTGGTCGGAAGGGCTTTCAACCCGCACTCGGCCGACAGATCTATGCCAATTTAGGAGCCAGGAGTCCAATAGATATTGCTCTTTCCAGTACCGGGTACAATCATATCTGTCATCCTGTCATCAGCAAATGGAGCGCAGCAAAAGGAATGAAGAGCTTTTCTATTCTCTTTTATTCGCGATATGATTTTCTCGAAGGACGAGTGATGGGTAAAATCTCCTCTTTCGGTGAGTGAAGGGTACCTTATTCGGATGATCCAAATGAAAATTCAGAGAACTGAGAACTCTTCAACAGCCTTTTTCCCTCGCAAAAGTAGGCTCGACCCTAAAAAGGCAATGACTGAATTCATGTGCATTTAATGCTCTCTCCCTCAGGCTGGGGTCGAGCCTACCTTTTGCGAGGGAACAAAATGAACAAAAAAAAAGACCTCTCTGAACACTTTCCCTCTTTTCTTTCTCACCTTATTGCCCATCTTTCACTTAGTGCATGCTCGTTCTCTCGTCCGCGGTCATCAATCCCAGGCACTTGTGCAACGAGGCCTGAGTGCACAAGGATTCCCGCCGGCCAATGAAATTACATTGTTCAAAATCACCATTGTTCAATTATTCAAATAATTTGCTGTTGAAGAGTACTCTGGAAGGGAGATGCTAATGCGAAATGGTGTCCGGAGACGACGGAACTGCGCACTGCAAGGTGCCATCTCTATTATGCGTCTATGCCGTAAGTGAGCTCAACCATAGACTAGAGGGCGTTGAGTGAACGTGCTCCGAGCTCCTGCGCTGCTTTACCGTCCGTCTGGCGAAGAACCAAGGAAAAACGGATCCCTGGATCATATGATATCAAAGCGCGAAAAAAACGCATAAAAAGAGCCGCCACTCTTTTTTTTTTTTTTATTCACCTTCACCGCACATATTATCTATCCCACTCTCAACCAAGGAACAAGAAAACAAGACAGTTTCTACAGCCATGACTCTGCCCGCATCAACTGCCAGCACGCTGTCGTATGACAACAAAGACTGCAAGTACAGCGTCTTTTATTTCAAATTCCATGCCCTCGGCGCCTGTCCACGCGCTCTTCTCTGCTTTGGTGAGGCCCAATGGGATAACAAGGTCCAGGACTTGTCGGAATGGCCTCAGATCAGGGACTCGGCTCCCTTTGGTACGCTCCCAATCCTTCTCGAGACCGACCTCACCACAGGCAAGACTATCGAAATCCCAGAATCAGGAGCCATTGAGAGGTACTTGGCCAGGATGTTTGGGTTATTGGGCGACACGGCTCGGGAGGAGGTGTTGAGCGACGTCTTTTATGCGCAGGCGGTGATATTGGACACAAAGTATATTGAGATGTTGCGCTGCACGTTTGAGGAGATCCGTATGAAGGCATTGGAGCAGTTCTTAGGGACGACGTTACCGAATTGGGTCAAGGCCTGTGAGAGGCATCTGAAGGAGAACGGAAACACAGGCCACTTTGTTGACAATAAGGTATGCATGCCTTGAACAGTGGATAAAAGCGCATGGCTTCAGGATGCGCTGGAAACTCATGCTGACCTCTTCATTTTAATTTTTTAATACAGTTCACATTGGCGGATATTAAGACGGCTGTCGTCTTGGACACTTACTTGGCCCTGGATTCGGAAAAGGTCCTCAACCCTACCAATTGCCCTTGTCTCTGGAAACTGAAGAAGACAGTCGACACCCATCCCACCTATGCTGCCTGGCGCAAGTCAGAGCAATTCAAGGATATGGACGAGGTAGTGCAGGCGGGCGTAGGCGCCCTCATGCCCCTTGATATCAAGAAGTCGCACATCTTTTCGTAGATTCCCATCAGCTACCGAATCGTAGACTGAACAGCTCCTTTGGGAACGCAAAGTATAGGTTGAACAATATACATATATTTGTTTTTATTGTTTTTATTGTTTTTAAATATGTATGACACTACTGAATATCGCATGACTGTGCCCGATGGTTAGTGGTGCTGTGATCCGTCAGCATAGGGTTCGTCGCATTTTCAGGTTTGAACGATAGGCCAATTCAAAGCGGTTCTTCAAGTTGAGCGAACTCTTCATGGTCTGAAGCTGTCTCCGAGGCAAGGTCGCGATCCCATCGCTTAAAGATTTGAAAAGAAACAGCGAGCCCGTTGTCTCTCACGGTCAAGGACAAGATGACGCTTGCTCGAGCAGTCAAAAAGATCGAGTCGACCACCGATAGCCCATCGTGCAAGAAAGTTAAATGAAGAAACGAAGGGGATCAAACTGCAAGAAAAGCGAGCCAACCGTCAAGACGAAGAAAATTGTATATGGTCCACGTATTAAAAACTTGACGCGCCACAAGCTTACACATCAGTGGTAGCTTTGAGTAATAAGTTTCGGGTAAGATGTGGAAGAGAGTATTTACGGCGGACCATTCAATACACGCGCTCTCCAAGAGCATTTTCACGGAACACGAGAATGTCCAAGTATAATAGTCTATGTACCATGGCAGATCGGCTTCTGTGTTGTTGTGCTGCTCTACTGATACTCGGCGGCCACACTTTTTTGTACGCATTGAACCTCATGAATACCTTTTTTTATACGTTAGTCGCCAAGTGCTACCCCATAAATGAGTCGCAAACCGCCAAATTTTATTGACGGAATTATAGGGTGTAAAACGGTCAATAGGCCCCTCATCAAGTGAGCGTTGTCTGATAAAGCCGCTATTGGACCTTCAAAAGCTTTTCCGTTCGCAAGATAAATTTTACTGGTCTTGGTCTGTTGTTCCTTTATGGATGCAAATGCGAACACTTGCGCTTAGGAATACGGGATCGTATCTGCCGGCGATTTTTTTACTTCATCGACGTGTCTTAGCTGTTGAGAAAGGTTTGCCCAACCGGACACAAGAACTTGCGCATACGCATACGTTGACTGCAAGCGCTACATTGACCGCGGACTCGGTGGGGCTGTCGTGACCTCTCCGTAATTGGATAGTAGTGGACAGCAGTGGATAGCGACCGGCACTAGACGGGAAGCTTTGCGGCGGCTTCAACGATTGCCCTAACTGGATAAGAAAAATTTATCCTAATTGAAAGTATATGTTTCGCGTCTATCCACACTCAGAGGCAGCGGAGGGGGTTAAGGCATGCAGGCCTTGTAGAACAAGGGTGCAATTCATCTAAGGCTTACAAAGACCTTGTTACTTAGGCAAAGATCTCAGGGTCCTATCCTAACATCTGGTAACAGAGAGAGGTCAATCGAAGAAAAATATCAGCAATGAAGACAGTCGACTATTGTTGCAGATACGCACATGTACTAATAGTGTACAATCGCCACCAGAATATTAATGTTTTACTAGGAAGCTGTGCATAAAGGGAAGTTTGCACAAATAGAAACTTCCGCCCAAAACGCATCCAAGAGAAAGGCTTCGGAGGAGGAGGAACAGATCATGGCGATCCTCCAGAGAACGCGCCGACCCCGCGAGGAATAGTAGCCAGAATAGTTTTTCTTGTGTGCCGCCCCCACATTCCCCCTGATGATTTCCCATGTCGTATGCGACGCTTAGAAGCCACTTCGGTGACGTAATAGGTGCGCAGATGTGCGGATTTCATGTCGTTGCTGTATTCCAACCCTGACAATCTTTCTCCCTGCAACACCATTCTGCCTGCATCTCCTCCACCCCTTGGCATCCTTTTCATAACCTCACCTCAGGACAAGGAAATCCTTCTCGGTTTAGTTCAGTAACGAGGCTTCGCCGTCAGTAATAACAAACTTCGACACCAAGGATCCCCTCGAGCCAGCATGTCTGACGGTAGGCTGCATGGCAATCGCCTTTGCATCATCGTGAGATCAACTCAGCTTTCTAATCAATCCTATGCTTCTTCTAATCTAGACACCATTGCGCAGATCAAGGCGACGCAAGAGCAGCGGGCGAAGGACAAAGCGACTCAGCGCGAGGACACGCGCGTGTCCCTGACGGGAGTTGGATACGATCAGGATATCTATGGCAGTGGTAACAAATTTGAGGGTTACTCGACAGAGCTCCCCATGGATGATGACGAGGAGGAGGATGAGCTCTCAAAGCGCATGGCCCAGAACAGCAAGAAACTATCCTCATATACTGCACCTAAGGAAGCCTTTGCTCATTTGGCATCCGTGGATGGAGATGATACCGATCCGTTTGCAGGAAGAGTCGAATCAAAGAGAATCATCGACAGAGAAGACGATTACAACAAGCGACGCTTAAACAGAGTCCTTTCTCCTACCAGATTGGATCCCTTCGCTAAGGGTGATGTTGCTGATTCAGATGCAAGATCATATGCGGAGGTCATGAGAGAAGCGGAACTCGAGCGCGAACAGCAGCGAGTCCTTCAAAAGATTGCGGAAAAGAAGAAGGAGGCACAGAAGGCTACAGGACAGGACGCACCACCCCCACCTACACCTACTGGACGGAAAAGACGTTGGGATGTAGCTACACCTGTCGTGGCACCCGCTGCGACCTCATCATGGAACGAACCAGACGACCACGTTGCTGCGCCAACAAACCGGTGGGAGGAGACACCAAAGGCGGAGGTCAAGAAGCGAAACCGTTGGGATGAGACACCAGTTGCCAACAGTACATCATCATGGGACGCTACGCCGAGGGCTTCTGGAGTTACCGAGACACCAACAGCGAAGCGCTCGAGATGGGACGAGACACCAGTCGCACCTTCAGGCATGTTTGGCGCCACTCCAATGGGAGCTGGACAGCTCGGCATGGTCACACCCAACCTTGCTGTGCCTATGACTCCCGAAGCGATGAACGCGCAGCGCTGGGAGCACGAGATCGACATGCGTAACCGACCTCTCTCGGACGAAGATCTAGACGCCATGTTTCCTACAACCGGCTACAAAATTCTTGACCAACCCACCACCTACCAGCCTATTCGCACACCTGCCCGCAAACTCATGGCGACACCCACACCCTATGCTGGAAGTGGATTCATGATGCAGGACGAAAACATGAAGCAGAACTATGGTATTGCACCCGAGGTAGAGATTCCTGGTGGCAGCAATCTTCCGTTCTTCAAGCAGGAGGATATGCAGCATTTCGGAAAGTTATTGGACGAGAAGGACGAATCGGCTATGTCACCGGAGGACATCAAGGAGCGCAAGATCATGAGGTTGTTGTTGAAGATCAAGAACGGAACACCACCTATGCGAAAGGCTGCTCTTAGGACAATCACGGACAAGGCGCGAGATTTTGGCGCGGGACCTCTTTTCAACCAAATTTTGCCTTTGCTCATGTCGCCAACGCTTGAAGACCAGGAGCGTCACTTGTTGGTAAAAGTCATTGACAGGATTTTGTACAAGCTGGATGATCTTGTGCGCCCATATGTCCACAAGATCCTGGTCGTCATTGAGCCGTTGCTGATTGATGAGGATTACTACGCGCGTGTAGAAGGTCGAGAGATTATCAGCAACTTGAGTAAGGCAGCCGGACTCGTCACCATGATTGCGACAATGCGTCCCGATATTGACCATGCCGATGAATACGTTCGAAATACGACAGCGCGTGCGTTCTCCGTTGTCGCCTCTGCACTTGGTATCCCAGCACTGCTGCCCTTCTTGAAGGCTGTACCAAACAGTAAAAAGTCGTGGCAGGCTCGACATACCGGTATTAAGATTGTACAACAGATTGCCATTTTGCTCGGATGCGCTATTCTGCCCCATCTCAAGAACCTGGTCGACGCCATCGCCAAGGGTTTGGAGGATGAACAGCAGAAGGTCAGGACAATCACATCTCTCGCTATCGCTGCATTGGCCGAGGCTGCCCATCCTTACGGTATCGAATCTTTCGACTCTGTACTCGCGCCTCTCTGGTCAGGCATCCGCAAGCACCGAGGAAAGGGCCTTGCGGCTTTTCTCAAGGCCATTGGATATATCATCCCCCTGATGGACGCCGAATATGCCAACTATTACACAAAGGAGGTCATGCCCACTCTGATCAGGGAGTTCCAGTCTCCAGATGAGGAGATGAAGAAGATTGTGCTCAAAGTTGTCAAGCAATGTGCTGGCACGGATGGAGTTACACCTCAGTACATCAAGGAGGAGATTTTGCCAGAGTTTTTCAAGAACTTTTGGGTGCGTCGCATGGCATTGGACCGAAGGAACTACAAACAACTGGTTGAAACCACAGTCGAACTTGCGCAGAAAGTTGGCGTGACAGAGATTATTTCCAGGATCGTCGAGGATTTGAAGGACGAGTCGGAGCCCTACCGCAAGATGGTCATGGAGACGATCGAGAAGGTGATCGCACAGCTGGGTGCCGCAGATATCGACGGCCGGCTGGAGGAGGTTCTCATCGACGGTATCTTGTACGCCTTCCAGGAACAGACAGTGGAGGATATTGTTATGCTCAACGGTTTCGGCACAGTGGTCAACGCTCTCGGATATCGCAGCAAGGCCTATCTCCCCCAGATTACTTCGACCATTCTTTGGCGCCTGAACAACAAATCTGCCAAGGTTCGACAGCAAGCTGCAGATTTGATCTCGCGAATCGCCGTGGTGATGAAGACCTGCGGAGAAGAGAAGCTGATGGGTCATCTCGGTCTTGTTCTGTTTGAATACCTTGGAGAGGAATACCCTGAAGTCCTGGGCTCTATCCTGGGTGCATTGAAGGCGATTGTCAATGTGATCGGTATGAGCAGCATGACACCACCGATCAAGGATCTGCTTCCTCGCCTGACGCCTATTCTCAAGAATCGACACGAGAAAGTACAGGAGAACAATATCGATTTGGTTGGCCGTATTGCAGATCGTGGAGCGGAGTATGTGAGCGCAAGAGAATGGATGCGTGTCTGTTTCGAGCTATTGGATATGTTGAAGGCACACAAGAAGGGCATTCGTCGAGCAGCAGTCAATACTTTTGGATATATCGCCAAGGCCATTGGACCGCAGGATGTATTGGCAACGTTGCTCAACAACTTGAAGGTGCAGGAGCGTCAGAACCGTGTGTGCACAACGGTTGCTATTGCCATCGTCGCCGAGACATGTGCACCCTTCACAGTGTTGCCAGCATTGATGAATGAATACCGTGTGCCTGAACTCAACGTCCAGAACGGTGTCTTAAAGGTAAGCTCATCTCTATGAGGTTTGTAATGTCGATTCGGAAGAACATGAACATACTTACTAACGTTTGAGTACTGCCTGTTTGCTCTATCATATATAGTCGCTGGCATGGGTATTCGAGTATATCGGAGAGATGGGCAAGGACTATATTTATGCGGTTACACCGCTGCTTGAGGATGCACTCATGGATCGCGATCTCGTTCATCGTCAGACCGCATGTACCACTGTGAAACGTAAGCGAAAATATTGATTCGATTGTGCGTTTCCGTTCCTGTATTGATCATCAGCAATTGAAGGACTCGCAGCTAACGACTGTTTTACTGTTCATTATTTTGATTTCTTGGTTTCATGTTCCGATTAGATATGTCCCTGGGTGTTGTTGGCCTTGGATGTGAAGATGCGCTACTTCATCTGCTTAATTATGTGTGGCCTAATATTTTCGAGACGTCGCCCCATGTGATCAACGCAGTGATGGATGCTATCGATGGTCTGACTGTAGCGCTGGGCTCGGGTACGACCCTACAATATGTGGTCCAGGGTCTGTTCCATCCGGCGCGTAAGGTCCGAGAGATCTACTGGAAGATCTACAACAATATGTACATTAGTGCACAGGACGGCGTGATTCCGTTCTACCCCACAATCGAGAACGACGAGAAGAACATATACGAGCGGACGGAGCTGTTCTATGTCGTGTAGAGCGAACACAGCAAGTCATAGCGAAATAAAATTGGGTCGTTTGTCTGAAAAGGGATGGCAGATGAGCATGTGGCAAACAATTGCCTAGTTTATTCTTCAAAGAACACAGCCTAGTCTATCAAAGGCATTACTGGTTTTGAAATGCATACGCCCTGGCTACGTGTTCATATTTCCCGAACAACTTCAAGGCGATGCTCGAGATGCATATACAGAACATGTGGCTATGGGGGGACCGTCTCTTGGCGCAGCCCATTCAATGTTCAATGGAGGTCTTTCATACACTCATATCCACTTTCTGTTTCTTGGAATTCACTCTTTAATGCAAAAGTCAGCAGCTTTTTTTTTTTTTTTTTTTTTTTAAAAAAAGAGGGGTCTTTGTCTGCCATAATCAATCTTTGTGCGAGGATCCCGCAAGGCCATCTTGGGATCTCCAGGAACATGGGAAACGATCCACACGTTAACTCTCAATGGGCTAAAACCAGTTGAAGCGTAATCGACCTGCAGACGGTATTTCTCCCCTTGGCATGCTCAATAATTACTCGCGCACCAAACTATACTCGATATACATAGACTAGCTCAATAATAAAACACGTCCACGGGTCGCTGTAACTTGCTACGCTCTTCACATCTCTCATTAACTCCCTGCCACACTCATCCACATTCTTCTCTTCTCATCACAGTCCTCTCATCTCAACCTGTCATTAACATGCTGACCGTACCTCCGAATCCCCCTTCGGTCCCGCCTGGTCCAACGGCAACCGAGGGTGTAGCAGCTATGATGCCTGTCGCCAACATAACACTCGAAGACGCCTTGCTTGACAACCCCAACTTCCGAGCCAACATCAAGCTGTTTGAGGGCCAGGTCTTTTTTATCGAAAGCTGGCTCACAGCGTTGGTAAGACGTTGCTTAGTACTTGAGAATGGGCCTTGAATTGGTCTGCGCGCAGATGAAACAGTACAACTGCTTATTAGCGCTGTTCAAATCACTTTTTTTTACTAGCAACGATCCATGAACCAGTTCACAGAGGAATGGGAACGTATGTCTGCACCAGTGTTCGATCTTTGTTGAAATGTGTGCTCTTCGACATTGATACCGGCCAGCAATGGTCATACTTACCATCTGCTTCCGCCATAAACCCTGTCTGTCCTCTTTCGATGAAATATGAGATCATAGGCCTGAATGAAGTCACTTCCGTCCTCAACAAGCGGGCCGAGGTTCCGCTTTTGTCCCAGAGCATGCTGAGTATGCTCCCACTTAGTTATTTCCTGGGGTGGACATATGGCGATCGATGGCTATTTGCCCGGGATTTGGTGTTGGCCAATGGATAGGGGAGGGCGTGGACGACACCCATGATCTGTCCTCCGAGCACTTGCATTTTACCTCATATTGTCAGATTGTCAGTTGATCTCGAGTCAACAGAGAGGACAGCTGCAGCCTTCGACTCTTATCGCGTGCCCACTTTCCTCATGTTGCTAGTCCGCCTCTTGCAATGTGCGGTATTATTGATAAGAAACGTCTCGTTCTAACCGCATGTCCGAATGTCCTGTTTAGGTTCACAATATACAATTCCTGCTATGAAGCTGACAGGCGACGCATTTCGGACAACGCTGGCCCTCAAAAACAAATACATCTCTGAGGTAAACGAACAGGTGCTGAAGCCATTGGACGACTTTCTCAAAACGGATCTCAAGGAGTTCAAGGAATCGAAAAAGGTCTTTGACAAGGCTCTGGAAAAGTACGAGAGCACCCTTGCCAAATACAACGGACAGAGCCGACAAAAGGAACCCAGCGCACTCAGAGAGGAAGCATTTCAGCTCTACGACACCCGCAAGGCCTATATCCAAGCAGCCATGTCTTGTTCGATGCTCTGTATCAAGTTTCAGGATGCATTGGATCAGCTAGTCCTTGGTGTGGTAGGTGCTTCAGTCTTTGCCATCTTATGGTTGTCCTGCTCCTCTTGTAATTACAGGAAAGCAAAAGATCTTATGTCGCCTGTGTCGACTCTAATGTCTTGTTACGCCGTCATTCGACCTTCTCCTCTAGTTTCTGGACCTGATCGCCACTCAACACGATTACTTTTCAGGCAATGCGGATCATTTTGGAAGAATGGCCTTACAGGTCTTGCAGTTGAAGACGTATATGAAGGGTCATAAAGATGCCAGCACTATCACCCTGCAGGAACTAGAGCAGAGCAGGGAACGATACACAGCCGACGCAATTGAGTATTGGAAGCCGAGTCGATCCTTGAAGTGCTATTCTAACAGTGTGCCTACACCAAAGTCGACGATCGGACATGCGGCTTTAGGGTCGGCCTTTGCTGCTCAGATGGCAGGACAGATGCCTTTGAACACACTCATGGCACGACCTGCTACGATATCGCAGTTCTCGACCCCCGGCAATAATAACCGGCAGCCCATTCCAATACAGCAGCTTCAAGCACAGCCCTCCATGCCCAATCTCAGCGCAGCTGCAGTAGGACAGAAGCCAAGTAACACCGTTCTCGCACCCCTGGAAGGCGCCTCCGCCGCAGATACCCTCTCCATCAACACTGCGCTGCCCAGGAGTAATAATTCGTCATCACTCTCGCTACCAAACTCTGTGAGCAACCTTCCGCTGTCAAATTCCAGTTCTCCAACACATATCCCTCTCCCTCAGACGCATCTCGGCTATGGTACCCCGACAACCAAGCAAGGGTACCTCAACATCCGGATCCCTCAGCCCAGGAATCGTGCTCCAGTATGGCAACGCAAATACTTCTTTATTCAGGAAGGAGAGTTTGGCTTTGAGAGCGTCGTGTCAAATCCGACAGTTGGATCTCAGGTGGTACAGAGCGAAAGAATTGCAGTCTTGTTGTGCGAGGTGCGGTATGGATCCTCGTCGGGCTCTTCGATGGTTGTGAATGGAGGCGGAAACCCCACTACCGGAAGTCAAGGGTTAGCTATGGTCCAAATGGAACGCCGATTCTGTTTCGAAGTCGTCTGTGCAACCCAGTAAGCATCACCTGCAAATGACCAAGGATTAGCAAGAGAATTTTTTCGATAAGTTTCTAACCCTGCTTGCTTGTGGTTTGTTCATTAGGTCTTATTTGCTACAGGCAGAGGCGGAGGATGATTTGATGAGCTGGGTCGAGACCTTTGAGGCTGCTAAGCGAGATGCACTCTTGCAACAACATCTCCCTCGACCCCAAGAGTCTGATGAACCATACTCGCCCATACCCGACTCTGGCAATTCGGGATTTTCGTTTTCAGGCGAGAACTTGCTGGAATCCGAGGCAGCGGCGCGCGAGAAATCTAACAATGACTCGGAAGAATCCAAATCTGCGGGACTGTTAGGGCTGGGATGGGCTGTGAACGTTCCGGGCGTCAGTCTGCTTCTTGGAAACAACGCTGTGTCTAACAAGACCGGGTCTGGGACTGACTCAACAACCGTTGATGGTGCGGACAACAATGCAGAGGCAACAAATCCAGCGGATCAGTCCGAGACAAAGACCAGTGGAGAAGGACAGGGTACTACAGTCGAAACGGATGTATCTCTTCGCCCATCTACAGTGGAAACGGATGCCTCCGCCCATGTGAGGTCCTGGTCCATTGGCGACGTTCCTGCCGGTCCTGAGCAGCGTTCTGGACACACGCACCAAATGTCGGAGATCGAGAAGTTGATGACAAGCACGCTTCATCTGGTTCCCAGGACAACACCTCTTGCCGTCTCAGAGTATGTCTTCGAACATTCACAAACACAACAGAGTGCCTTGCTGATATGAGACGCTAACTTGGGTATTGATACTATGGTTCGATTTATCTGCAATAGAATCCCTCACTACCCTATGGAATTGGTCGTGCGCAATAGAGAATTACATCTGCGCTTCCATGGAACCAAAGTCCATTCCAAGGAATACGTGCTCCATTCGTGGACTAGCGGTTATCTGGACGATTCGCGTCCCGATAAGCCGATCATGGTTTACGGTCGTGTCTTCTTGACACAATCTGGAATGTACTTTTATGCGCGCGGACTGAGTGTGGAAACAAAACGGATGTACCGGTTCTCGTCTATTCGGGGTATCGAGTGCGAGCAAAAAGACATCTCGACAGAGTGGCGTATCGAAACCATGGATGGCGTACAGCATATCTTTTCGCAATTTACCCTGACAGACACTGAGTATCAGGTACTGCATCTAATTTGGACGAACGTGCATCAGGCCAAGGATCGACTTCCCGTCAAGGAATTGTTCAGGAGAACAATGTTAATTACGAGCAAACCCAAGGGAAGTGCTGGATCGGGGTCGTTGGCGGAAACAGAGTCGAGCCATTTGATAACCCGCGAAGGGAGAATAACACATCCTTCAGGAAATAGTGGGACATCCGGAGCAGAGAGCAGGGATACCGGCGATGCGACTTCTGTCAGGGGCGATGACGACGATTGGAATGACGTTGATGAAGGTAAACGTCGAGATTTTTTTCTGGAGCTGCTAGGGTTTGTTCATGGACACTAAATCATTTGCTGAATGCATATCTATGTCTGATAGAACCTCCGGCTTCGGTGGAGCTGCCGTCTGGTCCTGCGGCATGCAACTGCTCAGGCCATATGGAGAAGGTCGAGCTGGAACAAACCTATGATGTTTCGGCAAAGACATTGAATCACCTGCTGTTTGGTGACAATAGTCCCGTATGGAAGGAGTTTCATGCTCGTCGCAATAACAAAGGTACGGTGTCCGTTGCAGTTTGGTAAAAATAATCTAGAGAATCACAATGAGCTGAACGCTTACTATTTTCTTTTATGGATTTTGTAGTGCAAAGCGTTGGCGAGTGGACGGAGAAGGCTGGAGGGCACCGTGAGAGGATCGTAAAGTTCCTGATGGTTGTGAACAACCCGCTTGTGAAATTGAACCAGGCGGACTGTGTCGAGACCCAGACCTGTGAAGTCGATGAAGACTACATTCGATACTCTTACATAATCCGATCCAATGTCGCAGCGATGCCATACAGCGACGCATTCACTCCAATGAGTAGGTACTGCGTCACTTATGTGGACAAGAACCGGAGCAAGCTGACCTGCTCTAGCGGTATTGAATGGCACAAGAACCCAATGGTCAAAGCCATGATCAAGGGAGCAGTCTTCAAGGGTACTGCGGAGACGATCAAGGATATTTCAGAAATCCTGCAGCTGCACCTCGAACGTCGTGGTCAGGAGCGAAACCCCGCACGACCACCGCACTCGGCCCCTGCGACTGTCACTGGGGACAGACCTGGCATGCATGGTCGAACAGAGTCCTCGAAGATCATGATTTCTTTAGATGGTCCGGATAATGACGGACACAGCATTCTATTGAACCCGCAAGATGGAAATGCGGATGTTGCAGCTGGTGCAGCATTGGATAGCCGTGTGCCAGGCGCCAGGCGTCATACGGTCAGCACTGCAGCTGGTTCAGGAAAAGTCCACTATTCTGGCGCTCGTGTTCAGGGTCATTGGCCAACAGGATCGCAGCCGTCATTCGTACCAATTGGATCAAAGGAGAGCCGCACACGACTCCTGGGACGTCCTAGTCGGAGCACTCTGGTCGAAAAGGAATCTCAAGACGCCAAGGCCAAGTCTAGGTCAGGTAGAAGCGCTGAGTGGATCAAGAAGAACGTACTCGGGTTCGTTTACACGAAAGATGAGAAAGAAAGGCGCGCGATGTCTACGAAACTCCTCTATTTGGTTCTTGTGGTCTCGTCTCTGATCAACATCTGGGCGGCGTACAACAGCCAGCGGATGCTGGACACCGCATGGAGATTGAAGACAGGATCGTTGACAGGCTACACCAGCCGATTGAAGGGCTACCCGGAACCCCTGCATCGTATCTTCAGCCGAGAACACCATGACGACTCTATGTACCGTGATGGACCCAAGAACGTTCGTGTTGCTGCCAGAGCTGTATACCTTAAGGATCTGGAGGAACAGATGATGAGCGGAGAGCTGGATGGGTTTGACGATGGGCAGACGATTGATCCAAAGTGCTTTGATATTTTTATGGAGGCCCGAGACTCGTTCCGACCATGGCCCCAGCCGCCTCTAGAGTGGTATTCCGATCAAAACGACAGTCAGGCCTCATTTGAGGGCACAGCAACGTCTCTGGTACCTGTACAGCCCACAGCTGCATCGCGCGCTTCAGTCTTCAGTCAGGAAGAGGAGGCTGCGACACGACACCCATGGTTCCTACCCCACCATCGTCGATGGGCGACCAGAATTATTTTCCAGCGGGATCGGGTTGGAATCTTGAGACATGATCTTCTCGTGACTTTTGAGGTGCTAAAACAGCTTGAGCGAAGACTACTGGAGACAGAGTACATCAACTGGATCACGGACGAGCGTAGTCGGTGTCGTCTTTGGGAACGCAGGATGAAGGCTGCCAGAGCACCTGCTGCTGATGAAGGCAGGCGAAGAAAGGATGCAGAGGGGATTGCCAGTGGCAGTAGCGGAACGTCGGACGCTGATGGATCTGAGGATGGGGAAGCTCCGATGCTGAAGGGAAAGCTTACGCAACAACAGGAGATGGAGCAGAACTTGAGTAGGGAGCAGGTCAAGGAGCGCATCGCGCAGTTGTATGGCGATCCTTATGTGTCCTTGAACAGTGATGGCAAGAAGGAGGACAGCAGACCAGCGGATGGAGATAAGGATGAGGATAAGGAAAGGAAACAGGAGTTCAAAACCAAAGTGACGAAAGAGTTTTGCGAGGCACTGGAGCACCAAGTGGCGCTGTTCATGTTGGACATCAAGAAGTAATTCCGTATTTCAATAAATAACTGGTATGTGCGCTACATGCGAAGGCTCTTTGTGTGACCAGGATGTAGTAACGACCAAACTAGTTGGCCCATGTTCGCTATAGTTGACTCTCTATATGACCAAGATCCAAGCAGTCGTGCGTTAGCTGCCAGGATGGTCCAAAATCAATCGCAGTAAGAAGAGAGCAGCAGGGGAGATGACCATCGAAGGAGGAGACACCTCCGATGGCATGTCCGGTCGCCCCATTATCGGGTGCAGGTTCACAGGCAAAGGTCGAGACAGACGGAAAAAAGATTTTGCTCGTTAGTAATTGACGACGAGAGAGAGGGTCGGCGGTGGGGTTGTGGCCATAGGCCCCATGCTCCTGGCACCTGAATGATCTCGCGCGGCAATGGCTGGTCTGAGGTTGGCGCGCATCACTGATAGGGTCGCTATAGTCGCAATCGATGGCTGTGTTGGTGGTGTGGATGTGAGGGGTTGGTATAGCTGATATTGCCGGCAGCGGTAGGCGGCTGAGCGCGACCAAGAATCCATTTCTTGGAGAAAATCATCGGCCTCCAGGACGGGACAGATAGGTCGGGCCACAGCTGTAGAATTGTTCGTCGAAGCTAGCCATCCATGACTGATGTGTTGGTTTGCTAGGATTCGCGCCTTCTTTCTTTTTCTGATCAGAAGAGGAAAGTGCGGACAAAGATGGTGACGGCTCGTATAAGGGGCCAGGCAGGGCCATTTTACTGAGGAAGAGAGTATATAAAAAAAATGGGCTCTTGGCTTGTCTACAGCATCGTACTATGCCAAAAAAAATCAGAGGAAACGATATAACATATTTCTCGACTTCTGCTTTCTTTGTTCTTATCATCATCACCACCATTACACCGACGCCATCGCCATCGCCATCACCATGATCTTCAAGAGTACTCTCGTCTACTGCATCGCTGCTGTCACCCTTGCGGTCTCTGCTCAAGCTGCACCAACTGTGACCAACAGAGGTAACGCATCTCTATACTCATTCTCGCATCAGCCATCTCATCCGACTCAGGGTTGATGACTGAGCTGCGACTAACGTCCTATCTTGTGCTTCTGTCCAGTCTACTTTGACATTGAGCAAGGCAACAAGCCCCTCGGCCGCATCGTCATTGGTCTCTTCGGCAACGTAGGTGCCTCACATCGTCTTCGCCTGCAATAACCTCTACAAAGATACCTTTCAATCTAACACACCACCCTATATACTCTATGTCTGGCCTGCGTTTCGTTCAACAGGATGTTCCCAAGACCGCCAAAAACTTTCTCGAACTGTCCAAGGGCAGCAAGGGATTTGGATACCAGGGATCCTCGTTCCACCGTGTCATCGAGGTAGACTTGATTGCTCGCTTTTGCCTTGATTTTGGATTCTGTTGCAGCTGATAGATTGAAAAGTGATCGCTAATCAAGGGCTCATTTGTACATCCACGATGGCTATCAATAGGATTTCATGATTCAAGGAGTAAGAAACATCGATTATCGGCGCTATCTTCATTTTCTTTTATTGCATTTTTTCACGACCTAGCGGCTTCTAACACACACTGCGTCCTCGAATGATTAGGGTGACTTTACTAACGGCGATGGTACTGGAGGAAAGTCCATCTACGGCAACAAATTCGAAGACGAGAATTTTAATTTGAAGCATACTGGTCCTGGAATTGTTTCCATGGCCAACGCCGGAGAGGACACCAATGGGTCCCAGGTATGCAATAGAGCGAGCAAACTGTAGCAGCAGTACTGCTGAAGATGAGTAAGATCCTATTCTCACGATGTACACTTCATTTCCTGATCCATAATAGTTCTTCATCACCACTGTCAAGACCGATTGGTTGGACGGACGCCATGTTGTCTTTGGCGAGGTGGTCGAGGGTATGGATGTGGTCTCCAAGATCGAGAATACTGACACCGACCGCGCGGATCGACCCAAGGTCCCAATCACGATCGCCCGTTCGGGCGAGCTGCGTGATGAGCTGTAAGGTTCACAGCAATGTAATGCGCAAAGAATGATGTACAGAGAAGAAACTCGAGCGAGCGAGCACGCTGAGGGCACCTTTCTAACTACGGCACTCTTCCTTGTCTCTTTCTCTCTGTCTCTCTATCCCTCCTCGAATCTCAATATCTAGCTATTAAGCAGGGTCCACGATTTCCGCCATGTACAATAAAAGTGTCTAGAACAATCAACCGGCCGTCTCTGCTTCTTCATTGTGAACTGCGACCTTGGCCTGTTTGTCATTGCACGCAAGCCCGGTTAAAATACCTGGAAGCACTGCAAAAAATAGATTAGATCGCGGGTCCTTTATCACCCAACGACATGAGCCCGAGGTCTCGGGAATGGACGCGTGTGCTGATTGGCTGTGCTATGAGCGCGTAAATTACGTACCCTTAAGTCACCATTGAATCGGAAACTGCCACAACAAGATCAGGGGCTCGCTCTCCATTCCCCCCTGGTTTTGCACACTTCTTCTCTATATAGCCTGATCCACTCTTCAGGATGCTTGTTCTCCAATCAGGATGCACTCTCCGCAGAGTCGGGCTTTTGCATGCGACATCCTCCGCCCCGTCTCGGTTTTTGATCCGTGCTCATTACGGCCAGCTGCCCGTCGTCACTGCGATCCCAGCTTCCCGGACAAAGCACACCGCAGCCCCTCCTCCTCCACCACCTTCATCTTCTGAACCGGAACTTATTTCCCCGCATCACACCGATAGCCAGCTCAAAATCTATGAGGGTCCCTTTTCACAAACTGCCAAGAGATTGAAGCTGTTTTCGGTCTCTTCGCTTGCGGCGACTATTGCTTTGTGTCCGTTCATCTTCATTCTCGATGCGGGCATATCTAATGGAATGCGTGGAGGACTTGCAGTCGCTGGTGGGTGCGGATGAGGAAATTACAATTGAACGCTGCTACCAACACCCAATTCAATACTAACCTATCTCATTCTATGCCTTACGAAAAAAAAAAATAGCTGTTGCAACCAGCGGATCATCAACAGCGCTTGTTCAATGGTGCCTAGGCTCCTATGTCCGTAGGATCACCATTCCCAACCCCATCTCGACCCCGCCATCAAACTCCACCTCCACGGACTCGACCGCCTCAGAACCCCCTAACGCTGTTATTATTACTCGCTCAACGCCTGTCTCCTTCGAGACCCTTTCCTTCTGGGGCAGCAAGCGAATCACGACCGTCAAGGTGTCGGATCTGGAACCGAGTTCTGCACCGTTCTCGACGATCCGTATCCGTGCTGGTCAAAGGTCTGTTGTGCGCGATGGACGGGGCAGGATCCTCTCGGACGGGAACCAATTAAAGAAGCGGCTGTATCTGCACTCGGAGTTGACGGAGGAGGAGCCCCTTAGGACGATCATGGCCGAGGTCCAGCAGAACCAGAATCTGTCGACGACGGCGACAACAGGGGCTAGATCGACTCTGAAACCGGCGCAAGTAGAAAACGAGGCGGGGAGTGTACAGCCAAAGGCACCGGTGACGGAGGGCATGTCGGATCGGATTGAGCAATTGAAGCGCAAGGCGTCCGAGAGCGCCAAGAAGGAGCATCATTAGACGGAGCAAATCATCTTCATAAAACAACAGACATTCTTACAGGACAAAGGGGATCGGCACACTCAAAAACTAGTTCATGCCGATAATTATTTTATTTTGCGGTATATCTCAAGTGAAGGAAAAAAAAAAAATGCATTCGATCCTGGTTATTTTCTTTTCTGGATCTGTCGTCTCCTTGGTGTTCCCCCCTCATCCTTTTCAAGCATCCTTGGCCTGCTCCCTTTCGTATCGTTTAGATTCCTTCTGTGCCACGACCGGTCCAGTACCACGGTTAGGGATCTTTGGTAGGAAGCTAGCCTGCGGTCTATATGATAAGGTCTTCTCATACGTCTTTCGCTGGAGTGATGTCGGCATGAAATTGAACAGCACCTTTCGAAGGATTGCGTCTGTCCATGACTTTTTGTGCCAGCAAAGAAAAAAAAAAAAAAAGCAGCGTAGATCGGAGAGAAAAGAAAACAAGCGATTAGGTGACATTGCATGGTGATAGGCGTACTCTGCAACGATAAGGATGATCTGTCGATTGACTCACCTGTCCAGCAAGGAGTCTGGCGGCGAACTGACTAGACTCCAGATCAGTCTTTGCGTGAGCGTAGCGTTCCTTGTAGTATCCCTTGAATGCCGCGAGAATGTTTTCGGGCGTCGCGTCGTCTGCGATCTCGTAGATCGCGTTGGCGAGGATCACGGCGTCCAACATCGCGTTCACTGCACCTGAAAACGAACGTATGAAGCAAAAAAAAAAAAAAATACCCAGGCGAGAGATTAATGAAGGGTGTCTGTTGTTGAGTCAGCTGAAATATTATAGTCCTGCTCGCTTCTTACCTCGTCCAGCATTCGGAAGCATCTATGAAAAAGTGAAGGTAGAGTGCACAAGAGTTAAATAAGAGAACAAGGGGTACTTCCAGCATCATATTTGTGTACTGCTCAATCTTTACCTTGTGGCATGCTATATTGTGGGATGTCCGCGTTAAACAAAAAAAGGAAAGGAAACACAGCAATTAGAACACGAAATGACTCTGTCTCACAAAACACAAAACATCCTCCCTGACGACTACGCAGCACACATTACCATCGCCCATCAGGACCGTCCGGGAATGATACCATGTCGTATACAGCTTCTCCTCCAGCATCACCTTCGACACCGACTCCTGAGGCGTCAAATTGATCAGGTCTCCGATCGTGCCTCCGATCGGAACCCTGAACGCACGCCAGTCATCCTCGATTGAGCCGCTTGCTTCTGACCCCCACTCCGAATTCTTGAACGCATCCGTGTGTGTGAAGGTCTTGGAGTCCAGTTGTACATCCACGCGCCAACAGATACGGTCCCCTGGAACCGCAAAGTATCTCCACTACGCACGCGCAGAAAAAAAAAAAAGACCCCTTTTGTTCAGATGATACGATCCTGGACTGATCTTAACAAGTCTCATCTCAATAGCGCTCTCGTCCAACGACTTACAGTATGGGGTTTGTTATATCCGATAATAGCATCGCAACGACTGAGTTCCTCTGCAACTGCAGGTATCTGCTTCGGGTCCACATGCTCTGTAGTTCCAAGGATGCTCATATGACAGACCTTCATATCCTCTCCATCCGAAGCCGGTAGCAATCCTTCCGCCGCCAAGTTCTTGTAGAGCGATTGACGGACACCACTGTAGGCGCCATCGCACCCGATCAGGATATCTCCCTCGTGGGTCTTTCCGTCGCTGGTGCGGATCAAGACCCCATGGTCATCGTCCTGAGAGATCGACAGGACCCGTTTACCAAAGTGGACCTTGTGCGCGGGGACGTGTGATAGTAGGAGTGTGTGGAGGTCTGGTCTGGCCATGATGAAGGAGTGGTACCCGCAGCTTATATATACGATATGACAAAACGCAAAAAAGAATTCATTATTATTTTATCTGTCTCTCTCTCTCTTTTCCCCCGAAGGCGATCAGCCAATGAGTACAATAAAGAATCCAGCAGCACAATGTTATCCTGACACACTTACACAGCCTCGTATTCGGAGACGTTGGACTCGCCTACCTTGCTCAGATCACCCTCAGGTGCCTCTTGATAAATACCGCATCCCAGGACCTTCTTCGAGATCTGCCTCAGTCCCTCCAAGAGTCCCAGTTGCTCCAGTAGCGGCAAGACATTGGGCGTCAACGAGGTGGCGCTGCCCAGAGCTCTGGGTGCCGCAGATCTCTCGAAGATCTCATAGTCGATCGAGGCTTTCTCGAGGAGGATGGCCATGGTGAGACCTCCCAGGCCGGCACCGATGATCAGGACCTTTGGCTTCGTGGGCGCGACTAACATTTTTGATGCAGATGCTGACTTAAAAAAAAAAGAGGACAAAAAAAATAGGGTGGGAAGGACAAACGACCTAAAAGCAGATAGGGGGTAAGAGCTGATGAGGGGATGGATGAGAGGAGGGAGGGCAGAATGGGATGATGTACCATGGCTCGTGAAGGTCGGATAGAAGGTACCCTGCTCTCTGTTGTTGTTTTTTTTGTGCGCAAACGGACGCAAATTACCTTTCTGCAAATCGACACAGCACCAGGATGGACTCTGCATAGACTAGTCTATCGAAGCATCTGTTTATGAGCGGAGTGCAAATCCTCGTAATAAACGCCTGCATCCGTCGGCGCAATCGTTCAGGGCAGACCTCACCTCGACAACAATGGTTTTTGTTTGCATACTCTACGCCGTCTCCTTTATCTTCCCAATCTTGCTCCATCCAACTCCGCCCTGTCTCTTTCTATCCTCCTTGCTCTGAGTGGCAAAGAAACCCCTCCATGGCGGTCCTCTTTGTCTCTAGCCTTTTCAGAGCCATAGAGCCGACTGTTGCTTAAATCATGGCCCAATGCACTCCTCTCCCTTTGCAGACTGACCGCGCCATTAGCCTGGTCTCAATAAACATGTTGATGATCTTGTTACATGGTTACATGGCTACATGGTTACATAGTTACATGGTTACATGGTTACATGGTTACATGGTTGTGTAATGCTTATATTTTGTACTGTATATTTGAAAAATTGTGGTTGTACACAATCGATTCGTGAAAGCACACAGTGTTGGTTTCCCGTGCACCCTTGCCCTCACCCAATGCTGATTGGTATTGTTACCGTAGATCATCTTCAGATTTCTTTGGCGCCCCTTGTTGCTACCAGTGCCGCGTACTTTTTGGATTCCTTCTGGGGTTTGACCGGCAGCGTGCCTCGATTCGATACGCGCGGAATGAAGTTCGCCTGGGGCCTCACCGTGGCCTCGTACTCCACGTTCTTTTGTTGGAACCAGTTGGGCACGTATTTCAGCATCACATGGCGCGTAACGGAATCTAGCCGGCTCTGTTTTCCGATCGAAAACAATAAAAAAAAAAAAAAATGGATGCACAAGCACAGTGTTATAGAATGCATTCAACACTTCATGGTATGAAAAAATTATTTGGGATAGTCGTTATTACCTGTCCTGCCATGACCTTGGACATTTGTTGACTTGCTGCGAGCTCACTGGTCATCGTAGGGAAGCGCTCCTTATAATATTCCTCAAAGGCCGCGCTAAGGTGCTTCATACTGCATGAGGGCATTTCGTAAAGTGCGTTTGCGAGCGATACCGCGTCCATCATTGCATTGAGCGCTCCTACAAAGGTACCCAGATCAGTTAGTACCCCCTGTTCTCTCTACCCTTCCCTTCTTTGTGATTAAGGAATTAAGGATAAATCCTTTCAAATGTTGCTTCAAGAACTGTTTTTACCTCGTCCAAAATTGGGTAGCATCTTGTGGCATGCATCCCCGATGAGCACCGTTCTGGAATAATACCATGTCGTGAAGATTTTCTCTTCCAACATCACTTTGCTAACACGTTCCTTGGGCGTCGCATCGATCAAATCGCCCATGGTACCGTTGATCGGCAATCGGAACGACCTCCACTCCTCTGGGATCATTTCACATGACTCGGGCCCATACTCAGAATTACGGAATGTGTCATTGTCCTCGAACACTGTGGACTCGAGCTGGACGTCAATTCTCCAGCAGACACGGTTGTCTGGCACTGTAAAGTATCTCCACTATATACAGATAAGATCAACCCGAAGAAATATGTACTAATCAGTGCTGTTTCTTTTTACTGGGAAGGGGGTCCCAATCCTTCAAAAAGCATGGTTTCTCAAAAAAAAAAAAAAAAGACTCCCAACGGTTTGCTCACAGTTTCGGGTCGATCAGTTCCAATGATCGTATCACAATGCGAAAAATGGTCCTTCAAGCCTGGAAACTTTTCAGGGTCCAACGGGGCAGTCGTTCCGAGGAAGCTGGTATGGCACACCTTCAACTGCTCGCTGTCGGATCGAGGAAGTTGACCAACCCGCTCCAATTGCTTGTATAGACTCTGCCTCACGCCACTGTACGCACCATCGGCGCCAATCAGAATGTCTGCGTCGTGGGTCATCCCGTCCGATGTCCTAACCATGACGCCGTGCTCGTTCTGGAGAACGGAGAGAACCTTCTTGCCCATGAGCACCTTTTCCGCAGGCACTCGCGACAGCAAGAGGGCGTGAAGGTCTATCCTGGGCATTATTAGACTGTCGTATCCCGTCCTAAAGAATAGGGTAAATTTTTTCAGGGACATGGTTTAAAGCTTGAGGAAAGGAAAGGCTGATGGGAAAAATGAAACTCTAACACTTACAAGGCCTTGTTGTCCTTCAGCTTGACCTCACGGATCACATCCATGTCGTCTCTGAAGACCGTGGTTAACTCGATGGTCTTGGATATCTTTTTCATGTCTTCCCAGATGCCGAGTTGTTCGCACAGGGGCATGATGTTGAACCCAAGTCCTGTGGCGGATCCTAGAGGCCGAATCTTGTGGCTGCGCTCCAAGACCACATAATCAATGCCTGCCCGCTCGAGCAGAAGGGCCATTGTGAGCCCGCCGAGGCCAGCACCGACAATGATGATCTTGGGACCGGTGTCCATGGTATGTATAGGAGTGTGAGGAGGAAGGAATCGGCTGCCGATTGTTTTTTATGGTGTTTGACCACAAAAAAAAAAAAAAAGAGAGAGAATGAGATGAAGTTTTTGAATGAGCTGCTGAATGGATAAATATGAAAAGGAAGAACTAAAAACGAAGCGAAGGGCAGAAAAAGGTACCGCAGCTGCTGAACGGTTTTGTACGAGCATCTGAGAGCGTGCTGTTTACTGCTGTTCCTGAGAAATCAGGCCGATAATGACGGGATGGGGAACGACGGATAGCGCCAAAACAAGATGAGCCACTGCATGCATTAGTCTTTCTTCATACAAAGAGTACAAAAGAGTACAGTCTACGAAGGATACCAAGGATACGAAGAGTACGAAAGGGGGGCACGAAGAGTACACCAAGTCCGCGGACTGGATGAAGGGACATACGTCCCACTGGGCAGACAGCGGCGGGTAAACGAGGGAAAGATTGAACTCAAGGGACACTCAGCAGCATCCAATTTCCTGTGCTACAGTGCATGGGAGTCAGAGGAAGAGAAGGCAATCGGCAAGAAGGCAAGGGGCACGACATGCGGTTACACCACTTGGTAAGCCAACCCATTCGGTGCCTGTTCTCATACGTAGATTACTATGTAAGCAAGTAGGCAACAGAAAGGAGCTGAATGTTTGTGCTTCCCTCCTCCGTCCTCATGGCCATGTGCAATTAATCCTGCATGCACCTAATGCCCATGCTCTCAAACAGGTTGGCGACCATTGCACGACGACCGAAACTACTGGGGCACTACATCTAGGGTGAGCAGATGTGAGCCTGGGGATTTTCTTTTTTTGCTCCATGGTGGGAATGAGATGAAACTGCCGAACAGTGAGCATATTTTTTACAGTTTTAGTATCTAACCTGTATGCGCGTCTAAGTTATCAAAGGTCCTTTCCTCAAAGAAAAAAAACCCTCCCCTACTGCACACTTGATGGAATCGTACACCTGAAGATTCCGTAGATCGGCATGAATGATGTTTCCATATGACACTGCGGCATCCTCCCCTCTGCTCCACGTTGTTATTCATGCATATCTCTCTTTTCTTCTCTTTTCATTGCTCCTTCCGGGTTGGAAAGGGAAAAAAAATAGGGTTCTGTAAAAACAACGAAGGAAGGCAGGCATCCAGCGGGATAAATGGCGCAGGATGCATGTTATGATTGCTAACAGACCATTTGCTTCCGCCTAGCTTATTTGTTTGTTCATGCTCCTTCCTGCTGTTGTGTATGCACCATTGTCCATCCTCTTTCCTAAGCTGCCGCTCTCCTCTTTCGCCCTGTATAAGGGCTTGCAAAAAAAAAAAAAAAAAAAATCCACACACCGCCCCGCGCAGGAGAGCGACACAGACTAGGAAGAGGGGTGCAAGGGTGTGAGTGAAGCGCAATGAATGAATGAAGAACATGTGTAACCGGCGGTCAAACAGATGGGCATGCTCTTTGAAATGCAACTAGTCCCCATCTTTACGCGCGCATTTGTCGATGCACAAAAACAACAACATAACAACGTGAGCCAATGCTCCGCCTCTTTGTTGGTTCTATATGTAGTCTATGCATCCTACCGTAGTCTACATGCATGGTACATATCGAATCATGGGCATGCAAAACCAAAGTCCGTTGGCGATCCTTGCCCCTTCTCGACTCCGCAAGGCGCAACCTGTTTTCCTCCTGTCCAGTTGCTTCTGCTGCTCTCGTCCTGTCTTACGTTTAATATTATTAGGGTCAATGGGCAATGACAATGGCCAGACTAGCTCTTCCTGTCCAGTGTCTCCTCGGTTCGCTCGCCTATCATCCCGCATGAATGAATGAACAACTGTATTCTGCACGCAGTTATTTTGATGGAACGTCGAGCTGGGCAAAGGATCTCCGTTCTGTGCTCCTCATCTGAAAAAAAACCCAATCAGAAAAGGAAGCTCATTCATCGCATCCATTTTTCGCGATCTCATCCATCCTTCATCTCATCCACTTGTTCACCCCTCGCGATTCGTTCTCTTCCCCCTTCATCAATTTCGCCTTGAATAATTTTTTTCCTTCACACTCCATCACCCTACACCTATAACACTACACCTCCCCCATCTAGCATGCCAGATAACACACCTCCCAAAGTCCTCATCGCAGGCGCCGGCATCGCCGGTCTGATCATGGCCATCCTTCTCGACAAGGCTGGCATCGAATACGATATCTTTGAGCGCTACGAGACGGTCCGACCCCTAGGATCGGCCACAGGTCTCGGATTCAATGTCATGCCTTTGATGGACCAGCTCGGTCTCCTCGAGGACCTCAAGTCCATCTGCAAAATCATCGAGGGTACCACCATCTTTAAGGAGGATATGGAGGTCATCCGAGAGATCCGTCTCAAGGAGAACAGGGTCTTGTAAGTTCATAAGTTCCTTCGACAGTGTTCGTTACTTTGTGGAGGAGAAAAAAAAGATGGAGGTCGGATTGTACCACTCCTGATGTTACATGTTACACCATCGCCCTGCAGAACCGGATTTTTTTTTCCGTGTACAAATATACAGCCATCCCTTGCATCCGCATATGCCGCATGTCTCTATGTGTTCTGTTACTAATAAAACGCGTCTTCATTTTTTGTGATCAAAATATCACAGGACCGGCTATGACTCCATGATCACATCCCGTCCTCAGTTCCACGCCCTCCTCATGTCGCGCGTCCCTAAGGAGAAGATCCACATGAGCAAGAAGATCATTGCGCTCACTCAGGATACCGAGAGTGTTACGATCACCTGTGCGGACGGCAGCACCTATACGGGTGACATCCTCATCGGAGCCGACGGTGCCTACAGTGGCGTTCGCCAGGCCCTATACGACGAGATGAAGAAGGAGGGCATCCTGCCAAAGTCGGATGAGGAGGAACTCGTTAGCCATTACATGAGCATCCTCGGCACCACCGATTCGTTGAACCCCCGCAACTATGAGGGACTCGACGATAAGGAGTCGCACTGTGATACTGTGATTGGTGACGAACGTGGGTTGACTGTAAGTTCACAAACAATTTACGCGAATAAAATTTCAACTGTGCGCATACTGACCTGAACTGTCTTTTTTTTTTTTTATCTTGTAGTGGAGGTACTTCACAATCCCTGATAACCGTGTCTGCTGGAGAATCGACCTGCAGTCCAAGGACATGGACCCAAAGCTATATGAGAACTGGCTGAATGCGGACTACAACATGTTCGATATCAACCAGCTGCCCGAGGCATGGAAGCACCACAAGCTGGCCATCATGGGTGAACTTGGAGATCTGTTCGACAACACGCCCAAGGAGGCCATTTCCAAGGTCGTCCTCGAGGAGAAGGTCTTTGAGACCTGGAAGCACGGACGTACTGTGCTTATCGGAGATGGTATGTTGGCGTATAGCGTTTCGATGAGTTTCTCTGAACCAGCTTTTAAAAAGCGCTGAGATGATAAAAAAAGGTCACTAACACCTTGTTTTTACCATGCTTTTTTGTCATCTTTTTAAAAAAAAAAATCCCATCGATTGCAGCCGCCCACAAGGTAAGTCGATATACCCTGACCTCGGATATTGTCACTCTCTTCTATATGTCATTATCGGCTGTATACCACGACATTAATGATTAACATTTCATATTTTACCCTTCCCCTTTCTTCTCAAGATGCTTCCCAACTTCGGTAGAGGTGGTTGATGGGTTTTCTAGCGATGCATGCTCTTTCTTTGTTTGAAAACCCCCCTACTACGAGGAGGGGGGATGGCGAATCAGTTTTGCTGACAGTTTGCCTTTCTTTTTACCTCCCTACCTTAAAAACATCTTTTGAACTAGGGGCCTTGAACGCGATCCTCGACGCCGTCATCCTCGCGAACGCGATCTACGAGATGCCAACGGCTAACCAAAAGAACATCACCAAGGCTTTTGATGATTTTTATGAGGAACGCTTCCCGACCATGAAGAAAGAACTCAGCGCGAGCCAACAAATGTCGACCGTCATGGCTGGCAAGGTAGGGACTTGATTATATGTATATATATTTATGATCTGCTTGAATTTTTTTTTTTTTAATTCCTTACATCCCATCGTCTTGGTTTTCTTCAAAATGTAACAGACATGGCTGGACAGTGCTGCCCGATGGGTGCTCCTGAAGTTGGTCCCCAAATACTTCAAGGAGAAGAGTCTAGAGTACACACTGCAGTACAGACCCCAGGCACTCTTCTTGCCCCGAATCGAGTCCACTGGTACTGTCCCCATCACTCCCCAAAGGCCTTCAAAGAAATATGCCGCGTACGTGAAGGCCCAGGCTGCTGCTGCTCCTGCACCCAGTGCCGTTTAAAAACTGAAGGTTTATATGTTGTGCTTCCTGCCTTTTTCTATTCCTTTTTTTTTTCTTTTTTTTTTCATATTTCTGTAGCCTACAAACCATAGACATGAGTAATGATCGTATGACACTACATAATGCCATTCCACCTAATATAATCCATTAGAACTTTCCCCTATCCCTCCTCTCACCCATTGACGATTGATTGTTATTGTTATTGTTGTTGCTATTGACGCGATTAGGGTTTTTTCGAAAACGCACAGCGAGCAAAAAAAGAAAAAAAAAAAAAAAAAAAAAAAAAAACGAACAAACGCGTGGAAGACGACGTATATATATAATATGCTGTTGAGACTGGTGGATTTTTTTGAGTATCTGAACAAGAAAATGCTACCAACTACCCGTTTGTCACCAGCATATGAAAGAAATGCAAAGAAAAAAAAATGGTGAATTACAAATAGATCGCTATGAATGTGTAAACTATCAACAAGAAAACTTCAAATATGCAATAAAAATAACTAGAAAAAAAAAAAGATCAACGTCTTTCACGGTCGACCGATCGAAAGAAAGAAAGAAAGAAAGAGAATGAGAGGGAAATGAACGCGTGTGCTTTCTTCATTCTTACGAAAGAATCCAACCCATCTCCATCTTGACCGAACGACCCCGCTTCGTCGTCACGGGCACCGTCCTCGAAATCGGCTTCTCGATCATATCCCAAGCGTCCACATTCGGCTCATTGTACTTGCACGCAATCTCTAGCGGCGGCTTCTCCGCATCGCCATCGCGTCCCACCTGGAACCTCGACAGATCCGACGACGCAGGTGTGGTCGGGTATGGCGGCAGCCTTGGGAGGTAAATCGGCGGCAATTCGATCCTTGGAGATGTCAGCGGAGAGGTCGATGCAGACGTGGCCCCAATGTCAAGCTTTCGCAGAGGCGCAAGAGGTGGAGGCATCATGGACGATGCGGGTGAAGATGCGGACCAGTCGGGCTTGGCAGTCGCGGTCTCGTCCTTGGGCGTGTACGAGGGCTGGCATGAGGGCGAGTATTGGATGCGAGCAGAATCCCCCTGGTCGTACCCGATTGTCTGAGGCGGAGGAGACATCGAGGAACTGTCATAGGCCGCACTCCGGTTCGTGTTTCCGGAGAAATAGCAGGTTCCGGGAGCCTGGCCTTGCTTGGCCGCAATCTGGCAGCAGCAATGAGCGGCCACAGGAAGGGGTACGGCGCTTGACAAGCTCGAGAGCTGGCAGTACGATGGACGGGCATAGGGCAGCGAAGGGTTATACCCTGCCTGGGCATACTTGCGAGCGCGCGACAGGGAGCGGTCCGGACGCGAGAAAGACGTAGGCAGGCGCTGGACCAAGGCGCGCTCCAACTCTATATCATAATCGATGGTCTGACCGGCCTGACCAGACTCCATCTCCTTGGCCTTGAGGTACGCGGCCAGGCCGAACGTCTCGGCCAGCTCCTGCTCGTGCGCAGTTTGCTTGTGCTTGCCCACGGCTTGGGCCTTCCAAATGGGGATGTTGTTCTCGTCGTCCTCGCTTTCGGACGACATGTTCACGTCGGACGACTGCGCATGAGCATATGCGCGTCTTGCGGCCGAGTTTGCGTTATCTCTGAGGACGACACGTTCGATTTCCTCCTCCTCATCATCATCGTCGTCGTCGTCCATGTCATCATCGGCCTGGACCTGGCGATAAAACTCGACACGGTCCCTCTTGGCAACCTTGGCAGCAAACTTGCGGCGTTGAAGCTTGTTAACCTTGGCGCGCGCCATGGCAGCAGCCTTGCTCGAGTGAGCACGTGTCGGGGTATCCGACTCTGTATCGGTGCTGCTAGTGCTCTCAAGCGCAAATTTGGATGCGGATGACTCCACAGGCGAGGCTGGGATAGAGGTAGAGGTCAATGAGGAAGACTTTGCCGATCTTCTCTCCCCATGTGTCTTCTTCGTGTTGCCGTCACCGTTACCCGTCAAAGCTGTTGCCTTGGCTGCAGCGATCAATGTGGCAGCCGCCGTTGTCGAGGGGGAGAGCACGGCCGTATCACCCGAGGGCAAGGTGATGATCGGGGTCGCGGTCGAGGTGATGATGCCTGCGCCATCCTTTCGGATCCTGGGGTTGGTGAGGTGTCGCTGGAATTGGCGGATATCAAGTTGGACAGAGGCGAGTTCACGATAGGAGCACTCGACATTATGTTTCTCGCATCGGGAGCAGGGCTCCTTGCGGTCGCATTTGACCTTCTTGGCTCTGCAGCGAAGACAGGACGAGTAGACTTTGAGGCGTTTGAGGTCGTAGGCGACACCAGGGATGGATGCAAGGGTTGCGGGGTCGAGCTGAGCGATCTCTGTCGCAGTTGTGGGCAGCAGCTGGAGTGTTGAGGTTGACATGGTATGTGGGACTGAGTGCTGTGAGATTTGCGTGTGTGTAAGAGAGTTGCTGGGGGGGAGCTAGCAAGATGCCTGTGAATTTGGGTTTAACCGGGACAAGGCTTGGCAGGTATTAGGGTGGTGGAGTGGAGTGAGGGATGAGGAGGGCTGATTCGAATGAGAAGATGAGTTGGAATGAGAAGAGTGTGGGGATAGAGAGCGTGCGAGTGAGATCCGGGGAAGGCGGAGAGAGCGAAGGAGAGTGAAAAGGTGCAGATTTCGTCGCGGGAACAGATAAAACAAAAAAGTCTTATCAGATCCTCGCTCAAAAAGCCACTTTGCCCAGCGAGCGAACAATCGGCCCACTGTCTCTCCGATGCTGTCACCTTACTCATCCACTCTGCTGCCAGCCCGGATGACCCGGGGTCACCTCTCTGATGCTCGTCGTCTACACTCAAACAAACATGAAGAAGCACCCGCTGCCTACACTTCTTGTTCTCGCTCTTGACGACACTGAACGATGGAGAGAGACAAGCGCGCGCTGGTGATAGATGACACCATTGCTCGACCTCGGTACCTTATTTGCCCTGTGTCCCATGTCTGTCTTGTCTTTTCCGGAGCTGAACTTGCCAGTAGAGAACGTGAATGCTAACGCAGAAATAGATGACAGAGGGCCCATACCATAAGAACCATCTCATCTCGGGAATATGGTGTCGCATTAAGACCGTAACAGAACCCAGTTTTTTTTTTTCTTATAAAAAAAAAGGCATGTACCAATTGAACCATACATTTCTCTTTCTCGGTCGGCTGTTTCTTTTTCTCTTTGGAAGCTGGAGAATCCTTCCCTATTCTCTAATTAAAAGGTAGAGTATCCTTTTTTATGGCATACATATGTAATCGCTTTTTGTCCGGAAAACTCTTTTGGACCTAGTAAATGTTTCGAGTGAGCACTCATCTTTTTTTTACAGTCCATCTCGGAGCAACAAGTCCTTTTTCAAAAGACCAGAACGAACCCTTGAGGTCGCATCCTCACTTCAGACACATGGTATTTATTACCACGCTTGGTCAAAAGAAGACGGATACCTCAGCCTCGAGACGAGGCATAGCACCACCCTACTGACCATTCACCTCCAGCTCCCCATTTTGACCTCTATGTGAGAGCGGCGATGGCGGTGGTGGTGGATGGGGATACTTTTTCCCAGCCCAGCTTATTCTTATATTTTTCTCAATAGGGCGGAACCAATTGACAAAAAATCCTGACTCGGATCTGATAACGCGGACACTCAAACTTTAAAAAAAAATAAAAGATGGGCGAGCAAAAGTGGTGAACACATACACACACGCAAGTCAGTCGCTTATCAGATCCTTGGCCAGGAAGGAGAGACACCAATCCACACACACACACAACACAAACAGCGTATACGCTTGTGTTTTACATAGACAAGCGCGCTTGCACACCCGTATAATACAATACACACGGTATTAGCTCTTCGGGAAAACAGCCTAGTTGGAGAGGGGGGAAGTGATGCCTTTCGCTTATAACAGCTATTCGACCCCGGGAAAGAGAAAAAAAAAAAGCAAAAGAAAAAAGCAAAAGCGAACACGCCACGCGTTGGCAGGGTACGTTGCATCGCACACCGTATCGCATGACATGCTAAAAAAGACCGTTTCGTTTGTGCATACGTTCGTAGACTACACACATGCACCCGTACACATAGGGCGCAAAAAATACAAAAAGAGTGAGCCGCTCGTAGTCTAGTCTACCCTTCCTTCGGACTTTGACTTGGCTGCTGTTCAACCCGTCCTAATGTAGATACTTGGCCTCGTGTACATGTACAACACAGACGATGAGAGAGTCGCATACAAAAAAAAAAAAATCGTAATCAGATTCTGCTCCAAATCTGGCCCCAAGCCCGGAGAATGCATGCACTCTTTTAGTCCACATACTCGCTGCGAACCGACAAGAACGACAGGACATAGGATGGATAAACCAATAAAGAAAAATTAAATTCCGCAGCGCAAACGGCGATCAATAACGTGGCTACCAATAAGCCTTTGCCCTGCACACTCATCAAACGAAATGACCTCTCTTCTTCCTCCTCCTCCCCCAGAAATGATCAAGATATCGTCTTTGTCAAAGCTGCTGACAATATTAAATACCAAAAAGGTTACTGCAGCGACTTTTTGGGGAAGGAGGGAGGTCAAGTTGATGTCTATGGCGCGTCGTCGTCAAGTAATCTCCTTAAATATATTGTTATTTTTAATTGACCCTCCCGATCCATCCAACGGATACACGAGTGCAACAAAGATCAAATGCAAGGGACTGATCCCTCAACAGCCCTGTTGCATTCAACAAAGATATCGGTTATTGCAGTAGATTGGACTTTCGACTGAGTTCCCAAACCCTTGTTTTTTTTTCAAAAAAGGGACAATCTATAACATATTTGACAACCCGGGTTGACGCTCTCACTTGACAACACCTGCAGGAAGTACATGTAAAATACTTGATGCATTCGCCGAAGATAAAGGCAATCTGAGCGGCTGATTCACGAGAGGGTATTACTTGGGCCATAAGCCCGATTTCCAAGGTAAATGAATTACATGGGTTTCCTGCGGGGATTGACTTGCATATTCAACGTAGCAATTGCACTTCCGTATAGGTTGTCAAATAGGACTGACAACCCAGGTTGCCAAGCAGATTATTCCTTAAAAAAAGACCACCGCCGTACCAACTGTTTATTCATCCATGTCGCAATACACGACGCGCCAGATCAAGGATAAAACTAAGTGTGTACGATAATTGATGCCGTCTGAATGGGACCACAGAAAAACCGGACAAAAATGAAAAAAGGGAAGAAAACGCGGCACAGAATGACAACGTGTTTGTAAAAGAACAAGCTCGTCATTACACTTTCATTCATCCCAAAAAAAAAAAGAAAAAGAGAAACTCAGAAGTTGAGCTTGCCGAGGATCGAACTCGGATTACTAGATTCGAAGTCTAGGGGACTATCCATTATCCTACAAGCCCAGACTGTCACTGCCTTTTGAGGGACTGTGATTGGTGGATTTCCTTCATCTTCCAGCCCTCTATATACCCATTACAATCCCTGCCATCCCATTATCCACCTTTTTAGAGGGCCTTTTTGGCCGGTTTTGGCCCCTCCCTGGGCCCCCTACAAAGGCAGCAATGGAATGGATAGGATACAGAAGGTCATAGGAACCGTTTCTGAAGACTGGTAGAGAGATCAAACAAAGTGGAATTGCGAAAAAAAAAATAAAAAAAAATAGATGGGTAGAATCGCGTCGCGCAGCGGATCGGGCGCTGCTGGACTGCCTGCAAGGGAGGAGGCGATTTGACAACCATGGAGGGGATGGGGATGATAGCCTTCTTGTAACAAGGAGTTTTCAGCTTTTTAACACACTGATGAGGCATGGCAATTGTTTGCACAGGGAATGTGACCTGTCTTTTGGCGACTGTGGATCGGCTCTACTTTGGTGGAAAGGACGACTGTAGTAGATCCTTTGCGGACCATGCGTCGCGTGCTCATGGGGATTTATGTTAATAAAAAAAAAAAAAAAAAAAAAAAGGACGACTGTAGTAGATCATTGCTTGTTAGGTCTGATAGATTCGCCGGGTCAATCGACTCCAGAGATAAATTGCTATAAAAAAAAACATAGGAGAGAGAGAGAGAGAAGGACACGTCCTCGCATTCTCCGATAGAACTCTTTATGAATCAAAATACTTGTATCTGCTTCGTCTCGTCTGTGTGTCCCTTTTGCATCTTCGACTGGAAGTTCCTGCAATTGGTACTTGCCTTATCGGTCGTATCTTCATGGGACCCGTGCGTAGTCCAGGCACGTATGGCAAAAACAATGGAGACAATACAAGGAGAGAAAATAAAATTCAGATGCACCATGGCACCTTTAACTATACCGATATTTATTTAGAAAAAGAATAGCTTGAGGAAAAGGAAAGGGGAGGAGGTTAGACAAGACTGACAAAGTGCCAAGTTTCTACTGCCACAATTAAGCGGAGCAGATGGTCTTGATCGTGGAGATCTCCTTAACCTGGATAGCAGCGCAGGCCTTGGCGCACAAGCCAACAGCAGCCTTGATCTCGGCGATGAGAGCAGCGGAGACCTTGACATAACCGGTGAAGCTGACCCTGATGAAGATCGATTTGCCCAAGAATAGCTTAATCGCGAGCTTGATGGCAGCCTCGATCTCGACAGCGAGCTTGGCCTGGACCTTGACAACGATCCTGCCCGCGGCTTCGACAGTCAACTTGGCAGCCATCTTGACGATCTTCTTGGCATTGCGCCTAATGCAGGCGGCATCCTTCTTGGGGCATTGCCTGACGATGAAGGCAGTAAGGCTGTACTTAAATTTGAGGGTGAACTCGTCTTTGATCGCAGCAGCGAGAACAGCCTCAAAAGCAACCTTGACTTTGGCCTGGATATCAGCATTTAACTTAACGTTGGTACCGGTTTTAATGCCGAAGATACTAAAAAGAATGAAGAAAAAGAAATGTCAGGAACGGAATGTGCTCATTGTGGCACAAGCACTAGGCTAGATAGATATAGGGCCACAGCATGGCTTAGGGCCACCCCATAGCCTTGCCTTTACGACCCGGATGTGGTGTGCATGCTCATCTGCCAATCCGAGGCTAGGAAAACGTGGGGAAAGTAAAGAACGCGACACCCAAATCTCTTTTAAGGAATAGAGTCTCGACCCTTCGGCTGCTAGGTGATGCAGCTGCAAATACACAGTGCGCTGCACAGTGACCGATCACCCCAGGATGACTGGCACATAGTGTTCATATGAGGCCCAGTCGACCTCGGGTCAACTCAAGAACACAACTCCATGGAGATAGTATGAAATAAAATAAAGTATAACAAGTGGGATTTGGAGAGACACAGAGTCAATTAAGGTCCTTACGTGACCACAGTTTTGAGGTGGGTCTTGATAGCAGTGGCAATTTTGGCATCGGTGCAGGAATTAGCAAAGGCCTCGACAAGAATGTCGCTGTAAACCTTGGTCATTTGGGTGGTGACGGTATTAAAAGCGACATCGGACGCAGGGGGACGCTTCTTAAGAGCGGTCTCGGCCGAGGCGAAGGCGCTGCAGAACATGACGAACATGGCCATGAAGAAGGCGAAGAAGGTAGCGGTCCTCATGATGATGACTTTTGACGGGGGAGAGAGGAATGTGTGAAGGAGTAAGGGAGTTGTTGTAAATTGGCTTTTACGAATATGTCGGCCAAATGTTCTGGCGAGATGGAAGGGGGGCAACTGAAGAGCTGTTGGTGAGCTGTAAAGAGAAGGAAGGTGGTTGACGTTGAAGGCGAGGAATGAAAAAAAAAAATACCGAGGGGGAAGGGAGGGCTTTTATAGCAGCCAGGTTTACTCTGGTGGCACTTTCTGCGCACTGAAGAGGACTGTATCTACTAGAGAAATTCCTGGTAAAGGCATGCTTCTCAGCGTATGCATGCCGGTGGGCTCTGTGCAGTCTTGTGCCGCTCCACAACAAGACTGCTGTGTTTCTCACTTTAACTGCAGTGGAGCAGGCATATGAAGGATCATGGCCATAGGGTCCGTGCATGGTGCTGAAGGGGAAGGGATCCAGGTTTGATGGTTGCCTGTCTGTCGCGACCCCAGCCAAGGTGCTTAACCCAGACAGGGGTGCGTCAGGAACCGGTCTCCCCTGTCTAGGACCCGGGTTAGGAGTGTCAAACACGACGCTCTTCGTCTCACTTTGTCCGTCTTACCTTTATTATTGTCGCCAATGTCTATTTTACCCTGCCTGCACAAAAGGAAGCAATACATGCCACGGTGGAACCTCATGTAGTAACTTGACAGAACAAGGCAATTTTGCATGGATCACATCCTTGCTTGGTATGAGGTCTGTTCTCGGAGCTATTTTCGCTCCACTCGCTTTTCTTTCTTCTTTTTTTGTTAACATTGCTTCAAGCAGATGTTCCATCGATATCAGCTCTATGAACCACTTGGTTAACTCAGGAACAAACCTCATTGCGCCTGCTCGGTTTTATCATCGTAGGCCCCAGACGACTCGCAAGTTATTATGGATGTACGAAAAACAACCATTGGAAGATCCGTCATATCAACCGAATTATCCAGACTTGGGGGGAGGGAGAAGGACTTTCACGGCCACTGCAGCCGATGAGTTCAAAGGCATCCACAGAGACTGGGACAATCAATGACTGTACTGTTCATTTTTGTAGACCTTCATGATTAAATCCTTTATTTATCGGTCGCGCCTGTTTGTCTAGGTGTGAACAGCTATTAAACTGATGAGGTATGGAACTTTGAACCTTGCAAAGGTCAAGCGGAAGGGTACGGGCGAAAAAAAAAGACACGAATCAAATATCATTCAAAGACTTTCAGCTTTTTAGCACACTGATGAGGAGTGGCGATTGTTGCACAGGCCCTAGGGGGGAGCAGGCCCGGGGAATGTGACCTGTCTTTTGGCGACTGTGGATTGGCTCTACATTGGTGGAAAGGACAACCGTAGTAGATCATTGCTTGTTAGGTCTGATAGATTCGCAGAGTCAATCGACTAGAAAGACAAATTGCTAAAAAAAAAATGGTAGAATCGCGTCGCGTGTTGGGAGGGGTGCAGATAGAGAATCAGACACGACTTTTTTTTTCTTTTAATAGAAACTCGTAGAGGTAAGGAATGGTAATGGTAGTGGTATCTAAATATGTTTCTTTTTTACTATGACATGCATGGAGGCGTTTTTTTTTGGAAGGATGAAAAGATGAACCAGCCCGACACACACACAATCAAAATTGTGTAGATAATAAGCATCTCCCCCTTCCTTCCTTCGTTATCTGAGTAATAATAACACGGACTGAACAACGCGACGCGTAAAAAAAAAAGCGTTTATTTCTTCACCACATCACCTCCAGATCCTCTCTCACCCCCACGTCCCCAAAAAACAAAGCAAATCGTATTTTTTTTTACTCAACCCTCCACGACAAAATCGCTCCCTATCTAATATACCTAATATATCTAATATACCTAGTATACACGCTTTTCATATATATCTCTCTTACCAAATCATATCAGCCACGGCAGACACTTTCTCTTCCTCACCGGACAAACGTATCCTACAGGATCAGGCAGAAGAAAGAAAGTGGAAAAAAATAAAACCTTTGATTGGCCTCCCTAGCGCACTGTACCCAAGTAACCAACACTTGGCGACAGGCATTTTTTTTCTCGTCCTTTTGTACCTAAAGCGAGAACAGATTCCTGTTCTTTGGCGACAAAAATGACCGAACCACTCCTTTTTTTTTTTCTTTTTCCTCCGTACCCAATATAACAAAATTGGCGACAGAGTGCTCGAAAAGAAAGAAAGAGAGAGAGAGAATATATAGGACTAGGATTTATTATCAAAAGGGCATAGGGAATCGAACGGAACGGAAGATCAGGGATAGAGAGAGAGTGAAAGAGTGAGAGAGGCAAGGCAAGGCAAGGCAAGGCAAGTAAGTAAGGCAGACGGACCAAAAGCAGACAAACGGATGGACAGCGAAAAAGAAGAAACGTCAGGAGCAAAGACGGGGCAGAGAAAAACAAAGACTCCCATGGCAAGAGGACAAGCGCCAAGAAGGGAGTAGGAGAAACAAAGAGACGCGGGCACCATGGAACCATGGTAGCTGGAAATCCTTTTTTTCTCTTTTGTCAGCGACTCGGGAAGAGACTGACAAACAGACCGGGTCTCGCTACGGGGCATTGAGGAGATCAAACATCATATACCAGAGTGCAATATTTCGAGCAGGACTTATCCACGATCAAGACATGAAAACATGGTGCGTGAGGTGGAGGGAAGCCTCCAGATCAAACGCTGGAACTGTCCCAAGACGCAATTCCCCATGTTCACAGCATGTCCATCTCTCCGGCGACATAGTCATCATATCGCAATCTAGAAGTTGTAGTCGAAAATAACAGTCGGTCAGAGGAACAGAGTCTTTTTGTTGTCGTTCATTCGAGCATACAGCTGTGCAAGAAAGTAACGCACCCTCTCCTGCGATATCCGAATCCCATGTCATCATCGCTCATGTCCGAAAAGTCATCGTCCTCGCCCTCTTCTGATGGTGCGCCATAGCTATGGATCGGAAAAAAAGAAAACGTAGTTGCTATTGAGCACACAATCTCGTCCCTCTTCATTTCAATCAAACGACCAAGCAAATTATGTCTTCCCCCTGCCATAAGGAAAATCATGCACTGTACCTGACACCTCTCATTGTGAAATAAATAATGCGCTTGAGTTTCCGGTTAAAGAAAAAGTAGTTGAATGACCATCTAATGCACAGCATTTCGTACGAAAATAGATTCGTTAGCTGCATTCGCCTTCTTCCTGACCTTCTATTCCGTGTTCACCCTCCTTGCATTGGAACAGCGAGACACCTATACAATGCGCCCAATCTCACCAAAAAAAAAAAAAAAAAAAGGAAAATATAACCTCCTTGACCCAAAACACACAAACCCAATTATGGGCACTTACAAGGTCCCGCCACCCTCCTCGTCGTTCGGGTCCGAATCGCTCTCTGGATTGTAGCTGTACACATCCGAGTCCTCGAAATCGATCAGGTTATCGATCGAGTCCCAAATTCGGAGCTCCTTGACCGCACGGTCGTTCCCATGGTTCAACAGCGTCGCATTCACAGAATTGACCACCATCGACACCGATGGCTCTTTCCGGAACTGCTCAGGTTTGGCATCTCTATTATACCCAAGCGGGCAAATCAAACAAAAGTAAAGCAGTAACAACAACAACTTCAGTTAATGAAGAACGAAACATCCATCTCTGGTTTCCTTGACATATTAATGCTGACAGGAAAACGGATCATTATTGACACATCCATCTTTTACGCCTGGCCCATCTAGAGAGAAGGTTATTTTTTCAGGTCCCGATCCGTTTTGTCTACACTCAAATACCCCAAAAATGATATCATTCGTCTTCGCCCGTTCGTCCCCGCACTTTTACATAGTCACATGGTTGGTCCGTTCAGCGAGCTACCTGACCTGACCCAAACGCTACGTCGTGTCAATGGCTGAAGAGTCAGTTGAACTCCCCAAGACCAAAAAAATAAGGAGGAGGAAGAGGAGGAGGAGAAAGACGAGTGACCGAGTATGAACTCCCCCCTTACTTACGAAAAGTCATAGTCAGGGAACGAAGCATTCAGGGTGCCGATCAAGTAGAACAACGTTCTTCTGGAGGCCGGTTGGTCCAGTGGGCCAAAGGGTGAAATGATGCTCCGGAAACTGGCCTCGTCCGGCGGACTGTTCGAAGGGTCGTATTTGATCTCGATTTGCTTGTACAGCTTCTTGTCTGCCCCTGCTGCTTTGCCTAGAAGTAGTAGTAGTGGTAACGCCAATTGGACAACCCGTAAAGTGTAGATGAAGGCAACAACAGAGAAGGTGAGATGGGGAATCTGCGCGCGTTATATGTATGGAGATGATACAATTGCATAGTCTTCCTCGTGAAGACACATGAGAGAAGAAGAGCCAGTCGCTTGCTTCTCCCCCATCTCTGGTGTCAATAGGATACAACGGCTCAAAAGTAGGGGTTGCTGTTGCTTACAGGAGTATGGCTCGACTCTGCCGTATACTTTGCACTCGGGTGTCTCAAAGACAAGCGCGCTGTTGATGGCGTCTATTCCAGCGTACTCGAGGAACTTCATTGTACTTGGTGTATTGATGTTTCGGGAGGGGGGGTATCTGTGTAGCGGTTGCGGTGTCAGGAATGGACCGAAAGCACAAAGTGTGAGTATCCAGAGAAAAGTGTTGGTGGACCGGAGAAGAAGAAGAAGAGTTGTGGTTGGGGAAGATGGGGAAGATGATGAGGAGAATGGAATAGGCAGCCAATCTTAAAAGCGTGCTCCCAGTTGGCCGATGGGCTGTGTGACCCCCACTTCTGCTTTTGCGCTTAGCCTAGCCGAGTCAAACACCTTGCCCACTCGGTGTCGCCAGATCACCCCACGCGCATTAGCGGCCTGGATCTACAGGAGTTCCTCTTCCCCGTTCTTTTTCTCCCCGTTTGGCCTGGCTTGCTTAGACGCGTTGTAAAACATATGCATACATACCACACAGATAGTCCATCTCCAGATGACCCAAACAAGACACCTCGAATGTCGCCAGGTTGGTAAGCGATATATATATATATTTTTTTTGTATATATACATGTCATTTATTGCCATTGAAATAAGTAATGTGGTGTTGTGTGTCTAAAGAAGAAAAACCCCCTCCCCCCATAATATCGCCCATCCTTAGTCAGCGCCGTTGATCGTTTACAGCTTCGACTTGGGAGCCTCAAGTAGGGTCTGCTCAAAGAGCTGTCTCATCTCCGTGGCAGCCTCCTTCAGGTAGTGGTGCAGACGCTCAGGGCGCATCTCCTTCATCGACGCAACATTGAAGCTCAAGTTGTTCTCGTTGACCATGTATGCGACTCCGTAACCATCGGGGACGACCTCACCCCAACCGTATCCATCAAAGTGCTCGCCAGAAAGCTGAGACGTTGACAGGTTCCAGTGGCTCGAGCGGCTGAACACCTCCTGTGTGAACATCGCGGGCTTGCTCTCGTGCGACTTGAGCGACAGACGGAGACCCAACAGGTGGCGATCGACTCCCTTGCCCTCGACAGCGCTGGCCATGTAGCCCACATGCGACTCAAGTGCCTTCTTGAACAAAGCAGTCTTGTCAGTAGCAGAGATATGGGGATCTTCCATGGACTTGACCCAAGCAACCGACTCGGTGCTGACAGTACGGCAGGTTTCAGTGCGACCGTGCTGGAACTTGCGGACCTGCGCAGATTCGTACGTGGGGTTAGACACGCCATGCATCTTGTAGTAAGCGAGCTGGATGATCATCTGGACATAGGCATCTGGGGAGCACTTGAACTTCTTGATCAAGCCCTTGCCGTATCCCTCATAGTTCTGGACATGGAGGCCGTGCTTGCCGATCAGCTCCTCAAAGTTCTTCTCTGAGGTCTCGATCGCCTTATGGACGGCAGTGTTGAAAGCAAAGTTCAGCTTCTTGGGGGCTTCCAAGCTGGACGAGACAGTGGCAGGACCGTGGTCAATCTTGTTCTGGGCCAGAGTAGTGCAGACATAGTCGTTCAGGCGGCAAGTGGGAGTTCCGTCCATGGTCGAGTGCTACATAGATTCAAACATTCCAGGGATAAAAAAGGTTAATAATCTAGTGTTATCAATTCATCGCTAGCCAGATAGACAAGGGCCAGCGCTGGCTCGCAGATCCATACCTCGCCCATGAAACCGGCCTTGCCGTTCTCAAAGACAATGAACTGGAGGGCCTTGTCAAAAAAGCGGTTGCGGCCATCTCCGTGCCAGCAGGCGCGAGAGACCTCATCGCGAGTGACGGGGCTGGAGTCATCCAAGCAGAGCAAGAAGACCGAAGATTCGATCTTGCGGAGGAGCTCCTCGTTCTGGGAGCCGGCGTTGATGAGGGTCTTGCGGGCCTATTTGCCGATCAGGGTAGGCACGAAAAATGTTTTTTATGGTTAGAGATGTTGTACGTGTGGTTGTGGTGGTGTGCATGTGTGCGGGTCGGAGGATGTACGCTTGGCTGAGGCTGAACGTAGAAGCGAACGTCTGTGCCCAACTGACGTCCTTGTGCCCATGTGAAGAGAAGATAAGCAGGCCGTTTGAAGAGCCGAGAGGGGGAGGGACGGATACGGCAGAATGAATTATGAAGCAGAGTCTCGCCCATACAGCGCACTCGCCGACGGGATGGCTTTCTCTTCCCCAGAAAAAATAAATAAACTTCAATTCTGTCCAAATAAAGTAATCGCTCGGTTTGCCCTGAATTGGGTTGAGGCGAGTCGAATTGAGAGCTGGCCACTCTACTGTCAAGCTGGCCAGATGACGGCGATAGCAAGACATTAAAAAAAAAAAAGCGATGATCTGCTTTGTTGTGGTTGTTGTTGTTGTTGCGTCCATTATCCAAATCCATGTGAGAGTGAATGCCTCCCTCGGTCGGTTTGCGCTGTGTCTTCACAACAAAGTAACATAGTCATAACGGGCTGAAAAAGAAGAGGACAAAAACCGAGAGCCCTTCATCATTGATCCGCTTAGCGGATTTCGCTCGACAACAACCATTGATCCCTCATGTCTCGCTTTTTCATCCCTGTCATCCAACGGTCGAGTGTCGGGCCGACCGATCATTCCTTGGCGCACACTGCGCCTTTGTTATTGCAGCACCATCCTAATGTTCAGCAGATCAACTGAATCACAGATGCTTACCTCGGTCCAGATATCACGGTTGTCAGAGGTCAAGACACCAATGGCAGGGTCCTTGCGGTCACCGGCCAGCTTGACAATGGCATCCAACTGGGCCTCGATATCGGCGGTGCTCAACACCTTGCCATCCTTGATCAGATCAAAGGTGAAGAACTGGTTGTGGCGGACAACGGCCACATGGTTATTCTGGGCAGGGTCAAAGGCCAGCTCAAAGTCGCTGGGCTTGGCGGGGTATCTGCAGGCGTTGAACATGTACTTGTAGGTCGAGGAGTCCAGGGGGCTCTTCTTGACCATCTCGGGTGCCAGGGATTCGTCAACAACCTGTCTGCGGAAATCCATGGCGGCCTGGATGATGGCGGCAGCGCGCTGAGTGGGCTTCTTGCGAAGACGATCATCCTTGTAGGCATAGAAATACGAGACATAGATGACGACGGGATCGCGGTATCCGAAGTAGGCGAGATCGTTCCACCAGTCCTCGAGCCAGTTGACGGTCTTGGGGTCGTTGGCCTTGGCGAGCAAACGCTTCTGGAGCTCCTCACCGACACCGCCGGGCTTCTGGAACTCGGCAACAGCAGCGCTGGTCTCCGCGAACTCCTTATCGTTCAACAGGGGACGGACGGACTTGAGGTAGCGGGCGCAAGTCTCGGCCAAGGTGGGGACGGGGAGCTTGGGAAGGGCGGTATCGTAACGGTAGAGGGGACCCTTGGTCATGTCGGGCTGGCCCAGACCGGGGATGGTCGCGGGAGCAGCGCTGGTGTAGTTTCTGTAGAGCATGCTGGAGACGATCTGTTTTGGAATGTGGATTGGAAGATGAAGTTAGGGATATGGACTCGATCGGCCATCGGGGTGAGGACGAGGCGGTATCAAAGAGAATTAGACGAGCTGTTTACCTTTGGCTGTTGAGGCTTGATGATGTTCTTGAACGAGTTGAGGAGGAGGGGTCTTGAGACAGAGGACAGGGCGCGAAGAGACATGAAGGAGGAACCGCGAGGGATTTAGTTTTTTGGGAAGGATAGATAGATTTACAAGAAAAGGTGAGAAAACAACCACGGAAAAGGGCGAGGAGAGTGGGGAGGAGTGGGGAAGAAAGAAAGAGAGAAAGAGAGAGCGGTTTGGAATGAGGAGATGGGGAATGGAGCGAGGCAGAGAGGCCTTTTATACCTGCAGCAGGGCGGTGTGCGGTGCGACCGCATCATTTAAACCCACGTTCTTCTTCTTTTGCACACACACACACACACACACATACATCCATACATATCACACATATCACACATCACATATCACATATCACATATTGCATGCCACATATCCTATTCAGTCCTATTCAGTCCTATTCAGTCCAGTCCAATGGAAGTCGTGCCCTGGACAAATCCGTGAGTATCCGGAGGCAGCCACATCACGTGCCTGGTCTTCCCCTCTTCCCTCCCTCCTCTGCCAAAAACCTTACCCACGGCCAATTTGTGGGGGCGGACTGATTCGCGGGCAAATCCCTATCTGCCGTCGCTTTGGGTTGGTCCTCGTTCTCCACAAACCTACTTTGTCCAACCCGTGCTCAGCTCGTTCTCCATCTCGGACTCTGAGGTATCTCTCGCGGATATCTCTCGCACGCACGCACGCACGCATGCACTTTCTATCTCGAAGGAGAGGAACTTTTCGGAACTGACTTGTAGGTGTGAACAAAGTACGCAGTCTGGCTCCCCTTTTTCTCTCTTTCTCTCTCTCACACGCACACACAAACCCCATACATACACAGAGCTACCGCAATCTACCTTTCGTCCCCGTATACACTTATGCAGCCACAGCAGCGCCCCCTACCGCGTTCCGCAATTTCCCATTGCAAGGAGCGCCCTGCCTCCAAAGTACTCTTCCATCCCACATCCACCCACCTCTCTCCACCATCAAATCAATTATTGGCTGTGAACCAAAAAAAAATGCGCGTTGTGTACGGGTGCGGACAAAAACAATCCAACGTTTTTCGTTAACCATTGGCCGCATTCATGCGACCCAATTGATCAGACTGGGAGGTACCTCCGTCTTGCAAGGAGTGCTCGGCGAAAATTGGCCATTCGCCTCAACTCCATCCCGATCATGCCAGCAGCGTGCGACCTTGCTGGCTCTTTTTGTCTTTGTCTTTTTTTTTTTTTTTTTTTTTTGTTCAGATTCGATCAATTTTCGTCAGAGGAAAAGCCGTAGAGTCAAGTGTGGAGATCAAGAGAAGGAAAAGGAACACGCACGAATAGTAGAGCGGAGCAAAAGTTGTAAGAAGAGAAAGATGAAGAAGAAGGAATTATCGATACGTTTATTATGGGTGATGTTATACAGGATTATACATGGTGGAGCGAAAAAAGGACTGCAGCAAAATAACAAGGTATGTGAAGTTCAAGAAAAAGACATCAAAGCGGATCGTCTAGATCAAAGGCAAGTGAACTGAAACGAAGGAAGAAAATAATAATAACAAACGGCAAGGATGAAGAAAGCGAGGAAGCAAGGGATTTGGGCAAAGTAGAAAGCGCCCTTATATAAGGAATGAGCGATGGAGCAACAATTTTTTGTTGGGACTAGAACCTCCCTCCTTGAGCCTGAGCCTTGGGCAAATTCAATCCTGAGTAAATGGTTCAAGATAGGAGTGTCTGTCGATTTTTCTGCTTGGTATAGTTGCGCTCCACCTGGGGAGTTTTTTTTTTTTTTCCATGGGGTTGTTAGCCTTTCCGATCCAAGGTGAAAAAAAAAAAAAAAAAAAAAAGATTCTATGGGTCCTCTACGCGTGCAAGTAGTCGTCCTGGCGCGCAACACCGTCCTCGTCATTGTCATCCTCATCGGACGAATCAAAGCTAAAGACAACATTCCTCAATGGACTACTCGTCTTTGGGGACGTCCTGGGCGAAGTCCGGGATGAGCTCCTGGGTGAGCCCTTGGACGATGCCTTTGGGGACAGGTTCTTGGGTGAGTAATCCCTGTTGTCATAAGCTGGCGGGCTGATGTTGCTGTTGCTGTTGCTGTTGTTGCTGACGTTGCTCCCATGGCTGTTGCCGCTCCGCTTGTCCAAACTATCTCCATGGCCAGACTTTTTGAACTTGACAGCTGAAGATGTATTGGTTGAGCCGGACGAAATTCTTCCGCTTTCTCCCTGACCCATGGCCCGACTCTGTCCTTGCTCAGCCTCATCCAAGTCCTCCATCGCCAACCCCACATATCCACTTCTTCCTGGACGGGTAGCGGAAATATCGCGTTGTGAACTGGTGTTGTCTGAATTGGAAAAGAAAAATGAGCCGATGCTCTGGGCCGGATTTCCGACAGGGCCGGACTCGTCCGCATAGATCGCACCTGTGAGCACGGCCTCGTCATAGGCAACCTTCCATGCCAGGTAGAGCAGTCGCAAGAGTGTTGTCAGGAACGGGCCATTGTAGAGCACAATATCAACCACGATCTCTAGTGGAATCAGAACGCGCTTGTTCTCACGATGCAGATCGCACAGCCCCAGGAGCAAGTAGCGCACGGGGAGATAAAGGATGCAGAGATACCACTGAAGAAGGATTACAAAAAATACGGTATTAGTACCTCCGACATGTCCCCGTCCAATGAGATGCAGAGCCATGATGCTATTATCCATACCTTGAACGCCCACAGATCTCGTGGAAATTTGCCAAACAGGACCACGCCGCTCTGAGCTGGTCTCGTCACGACATGGAAAAGAAATATCATGCCGATGGCATACCAAAGCTGGCTGGTCATCCATCGAATGCCGTTTGAGGACCAGTCGTAGAACGGCAGGGGTTCTTCCCATCCCCGCAGCATATACAGGATATTCGAACACATCGTGAGGAATGATGCCGTGACACAAACGAGACCCATAATCCTGTAGTTTGCGGCTACTGGAGGAGGCAGCAATGCTATTCGATTGGGTACGGCGTATGAAAAAATTTCACGACTGGTTAGTCCTGTCACTTTAGTGAAGAGACCCCCCCCCCATGTGCGGCTCTGTTGTCTTCGCCGTTCCTGTCTGTTGAGTGTCGATTCTAGTTGCACATATTTGTCCGCATCATGGCCCGTTCACCACATTTTCTGTTGCTGTGCAGTTGATGAGATGCCATACCTTTCGCAATGGCCTCGTTTGTGATATGCATACGCGAACTAGAAATAGTTTCGAAACAAAGTAATAAAGGATTGTTAAAGGAGGCTCTCATAATTACCATACAATCACTACAGCCACATCAGAGGGCTGTGGTTTTTATCAACAAGAGTCGCTCAAAAAGAGAAAAAGAAAAAAAGGAAAAAAAAAAGTACCTCTTCTGACGGCAGTATGCCAACAGCCCAAGCATCACGACAATGTCAAAGATAGGCCCAAGGATGGACGAGATCTGTGTTCAGCAAAAACGAAGCGAACGTTAGCTTTCCGAGATGTCAATGGCGATGTATCCATAAAAGAGCACTCTCTTCTTCTATCTAGATTTCGTTGTCTAGAACTGCAGTTGACACATGCAAATGTCTGTTGTGTTCCTGTCGCCTCTAATTTCTTTTGCAATACGGATTCACAAGCGCCAAAAGCCGAGAGATATCAACACTGCCTCCCGATGAAAAAGCTGGAGAGAAAAGGAGAGGAGTGCTGTAGAACTAGGGGAGGCATCTAGGTCCATATCGCCCAATAGCCGTCTCCTGTCGGCAAGGAGACGATGAATCCTTCCTTTTTCATTTTTTTCCCGCTATCCTTAGTCTGCTAAACGTTGTTTTCGTGCATCGGTAATAGCAATGCAGTAGCATCCCTTTCTCCCGCCCTGCAGCTGACTGTTGGTCCTGTTTGTTACAAATATACAGCCATAGACGCAAAACAAATTTGAATCCTGCTGCCCTGACCATAATGGCAACGAGATTGTTCCAACATCAGAGTGATTCTGCTGTGGAAGTAATGAGATCCCCTCCCCTCCATGGGCCAGATATCAACTTACAATACACCCTAGAAAATAAAAGAAAAATAGGGAGGAAAGGACCATTAGAGATACGAGCCATATGAAACATAGGCAATTGGGCCAATAGCAATGGTGACCAATGCTGCAGTGACCATCGGATAGACCACGAAAGAGTGTCTGAGCAATTGATTCTTGGAGCAAAAAAAAAAAAGGGAGGACCTACACAAGACGTATCCAAGGATCTCCCAGCGTCCCATTCGCATCCGCAGCAACACCTGGTTCTCCATAATAAGGACTCCGACACCCAGTAGTGCGCTGACTAGACTCGCATAACTTCGCCAGTCGTCAAAGAATGGCTCGAGGAAGGTGATGACTGCATGGATGTTTTTATTCCAGTCGTCGTATGGTGAGTCCATCTCCATGGCTGTTGTGATATAGGGATAGGGGTGCTGGTCGAATTAAAGGATTGAGAGTGTGAGCGAGAGGGAAGGGAGAGCGGTCCGATATGACAGGTGGCGAGCAATTTAGTAAAATCGGGTAAAAGAAGATGCGAGAGTATTCGGCACTAGAGTCCTATGAGGGCGTGAGAGTAGGGGGGTATAGAGGAAGGATATTTCAGCGCCGAAGGAGTGGGGTTTGGTGAATGGGTAGTTGGATGGGAGAGAGTGAAGATGAGATTCAAAGAGTGCAGAGGACGGGATGAACACTTTGAAGGTGTAAGCAGCTGAAGTGTCGGCGGTGCTTACTTGAGTTGAATTGATTGGTACACACACGCTGTAGAACGGTAAGAGGCACAAAGAAAGTCCGTTGCACCAATTTATCTTTGATGACACCTTTTCCAATACTTTTTGAGCAGCAGTATTTTTTCTTTCTCTCATAATTTCCTCGTGTCCATTACAATGGGTTGCGGCCCAAGCCAGATCTTGACACACACACACACACGTCAATGGCAGCAGCCAGACCGGTTACCGACACCGACATCGACGTTCAACGAGGCCACGCAAAGTTGGAGAATAGGCGTTTCAGGAACAAGGTCATCGGTTTGTGACACGAAGCAAAACAAACAGCACATGCATGCATTTTTGTCTCGGTCAGGTTCCTGCACAGGTTTTTGTTACCGTAATGAGCACTCTTGAACGCGCGCATAGAAGAGCACTCAGGTAATGCATAGATTGCCGCCACCGCCGATAAAAATCTGCAGCTGACAAACACCTGACACAGGTTGGGGGCAAACAGCCTCGCCGAATCCCTTGATCTGCCCTGTTCTTCTTGCTTTCCTTCTGCACGCCCTGCCCAGTGCTTCACTATGGCCATCGCTCCCGCTTTTCTCCCTGCACCTATTCTACTCCCGGTCGAAGGTGCCATTAAATAGCACTGGATCAACGATAACGTCCTACGAACACATACATAATTGATGGAAGAGCATCTCATAGTAGCTGTGACAAGTGTTTCGTGTTGTTGTGTACTATGCCAGTATTCTCTTTGCTAAAAAAAAAGTCGGGAGCACTGATTTAAGCTGAAGTGAATACTATCCTAGTAATCCGCCTAGAATTTTTTGCAGAGATGAGGAGGAGAAGGATGAGTCTAGGATAGGATGTGGATTAAATAGGTATAGATTGGCGACAGAAATATGGAACTGAAATAGCTAGTGAAAAATTAATTATATTGCGCCCTGACGAGAAGGCTGCAATATCGTTCTCTGACTTTAATGCAGATCATTGCGGTCTCCGTAGAGGACACCGATGGCTCTGTAGTCAGTACAGGACTAACACGCTTCTGGGACGTACAATTTGCGGCGTAGAGCCCGATTCTAAAGGATCACTGGATGCTCGACCCAACATTAAGTCGGATGATGATACATGGAGATGTATGCGAGGGAGCTGACTGGAGCAGATCGAGTTTGACGGCCAAAGAGACTATTTCAAAGAACACGCGAACGACCAGAAGGCCGACATGACACAGAAGCCGCAAGCATCCTGAAACCCAGAGTTAGGGTAAAGCGATGACGATCACATTAGTGCAGATCACTGTGGTCTACGGTAGCCGTTCAGGAACAAGGTATTTCTGCATGTATCACATACATACTAGGTATGAGGTTCGTTCTTGGACCTCTTTTCGCTCCACTCGCTTTTCTTCTTTTTTTGTAAATATTGCTTCAAGCAGATGTTCCATCGATATCAGCTCTATGGACCACTTGGTTAACTCAAGAACAAACATCATCGCGCCTGCTCAGCTTTATCATCGCGCCTGCTCAGCTTTATCATCGCGCCTGCTCAGCTTTATCATCAGAGACTCCAGACGACTCGCAAGTTCTTATGGATGTACGAAGAACGACCATTGGAAGACCCATCATAACAACCGATATATCCAGGTCTGGGGAGGAAGAAGGGACTTTCACGACCACTGCAGCCGATGAGTTCAAAGGCATCCACAGAGACTGGGACAATCAATGACTGTACTGTTCGTTTTTGTAGATCTTCATGATTAAATCCTTTATTTATCGGCTGCGCCTGTTTGTCTAGATGGACAGTTATTAAACTGATGAGGTATGGATCTTTGAGCCTTGCAAAGGTCAAGTGAAAGGGTACGGATGCATAAAAAAGGACACGATCCAGATATCATTCAAAGGCATAAGAGAGAGAAAGAGAGGAAGAGAGAGGAAGAGAGAGGGAAAGAGAGCGAAAGAGAGAGGAACACACCTTCGACTGCAATTGATACTTGCCTTATCGGTCGTATCCTTATGGGGCCCGTGCGTAGTACAGGCACGCGTGGCAAAACAATGGGAACAATACAAAGAGAGAAAGAAAATTCAGATGCACCATGACACCTTTAAACATTGATGTTTATTTCGAAAAATAGGACAACTTGAAGCGGTTTAGTCGAAAGGAGAAAAATGGGGGAGGGGAGAGGAGGTTAGTCAAGAATGACAGAGTGTCAAGCTTCTATTACAACGGATTAGCGGGGCAGATCTCCTTGATCTTGAGCTCCTCCTGAACCAGGATAGCGGCGAAGGCCTTGACGCACAAGCCAACAGCAGCCTCGATCTTGACGAAGATCTCAGCAAAGACATCGACCTCACCGGTGACCGTGATCGTGGCGAGGAGCAAGTTGATCGACGCCTTAACTTGGAGATCGATGGCAGCCTTGATCTTAGCAGCGAGCTCGGCCTTGATCTCGAGAACGATCGCAGCCGCGGCATCGATGGTCAACTTGGAAACCTCAGAGACGATCTCCCTGGCATTGCGCTTAATGCAGGCGGCATCCTTGGTGGGGCATTGCTTAATGATGATGGCAGCAAGCTTGGCCCTCAATTCGGCGGTGAATTTGAGCTGGATTGCAAGCTCAACCTCAGCCTCGACAGCAGCCTTGACCGAGGCCACGATAGCAGCAAACAGCTTGGCCTTGACATCGACATCAACAAGGCCGAAAAGGACTCTAAAAAAAGACCGAAGAAAAAGAAATATCAGGAACGGAATGTGTTCATCGTGGTACAAGTGCAGGCTAGATATAGGGCCAGGAAAAAGATTTCCTTGTCTTTACGACCCGGATGTGGTGTGCATGCCCATCTGCCAATCACAGGCTATGAAAGCGTGGGAAAGTAAAGAACGCGACACCCAAATCTCTTTTAAGGAATAGAGTCTCGACCCTTCGGCTGCTAGGCGATGCAGCTACAGATACACAGTGCGCTGCACAGTGGTCGATCATCCCAAGGTGACTGGCACATAGCGTTCATATGAGGCTCAGTCGACCCCTTGAGTCAACTCAGGAACACAACTCCATGGAGATAGTATGAAATAAAATAAAGTGTAAAAAGTGGGACTTGAAGAGGCACAGAATCAATTGAGGTCCTTACTTGACATCAACTTCGAGCTTGGCTTCGACAACAGCGGCAATATAGGCTTCGGCGTAGACACCAGCAAAGGCCTTGACAACAATGGCCTCGCAATCCTTTACCAAGAGGTCGAGGGTGGCTTCATAGGCGTCACAGGTCGGAGGGGGACGCCTCCAAAGAGTGTTCTCGGCCGAGGCGAAGGCGCTGCAGAACATGACGGACATGGCCATGAAGAAGGCGAAGAAGGTAGTGGTCCTCATGATGATGACTTTTGGTGGGGGAGAGAGGAATGTGTGAAGGAGTAAGGGAGTTGCTGTAAATTGGCTTTTACGAGTATGTCGGCCAAATGTTCTGGCGAGATGGAAGGGGGCAACTGAAGAGCTGTTGGTGAGCTGTAAAGAGAAGGAAGGTGGTTGACGTTGAAGATGAGGAATAAAAAAAATACCGAGAGGGAAGGGAGGGCTTTTATAGCAGCCGGGTTTACTCTGGTGGCACTATTTGCACACTGAAGAGAACTGTATCTACTATAGAAGCCCCTGGTAAAGGCATGCTTCTCAGCGTATGCATGCCGGTGAGCTCTGTGCAGTCTTGCTCCGCTCCATAACATAACTGATGTGTATCTCACTTTAACTGCAGTGAAACAGGCATCATGGCCATTGAGTTCGTGCATGGTGATAAAGGGGGAAGGGATCCGGGCTTGATGGTTGCCTGTCTGTTGCGACCCCAGCCAATGTGCTTAACCCAGACAGGGGTGTGTCAGGGGTCAATTTCCTTTGTCTAGGTCCAGGTTAGGGTTAAGAATGTCCAACACGACGCCCTTATTGTCGTGAATGTCTATTTTATCCTGCCTGCACAAAAGGAAGCAACACATGCCACGGTGAAACCTCATCTAGCAACTTGACAGAACAAGGCATTTTTGCATGGACCACATCCTTGCTTGGTATGAGGTCTGTTCTCGGAGCTATTTTCGCTCCACTCGCTTTTCTTCTTTTTTTGTTAACATTGCTTCAAACAGATGTTCCATCGACATCAGCTCTATGAACCACTTGGTTAACTCAGGAACAAACATCTTCGCGCCTGCTCAGCTTTATCATCAGAGACCTCAGACGACTCGCAAGTTATTATGGATTTACGAAAAACAACCATTGGAAGATCCGTCATATCAACCGAATTATCTAGACTTGGAGGGGGGGGAGTTTTCACAACCACTGCGGCCGATGAGCTCAAAGACATCCACAGGGACTGGAATAATCAATGACTATTTGTTTTCGTAGACCTTCATGATTAAATTCTTTATTTATCGGTTGCGCCTGTTTGTCTAGGTGTGGACGGGTATTAAACTGATAAGGTATGGGGCTTTGGACCTTGCAAAGTACGAGTGGAAGGGTACTGGTAAAAAAAAAGGACATGATCTAGATATCACTCAAAGGCATAGGAAAGAGAAAGAGAGATAAAGAGAAAGAGAGAGGAAGAGAGAGGGAAAGAGAGCGAAAGAGAGAGGAACACACCTTCGACTGCAATTGATACTTGCCTTATCGGTCGTATCCTTATGGGGCCCGTGCGTAGTACAGGCACGCGTGGCAAAACAATGGGAACAATACAAAGAGAGAAAGAAAATTCAGATGCACCATGACACCTTTAAACATTGATGTTTATTTCGAAAAATAGGACAACTTGAAGCGGTTTAGTCGAAAGGAGAAAAATGGGGGAGGGGAGAGGAGGTTAGTCAAGAATGACAGAGTGTCAAGATTCTATTACAACGAATTAGCGGGGCAGATCTCCTTGATCTTGAGCTCCTCCTGAACCAGGATAGCGGCGAAGGCCTTGACGCACAAGCCAACAGCAGCCTCGATCTTGACGAAGATCTCAGCAAAGACATCGACCTCACCGGTGACCGTGATCGTGGCGAGGAGCAAGTTGATCGACGCCTTAACTTGGAGATCGATGGCAGCCTTGATCTTAGCAGCGAGCTCGGCCTTGATCTCGAGAACGATCGCAGCCGCGGCATCGATGGTCAACTTGGAAACCTCAGAGACGATCTCCCTGGCATTGCGCTTAATGCAGGCGGCATCCTTGGTGGGGCATTGCTTAATGATGATGGCAGCAAGCTTGGCCCTCAATTCGGCGGTGAATTTGAGCTGGATTGCAAGCTCAACCTCAGCCTCGACAGCAGCCTTGACCGAGGCCACGATAGCAGCAAACAGCTTGGCCTTGACATCGACATCAACAAGGCCGAAAAGGACTCTAAAAAAAGACCGAAGAAAAAGAAATATCAGGAACGGAATGTGTTCATCGTGGTACAAGTGCAGGCTAGATATAGGGCCAGGAAAAAGATTTCCTTGTCTTTACGACCCGGATGTGGTGTGCATGCCCATCTGCCAATCACAGGCTATGAAAGCGTGGGAAAGTAAAGAACGCGACACCCAAATCTCTTTTAAGGAATAGAGTCTCGACCCTTCGGCTGCTAGGCGATGCAGCTACAGATACACAGTGCGCTGCACAGTGGTCGATCATCCCAAGGTGACTGGCACATAGCGTTCATATGAGGCTCAGTCGACCCCTTGAGTCAACTCAGGAACACAACTCCATGGAGATAGTATGAAATAAAATAAAGTGTAAAAAGTGGGACTTGAAGAGGCACAGAATCAATTGAGGTCCTTACTTGACATCAACTTCGAGCTTGGCTTCGACAACAGCGGCAATATAGGCTTCGGCGTAGACACCAGCAAAGGCCTTGACAACAATGGCCTCGCAATCCTTTACCAAGAGGTCGAGGGTGGCTTCATAGGCGTCACAGGTCGGAGGGGGACGCCTCCAAAGAGTGTTCTCGGCCGAGGCGAAGGCGCTGCAGAACATGACGGACATGGCCATGAAGAAGGCGAAGAAGGTAGTGGTCCTCATGATGATGACTTTTGGTGGGGGAGAGAGGAATGTGTGAAGGAGTAAGGGAGTTGCTGTAAATTGGCTTTTACGAGTATGTCGGCCAAATGTTCTGGCGAGATGGAAGGGGGCAACTGAAGAGCTGTTGGTGAGCTGTAAAGAGAAGGAAGGTGGTTGACGTTGAAGATGAGGAATAAAAAAAATACCGAGAGGGAAGGGAGGGCTTTTATAGCAGCCGGGTTTACTCTGGTGGCACTATTTGCACACTGAAGAGAACTGTATCTACTATAGAAGCCCCTGGTAAAGGCATGCTTCTCAGCGTATGCATGCCGGTGAGCTCTGTGCAGTCTTGCTCCGCTCCATAACATAACTGATGTGTATCTCACTTTAACTGCAGTGAAACAGGCATCATGGCCATTGAGTTCGTGCATGGTGATAAAGGGGGAAGGGATCCGGGCTTGATGGTTGCCTGTCTGTTGCGACCCCAGCCAATGTGCTTAACCCAGACAGGGGTGTGTCAGGGGTCAATTTCCTTTGTCTAGGTCCAGGTTAGGGTTAAGAATGTCCAACACGACGCCCTTATTGTCGTGAATGTCTATTTTATTCTGCCTGCACAAAAGGAAGCAATACATGCCACGGTGAAACCTCATCTAGCAACTTGACAGAACAAGGCATTTTTGCATGGACCACATCCTTGCTTGGTATGAGGTCTGTTCTCGGATCTAATTTCGCTCCACTCGCTTTTCTTTCTTCTTTTTTTGTTAACATTGCTTCAAGCAGATGTTCCATCGATATCAGCTTTATGAACCACTTGGTTAACTCAGGAACAAACCTCATTGCGCCTGCTCGGCTTTACCATCAGAGACCCCAGACGACTCGCAAGTTATTATGGATGTACGAAAAACAACCATTGGAAGATCCGTCATATCAACCGAATTATCCAGACTTGGGGGGAGGGAGAAGGACTTTCACGGCCACTGCAGCCGATGAGTTCAAAGGCATCCACAGAGACTGGGACAATCAATGACTATACTGTTCGTTTTTGTAGATCTTCATGATTAAATCCTTTATTTATCGGCTGCGCCTGTTTGTCTAGATGGACAGTTATTAAACTGATGAGGTATGGATCTTTGAACCTTGCAAAGTACGAGTGGAAGGGTACTGGTGAAAAAAAAGACACGATCTAGATATCACTAAAGGCATATATGAGAGAGAGAGAGGGAGAAGAACACGTCCTCGCATTCCCCGATAGAACTCTTTACGAATCAAAACACTAGTATCTGCAATTGGTACCTAGCGTTGCACCTTCCCCCCTCCTCTCTCTTTCTCTCTCATTGTCTCTCGTTTACATGGCCACTGACGGTATCCTTCGAAGCGCACGCATATCGATTTTTACGAAGACTCGATAAGCTGCTTCGTCGCTCTTCACTCAAAAAATACTAACCAGGGATCAGGAGCCATGCCCGAATTCCCACAGATAACCAACTCGATTTTTCATTTTAAAGAATGGTACCTCTTTACGGTGTTATAGCTCAGGAACAGCGCTTCTCAGAGACTGTTGCCATATCGGTCGTATCTTTGTGGGATCCGTGTGTAGTGCAGGTACGCGTGGCAAAACAATGAGGACAATACAAAGAGAGACAAAAAGATTCAGATGCACCATGACACCTTTAAACACTGACAACTTGAAGCGGTTTAATCGAAAGGAAAAAAAAGGGAGGGGGGAGGAAGTTAGTCGGAAATGACAGAGTGTCAAGTTTCTACTACAACGGTTTAGCGGGGCAGATGGTCTTGATCGTGGAGATCTCCTGAGCCAGGATAGCAGCGCAGGCCTTGGCGCACAAGCCAACGGCAGCCTTGATCTCGACGATGAGAGCAGCGCAGACCTTGACATAACCGGTGATGCTGACACTGACGAGGGGCAATCTGGCCAAGAACAAGTTAACCGCAAGCTTGATGGCAGCCTCAATCTCGACAGCGAGCTTGGCCTGGATCTCGAGAACGACCTTTGCCGCGGCTTCGACAGTCAACTTGGCGGCCTCAGAGACGATCTTCCTGGCATTGCGCTTAATGCAGGCGGCATCCTTCTTGGGGCATTGCTTGACAATGAAGGTAGTAATGCTGGACTTAAATTCGGATGTGAACTTGGCCTTGATCGCAGCAGCGACAACAGCCTTAACAGCAAGCACGGCCTTGGCCTGAATAGCAGCATTCACTCCGGCTTTGACATCGACTCCAACAATGCCAAGGACTCTACAAAAAGACCGAAGAAAAAGAAATGTCAGGAACGGAATGTGCTCATCGTGGCATAAGCACTAAGCTAGATAGATATAGGGCCACAGTCCAGCAAAAAGGAGAAAAAGGTTTCCAGTCGCACAGCTTAGGGCCATCCCATAACCTTGTCTTTACGACCCGGATGTGGTGTGCATGCCCATCTGCCAATCACAGGCTAGGAAAACATGGGAATGTAAAGAGCCTCGACCCTTCGGCTGCTAGATGACGTGGCTGCAGATACACAGTACACTGCACAGTGATAGATCATCCCAAGATGACTGGCACATAGCGTTCATATGAGGCTCAGTCGACCCCTTGAGTCAACTCAGGAACACAACTCCATGGAGATAGTATGAAATAAAATAAAGTATAAAAAGTGGGACTTGAAGAGGCACAGAATCAATTAAGGTCCTTACTTGACATCAACTTCGAGATAGGCCTTGATAGCAGCAACAATCTTGGCATCGATGCAGGCTTCGGCAAAGGCCTCGGTAATAACGGTGAGCTGCTTCTCGAATAAGAAGTCAACGGTGGAAACTATGGGGTCACAGGTCGGAGGGGGACGCCTCCAAAGAGTGTTCTCGGCCGAGGCGAAGGCGCTGCAGAACATGACGGACATGGCCATGAAGAAGGCGAAGAAGGTAGTGGTCCTCATGATGATGACTTTTGGCGGGGGAGAGAGGAATGTGTGAAGGAGTAAGGGAGTTGTTGTAAATTGGCTTTTACGAGTATGTCGGCCAAATGTTCTGGCGAGATGGAAGGGGGGCAACTGAAGAGCTGTTGGTGAGCGGTAAAGAGGAGGAAGGTGGTTGATGATGAAGATGAGGAATAAAAAAAAATACCGAGGGCTTTTATAGTAGCCGGATCCACTCTGGTGGCACTATTTGCACACTGAAGAGAACTGTATCTACTATAGAAACCCCTGGCAAAGGCATGCTTCTCAGCGTATGCATGCCGGTGGGCTCTGTGCAGTCTTGTTCCGCTCCACATTAACTGCAGTGAAACAAACATCATGGCCGTTGAGGTCGTGCATGGCGATAAAGGGGGAAGGGATCCGGGCTTGATGGCTTCCTGTCTGTCGCGACCCCAGCCAATGTGCTTAACCCAGACAGAGGTGTGTCAGGAGTCAATTTCCCCTATCTAGGTCTAGGTTAGGGTTAGGAATGTTCAACACGACACCCTTATTATCGTGAATGTCTATTTTATCCTGCCTGAACAAAAGGAAGCAATACATGCCACGGTGGAACCTCATCTAGCAACCTGACAGAACAAGGCATTTTTGCATGGACCACATCCTTGCTTGGTATGAGGTCTGTTCTCGGATCTAATTTCGCTCCACTCGCTTTTCTTCTTTTTTTGTTAACATTGCTTCAAGCAGATGTTCCATCGATATCAGCTCTATGGACCACTTGGTTAACTCAGGAACAAACCTCATTGCGCCTGCTCGGTTTTATCATCGTAGGCCCCAGACGACTCGCAAGTTATTATGGATGTACGAAAGGGACTTTCACGGCCACTGCAGCCGATGAGTTCAAAGGCATCCACAGAGACTGGGACAATCAATAACTGTACTGTTCGTTTTTGTAGACCTTCGTGATTAAATCCTTTATTTATCGGTCGCGTCTGTTTGTCTCTAGGTGTGGACGGCTATTAAACTGATGAGGTATGGATCTTTGAACCTTGCAAAGTACGAGTGGAAGGGTACTGGTGAAAAAAAAAGACACGATCCAGATATCACTAAAGGCATATATGAGAGAGAGAGAGGGAGAAGAACACGTCCTCGCATTCCCCGATAGAACTCTTTACGAATCAAAACACTAGTATCTGCAATTGGTACCTAGCGTTGCACCTTCCCCCCTCCTCTCTCTTTCTCTCTCATTGTCTCTCGTTTACATGGCCACTGACGGTATCCTTCGAAGCGCACGCATATCGATTTTTACGAAGACTCGATAAGCTGCTTCGTCGCTCTTCACTCAAAAAATACTAACCAGGGATCAGGAGCCATGCCCGAATTCCCACAGATAACCAACTCGATTTTTCATTTTAAAGAATGGTGCCTCTTTACGGTGTTATAGCTCAGGAACAGCGCTTCTCAGAGACTGTTGCCATATCGGTCGTATCTTTGTGGGATCCGTGTGTAGTGCAGGCACGCGTGGCAAAACAATGGGGACAATATAAAGAGAGAATGAAAAAAAAGTATTCAAATGCACCATGACACCTTTAAATACTGATATGTTCATGATCTTGTCATGTTTATTTTGAAAAGGATGAATAGAGGCGGTTTAATGGAAAGAAGAGGAGGGGGGCGGTACGCTAGTCGGAAATGATTGAATGTCAAGTTTCTACTACCACATTTAAGCGGAGCAGATGGTCTTGATCTTGATGACCTCCTTAGCCTGGATATCAGCGCAGGCCTTGACGCACATGTCAACAGCAGCCTTGAACTTGATGGAGAGAGCAGCGGAGACATCGACATCACCGGTGACGTTGACCTTGATGAGGAGCAAGTTGACCGAGAACTTCTTGACCTGGAGATCGACGGCAGCCTTGACCTTGGCAGCAAGCTTGGCCTGGATCTTGACAGCGATATTGCCTGAGGCCTTGACAGTCAACTTGGCAGCCTCAGAGACGATCTTCTTGGACTGGAGCTTAATGCAGGCGGCATCCTTCTTGGGGCATTGCTTGATGATGATGGCACCAAGGTTGGCCTTCAAGTTGGCGGTGAACTCGGATTTGATTTCAGCATCGACCTCAGCCTTGACAGCAGCCTTGATCGAGGACTGGAGAGCAGCAGACAACTTGGTGCCGAGACCGAAATCAATGCTGACGAGGCCACTAAAAAAAGAATGAAGAAAAAGAAATGTCAGGAACGGAATGTGCTCATCGTGGCACAAGCACTAGGCTAGATATGGGGCCACAGTCCAGCAAAAAGGTTTCCAGTCGCACGTGCATTTGTTTCCTTTCATAGCTTAGGGCTGCCCCATAACCTTGTCTTTACGACCCGGATGTGGTGCGCATGCCCATCTACCAATCACAGGCTATGAAGACATGCGGGGAAAGTAAAAAAAAAAAAGAGCCTCGACCCTTCGGCTGCAGCTGCAGATACACAGTGCGCTGCACAGTGATCGATCATCTCAAGATGACCGGTACATAAAGTTCATGAGGCTCAGTCGACCTCGGGTCAACTCAACTCCATGGTGATAATAAGAAATAAATAAAGTACAACAAGTGGACTTGGAGAGACATAGAGTCAATTGAGGTTCTTACCTGATCTGGACACGGAGGTCGGTCTTGATAGCAGAGGAAACATCGGCATCGGTGCAGACATCGGCATAGGCCTTGGCGACAATGGAGGCGTGCTCCTTGAACAAGAGGTCGACAGTGGCATCAAAGGCAGCACCGGGCGCAAGGGTACGCTTCTCAATGGCGGTCTCGGCCGAGGCGAAGGCGCTGCAGAGCATGGCGAACATGGCCATGAAGAAGGCGAAGAAGGTAGTGGTTCTCATGATGATGACTTTTGGCGGGGGAGAGAGGAATGTGTGAAGGAGTAAGGGGGTTGTTGTAAATTGGTTTTTACGAGTATGTCGGCCAAATGTTCTGGCGAGATGGAAGGGGGCAACTGAAGAGCTGTTGGTGAGCTGTAAAGAGAAGGAAGGTGGTTGACGATGAAGGTGAGGAGTAAAAAAAATATCGAGGAGGAAGGGAGGACTTTTATAGCACTTTTTGCGCATTGTAGAGGATTGTATCTACTATAGAAAACCTTGACAAATGCATGCTTCTCAGCATATGCAGGCCGGTAGGCTCTGTGCAGTCTTGCGCCGCTCCACAACAAGACTGTTGTGTATCTCACTTTATACATACCACAGTGGAACCTCATCTAGCAACTTGACATTATCCCTACACATATCATGAATAAACACAGTAAACATATCCGAACCCTGTCGTGCCTTTGTCCCTGCTGTTGACCGAAGAGTCACTCTGCTTAGTCCGGCCCAGCTTAAGGTCACGGCACTGTGTTCATTATTCTTCGTCGGACAAGATGGGTTAGGAAGTAGAATCAATAATAGCCGGCCGTTGTTTATCCTACCGAGGTGCCAACGCAGATATGTTTTTTTTTGTTCATCTGAAGGAGAAATATGTCTCCGCCATGCCGGGTATAGAGTTTAGTAAAGGTATTCTTTCAAGTAAATAATAAAAAAAGAGACGCTGGGAGGAACGGAGGCGAAGGAGTTTGCTACGATTGGAGAAGATATCTGTGTATTATGAGCATATGAATATCCTCAGCTGCAAGACGCGTTTGTGTATCCCTCTACACATGGTGTTTTGTTTTCCTCTCTTCTCTCTCCCCCGTTTTATGAGAGCCTGGTTTATTTTCTGCATAGTTTCCTTCACCCGCGTTACACATGGTCCAGAGCCACTGCTTTTGGGGCAAGGAAAATCGGCCCTAGATCCAGCAGACCATAAGCGGACTTCTTTCCCCTAGCAAGGCCTCACCACTGAGCCGAGCTACCGATCCTAAAACTATATCCTCCTCCCTTCCCCTAATTCAAGCCAATGAGCCAAGGGAGCCACAACGAAAGGGGACTAGCGACTGCGGTGTAAGGGCCGTTGGGAAGGAGAACCACCAAATCATGAAGCCGAGGATTGTCAAACGAAATAGGATCAGGGCAACGATCAAGGAGTTATAAATACACCGTGGGGGAGGACAAGATATTAATGAACGGAAATGAGGTGCTATATTAATGTCGAAGTATCTAAGCACTTTAGAGTGATGGTTCAGATTTTTTTTGTTTTTCGATCTGCAGATTGAGGAGGGGGATTGTTGCTTTGGTAAGAAATGCTCCCAGCAGCCAAGTCGCCCAGTCAGGCAAGCATCTCTCCACCCGTCCCGATTGTTCCCCATTATCTGACCTTATACTTAGCATGTTAGATAAACAAGGGCGTCGCCTTGGACACCGATCTCCCCTGGTACGTCGGGAAAAGCTGCTTGGCATGAGAATGAACAGAAGAGGGGGTGGGGGTGAGGGAGCTAGGAGATAGGCGATGTTAGTGTGTAACGTGTAATGACCTCCGCAAAAGAGGCTCCATGCGCACATATTAGATCGAGGAAGGGGTCTTCATTTGAACACGCCTATCCATGTCAAGACTCCCTCTTCACATTCACTCCTCGCCCGCATCCTCTGGAATGTGCTGCATTCCAACAGCCTTTGGGACGGATAAATCACCATAGGCAGCACATGTCAACCATTCTTAATGAGGCGGCATTCCGCAGACGGGGCAACGTTACGATGCGCAGATACATCCCAGCAAGTGCGTTGCATGGTGGTGTGGACCTATGGCGCATGTGAGACGAGCGAGGATAGCCGTTGGAAGTATGTGCAACACATGCAATTAACCGAAGGCGTGTAGCCTGGGTCAGGTATTCCACTGCATTTTTTTAATTGCATATGCCTCTTTGCCGCACACGCACACGCCATTCCGTAGCTCGTCCTCGCATGCTTTACCGCCCATCCAGGGCCCGCATTGATATGTACGAGTCATAGCCAATGCTCAGCATCGAGCATGGGGTCCAGAGAGAGAGCGCCAAAAACAACAAAAAAAGAATTAAAGGTGGTATGGCATGACCCATCGACGCGTCTTTACGAGGCTCAGATACCTGTTCTGGAAGGAACGGGCAATAAATGCTGAGTGCTGGCAAACAAATCACCAAAGTAAGTAAAGGCGGAAACCCAAACCACGGCTCACAACCTCATGATTGTGAGCCCTTTAAATTTATTTTTTTTTGGCCCTTCAAACAAACAGGAGACCACTTTCTCCACGGGCCTTTGCAGTTAACAGCTACTTCCTCTCCCTCTTCCTAGCCCTGGACTGCAATGTTGACGCACTGTTGATGAGATGCTTCGCTTCGGTTAGTGTTTCTTTATTCTTTTTCTTTTTCCTCCTCAGCATATCTGTAACAAAAGCACATCTATATTTAACCCACCTCTTTTTCTGGTCCGAAAAACACAACACCTGTAGTCGACTATGCACCGCAATATTACCCGTATCCTGTATCCTGTCCATGGTACTGCAGGAAACCTCACGAGAGGGTCAATAAAGCTGCACTGAATATTCCAATGACGCGGGCTAGTCTATTAAACCACTCACTACCTACTGTAGACTATCTGACACAAGCAAGCAAACCCCCTCCCCTCGGTTGAGCACGAACCACAAAAAAACCGTAATCGTCAAGATCAACGGGACCCAATGACAAACAATCCTCCCCATGGAATGTGTTCCCATAGTCTTTTTCGGCCGATTTCGACCCCCCCCCCTTGTGAGTGGAAAAGTGCCACGATCTGGTCTGCTATTTTTGTGTCTGTTTAGTCTTTTTAACCCGATCAGAGTGAGCTGTGGTGTGCATGCAGCCTAAAAAGCAGGGGGATGGTTCGATGGCCGCCACGCACAAACCAATCCGGAGTAATCTAATGCATACCGCCTTTAAACTGCTCCCACAAATGAGGACTAGCGCAAAAGACAGTGGTAACTGTCTGTACAACCTGACTAGAAAGGGATGTGTAAGATCCCAAGAGAGCATATTGGCATCTAATAAAAAATTGTATATACACCATCTTCATACATACCTCCTCGGTTCGCGTATGTGTACAGTGCATACAGACTTGTTTTCGCACAAATTAGATCAATGCAGGTACATTGGTATCCAGCATAACTCTTATAAAGCTTGACGACGGTGATACATTGTTGTTACCGGGACAGAGAGTGTTCCTGGCTGGATACTGTACAGAACATGTTTTTATCATTGCTTTCACGAGCCGTTTTGAAACCTGCGGGAAAATACAAATCTGCAGCCGAAGGTTCAGGTTGATGGCGGACCATGGTCCCTTCCCCCTCCTCCCCCTCCTCTCCCTCCTCCCGGGTCACCATAAACAGGCGCCACAATGAGGCGCCCATTGGACTCAGAAATGTATCGGGGAATATGTAACGCATCCAGCTGAGTGTCAATGGCTAAATACTTACAGGTATGAAATGGTTATTTTTTTGCCGGATTTGTTACATCTCTGGGATATATGCACTGGCCTCCCTTCTCTCCCCCTTCTCCCCCCCCTCCCCCCTGACTTCTCTCGTCCTTGCTCCCTGCTACTGCCATCCAGGATCTCAAAGAGCCTGAACTTTATCTCGCGACGCGAAAAAAAAATATTGCCTGCATAGATGTAGGATTATCCTGGTATCCAATCTGCTCTGTACCAATAGAGATATCTATAGTACATCCAATCTTTTTTAGGCATTCTTATTTATTTTTAATTCACCCCCCTCTCCCCCATGGTCCCGAAATGGGATCGTGATCGAAAGGAATGTGTACTTGGAGACGCGCCTGTGGCTGGCCGCATCGTCTGAACACCATATCTAAATGACTGATAGTAAGTAAACGAGCTACTTGCCACGAAGCAGTTGTGCACCATGGAGGGCCACAAAACACAACCAGGTTATCACTTTTTTTTCCCCCTAAAGCTGATCGCCTGCAATTGTCCCTGTGGTGGTTGCTATTTTTGTTCCCTCTCCTGTATACCAGAAGACGCTCTACTTTCGAGGGGGGGGGAGGTGGAAACAACAAAATTCTAGCTGTCTCCCTGCATCACCACAGTCGCTCAAAGACGCTAACAACCAAGCGAGCCCGGCGTCAGCTCACTGAACCAACCGCTGCAACCGTTGGAGGGGCATCTCCACTCTCCTCCTAGATCCTAGATGTCTTTTTCTTTCTTTCTTTTCTTTATTTATCTCTTTTTAAAACAAAAGAACACCTATAGACAAGGAAAGTGGTGCCGAGTGCAAAAAAAACCAGGTAAAACAAGAAAGACGCTACCAACAACCAAGTTGCAGCGAATGCCGCCTCACTTGGCAGATACGATTAAAAAAAAAAAATGGGTATGTACAATGTATATGAAAAGGTGCCAGGAACGGCCCCCTCTTCTCATCTTCCTCCTTGCCCCTTCAAGTTCTCATCTTACCGACACGATAGAGGTACAGACTCCGCATCGGCAGGCCGTCCAATCTCCTTGTACCAGAGCCGTGGATCGTCCTCACCCAGACAGCGTCCAACGGGCATGATATCGTACCCAAGACTCTGCACGTGCTCGATCGCCCAATCCGGGGTCGCCTCCTGATAGATCCCGCCCAGAGTCATGACCTCCCTGTCCAACGTCGTCGAGGGCACACCCCGGACAGCCTCGGCCCATTTGAGGGATGAGGACAAGTCTCCCTGCTGATGATGATGGTCATGAACACGGGTCCCTGTCATGGATATCTGGTCAGATGAAGGCGAGTAATGCTCTAGGTGGTCGACATCCCAGAGAATAATGAGGTATCCCATGTCCTCGAGCACGCGCTGGATCCGCCGGCCGTGTTCGCCGTAGGGCGGACGCATGTACCGGGGCACGACACCTAGGATCTGGCGGAAGGCGTCTTCGATCCGGCGCATCTCTTGCCGGATGTCCCTATCTGAAAGACTGTTGAAGTCCCGATGAGACCATGGGTGAGCAGCTATCTGATGCTGCGCCTCGTAGGCGCGTTTTAAGAGCCTTTGGGAATCTGGGCCTAGGATCGACAAGCCAAAAAAAAAAAGAATGAAAAGGATGAGGGTAGAGGATAGGGACCCGCAAAAACTACATTCCTTGAGCGCCAAAAAAAAAAAAAAAAAAAGACGCACGAAAAAGAATCTCTGATGCAAACTGGACTTACGATAGATGCAGTTCCAGTTATCGCCATTCATAAAGAATGTCACCTTCAGCTTCTGCTCGTCCAAATAATCGAGTAATTCCTCCGTCAACTGGCCGGGTCCATCATCGAACGAGATAGCATAGGAATTGGGTCGTATGCATCGCTCGAGAATCTGGCCTGGCCGGTATTGCGAGAGCGGTGCAGGTCCTGTGATGTTGTAGGGAAAGAACGTGTTGTTGTACGTGTTTGGCGTCGCTTGGCGCGCAATCGACGCAGGGATGGGTGCTGCTAGGGCTGAATGTAGTCAACAAATACGCACACACACACACGCACAAAATATGTTCACACTCAGGGTTAATAATAGGATTGAAATGAGGAATGAACTCAATGAGCACGCTGTTGATGTCAAGCCGAATCAAGAAGTTCACGAATGCCCTCTTCGTGTCGTTGTCGCTGCTGTTAGTTGTAGGTGTGTGCGTATAGGAGAGCCCTTCTACGTAAGACGTTCGGAATTTGCGAATTTGCTTTTTTTTTGGTGTGTGTGTGGGGGGGGGTTTCGCATTCCTGAGCTCTTACTCTTTAAAAAGCGCTTAACATGTATGAACCGCCGTTGACTTGGAGAGTTCTTACCTTGCAGTACTGGGGATTGGTATGTGGAAAGGATAGCCAGGAGATAGCCAAGGACAGTGAGTATGCTGAAGTGCTGAAGCTGTAAAGAGACCATTCTCTGCTCTTGCTTGCAATCTTGAAATGACAAGATCAAAGGGCGGTAAAAAAGAAAAGAAAGAAAGGGAGTAGCTGCAGACAATCGAACTGAGGAACGGGAAGAGAGAGATCGAAAGCAAAAGCAGCTGGTTTGACTACATGAATAGAGTGGAGTGGAGTGTATGTGTCTGTGATGAAAACGACAGTGCTGGTACCAATGTCAGAGGTGAATTGGCGATAATACGAATGTTGTTTCTAAATGGTGGATGCCAGCTGTTGCACTCTTTTCTTTTTTTTTGTGTGCGTCTCTCCTTGGATCGTCTGCAGGCAGGAGTCAGGAAGTGCCGTAGTTCAGTAAGGAGGAAGGGGTAGGGAAGGGATAAGCTTTACAGGCGCCTTCCACGACTATGTATGCAAAAAGTGCAGATGGAGTTCTTTCTGGGCGGTATATATACTACGGCAGTGCGTATTGGGAGGATATTGCGCCCTCGTGGACTGAACAGAGAAACGATTGGAAAGCGATAAGAAAGTGTTGCTGCCAGGGCATAAAGCACAAGGCACGCAGGCGGTCCGCTCCCCCTCTACCGTCGACCCCCTACTCCTGTGGTTAACGGAACGCTGCTGCAATTGCTGTATTTTTACATTTCTTTTCTTGTCCAACGCGCATCCTCCGCGGACGGTGTGGCTATGCATTCAAACTTACCGAGAATGTGCCCATAGCCCTTTTGTTTATCCACCCTCGTCGCCGATCTTCCTTTCCCTGCAACTAAGCCCACTCACACAGGATAGGTCATGACGCACCTGAGACGACTTTTATTGAACGAGGCATTGTAAGCAGTAGAGTAAGTAGCCTTGTTGCTACGATCTGCTGAGATTAAGCTCATTGTTCTATAGACCTGTTCGAAAGAACAACATCCTTTCTCTCCCTCTCTTTTTTTTTTTATTACTGCACCGACTTTATTAAGAGTCCATATAACCGTGGCGCCACTCTACCGACCCGGGGACCTCTGCGCACAGATCCATTGCAGACGACTTTTAAGTAACGTTGTATGTAAGCGGTCGAGTAGCCAAGTAGCTACGAGTCGCTGAGGTTAAAGGGTGTGCTTGAAATACAATGATCTATTAACCTTTGACAGCCACAAGACCTCGTTCAACAGAGAATAGTACATGGAGTTGTTAATAATATTAACTATGTGCAGTCGTGCGGACAGGAAAAGGAGGGAGGGGGCGCAACACGACGCAAGCTCAGAGAGAAGACCATAATATATTGGATTTATGACGACAAAAGGACACTTGCGGTGGCCTGCATTATATGAAGGCTACGTCGCGGCAAGGCAAGGAAGCAGGTATAGAAGTAGTCGTCCAAGTGTCTGACCGGGCCAACAAGAGACTAACTAGGGGTAACTAGGGATAACTAGGGGTAACCAGGGGATGATGCCAGGAAGAGGTTGACATTGAGGTCCTCTCTTCTGTCATATAACCACGACATGTCGTTCTCCTCCTGAATGCCCTCATCTTTCTGTTTCTCGCCGTCCGTTGCCTTCGTGGAGGATCGGTACAATTCAATTGTTTTTAGAAGGCACATATAGGTATATAATCAATATAATCGACTGATTATTAATAAGAAGCAATGCGCAATGGCTTTTTACCTTTTTAAAAAGCAAGAAACTTACACGGATCTGTATCAGCTTGGTCAGGCCTTGGAAATGTATTTTGAGGTTGTTCATGTTTACAGGGAGCTCCTGTAGATGGTGCAGGTGGAACAGAGTGACATACGATTGTCCATCCGCCGGACGCAATTCAAACGCCTGGAAACCCCGGTCTAACGAACGATTCAGCACACGAGCGGACATTAGTAAAACGGGGGCCAACTTGATATGCAACCTGAACGACGTTATTCTCACCACCAATATAAATGCCAAAGAATCTGGCCTGCTTCTGGAACGAATCGTCCTGGGTTTCGTGGAATCGGTTTTGCATGATGGTCAGCTGTTCCCGAAAGAGGTCGAATCTACTCTCCTTGAGGAACTTGGTCGACTGAGGGTCCCACTTCTTCATTCGTTCCACAATAGCCAATCCTTTTTCTCTACAATATCGCGAGCAGTCCAGTCCAACTTGCGACCCACTCGCTTCCGAGATATATCCTCCTCTAGGTCACAAGAACGGCCCTGATTCCGACGCCTAGAGGGATCAACGCCCATCTTCTCGCCATCCAGCATGTACATATTCTCTACGTCGTCCAGAAGCTCCATGAGAAGTGGCCACGACTCCCTTGCCCAATATGACTCCGAAAGGTCGTTAACTGCAAACGGCGATGGCTGCTTTTTGTACATTAACTCTCTAACAATAGCAAATACAAAAAAGCGATTAGCGAATGTACCAGGAACATCCTTGACAACTAAGCGAACGGTTTACAACTCACCAGGCCATGCAAGACATTCGGATTAAGTGGCAAGTAAAAGAATCGTCGTGTGGAAGTGGGATGGAACATAAAGGACGTCCAGTCAACATGGCACGTTTCAAGGCTTGGTCATTGTTGATTCCCTGAACCTGCTTTCTTTTTGCTGTGGGTGCTTGTCGTCTTTTCTTCTCTGAAGTCTTTACTGGAGCTGATGTGGATGTAGGCATATGTGGGGAGGGTTCTGGAATCTCAATAATGTTCGTGGAGGCTGGCGCTGTAGGCTCTGATGGTTCTATGGCAATCTCCTCTGAAAGGTGTTTGTGTTAGCATGACGCGTAATGAGCAACGACTGTGTCAGGCAGAAGCAAGTAGTCAGTGCTTACCAGCAAAGTTATCGTCGGAGTTGGCTTGGTCAGCGTCTTCTGTCTGTTGCGAACGTTCCTCTTGTTGATTGATGATATCGCCCTGGAGCTTATCCCAGACAGTTTTCCTTGTTGAGGAGCGATATCTGGCTCGTCTGTATCTGGGCTTGGATTAAGCGGATGTGTGTTGATCCATTGACAGACCTCAAAAACTGTGATTGGCGAAATACATGTCTTCTGATGATGTGGGCGACATCCTTGTGTGCTACAATTGACTTCAGACTGCTGATGTATAATTCAACGTCTGATGGATGCTTTCGAAGAAACGTTTCCACTCTCCAGTCAGTGGGGCCGTTTCAGAGGAAGAAAGAAAGAATGTCCAGACCAGGGTAGCTTTAGAAGGTGTCAGACCCGAAGTACGAAGGCTCGATGGACATGGTGTCGATGGCAGGTTTATGTCGATGGTAGGTCTGTGCGCAGCATCAATGAGAGAGAAAATTATGACGTTATCGAATTCTTGGTGTAGGCCATCTTGTCTTACTCCACACATCCTCGCAACGCATCTGTTCATCTACAAGTAGGTTATTATACCTTGAGCGTCTTTGAGTAGTTACACTTTTTTACGCTTCAGCAGCGGAGAGATATGATCTGGGAATCTTTTATTCTATGACACAGACTTAGCAGAGGTGTAGTGGACAGTCTGTTGATGCGTAATTGCCATCAAGGTCCTATCTCTGTACTCATTGCGGCCCAGTTGGCGGATGAGATGTCGCCAGGTGCATTGCGGCCCAATTGGCGGGTACACCAAGGTATAGTATAAAATCGCCAGGTTCTGCGGCCCAGTTGGCGGGAATCTCGTGCGTACTCATGTTCCCATTTACGTTGGGCTTCATACTTATTCAGACTTGGCAGAGGTGTGGTGGATAGTCTGTTGATGCACAATTGCCATCAAGGTCCTATCTCTGTACTCATTGCGACCCAGTTGGCGGATGAGATGTCGCCAGGTGCATTGCGGCCCAGTTGGCGGGTGCACCAAGGTATAGTATAAAGTCGCTAGGCTCTGCGGCCCAGTTGGCGAGAGTCCTTTGCGCCTCAGTCATTTCTCCAGCTGTCTTAACAGTTTAGTACGGGTGGAACAAGTTGCTGTTTATTCCTGTGATATAGTGTTTCCTTCATTCTAACACATCGTAAGTTTACATGCGTGAAAGGGTTGTCTGGGTGGACAGGCGAGCGTTTTCGAGCTCATGATCAAAGCGGTAAACTGCCGCCGAGAAGGCAACTAGCCATCGAGAGGGAATGGCGAATATCCTAGGCACTGGACATTTCCGCCCGGAGGAGGAAGCGCAGAGCAAATTGGACGCGTTGCGAACGACTGCACTATATTGACCTATGTAGTACGTACGAGCAGAGACAAGTACCCTTAACGTGATGCAGACGGGTAGTACTTTATAAGGGGCCCGTCTGCCCAGGAAATAAAGATCTCATTCTTGTCTCGTTGACATCCTGTCTGTAAGTAAATAATAGGGTAAAAAATTGCAACGACAACTGGGAGGACTTGACGGAGGTCTCCTCCAAAGACGTCAAGTTCTCCAAAGACAACGACCTTGTCGACAAAGGGGACATCGCGCACGCCCATCGCGCACGCCCATCGCAGTATCCTATGCCGCAGGGAGAGCCGGTCAAGACTGGGACAGGGAGCTTGAAGGTGGAATGAACAGTACAACCTCCACGCAAGATCAGTGTGGTAATTCAAGAAGATGCAGTGACAACAAAATGTCCCTGCGGCATCCCTAAGGTATCTGCGATCATGGTGTCATACAGAAACGACTTGCTCTGCCGCCGAGTCCATCATTAAAGAACAGCCTCTCCCAGCCTTGTCCTTGAACCTTGAACCTCATTCATAACCATGTCGAAAGTCCTGCGTTGATACATGTTAAGGAGAAAGATGTTGCTCTGAGCAAGTTGCTCGAGATACGCAAGGTCGATTCCTCCCTATGTACGTACGAGAATGAGGTCGCATCTATGTCAAAGGTGCCTTTCATTGCGGCGCTAGAGCAGCTCCTTCACCCATCATTGCGAGAGCGGATAATGGGAGATGTGCCGGTCTTTTTTTAGGTCCTGTTGTCTGAGAAGAGTGCAAAAGCAATGTCCACAAGGATGCCTGTAATCTCTTAGTTTTTGAAAGTGCAATTGCCGTGATCCTGATATGAATGAGGTGAAGGAATGAGAAGAGAACGAGAAGGTGGAAAGCGGCGAACTTGATCCAAAGGCACCTATAAAAGAAACAAAGGCAATGGAGGAGGGCGTTAGGGAGCAAAGGGTACAATTAGCACCTACAGAGTCCGTGTCCATTGGGACATCGTCCTAAAAGGCCACCGCTCGGTCCATTCATTCTTTTGCTCCTTCATCCCCTTGGTCAAGAAAAATAGAGGCGAGAGCTGATATGCAATTTTCCGTTTATTTTTCTCAGCATATTAAAGGGTCTATCGGTACTTTTCTACAGTTTGGGCTGCTCGACTGTGGCAGCAGAAGGAGTGCTTTCCTTCAGACGAACAACTCCCTCTTGTGCGACAGATACGGCCAAGGTGCCATCCTCCTTGTATATCCTTCCGAATGTCAATCCACGATCGCATCCTGAGCGAGGCCTATACGTAAAGTATTGTCAAGTACCAAGTTCATTAGAGAAGTCCAAGGTATACGAAAAAAAAAATAGAAAGAAGACTGCAGAGTTGGACTTACGTTTCGCACACATAGAGCATCCACTCATCCGCCCTGAATGGACAATGAAACCACATTGAGTGGTCCAATGAGGCCATCATCGTGATCTTTGGGTTAGCTCCTCTCCTCGACAACCAGGTGCTTCCATGGGCCAATGGGACCGTGTTCAACAAGTTGTGGTCTGATCCATAGGCTACCACGCACTGGTGTAGTGCCAGCACATCCCCAAGCTTGCCTTTGCATTTGATCCAGAAGCTCTGCTCCGTCCTGACAGATGGATTCCTCAGCTCCTTGAGTGTATGGCGCTTCGTGTCCTTGAAGTCCAGTGCTACGGGCTATCATTGCACAAACACAAACAGGTTAGCAAAGTGTTCGCAGCAGGATAATGTACGATCTAGCAAACAAGTCCCGACGCATCCTTACCTCCTCCAGTCTTTGCTTCAGCAGCTCTGTAAAGTTTTCTGGGACTTTGGGGCTATCGATCATGGACCGGATCAAATCTTCCTGGCTTGGCAGTTCGCTGTGGTGAGGGACATTCGGCATGGGGTATTGGTGGCTCAGTGCACTGGGTCGGGGAACCTGGAAACTGGCTGTACAAACAAAGATGTTCTTGCCGCGCTGTGTTGCTGTTACGGTCCTTGTGCAATATGATTTGCCTACAGTCGTATTATGAGGGGAGAAAATCGCATTACTATCAAGGTTGGTAGAGTTTCTTTCTCGCGATTGATTCTGCAGAGAACATACCATCCCGGACGCGCTCCACATGATACAAGATTGGGATTGAATGGTCTCCTGGCAGAAGAAAATATGAATGCAGTGACTAGATTGTCGATGCACCGAGCACATTATTAGAAAAGATGGTTGAGGGTTTTGCCCCAATAGCATTCAAGTCCGTCCCGTCGCGAAGCATGCTGAACAAACGTTAACGGCAATTGTGCCCATACATGAACAGAGTAGTCTGTCGAGACAGTGTTCGTCGCTGCCACCAAGGCCTGGCCAACGACATTGCCGCCTAACAGTTGTCGGAGAACGGAGGAATAGGGCAGAGCATGTCAGTAACGATCTCGAAGAAGGCATTGTCAAGAGTATTGAATTCGTTTCTTTACCAAAGACACCTCTTGCGCCCATGGGGACCCACAGCTTCTTGGACCGATACAGATCCTTGTCGATCTCCTCCAGATCCAGCATCGTCTCGATGATGGTGTTATCTACATTATAAAGTAGAGCATCGGTGCGGATCTATCAGGTACACGCGATATTCATATATGGCAATGGTTGATGCGAGGGTGATCGATCGGTGCACAAAGAGATCCAAACTCAGCCGAGCGCTGCAGAATGTATCTTGCTGCGCCTGAGAACCACACAGCTACACTACTCGGAATCAAAATACACACTGTCGATGTTGTCCGGGCAAGAAGGGGCACAGGCAGCAGTGTTTTGAATTGGTGGCAGTTGGAGGTCATTCTCACTTACTGCTAGAGCCATCTGCGTCTGGGGCCTGGGTAAGCGTAGCCAGGTCGTCCGCTGTTGCTGCTGTCGCCGTCAGAGTGGACATGGCTGCTTCTGCTCAAGTGGGTGAAGTGGAGTGGGAAGGGACGGAATGGGGAGTTGGGGTAAAGGAATGAGAATGAGGAGAAGAGTGAACAAATGAGATCCTTTCTTCTATTCTCCGTGGGTGAGTTTGGTAATGCGCACTTTTGCTCACCCAAACCTTCCCTCACGTTGCTTTACGAAGCCCAATTGATTTCCGAGCCGACAGTTCCTCCCCCCCAAATTCTTCTGTTTCTCTGCGCCCTTGTTTTGCGAGAGACGCGGGCAACCTTGCCCCCCCCCCCATTAACAACGTGGTAATTGCCTTCATTTCTAGCACACTTTATTCGTCTACCAATGGGTCCTCTTCCTTAAACATGCGCAGGTATCCGAATTCTTGGGTTCCTCAGACAACTCCGCGCCAGTCGCACGCCGCGACTAGGATCTTAGCCACGGTCTCCAACCCACTCGCATCGGTCTCGTCAAAGCCCTCGGTCACCTCACAGTCCAGATCTATTACTCCAATGACCCTCTATTCGCATTCCAAGTTGAAGCGTTAGCGTAATCACTTTCATTAAAAAAAAAAAAAAAAAAAAGAAAGGAATACTCACGCCATCCAACACCAAAGGCACGACAACTTCAGAGTTCGATGCCGAATCACACGCAATATGTCCCGGGAACTCGTGCACATCCTTGACCAACAACGTCCGTTTCTCGGCTGCGGCTGTTCCACAGACTCCACGTCCGAATTCAATGTTCGTACAAGCGATCCTGCCCTGGAAGGGTCCCAAGATCAGAGCCTCTTTGTTGGTGGATGAAGCCACGCTCTGGTCCAAAACATAGAATCCAGCCCAATTAATAGGCTTTCCTGTAGCGTCGCGCAGACCGTGATAGATCAATGAGGATACGTTGGCGAGGTTGGTGATCTATTAAGCGCCGTTGTTGTTTTTTTTTTTTTTTTTGGTGGGGGAAGTTAAAAGAAGATTATTAAATCCTGTAAAGCTGTTCAGAGGGTTGAATGTCTATAGCCCTAGCTGAGGCATAACCTCCGAACACGGCTTCCCATCTCGACGTCAACGGGATATAGAAAGGTCGACTAGGGGAGGGGGCCATCATCTCAATTACCCAGTTACGCTGTCCCTGGACGATTCCTTGGACTTGCAGCTCGAGGTCCTGGTAGAAATCGGCCTTGGTGGAGGCTGTCGAGGGTGGGATGTTCAGGGTCATGTCGTTTAACGTCTGGTTCTTAAGGTGGTTCCTTTGTCGTTGTCCGGTTGCAACTGCTACGAATGAATCCTGGAGGGAGAGGAATGAGTTGTTGACAAGCAAAAGTTGATTGCTGAAAAAAAAGGATGCAGGTAGAGAGAGATCTCCCCACTTTTCAGCCGTCCTTTAGTCATCCAACGTCCAAAATGGCGAATCGCCTCCAATTGCAACTCAGCTCAGTGTCCCCCACCTTCTCTTGCACAAGTCGTGCTCGTCCACGACCTGCAAAGAGCTATTAGAGCCGTACATGGTACGGAGAGACGATATAAGTGTTCACTATCTTCGGTTATTCTTTCGTTTATTTATTTTTTATTTTATTTTTTTCAACAAACGAAGAATTGTAGCTACGAAAGTACAGGAATGAAGATAAAAAAAAAAGAAAAAAGAAAACCGTTCGTTACTAACCTAGAGGAAAGGAAAGGAATGCAAAGTTCGCAAGGAAATAATACACGAAAAGAAAGAATTGACGGGTGAAAAGAAATACACAAAAAAAAAAAAAAAAAAAAAAAAAGGCGCGTTGCGGAAACACCAAGGATAGTATGGCTCAATCTACTCCAGGTACTCTGCCAATCGATCGACAACATGCGACATGGAGGGGCGCTATCATCGTTTCAGACCAGTAACCAAAGGGACCATTGTTAGAGATGGGAGATACCTGAAGGAGTATCGTTCAACATGACAGAAACGCCAATGCAAGTGTTTCCTTACCTTCTTGGGTTCCTTGCGCCACATATCCTGGATTAGGGCAATCAGCGACTGAGGATACTTCCTCAGCTTCTCAAGTGGAGGTCGCTCTTCCCGGTCGCGTACTGCCTCGTAAAGCTGGTGCTCCGTCAGGTTGTGGTAGGGGTATCCGAGCTCAGCCCACGAAAGAATTTCCCAGTAGATCAGCCCGCACGCATACACGTCCACCTTCTCGGTGTAACTAGGGTTTGGTGTCCAGAATTCCGGAGCTAAAAGAGTAACAGGATCAAAATATGTCAATCTGCAGGGCTCTGGAGCAATATCAAGGCCATTATGCCACTGCTACTCATCGCTATTCCTGCTTTACCTTGCCAGTTGGGTGTACCACATTGAGTATGCAAAGATGCGTTGGCCTTTGGTCGGATACGTGCCAATCCAAAGTCGTTAATCTTTGCCCGATCGTCCGATGAGATCTGAAATCGTGGAAAAGAAGCAAGGCAAGTTCAGAAAAACGACCATTAGAGATGCTATAGGATCATAGCACGAGGTGGACACATCTTATTTGGAGGACAACTTACCAAAACGTTCATGGATTTCATGTCCTATGCATCCCAATGCAGAGAATCATAAAGAAAGCACGACAGTAAGCATCTAACGTCTCAATTTCCACGTGTCCATCACATCCTGAAACGAAACCGTACCCTGTGAATAATGCTGGGCCTTCGGGAATGGAGATAGGAGCAGGCGAGAGCAATGTCGTGCATGTACATGATCTATTGGAAGAAAGTCGCTCGTACATCAGAATGGAATGCCATGAAAGTGTCATTCCTGACATTCAACCCGTGCTTCCTAGCTTGATAGAGACTTACGAGACGTCCAAAAGTCGGCTTCTTGGTCTTACGCATGAAATCATACAAGTCACCGTTTTCGCAGAGTTCTATACAGATTGAATAATCAGCGTTTTGTGGTGAGTGATCCTGGTCCTTCCCCTGAACCCATGCCTCCTCTTGCCTTGGTTCCGCGCGGTCTTGAACATACCAGTGACAATGCACAGATGCTTGATGTTGGTGCACACTCCAATGAACCGGATAATGTTTTCGTGGCGCAATTGCCTAGGAAGCAGAGAGCAGTGGTGGCACTAATATTAGAACGGGTCTCCTCTCCCTTCCATATCTCACACCGGACGTATTAGTGCTGGACTCACTTAAGAACATTGATCTCATGCTTCATCTCGGTGATATCCATTTCTGTGAAGTTCTGAACACGGAGCTCTCCAATAGCCACCGCTTCCTATTGATAGAAAAATGACAAATATCGGCTCTCTTATTTTTAGTTCTCTGTAGCCCTGAACCTCATTTGGAAAATGCATATATTGCGGTTCATGATGAAGGGGAACGGGACAACGATGGACAGTACTTACTCCCAAGTATGTTCCAGCGTAACAATCCTTGAATCCACCCGAACCCAGTTTGCGTCCGATGGTCAGCTGCTCATAAGCGATCTCTCCTTGGAAGTGTTCATCCAGCAGAAGCGAATTGAGATACATAGTGTTGATAGGGCCTTTCTTCACTACCACAGGCTCAATTGAGCATAGCTTTGGAGTTGAAGGACCAGGGACGGGCTTTGCTTTTTGCTATTGCGAAATCATGTAAATTGGAGCCGGCGGTATCGTGTTTAGTTAGCTGGGCTGGGCCGGATAGGGGGTGTGAAAGTGGCAGGACATGATAGCGCTTGTACACTGCGTGTTTACTCCCGAGATTGCACATGTAATAAAAAACGCGTTGGCTCTGTATCCTTACCCAGTCGAGCAATGCCTTGATCAAGGTCTTCTTATCGCCTTCGGTGGGGATGCCTGTTTTGAACAATTGCGCGCGTCATGTTGCGGCAGGATGGAGACAGAGCAGGTTTGACGTAAATACAGGCGGAGAGGCCAATCCATGGGGGGACAGTAAAGAGATGAACAGATGAAAGAGGGTTAGCTGAGCTGCAGGAGGGGGGAGGAGAATTATTTTGTTATCATCAATGGAGCTGACTATTGACTGTCCAGCCTAGTTTCGAGGATCGTTTTGCTCTCCACACGCAAACCAAAAAAAAAAAAAAAAAAAAAAGTTACAATGACATCGCGCTCACGGACGCATTCTTTTTTCCTGTATGGTTCGTTGGCTCCTCCGCTGACGCAAACCCAAACACGGACAAGTGACATTTTTTTTTTTTGGATTTAAGATCCGCAAGGGGGATAGGACCAATACAGGAAAAGCGGGAAAAGTGGGTGGAAGGTTCACTTCATTCGTCCTTAGCGTAGACACTGAAGGAGATGAACGCAAAGAGATAACGAAGGCAGGAGGCGGGATAAATAGAAAAAAAAAAAAAAAAAAAAAAAAAACTTGCTGGGGTGGAACAAGGACTGATAGATGAAATGGAGAAGAAACAGGGAGGGAGTGCTGGGGTGTTGACGAAAGTAACGAGTGAACCACCTCCCTTTTCTCCCCAAAGTATGGCAATAAAGATAACATGGCGCTGTTGACGAACCTCGTTCTTGGCACATTACGACAATGTCGGCTTTGATACGCGCATTGAGCGTCTCCTCTGTCTCGTTCTCGAGGCGCTCATCTACATGCCGTTCGATCGTCTGGAAGCCCCTGACGACCTGACCCGGTGAACCTTTGTTCTCAACCGGCGATCCCCTTCCTTGCTCAAACTGTACCTGATGCGGTTGTTGCTGCTGCTGAGGCAGTTGGTGAGGCAGTTGGTGATGCTGCTGGTGATGTTGCTGAAGCTGCTGAAGCTGCTGTTGAGGTTGCTGAGGTAGTTGATGATGTTGCTGAAGCTGCTGTTGGGGTTGTTGAAGCTGCTGTTGAAGCTGCTGAGGTAGTTGGTGATGTTGCTGGTGCTGCTGCTGATGCTGCTCCTGAGGCTGGAGTTGTTGCTGAGGCTGTTGCTGAGGTTGTTGCTGAGGTTGTTGCTGAGGTTGTTGCTGAGGCTGTTGTTGAGGCTGCTGAGATTGCTGATGAGGTTGCTGATGATATTGCTGGAGTTGCTGGTAATGCTGTTGAGGTTGTTGGTGAGGCTGCTGCTGAGGTTGCTGTTGCTGTTGCTGTTGATGTTGGTGTTGCTGTTGATGTTGGTGTTGCTGTTGATGTTGCTGTTGCTGGGGAAGTTGCTGGGGTTGCTGGTGATGCTGCTGAGGCTGTTGGCGATATTGCTGTTGTTGGAGTAGCGGCTGCTGCTGATGCTGTTGTTGTTGGTATTGCAACTGTTGAAGCTGTTGATGCAGCTGCTGTATCTGTTGGGCAGGAGTGGGAGCAGGAGCGTGCTGTTGTGCCTGCAGTGCTGGCGGGACCTGAGCTGGCGCCTTGGGTGCTGGCTGAGGTGCAGGTACTGGACCTCTGACATCAATTGGCGATATTCTTACTGCTTCGAAAGGCGAGCCCCGGTTATCCTGTTGATGGTTGTTGGCTTGAATAAGTTGATAGAAAGGATTGTTGTTGTTGTTGTTGTTGTTGCCGGCATTGCCAGCGTTGTTGTTCGCAATATTGTGGAATGCCATTATGCTATCGTTGCTGATGATCTCCGCAGGCCTGGCCCTTGTCGGCTCAAAGAAAGGTCCCTTTGGCGGCTCGAAGGGCGATCCTCGACCAATCTCGAACGGCGATGCTTTGGCGTTGTCAAATGGCGATCCCCGGTGGACCTCCATAGGTGAATCTCTGGCATTCTCCAGCGGCGACGCTCTGTTGACCTCGACGGGGGACCCTCTTACATTCTCGAACGGCAATGCCTTATTGGCCTCAACAGGCGAACCTCTTGTGATTTCGGCGGAGCGGCCTCGTTGTACTCCCTCCATGGGTGATCCTCTACCGGTATCAATGCTATCTGCTGAGTTCAGGTTATGGTTCTTGTTGATGTTGCTGTTGCTCTGCATAAAATCAGTGTTATTCTGAGGAGATCCCTTGACAGTGGTTGCCTCAAGTGAGAGGGAGGACGAAGTCTTGACAGGTACCGCATTGTTGTTAGGTGAACCCTTGGCGATGGCAATTGGCGAGGCCTTAACCGCGTGTGGTGACTCCCCTGGCGGTGTCACTGGTTGGTACTCAAAGTACCCATTGGCGTTCCTGAGCATGGTTGTGTGAGATCGATGGGTCTGAAAGGGATTGAGATGTATCCTGCTGGCGAGATATTTTGTCCTACAATCCTGTCGGTGTCCGAGTTTCTTCTTGCAGAAGCGAGATAAGGAGCGGGCGAGATGAGATTGTGGTATGAAGTGGCGAGAGGGAGCGGGAAGTGGAAAATGAAGTGGAAAAGAAGAAGAGGGGGGAAAAAAGGGAGCTAACGACCTTTTGTGCGCTCTTTATTTTTTTACATGCTCCAATGCTGTTTGGAGTAATACACGGGAAACCACAGCCGGACGACCATTTTAGAAAAAGGGCGAAGATGAAAAAAAGCGTCTGTGCCCTTCGAAAGTGCGAGAGTAAAAGTGAATTGAACAAGGAGAGCAATCACATTACCAGCAGCATCAGCAGCAAAGAGGCGGGGTGGGGCTGGTTGCAGGCGGAAATGGGTGTTCCCATTTTTCATTGGAGTAAGAGAGGAAAAGACTCTTGAACACAGCATGAAGACGGATGGGAAAGGATGCCATGGAGGAACTTTGACTTCCCCTGCCCATACCGCATGCAATCCGCATGACATCCACAACAAAATAGAAGAGACACCCGGTGGCCCCTGAACGCTTTGTAAACAGAACAGCTTCAGTGCCTGACGACGTGGGCGAAAGATGTATCTAAACGAGGATTAGTTCCATGACCAAGCAGTTCAGTTCGTCATAGACAATTCTCGCAGGGCAGATGGACTCGATTCGACACTACAAATGTGTCCAGTGCGGAACCTGCTTTGTTTTGTGAAGGTGCTTGCGGAGAAAAGGGTCTCCCGTAGCGGAGATGCTGGGCGTTGGTATCCAGGAAGCGGGGTTGGTGGCCAGAATCATCATATCACCGTGCCCCTGTCGTGAGATTAGGACGATTTCAACAACAATGCGCGTAAAGTCATCAAGACATGTGTGGGGGTTATGCTCTTGACAAAAGGAGCACCAATCATTGTATCAAAAGAACGAGTCCCACCACCAATTGAGCGCATCAGTATGACTGCAACTGTATCCACGCGAACGACTGAACTGGCGTGCGGAGGACCTGATAGCGGGGCCAATTTCTCTGCCTCATACAGTACAACCGACCTGGATAGGGACCAGGATTTTGGTAGAACTTAGACTACTTTAGGCGGTGACTGGCCTCTGCATTTGGTTCGCGCAGCGCAGGAGTACAGGTTTTCGGAACACATTCATTAGCACTGCACCCATCCACCATGGCCAATCAGGACCTAAGCAGCTTTACGGCCATCACCCCGGACCAGAGAATGGCCCTCGTGAACGCCTGGATGGTTTACGGAGGAATCCCCGACTTTGGCACCTTGCGATTCATCTCCCGGTTGGCCCGTCTGGACGAGAAGCTGGTTCGATATTGGTTCCACTGCCGCGCCAATTATGATGGTATCATGCACGTCCTCGCCTCCGCCCCTGCCACAGGCATTGATCTTCCTGGAATTGAGAGCTACCATCAGCTGGAAGAGTACTCGCTCGCCTTGGAGAATGATCGTGAAGACCAACAGCAACAGCAACAGCAACAGCAACAGCAACAGCAACAGCAACAGCAACAGCAACAGCAACAGCAACAGCAACAGCAACAGCAGCAGCAGCAGCAGCAGCTTAATGATCGACAGCAAGAGAATGAGCAACATACACACGAACAGGATCATCCAGAACCTCAACAGGACGCTCTGCAGCCCGCTACAAGTAACCAGAACCCCAGACGTCGTGCGGTAGAGCCGCATCGGGCTTCCTCACCTACTGCAGCAGGGTCGCCTTCGCGCGTCATAGGTGTATCCATAAAAGCAACATCCCGAAGGCTTGTTAACGCGCCCACGGCTCTCTCGACTAGTGATGTAGTCAGCTCAAAGCAATCTAGACGCGTCTCCAGAAGACCTTCACTCCAAACTTCATCCGATCCAGATGACCAGGAATTCGTACGAACGAGGACAAGAGCCACGTGGACGCCGACCAGGGCTGAATCCAAGGCACCCTCTTTGACAGGAATTCTGACATCCAAGCAACCGTCAAAGTCGCCAGCCGAAACTGCTACTCACGATACTCCTCAAACAACTACGCGGCGCTCCTCGATGATATCTCAGACTTCCTCTGAGGGGAAGCTGATCGTCAGGCGGTCAGGGCGACGCAAGTCGGTTATAGACAACGGAGCTAGTCAAAAGGAGGAGGTCTTGTCAAGAAAACGCACCGGAAAGCGGACGGGGAAGCAAAGAAAAGGGTCCAGCATTGTTATTTCAGACGGCGATGAAGACATTGGGACCGACACAATTCATGATGCTACAGAGACTAACGGCAAGAATCTGGTTACAGTGACCGAGATAAGAACTGTCGAGTCTTCGAAACAGGACGCGATCACGGATGAGACTGAGGAAGATATGGTCATGGATTCGGGAAGGGTTCCAGTACAGGAGACGCCAGAGTGCTCCCAAAATGTCAATGAGCAGGCAGATGGCAATGAGAAGGACGAGGAGGTGAAGAAAGATACAGATGATGATGAGGACGGATGTGTGTCACTTGGCTCTGATTTCCGTCGAATGGTCGTCGAACAGCAAAAATGGACAGGCAGGACGGTTACTCGGGGTCGCGGTCTCTCTCGAGGTCGAGCAATCTCTCGTGGACGGCGGACTTTTAACGACGACAAGGGCGATGGTGTTTCTCATAAAGGAACTGGTGCCCAACCTGCAGAGGAATTGAAGCCGCCAGTTTTGGCTGGGGACCCTATAGCTGGCGAACAGATCAGAGAGAAGTTCCATGCACAGCAGCGTATGACACCGTCTTGGGCACGTCGCTCTCAAGTGGCCGTGATAATTAGGGAACGACAGTTTACAACCAATGCTAGGGACGATGTTGCCGGCGATTCGATGGCTGCGGCAAGTATGGAGCGCAGAACCCAAGCTGTGATAACAAATGGCGATTCATCTGGCGAAGGAGAGTCTAAGACTGCAGCCCAGAGCGAGAGCCGTAGGATAAATTCGCGTGCTCGTTCTCGAAGCCGCGCACCCTCTCGAGGCAGAAGGCGTTCTCTGAGTCGCCCAGCCTCTCGGGGGCGACGGTCTTTGAACGAAACAGAGGATGCTCCTGTCAGCGTTGGCGGCCCTAGCCCTATCAGCGATTTGGGTGGTGGCGAGGCAAAATCCGTTGTCGAGGACAAGGATGGCAGGATCGGTGCAGTTCTCGGGAACACATCATGGCGCGACGAATTTCGGTCTATCAAGATCATGAAGAGGACCAAGTCCATGTCTCATCTTCCGCCCACAGCAGAGCAGCAAGACCATTTGGATCTGGCTGTTGGGGAGGGAGCTCGTGAGGTCCAGAGTCCAATAATCGACCCGTTATCCGATCCAGTAGAAGTTCGTACCACCCAGAACCACCACGTCAGCGAGACCCAAGCATTGCACAGCATCCCCAGTCCAGGAGAGTATAGTCCGGTATACGACCAAGGTACGTTAGTCACTGGATGTAGTGTGATTAATTCATAAGTATTGGTGACATGTTCAAATTGAGGTGCTTTAATAAACTAACCTGTTTGCTGTCATGGTCCATTCATAGATTATCTACAAGATCAGTCCATCGCTTTGCCAATAACTGCGGCTGTGCCAGAGCGAAATGGTGTTCAAGAATCGCACCCTCGTTTCATTGACTTGGAGATAGAGGGAAGTCGCTATGACGACCACTATTCAGTGATATCACAACAGCCAACCGACAGACGGCATGAATATAGCCCACACCGGTCTCCTTATCACGACTACTCCGATTCCGACTACGACAATGATCAGGATCGGAGCTATGGTCGCCAACGGCGTATTCACGAGTACGGTGGAGACGGCAGGCACAAGAGAGATGATTACGGTCGCCACTCAGGCGAAGACTATCCCAGAGAACGTTCCATAAGGAGCAGCACAAGGCGCAGCACTCGCACTAGAAGACGTACAACCAGCCGAGACCGGTCTCCGTCTCCTGCTTGGGATAGTTTGGAGGACGAGCATAGTCTCCAGTCAACAAGTGAATATGCCACATATCGAGGTCGATTTCACCATCGCTCGGAGAGCCGCCACAGAAGTCGAGAAGAAGCTGAGAACTACACCAGAAGTTCATCGAGGCACCGTAGCCGCTCTCACTATCGCCCGACAAGCCCTACGCTAAGCCCTGTGCTAAGCCGAGATCGCTCCCAAGTCCGTCGAAGGAATCCGCCAAGGCACCGAGAGTATTCTCGCCATCGGTCGAAGAATTCTCCGAAGCACCGACGCGAGAGCAGCGTGTCCGATGTGGAATCTTCGAAGAGGCGGCGTAGGAATTCTGAAAACGGAAGCGGCCAGTCGAGGAGCGAGTCGCGTATGGAATTTCACCCCCACGATCTTGCAAGGAGCCAAGAGTCCGGGATCCATCCTCACGATCTTGCGCGGAGCAAAAAAGCCGACTTTCACCCTCATGATCTTGCCAGAGGGATGGCGCCAGAGAATGTCCAGGCATCATCATCACGTAGCAGTAGGGTCCGAGTCATCTCTCAAGTCATCCTTCCAACGTCAGCAGAACCATAGCAGCAGTAACAATATGGACATGTTCACAACATAATGCAACCAAAGGAATGCGAAAATATGTGGACGATAATAAATTATGCACTTTTGCTTGCAGCTCGTATCAAATGGGACGTTTATCAATGGTGAAAGGGTTACATAAATCATAGGCTCCAGGTAGCGAACGCTTAGCGGCGTATAATAAAAGACTGGGTGGCGTAAATGCGTTTGATCCTTGCAGCGGATAGAGAGAGGCAGGCGGAATAACCATCTTCAGAGGCGCCCTGTCCACTTTCACCCTCAACCGACCATAGAACCAAGGCGTGTTGATAGGCAGGAGACACGTCAAAGCTGATGGTGCTCTTTCTTTTCTTCTTGCGCATGGAGCATACAAGAGATGCTTCTGCGTGTTTGTTTACAATATGGGATGGCGCAATGCATATTTTGTTGGATCGCCATTAGTAATCGTTGTGCAACCACACACAGACACACAGACAGAAGAAAAAAAACATGGATTCGCACAGAGCAGCCCTGGACATTGCCAAACAAGATTCTGGTTTGTTATACATATACCAGCTGGCCTTCTCTTTACTGGTCCACCTTACTGGTCTTTGCCTGGGCAGTTCTCATCCTCACTCTTCATTCTCCATTCCTCATCTCTGCGACTCCGGGAAGCACTGCCGCAAGCTGCATTCGTTTTGGCAACCACTTTTATTCGCCACCCCTTTCCGTTCAAAGTGCACCTCTAAAAACGCACACCTCCTGAGCATAAGCAGACATGGCTTCGCCTTATATCCTCTCCCCCAATACAGACAGCGAACTGGACACAATCCTGCTCGAGCACCAGAATCGTCTCCTGGTCCTCGTTTTCACCACTGCCTGGTGCAAGAACTGCAAGCGCCTAGGTGAGGGCTCCGACCATGTTCCCTCGCATCTTCGCTCGTTCTTGTGCCTGTTTTCGCATGTCACTACACACTCTACCTTCCCACTTTTTTTTTATTCTCTCCGCTATCTCGGTCGTGTCACTCCCCATGCCACGTGGGGAAACAAAGGAACAACAAGCTCACAGACCCCTCTTTTTTTTCTCCATGTAACCGTATATCTTGCACAGCAAGCGCAATTGAGCAGATGGCCGAGGATTTGTCCAAGATCACGACCTTTGTACATGTGGATGTCGACGAACTCTTGGTAAGGAAAAAGAAAAAAAGAAAAAAGGCCCTCGTCGTCATTGGAAAACCATATACCCAACAAACGAGATTGGAGCTGCCACTGTAGCACCATCTTTTTTAGATTGGCGCTATTTCGATGCCCAGGAGCAGACATTGGAAAAAGAAATCCTGACAAATCAAGGGCTCACCGGATTGGGAGGATAAAATGGTGCGCCACCAACGACGAAATCGCGTGCTTTGGTGGGCGTTCGCCATCGCTCCCCTTCCTCCATCGCGTGAAGGCTCCTTCCCCCGTTTGATCGCGCTTCGTTTCTTGCACGCGTCTTTGAGGACCTCCCAATTTTTCACAAAGTTGACCATTTTGGGACCCCTTCTGGTCCTTTTGGCATGGTGTAGCAAACGGTCAAGAAATACAATGTCGAATCAACACCAACATTCGCACTCTTCCGAGGACACGTCTTCCAGACCTCCATCACGGCAGCCCTGCTTCCGAAGAAGCCTACGCCCGAAGAGAGCGATGATCAACTCCTGGCCTGGGTTTCGAACACGGTCAGGTCGTTTGCACAACATTGGAATGCATCCTATTCCAAGATCACAGACCACCTCGCATTCTCGCCAACGCCGACAGAGTACCAGATCAAGGAAGGATTGACCAAGGTCGGTTTCAAGAGTATCATTGGCATGGAGTCGAAGCAGAACCCAGGAGAGTACTTGGGCCGAGAGAACGAACTCTGGGAGGCGGCCGGAATCCAATTCGTGTCGCATCCCATCAAGGTCATTATTTTGCGTTTTCAACACTGCTTTTATTATTTTTTACCATTGTTATTATGCATTGATGTAAAATGAGACGAGAAAAGATGCCATCTAAACCTGCAACTTTTTTTTCTTTTTTTTTCTGATTTTACTGCACTATACATGGGCTCGGGAAAAAAATCAAAAAAAAAAAAAAAAACTGAAATTTCAATATGATAATAACATGACAATGTCAAACAGTCTGCGGACGAAATTGGATTGAACGATTTTGAGGAGATCCTGCAGCTGGTCGAGACATTGCCTGGCCCGATCTTAATCCATTCGGAGATTGGACAGGTTGCAGCTATCATGGTTTTTGTCATGGTCGCGAAGCAGAACGGGAGGAAGGGATCTGAGGTCGCAGGATGGGCCCGGGAGCTGGGCTTTGATTTTGAGGGATTGGGCAGATTGACTCAGACGATTTGCGCCTGGGTCGATAAATGAGACGAGAAGAAATTGGAGGAGAAGGAGCGACGAGGCAAGGCCACAGGGCTGGTGGTGGATGTGAAGGAGCTAGAGCTGGAGCTGGATCTAGAGAATTATGGTCTCGCCGATGAGCACACGAAGGGAATATGGACAGATGTTTCCGCCAGAGTCGTCAAGAAGCCGAGGAAGCCGCGGTGAAATGTGCAGTCGACGAGCAATAAAACAATATGAAAAGGTCCATCTTCGCCCGAGGTCTGCTTTTTTTATTTTTATATCGTTGCATCTCACCACCAGAACAAATCCACAAAATGGTCAAGCTTCGGGAAGAGGATCTCAAGCAGCATCTTTGTCTCTCCATTCTCGACAAAATTCTCACCATCCCGCTGCAGCAGTTCGGACACATCCATGGCACCAGTGACAAGTCGTGTGAATGTCAAGGGCGCAAACCCAGCTCTGAAAATAGCCTCGTCTTCCTTCTCCTTACTGGCGCTGGCACTCGAACGCTGCTCACGAAAGATCTGCTCGAGGGACCTGAAATCCTCCCAATCTGAAGCTCTCACAAACTTGCCCCGCCTGAACACAATCTCGAGTCCGCGTCCACTCATTCCCTCCATCTTCCTAAAGAAATTCAGCTGGATCCTGGCCGAGATCCCTAACATTGCCGAGTCCTTCAATCTCTGCTCTAGAACCGGGGCAATTTTCTCGATCCACTTGGGGAGACTATGGATCCGCGTATACAACCTAAGCGGTGGATTCTCGGGTGCCAGTCTACCCTGGCTGTCCAGCAGCTTTGTCACAGGATGATGCTTCGTCAAATTGATCACCAGTTCCGAGTACATGCGTGGAGAAAAAAATCCGTTATCGCGCTTCTCGGTCTCAGTTTCGGCCGGCAGGATATTATCGTTAAGCTTGGCGTTATAACACTCGTAGTAGGGGCGGTCAAAGGCCTTGAGCTGACGAAGAATTGATGGCATGACGTCTTTATAGGTGATACCAGTGGCCTCGTCAAGATCAATACTAAAAGCCTCCCAGATCCAGCGCCTTGTCGCGTACGAGGTCAAGGACACGCCAATGTCCTTACCGGTCCTGGTGTCGACGATAATACCGGCGTGGTGATGCGCATCGTGGTGGCGTTCGATCGCCTCAGGCGCGAGGGCTTGGGCAATGAAATCCCAGAAGGCCTTGCCGTAGTAGATGCCAAGCTGAGCGTTACAGTGCAATCGTTTAGGGGTTGTCATTTGGACAAGGTAGGGCAGATCAGAGGGTGCGACCTCGCGGAGCGTGAAGCGTTCGGACGCATCCTTGAGGAGAGGGAACAGTGTTGAGATCGGGTCCTTGAGAGGTTGACCAAACTTGTGTGGCACGGCATATTCATATCCGAATAATCTAGTCGTTGTACAAGGTTGATAATGAGTACCATCAGAAGTCCTTCAACAAGTTATCAATTCAACGTTTTTTTTTCGCTTCCCATACCTGTAAAAGTGCGGGATGCCTATGATAAATGTCATCAGGTCTCCACGCGCATCCGCCACCGGATGTATCATTTCCAGAAACAATCTTCGAATCAATCCACGGTTGCGGTACTCGAGAAGTGTGCCCACGGCTCCTAGAGCGCCATAGGTCACCTCGACGGAACCATAATACCCGGCCATCTGCTGCATGCAGATAGCAGCGACTATCGGGTTCTTGCCTGGCTGGACGTGAAGTGTTGTGTCTTCTACTAGTGCAATGTCGTACTCGGACATGACGACGTGTTTGCCGCTCATCAATCGGCGCTATTAAATTGACCCACGAAAGGGATGTTATAATCTAGGCGGAAAAATTGAAGATGCATAGTAACACAGCAGTATGGGTTTCTATTAGAGTGCTTATTGCTTACGATAGCGCTGTCAACGTATGTGTTCTTGTCGGGGGCTCCATCCTCCGAGACGCGTTGACCTATGTTTTCCCACTATGCGCATTAAGGACCATTAAACAACCAAATCGCATTAGTATCGAGGTGGGGTTGCACTTGCGAGACATAACATTTAGCGCCCGTATAGGTGTATAAATTACTCGAAATGTCTCAGCAAAACAGCTTGCTAAGTTATCTGTATCTTCTGGCGTGGACCATCGCATCACCATGCCATTGCCGATGTCAATTCTTTCAGGACGAGGCTCCTTTTGTAACGTTATAGTATCCTGCATTGCTTCCTAATATCTACGTGCGGTTATAGACGGAGAAAGAGATATGGTTGAGAGAGAGAGAGAGATAGAAAGGGAGAAAGATGTGCACTTTTGTATTCCTCGCGTGAGAACAAGGGGTTCTCCTGCGGATTCCCACAAAAACTGCGGATTTTTTTAGTGTAATCCAGGCACCTGATTGGAGGGTTACATCGCTGTGCAGCAGTATCTTCGGTACCACCCTAATTGGCACCATGTTCACGTGCAGTACACGCACGGTGCCTGAGCACAACCACTCACATACAGAAAAGCAAGGCAAGCATGGTGTCTTCTTCTCCGTGTTGCCGGCAGTCCAACGCATAGAGACGAGATCTGATATCTGAAATAGGGTTTCGGGAGACGACCTGTATATAGCGAATGTAAGAGCCAGCGGCCTTTTGTTCCTTGTTCCTTGCTCCAGCTTGAACAAGATGACCGCTGTGCTGGTCACTCTCTGTGGCGTGCGTAGCTTAAACGGTCGACTCTCTTTGTGCGTAGAACACGACATTCGACTCGAAGGGCTCCTCACCCACAAGTCTGCCACAAACTTATCTCCCTGAGGCAACGCCCACTGCCCCTGCCATCTCAACTCGGCTGCTGCCAGGTTGATATCGGCCTCCCGCACCCGGCCTTGGTCTAGAGGAGGATGCACTGCAGAGCTGGCCAAACGAGAAGGCCCGCATGCCCCTTAGTTCACTTTCGCAGGAATATCGCCTTCGCCATGCCAGCCCAGTGTCTCACAATGATCACAGCTTTAAAACAAACAAACAAACATTGCCTCGCCTCATGTTTCTCACTTCCTCCGCTGCTCGACCGTGGGCTGCAGTATTCTTACTCTTTCCTCTTCACTCTTCATCCCTGCAACTGCAACTGTGACAAGGTATGGACAGTGCTGACGACGGCGAGCAAGGACTGCAATGGCTCCGACCCTGCTCATCCCTAGGATCCCCAAAATCGTCGGGCTTATCCAATGCCTTTGCCGTCCCCACCCACAAAGACCAGACCGGCGCTCAAGTCGTTGTCATGCAGAACATCCTGGAGTTCACAACTCACTACGTTGCTAATGGCAAGCAGTTGGTGCCGTTCGTCACAGACGACAGCCATCGGTAGTAAGTACTACGAGTATCCTACCGCCAAAGCGGTAGCAGCAATGGCTTGCGTGTGGAATGCATCGCGGTAGAGCTCTGACAATCCCCTCGTGCTGTTGACATAGCGTTCATTCGCTGAGGATATGTTATCACCCAGCCACTACACTCGACATTATCTCAAGAAATATGGCAAAGCTCAGAGGTTGTATTCAAGCAGCCCGTTCGGTCTTCTGCGGCAGAAGTAGTCAGTGTCGACAGCCGCCCTCTGCAGTTTGTCCGAGCCCTCCCCTTCCGGGGATCACTAGATGCCTCAGAGAGCATCGGTATCCTTGCTCGCTTCGATAACGCAACCGGGGAATGGATTGTTCTATGGATGGATATCCTACTGATCTTCAAGAACGCCCATTACTCCATGGAAGGCTCTGTGCTGGTGCCATTCCTTACAGACTGTAACTTAGAAATGCATATCGACAACTACATTGTAGAAGCAGATCGCCACGCAAAGTACAGAGCTAGTCGCGACCTTTGGATACCTGCTTACACCTCTTCCACTATGGAACTTGTAGGCTCGATCCAAGAAGATTCAAATACCAACCTGGCACTGAGATCGACACTATCCTAAAGACTACGGCTCGCGAGCCACCACTACCGAGCCCAACGTCGTCAGATCATGCAGTTCGCAACAACTTGGCCGGATCCACGGTATTTGCAAGTTCCCCTGATATGATGGACAGTCACCCTGAGCGATTGCTGGCATCTACGGAGGAGAATAGAAATATTCTCGTCTCTCTAGAAGAGAACATCATCTCTCTAACAGAAAACTTCGCCTTTACGAGCGTCGAACATGAGCGTCTCTTACAGCTGCAACTTCGGCTGCAACAGCAAGGTCTGAATCGAATTGAGGACATTTTCAAAACGATGACAGCATTCATGAGGCAAAACTATGAGCTGCATGAATACACAATTCCTCGGCTCTTTGTCATCCTGCCCAAGTCGAAAGATAACTCCTATAACATCGGCAACTTACTCAACGACCAATTCCGATGTATTTCCTGTGCGAGTGCGGCGAGCATACTATGGAAAACAACAGGATGGTTCCACACGAGGTACACTTTGCAAAACACGAGGGATATGACATAGATCGGCCTAAAGAGTTCCTCAGCAAGTACGGATCGTTTGTCGTAAAAGTGCTGGAGGTGATCAAGTACGCATATATAGTTGCCTCGGTTGCCAAACCGGCTCTGGCATGTATCAACATAACAGAACACGTTGAGCAGATACATAAGATTTTCGAGAAAGGGGGAGAAGGAGTGGCACAGTTGGTGGACAACGCGCTCGCATCGGTAAAGCAAATGACGGGCAACATACATGACGGGAAGCTGGAATCCTTAAAAGGCTATGAACTGAGACGGCTCGAGTCGACCTGAGTCGGATTGTGGATGCAAGAGGAGATGTCAAGTGGATTTGTAATGAACACGAAGGCAACTATCGAGAGCCATCGCAGAGACGGCTGAGGGATGTTGTGAAATCCAACAATGGCACCATATCCATGGTGAGAGGTCGAGTTAAAATCACTGTCGAGTCTAGGACGACTGCCAAGGAGTTCTACGGCGCGATAATCGAAGCGAGCGGGATCTAGGAACTGGATATCACTATGGCATGGGACATTACACGCAGTGACCTTCAATTATTCGCCAAAAGTCTCGACCTAACCAGGATTATGCGCTTGACAGTGAACGGAAGCTGCTTCAAGAAGGCCTCGTTCGATTTATACAGGAGGCGCCGATTTAAGCCTATTGTGGATCTCATGGTTAAGGGACGGGCCAAGCGACTAGTACTTAAGGAGATCGGCGAATTCTACGTGCGTATCGGCGACTCCCCTAAAACTAAGGACCCTCAACTTCAGCAGCTTCAAGTGCTCGTGATTGATTCTGAACTCTCCTTGAAAGAACAGGTCAAGGGCAAGGGCAGAAACAGTGGCGCCAGGACGGGTTTCGAAACCATCCTCGAGTGCTGCTCCTCTGTGACCGAACTGACGTTCAACGCCGATGATCCACACATCCCACTCAACCTTATAGCGAACAAGATCAGCCTTCTTCAACGTCTCGAAAAGGTGACCCTGAATTGCCGCAATCATACCATAACCGCCGGATTTTCGAAACTCAAGACCGACTCCACCACCATGATAGTTGCTCAGCTCCAGAAACTTTCATACGATGACAAAAAGTTCCTCAAACAATACAACCTCACCAAGCTACACCTGACGCGCACCCCAAAAAAGTCAGAGGAGTCTCTCTTGGAGGATATTCTGGACTAGAGCCGGCAACTTACCGAGGTCTGTATCGGGTGCCGTCCCGAACGCACTCTGGCCGTCATTGACCTGATCACATCGACAAGAGTTGCCATTATCCAAGAGGACGGGCTGAGTACACTCTGCAAACTGGGGCTCTCCGAGGATGTCGACTCCATGGACAAGAACATTGTCAACATAACCATCGACTTTCCCAACGGCACTGATGCGCCTAGCATATCTACTAATATCACCATGCGCGCAACCGATCCAGCGGTAAAGTTCAGTCCTCTCTGGGAGATCTTCAGTCGATACGGCTGGTCCATCAAACGACTGGAAACGAACCAAGCATTCACTGACGACCTCGCCAAGCTAATTGATAACGACGATGGAAACAAGAGACCGCAGCTCGCGTCGCTGACGCTGAATCCGACTTCGTTGACTATGGACGGAATTCGGCGCATGTGCAGCGCCATCGATTACGCAAGGTCTCAAAACATAGGACCTCAGTTGGAGCTTGGTTTCTGCTTCGATCTACTGGGTAATGATCTCCATCATCAAAAGACGGCGTGCCTGATTATCCAGTACCAAGCGGCATTGAAATCGCTGACGGTACATAGAGGTCCGACTAGTCCAGAGATGTCCGAAATTACAATAACCGGCTTACTAAGGCGCTGCTTCCCAGAGCTTGGTATATTCAAGATCGCTTGTTCAAGCAAGGCAGAGCTTTCAAAGCGCTGCATCGAATGGGTTTCCGATATGTTCGTGGCCCCACCTCTACAGGAGACACCCTCATCGTCCGCTCAACCATCCTCGCTCGGATCCCCAGCTGAAAGGTCTCTATATACCGTATCCCATACACTTAAAGCATGGCAATCGTTAAAGGAGATCCAGATCGAGCATGCGGTTCTCAACCCGGGGCACTGGATATTTCTGATCTACAGCATCGACTTCTCTGCGCTGGAAAACCTGAGCTTCAAGGGATCCAACTTCTCGTCTGAACAATTTGAGATTTTGGTGAAAAAAGTATCCAGCCTCGAATGTGTAGCACCATTGAAGACGCTACATGTTGATGGCACAGATTTAACTATAAAAAATCCTAGTGAGCTTTGGGTATCGATATTAGCATTCCAAAACAAGGCGCCGAATGTGAAGATCGAAGGGCTGTGAATTTGTACACGAATAAAAACCGTGTATCCATGCATTAGTCTAAGTGTTGGCAATGCTGCACCGATCTCAGTTATAGCAACTTCGGCTGACGATCTCCCATGTATTCGACACCAATGAATGATATAAACTGCATAAACAGTGTGTGCATTTCAAGTAAATAGCAAATGCGATGGCGCCCTGGTCCTCGAGCTGTTCGTTCGAACGTCTTGTCCTCGAGTTTATTTAGAATAGTATTTGGGACCTTGCCTTCAATTCATTCACTATTGCACGGATCATAATGTAATAAAAGGGGATGGAGCATCAGGTGCCATTCTAGGAATTATTCAATGCTCAAGAGGTTCAGCTTGGATGAATTTTCAGAAATGGATAGAAACATCGACAACACTGATGTGGTGTCGCTCAAGGTTTCGCATCTCAAGAACACCGAGCTTTCCAACGCAAAAACCGTATATACTCTGGGGATCTTTTCAGAAAATTACATAGGAGGGCGCCAGATGTGGAGACCGAGGAATTGTCATAAGTGGCCAGCCACCTCATAGCAAAAGAGCAGCAAGCATTTTCCAGGGTTGATTTAGGTTGGATCCTACAAGGTCGCCGGCATTTGTTGCGATAGCCCTTGAGCTACAACTACATTAAAGATATATCATCTTTATGTTAATGTAGAAGACGCGTCTCCAAAAAAAAAAAAAAAAAAAAAAAAAAACCGCGAAGGTGACACGCATAAAATTGTTGAAGGAATATGTAGCGCAAACGCTCCGCTACTTGAGCGATAAAAATCAAAACGACTGCACGACATATAAAGTTAAAAAAAAAGTGAAGGGGTCTTTAATTGACATGCCGAGAGGAGGAGGAGGAGGAGGAGCCTGCATTTATGCCCAAGTCAGAATCAAAAACTCGCGAAACGCTGTCAAAACCGTCTTGAGATCCTTGGCAACAATCTGCTCGCGAAACAAAATCTCTTCGACATGATGCTGGCCATCAAAGTAATGGATCAACCTATCATGAAAAAAGAAGCACCATGTCAGTCAGCAAGCATGACACAAGCACACAATGCATATTACTTCTTGCAGCCCACCCTTAGTATACCTCATAAAGAGCTCTGCGACACTCTGCGGCTGGTTCTCACACATTCGTACCATCCACTCGCGTTCCATCTCCGAGGCCTGTCCCGGGTTCGGCATAATCGAGCTCGCATCCTGTCTCATACCCATCAATTTCATTAACGGCATACTCAGATGGGACTTGAGACTTGAACTCATCCCTGCTCCCGCGCTCGCAGGTCCACCCTGAGCCCCCGATCCTGTCGAAGACCTATTATGATACCGATGCGCCTGCTGTCTCTGGGACGTCTGCTGCTGCTGCTGTTGATGCTGTTGCATCATTGCCATTTGCGCAAAGTCCGCGGATTTGGCACTTCCGGTCTGTCCGCCTCCGATGACCGTCGGGGACTCAAGTGTCGGGGTGAGGGCGCCGCTGTTTTCTTCTCCCATCATATGGTCGTATTCCTCTGCGGTGCATCCGGTTTTGATGAATTCAGGAACAAGGACTAGGATGTAGGTGTGTAATTGAACGATGAGATCCTTGCGCAGCAGATATGTCAACAGGTCGAGATAGACCGTCTGGACTTCTTTGTCCTTGCCGGCTCCGGGTATATGAGCCTTGTAGGCTTTGGGCGTTGAGAGTTCGTGGAGAATATTTGGCAAGGAGATCGTTGGGAAGTGCTGTGAAAAGTCCGTAACCAGGGCTCTAAAAATTATCGTATATAGTGTTCAGTCAAACCGCGGTATGCATGAATTAATATCATGACCGCGAAGAGCTGCAATGATAGAAACTTCATGGGATGACATACTCGTTAACCTCGGCCTGTGGTGCAACGACATAGACATTACTGACTCGGATCTGGTCGATCAGTTTCGCCTTTCGCCAGTAGATCAAGTGCGATGCCAATCGGTAAATTTGCGCCATCGAGCAGTCCAAAATATATTGCAGTTCGTCCAGACTATCATTATGCATTAGAAATAGCAAGCGGACAAATTGAAACGCGAAAAACAGTAACGACACTCTTTGATCATCATAATCGGCATCTTACCATTGATAAGGAACAAGGATTTGCACCAACTTGACCAGCGTAGGGTTGGCATCCAGTGGGATGTCCTTTAAAATTTCCTCGGGATCCTCGAGCAGCAAAAGTGTGTGATATGGAAGCAAGACTGGGAAATTCTCATACTCGTACGCGATACCGATTTCGTAGTCGTCCATGATGTACCCTATCCCTGCGAGCCCCCCATACTGTGCTGTCATTGGTGTCATCAGAGCCTGCTGTGATCCCGATGCGTTATAACCATTTTGACCGCTGGAAGGCGTTCCTGTGGGACTTTCGGTTGGAGCAGAGCTTTGAATCTGCCGCGTAAAGTACGTAGCCGTCCTTTGTAATGGTGCAAGATGTGGGATTTGGAGCGAAATATCGATCGAGTCGTTTAGTACGACATGGCAGACCTTGTCAGCAGTGATACATTCGTAAATGGACCGGACAGCTCTTGCAAGCGAGGAATCGGTCAGTACTTGTTCGTGGAACTTTTCAAAGCTTAATACTACGAAAGAGCCACGGGAAACACAAGAGTCGCCATTAGTTTCGAATTGTCGTCGTCAAGTGGTGCATAAAAAGATTGAGAGCTGCATGCTTCACTCACATGCTTGGGTTGCCTCTTCCCGGATACTAAGGATCTTTGCTGCTTCCTTGCTGACATATTGGCTGTTCAGTTCCTCATACCGCAGGGCCGCTGTTAACTTGCATGCAATGTTTTTGTAGACTTGATCCGCCACAGAGTTGATCTGCAGCTCTGGCGGTTTGAGTACGAACACGACATGGAAAAATGACATTTGCTGATGGTGACTGGATGGAGTCGAGGCGTTCTGCGCAATAGCATTTGATACCAATCCCTGCGTGATTTGAATAGGCGGTGGAACGCCCAAGTGTGTGTGAAAGTTGCTTTGGATGCCGCCTGTTGGCGTCTGCGGCATTGACACAGGATGATGGAGCAATGACGACCCAAAATTAGATTGTTGTGTAAGAGAAGGCGTCTGTTGCTGTGATGTTTGTGCCGAGAGCGGACTATCTCCAGATGCTGGCGAAGATGGGTTCGAGTTGTACGTTTGACTCCTGAACCGCTGATTTCGCCATCCGATCGGATCTGTCAATGACCTGGTCGCGATCGCAATGTCGCCCTCGTCCTTTGAACCTCGTCGAAGCTGCGTCTCCTTTCCCTCCTTGATGATCCTGCCGGAGATAGATCCCCGTGCGGAATCTGTATCATCGTTCGATTCCTCGTAATAATCATCCGAGTCTGATTCATCGTCGTCCATGAACGGTGCCGTGCCCACGATCCAGCCTCTCTTGACACGCTGCTTCGGCGGCCGAGCTGCCTTCCACTTCCAGTAGCCACGTCTTTGCCGAAAATCGGGTCCGGCAAGCGATACTGGATGCCCGACAAATGTGAGATCGTCGACCGTCAATTGGAACCGCTTATCGCAAAGAGCCAGCTTTGGCGAGAGAAGATTGGCAAGAAACTGAGGATCGTATCCAAGGATCTTGGAGGTCACTTGGAACTCCTCTGCCTGTTGGGCAGCCGGTTTTGATTTCGATTCTGGTGGTCGATGAGACGGATGTCGCACATTGTTGCTGTTGTGCTGCTGCTCCCGTGGGTATTTGTAAACGAAGTGATGGCCTCTGCTCGAGTTCGTGACGATGATGATGCCCACGAGGCCGTTCATGATGCCGATGTCGCTGACAGTGACAGGAAGCAGGTCCATGGCGGGCACGATGGTTACAACGATGATAGGTCCTGAACGGTTATGGTTAGCGTGAAAACAGCAGACTTGTGCTTTGTGGTCGATTATTTGGCACAAAATGCCAGGTCCCTCATCCCGGAGCACAGCAAAGCATTAAATGCAAAAAGAAAAAAAATCATTTCGCTCGATTGTCGTTTTTATTGATGTTTGATATTCACGGCATCTCTTTGCGCGCATGCTTCGTGGTGGGATATATAACACAAGGCTCCTTTCGCGCCAATTACGCTCCAATCTACGAGATGTCCATGGCCTCCGTTGTGGTCACCTGAACAGTCTCCTTGATGTCGACAAGGTCTCTGATTGACGTCTTGAGCACCTGTGTGGTTCCCCTGTTGAACTTGTAGCTACTCGTTCGTAAAAAGGTATATCAATAGAGCAATATTAGCACATGTTTCCGCGTTGAGCCCTGAAACCATAATGGTAGTAAAGATGAGGCCTTGTATCGTACCTTGCTTCCTTGACACCACGCTCGTTAGGTCGGGCATAGTTGCGGAGGACCTCGACCCTTTCGCTATTGATCACGACCACGTCTACGTTCGATCCAGATCCAAGATCGTTGAAAATACCAGCCTCAATTGCATCCTGAACCAATGCAATGGCCTCCTCACGCTATTAGCCAAAGCAGAAAGAATGCTAATGTTAGTCTGTGGGCCCTATCAGCTGTTGCAGATGCACTATTACGTTCAGTACGCGTACGTTCATGTCGGCCTTGAAGCGGCTTTCAAAGACGCTCATGGCAGCGAGAGATCCAGACCCCATGGTGACATATGGCAGCTTATCTGTGCTTCCATGTGGGTAGATGGTGTAAAGGTGAGGTCCATTGATATCAACTCCTCCAAGGATCAAAGCGGCTCCAATATGTCCTTGGTACCTATGAAGCGCAAGCGCAGAGAAAAAAAAGAGTATAAGCGTACTTGAAAGCTATGACCATGAAGCGATTGCCATATTAGTTCACAGTTGCTTACTTGAAGAGCATCTGCTTCAGCATGGTCATGGCAGTGACAACGCGCGCCTGTCGTCCTGTGCTCAATCGGTGAAGCTCCAGTTGACTACTGATCAGGGCCGTGGTCATCTCTGTATCTGCTGCAGTTCCTGCACCGCAGCAGTACATGTTGGGGGCCAGGTAATGAATCTTTTCACAGTTCTTGTCAGCGACGATAGGTCCCGCAGTAGCACGAGTATCGGCACCGAGCACAAGTCCGTCCTTGTAGATCAATCCAACAATGGTCGTTCCTGTCTTGGTTGCCTTGGGGAGGTTGAGTCCCTTACCCTCCATCATAGTGTTTCTGTGTCAAATATATCGTCTCGGTTAACTCTCAAGCAACTGCTGAGGTGACGCGTCTTCAAGATTGGTGTTCAGGCCAGGGCTTACCGGACATGGTTGTCGAAGTTGAACCCGCCCTTGGTCTGTGGCAATCTGGAGGTCATGGTGCACCGAGTTACGCGTTATAAGAATGAGTTAAGGTGAATGTCTGCAAAAGAAGAGGGATGTCGAGGCAGGTAAAAGGCTCGACCTTTGAATGGGAGGGGTGGAGTGCGCCAGTGACTTACGTATGGAGTCGCTTAGGTGGACCGTCGTGTCCGTCACGTGGGACATGACGTTTAAGTATAGGTGCGGTCGCGTTGAGTCGTGTGTGCACGAACCAAGTAGGATCGAGTGCGCCGACATAGCACTGCAACTGACATACCTGGCATGGATGGTGCCTAGTCTACAGAGGGCTCGAGCCAATGTTGGGTTAGTGTCGTATTGATAGCGGATATGGGATCCCTCAATTGTCGAATCCGCTGGCTTCTGGAGCTGGTTTCTCTGAAGTGTATATTGGGAGAAGCCAGTCACAGCACCATGGTTCAACCAAAGAGCACCACGATGGCGAACTTTGCTCTGGCATCATCTTCAAATCATACGCACACAGGAGCGGCAGTGTAGAACAGCTCAGGACATGGCATTAAACAAGGAGACGCTAACATCCAGGGGTACGTCGACAGCATCATGGCGATATCATGCACACTTTCAGGACCTGACGGTTTCGCTGCCTTTCTTTATTTCTTAGACCGTTCAAGGCGGTTTATATTATTTTCCGTATGGGCAGTTGTCATCTTCGGCTTACCCTTATGGTGGAAGACAACACGCGTCTACAGGGCAGAATTGCCATTCGAGGACATTGAGAAATGGAACGAGTGGAAGGTAACAAAGATTTTTGATGTCGAGCCGAGCTTCTGCGCACCGTGTCGATAGCCAAGAAGGGAATGCTAACATCACTGGACTTTATATAGACTTGTCAGCCAACTTTCCCAATCTCAGTCAACCTTCATATTTCCAACAGAACACCACTACACGCAGGCGAAGCTTCCCAGTCAACACTGACAGAAATTAAGGAGAAGGTAGCCAAAGGAATGGAGGCAATAAATGCAGGCTATGTCAGTAATGCCAAACTCCCTCTTCGAATTTCAATCGACATGTCATGGAGTGGAGATAAAGAAGGTGACATCGCAGGTAATACCTTGAGTATGCTTACGGATGGCAAGCAGGCAAGCTAAAGGCGGGCAAGCTTACTGACAGGAACTACTGCACCGGCGTCTGCAATTGCATAGATCAACCGAGTACAACCCCAGGAACATACGATCTCTACATATCACCAAGCACAATCACTAGCGCCTCCATAAAGAGTCAGCGACAAGGATTCATTCAGATCCAGTCGTGGAGCGAAGGTAGGCACGGCTATTTCCTCACTCTAACGGGCCTGGATGAGGAAGCGATCATGACTATTATTCTTATTACTGGATGTAATATTGGCGTACCCATTGTAGATCTTATTGTTGACGCCGTTGTGGAAACACTGGGCGCAGTATTCGGAGCAGAGGAGAAGACTATTAAGCAACTCGTTAATGGTGCAGGCAGCCAAGGCGCTGACAAAGTCAAGGATCAATTGAAGGCCGTCAAATACGCACCAGGATACCAGATCACGTTCAGTCTGTTTAGCGGAGATGCTTCTAACGGCGTACGTGAGTGGAAGATGCAGGAGGCCATCAATGGTACGCTATCAGAACCAGGTGGGATGATGTTCGTGGCAGACACAAGGTGCTCATTCCGGCTAACTCTCCTTTGCATGACTCTAGCGTATCTGGCCCCGTTTTTGAAGAGCATGTCAGCAGTGTCCAAGTTCACGGTCGAGTCGCAGGTGCAGCATTATGCCTCGTTGACATTCAAGCCTGAGCTGGATACCAGTCGCAATGAACACTATCTCGCGCCGGATTCGCTTCCCAACTTTATAAACGCGGCCGAATGGAGTTTAGGTAAGTAGTATGCAGCAGGCAGCCATATGACACGATATTCCATCCTGTAATCTTACGCATCGGCTTAATTTTCTTATAGCATCCACTGTCTCCTCATTGCCCTCACTCAACTTTTTGACCTATGTTCCGAAGCCCAGTGAAAGCCCATTGGTGATCAAGAGTGGACCCTCAGCTCCTCGATCAAGCACCAACTCATTTCTCATACCTCGCTGGGGTGGCATTACGATCCTCAATCGTGACAACAGCACTTCTATTTCCCCACATGTGATCACTGTCCAGGAGCTGGGGCCTGTCATGAAAGTGTTCTTGATGCAGCTCCGGGATCTCATGGGCCTTGCGGATCTGTCAGCCGCCAGGGCATCGTTCCCGATCACCTTCCATAAGACCTCGAACGAGGCGCCAACTGCATGGGAGCTGGATAATTTGCTCAGGAGACGTTCGGCTGAGAATCTGATGGATTCCTTGGCGACTCTGACATCTTTGGCTAGATTGGTGGTAGATACACCGAACATGGTTGTACTAGATCATATTCAAAAGGACGTCGTCGATGCCCTGGAAGATATATCACGGTCGTGTCAAAGACTCTCTGAGCAGGCGTACGTCGAAGCCCTGGCTGCCTCGAGGGATGCACTTGTGAAATCAGAAACTGCGTTCTTTGATCCAACGATGGTGTCGATGCTGTACTTCCCGGACGAGCACAAGTATGCGATCTACATGCCGTTGTTTGTGCCGATCTCTGTCCCATTAGTGATGGCTCTGCTGAGGGAGTTGAAGAAATGGAAGGATGCCAAAAAGGCTACCAGCAAGCAGAAGACTGACTGAACGGAGCCCTGCAATTACGAAAAATAAAGACTATATACGCTACGGACCAGACGGGTGTCTTTGGACGATCTTCTTTTCGTCTTTGTCTAAATGAGAAATCGTGTGGCCACTTTGTGCGACTAGAGAATGAGCCGATTTGGTCGTCGGCCCGCTTGCACATGAAAAGACGGCATTTGAGTTCATCGCTTCTTTTTTCGTTCACTCTCCCCTCCGTCGGAACTTGCCCGCATCATGACACCCTCAGTCATCCTTACACCTCCACGCTCTCCGGCCTTACACGCAACCGGCATGAATAAGGACAAGGGCCTCACTCTCCCCACTGGACCAGTCCATGGCTCCTTTTCGGCATCAGCTTCAACTTCGGCATCAGCCTCTACATCAGGAACATCAACTCCGACCAAAATGACTGGATCTTGTCCGCACCAGGAAACCGGCTATACGAACGATACCAGCAGCCCTTTGACCCAGATCCTGATTCTCTATCACAAAGCAACCTCGACCTTCCTACTCCGCCAGCCCGTATCTGCATATTCGACTTGTCTCGAGGCTCTGGAGTTGCTCGCCAGGACAAACAAGGAGTACGGACTGGACCAAGTGACAGCATCGTTGTCAACCCGTCGATCATTCTTTGTGTTGAAGCAGAAGCTATGGATCTTGAACGTCACTATCTTTGGCGCCATGCTTGCGGATCGAGCTGAGGATGAGCACCAGAGCGGAGGATTGAGGAAGCGACTGTCGGGACCGTCCAAGGAGGGTCCAGAGAAGCTGGTCAAGGATCTGTGGAGACGTCTTATGGAGGACTATGGCGGGTTGGAAGGCGATGTCGATGGACAAGTCATGGTTGCCTTGTAAGCTCACGAGATTGCACGAAATTGGCCAGCAGCCGCTGAAAAGCAGTTACTTATGCAAAGTATATACGATACTCACACTTGGTCCTTCTTTTCATTCTACTTCTAGTGCAATGCTCTGCATCAACCAAAAGCTGTATGTGTTGGCCAAACAGACCACTGAGGCCTATTTGGCGACAATCCCAGAGGGAATGCTGATCCATCTGGAGACTGCAGCTGGGGCGCTGACGAGCGTCGAAAGGCGGACCAAGGATCCATTGATTACCCACTACGAGCGACTGGTTGAACTATATGTGGTGCATGTACTGGTCAAGCTTAGAGAGTGGGACTATGCACGACAGTTCCTTGAATTTAACACTGTCCTCTCTGAGTCTTCCAAAAAGGTATATACAGGCATAGACATGGGTTTTGTCACAAGAGACACTTTTGGGCGAAGTGCGCGTTTTATTGACAGGTGTGCTTCTTATATTGTATAGACATACGGCAAGATTTTGGACAAGCTGCAGGAAAGGGCATCGCGACCCAAGAAGACAGTGGTCAAGAAGCCATTGACTACGACCGCGACCCAGGCTACCACCAATACCTTGTCGACTGCATCGTCGTCATCATCAAATGTATTGAATTCTGTAGAGTCGTCGCCTAAGGTGTCGTCCGTTTCTTCAATTGCTCCATCGACGAATAATGCCGCGTCCAAAGCGATCAACGAACATCCGAAGTCACTGAAGAATGGATTTGCATCATTGGGCGCAGCATCAGAAGCAGGAGCAGTTCGTACAAAGGCGGCTGCTTCGAGGAGCGGAGTATCAGCTGGAACTGCGAATAACGCTAAAGCTTCTACTGCTCTATCTGCTTCGACCCTCCAGGGGCGATTGTGGATCTTATTACAGCACTACGTGGATCAGATTAAGCATTTGGGGACTCAAATGGGGCCTAATCAGCTGATGGCTGTTGTTGGCGTCATTGTGTTTTTGGGTACATTGTCTCGAAACCGGACTAGGGCCTCAAAGGCGATGCGGGCAGTGGTGGATAAGGTGATGCAGACGATTAAGATGGGCACGACTGTTACGAGCATCTAGATTGAGTACCCTTCAAATTGGAAATAAAACGCGAAGCGCAAGGACCATTGTCGTCTTTGTGGCCATGTATGACTGATCGGATTTCACTTTAATCTGGCTGGTGGTATTTTTTTGGGCGCACATATGGGACGGCACGGATGCATGATTGATGCCAAGGAGACGTGTGTCGATGGGCGATCGCTTGCCACAACGACAACAACAAAGATGAGAAACCTGTTTATGTGCGCTGTGTATACCGCAAGCGTGTGAAAAGAAGTGCTGGAAGAGAGAGCCGCAAGCGGGCCGGCTGCAGTAGCCGAGGGGCGAACGACGCGAGGGATTCAAGATTGATAATGCAATTTGTCTTGTGCCGTCCTGATATGGCAGGTGGCATGAACGCCAAGTCGGTTTGGACCTGACTGGAAGACTTGACTCGGACACTGGACTGGACTGGGCTGGACTGGACTGGACTGGTGCGGCAAGCCCATCTTCAGGAACCAAAGAAGCCCGCTCTCTCTTCTCGTCTTCCACCGAAAAGAAAGAAGCATAAAGAAGCCATTGTGCCCATCTATTTTCCCTCCTCCTTTATATCACACTTTTAACTGCCTAATAGTAACGACATCCTCTCCTGGCATCACCCCCCTTCATCCTCGACATCAACAACCGACGGAATCATCCGGCCAACTCTTTCTCTCCACAAGGTACATGCGATGTGCTTTTGCTAAACATTTCATTTCACCTCATTCCTTCCTCCCTGTTGCTCATTCGTCCTCCAACCAGCGTTCTTCTACAGCCTCGGACTAGCCCCCCTCCGGACTCTGCAACACCGTTAGTAACAAGGACTCGCACGCAGCAGTAACAATATTCGAGAATGGGAGACACGGCACAGTCTCCATTGGCCATGCTGGTGCTGGTCACTCCATATACCCTCCTCTATCTTGTCAACCAAGGTATGTACAATGGCATTCCCGATTTACCACATGGCCTTGTGTTCAGGTCGTCATCCATCTTTGAATGAAAACGCCGGTGTGCCACCAACCACGATACTAACATGAGCAATTCCTACCGCTCTGTAGTGTTCCTGCATGGCGTTCTGGATAAGATGCACTACATCTTTTTCGAACTGATCTTCGTGCTAGCCTTCCGTAAGGTCTTTGGTATCCCCGACTTGGGTGAGCGTCTCTTCCCATCCCAAGTGGCGGTCCACGCTACTGAACCAGTGCAACCGGCAAAGACCTCCCTTATCTCCAGTAACGGCGAAGCAACTGCGCCCGCAAAGAAAAAGGTTAAGAAGATTATCGTCCGCAAGGCATCAGGAACTGCAACGAAAAAGACAAAGGAACAACCGTACGCAAAGGAACTGGCGGCCATGAAGAAAAAATTTATGGATTACGTCGAGAACAAGGAGATCTGGGAGAAGGTCTTTGAGGAGACCTCGCCTGGGTTGATTGAGGTGTACCAGTACAAAGCTCGGCCCATGTGCTACAAGATCATTGCGGTCATGAACAACACTGCAGCAGTGACATTTGACCTTTTGAGCGATATCAACCGCAGGGTGGAATGGGATCCACTTTGTGTGGAGGCCAAGATGGTCGCAGATGTTTCGCCAGGCGTCAAGATCCAGTATGTCAGGACCAAGAGCATGTGGCCTACGGCCTCTCGAGACACGGTCGTGCTGGGGACGGTCGGAAAGCTCTCAGAAGAGACATTCTTCAACGTGACGAGTTCTGTGGAGCATCCACTCATGCCTGAAAGAATCAAGGAAAAGTTTGTGAGGATGGAAACCGCGATCGCGGGTCAGATCGTGGGACCTGAACCTGGACAGCCCAACAGATGTCGACTGGTCCAGGTGTTGGATGCGGATTTGAAGGGTTGGATTCCGGAAAAGGTCATTCAGCTCGTTTCTACCAAGGCAGTTCCGGAAGGCATACGCAACGTCAACGGCATCCTCCCATCGCTCACTCCTTATGACGAATGCAAGACCCTGGAACGTGTTGCCCTGGCACGCAAGGAAGCCGAGGCGCTCGCAGAACAGCAGGGCGATGACGAAAATGATGCTGTGGAGGAATCTTCTCACGAACTAAAGTCCAAGCGTGCATCGGATATGTTGTCGTCCTCCTCACAGCTGGCAGACCGATTGGCCAATGGCAATGGAAAGCAGTATGGCCATGGCCCCGTGGAGCGGAAGCGTTCGAGCACCTTCAGAGTGTTCTGGGAGGGTGTGAAGCAGAACCTTGGGTATGGTGGTGCGCCGGGCAAGGCAAACAGGATCCTGGTGATGACAATTGTGCTTGCAGTGCTGGGTCCGACCATTGCGCGGTTCCGTCGACGACGATAGTACCATAGCACATGTAGACTAGTGCATGCACACACACGCACGTAGCTTTGTTTTTCATTTGTACGATCGCTTGAATTGAATTTTTCATGTTCATGCATGCCACATGCATGCCACATGCATGTCTAATTACTTGCCGGTCTTTACGCAAAAAAAGGTACAAAAACTTGCTGCTATGCTTTTTTGTACTCTCTTTCCTTTTTTTTCCTCTTCTTTCTTTCCTTCCACCCTTCCATTTTTCTTAATTTTTTTCTTTACCCCTGCATTCCGCCTGCGTTATCTCCCCCTTCCCTCTTCATATCTCCATCTATCCCCTACCTTATGTCGGACCTACTTGACTCCGTTGCCAATGCTGCAATGCTTTACCCGGGCGTTGCCTTTGGCTTGGCCATCTTTGTCGGCTACCTGCTTTTGGTCCGCCATCTTCGTTACCAGCGTATTAATGCGCTCCTAAAAAAGTACCCGGACCCGACCTTGCCTTTGCGCGACCGCAATGTGGCCAAGGAGGTCTCTTCAAACTTTGCCGATATTGATTTCCCATTCCTGAACGTGGTGTCACTCGAATTTGCGCTCTTCAAAACCTATGCCATCCCATCCATCTCCAAGATCCTGGCGGCCACCCGGCAGTTCAAGGACAGCTGCTCCAAGCGCACGGAAGACACGACACTCATTCTTCAGGAGATGTCGGAGGGTTATGCACGGAAGCAGTTCCGAGAGATAATTGAACGCCGGGTGGACGAAGAGGAGGACAAGAACGACGAGAGACGAGAGTTCATTGCGACGGAGCGGCTGAACTTCATTCATGGACACTACCCCATTAAGCAGGAGGACTATCTGTACACTCTGGCCTTGTTTGTTTTGGAACCTCACATCTGGATTTCACGGTTCGAATGGCGGGAGTCGACAGAGCTGGAGAGAAACGTAAGTGATATATCCCGCATGGCGTTGTGCTCCCTCTCTCTTCATCTCCTTCGATATCTATTTTTCTCTCGGATGCATTTCCCGTGCTCGAGCCAGAAACTGAAATCAGAGTATTCCTAATAAAAGGAGTAAGGACACTTGAGAACCGATGGCAAAGGTCTCTCGCAGGGTATATCCTATGCTCCGGTCCTGTTCGGGTACCAAACGCCCTGGGCGATGGTTGAGCAAATAACAACAACAACAACAACAACAAAACTAACCGAACAACCTGCCAATCTTGTACCTGCTCCTTTTTTTTCGGCTTGCATATTATGCAATGTAGGCCACCCTTGCGATTTGGCAGCACCATGGCGAACGTATGAAGATCCGGAACATCCCCCGAACAGTCCAGGAACTAGAAGAGTGGACAGAGGTAAAAGATGCACAAATTTTGAGCCTACGTCTACTGTTCTCCATCATGTATTCAAACCAAGGTGCACTCAACTCACAAGACGCACATGCGTTATTATTTTTTCTTTCTCCTTTCTTTTGTCAGGAATATGAGCGTTCACATATGGTTTATGCTAACACGAACGTCGCCATCGCTGAAGTCACAACGGACCTTCTCCTCTCGCTCGCCCCGTCCTTCACCCATGCCTTTGGCCGCCAGGTCGTTTCTGCTTTGCTCAGCGACCGTCTCCGCACTGCCTTTGCCATCCCACCTCCCCCAGCCGGTCTCACCACCGTTATCGTTGGTGCTTTGAAACTCAGAGCATTCTTTGTCAGACATTTCATGCTTCCTAGACGTTACCCAAATGTTCGGACTGCATTGAGAGCCAACGAAGAGAACAAGTACGTGCCATTGTGGAACAAGTACGCCCCCGTCTATCCTGACGGCTACAAGGTCGAGGACTTGGGTCCCGCCAAGTTTTTGGGAAAGTGTCCCATGTCCCTGAAGGGCATCGTCCAGGACACCACGCATGTGGAGAGCAGGTTCAAGGCTGTATAAGCACTACGATAGAACGTATCGGATTCGTCTGTTTACACAGCAACGCATACATATTAAATAAATAGAGATACTTGATAATAAAACTCTCTTCATACCTACCCATTGGGTCTACAAATTGCTTTTTTTTTTTTTTTTAAGGGGACGGTGTGCCCCTATTGGTATTTCACTTGTTACATCTACACTTCGCTCATGGCTAACCCAATCTAGCAGATAAAGACGCCACAAAAAGGAGCATAAGCCGTGAGCCGAACAGTTCATGTTTAGAGGTCATCGTGGTCCTCGTCCATGTCCTCATCCGCCTCAACGATCTCCTGAACCAAAGTTCTTTCCTGATCCCTTGCGGCCTCAACTTCTGCTGCATCCTGATTCACGGTCTTCAAAGGGAACCGCATGGCCTAAATAGAAGTGCGAGTCGATAGATTTCAGTTAGCCTTCTAGTTTACGCCTTTATCTCCTTTTGCGCGCTAGTATATGTTTATATGTTGTCTTCGTTTCTTACCTTGACAGAGTCGTTATGCAGCTTGAGACAGAATCCAATACGCTGATGGAAAGCGTGCTGGGGCTCGTTGGTCGAGTAGATGTCTACGTTCTCCTTGGATCTCATGAATCCCTTCTCATGATCGATCGTCGCATCAATGACGCCGTCGCGGATAGACTTGGCCACAATGTACTCTGCATCTTCCTCACTGTCCAAATGCAACTTGAGGCAGACATCGCGCAAGGAGATACGGGAATACGACAGCGAAATCATACGGATACCGGTCTTGATGACATTGTGTCGCAGACGCAGGATCAAAGTATAGTTCTTATCTGCCTTGAAGGTCGCTGAATGAGCTGCGAGTGTCTCCTGGAACTTGTTCAGGTCTCCAATACGAACAGCCTGAGTAATCTGGAAGTAAGGAATCAATGCCTTGCGCAACACTGGCTGTCTGAACAATGAGCGCTCCGGAATTTCTCCCATCAACAACTGCACGATGATCAGCAACTTGTTGGCCTATACAAAGACGCATAGAAACATGTATGTGTGTTAAGCGCGTGTCCTATTTTATAGCCCTTTACAATGTGCTCCTGGCATGACATTCCAAGTACTGATGCTCAAGTTACCTCCTGCTGAAATCCTGCAGTGACATTGTTCTGGGGGGCTTTACGCACTGCCTGCAGAAGACACTGGTGACTTTCTGTGTACTCCAGCTGAATAGCCTTGATCCTTCCGAGATAGTACATATATCTAGCAAGCTGATTGTTGGTCGCATTCTCGGGGAAGGTGGTCTTTGACACCAACTTGTCGGCCTGATCGTAGAGGTTGTAATGGAAATAATTGCGGAGAAGCAAGTTGATCAACGTGGACTGAGTGTCGTCATCCCTGCGGAGAGTCGCCGTCCGCTGAGCATTCAAGAGTGTTGGGCGGATCTCGGCCAATCGTCCAGTCAGCTCATAGAATCGTGCATAGTAAAAGTACACCTTCGCCGCAAGCTGATCCAGAGATCTCCTGTTCAATTCCTGAACCATACTGACGGTGATATTGGATAATTCAATGCCCTACAATTGCAGTGGATAGGATTTAGAAAGAAGGTGCTGTCAGATCGCATTTCAATGGTTCGCATTCACCACTGCCTTTTTGCACATGACATATACAATTTGCACGAAAACATACCTTCTCCAGTTGGCCTTGATCCAGCAAAAAGATCATGACGAGCAAATGCAAGTACACGTCAACCTCTGGTGTATCGTACTTGATCACTGAGGCCTCATCCTCGGGAACGATGCTGGCCGATGCCTCTGATCCAAGATATCCAAGAAGACGCTTGCGAGCCTCGTCATCTGCGAAAACATAGCAGAAAGGGATGTAAGCCTCCAATTAGCGTCAAGGAGCAATTTCCAATGAACAATGCGATAAATGTCCTCGGGAACCATTACCTTTGCCGTATGAGCTAGCGATCGTCTTCGCGAGAACCTGGGCAGTGAGACGCTTGCGAAGCGAACTGACGGCCCTCAGAGCACGAATAGCAAAACGAGCCTCATGAGTCTTGGCCGACTTTGTAAAAAGCACAAAGTGCTGCTTGATATCTAATGTAAGTTTCAGCAAAACAGCACGATTAGAACCATGGCAGTTCAAATGTATGCTTGTCGTAACACACTGGTGCGCGCCCTTCAATGAAGAAAGTCCAAAGTTCTGCTGGAAAAGTGCGCGTACCTGCGATGACCAATGTCTCGAGCTCCTTGGCGCCGAGAACTTTGTCCTTTGGTGCTTCAGTCGAGCTTGCGTCGGTCGTCTCCTCCATCTCGACATCCTGGTCGACAGACTTTGCCTTTCCTTTGGAATCGTCTTCCTGGTTCTTGTTCAGCCTGGTTGAGCGTCGTGGTGCTTCAGACATGTTGCAGGTTGCTTATATATTGCTATGAGGATCTCTGTGGAGGTGATAAGTAAAGTTGGTTGAAGGATATCGAGGTGGGGTGAAGTCGAAAAGAACAGGAAGCAATGAAAGTAGTAATGGCGACCAGTTCGCCCTTGTCCATTGTCCACGCAGTTACGCGTCGCGCACTGCGTTCAGATGACGTCAACTCGTGCTGGATTTACATATCGCGAGGGATTTAATCCCTGCATACACAAACACAATAGGCACGCGTTGCAGCGCTTTGTAGACACCATTCCACCACTTCGCGTCACTTCTCGACATCCCTCAAATGTCCTCCTCACCGCAGTCGACAGCGGAGGTCCTCGACGAAATTGAGCGGCTGGAGCAGAGCATCACCAGGACTCTGCAGGAGATCGGTAACCAACCCCATTGTCTCGAGTTTTTTTCTCTATCATCATGGGATGGTCGCTGAGGATGCTAGGTGAACCAAAGAAGGGCCATCACTAACAATAAACATCTCAACCCCTACAGATCAAAGCTTCTCGGATTGTCAAATCATTGTATCGTCCAAGATACTCCCACAAATTGATCGTTATGCTGAGTCGTCGCGTGAGGTCTGGGAGCATGCCAGGCGTTGGCTTAGTTTTTTCGAGGCAGCATCAATGCCTTCGATACCTACTGCCGGTCGCAGAGCGCAGGAAGTCCGAGAAGCCAGGATGAGACAACAGGCTGCCATGGACTCATCTCAGGAACAGGCCAATTCAACAACGCCCGACTACAGTGTTCTTTCGCGCGAAGGAGCCCATTACGACGAAGGCGATGATTCAACTAACCGTCGGCGTATCGACTCAATCAACTTGTCCTCTCCAAGGTTCTCGCCCGACTTTTTGAATAGTCCACTGGGATCAATACCCTCGACACCAACACCGTTGCCTAAGGATCGGAGCCTTTTGTGTCAACAGGTTGAAGCCAACATCACTCCTCCAGCTGCCATTCGATGGCCAGACATCCAGGATCAAGCAAACGAGGAAGCGCCATTGAAAACCACTAATGCACAGACAACACCAGACCGACCGAGATATCAATTCAACACAAACGATACAGATCCAGGATCCACCACACCTACTATAACCTTCAAGGACAGACCCATTTCTATGCCACACACTACCCAATCTGATCCTGTACCGCCAAAGTCTCCAGCTGGCACTTCACATCGACCACAACAAAGTCCGAGACCTCCGAGAGACAATCAGAGCGAGGGCTTTGTGGAGTTTGACATTGAGGAGGACTATCAGGACGTGATCACACCACCATCAACATTGCACTTCTCGGTCCCGGAGGCCAAGTTGCCCACGACTCCCCGATCAATCGTGGCCAAGAGCCTTGTCGACAGGATCAGGATGAGGGATGGACTTGTGATTCCGCAGCCAATTTTTATCAGCGATGACGAGGAGGATGAAGCCATCATGAGAAAGTATATGGGAAACACAGCAGATGAGTCGGCAATAGGCGGATCAAAAAAACGGAGTCGCGATGGAGATATGCTAGACCAGGAGAACGCGGTGGAGGGTTCCTCAAGAGGCTGGGCTTCGTTAAGTGATCATCAACGCAACAAGGAGCGCCTGCTAAAGAGTCCGCGCAAGATGGTCAGCGTTCAGGACTTTTTTTCAACACCATTCAACGTTCAGGGCCCCGACAACTCCACACGACCTCAGAAAGGACAGGGCACCGAGGGTGAGGATAGTCAGAGTCCAAGTCGACAGCTCATATCGCAAATCCAATCACAAACCGATCCAGCTCAGGAAGAACATGAGGACCCTCTACTTGCTGCATTGGTCACACCACCCGATATTCGAAAATCGATGATGGAATATAAGGCACGGGAATCACTCAAACCTCAACAACCTGCTACTACACTTACTACAGGCGTAACATCAAAATCCCTGCTGTCCAAGGTCTCCGCGCCATTTATGTCAATACCAACATCCGCACGGTCAACAACGGAGGTCTCATCTAGAGTATCAGTAACATCGGCAGCATCGACGACACCCCTTGCCGCAAGTGAATCCCACTTGACATCCACACCAATTGGCACAGCAGGCGCCGACAGCTCAACAGCGAGAAATCCCCGTACCGACATCGACTCTATCTTCATGAAATCATTCAACACCGGATTTGCCTCGTCATCAAACAGGCGGCAAACAATGGCAACCCCTGTCGATCATTCAAGAAACCTGTTTCGGAGCAGCATCCTTGGCAGCGGTCAGGGTCAGAGTGGCAGGAAAAGTATTGGCGCTGGATTTAATCAGGCGACGACTCCAACTCTATTCGACAGTCCAAGGTCTGCGGGGTCAACAAACAGTGGGCTGGGTCTTTCGAAGCACTCAATTTTGCGGCGGCCCATGTACCCAACCTCTCCTTCCCCAGCCAGTCGAGCTGCTGCTTCTGCCATTGCTTCCGCTGCCGCAACCTCGTCCGTAAACATGTCGCAGGCGACAGGACACCAAGGGATCGCAAATTCAAATCAGACGACTAACATGGGAGACTTCATATTCGGCGCTGGAAGGTCAAGGGCAGGAACACATATACTATCGACACCGGTTGTGAGCACCGCGAGTATGCTGACACGTATGCATGATACACCATCTACCACTGCGACTCACCCTGACTCGGACTTTTCCTCGCGTGGATTCTTGACCCCATTTGCGAATCGCAATCCACCTCCGGCACCAAAATTAGGTTATCATTCTGATACGATCATGACACAGAGCAGTCTGGGACTGAACCATGACGGATTTGGTGGGTTCGAAAGTGAGGATCAGACAAGAATGACTGCAGCGAGCAACGGGTCTAGTGGTATTTCGTCTATGGGACTCGCTGGCGCGGTCTCCCAGCGGAAGGTGGTATCGACAACTGAATCCTCAGAGCAAATAGGGAGCCGTCTCCCTGCCCCTGTTCATCGGCGGATAGGGGAAGGAGGAGATTTTGGAGATGATGAAAGCGAGGACGATGATGATGAGGACATAACAGAGAATATCATGCGATCACCGTGTCCACCGGGTAGGACTTTTTACGGCTCCAGGACGGATCTCAAGGTCGTAGCCCAGGCCACTGCATCAGCACGGAGCAATGCTGGGTCCAGCAGTGGATCAAGTCTTTTTAGGCGGCAATAGAGCAAGCATTTTCTGACAAATGTATTTTATTTACGTGTACAACTTATACCACTAGTCATAGTTAGAATACTGTACCTAAAACAAAAAAAAAGTAGCAGTTATTGGTCCTATATATTTTTTTAAAAGCTAGGGATGCACTGCACCAACTGAGGGGGAGACGGTAGTCGTTTTCCGCGTCTCTCTATGCTCTTCTATCATCTAACTGTGACACTTATGAATCCAGCTCAGTCGCCTTCTCAGACTTCCTTTCCGACCTTTTTGCTTGCCCTTGCAACTAGTTTGGTAAGCGAATATAGCTCAGAAACACGTCTTTTCGTAAACCAATTTCAACCATTTCCACGTATATCCCTTGCTATCATTACCATGGAATTTACAGGAGACAGCGTCTGGTTTTCTTTGTAAGTTTTTCTCATTTGGTAAGCCATTTTGCATTAGATAGGCGCTGAGTACTTTCTCTTGAAGACGTGGCTGTCATTGTGGTTGCCGGTCATTAGGAACTAACGACGAAACTTCGTACGTCAGCTCAGTGTATAGGCTGCTGAGACGGGCAATTCAAAACAAGAGGAAGCACACCACCGAGGGTCGTATCCACGCAATGAGCATCGATTGGAGTTTGGGGCGGATACGGAAGACTGTGTCACATATACCGAGGACTATAAAACGATGGAGCGCTGGACATGGCTGAAGTATCCATGAGTCGCAATGGCAACGGGGTAGCGGGGTAGTAGGGTAGGCACATGCATGCATGCATGCATTACAGAGGCAATAGGTTTGGGACGCGCGTTCGTTACGAAAGATTTTATAACAAGAACCCTCTACGATAAGGGATTTCGTTGAAAAAGTAATAAAACAAACAAAAAAAAAGAAAGGCAAGACGGCCGTTGGGGGACGAGCATAATGGAAGAAGAAAGAAAGAAAAGGGACGCGATATCAGCAAACGCAAACCGCTGATGTTGAAAAAAGGCCGGGGTGCCAGGGTGGATGCAATTTGCTATGCACTTGAGATCACAATCAGGGGCGTGAGAGACACACGACGGGGAGAGGTAGCGGTAGACGCCGAGAGGAAAAGACATACGACGGAGCTGAGTGGCCAGTGCGGGGTCTGCACCACGCTCCAACGGCCGTCTTGATGTTTACCCAGAAAAAAAAAAAAAAGTCGCGCGTTCGCGTCGCGATTCTTGCATATATAGAGCAGAAAATCGACACTTCAGATTCCTCTCTCTAAGTGCAAGAATTAGTGCTTGAGTCTCATATACTGCACAAGATTTTGCTTTTCAAAAATCGCAGCCAATGGGGATTCGCCTCCATAGGCTCACAGGGGATCTAGCTCAAATGGTAGAGCGCTCGCTTAGCATGCGAGAGGCACTGGGATCGATGCCCAGGTTCTCCAAATTCTTTTTTTTTTGCTTTCGTCGCCCGGTTGTACTCTTCCTCGTCCCCTTTTTTGCGCCCAAAACCGTGGTTGTGGTTGTTGCTTTGTTATCGAAATCGAGTACAAAAAGATGAGCCCAAAGACCAGGACGCCGTTTGAACATTTTAAGGACAATGAGAATGGGTAATATTTTGCAGAACATTTAGCAATTCATCTTGCCCTATCCGATGACAATAGCAAGCAGATAGCATGATCACAAGCACGAATATCCTCAAGAAGGCAGCGCTGTTGGGTTCATGACAGGAATTCAACTTTATGAGCTACGTATATACTATGTACATACACACCTGATTTTAGGATGCTCTGATCGGCTATGGGCTGTTGTTGAAATATGCATGCCGTGTAACAGATGCGAGGGCTGCATCGACCCGCAGGCCATTTGCCACATAGACATTGCATTCTTATATTAGCCGCCGTTCCACCTCATGCTACCTCACTCTTTATCACCGGCTTGCTTTCGATTATTCGCCTCTTACTACCTCATCCAGCCTTACCTACATCGTTCCACGCAATAAGATATTCCGCTTCAATGTCAACATCTCCCGCTTCTCATACTAGGGCGCTATACCTATCCATCGAAACATCCCATCCTCTTTCGACTATCGGAATTACACCTTCGCTTTACAGCGCTCCTTTTACGGCGGCCCCTGCAATCTCAAACTCGACAGGCGATGCAGATGCCGTTGTTCACACGTCCTTAATCCGATCAATTCACTCACCACTGGCGGTCCGCTTAGAACCTGCACCACAGCTTAACACGACTACGACGACTGCTGCGACAACCACTACAGCCGCTATGGATTTCATAGGGGTGGCCTTGACAATCCAAGAAGCACTTCCTACATATGCAGACGCAATCGTGGGAACAGGGCCAATTACTCCGCGTCTGGAGATAGCCCCTGATTTCACAGTTCTTCGGACAAGGCACGCAAGTTGAACCAACCGCCATGTATAGCACCCACCACATGGGCCAGAGAAACCAATTCTGGTTTTCAACCATAAAAATAAAGAATGCGGCATGCGTGTACGAAGAGGTTGTGCAGACCGTTTCTTTCCCTACTTGCTGAGGACCATCTCAGACCTCCAGCCCGGACCACCCTAATCCGTTCGCATTCATTCCAGCTGTACACAGCGCGCTCTTAATCTTATGACGGTCCAAATGTTTGGGTGGCTCTATTTCAGCTTCAAAAGATTTTAACCACCACTGTGCAGAAAGGAGCTGATGTAACCTGGCAACCATATCCACAAACAGCTCTGAATCCAACGGGGCATCTCAATGTCCGATTATGGCCTACATAACCTCAATTCGGCTCGAGTCCTGGGCTCTTAAACAAGTCCTGAAAGTGGGATCGAGCTGTCCTCATGCATCCAGTCTTCAAACACTATCAGTTTCCTTAAAATTGGACGCTCTATTCAAATCAGGCCCATGACCTCACTCAAAACACGCAGGCCTTCATCCATCTCCATCACAGACACGCAGAGAACATAGAGAGGGGCCTTCATAGCCTCCAATCTCCCTGCGAACCAGTTTAAAATCGCGAGAACAAAAAACTGATGATAGTGATCCAATGGAGGAAGGAATATTTCACACAAATACGCCTAATATTTAATCAGCGGAAGGAGCTTATTCTTATCCGCCACGACATGTTTAAAGTCAAGAGTTTGGATGCTCGGGCTGATCTTCGTAGTGGTTGTAGCGATTGAAGAGGACTTTCTTTTTTCGCACCAGGTCTTCGGAAGTGTGAAATCAGTCCGATTGTGGCTGTTCTGGAGCACCGGTATCACCGTATGATCTTCAACGCCATTCAAATTGCTTTGGAAATTTAACAAAATACATCAGTTAAGGTGTCCCCAGGTTCTCAGCCGAAAATCCCCTAGTGAACATAGATAATTGTAAGCCCTTGTACCATGGGGCAGGAAAGTGCTTGGCAGCACACTGCGTGGCCTTTACGTAGACCATTCCTATTGGAATGATCTATTTGGCAACCTGGGTTGTCAGTCTTATTTGACAGCCCATGCGGAAGTCCAATTGGCACGTTGAACACGCAAGTCAATTTCCAGGAAACCCATTTAATTCATTTACCTTGAAAATCGGGCCTGTAGCCCAAGTAATACCTTTCTTATTTTCACACGGCGGCTGATTCAGAAGGTCTGTTGTTTACACTCAGGTTGTCTTTATCTTGGGACAATCTATTTGACAACCCCTATACTCCCTATACTAACTCCAACATTTTTTAAATGTCGATTATGCCAGTAGTCCTTATGGTACCTGGCCCTGGCTCCTTAAGCTAGATCGTCATCTGTCTCTTAAAGGACTCCACAATGTAAATGATTTCCCATTTCGTCATCGCTGAGTCCATCATCGATAAAACCCTGTTTTCCGTCATGAAGAAGGCTTCTCCCAAGGTCGCAAAAGGTTGCATGGGGTGCCAAATAAGAGTGACAACCCGGGTTGTCAAATAGATTATTCCCTTTATCTTCGGCAAATGTACTAAGTATCTTACGGACTTCCTGCAGAGGTTGTCAAGTAAGAGTGTCAACCCATTCCTATTTGGGATGCGATGGACCTCGAATTACCTTCAGGGCTGCGAAGATGCTGTCGTCGTTTTGGCGCTAGAAATATGGTTGGAGCTACAATACGGATATTGCATCTTTGCTTTGTTATTAATGAAGCAACAATCACAACCACACAACCACGGTTTTGGGCGCAAAAAAGGGGACGAGGAAGAGTACAACCGGGCGACGAAAGCAAAAAAAAAAGAATTTGGAGAACCTGGGCATCGATCCCAGTGCCTCTCGCATGCTAAGCGAGCGCTCTACCATTTGAGCTAGATCCCCTGTGAGCCTATGGAGGCGAATCCCCATTGGCTGCGATTTTTGAAAAGCAAAATCTTGTGCAGTATATGAGACTCAAGCACTAATTCTTGCACTTAGAGAGAGGAATCTGAAGTGTCGATTTTCTGCTCTATATATGCAAGAATCGCGACGCGAACGCGCGACTTTTTTTTTTTTTTCTGGGTAAACATCAAGACGGCCGTTGGAGCGTGGTGCAGACCCCGCACTGGCCACTCAGCTCCGTCGTATGTCTTTTCCTCTCGGCGTCTACCGCTACCTCTCCCCGTCGTGTGTCTCTCACGCCCCTGATTGTGATCTCAAGTGCATAGCAAATTGCATCCACCCTGGCACCCCGGCCTTTTTTCAACATCAGCGGTTTGCGTTTGCTGATATCGCGTCCCTTTTCTTTCTTTCTTCTTCCATTATGCTCGTCCCCCAACGGCCGTCTTGCCTTTCTTTTTTTTTGTTTGTTTTATTACTTTTTCAACGAAATCCCTTGTCCTTAGAGGGTTCCCGTAAAAAAAAAATTCCGCCAACAACATCCAAAAAAGTTTCTCCTCCCCTCCCTCCACTCTTTCCTGTCCTCACATTCTCGTCTGTCGTCCTCATCCTACTTCTCCGCTTACTTTTTATCTCGCTATTCACCCTACCTACAACGGCGGCACCATATCTCGTAATCCTACTGTATCCCAGGGTCAACAGCCAAGCGTCATAAACGTACATGAGCTGGAGCAGACCATTCCCAAGCAATCGTGTGCCCCTCCAAAATTACGACCAGCACCAGGGCCAGCACCGGTAGCAACCAATGCCGAACCAAAGCGCCGTTTGGAGAGTGCTACGCTTTTCATTCGAGAGACACATCATGTTGGTGCTGGAAGTCCAGCAACAGTTCCATTCCTTTTATTCATCAGTAATGTATTGTTCAAGATAAAGAAGCGGCACCTCAAGCAGGTGAAAGGAACGAACCCCTTGACAAGGGCATCTCGCGGGAAATGAACGCCGCTGGATGCAGGAGGGGGGGAAGCGGCAGCCAGGAGTGACAAGACCGGTGTTTGTGATGGGGAGGGGATGCAGAGTTTGGAAACGAGAAGGGCCCCAGTTTTTTGCATCAGCAATCCATAACAGCCTTAAAGAAGAAGATAACACGACTTTTTGCACGAACTTGGTGATAATAGTTTGCACAGGGATTTGTTCCTACTACGACATGCATAGATGGCGGCCCATAACATGCATGCTGATGAACGGGGGGATATCTATAACACGTTGCCGGTGCGGTGCCTTAGGAAAGGTTGAAGGTAGGACCATCAAGTGCCAACAATGCAGTCAAGAGAGAGAGAGAGAGAGACCATAACACTGGCCATAATATGGCTTGCGCCGGCCTCTGTCTTGTAGAGCGCCAAGAGTGGCCCCTTGGAGCTGACGCGTTCACAGCAACAAACACTGAGCGCCGTGTGGAGCGGCAGCGTAGACACAGTGGCGGGTATGAAAAAGAGCTGTGTCATTCATTATCTCTTGTTACAGAAAATTGAGCCTTAAAAACTCAGTTAGACGGAGCAAGAGGTAGCACGAATAGAGGCATCAGAATCATAGTCAAAGATTAGTTTCATTTTTTCTAACAGAGTCAAAAGTGTATAAAAAAGTTTAGTTTTTTACTCATTAAAGCTTTGGTCGGCGTAAAGTAATTATTAATGTAATAAAGAGTTGAAAAAGACCAAGGAGTTCATGAAAAAAGGGGGGTTTCCTTTTTGGCAGCATCGCTGCTCTTGTCGCGCAACAGGGACATGTATGGTGAAGGAAGGTATACGTTACAGAAAGCAAGGCTATGCAAAAAAAGATTGAGAAAACAAAAAGCGTGTTAGGTGCCGTTCAGTTGACATGCCAGAAAACCAAGCTTAAAAAAAAAAAAAAAGAGTGCGTGCAAGTCGACGCCTTACCTTTCTCTGTTCAGATCTACGTTTGAGACTCTGAGGGGCATATCAACGGGTATGTTTACTTTCCAGCAAAGCCAAAGCCCTTCTTCTTGGTCTTCTCTGGAGTAATGGGGCGACCCTGCTCGATCCTCCTCTTCTTATCTTCCAGATCCATGCGCTGCTTCTCGAGTGCGTCCTTCATCTCCTTGTGCTTCGCATACAGCTCTGCCTCGGATTGTGTCAACTTCGCCTCCTTCTCCTGGACCTTCTGCTGGAAGACATGCTTCATGTCCTGTTCCATCTTCACCAGCTTGGCCTCGTGCATCGCACGCTCCTCCTCAAGCTTCGCGATAGGATCGACCTCGCGGAAGACAGTGTGATCCTGCTGGTAGCCCATACCAAGAAGCTTTTCTGTACGGTAGTTCTCGTAGTGGATATCGTTCGTGAACTCCTTGAGCTCCTCCATGTGTGTGCGGATCAGCATCTGGCGCAGCTTCACAAAGTCGCAGTGATCCTCATTGTCGACCTCGATGACGCCCCAAGGATACTTGCGGCCACGGACATGGCGACCATCGGGGGTCTCGATGACCTTGTCCGATCCGACAATAGCGAACGGAATCTTGCTCTGGATGGGTTACCAATAGGAGGCGAAAGTCATTTACGGGTTAGCAAAGGCGAAGATTTTTATAGCTATGCCTGAATTGATAGCATCGTAAAAAGTCTTACCATGACATCCTTGGTCTCGTTGATGGTTTCAATATCATCCGAGTCGTAGTGCTGGGCATGGTAGATCTTGATGTCGTGATGGGCAATGTCCAGCAAGATCTATAGGAATACCAAGAGAACAATAGCGTCAGCCAAACAGCCTCATGCGTCCCCCCAATCATGTATACTCAGCAGATCCATGAACATACCCTCTCCTTGAACGCAGCAATCTCCTCGTTGGTCATGGTGTCGCTCTTGGCGATGACTGGGATCAAGTTGACCTTGTTGTGCAATCTCTTCATGAACTCGATATCCAGAGCCTTGAGAGAATGACCCGTGGGCGCAATAAAGTACAAACAAGCATTGACGCGAGTGTCGGTAATCTTGCTGCGATTGACCCTATTTTCCTGCTCAAGGTAAGCATCGAAGCGGCCCTCGATCGTCTGAAGGATGGGCTTCCAGCTATTGTCCGCAGTAATGACCAAGATAGTGGCAAACAGTCGTTAGCAGGCGAGTTCAACACCTCCATTGTGCCACAAATCATTGTCTGCCGATTTTTTTTTTGCACACATACCTCTCCTCGTTGTTGATAAAGTCGCCAAAGCCAGGGGTGTCGACGACGTTGAGCTTCAGACGAACACCATTCTCCTCGATATCAGTGCTCAAGACCTGGATACCGACAGTTCTTGGACTTTCCTCAGAGAGGGGGGCGTGTTCCTTGGGAGGATACAAGGGAGCGTTGAACAAAGTGTTGACCAGGGTCGACTTGCCAAGACCAGATTCACCTAAAAAGAAGCACGGACGATAAAATCGATGATGTGTCAGGAATTCTGTTGTCTGGCTCGATGTATTGGACGTGGATGCGCTGCTGACAATAACTGAAAGCTCAATTGCATATTGATATGATAGGACAGCTGCAGGCATGGGGAAAGCTCGTTGTTCAAGTGCATTCCGGGCGTGCTTTAGGGACAAAGGACGGACGGTTGCTGATGGTGTAAAAATAAGTCTGCCTGCGAGCCCATCTCCAGAAAGAGAGAGACAAAAATAAAGGAGCAGCAACGAGGAGCAGCAGCAAAAATGCAGCCGGGATATAAACACCAAAAGAGAGAGAGAGAGAGAGAGAGAGATAGAAAGAGAAGAGAGCAAGGCTCCAAATTCATCGAAACAGTTGCAGAAATTAAGAAAGAGAGTAGCTTGGGTACCACGCCTGGTACTGTTGCAGCAGCGCAGGACCGTAACATACCGACGACCATGATGGTGAAGTTGAAGCCCTTCTTGACAGACTTGCGGTGGACCTGGTTGGGCAGGTTGGCAAAGCCAACGTAGCCCTGGAGCTTCTTGCGGAGGACGCCATTGCTCAATGACTACAGGGGTATTCGATTCATTCAGACAAATCAAATCAAATCAAATCGTGAGTGTGTGGTTTCATCAACTACCGTTTCCCGTTCACCCATCGATGCCCCATGAAACGCTTTTGGTCGGGAGACAGACACTGCCGCTAATTCAGGCACAAGAGCAGGCCATGGTACGTAATGATCCCTCGATCAATGAGACCATTTGTCACTTTGTGGTCAGATACAGGATCCAATAGATACAGCACAACATGGCCCCTTCAGGGCTATGCGACTCAGACACGACCTCTCGACGGCTGGTCTGTGTCCAGTGCTCGCAGGAAGCACGTTCGACGAGAGAGAGGGCCCAAAAGCAGAAAAGAAAACAGGCACTGGAGATATTCAATTAATGAGAAGTAGAGCGTTACCTTGGATGATGGGGGAACGACTTGGTTGGCTATACGATCGATACAAAGGGACATGGAAGAGAGAAGGAGACGGACGGACACAGTATGGCATTAGATGACAGTTGCAGGTTGCTGGAATGCGCAAGCGCAAAAAAAAAAAAGCGAGAGAAGAGGAGATGAGGAGAGCTTCATCCCGCTGTTCATCATCCTACCGATTTCGGTGGCCATGGTGAAATGTTATGGATGGGAAAAGAGGAAGGGAAGGGTATAGAGATGGATGGTAAGGTAGGTAGTAAGGAAGAGGGATGGGTCCTGGAGTTGGAGATTCAATTCGAATGAGGAATCTGATTGAGAAAGAAAGGAGACAAAGAAGACAAAGAGGGAGGTTGGACAGAAACAGAGTATGAAGAGCAGATGGCAGTAATTGCATTATTACTTTGTGCATTGAGAGCAGAGATGGACTTGTGCGTGTGTAGCTCGTATCTCTTTCTTGCACCACACAAACCATGTTTGTGTGCTACTTACTTCGCTATTTTATTTTCGTTTTGTACTATTTATTCAGCTCATAATGATCTTGAACTTTTCTTCGCTCGGAACCTGGTTCATCACTGCGCGGCCATCGTACGACAGCGACAGGAACAGCCACGGATCCGCGCTGCTCCATGCGACCTGGTACACCGAGTCCTCATGCTGGTCAAACGCCTGGACAAGTCCATCCGTGGGAGCACTACATTGACATGTTTGGAAGAGCCAGAAAAGCACGTCTGAGCTCAGTAAACCAATTGAACGGACAAAGAAACCATTGCAAATAGAGAGCGACCCTTACTCTTGAGGAATATTGTCTTCCAGCTCTGAATCCTCGTCCTGCTCCTGTTCTGTATCACTCGCATCGCCATGCTTATAATCCGCACCTGTAGAAATCGACACAATACTCTGCAGATTCACCTGGCAGTCAGAGCTGGACGTGAGCACCAGTTGATCATGAAACTTGTTGTATGCCACAGACCACACCCTAGCGGACACCCGGACATCGGGTCAAGAAAAACGAACAAAACAAAACAGGCGTTCGGTTAGCATCTTTGTCTCTTTCTTTTGTGGTCAATGCGAATCGAAGGGCCATTTTTTTTTTTTTTTTTTTTTTTTTTTTTGCAGAATGCTTACCAATGGGTGTGATCTTGAATAGTCATGATTGGTCCTGCAGTCGGGTCCCGTACATCCCATATCCTGACTTTGCAATCATCTCCCCCTGTTGCAATTTGAAAGGGCCGGTTCGGATTGTAGTCGACGCAAAGAATCAGCGCTGGCTGTGAATCCTCGATAGCAAATGTTGGTCTAGAAGATATCCCCACATACAAAACAAATATCAGTCTTCAACAAGTGCTTTGCTGTTCTGGATCAAAAATCTATTGTGCCTGAATGCTTACTTTAATGACCCGAGGTTCCAGCCCTGGATCGATCGTCCATATACTGCCACAACTTCCTGAGCATGCGGATTCATCACAGCACTCGTGAATTTGTAGTTTTTATCCGGCGCGTTAATCGAACCGGTCAACTAAGGACAAAGAGATAGCGTAGATGGCTCAGTTGGCAATGAAGCAATCCTTGCGAGCGACACCAATAAAGCGGATTAAAAGCCGATGAAATACCTTTGCTGTTCCTTGCTTGACATCAATGTCCCATATGCATATGCGCCAGTCCTCTACTGAAATGACTTCCGTGCTATCCTGCCAGATAACCCTTACACATAAAAAAAAAAGTCATTTCCAAGGTCGAATGAGTGTGCGCATTCCGATACATATATCATACATGTCGCGGTACAGACAGAGCTCATGGGATACACCTACTTCTTCACAGTCCCATCCGCTACGTCAAGGCTCAGCACATGTTCCAGCTCCCCTCGCAGTTGATGGTGGTGTGGTCGCTCGACATCTATCTCTTCAGAATCCATTTGTTCCTGATTCATTCTCCACAACGATGCTTTGCTCTGTATCCGGTTGCCCTCGACTAGTCATTTTTTTTGTCAAACAACAGCCATTAGTACAGAAATCCCCTGTTCACTGCGTGCCCAATGTCATCGCCACGATCTTTTGGGTGTCCATTGATTCCACAGGATATCCCGTACCTTGTTTGTAACAGGTGAAGAACAGATCCGGATCCTCCTTGGACGCTGAGATATCCCAAATTTCATGAGGATGACTGAATATCGTTGTGTTGATCTCGAACATGTCCTCGTCAAAGGTCAGGAGGTGGATCTACAGCGCGCACGCCGAGATCAAGGTATATGTGTCAATTGCTAGAGCTTCTTATACAATGAAGCCCTCAAAAAAGCGGAAAAAAGAAAAGATATCCCTGTGCTACCTCGTTCGGCTTCAAAAGCTCCTGCGTTCCAATGATGAACCTGCTCTTGCCATCGTTCGACTTGATGGCAGAGAGGCAGCGTGTCTATGTTGATTCAGGAACACTGGTCAACACTTGTGTCGAGTCCATACTGGCATGCCAATAGTCCGTTAAACTGCTGCTGTAAGTGGTACCTGATGCCGTAAACCATAGGCGCAGGAGCGATGTTCAGCTGATTCCATGAGTCCGGTGCTTGTCAAGGATGCAACATGAACTTGGCACTTTGTCGCCCATGCAGCTGAGAAGTGTACCTGGATGTGACTCCACAAATCATAGCACAAATTTGATCCACTGTGTGAACTATGCTCCACAAAAGGCAACAGTGAGCAACCAGATGCGATTCTTTTTTTTTTTTTTATTTTTTTTTATTGAATGCTGTGCTGCGATGAAAAGAGCAAAAGGGTAATAGGATCTAAAGGGGCATGCAAAAAAATAATAAGAGATGAAGTATGGATGATGGACAAGGACGTGCAACACGAACAGATACGGAACACCCGGATAAGCAGGCTTATGTTCCGTAGCTGGCGCGGTAGTAGCTTGGCGGCAGACTCGACAGAATCTTGATAAATGGAAGCTCAACCACCACCAGTGAGTTGTCACCAACAAAGTCCACAAACATCAGCGGCTGGAACTTGTGCAGTAACTGGAAATTGAACTCTTCCTCCTTCTCCTCCTCCACATGATTTGTTGCTGCCGCAAGCACCTTGCGTCCTTTCTTTCCTTCTAGTACCACAACAGCCTTTCCAGACTCCAGCTCAGGCATCGGCAGAATGCCAAGGGCTGCATACTTTTTCATCCTGCGTTCCCGTTGCTGTTTGCGGATCTCGTCCTTGGCACGATCGACTCGTTTCCTCTTGCCAACATTCAGAATCGCATTACGGTCCCCAACGCCCTGATCTAAATCCACCTGGCAGATATAGGTTGCGCCCCAAACAAGTAGTGTATTCTTGCGGGCGGGATTGAAGGCAATGCCCTGAATCTTGTCTTTGAGGCCCAAGAACTTTGTTGGGAAGTTCTTATCTGAAGAGTATTCGCGCGACCAGTCTGTGAGCCGACGGGTTTCGACGTTGAAGAGATAGAAGACGTTGGTGGCTGTGGGGATAACCAGAGTGGGTGAATATGGGTGAAATTGAAGAGCCGTCAACGGGGCATCGAAGACAGGAAGTGTAGCATGGTGCTAGAGCAACGAACAATAAGGCGATTAATTAGTATATTGACCATGGAAAATAAGCACATAAAGATGTGTAGCGCAATTGACACGCGCTCAAAAATGCATACCTGGAGTGTATCCAAGTTGAAGACGAAGATCCGGTTCTTGAGGTCACCCGTTGCCAACCACTGTCCATCTGCAGAGACAGCCATATACACAATCGTCTCTGCCTGACCCTCACCTCCGACAATATCCTCCTGTCCGTCCACGTCCATCGATTCTGATTCCTTGCCGCCCGCTCCACGATGGTGACCAAACTTGCGTAGGGTGTCAAAATTACCGGATTCCCACTGAGCAATATCCACAATGACTACATGCGAGTCCGTGGAGGCGACCACAAGTCGAGTGCTGTCTGGTGTGAATGAAAGAAAGTGGGCTCCTGTTCCACGAACTCCTGGGAAGGACTTTTGCTTCTTGACAATCAACTGACCAGGACGAGCAGGCTAAAAAAGTGTTCAGATGTAATACGGCTCTCGTTGGTTAGTTAGGGCAAATAGCACCGAGCATGTGAAATCGGCCAATGGACGGTGAATCATGACTTACGTTCTCACTGACGCGGAACAGTTTAACCTCCTCAATATCTGCAACTGCAATCCAATGGCCATCCTCTGACAATGCACTGGCGGTCAAGTTGCGGTCCTCCTTGAAGGTCATCTCGAGAATGGCCTGCTGTGGCTCGATCAAATCCATATGTGCACCAATTTCGATCTCTGAGTAAGGCTGAACGGGCGATGCGGCTAGAATGTCGATAATTCGCGAGGTATCAGTACATGCTGATAACAAAGACAGTGTTCAGTTGTTTGTTCCTTGCTTGAACTTACACTTTCCAAGGCGCCAGACCTTGATGCCATGCGCTTGCCTGCAAAGCATGAGGCGGTTTGATTTGCTGATGGATACGATAGGTCTTTGGGGAACATAAGGTAGGCGACGTTGGTTGATATCAGGGAATTGGGCAGCAGGACAGACGACCATCGACACATCGACACCTCCAGAAACCAAGGCATCGACATTCCTGCTCTCATCCAATGCCAATGCACGGACATCGTGTGAGTGAAAGCGTCTTGATCCAGCCAGAACCCACTTTGAGACCATCTCTGTTTTGCCATGGATCGATCCAGTCTTTCCAACCTTTCCATTCTTTCCTGCCTTCTTAGGAGCAGGCTGATCCACGAAGCGGTACTGGTTGCATTTGCGGTCGACTCCTGATGAGAACACAGTGTTGCCGTCCTAAAAGAATAAGACCTGGTGTTAAACAACCGTTGCCCCTGGCGCTTCGAAAAGCTCCTGCTAAAAGAAAGAGTCAACACCGACTTACCCTTCCAACAGCCAAGCAAAGAACATCAGCCCCATGAGAATTGAAAGATTGCAGCATAGTTGTAGTAGCGCCATCCCAGAACTTGACGTGTCCTAGTGAGTCACCACTAACAACGTTGCCATTGCTCAAAATCTTGACAGACCACACCAAGGTATCCTCTCCAGAAATACGATCCACAGTCATGCGGGAAACAACACGACCGAACTCGACATTCCACTTGTATATATTACTGTTAGCTGATCCAGTAACCATGGTCGTATCATCCAGTGACCAAGCCAGCGACAAGATTCTCGCTGTAATTAATGAAAAAAAAAAAAAGAAATGTTAGCGGTCGATCTTCAGAACTTGATAGTTGACAAACAATTCCTGACCATAAAACTGAATAGCGCTTACTTTTTTGCTTATCGAAAGATCTGATGAACGCGAGCTCGCCGTCCGCAATGTCAAACAGCCTTACACACCCGTCCTCACATCCAACGGCCAGCACGGTATTGGCGTGATTTGTCGCCATGCACCAGACAGCTCCACCATGGGAGTCAACCGAACGCTGTTTTGAACCCAGTTATTGAACAGTAGAGCGATGTTAAAGCGAGTTTCAAATACTTGGCGTTTCAATGGGTCCAATCTGTCCGCAATGTAGAACGGCAGTTACCTTGGGCTTCAGCGTTGTGAGATCCCACTCGGTCACGACGGCATTCAGTCCAGCAGAAAACAGCCTAGGAGATGTCTTGACCAGTTTCTTTATGGCTGCTTGCTTTTCCTTTTCTGAATCCCAGAAATCATCGTCTTCAGTCAGAATGGTTTGATGGGCCCACGCAAGGGCTTCGACGGACGTGTTCTTTCCTCCGGGAATAACCTGAGTAGAATAAAAGATAAGCAAGGACGGTCATGGTAAGTATCCCTGCTATGGAGCTCCGTCTGAAGAGCGCATGGTGTAGGCAAAAGCGATGGATAATTGACATCGCTTTGAATGGACGGGAGGCTGAAAAGTACTTTACCTTCTCCAGGGTCCACTCGTTCTTCGGGTTCCAGACCTCAATATCTCCATTGGCCCTTCCGCAGGCCATAACGGGCCTTGTTGTGTTGGGTGCAAAAGCGAGTGCATTGATGGCGGATGGAACATAGTCCACGAATCGACATCTGTGGACCTCCATGGCAGGCTATGGTATGAAGCAAAGAAAAGGAGGAGGGGTACGAGTGGAGTTGGCCGACAGAGTCAAGGAGGCATGCGCATTGCTTGCCTAACGTTTTTCTTTTTTTTTCTGCCTCAAAACATAAACAATAGGCACGTGCTGCAAGTCACGGCTCCGTAATTGCTTGTAATCGAGGACGTGTGTGACATATATACTCAGCTTCGCGCACAGGACTGGGCGTTTCTCTTTCTTCACGCACAAACTCATTTGTGTCTTCCATACCGCTTCTTTCACACCGCTTCCTCCCAACCTTCCACCCCAAATACTCAAAGACGAAATGTCCTCAGCAGTGCCCCGCAATCCTTATCTGAACGATCCTCCGGCGCTCCCAAAGCGGCAACCAAATGCCGTTGGCATAGCCGAGGATGTCGAGCCATACAACCTTGCGCCCCAGCCGGCCGCAAACGTTGCAGAAGACGCTGCACCACCACCACTGCCAGAAAGACAACAGGCCCCCATCACCGTAGTATGTTAAAGCATGTCTTCTGGCAATATCCTTTGATATCCGAATGCCACATATGCTTGCGGATTAAATGTCTTCCGTTAAATTCTAATGCAGCCCACTTTGTTTTGTCATCTTTCTTTCGCATGATTAAAAAAGACTGAGCCTACAACAAGAGCGGCTGTGGGTAACGCAGGCGCCGATTTGTCGTCCTCCTCGCCCGCATTCGTCGAGGCCCCGAGGGGTAACTACCCCGATAGACTCCCGAATCCACGTCAACAGTCCACTGGTGCGCGCTCGATCTCTGGTGCGAGTGCAAAGTCCGAGAGCACCGTCCATACCATACATTCGGCCAAGAACAAGGAAGAGGTGTCCTTCCAATTCGATCGACACGTCCAAGAGATCCGGCGGAGAAGAACTGTGCCAAAGAGCGTACGTCCACCTGAGCGAGATGAGTTTACCAGGATCGAGGCTGAGTCTGGAAAGCGTGTTCTTGATGTGTCGCAATATATCCAAGCTGTAAGTTGATTTGGATTGATGTTTGGGTCATGACATTCCTTTCAACCCTAGGAATGGTTCTCCACATATTTTTTTTTTTTGTTTACTCACACACCTTTTTGTTTACTCTTCATGCTCCGTCAATTTTGTCCCACCATCGACACAGTACTGGACGTATTTTGTGGAGTCGTTGGCGCGCGAGGACAAGGTTCGAAAGATGGAGCCGCTGCAGCTGAAGAAAATGAAGGGACTGGTGAGTCGGCTCTACGACACAACGACGCCAGTGCAGTCCCTTGGATTCTACCTCCAGCGCGTCATGTACTGGACGAATCCGGCGGAGACCCTGGCATGGTTCACTGTAAGACACAGCAAGGTTTCAGCTAGCCCGCATATGATGTCATCGAGGAAGGGTCTTATTACTTAACAATGCTGTCATCTGCTTTATCTATTTATTTCTTAGGTCTACTTCGCGCTCTGGTCCTACAACCTATGGGTGTCTGGGTTGATTTCATTGGTGGTCATCAAGATGTTGAACAACCGATATGGGTTCTTGGGGAGCTACAAAGAGCAGCTCGATGTGCCAGGACCATTGACGGATAACATCAAAAACAAGGAGTCCATGCGAGGATCAAAGATGGATACGCAATTGAAAGAGCTTATCCATTCCAAGGATCTGACAGAGTGGGTCTCGCTGATGAACAAGTTCTGGGGGCCTTATTCTCAAGTAATGTTGGAGGAGACCGTTGGCTATCTGGAGCGGGCCAGAAAGTAAGCAGTCGAATTTAAACGGATGAATGTGTCAAACGGTTGAGATGTTTATGCTGACAATGCGTCTGATCTGACCTACACCTTCCATAGCCTGTTTCGATGGGAGCGACCGATGCAAAGTTGGCTTGTACTCATAATGATGTGCCAGGGCATCGTCTTTTTGCCGTTGGTCCAGTCCATGGCTATTCCTGGAATCGGTATGTAGCAACTGCGGGGGCGGTGTATGGTTTATGGTTTCACGATTGTTTATTAACGTTACATATCTTTGTTCCTTGGGTTTATGGCATAACAGGTTTTTTCCTTGGCGTGGAATTTTTCATCCTGCTGCCATTGCAACACTACTACCCACGGTTCAGTCATGTATTTTCGCCTTTGGAATTGCTCCTCTGGGATGTTCCCACCAACGCAGAGCTGGCAGTGGAGATGATGACGCGCCAGCAAGATGGTGAAAGACGAGTTGCAGAGGAGAACGAAGCCGGCATGCCGGGTGCAGTTGATACAGCCAATGGTTCTAGAGCGGAGGGAGACTCGGCCGCGCTCATGTCAGGAGGTACCCCTGCGTCCAATGTCAAGCAAGAGTATCAGAGCCGAATGGGGGCCCGATCTTCGTCCAGATCGTCTTCGATGACAGAGTCGTTGTACCCTGACACTATGCAGGAGAAGTCAGGTATCCCCCTCCTCTCTCCCTATTTTTTTTTTCCCACAAGGTCATTGTACGAATGCTTGTACAGATACTAACACGCCTGGTTTACTCGTGATGTGACGCGTAGAATTCCATTGTCTGTTTCATGGCAAGCCCGGTAGACTCGTTATTACAGAAGATGCATTGATGTTCCGATCTGCCAAGTTGCTCGGGCGCGACATTCAGGCGCAGATCAAGTGGGAGGACATTGATACCATCAAGAAGGTAAACACGCGTTTCAATCCGCTGCAAAAAAGTGTTGATGGTTTGTTAGCAAGATCAGATTCAGTACTGACGAAACTATATGTGAACGATGTGTGTTGGTTATGATAGTCCAAGTCGATGAACCTGGGTATCTGGTCGATGCCTGGAATCGATGTGAAAGACATCAACGGGCGCTTGCTTGCGTTCCACAACGTGGTGCATCGCGACCAGGCATTCCGCAACCTGGTGGTGACATCGGGCAAGAAGTGGAGCCATGTCGCGTAGGCGAATCTTCCTACGGATCTACGGGAAAACGTCCAGCGGACCTGCAATGTATAAATTATAAATTAGTTTTATCTTCCAATTCAATCTTATCTACTTGGTTTTACACATAAATAAAGTTTGGTAGTGAACACATTTACATTTACATTTACATTTACATTTACATTTACATCAAGAAAAGGGTAAAAAAAAAAAAAGAAGTCATGGTTGCCTGCATTACTGACAGATGGTAGTAGTGCGGACGAAGTGGCACGATAGCATAGGAGCAAGGGTAAGAAGGGGAAAGAGAGCGGGCAGAGGATCCCTTTTCTCCTCTTGCTCGAGAGGGTTTAGTTTCGAGACATGTGTGTATAGGGATGAGGATACAGGTGTGGGTAATTTTTTTGTGTATCTGCCGGAGTTATTCTTATGAAGCATCCGCAGGTCGTGGGCGCCGTGCATCGACCCCCTTGATACTTTGGTATATGTGCGAGAAAGGGTTGGGGCATGTGCCCAAACAGCCCCGCAAGTCAATGAAGGAACCCCACATACAAAAAGGTCATCCACCCTGGGCCCTTTGCGTGTCATGTCGTGTTTTGGTCGGTCGATTGGATTGGCCCATTGATCGGTCTACGTGCGAGTTATATGTGCGTATATGTGTGTATATATGTGTGAGTGTGCGCACTTTCCCTCTTTCTTTCTTTTTCCGTTCCTATAGCCCATCTCTCTCCACACTCTCCTCCTCTTTTACTTCTCCACCACACCCATCCTCCGCCAGAATACAAATAATGCACGCCCCCGCAGTCACCACTCCGCAGGCGCGTCTTGAGGAATACAAGACCCTGCTCGAAAACGACGTCCGCGTCAAGGTCGCAGGCGTGGATCTCGACGGCATCCTCCGTGGCAAGGTCATGGCCAAATCCAAGTTCCTGTCTGTCCTCGACTCTGGATTCGGCTTCTGCTCCGTCATCTTCGGATGGGACATGCACGACAAAACTTATGAACAGGAACTCAGCGTCTCCAATGCCGCCAATGGTACCTTTTATTATATTTGCAGATGTCAATGTTGTATACCTCTTACAAAAGATTTTGTGTAGAGCATTCGTGGCAACATCTGACGCTTTCCTGCTTCTGTTTCTTTCTTTCTTTCTTTTGCGCTTCTTCTTGTATAGGATACAAGGATATCATTGCAATCCCAGACCTGTCCACTTTCAGACGCATACCATGGGAGAACGACATTCCATTCTTTCTCTTGTCATTCTATGACCCCAACACGAAGGAGCCTTTGGCAGTTTGTCCTCGTAGCCTTCTCAAGCGGGTCACGGACGAGCTTGCGACACTGGGTTGGGAGGCGATGTGTGGAGCCGAGTTTGAGTTCTACAATTTTAAAGGTAAGAAGAGTGAAGCTGCCGTGGACATTGAGGGGAATGTACAGTCGATTAAGGAAAACAAAAAAAATATTCATGCAAGTATCAGGGAGCAAGAAATGGACGCAGACGTGCGTGTGTATACTGAAGAGCGTAAAAGGATGAAGGATAAAAACAGACATGATCCGATAACCGATTGTTATGCCCCTACTCTAGAAACACCCGAGACACTGGCTGACAAGGGACACACCAATCCTCAGGCACTCACCCCGGGCATGTTTGGATACTCGCTCCTTCGACCGGCCTTGAACCAGGATTACTTCTACGACGTCTTTGATCAGTGCACCAACTTTGGTATCAACATCGAGAGCTTTCATACAGAGACAGGTACCGTTTGCGTGCATGAAAAAAGAAAAAGAAAAAAAGAATGTATTAATGCCTCTCCCGGACACAAAGGATTAAGACGCCTAAACTTCAAAAACCTAGGTCCTGGAGTGTACGAGGCAGCCTTGGCATACGATACTGCAGTCAATATGGCAGACATGGCCAACCTATTTAAGCTGTCAGTCAAGCAGCTCGGTCTGAAGAAGGGGATCATGCCCACGTTCATGGCCAAGCCCTACGGCGATCTGCCAGGATGCTCAGGACATTTGCACTTTTCAATCCGGGATATTGTCACAAAAACCAACCTCTTTGCAGCGTCATCTTCTAACGGCGTCTCATATGGTCATCAGCTCCACAGCCCAACCTCGGAAGGAGAGGAAGCAAGCAATACAGCAGCCGGACGACCCGATTGGGAGACCACAGTTGAGGGCGTTGGTGAGATGAGTCAGCTTATGAAGCACTTTATGGCAGGCCTCCTTACAGCCTTGCCGAGTATCATGTGCATCCTGGCACCCAACATCAATTCATACAAGCGCCTGGTTGAGAACTATTGGGCTCCAGTGACCGTCTCCTGGGGCATCGAGTCGCGCGTCTCTGCCATCCGTGTGATCGGACCACCACAGTGCGATTCCAAGGGAACTCGTCTGGAGATGCGAGTTGGTGGTGCTGATATCAACCCACATCTGGCGATCGCAGCCTGTCTCTCCGCAGGATTGTACGGTATCAAAAAGAAGCTGGCGATGCCTGTTGGACCCACAACTGCGGATGTTGAAGCGAATATGGCGTCAGGAAAGGTTGAGGCCAAGCCGGCGGAGAGATTGCCAAAGTCATTGAAGGAATCGGCGCTGAAGATGCTGGAGAAGGGTTCAATTGCGCGAGAGATCTTGGGCGATACGTTTGTGGAGCACTATGGAGCCACGCGCTTGAACGAGCACCGGTTGTGGGAGACTGCGGTGACGTCCTGGGAGACGAAGCGATACTTTGAACTCGTGTAGGTTCACATCGTCGTAGTCGGCTCCGGATCGGAGCGCTGTGGCGACCTTTCTACAACATTGGCCCATTGTCGATATATCTCCTGGTTAATGAACAAATACCAAAGCGAAAATCATTGACGTCATTGCTTCAGTTTTTATGTAAATAGAAAAATAAATAAACCAAGCTTTATTGTAGCTGTGCTACTGTAGGTGGAGCCAGCCCTAGCTGTAGTCGTCATTCATGGCCTTGTTTCTCCAAGGGTTCGACAAACAGTTGAGGGCTGTCCTGATATATAGTATCGCGTCGATGTGAGTTAGTTGAAGGAGAGCAGGACCGTGCAGACGAATTGTAGCCTCGTGTGAAGTCTTTGCTTGAGGAGAATTGCCTATACGGACTCCTCACTCGACATGCCATTGAGTGCTTGTCGGCTTGTGTTGTCGCTCACTACAAATAAAAGAAAGAAACAGTCTACCTTATAGTCCAATTGTTTTATCTTCAGTGATTGAGTTAGGAGGGCTACCACGGCTCCTACATATCTCATTCGCACCGACGCCCCCTCCTTACATTCGCCTGTTTGCTAACCACGAATCTTGCGAAGGGTCTAATCCCAAACACTTCCACTGATATGTGGTGAACTCCAGTTTGGCGATCAAGTCCTCACTATCGAGAGCGACTCTTTTTTCGTCAAAGCTATAGCACCATTTGCTGTGTCAATGATGTTGTTTCGAATTCAGTGGTGAAAAGTGAATGGATATCATGAGCAAAGCAGTGTTTCATTATTTGTGCTGGGATGAAATATGTTATTACAGCAAAGTTGCTGGGTGGACTATGTGGTGAACATAAATATATATACAAGTAGAGATGAAAGCCTGAGCGTGAGTAGAGTAGAATAGAGATGTCTATACAAGTGTGTCCTGAATGGTGGCTGTCCAAAAGCGCCGAGGACAAGTGTTAGCTATTGAAATCAGGGATCATTTCTCCAGATCCATCTGCACCTTTTTTTTTGGAGCCTTTGGGTTTATCCTCCACCGAGAGGATATCGACGTCGTCGTCCTTTGATTTCAAGATAAAGTCGATCTTCCTGTCTGACACGTCGACACCAGAGCCTCGGGCGGTCTTCAAGGTCATTGAAATCGCGGGTACATATTTGTTTGGAGCCGGCCTTCGTTGTTGGTGCCGTTCAGAGTCCCGCTTCGGCAAAAGATTTGAGAGGCAGTTAATGCTGTTGGACTATTTTGTGGCTGGTTCGCTGTAAGGGTTGTCGGGGTGTCACTCTCAGTTGTAGTTTAGTGAATTCTTACAACACGCACTGTTACTTTACTAGTCGGTCTCTATAGCCTGTGGGTCTTTGAAAAGAAGAAGAAGAGAAGGAACCACTGATATATCAACCTTCATCCCATTCGCAACCGAGGTACGTGGTCGTTTTCAAGCATTTGTTCCCAGGACCGCGGCAGTAAAGTCCGTATGGGCGCCGCCATGCTCTGTTCCGTTGAATATCTTTTTTTTTTTCTTTGTTGCTCTGAAGCGATGTGTTGCTACGAAGACAGGTTCGTACTCCTTACTCGATTCCTTTCTTTTCATAGTCAAATGCACAACGCAATAGCGAAATGAAGTAGGTACGTGATTATTCAAGTACCCCTTTTTTTCAGCCGTTATTTTTCTAGTCACTCGCATCTATGTTTTGTTAATATAAAGACAGATCGTATTTTTTTTTTTTTTTTTTTCAAACGCGAGGGTCAACGTTCCATATTTTCTCCGCTGAGGTGGATCTCAATAAACGAATAATGAATACCATTTTATAGAAAGACCAATGTACTCAATTTGGCTGCATTTGGGGGCGATGCAGGTATTGTGTTAGTTATTGAATGCGTTAAAGTGCTTAGGGACGTCCAGGGTTAGCGTTTATACTACAGATTGACATGCCACTTTTTTATTTTTTGTTCTATTAGACAACGTATGGTACTCCTCTACGCAATTTAATGAGGATGGTGGAGGACTGATCAGGATCCTGATGCTTTTTAGCGATAGCGGACTTGAGATCCTTTCTCTGCACGCTTCTCCATCTTCTCGCGTCTCTTGGACTTTGTTCCGTCCGCACTTCCAGAGGCACCAGCGCCGCCAGCAGCAGCACCATCACCAGCAGCAGCAGCAGCGCCGATACCTCCACGAGCCAACATGGGCTTAACAGCCAGGTGCCATGCCTTCCATCCGGCATATGCGGGGATCTAGACGAGAGATCAAGCAGAGATGTCAATGAGAATGTTTGGTAGAACAGCAGAGGCGAGAAAATAGGGATCGGACGAAATTGCTTACAGCGAGGTAGAACCACCACATCTTGGACCAGAAAGCTGAAGTGACATGGACAAACCAGGTCACGTAGATGATGTCGAATGCATATCTAGTAATGTATTGAGGATCCGTGTTAATCGGGTGTACTTTCGATAAACTGGTTCAAAAAGACAATTGCGCGTGCATGCATGCGCCCAGGTGCTATTATGCTATTGTGCTGTGTAAGTCCTGACAAGATCGAGTATATCGGGGTTGGTCATTTTCAATGACAAATTAATAATTTTTGGTGGGTGTGGTGTGGTGGGTCCTGCGAATTGAGAGCATAATACAATCGTAATGTAAATTGATTGGATCGATCCGCTTGTAGAAGCATGCTACTTACTGGATAAGGCCCTCCTGCGACAGATCCTCGCCAGCATCAGCGAGCTCGCCCTTGGAGTTGTAACGGGGCCTGCCCATGGCATTGATCTGCATGTAGAAGAAAACGGTCAATCCTGCAGTGAAGAGGTATCCCAATGCCAGTGTGAATCCAAACGTGCTCCAGCGGTAGATGATCCTGTAAAAGATGTAGAAAGCCTAATTGGAGAATAATAAAAGAGGAGTGGTGCGTATGACGTTAGGTTTGTCTGCTCTGCACACTGGTGCTCTCCTTGGAAGCGATGCTGAAGTGATGACAGGGAATACTTGCATTGACCCAGATGAATCCTTTTCGAAGGGCGAGCAAGGTCTTCGTGTTTTCGTGAGCAATCTTTTTCTGTGAAGAGTTGGCCTAGTCCAGTAAAGCGAAGAGTTGTGGATCCGTATCAGTTCCTTGTAGTTTGTTTCCGGATACGAGTAAGTCCAGCCTAGTTGTCCTCGAGTCGTTACCATGGTAAGTGTGGATGTAAAGAGAGGATGAGTGGAAGACCAGAGGGCGACTTGGTGGGTTGGGCGAAAGAAGAAGAAAGGGAACAATGGTATGCAGTGCATGCGATCTGTTACCTGGCACATACGTCATATTTTTTCATTATTTGAGGTAGATCCAGATCCCAATCTCGCCTGTCGTCTTCCTCCTTCACCTTGACCTCTTCCGCCTCTACTTCTATTCTCCCTTTCATTAACTTGTTCTAGTTCACCTTCGTATCATCCTTTATTATCTTTTTTTTTTTTTTTTTTACTGCCGTTCACCGTCTTTTGTCCTCGTCCTTGTTCTCACATGGATTCGCCTCATCCCAGCGACACCCCTGCGCAAGAGTCCAACCAATCTTCCAGGATCAACTCTGCAGAGACCACCCCCTCTGTCAGTACGCCACAGCTACAGGGAGCTACTAATGGAGCGGATGCCTCATCCTCTTCGTCTTCTGATCCAAGCAAAAAGCCAGAGCTGACGGGTACTCTGGAGCAGCAGATCGCTGAAGACCCCTATGATGCCGATGCCTGGCTCACGTTACTGAATGAAGCTGAGAGGGAAGGCGAGATCACCAGGGTCAGGGATGTGTATGAACGGTTTCTCAAGGTCTATCCGACGTCGGTAAGTCGCCTTTGTCATGTGTGGTGTTATTTTATCGGAAATACACTGCTGTCACCTCCTGTTCTTTGGCAAACGAGCCCATCATGGTTTATTCGCTCTTCGTTCGTTGTCGACTTCATGTGGAAAGCAAGAAGACTTGGAGGCAGGCAATTTACGCAACGCAATAAAAAAAAAAAAGAACGAAAGAAAAGAAATCATAATTGCCTGACGCGTGCATGTCGTGCCTCAGCTGTAGCAGACCTTTCAATTGGGAAAAATGTCTTTCAGTCTGCCAGTGCTTTATGCTGAAACAAAAACTAAATTTGAATATGAATGTTGTAGTAACCCAGTCAATGTTTATTCTCTTTTTGCCTTTGTGTCATTTTCGTTCCCTGTACCCGTCGTGAATTGCGATTCATCGATATCCAACTGTGGAACATTGCTCCCATTATCAATGTCGCGGGTTTTTTCTTCTTTTGCCCCACACTCCACTCACTTTTTCGCAACATATGTCCCTTACTGGCTTCCCCTCCCCGAAATCAATAAATGTTCGAAAAACTACTCGACATGATTGCACCGCTGTGCATGGACGGGATATTATGTCTGCGCCTTCCCTACCACGATTTCCTGTACCCATTGAATTTCGTCCGTACCGTTTTTCCGCCATCAATTCCAAATTACGCGCATTGGAAACCTATTTCAGTCTAGGTATTGGATTCAGTATGCCGAGTTTGAGCTCAAGCACCATCATTTTACCGAGGTCGAGGCTATCTTTCAGCGCTGTCTCAGGTCTGTACTCTCAGTAGACCTCTGGAAGTACTACCTGAATTACATCCGCCGTATCAATGCTGGCCCTGAATCCAAGGATATCATCACAAAGGCTTACGATTTTGTGCTGCAGCATGTTGGACTCGACCGGGATTCTGGACCCATCTGGAGTGATTATCTGTTCTTTCTAAAGTCTGGACAGGTACGTTTAATGACAATTTTAATGTCTGATATAAAGACACCGATTTTTTTTTTTTTTTTTTTTTTTGCAGGGAAACTAAATACTGACATTTGCATGCAATCATGTGTCTAGGCACAAAATACATGGGAGGAGCAGCAAAAGATGGACGCCATGCGTCGTGTTTTTCAAAAGGCCGTCTGCATTCCGCTCAACAATGTCGAAAACATTTGGAGAGACTATGATGCATTTGAGAACGGACTTAACAAGTTGACAGCAAAAAAGTTCTTGCAGGAACGGTCGGCAGGGTATATGACAGCGCGTATGATGTGGAAAGAGCTCAGGAAGCTCACAGACGGAATCAACAAAAACCTGCTGCCCCGCCCTGTCAAGTGGACAGAACGTGAACTGCATCAATTGGAGCAGTGGAAGCGATACATTCGATGGGAGAGATCCAACCCGCTTAACCTTGAAGATCCTACAGCGCTCTCAGCTCGTGTGGCATGGACATACAAGCAGGCGCTGTTGTCGATGAGGTTTTATCCAGAGATCTGGTTCGAGGCAGCGACGTATTTCCATGAGATAGGACGCACGGACGAGGCAGTGGCGCTTTTGAAGAGCGCCTGCGAGATTATGCCGACCAGCTTCTTGCTCCACTTTGCACATGCGGAGATGGAAGAGAACCGTAAGAACTTCAAAGCGAGCCGGGCTGTTTTCGAGACATTGGTCAAGAATCTCACGGACAGGATCGATGACATGAACAAGCGAGTAGACGAGGAGGTCAATGCTGCCAAGGCGGCGTTGCAAGCAGAACAACAGCTTCTGGACGGCGGATCCACTTCCAACAAAAAGGTCCGTGATATTGAGGAGGTCGATGGAGAGATGCGTGAGCGGGAACGCGATGAGCTCAAGAAGCGGACCAAGGAACTGGCACAGTACGAGAAGCTAGCCAGGAAGGAAGTTGAGGAGATGATCAAGGGCTGCGGGTTGGCATGGATCATGTTCATGCAATTTGTCCGCCGAACCGAGGGAACCTCACAGTGGCGACAGATTTTTGGCCGTGCACGTCGTTCGAACGGATGTCCCTACCAGGTGTACATTGCAGCTGCATTGATGGAGTACCACTGCACTAAGGATTCGTCGATTGCGGGCAAAGTCTTTGAGCTTGGATACAAATCTTTCGGCGATGAAGCTGCCTATGTGGACCAATATCTCGAGTTTTTAATTCAGCTCAACGATGATAGCAACGCAAGAGCACTCTTCGAACGTGCACTCATCAACATTTCACCCGAGAAGGCTCGTCCACTCTGGGAGAAGTTTTCGGAGTACGAGAACAAGTATGGCGATCAGGGTGCCATCACAAAGGTCGAAAAGAGGCGACGGGAAGTCTACCCGGATGATTCTGTGCTCGAGAGGTTTGCGGCTAGATACAGCTACAATGACCTTAAGGTCATCGAGGAGATGGATATGGGTCTTAGCAGTAAGTTTCCTCTTCAATATCGAATATCCACACGCCAAAAAAAAGATATAATGAAGTCTGGGAATGATGATGATTTGATGCTGATAATTACTACTTCTGTATGTGTCTATTAGTCCGCAAGAATATTCACGTACCAGCGTTGACGGACTTCTCGAGTGACTTCCCTCCTCCTCCGCCTGTAAACTTGGACGATGCGGCTCGTCCTGGGCGTCGACCTTTGATGGAGCCCGTTTATCCTGACCTGTACCCACGACCCGATTTTGCAATGTGGAACAGCTACAGGGTCTATCCAGAGATGATTCGCAAACCTGCGCCTTCAGGATCTTCCCGTGGAGGCGATAACATTAGCTCTCGGCCAAGCGACATGGATACGGTGCCGCATTCGCAATCTCATGGAGGAGACAGAGATCGAGATCGAGATCGCGAAGGACACGATGTTGAGATGAGAGATGCTCCAGGACCAGGACCTGGACCTGGGTTCGCTCCCAAACCCCCTTTGCCGCCACACATGCCTCAGGTCATGGTACCGCCATCGAATCAGCAAGGCACTCCAGCACAACAACCAACACAGCAACCACAGCAGCAGCCACCAGGGCCATTGACTGTTCCTGGATGGACCGCAGGCCCTCATGGATTGATCCCAGACGCGTTGGCCTTTTTCCTTTCGAACTTGCCTCCGTCATTAGGTTTCAATGGCCCAGTCTTGGCACCACAAGACATTTTGGATCTTGTTAGAGCTGCGCAGATTCCAGCAGGACATGCGATGATCATCCCTCCGCCTGTTCCTGGCCCTCCAGTACCTACGCAATCAACAGTTGGATCCGGCCACGGTCCACACGGTGGACATCTAGACAGTAGTCATCGTGATGGTGGTGTTCGAGGACCACCAGGTCGTGATATGGGTAACAGTGGCTATCGCGGTGATAGAGATCGTGAATTTTATAACAGGGACCGTGATCGTGATGGAAGAGAGGGGCGTGGCGATCGTGGTGGTCGTGGAGACCGAGGTGGGTTTAGGCCTCGGGGAGCGGTTGGCGGTGGTGGGCGTGGCGGTGGGATGAAGAGAAAAGGACGAGATTATGAGGATGATGCAGGCGGCGGTGGTGGAGGAGGAGGGGACTTCAGAGGCCATAATATGCCTGGAGTCAATCGTCCGCCGGAGTACGACCTGTTTAGGTCGCGCCAGCAGCGCAAGGCCAATATGGAGTAGTTGTGTACTATTTTAATGTTCTTTAGAAAATAAATCAAGTCAAGAAAATAAAATAATTGTATTTTCGTAAGTCACATGAGGAGCAGAGAAAAAAGAAAGAAGGAATAGACTTGTATTTGTGCCTGCATTGGATATAGGCACGAAAGGATAATTATTGTGAATCATTCAAATGCGATGAAAAGACGCAACGGACAACAAATGTGGGGATGTGAGACCATCAAAGTAGGATTTTTGGATTTTCAGGGGAAAAGATCAAAAGTTGCCTCGACAGATAGAAGTCCGTGGTAATCTGCTCAGCTTTTTCTAAACCGGGAAGTCGCCATCGAGTGACAAATACAGGAATGAGCTGGCGGAGGCAGTGCACTCATCCGTATTCCTATCTTTATATATCCTTTATATCTTTTATATTTTTTTATATTTTTATATTTTTTTAACGTGGCAGACATACCATGGATCGCTATGTTGTTGCTGATATCTAGACCAAGGCATAGACTAGTTGAATATCATTCTTATGTCTCATCTCACATCACGACTTTTTCTCACAGTACTCGCGTGAATTACGGCGGATAAGATCGAGAGATCAACATATCTTGCGGGATAGAGTTGAAAAGCGATCGGTTTGCTGGGGATTCACACTGGGTAGTAGTCACCAAAAAAGTCGATAAGATGTTTTATCGCTGAAAAAAAAAGGAGAGGGGGTAGGGAGAGCAACTGTAACGAGTGCCGTGTGTCGTTTTAGAAAACCCGCTGAAAAAGCCAAGTGGGTAGGCAACATGAATGATTGAGAGACTGGCGCCTTGGAAGGAAAAAGAACGTTTGCTCGTTTTGGGAGCCCTCAGCCCGCTCTGGTCCCCTTTTTCGTTTGCAGGTGCTCTCAAACTTGATTTTTATGAGCACGCCCTATGAAGTTTGGTTGTGGGGATGTTTCCGCAGCGTTTAAGACTGGATCGAAAAGAGAGGAACAGGCAAATTGTGCCCAATCAAATAAGGACCGACCAATTGAGTTTCCGTATAACGTCCTGGCATCCAGGCTGTGTGTGCGTGTTCGATATGACCGTGAAGAAGGAATCGCTGCTGCTATCCCTCGTCGATGAAACAAAGTGCAATTGAGACCAATTGGGGCCAGTTAGGCCAGCTGAATTCGTTAGCAAGAGTCGACAGACGACATCCAAAGCTTTTTTGTCGGCCCATCATGATATGGAGCCGAGAGAGAAGGGGGAGTCGGCCAAGAGGAGGGAGAGGTCAGCCACCACATTACAGGAAGAAGAAAATTTTTCCCCTATAAAAATGAGACGCTCTTCCCCCGTATCCTCATTTTCCTCTTTCTTCCCTTCTTCCCTTTTTCTCTTTCTCTCCCTTATCCTTCTTCCTCGCTTCTCCTCTCCCCCGCCTTACTATCCTCGTTACGATACCTCCGTAGTGGATTGGGTTGATATCTTATATCGTGTGCGCCACTAATTTCACAACATCCTCAACCAATCCTCAACCAATCCTCAACCAATCCTCAATCCCTACGGCTGCTACCTTATCCGCACACATATTCTCTCGTCCACTCCTCCCTCATTCATTCATTCATCTTATCATATCACCATCACATCATAATCACATCGACCTGACCTGAGCAGACGTTGGTGCGTGTGCGTGTGTGTGTGTCGTTCGACAGATTCTCTGGTTGTTGTTGACCGAGAATCCTATCTTTTGACCACTTGTCCCCTCCCCCCCGCTGCTTACCTGCTCGCTCGCCTGCCTACCCTACGCCCTGCAACACATTTTTTTTGCACACCGTTTTATTTTATCTTTCTTTTTGCACCACCAATCACATCCTCAAAGGGCCAACATCAACCTGCCCAAAAAAAAAAAAAGATTAAAAAATTAAGAACGCACAAAAAAAAAAGTAGGTATCAATCACCTTCCCTCCGCAGCACTTTAGCATCCCTGCCGCCGCCACCACCTTTCTTTTGGGTAGACTCTTAACCAATCAGCTCTCTTCATCTATTACCCTATCTCCTTATTCTATCACAGCCAATTGCAACGTTATGGAGCCCTCTACCCCTCTCTTCTCGGACTTGACCCTGGAGATATTCGACGACTTCAGTCACAATCCCTTCGTCGTCCGCACTGCGAAGGCAGGCCCCAACAGCACAAGTACCGACAGCAGCGCCGGTTATCTCGACAATTGCAAAAGCAGCAACACCGCCACCACCACCACCACCACCTCAGCCCATGCCGACCCTTATAACAACAACAACAGCAACAACAACAACAACAACACCACCACCGCCAGGAGCTATTGGGATGTTATCATCTCCGATGACCAGCTCGCCGCCACTGCCGCCGCCGCCGGCCTGGACCTTACTCCGGAACTCTCACCGTCTATGAGTATTTGCTCCCCTGCCTTCAACGAGGTCAATTCTCCCTATGGCTTCGATAGCGTCGGATTTGATGATTTCATCCCCAGTCCATCGGTCTTTGACTCTCCCTATGAACAATCTATTGGAGGCGAACATGTCGCTGAGAGGAGCTTCGACTTTGACTTTGACTTCCGCATGGATATGTCTCAAATGACGGACTTCCAGCTCTTCCCCGACTGCACCACGGAGTCAACCTCGCTCAAGAAGCTACTCATGATGCCAGCCCCCGCCGAGACAGAGCTGATGACTACCACGGAGTCTCCGGCTGAATCTAGGCTCAACTGCGTTCCGACATCGGTCTGCGAATCTATCAGTCCCGCTGCCCTGGAGTACTTCCCCGACTCTTTTTCGACAGCAAAGATTCTCGGCCAGGATGTCATTGCGCCCATGGAGAACGTTGCGCCCAGGAAACCAGTCCAGTCTCCCACCAAGCCCGGATTCCAGCCCAACAAGAAACGCCGTAGACGCCGTATCACTACTGAGGATGCCTGCCGTGTCGTTCCAGAGGACGACCCCAATGGCAAGGCCCGCTACCAATGCTCAGAGTGCCTGAAGACATTCTCTCGGCCCTTCAACCTGCGTTCGCATCGCACAATCCATTTAGGACTGAAGCCTCATGCCTGTACCCATGTCGACAAAAAGGGCGTCGTTTGCCATTGGTCGTTTGCCCGGCGCCACGATCTGGAGCGCCATATGCGCAGCCGCCATTTGACCAAGGAGACGATTACGTGCAAGACCTGCGGAGTGACATGTACCCGAAGCGATGCCATGCTGAGACACCTAGCCAAGAACGAGGCCTGCGAGATTGCCGCATCCGAGTTGGATGATCAGGATATGGATCAAGTGAGCCACCTTTGAATTTGAATGTTGTTGCATGCGTTTTGGATTCCCCCCATGTTGCTTTGTTCATGTTGAGAGAGAAAAGAGGATGTGTTGCTTGTGTGCATGACATATAGAAGAGGAGATATGTGTGCTTCGCTGTTATTTTTTTTCCCCTCTTGTTGCTCCAAGAGAGAGTGTGGCCCTCACCAGTTGCTGGATAACTCTACTGGACCACAACCTCTGGCGCAAATCACGAAAAAAATATGAGCATCATCAACATCACTTGTCACTCGAAACATCAACAACGATAGGGACATGCAAGGCACCATTGCGCTTATACAAACGACATGACATACGGAGGCGCTTTTTTTCCCCAAGGATGGCATGTTGACGAGGAAAGAAAGATTCAACGATGCGAGAAACGCTGCAGGAAGGAAGTTAAGCAACTAGGAGACTGTCTGTGATAACCACCAATCTTTTTTCATTTTTAAGTCTCGGCAACTCCCTGACCACCATTGCACTCATTCTTGGGCTTGCATGATGGGGCGAGATGGATTGCTGGAGGAGTCTTCAAACAATTTTGTTCAGTTTTTTTGTTATCCCTCTTTGAGGTTTTTTTATATATTATCCTCCCTCTTTTCATCAATGCTGTATATAGTATCTTGGTCGCTGAACAATGTTGTTATGTGTTCTCTTAGTGCCTAGCGTGCCGTGCGGCTGAAGTAGCAAAGCAATCGCAAACAGCGTGAACGGAACACAAACAACGACTCAGCAGCCTACACCTATACTTTTTTTTTATATATGTTCCTTTTCACTTCGTCTTTTTTTATCGTTTTTTTCCACTTTGTTTTTATTTATTTCGATCTGTCCGACTCAAGGTCCTTCCTCAGCTTGCAAGAACCAGAATGACGATCTCAGGACGCCTTCGAGTCCGGCAATCATCCTTTTCATATTTATTTATTAGTAGCCTGGTGCAGTGCACACTCTCTATTCATCTTTCATCTGCACGTAGTTATACCCAAAAGGAGAAAAAAAACAATAAAAAACACTCGATTTTAAAAGGAACAGATCTGGCTGGTTGACATGGCTGAATGTAAAATTAGTGGCGATATATCGCGTCCATGAATATGTCTTTTTTTTTTTTTTTGCGTGTTGTCTGACGATATGTTTGTTTCTCTGCGTCCCGGCGGATCTTCAGCATCGTCTCAACCAACAACAGAAACATCAGTCAGGTCGCACACCATATCAATCCTCTCGACCCCACATCCACTTCCATACACACCCTCATCATCATGCCCTCAAGTACCAAACCCTCTCTTACCTCCACCGCATCGTTCAGGTACTGAACCGCTCAAAAAATAAAAGAATAGAAAATAAAAAAAACTTTCAGCCGCACCTGCACCAGCAAGACGGACTCGACTAAACCAAACCCCGCGAGTACTGACTGTGGGATGTATATTTCTGGCGGTCGAAATCGACTGTGAATCGAGACGAATTCGTGTGCAGGGTATGAAAATCTGGTGCGTGAGGTCGTTGAGGGGTGTGTGTGTGTGTGTGTGAAATTCAGGGGTGGGTCTGCAGGGAGGGAGATTCAGTGGAGGGCGGACGACTGACGAAAGCGGAGGCGAATGCGATGGACGTGGATGTGGATGTGGACGTGGATGTTAGATGTGGACATAGAGAAGTAGAGGAGGAAGAAGGTGCCACGGACTACAAGGTGGAGAAGAAGGCAGATAGGAACGACACTGCAATGGACATGGAGATAGATACGGACGCGATTGAAAGCGTGAAGAAGAAAGAGAGCTCAACAAAGGGCGCCAAGGACAGTGGCGATGGTGATGGTGAATGCGGTGGAGGGGGGACGATAGGGGAAGGCGCTTCGAGAGAAGCCTGGCACAAGAGGCACAAAGCCTGGTGCGCGGGTTTTCGAACTGTTGGTGGCAACGGTTGTGTGTCCGCATGCAGGAAGTGAGTTTACGCGTATCCGATAACATAAGCAATCGATATATTCGGAAAAAAAGGATCTACAGATCTAGAGGGATATCCACATCAAGAAATGAGGCAACCGTAGATACCGCAGGTGGTAGGACCGAGGTCGCATATATAATCAGACCTATCTGGTCCTCTTCATCTTCATCCATCCTCTACTTATCCATTCCATTCCACAGTAATAATAAAAAAAAGTATACCGCGCAAGGCAACATCGAATCTACGCATTTTAAGCATCCCCAGTCATGTCCGACATCGCAAAGACCACGCTGCTGCATCAGATCAGTACACTCGAGAAAGAGCGCAAGGTCCTCCGGGACACCTTTGGTTTGCTGGATCCAGACGGAGGAGTGGAAGCAGCGGTTGTCAAGATTGACAGGTCTGGTTTCCCCCTGATCATGGACCTCTGGAAACAGGCTGGCAAATCCGAGCGCAAGTACCCCAAGATGTTGCTGGCTGAAGACCAAGTCCGCGAAGACCAAATCAAGGCTCTCAAAGAAGCCCTTCAGATCCTCAATCCCACAACCGATCAGCAGATCCACCTTAGCCGAATCGCTAAAGACGAGAAGGTAGAACTTGCAAAGATCGCCAAGGACGAAAGGCTCCTGTTGACAGAATTGGCAAAGTGGGAGAAGGTTCGGCTGATCGAAATTGCAAGGGATAGAGAAATTCGACTGGCAGAGTTCACAAAGCAAGAGAAAGTGCGATTTGAAGAATTGAGGGTTCGGGAGGTGGAACTGAAGGAGGACACGAAGAAGGAGGTGATGATGAATGGCGCAGAGCTGAAGTTCGCAGCTAAGAAGGTCGAGGCTAGCATGAGGAGAGAGGCCCAAATGGTCAACGCGACCGAGCGCAGGGCGATGGCGGTGTTGAACCACGTGCAACAAATGGTCGCAGAGACAGCAACAGCAGCGAGGACTCGAGAGGGAGCCACGGTTGTGGAGAAACAAGCATACACCCTTGCGAGCATGCCTCTGGACAAGAGGATTCAAGGCGATATAGACAACACGGTCGCTTTGGTGGAGCACATGATGACTGCACTGGATTCAGAGTCTTCATCGCCAGGAAATGGATTGCCTGAGGATGCGCCGGAGCAAGATGATGAGCCCGAGGGATCTGAGGCCAGGAAATTGCGTTTCGGGAATCTCTTGGAGGCGGCGAAACAGTTTAAAGGCGTCGAAGATCCTGCATTCCAGGAGTGGGTTAAGCAGCAAGATCTAGACCCCGATACATTTTAGTCAAGAAACAGACAATCTGTCCGGAAATGAGAGTATTTGACTGCAAAATAATAAAACAAGGTCAGCTTTAGTGGCACGTAAAAAGGAGCGACCTTGACGAGAAGATCCTTCGAGACACAACCTTGAAGGCGGCTGTGTTCTTCTTCAAGTCACTCAAACCACTGCCCCCGAGCGAAAAAAAAAAAAAAAAATCGCATATAAACTGGATCTTTATTTTAGGTCGGAACTTTTCAATCTCTACCCACCCCCATAGTTCACAACAATACCTAAACCCACACACTTGAGCGTCCTCAACCATGTTAGAACACATCACTTTGAGCACTACGCTGCAGAAGCAAATCGATACCCTCGAGAAGGAGCGCAAGGAACTCCAGGACACGTTCCTTTCTGTGTATAAAAACGATGAAGACGATGAAACGGCTGAAGTAACGCTCAAGTTGGACCTCTTCCTGACATCAAAGCTCTGGATCCAATCTGGCAACTCCATTCGCAGGTACTGCGACCTGCTACTTTTCGAAGACCAGGCACGCGCAGAACAGATCCGAACACTCACAGAGACCCTCGTCAGCTGCAACACTGCGGCCGAACACCCAACACACTCGATTCAAATCGCCAAGGACGAAAAGGTCGAACTCGCGCGGATCGCCAAGGCTGGGAAAGTGGAGCTTGCTCAGATTAGCAAGGCTGAAAAGGTGGAACTTGCTCAGATTAGCAAGCACAAAGACCTGGAAGCCATGAAAATCGACCACGATACAACGATTCGATTAGCGGAACTGGCGCAACAGGAGAGAATAAGGCTTAAGGAACTAAGACTTCGAGGGGTCGAGCTGGAGAAGGAGACGATGCTGATGTCTGCGGAGCTTGGGTTGGAAGCCGAGGTAGTAAATGCAAAAAGGGAGAAGCATGCTCAAGAGATGCACACGAACGAACACAAGGCGTTGGCGAGTTCGGATCGAGTGCAGCACACGACAGCGACGAATGCGGCCACGAGAGTTACAGAAGACGTGTCTGTTGCAGGTACATATGATGCTTTGGAGGCGAATACAGACGCATACATCAACGTGGGAGCCTGTGTGGACGAGGTTCGAGGTGATCTGGGAGGGACGCTCGTGTTGGCATCGCCGGCGAGCAAAGCACAGGACGAGATGACACGCGAAGCAGCAGTTCAGTCTGGGATGTCTTTGGCGGATGGAGGTCATCCAGGCAAGGTTGAAGGACCGGAAGATACGACGCCTGGGGCAGCTGCGCATGGACCATCCACGGAGGAAAACCTTTTTCCAGAGCAGAACGAGGAATTCAAGACCGAGGCTACGAGTTTCGAGGAGACCATAGAAGCCGGAGAGATCTGCGACGACGAAAACTCAGTATTCGTAGAGTGGTTAAGGCAGTGGCATAAGCGCTATTAGCAGATCGATAGCGCCACAATGCTTTGTATGTGCATCATGGGTAGTTCTCAATAAAACTATCTCCGAACGGACAAATGAATTGCAAACAATAAAGAAGTTTAACTTTAAAAGAAGGGCCCTTTCGGCACGACCGACTAGAAAGAATGTCTTGATAGACAAGCGTAAAGATCACTGTCGTCGTTAGGCTTGATGGTCTTTTTGATCGAAAGCAACCACGTTCAGGCTGAACTCTTGTTTTCTACTCAAATACCACTATTGGGCAGGATTATTGCAATACGAGCAAGGCTGTCAAAGATACTACGCCCGCTCGCACCAGCTGGAAAGTGTATTTCTTCCTTAGTTATGAATGTGGGAAACGTAAGGACCACCTCTAGGATGAATGTAATGTAGCACAGTCAATAAAACTACTGTTTTGCAATCCACCACGAAAAAAGGAGGTATTCATTGTCTCTCACCACCCGCCCATTTCATAATACAAACATAAGTGCCGCTCAAAACAATACCTAAACCTATACACTTGAGCATCCTTAATCATGCTAGGAAATATCCGCGCTACAGAAGCAGGTAAGCGTGCTCGAGGAAAGAGCACATGGAAGCTCAGGACACGTTTATTTTTCTGTATGCAGACGACAAAAGACGATGAAACGGTTGAAGTGTCACTCAAGCTGGACTTTTTTCAAAACTCTGAATCCAAAACCCCTTCGCAGGTACTGACTGCAACCTGCTGCTCTCTGAATACTAGGCGCGCACGCAGAACGGATCCGAACACTCACAAAAGTCCCTATCAATTGTAAGCCTACGGCCGAACAACGGATCCGTTTAGCCCAGGAAATGCAAGTCAACACCCTGTGCACATTGGAGATTCCAGATTAAGTAAAAGTAGGCGGTCTTCTGGACAAGATTCCAGGCGATATGGATAGCACGGTTGTGTTAGTGGAATACATAACAGCAGTGCAGGCCTCGGAACCACAAACAAACGAGGCGCAGAAAGAGGCCACACGCGACTCAGCTGCACAACCGGAGATGTTTTTGACGAGCGAAGGTGACGCAAGCTTGGCTCAAGAACAGCAAGACAAGGAACCTGAGGATACTGCACATGGGAGACTTTTGCATAAAGGACTTGTACATGTACCTGTCAGCCACAATAGACTCCTAAAAGGTTTCCTACACGAAACAAGTTGCCTATTTCACGGCAAGAATCCACTGCACAGTTCCAACCAATGAAGCTATGCGCCCAAACCACAGCAGCTATCCACGACAATGCATGAACCATGGTGCTATTTCCAATGAAACCGTTTCTATAAGAAAAAGCGAATCACACACCAACCGAAGAGTGCAATATTAGCGCCGACCCAGCGAGAGGACCCTTTGGCAGACAGGTCCGGTGATTATCGTGTTCTTCATGAAACTCCTCGAATTGAGCTCCCTGCTGGACTCTTATTCCTTGCTAGAAACTTTTCGCCTTCACCATCACTACCATCTTTAACTCTTCATCCACTCCCACACCATATATCACTAAAAAGACAGCGACAGTGCACGCTCGAACATCTCAACTATGTGTGATACTCCCGGTCTTATCACCTCACTGCAGGAGAATATCGTCGCTCTCGAGCAAAATCGCAAGATTCTCCAGGACACCTATCTCCTGCTCTCAGCTAGAAATCCCGATGATAAAGAGAGCAAGAACAAGTCGGACAACCACAAGAGTCGCAAACCACCCTTCGGTCCCGACAGCCATTTACTATCAAAGCTCTGGAGCAAATCCGGAAAGTCCATCGATGCGTTCGGGGATCTGCTCCTCTCCGAAGAAGAGGCTTGCGCAAAAGAGATTCAGGACCTCAAAAAGACTCTCCTCGCCATGGTGCCAACGGCGGAGCAACGAATTCAACTGTCCCAACTCGGCAGGGGCGAAAAAGTCGAGCTCACGCAGATCGCCAGGGATCAGGCCGTGGAGCTTGCGCGTCTTGTCAAGGATGAGCGTGTGGAGATCAAGCAGATAACCAAGGACCGAAAGGTTCGAGTGACGGAGGAGACTAAGGAAGACAAGGTCCGGTTGGCGGAAATCGCGCGGGACGAGAAGGTCCAACTGGCGAGGCTGGCACAGCAGGAGACCATAAGGCTTGAGGAATTGAAGGTGCGACTCGAGGAACTGAGGGTTCAAGAAGTCCAGTCTCGAGAGGACATGAGAAAGGACGTAACTATGAAGTATGCACAGATCGAGTGGGAGGGTGAGAAGGCGGAATTGGGAAGACTGAAGGAACTGCAGGAGTTAGATGCGAGGGAGCGCAGGGCGACGATGTTATTGAAGCATGTGGAGCATATGGCCATTGCAGCGTCCAAGGAAGCAGCGGCAGAGAGGGACATATCTGGAGCTCAAACTGACGCGAGTGCGAATACAAACATCAACGCAGATGCCCCCTTGGACAAGATTCTAGGTGGTATAGACAAGGCAGTCGCTTTCGTGAAGAACACAACGGCCGTACTAGACTTAGAGCCACAGGAGGCTGCACCGTCCGAGACGCCTTTGACCGATGAGGGTGTTCCAGGCAACGCTGAAGGACCAGGAGACAAGACGTCTGAGGCTTCTACTGCTCCTGAGGCGCCTGTTGCCCCTGAGGCGCCTGCTGTTCCTGAGGCATCCAAGATATCCAAAGCGTCTGTTGCCCCTGAGGCGCCTGTTGCCCCTGAGGCGCCTGCTGTTCCTGAGGCATCCAAGATATCCAAAGCGTCTGTTGCCCCTTAGGCGCCTGTTGTTCCTATAGCACCGAGACAAAGACGCTCAAAAACGTCGTATTACAGCACGCTCGGAGATGGCGAGTATTCGTTACATAGACTATCACGCCAGCTCATCTCATGAGATAGTGCATTCAATGATCTGTATCCGCATGGACACAGCTATTTACGAGCACCGTTGCCAATCGATAGAACCTCAGTCTGTCTAATAAACATCTACTCAACCACACCTAATTGCACGTATACAGGAGCAAGGTGGGTTGTCTGAGATGAGGGCGCATGCTGACCTTGACCTGGCGAGAGAAGTTGACACTACAGACTAAATGGCTAAATGTAGCAGCGCGGCGGACTGAATATCTAACGATTTGACATAGTGGTCGAGCTTCCAAAAGCAATAAAGCAGTTCGAATTTAAAAGCACAATGGGGCACGGTTTGGTGGCGCGTAAAAAGGGCAGGCAGCACACGTCAGTGCCGTCGCTCTCGTCTCATCCTCAGTGCTCGGTCCCTGTGATACTTGGGGCAGCGAACTAGCTTTTATATATATTTTTCCTTCTTTCTTTGTTACACTTTCACTCATCCCTTGGCATTGTTTACCACCATCACACACCTATACTCCCAAGGTAGTGAACACCGATCAGCAAACCCATAACAAGAGGCCTATAACCGCCAGCCATATCCCAATAACGCCTCAGAAACCACACACAGCACAACATGGCAGTGCCCGCTCTGCTCTACTCAGAGCTTCAGAAGCTCGTCGATACCTTGGAGAAGGAGCGCAAGCTCCTCAAGGAAGCGTACAATACCATATCCCAGTTCCCCCATTCAGACACACCCTCCGAAAAGCTATGGCCGGCCCTCTCTGGCGAGATTTTGCTCGCCCAGATATGGCTCCAATCCAACCAGTCGATGTCCCAGTTTCACGACCTTCTCTTGCGTGAGGAATTAACATGCTCCCAAAAGGTCCATGAGCTGCGCCAAGCCCAGATTCGACTTACACCTACCGCGGAGCAGCAGGTTTTGCTAATCCAGGCCCAGAAGGATGAGCGCATTCGACTAGCCGAGATTTCCAAGGAAGAAAAGGTGCGACTGGCCGAGCTTGCCAAGGAAGAAAAGGCGCGACTGGCCGAGCTTGTCAAGGAAGAAAAAGTGCGACTGGCCGAGCTTGTCAAGGAAGAAAAAGTGCGACTGGCCGAGATTGCTAGGGAGGACAAGGTGCGGCTGGCCGAGATTGCCAAGGATGAAAAGACGCATATGGCAGCGACGGAAATGGCCAAGGAGATCCAACTGGAGGAGTTGGTCAATAAACGGGACATACGGATGAACGAGCTGCAGGTCGAGGAAAACAAGATACGGGCAGAGACGATGAAGTACGAATTGACGACTAGGACACTTGCGGACAAGAAGACTAAAGCACAGTTGAACCTGAAGACGCCGGAGGTGTTGAAGATCGAGAGCCAGGCGAAAAATTATGGGTGGGAAATTGAGGACTTCAACGAGATCTGCAACCTTACCCGTCCCAGGAGGGGAGGGGAGGGAGAATGAGCGTGAAAGAAAAAAATTCAGCGGGCCGAGATTATGATTAGAAACCTTTATTTGATGACGAGGAAGAGTAACCGACGTTTTTTGAAAGGACTAGTGCTCATTGAAGTTAGCAGGCGGATTTATTTATTACGAGGATGAAGTCTTGACATGCAGGAAGCGATTGAGCTGTCGAACCATGAGGTTCTTTGCATTTTGCGAATAAACAAAAGTAATGATAGACCGTGGACGCGTTGCTGAAGCGGAGTGTTGTGAGGCATACGTTCCTACGATCCTGGGACCTAGAGGAATAAAATTTGGGCTCATGGAGCTCGATTTTATCACGCGTCCATTTCTCAATTCTGTAGGACACAACGTATATTGAGGCTCCTTTCAGCGCCTGGGAGGGAGTCGAGTATTGACAAAAGTATTTACTTTGTGCGCCTTGGCATAGCGAAAGACCTTCACGGACGCCACATTTTTCTTTTTATATTTAATGTCCCTTGATGTTTTATCATCATATTTTGGCATCAAGGAGAAATGTGCTCAGGAATGGTGCCTGTGGTTGCGTACAATGTATTGGTGGTCTTGTAGGGCGTGCCTCGGAGGACAGAATACATTTACGGCGGCTCCTTCCTCATCGTTTTTATTTTGCCTGCACGAATGGATGGGTGAGTGCGTCTCTCCAAGGATAAGCACTGTGCGCGTTCCCTTTACGATCATGCCCGTGCTGACATCCATCCACGTCCGCACTCAGATGTCGGTGTGTATGTACGTGAAGTGGGTGTAAACGACTCGACGAACGAGCTTCGAGCATACAACCCTCGACTCCATCCCTTTTTTTTTGCGTGTTCTTCTTTGGTCCTCCCCTCTTCTTTCTTCTTTCCTCTTTTCCCTTCCTTCGCATTCCCACACCCGACGCCTCCTTCTATCTTCACGCACCACACTCATCACACGCACCACCACACGCACCCTCTCGCCTCCCCCACACCCTGCCAGCCCTGGACTGCCTCAACCTCACCCGCCTGCACTCCCAACGGTCGCCGTTCCTCTTCATGCTGCGTTCCTGACCTCTGGCCCCACCATCACCTCCTTCCGCAGGCCCTGACTCACCCTCACACGTCAAGCAACAAAGCTTCCATAAAAAGACGTAAAAGTAATTCCCTCACGTACGCGCGCAGTTCTTTTTTTTTTCTTTTTTTTCTCCCCCCTTCTTCTTTTCTTATCTTCCTGCCCCCTCTCCTTCCCTCGCACGCAACAGACTCAGACACGCCGCCAAAGGAACACAGGCTGCGTCAACCATCGAGCACCCGCCGAGCCAGTCAGCCCCGTTGTGACCAGTCAGTCAGTCCTTCGTCAGCATCACCAGTCTTGCCAGTACGTGTTTTGCTGAGCCCCCGCCCCTCGAGTCTCGTCAAAGCCAACAAAAGGTAAACGTCTCTCACCCCTGCACCATGCACCATCGCTTGCTCTTTCTTCTCCCAGCAGTCCCATGGCATGGGCTCATTTGGGCAAAGTTGCTCCCTTTTGCGCACAAAGCCAATATGATGCAGTCACTCTTGTCCCACATCGCTTGTACTTCCATCCCTCCCCCCTCACCTGCCCAACCTCGCCCGCTTCTTCCTGCTGTGGATTCTCCTGCTTCATTACAGTTATCCCCCCTCTGGGACCATATCGCCTCGGTGCACTGAATCTGCTTCTTTATCCGCGAGTTGTTCTCCGGAGGAAGGTATATACTACCACGAGTCCTCGTTTAAAGTAATGGCCAGATGACCTGGGTATATTTTTGGACGCCGTATCGTCGAGTGCTGTACACTTTCATTTTACTTCACACGGTGGCAATCGGCTCCCGTTTTTGTTTGTTCCGTAAACTTAGTGCACTAAATGGGTCATTTCCATGCATGTATTGGGTTGGGGTTTCCTTCGACATTGCAGGGCAGAAAGCAATATTTCTATACTTGTGCATAATATTCTGGTCGGCCGCCATAGGCCGAAAATCGTAAAAAAGGGTCAAAGGATGAGACAATTTGAAGGTGCCATGGCGTTTGTTGTGCCTTTTGGAATAGCCTGGCAGTGCACTTTGTGGACATTTATATCTTGTATATCGATTCGCCAGTTCCTATGCAATGTCGACGATATCAGCAGTGGCATCGAAATCAAGCAGTTGCTAACATTGGACATGACTTTTGTCAATAGGCACTACGTAGTGGGCCAGCATCGACTCATCGCATAAGAGTGCTGGGTCCCCGTTCACAGTGTCGCCTTTTTTCCTCGAGAAAATAAAGGGGGTCCGCAAGAGACATCCGAAGGGTAAGACATTCTTTTGGGCAGCCGAAGACAGGCGGCCGATTTCATAGCGAGGACAGAGGGGAGGAACAGCACACTGATTCAACATCCATCACTTTATCATCCAAAGAAAGGTAGCAAGCAAACTCACCTCCATCTGTTTGCTATCCTTTCTTTCATTCACGCTCTTGAACCCCACCAGAAACGCTTCTTGAAAGTGAGCCACGGAAGCGGATTTGCATCATGGAGTCGCCCTCCTCGCTGAGCCAGCATCGCCATGCCCGCGACGGCAACGAGGTCCTGCCTGTTGATCCGGTCATCCAAATCTTCATGCATCTTTCCCTGCATCCTCAAGACCTGCTCAACTGCGCCCTCACAACCCGCCACTGGGCTCGACCAGCCCTTCAGGAATTATACCGACATCCCTGGACCTATCTCTTCAACTATCAGTTTGACACGGAGGGTCGTGTTATGGACAAGCACGGATCGATGCTCCTGCTCAGGACTCTATTTCAGGGATGCACGGACCCCACGAAGACAACGTTCCCGTACGCCAGTTTCGCCAGGAGTGTCAATCTCAAGTGGGTGCACGATACCTTTGATCTGCCCGAGGTTGATATCCAGACCCTGACCGGGCTCCGCTGGACCAGGAATGAGGCCCCCAAGGACTTTTTGATTCGTCATTTACTCGCTAACCGACCCTACCTAAACGATTTTGTTCATTGCCACGCCCCTCGGCTACCTCGCTGCCTCTTTGCACACATGACAACTGCAACAGTCAACAATTTCGCGGATGAGGTTGCAGTCGAGGGCACAAACGCATCAACAGCCCTTGCTGCCGAAGGAGTAATAGCGGACGGCTCGGTCTCTGGTCTGGATACCGCTACTACAATTAACACTGCAAACACCGCAAGCACCGACAGTGATGATTGGGCCAACATGATGCAGCAGGTTACGGACGATGAGTTCATGCCATCTCTCGATGTCAGTTTGCTGACAACACCTCCGCTGTTACCTGTTCAGCAACCCATTGCGACTGCAATGCCACTGGTCCATTCTGTTACCGCAAGCACGGCCGCAGTAGAGGAGCCTTCGTCGCACTCGGGCAGCGATCACAACGACACACACGAATCATTCTTGCAGATTCTCAACTCGGATAGTACACAGTCAGCCGAAGTCGCTTTCCTTCCATCACCTCCGTCACCAATCTTACTTACGCCCGCGCTGGATCAGCCAGGATCGCACCTTGCAGGTATCTCAACCAGTGTGGTTGAAGAGATCGACCAAGGCGCCACCGCTGAAGTCGACGAGAACACTGGAGTGATCAGCGTGGTTGAGGAGATCGAAAACGCAACAACCCCAGAAGGAGGGAGCGAGATGGCAGGTACCCTGGAGTCGACCCTCATGGAGCCTGGCCCAGAGACTACCGGTCAAGTCGTCGTGCAGTCCCTCTCAGCTGTATTGGCTTCAGCTTCCTCATCCTCAGCGCAATCTATTCCAAACGACGCCCATCCAGTGTATGCGTTCCAACATCCATATGCATCCACTGCATTTTCTCATCCCCACTCGCGCGCTGCGACACCCTCTTCAGGCAGCTCGTCTTCGAGGCCGTTCCTCGCTACCTGGCCATTGACGATGGAGCAGACACATAGCCTGGTCTATCTGGATCTGCGCTATGCGATCGTCTCCGATTCTCTAATCGTTTCCTTAGCCCTGAACTGCCACAAGATTGAGCGTCTCAAAGTGGCGACTCATTGGCAACACTACCCGCACTCTTACTCGGTTACGGACAACGCACTCACTTGTCTCGTGGCGGCGCAACAATGCCTCAAGTTGTTACATGTCGAGAACCACCGAGAGATCAGTCAGGGACACGAATTGGTCAGGACAATCGACACGCTGGGCAAGGTGCATGGGTCGAGTCTCGAGACCTTGGTGCTCAAGTCTCACGATTTCCAAAACTGTAATCTAGCAGCCTTCGGGAAGGCCTGTAAGAAGCTCGTCAAATTTGCAGCACCCGGAGGCATGCATCTGTTCCGCGAAGAAGTCCTCCAGTTGACCGAGGCTTGCAAGCTGACACTGGAGCACCTCGATTTCTCGAACTCTGACATCGAGACGGATTCCTTGATGGCTATCATGAAGGGCACGTCTTCACCTCAGTCTGCGAGGGGCACCCTCAAGGCTCTGATTCTGTTGGGCATGGAGGACACCTTGAATACGGAGACATGTCTGGCGATTGGAGAGTATGCATCGGGTTTGGATTGCTTCCGTCTTGACATCCTGGAGTCCGAGGCCAAGGACGTGAGCCTTATGTTGAGTCGATCCTGCGCCCTCAACTTGCGTGTACTGACACTTGGATGTCACGATGTGCACGGTGATCTCGCGAACGATATTCTGGAACAGATCGCTCTCAACTGCAAGAATGTCGAGTTGTTGGATGTTAATCACTGGCAGTTTTCTGCAAAGGCGATCAAGAAGGTTTTGCGGGAGTGTGGCATGTTGAGGTACCTCAATGTGAGTTATACAGATCTTGAAGAGAGCACCGCGGACATCATTTGTCGATGCTTGGGTGAGGTCAAGAAGGCGACTGTAGTCCCGGTCAGTCCTCCTGCGGATGATTCCATTTCAACTCCCTCACCCGCCGCAGTATTTACGTCTTCTCAACTGCAAACTCCTGCGACGATACAGATGGGAGAAGCAGTGGTTCAAGAATCGATAGTCGTGCAGGAAGAGTGGTCTCAGGAAGCATCGACTACTCTTCACAATTCAGTGGATGAGACGGTAGAGAATCTTGATGAAGAGCGACCCGATATCTTGCGAAAGCGAGGCGTAGATATGCGAGCCAAGGGCGACGAAGATGGCGATGAGGAGGATTATATGGACACCAATATGGATAGCGATCAGCAGCATGCTACGCCGGTTTATTCTGCAAACGGAGGCAAGAAACAATCGCAGATGGGTCTTGTCCACCACCACCTAAATGCTATGGACCTGCGTACGATCATGAACCTCGATCTGGATGAGGCCATCGAGATGGATTTGTTGATGGGTGTGGACGAGGATACGGGCATGGATCTAGACATGTGCTTGGATCTTCAGAGATATCATCGCAATAGCTCTTACAAGGGCATCCATGGCGACCAGGACAACGCAGAAGGCGAAGACATGGATATGACTGACGTGGACGACGAGGAGGCAGAGATAGAGCGCGCGATGATGGGCACCGCCAACGATATTGACGAAGGTGATGAGGACGAGGATGGCAGCCGATATGCGCGGTCCAAGGAACCGAAGGGCAAGGAGGTCTATATTGACCGCGACTTTGGTGACAATTACCAAGACAATGTTTCGACGATTTTCACGTCGCTTGCGCCGACGTATTCGTCGTCATATGGATCCACATCCTCCTCCGCATCCTCCTCGTCCTCATCCTCCGGATCGTCGGCCAACATCATGGGTCAGGCGCAAAGTGGCCAGGTGTTGCTTTCAACAGCAGAGACAGGCAGTCAAGCCTTATTCGATTGCATGCCATTGCTCCCTCCTCTCCCCATTCCATCGATGCAAGTGAATGATAATGAATTAGATCCGATGGCGGTCTCTATGAGCACCTCTGTTTATACTACTGGTGAGCAGGCAATCCAGGGACCACCAGCTACAGGTGGCACTCCAGAGTGCACGATGGAGAGTGAGCAGGTATCTTATGACTCACAAGCCACGCCAACCATCACAAGCGCTGACGATACTTGTACAGCAAGCGAGGCAGAGACCCCATCTTCAGCTTCCACAGAGACAAGGTCGGATGAGACGCCCGTGTGCAATGTATCCGAAGCAGAAGAAGAAGCAGAAGCAGAGGACAAGGCGCTCACATGGACTCGTGAGTCGAGGCTGGAGCAGGTGAATGTCGAATGCTGTACGCATCTATCACTGGCGACCATGAGCAAAATCAAGACGCTTGCGTGCGAGCGACAGGCGGATTTGGCTCGACAGGGACGCAAGAAAAGTCGTATCTGGGTCGAGAACGAGCACGACATGATGATGACCCGGTTGACAATGGAGAGGGGACCAGAACTGCCGGCGTGGAGAATGAGGACGAGCATCATCACGGGTGAATCGAACGCTAGCTCCACTGGCGACAGCGTGGATAACAGTAACGCGTCTGGGACACCAAGTTCAGATGCTCCTGCAGGCGAAGGGTCACCAGAGCAGCATTCTGAGCAACCACCGCAAGGCCAGCAGCAACAACAACAACAGCTAGAGGAAGAGATGCTGAGTGCCGCCGTCGTCACAGAGGACGAACCCATGATCTCGACAGCGACCGTGGAGGTTGTGGCATAGTTATCGGTCTCCTGGTCCCATTAATCGTTCTTTTCATCGTTCTATCATTTTCGCACAGCATGACGGCAACCCATTGTAAACATCTTCATCCTAGGCAATTCACGACGTATCTCTGTACATAGTTGTAAAAAGCACACAAAAATAAAAAATGAATTACTTTGTCTTTGAATCGAAAAAAAAAAAAAAAAAAAAAAACTATTGGATGTAGCCAATCGACGCGATCTGTGGGTAATTTTTCGTATGTTCCGTAGTTTCTGCGCCGAAAGACAGCTAGCTAGCTACTCAAGCACGCGCATCCAAAAGATGACGCTAGTTGTAACCACGCGTAGCCTTTATTCTCTCCCTGAGCCTCTCGAGCTTTTGTTAGAACGAGTCTGAAGATTGAACAGTGAGCGTGGTCGGTCTGCGTTTACAAACTTGTGGGAGGCAGACGCGAAACGCGCTGAAATCCGTACGAATACAATGAGAATAGTAAAATCTGTTCATTTGATTGAGTATCTTATTGTGATACTTGTTTCTACTCTGTTATTCAGGAGGAAGGGGGATCCACAGGGGCAGTATTCCCGGGCACGGTGACGTTATACGCAAAGAACTTGTACTTCAGGAGCAAGGCCAGGATGGCATGCAAACCGATGACCAGGATCAAGATGACTTTGCTTGTGTGCGCCTCAGCCCTCGACAAGACGGGATACAAGTTCCTGACCAAGAATAAGCCAGATATGCCTGCGCCGGCCAAGACCAGAGCCCAGCGAAGCAAGTTCCAGGGGAAGATGCTCAGAACCGCGACGGGGATCCACACCGTGAGGCCATAACCGTACAATGCAAGCATCTCAAGCAAGTCGGGTTGGCAGCCAAAGTATTTGGTGGCACCCCAGATCATAGCGGGCACCAGGAAAGCATACATGTAGATCGTACCAAAGGCGAAGGTCAACTGGCGAAAGTCGTAGCTGTAGGGCGTAGATGACATGTGGGCGCTGATAGACTCGGCGATGGAGGAGGTCACGAAGAGGACAAAGATGACCGTTGTCGCGATCCAGAAGGGACCTATAAATGAAGTTGTATGTATGCAGGAGCTAGCATTAATCAAATCGGTTTCCATAGGGGGGCTCTTTTTTTTTTTTTTTTTTTTTTTTTTTTTTTTTTTTGAATGGAGTAGAATATACGACACCCTTACCATACAAGTCGGGACCCCCCTCCATCACATCCAGGAATTTGCCCTTGGGGATGATGCTCGCCATACATCTCTCCATCACCTATGAGTACCGATTATTTAAACCGCAACTGAGTAAGCTGTCGTTGTCATTTCTCAAAAAAAAAAAAAAAAAAAAAAAAAACTAAGTTGGTGTATTAATTATTACCTGAGCTGTATCGACATCAAAGAATTTGGAGTAATACTGAACTGACCAAATGGGTTTGCTGAGAGTCTGGCCTTGAATTTCTCTGTGCGGATCAAACACGCCCGCTGATCCAAATCCTATTCCATGAAAACCGAGCAAGGCAAGACTTCTCAGAACGATTGTTTTCATGCTTCTGGTAAAGAAAAAAAAAAAGAAGACAGCGGTACAAGTACACTTGAAAAAGAATTATGTACCTGCTGGCCTTGTTTGCGGCGTGTTGTTGGACGAGGACGAGATATTGCCAGATGCGCTCGGTGAATTGGACGACGAGGCAAAGCCTTGGAAGAGCGTGAAGAAGAAGAAGAAGAAGAAGAAGGAAAAGAGATGTCTGGGTGTTAAGGCGCAAGAAAACACTGGCGCAATTGGGAATTCGATTGACGAGGCGGTGCTGTCGTTCTTGTGTGAATACGCCGCCATTAAATAGCCTTTATTCCGAGACGCGTCTTTACGTGCACACGAGATGCCTCCAGAGATTAGGTCAAGTTAAAGTGGCCATAGGCGATGGCTGTGCAGCAGTGTTTGTTGATATCCCATTCAAAGATGTACTCGTCTTGACGTCCGTGGAGAAAAAGACGAGTTCCTGGAATGCATTTGCTCATTTAAGTTCCAATAGCAGTGCGCCATAAAGTCCAAGGACATCCTGAGCAAGCGCGTCCTTGGATTGCCCTATGCCGTCCGTTGTCCGCTTCAAAGTAGTTGCTTTGTCGTTCCTGTGGCATCATCATTGAAGGTGTGTTCAGGCAACATACTCTGAAATTGAAGCTAAAGAACAAAAGAGCAGAGGTGTTGGGTGTTAGGTTTCTTGTCTTGGAATAAATACTTGATAACAGTTCAAGCTGCAGACGATATCTCAGGGTTTCCATCCTGTGTGTCCACTGCCCAAATTATAAAAGTCCTGCATTCGCGTCCAGATGTTGCTTCCAGTTCATAAGAGCTGTCAAATGAATGTCTGTCCTGTAGTACCTCATCATCGTCAATTTCGATGGCACTGTAAGCACCCTTGTTCGACATGGTTTCGTTTTGTGTGGTTCAAGAAGGACAGCGGGGGGTGATGCAACGGTCTCGGTCAGTGCAGGAGAGGACACACAGAGGGTAGAGAGCGCCAAGTGTTCGTGTCAGCCAGCACCTTCAAAAACACGTGATGCATAATATTTATTACGGACTACGAAGCTGGTGCTGGTATTGATGCTGATACTGGTGACGCGGGCTCCGACGGTTCCTCTGCAGAAGGGGACACATCTTTCACTCTTGTATTTGACTTCAAGGTCTTTGCTCCCATTGCTGGTTTTTTCTTAATATTTCTTCCATGATTGACTGTCCAGGGTCCCAGCGAATCGTTTGAGTAAAAGTCCATGGGATAGACCTCCTGCCAGGCTACGGACTCGAACACGACCGAGGCCTCATACGGTGTTAACAATGGCTTTGTAAATGCGTAGCCCCAATCGATCGATAGACGTGGACAAGCAATTTGAATAAATGCATCCATGTCCTCAAACATGGCCAGCTTTCCTGGAAAGATCTCAGACAACAGGATGATGGTATAGTCACAGCCGCGCTCCTTCAGCTTCATCTCCATGTGCTATAAAAGATGTTTATAACATAGGTAGACATTAGTTTAGTGCCGTCAAGAGCATTATATCACATAGTGCCGTTAAAATAATACGATTAACAGCACCCTTACCTCGAGGATCGATGTGCTTCCTTGCCGTCCCAGAGTTCCTAAGATTAATCCGAAACGCTTGGCCTTCTTGGCGGTCTCGATCGCATGCTTTCTCAATGAATGCATATCCGCATGATCGTACCTCTCTCTCGTGAACTTTTTGCTGTACGGATCATATCTGAATGCCGGCAGATCCGGATTATGAATCATGATTGACTCTAAATGAAACCGTCCATCTCCCAAAAAGATCAACGCATCCTCGTTCTTTGGCAACTGTGGTGATGTGCAACCCAAGATCTCGGCTGGTGATAGCGGTTTCGCCTGTGGGACATTGAGCACATAGTCGATTTCGAGTTCCCGGCGCGCAGACTGAATCGCCTGTACGAATTGGATTACGCCGACAAGGACGAGTTTGGAGCCACGCTCAAAGTTTTTGCGGACAGTTGCGATAAAATGTTGAACGTCGATTCCGATATCCACAAAGACATAGAGCGTCTTGATAGTCGTTACGTCCACAGGAACTAGGTGGTCAAAAAAGCGAGGGATCGCAAGTTAGTACAAGCATAAATGTTAAATGAACGCACATTTTAGACAAAAGAGTCGTGTTGCCTACCGAGACAGCTGTGGCCATAATGAACCATAAAATCACATCCCAAGGCCACTGCCGTGAAGTCGTCGATGCAGCATGCTCCGTAAGTGACATCTCCCATGACTAAAGTCTCGACGCCGCAGAACTTTTCCAAGATATCCGATATAGTACAGGCAAATATCAGTAAGCCCTCTGGGAACTGCAGTGCCACTATTGCAAATAGAGCAAGAAGATTAATGTCGAAATGCCAGCATGATGAAAGAGCCATTCGACAATTCGATTACGGTGTCATACCTTTCTTCGCTCCTGCCTTCCGTACGCTCCAGACTGTCTTATGAATCTCGAAGCTGTAGTTGGCTGGGAGTTGCTCAATGGCAAGATTCAGCTTGGCATCGTTCAGGATCTCGTCGGGCACCTGGTTTGCGACTCTTGGTCTACCGTTGGATCCCGCACTTTTTGTTGCTAGAGGGGAGAAGAAACAAGAAGCCAGTTGACGATCCTGATTAGGTAGCGGTCTGGCGTCGAAGCAGGATGACATTCCGCAATAGGTAATATCGATCCACAAGAGAAGTGTGAGCCTTACAATCTCTAATAGCCACGGCAGAGTCTTCGATGGTTGGGTCGGAGCCTTCGGCTGATTGCTGCTGCTGCCTCCTAGCCTTGCCAACAAATCTCTTTTTCAGCTTTCCAGAAGTAGTGAGCTCTGGGGCCGCTGCCGAGGCCTGTGGCTCTGCATGACTGTTAACAGGTCGTGTTGGTAATGAGTCCATGGTCTTCCTGTGAACGTGTGAGCACGATGGTGGGAAAATGGAAGGCGAGAGGTGCGGACTTGTACCTGGCGTGTGCGCAGTGTACATTGGGCTCAACAGTCACCTTGCACTCAGCCACATCAAAACAAGTTTTTTTTTTTTTTTTTTTATTGCCTCTCCAGGTAGAGGGCCCTTAGACTGAAAGGAATCATTCCGGAATTGCAGCAAACAACAGCACCACCTCAATAGCACCCCACAACGACAGTACAGAACTACCTCTAAGCAATGAAGTTGGACGCTAAAGTACTTCGGTACATGACCCCTGAGGACTTTCGAGTCTTGGTCGCTGTAGGTCACACCTTTCACCTCGTTCTGTCAAAGGCCTCTTCGAAAGGCGTAACATGCCTCTCACACAATTCCTCTTAATATAAAAATAAATAGACCGAAATGGGATCTAAGAACCACGAGGTTGTTCCCTCGACTATTATCTCACAGATTGCCAAGCTGCGCCATGGAGGAGTACATAAGGTCTTGAGTGAGCTGGCCAGACGTAACTTGGTTGCAAAGGTTCAACATATCAAATGTAAGCAGAGGTCAACGTTGCAAAACGATCAATGGTATTGCGATGCCACCTCGAGATACTGATATTCCGATATTCTTTACCGTATGGGACGCTTCTTTCTAGATGATGGATATCGATTGACATATGGAGGATACGACTACTTGGCGCTCAGGACGTTCTGTCAGAGAAACAGTGTCTACTCCGTTGGAAACCAGATCGGCGTCGGAAAGGAGTCAGATATTTATATTGTTGCAAACGAAGAAGAACGCCAAATGGTCCTCAAAATTCAAAGGTATGTCATCTCTTCTAGCGCACCTCGCTATTGGCGACACTTTACCGATTCACTAATGATGTGAATGCAACGCAACATAGACTGGGTCGTGTGAGTTTTAGGACAATCAAGTCCAAGCGAGACTACCTCAAGAACCGCAAATCAGCATCGTGGATGTACATGTCAAAACTGGCCGCTGAAAAGGAGTACGCCTTCATGAAGGTCCTGCACGAACACGGATTTCCAGTACCAGAACCTATCGACCAAAGCCGCCATTGTATCGTCATGGAGCTCATCGACGCCTTCCCACTTCGGCAGATTACCGAAGTCGCGGACCCCGGAAAGCTGTACTCAAATCTTATGAACCTGATCGTCAAACTGGCCAGCTACGGATTGATCCACGGAGATTTCAACGAATTCAATATTTTGATCCGTGAGAATGGCGATGCCATATTGATTGATTTTCCACAAATGGTTTCCATCGACCACCCAAACGCAGAGTTCTATTTCAACAGGGACGTCGAGTGTATCAGAGTCTTCTTCAAAAGGCGATTCCAGTACGAGAGTCTGTTATACCCCAAGTTTAAGCTGGATACAGAGCGGCAGTTCTCGCTCGATGTTCAGGTCGCAGCCAGTGGATTCACAAAGGAGAAGCAGATGGAGTTGGAGAAATTTCAGGAAGAGGAGGGACAGTTGGCACAGGAGTTGGGTGAGGACGCTTTTCATCGGTCGGACGATGACGAACTGGAAGATGAGTCAGAAGAGGAGTCTGGAGAGGAATCCGAGGAGGAGGAATCTGGAGACGAGGCAGATGAGCAGGCACAAGCGGCAGAGGACCTGCCAGTATCTATCGGAAAGCTGGTACGTAGATCGCTTATACGGCATTTTGAAGGGTCTCAACTGTATGTTGTTTATTGCGAATTGCCCTGTCTAACTTGTGTCTCTTCATCTCCTATCAATATACTAGTCCTTAGCAAATCTCTCACAGCTGGACGAGCAATCCGAAAGCAACTCGCGCAATAACGGCAACCCCAACAGTAGCGGCGAGGATGAGGACGAGGAGAACGATTCTGTGGGTTCTCTGGGCGATGCGATCAATAACCGTGCTTTTAAGGCATATCGCGACGTCAAGCCCAAGGTGGCAGACTCAGTTGCAGGATCAACGCGTAGCAGAGCAACAAAATCATCTGGTCCCATGTCTACAGAAGAGATTAAAGCCCGTGTGGCCCAGAATCTAAAGTCAAGCTCGAGGGTCAAGTTCTCGTCCAAGCAGAACCACACAAAAGGCACAGACAAGCGGAACAGGAGGCAGAAGGCAGGCGACATGGCACATATCAAGCATGGCTCAGAGTACTAAGGCGAAGGGGAGGGTGTTCGATATACGCCTCATTTGCAGTGCGTCCCTACCACCTGTCTCTCTTGGGGGACCTAGGATCGTTTTGTCTACTCGCTTCATATAATTCTTCATTCTTTGTCCATCGTCGCACTTTAACTGCGACACTGCATTGGTTCATCGCATTCACACCTTCATTTGTCGTATAAAATAAATTCCAGCCATATCTTCCAGATTTGGGAAATGTTGCAATGCATTGTTTCATCGTCTCAAATTCCGTCAGATAATCTGCGCTACAATGATGCACAGCACAGTACCCTAAAAGGCATCATTTTGCCCACGACCAATTGAAGAAGCATCCGTGCCCTTATTTGGCAGTGATTCAGGACGAAGGGCGATGCAGAACTTGATCTCATGGATGACTTAATTTACTTTATTGATACGAGTGATAATGTGTCCGCTGAGAAGGTTACAGTGTTTGTGGCAGTGAGACAGTTGACGGGACGACATCCATGGGGTATATGTCGTCCGCAGGCAGGACCGGTATAGTCTCGATCGTGAGCGGTTTGACATTGGATCGCATAATGATAGGGGTACCGCTAGTAGGGCTGGGTATAAATCGGGCCGAAATAACTCTGTACAACGAGCCGGTGTAAAGTACGTCCAGGAAGTACTCTGTCAGCGCCCAGAAGCAAAGACAAAAAACCATGGCTGCAAACATACAACCCATTAGCCAATCGGGAATGTCGAATCCGGCCAGGGTGTCCACGACATCGTAAATCACGTAGAGTACGCCTTCGTCGTAGTCCTCAAGGAAGTTCTGTCCCAGGGAGGCCATATATCGCGCGGCAGAGGCTGTAGCGTTTTGTAATGTTGAGATGCCTATCGGCCCTACACCGCTCTCGTCCTTGGCAACGATGTGAGTTATGGCCATCGATAGGCTGACATTATGGTACATAGGAAGTGGTTTGCCTCTCAAAGCTGTCGTAATGGCCGGGTTAATTTCTTGCGGTTTCAAGAAGAGGGTCTCGACTGTGGTGTAGATGCATGTCATAGCGATAGAACTAACGTTGTAAAACGCCGTCGAGTAAGAGTTGCAGGCAATCACGTCTACAGTACTGTTTCGGACTCGGACTTCTGAGAGCAAAACGGAATCCGCGTAAAAGGAGGGATCCACGAAGAACGTGGAGTTCGGGAAGGTGGTGTTTCTTATAGAGGACCCCATGGCTTGCATTAGTTCGTCAGGTTCTCTGAACGCTTTTAGTATAGCGTTCGGGAACAGCTTGTAAGACGTCATCGAAAACCGCGTGGAAGTTTCCGACACAACCCTCACCTTGCCAGTCGGGAGCAAGCACTTGGTGATAATTGTCCTGGGAAATGAAGAAATACCCGTCACGATGCCACGCATGGACACGGACGACGAGCCTGGAGTCCCGCATAACCTATCCTGCATGCTCGTAATTGCTATTGTACGTGTCTCCGTTGCGGGGAGCCTAGCATATCCTCGAGCCCTGACAGTCCATCTCCCATCGGAAAGTTTCGTAACGCGAGCGTCTGAAGAATTCACGTTGATCGAGGCAGTATATACAATCCTTGCCGCAGCACAGCCACCATTGGATAGGAATAGGTTGCTGACGGTGTGATCCAAGATGTACACGTCCATTTGGTTGCATTCGACGTCGTAGTCGAAAGTTCGTGGAACATATATCTGCCCCCCACGATATTGAGGGATGATGTTGGTGTTATTTATCATCCGCTTTATTCCATCCACGATGTTGGCGCCGTGCTGAATCGAGGTTGACCATCCGGAGAACGCCGAGTAAACGCCGGGCAATGAGAATTGTTTGGAGGCAATCGATTCCGAAAATGGATGGCTGAGACTTGTCGACGGCTTGATAAATTGCGTAGCGACGGTGTCCAGGTTGCTTGCTACAAAACTGGCAACGACTACGAAACTCAAAGCGGCGATGGTGGTGGGGGGTACTATGCTAGGGGCATAGTAAAGCGACTTGACCATCTCGAGGATTCCTCCTTGATATACCCATCGGATGCTGTTGCCGTATGGGCCTCTGAACCGGGAGTATATTGCGAGACCTGCTCCCAGGGCGCTAACCAAAAGCGCTCGGAAAGCGCTTAGAAAGAGAGTGAGAACAAAAAAGTTCCAATGTAAAAACATGGTAAGATTTGAGATGTGGATGAAGTATGGGGAGAAGGCGTATGTGAATTTGGCTGGCTCGTATTGCGGGCATCCCTTGCATTAAAAACGCAGAGGAACGAGCTTCGCCATATCAAATGAGTCCGCATCTTCTAGCGCCTCGTCAGTCAGCATGGGTATATTGGCACAATTGTCTGTTTACAGAGCATGCAGCTCATTTGTATACACTGTCAGAGTCATACAATTTGGAATTAAAAGACCTATCGAAGGGCTCAACACTTCCACGGCAATCACATTAACCTCCTCAGGCTTGCTGTAGAACCAAAAAAAGCCCAAAAAGCAGTAAATGCTTCCGGTAAATGAACTCAAGAGTAGAAGCAAACAAACAATGAAACAGTGAGGCAGTGCCTTCATTGCATTGGTGAGCAATTTATGGTTTGCATGTGTTTATTCGCTGATTCCAGTTACACAAGAGAGATGGTAGAAGTATCGGTATTTCTGTGGTCGTTGGCGCGATCAGAAAAGATTGGGACCCCCTCAAAGCCCATAGGGTCCTCTTTGAAAGGCATCAGTCCTGGGGCAGTTGTGTATGTTCGAGAACTGATTCCCATGGCGATATTCATGTACAGGGAGCTTGTATATTCTTTATCCAGGCGCTTTTCGCTTAACCCCCAGGCAACAGTAGAGATGACTATGCTGCCCAGGATCCAGATGATCACCCAAATCGGAATCTCAACACCGTCTTTTGAGTCCGTCGTGTCGAACAGGATGTAAAGCTGACTACTCTCCCAATCAAGGTACACGTTTTGGCCATGCGAAACAACGTATTGTAGTAGCCTCGACGAGGCGCTCTTGAGCACTGAAATAGGTATTGGCTGCTGGATTTCATTGATCGCGATCGGAAGATGCTTGACGACCACTGCCATGTTAATGCATAGCCCGCTAGAGAACGGCTTTCCTTCGCGCGACTCAGATATAATGGGGTCGATAGTCTGCGGTTTAGTGACGACCATGTCAACGCTTGTGTAGAGACATAGCAATCGGGAAACGGTAGAGGAGGGCGGTCTCGTCGAGTCACATATCACCGCAGTGGCTGTAGAACCTTTGACCTCGACTTCAGCAAACAGCCCTGTAGTTAACGCAAAAGTTGGATTGTTGACGGACTTTTCCATGGCCTGTAGCAGCTCGTCGAATTCGCCGAAGACAGCCATCGAAGTATTTCGGAAGTGGTTGGCTGGCGATGAAGCGAAACGTGTTGATGAAACTGAGAGAACGACAACCTCCCCTGATGGAAACACGCACTTGGTGGTCATTGTTGTTGGCTCTAATGTCAATCCGCTATCTGGATCCCCCGAGCTCATAATGGCTTCAGAGAAATCTTCCACAACGCACCTCGTACCAGGACGGGTGATCGACACGTCCATGCTAATTCCATTGGGGTATCCCTCCCAAACAGTGGGAGCAGCAGTGGACCATCGTCCTTTGGATAATTGGATAGTGGTTGCATTTGCGTAGAGAACCTTATTTCCTGTACCGCCTCCAATAGTAACACTTTCACAGCCTCCGTTGGATGAGACAAGTGCCTGGCCACTAGTATCGGTCAATAGGAGATCCAGCTGGTTGCACGCAACCTCATACGGGAATGTTCGGGGGATGTAAATCCTTCCAGGTTTGGCGCCAGGGATGCTGTCGATGTTGCTGAATATCCGGGAAACAGCGTTGACAACGTCCTCTCCAGGGCGGATAGCGGTAGACCATTTGGTGAACGTAGTGGCTATATCCGGGAAGATATATTGAGGGCTGCTAGTCATCACAAAGGAATGTTTGCCCTGATTCACGGATGGGTTGATAAAACCCACAGCCAGCTTGTCCGTAAAACTTGACGCAAGACTCAGGATGAAGATGACGGCCATGGTGATCTTGATCATGTGAGGTTTCAGCCCACGGGAGTGCCAGAGAGCTTTCAACATCTCGTAGTAGCCGCCTTGACGTATCCATCGAATGCTGTTGGAGTATTCGCCATTGAAACTTGAGTAAAACGAGAGGACTGCTCCGAAGGCGCTGGTGAGCAGGAACCGGAAGACAGCCAGGATAATTTTGGGAACAATAATTGGAATGGGTACGAACATGGGGAATTTTTTTTGAATAGAACGTGTGATAAATGGCAGTAGTGTTACCTTAGATGCAGTGCGAGTATTGCTACTTTTAAACTGGAGGGAACTACCCTCGCCACTCTGTTGTTGATAGTCTATTTCTGGGCTCCACCATATTTACTATTCATTCTCTCTTTAATTACATTTGTATGTGTTTGTTTGCTTGCTTGTCTGTGGGTGCAATGAAATTGCATGCTGCGAGATTTTTCAGCTTCGCGTCCAACCAAAGCAATTTGCTATTCATCGATCGAGTTCCCAATACGAGTACCAACATCAGCGAACATCGCCATTCTAAGAAAAAAAAAGGCGAAGCATGGCCAGAGGGGAGACACGTGTTTTGTATTCGGTAGGTGCGAACAAATGGATGAGAAGGATGCAATGGAAACGATGGAATTCAGTGAGAGTGAATTTAGAGCAAAGGAGAGACTATCTAGTTCTGCGTATACGTAAATAGGGTTTATATAGTAGTTATGTCGATGCTAACTGTGCTCTCGGATGTGGGCGAAGCACTGATGGCACTATAGCAAACTGAACCTAGTATCCTAGTATTACACCTTTTGCACGCACACGCAATGTACCAAGGCTCGATCGATTGTTCGGATGCGTGAGCCTCTCTCATGAAATACAGAGCTCTGCACTCCAGGAAGGAATTGTACAGAATAGTGGTTATTCTATAGGATCATGGTCATGGTCATTTAGTCTCTTAGTCCTTTGGGACACCCTTCATTGAAACGCGCCTAGTCTTTAGCTACAATATTCAGTATTACTATGAGGATCGACCTGAGCACTATCGTCCGTGTCTGCCTTCTATTTTGCTTTAATTAATACTGCTGTTCTTGTAGAGCTAATAGCTTTATATTTGTCTAGTGAGAGCGCCTTAGTGTCCATGGCAGTGAGGTAGTTGATTGCTTGACGTCCATGTGGTACATATCGTCCGCAGACACGATCAGCATACTCTCAATCGTGAGCGGCTTAACATTGGATCGCATAATGATAGGGTACCGCTAGTAGGTGTAAGAGTTTTGCGTGGAAGAGCTTGACAAGGTGAGTCTAGGGACAAGAGGATACTGGAAACTAGGAACTTTATAACTGGAACTAGAACTAGACAAGACTGACTAACTAGCTAGACTACGCGCGTCCTTTTATAGCTGTCTACAGCTGATTATTACTAAGCTGAATCTGGCTGTAGGTGGGTATCCACCTAGGATAACGGGACTCCTAGGCTCTTCTAGAAGAGCCCGAAGCCCTCTGGTCTTGTACATGTGACCATCGTCCAATCACAGAGATACAAATCTCTGACACTTACTCTTTTATCTGATCAAAGGTGGCCGATAGCGACATGATGCGCCCTAGTTTGAAAGCAATTCGAAATGCCGACTCAGAGGCCGTGCTCCAAGAAAAGTGGAATGACTTTCAAAGGAGATTTGCTCATGCGAAATGCGAAGTATACTTGCAACGAGTTTGAACTAGAACAAGACCAGTTATATATATCACTAGCCCAGTTTATCAGATACTATATTTAGCGATCTGTACCTGCACAGACACAGCTATTTAAGAGCACGGTTGCCAATTGATAGAGCCTCAGTCTTTGTCTAATAAACACATACTCAACCACACTCCCCGACCCGAACCTATTGCATGAACGCACTCCGTTTTATATTGAATGATACTGAAAGAAGCTATGTAGAAAATAAATAATAAAATATAGAGGCATCTCATTGCAATGTACCTAGTAACATGGCCAGACTGGTACTTAGTACATTGCGCGGAGCAAGTCCGATCTAAACCTAATGTACAGGAAACGTATATCGCGGTCAGGACGCGTTGAAGTACTCAGCGCGCACTGTCGCGTAAATTGTTGTGTAATTCCGTGAGTTCAGGCGACCACACTCTAAAAGAGTGCCACACTCAACATGTGTCTATTTCTGGGAATAGTGGCAACGAAAAAGACCTGCCACCAAAAGCCCCTTCCGTGTCCACCGTTTCATTGTGAACTCTGTGTTCTATGTGCCGACGTTCTTTGTCGTCCCGATAGACCACACCACCTGTGGATCTATCGTCCGTAGATAAATAGAAGGTCGTGCTTGACCCTTGCTCTTTAGCTTTCTAGCACTTGTCTTTCTTTGATATAAAGTACTCCATAACTCACTTCGTTTCTCACTCTCTATGATTCACTTAACCTCCAGTGGCCTCTTATTTACCTCTGGATTCTTCTGGTTACCTTTTCGGTCGATTCCCTCCCAATTTCCTCAACAAAATGGCTGCACGTGACTGCACATTTGGTTTACAATGGGACAGCAGTGAGAAGATCAAATTCATCCGAAAAGAGGAAGATGTCCTTCACCAAGAGGTCACACATGCTTGGGGATGGAACTCTCGGCGAAGGGGGAGGGACTCTAGGCGGGGAAAGGGGTGGAAAATGGGTGGAAAAGGAGAACGAGACGAAGGATAGGAAGGAGTTTTTTTTTGTTTTTTCTCGTCTCTAAAAGAATTTTCATGTGCAAGCAAGTGCACGGACCATAAGGCTGGTGTCGCGGATGACGCGTACAAAATGATGCCCTTGGCCGCGGCATATTCTCTTGCTTCTCATTCAGTCCTTTCTTCATCTTCCACCCTTCCTTACTTCGCACTGCCCATGTAAACCGACAATGGGTCTAAAAGACTGAAAAGGTCGAATCGATGTCTTGTCCTTTTATTCCGTGATCAGGAACGCCTATTCCTACAATACTCCCGAACGGGCTCATGCGATCCTCGATGCGCTTTGGCCCCACTTCGAACCTGGTTCTATACGTCGATGGAGGACAGGCTGTCGAGAAGCAGCACACAGCCGAGATTCGCAGGGCTTCTCGGGAAAAGGCAACTGTCCAATGCACGAAAGGCTTGGACGAGCTCGAACGGCACATCAACAACAACCTCAACCGCGGAAGCGCCATTTCACCGATGTCAGGACCAGTCTGGCCGCTACATTCTACTGGACATCGCTTAACCGTCAAGCATTCCTCACATACATGATGCAAGCTGTCTGGACAGTACGGATCTGCGATACAGAAGCGGACCTGGCGATTGCCACTGATTGCGGACCCGATGATATCGTCATCTCCGCTGATAGCGATATGTTGGCCTATGGTTTCGTCTGTACTCTGTGGCGTCCCATTCCGAAATACCTTGTCCTGGTGTACAAGCTCGCAGATGTTTGTCAGCAACTTGGATTGTCTCGAGATCATCTCACTGCCCTCGCCGTGGTATCATCGAATGACTACAACAAGAACATCTATTCACTCGGCCCGGCCACAAACTACTCCATCATCAAGAGTCTCAATGCGCAGGGTAACACTCGAGCAAAGCGCAAATGATCATGATTTGTGGTCTTGGGACACGTCAATAGAATATGCTCTTATTTTTTATATTTTTTTTTCTCTTAGACACAGAGTCCATCGTAACTGCATACCTGGGCCACATTACAGTCTCGACCAAGAACACAACGGGCGAGACATTCGATGTCGCTTTGCGAGTCTTTGTGGACAAGAAACAGACTCTTGTCGACCCCTAAAACGCCCCTACACCTGGCCTCTCATTCAATGATCTCCGTAAGAGGTTCGGAGACCTTCGTTCCCGACATGAGCAACTCAAGAAAAGTCGTCCGCCCGAGAGAAGGTAATATTTATTTTTTCTGATTGGGGGTGCATGTTGCTCTCTACTAGGCATCATTAGCGACTAGTTTAACTAACCATTTTTGTTTTTGTTCAATATAACTAGCACCTCCAAGGAACAGATTGTGCGTCTAAGATCATCTCAGACCCCAAATCGTTTCAAAACGGTTGAGTCGCCAGCATCAAAACACTCTAGTGCATATATCAAGACTCCTCGGCAGGCCGTTCAGCCCCCTCCCCTTGCCCAACCAGTTCCAGGAGCACAATCGCAGCAGCTCGCCTTGACCACCCAAGGCTCATCTTCTCCTCAAGAGCAAGCTGGTCATCCCCCCTTGCCGCGGACTTGTATTTCCCAGCATCGCCATTGGTGCTCGTTTAAACGACGAGAGAGGACTCAGGCTCAGAAGCGACCACCCCCACCCAAGATGAAACAATTTGTCGCTAAGCCTTACAAGGAACCGGAACACAAGCCTGAGAAGCCCAAACCCAAGCCGAAACCCAAGCCGAAACCCAAGCCTAAGCCGAAATCACTGTCGATATCGACAGCGACGACGGAGAAACTAAAAATCACTGGGTTAATGGCCTATCAGCACCCGACGACCTCTTTGTATCTTGGTACTTTATTGGCCAATGTCAAGCGTGCACTTCCAAATCAAGACGGTTTGCAACAAGAGGTGATGGCTATCCATCAGAAGGCCTCGAGCGAAGCGTCACGCATCAAGCACCAGGGCCAGAGGTTGATCGGGGAATACATCGAACACTTGGTCAAGAAAGGACTTGAAAGCCTGGATGCCGAGGATCGGAAGTTTTTAGATCTTCTCTGTCCGAGAGTCAGTATGAAGAATGTCAAAGATGACGCCGATGATGCTATGGAGGATGACGAGGACGGGGACGAGATTGTTGGCGTTGTGGAGGAGGACGATGACGAGGAAGAGGATGGCGATGAGGACGACATAGACCTGGAAGGATCAGGCAAGGATGACAAGGAGCGGTTGCAGTTCATTTCGAGCTTTTTAATACACCTGTACTCCGGCAACTTCCCGAAATCTGTTGGTATTGGGATCAAGGTCGATGCGTTCATCTCTCGTCTTGAAGGTCTTGATCTGTACACTCCACCGCGGGCTCGGTCAGAGATAAACAAAACTCTGCCATTTACTCCCACGGACCTGGTGCGATCTGTAGTCGGACAGTTGAAAGCCGAGCTAAAAAGAATGTATAAGAAGGGAACTTGTGATCTACACAAGACGGTAAGAGTTGAGGTGTCATGTTATCAACGCAGATGTTCAGGAATCCTAATACATGTATCGCTAATTCTTTTCTTTCTCTTTAATTGTAGCTGAAGAAGAGGGCGAGCAAGGGGCTGCTGAAGAGGTCCAACGAGGAAATTCAGATTCGGGGTGATATATCAGCAGTTGAAAACTACGTCGCGCTGAACAAATTGACCTAGAACCCCTGAAGGATTGCGCCCATGACTACGTCGAAGCAACCCTACATCGGTGGAACTGGTGTCCAAAGATGGAGGCTTCGCTACTATGGAAGGGATACAATGGTGGATAGGCGCAAAGGAGCCAGGTTTCTTGTTCAAACACTTTGTCGCCGATATCGATCCACAAAATTTAACGAGTCGCCAGAAAGGAAAGGCTGGTCATCGAGCTGCGATCAAGTTGTGGTCCCTCGATGCTCTAAGGAGCCACTTGCAAAAGTTGGAGGAGCCCGGATTCCAGCCAGGAGAATATGCCGAGAAAGGGTATATTTCAAGGGGCTCGCTGCTGACGGATGGTTTTGGACTGTATCTGCTTGGCTTCAAGTTGAGGGAACTGCAGTGTGTGCGGTACAGGAGACTGCCGGCGGATCGCCTGCCACCACGGACCACGTCCACGGTCGGAGGGGTGGACTACTATTTGCAGGAAATTCGGTATGTTATCCAGACCAAGGAGGATGTTGCACGGTTGTGGCCCAAGGTCGACCCTCACGATAACAAGATCCTCACGCTCGATGCTGGACAAGCGTTTGTAGTGGGTGCATATGGATATGTACCGGAAGATCCAGATGCTCACTATAACCTCGCCGTCAACCAAAAGGCGGTACTCTAACCAGTGTTCCGGCACAGGAGGTGGCTAGAAGGAGAAAAGGAAGCGACTCCCGACAAGCAGAAAGAATCGAATGCCCATATCGAATCCCGACTTCCACCCCTTCGAGGTCCAGGAGCCAATCTCTTTGATTACATTAAGGAGCTGGAGAAGGTCGAGGAGCGGCTTTCCGAGTTTTACAGTGGGAACAAGAATCGATTCAAGAAGCATGCTTTGGACATGGAGAGGGCCAAGCAAGCGGAATAACCAGGCCATTGCAGCGAGTCTGCTCGGTATCTTAGGCGGAAGCATCGGCCAACATCGAGACCCTGCAAATCCAGTGTTGGTCGGAGTGGGTCTTGGACAATTCAAGAGCACCGGGCGCCTGTCATCGCTTCATTCTTCATTTTTGGCATGCTTTATCCCGTTGGTACGTATGCCGTTTGCCACCATCGCAAAGAGTTCTAACGTTTGATATCTGCACATGGTGATAGCACGTTTATTCCTTTATTTTTATCAAGGCGCGGTCGTTGGGCTATATCGTAGTTGGACTGAACGAATACTACACTTCGAAAAAGTGCCCTGATTGCGAAAACTTTGTGGCCCAGGTGAACATCCGCCAATTTTACTGCATCCACTGCGAGAGGTATCACCACAGGGGCGTTATGGCCGCGGAGAATATGTCCAAGGTCGTTCGAGGGTATCTAGAGAACCAGAAGAGACCTCTTTACCTATAGCCCAGGACGGCAGACGGCGGGTACCCCTGGGAGGAAGACACGAGCATGGCGGCGACGAGCTCCAGCTCCTCCACGATCGACGCCAGCAGCGCCAGCAGCAGCGCATCCATTACCAGCAGCAGCAGCAGCAGCGCTCCCCCCAAAGCCGCAAAAGGACCTCTTCTGTATCGAATCAGTCAAGAAGACTCGACAAGAAAATGGCCAGAGTTTTAGTCTATCATCCCATAGTCAAGACTAGTTTTCGTGTCTCCGGCCACACAAATGTAGCTATTTTTGTCATCGGTGACGTGCTGCTTTCAAAGCGACGGAATTCGCTCCAAGTTCACCCATCTGCCATTCGCTCCAACTACTCTTTGCCTTCCAATCTCGAGACAGGGTAAGTGTACACAGCAATTTTTCCAAGATCCAATTGCTATCATCTATTATACTTCCTAGTCAGGGTGCATGGGGTTGACTACCTCTCCTACATTGTTCCATCCACGCGCGTTGGATGTTAATCATCCCACACCTCTTGAGGATTCGTTATGCGAGAGTCCGATAGTAGTAGCCTGTTTGTGGCCCCAGGAGATTCATTAACGCTCGAGCAGAGCCTTCTTGAACCATGCTGAAGCTCAATCCTACCATCCCGAATCTAATTATGCCGAGGGTTGGCCGTCGCGCTCCATCCACGCACGTTGAGCAGGTTACAAACAGCTCAACACCACTTGAGGACTCGCTATGCTAGAGTCCAATCGTGGCCACCTGCTTGGAGTCCCAGGAGTACTCATTAACGCTCTAGCAGAGCCTTCTTGACTTGAGCTCGCTCTTCACTTTTATTCCTTTCCCTCTATGAGTTACATTGGGTTTAATGCACTATGTCTGCTTTTTTGTGTTATGTTAGTTAGACGCCACCTACCATCACCACTCATGTCTCTCGCTCGGAGGAAGCAGGACAAATCTTCAAGCATTATGGATGCCGATTGGAGAGCAGAGCTGAGTGGGCTTCCCACAGAGGAGTATATTAAAACCTGCACACGGATCACCGCCATCGACTATAGAGGTTATCTCACATTCACATCGAAAGATAATGGATTCATGAGGCGGCAAGCACACTATGACTGGAAAGACACCATTGATCGCCTTCTTCAGTGCAAGCACCACGGACTTCTTCGAAAGGGTGAGGAGCTACAACGAAAGTGGAACAACAACGCCTACAAGCACATGGACGACATGCACTGGGCCCTTCAGAAAAGGAAACGGTCTGCCAAGCTCCAATCTGTCGTAGTAACAGGTTTGGCGGACGCATCAGTTAACGGCATGATGAAACGGATGCTCCAAGAAGAATTGGGTATGCCATGTGCGTTCCATTGCACAGTGCCTTTTTGTATGCCTGCTGTTAGCTGAGATATCTATTTCTAATATTACTAATTGCCTAATATCTCATGGAACATGAAATGCACAGACTTTGGTGACGTGCCGTCACTCACACAAGCGGACTCTTCTGAAGACATTCGTGCGGGCTGTGGAAACCAGGGAGTGCCATTAACGTCGGAAACCAATCCACCTGAGGCGTTCTCCAATTTGGTCCGACCGATTGACGGAGAAGGTGTTGCTTTTGACGGCTTTTGGCAAAGATGACTGAGTTTCTTGATTTTAGAAACTTACTGTTTTACAATCGATAGTGGAGTCTCAACGGGGAACAGCCCACGACACACTCGAAACTGAAGGTACTGCTTGCTTCAAGTTTATGCCATGGGCTCCGTTCGCGACTACCATTTAATGACCATGAACGATATCCGTCGGCTCTAGGCTTATGTAGCTCGCACTGATCTCACCCTGCTCTTCATTATAATATTCCGCAGATCAAAGCGCAATAGTTGATGATCAAGATCGAGATGATCTTCTCGCAAGTGTTATGCACTCAAGGCACAACCTATGTGAAGTAAGTGTTATGCTACAATAACGCTTTCTTCCAACTGAAGTTGACGAGGCGTATAGTAATGAACGCTAATGATCTGGTTTTATAGTGGATCGTGGAAGAAAAATGCATGTCATGCCTCTTTCAGGAATACCAAAAGATGTCGATCGAAGCGTTGTTCGCGAAAGAAATCAAAAAAGTTGATGTGGCAGACGCAATGTAAGTACCTCTCTTGCTTTCCTTTGGCCACTGTATTATTTTTACATCCCTTGATACTCAATGTCTTCTACCATCGTAGCGCGACATTCGGTGTATTCGCGCCATATGCACCAACGGACAGAATGCGATCTGTTTTCGGGGAGTCTAGGTTGGAAAATGTCGCACCAATTGTCAGACTCCAAGTTGAAGAAGAATACGACCTGTGTGTTCTTAAGGCAATAAGAGTACGTATTGTATAATGCATTTATGAAATTGCCTGCCTCGTTTGTACGCTGGACTAACTTGTTCTTACAATTTTAGCTCCGGATGAATGATCAGCGGAATGAGGCCATTGAGGCACTGGAGGGCATCAAGGACCGGAAGATAAGAGTGATGTTTGCGACATTGTAAGTTGTTGGCCCGTTCATTTAAATGAAATGCAGCTCTTGAACCCCAACTCAACTGCACACTGTTTTGTCTTTAAATAGTATCGAGCACTTGCCCCTTGACAAGGAAAGCCGGATCGCAGAAGAAACCTTTGTAGCTACGTACATTGCGCCAATACTCCTGGGAACGTTGAGGGCAAACGAGAAGGTCTCCATCCATTTGTACGTATATAATACCGCTTGCACTTGCCTCGTGAAATAGCATACATTGTTGCTACATCTCTAATATTTACTTGTTACTGTTTACAAAGTCCCAACACTGTGTGTGTAACTCAGAAAGACCAAGGCATGCGCCCGGACAGGCCAGACATCATCGCGAAGATTGGTGGACGGGAACTTCTCCTCGGAGAAGTAACGGGACCTTGCCAGGAGACTTACCGCGCCAAAAATGCTTGGGACCTCTATCGGCTTGCACGATTTGGCAAGTCTCTCCTGGGGGACAATCCCTTCGCACCGTTGATGCAGATCGTTCATACCAAGGGCGTCTACATGAGGTTGACGATCAAGGCGCGAGGAATGTTTCTCTTGGAACGTGTGGGAGCATTCGTGATCCCAACTTCGGTGGACATGCTACCCTCATTGCTTGGGACCATTCAAACCTTGTCTGCTGCTAAGGTAAGAGGTATTAAGAAATAAGTCAGATTTATGAGGATGGTTGGTTAAAGAATTTTGACTGATCAACCTCGTTTCGATAGGACGACCTCGCAATATTACTGGAGCATAAGCCTGAAAGCCGCAAGAGGAGTTGGGACTTCCCCGATCTCCCCATCGCAAAGAAACTTCTCGTTTAGCTCCGAGCTAGTCCAAGTTTACCGAGAGCATGGAAGTACTTGCAATGCGTCGATAATAAAAAAAATGTGAACAATTAGCATCCATTACATTTCAAGATAGAGACTTCGCCGCCCCCTTGCCCGCCTTCATACTGCCTTGCCCGCCCCTTGCCTGCCTCGCGCGACCTTTGCCCGCGCTGGCTCTAGGATGCTCGTGGATTTATTCCGGCTTTAGTAGAAAACTGTTCATGACAAAAACTAAAAGAACACTCTATTCCCACAGAGAAATATAAAACGAATTCTTTTCCAACATTTTTCTGTCAACCCTTTCTAGTTTTAATCCTTCTGCTCCCCTACCGCTCTTCCTTTCTGCCCTACTGCTACTCTGAATAAATACATGTAAATTATTATCATTAGTGCCGATGCCTGTACATCTGTTGGAAAGACCAGGAAAGCCCAGCTCCAACAGGATGGTCAGTCCCGTCAACCTGACGTCATAGGGCAGACAGAGGAGCATTTCGCTTAACCCCCAAGCAACAGCAGAGATGACTATGCTGCCCAGGATCCAGATGATCACCCAAATCGGAATCTCAACACCGTCTTTTGAGTCCGTCGTGTCGAACAGGATGTAAAGCTGACTACTCTCCCAATCAAGGTACACGTTTTGGCCATGCGAAACAACGTATTGTAGTAGCCTCGACGAGGCGCTCTTGAGCACTGAAATAGGTATTGGCTGCTGGATTTCATTGATCGCGATCGGAAGATGCTTGACGACCACTGCCATGTTAATGCATAGCCCGCTAGAGAACGGCTTTCCTTCGCGCGACTCAGATATAATGGGGTCGATAGGCTGCGGTTTAGTGACGACCATGTCAACGCTTGTGTAGAGACATAGCAATCGGGAAACGGTAGAGGAGGGCGGTCTCGTCGAGCCACATATCACCGCAGTGCGAGCATTGCTGCTTTTAAACTGGAGGGAACTACCCTCGCCACCCTGTTGTTGATAGTCTATTTCTGGGCTCCACCATATTTACTATTCATTCTCTCTTTAATTACATTTGTATGTGTTTGTTTGCTTGCTTGTCTGTGGGTGCATTGAAATTGCATGCTGCGAGATTTTTCAGCTTCGCGTCCAACCAAAGCAATTTGCTATTCATCGATCGAGCTCCCAATACGAGTACCAACATCAGCGAACATCGCCATTCTAAGAAAAAAAAAGGCGAAGCATGGCCAGAGGGGAGACACGTGTTTTGTATTCGGTAGGTGCGAACAAATGGATGAGAAGGATGCAATGGAAACGATGGAATTCAGTGAGAGTGAATTTAGAGCAAAGGAGAGACTATCTAGTTCTGCGTATACGTAAATAGGGTTTATATAGTAGTTATGTCGATGCTAACTGTGCTCTCGGATGTGGGCGAAGCACTGATGGCACTATAGCAAACTGAACCTAGTATCCTAGTATTACACCTTTTGCACGCACACGCAATGTACCAAGGCTCGATCGATTGTTCGGATGCGTGAGCCTCTCTCATGAAATACAGAGCTCTGCACTCCAGGAAGGAATTGTACAGAATAATGGTTATTCTATAGAATCATGGTCATGATCATTTAGTCTCTTAGTCCTTTGGGACACCCTTCATTGAAACGCGCCTAGTCTTTAGCTACAATATTCAGTATTACTATGAGGATCGACCTGAGCACTATCGTCCGTGTCTGCCTTCTATTTTGCTTTAATTAATACTGCTGTTCTTGTAGAGCTAATAGCTTTATATTTGTCTAGTGAGAGCGCCTTAGTGTCCATGGCAGTGAGGTAGTTGATTGCTTGACATCCATGTGGTACATATCGTCCGCAGACACGATCAGCATACTCTCAATCGTGAGCGGCTTAACATTGGATCGCATAATGATGGGGTACGGCTAGTAGTGTTGGGTGCAAGTCGGACCGAAAAAAGTTCTGTACAACGAGCCAGTATAAAGTGCATTCAGAAAATATTCTGTCAAACCCAGAGGCAAAGACAGAAAATCATGACTGCAATCATACAACCCATTAGCCAATCGGGAATGTCGAATCCGTCCAGGGTGTCTAACGTATCGTAAACCACGTAGAGAACTCCTTCGTTGTAGTTGTGGAGGAAGCTGTGTCCTAGGGAGGCCATATAATAGTGCAGCAGAAGCTGTAGCGTCCCATAACGTGGGGATGGGTATATGTCCCACATCATTCTCGTCCCTAGGAAGGGCGTGGTTAGTGGTCATCGCTAAGCTGTTATTCCGTGGTGTAGGCATTCGATCGCCCCCTAAGGCTTCTAAGGTAAATGAGTCAAATGCTCTTGGTTTCAATAAAAGCGTATTAACGCTGACATAGATGCATGCCACGCTAGTATTGTTGCGAAGGAGGTAAAGATCTGTCTTGAAAGAATAGCAGGCTGCAGCGTCAACTGTAGCTTCTCGAGTCCGGACTTCGATGAACAAAGTAGAGTTCGACTTGAAGGCTGCCTTTCCTATGGATGATCCAGATTTTGTAGTAACTCGTCCGGCTCCTCGAAAGCCATTCTTGCCACTTGGTTGAAGATTTTGTAGTTCTGCGGTGAGAACCACGCAGTGGTCATCGAAAGAGCATGGACCTCGCCAGTCGAAAACACGCACTTAGTAATGAGCATTTTCGGATAGGAAGCAAACCTCTCCGGGACGCCTCGCATAAACGTTATCAGCTCGTAGTCTGTAGTACCGCATACCGTGCCGAACCTGTTCATCATTATCCGCGCGCCCAATTCATCCACCACACGTGTATGGTTTCTGGAACTGCAACTTTCGACTGAGTATAGTTTGTTGTGGCCTGGCCTTGGAAAAAAAAAAAAAATCATGTCCGTACAGCTATCGCTAGAAAAGTAACGATTGGAGAATTCTGTATTCAACATCCGCAAGTCCACCTGGTTGCGTCCAACCCCGTAGCTGAAAGTCCGTGGTGTTTATATCCGTCCAATGCGATGTTGAGGGATGTTGCGAGTGTTGTTAATCAGACGTATCATCTCATCCTCAATACCGCCGCCGTATGGAATAGAGCTTATCCATCTTAAGAACATACTGACATGATCCGACCACAGGAACTGTATCGAGGCAATCGGTTCCGAAGATGGATAGCCGAGTCTTGTCGACGGCTTGATAAGAAGCGTGGTGGTCTTGTCCAAAGAATTTGGTACGACACTGGCAATAATCACGAAACTCATGGTGACACTCCTCCTTCAAGCGCGTGATCTGAGCTTTGTCTTTGCTTTATCCTTCAACAATGAGAGTTTTAAGGTTACGCAAGCAAAATATGCCAGGGGCAAAGCGCAATGCACCAGCGCTTTAGATGTCATCAGAGGCATATTCAACAACCCTATACGAGTATACAGATCGGGGTATAATGAGCGCCAATTGGTTGGTTGGTACCATACCCCACTGTAAGCCACGTATACAATACGGTGCATAAACCTTATTGAACAAAGTTCGCCATATAATTTCTCGACAGTCTACCCCAGTTTCTACTCACAACCTATTCCCATCGCCGCCTCTCTTGATGGCTTCCTTACCTTCCCCTATTATCGGCTGGTTGGTGGTGGCCTCTATACTCGGCGCGCGTAACGCGATTATATGCTCGAGTAGTTGATAGAGTATAGTCAATGGTAACGAGTATACTCGTATACGTATACTACGCCGTAGAGGGTCGTTGAATATGGCTCTGGTTAAAAATCTTTTTTATTGGCCGACGGTGGACTGGATATCATGATGCCAATAGTGCTGCGCCCAGTCTCTAACTTCCCCACTGTGTGAGCCCAATATATACCTAATCTAGATAGCGGCATTCGACTCAATAAGCCTTTATTTCACCATGGATTCACTCTACTGGTCCTAATCGTCTGCAAGAGTCTCAGGTACACTCTCTAGCTGTCATACTAGGGCTTGAACGTACAACAGACACTGTAAGTAACACTTAAATCCGATTCCCGGTCCGTACCTTAAGAGATGCTACTTTTTCCAGCTAGAAGTTTAGTTTGCAGGGATGGAGACATCGCTTCAATGGTACCGTCATACCAGTATAGAGCTTTACTCGTGCATGATACATTACATGGCGGGATTATTTTTCCCAACTTGCTTTGCTCTTGATGAGTTTTAGGAGACAATTATGGCAAGCAGATGAAAAGTTCCTTAAGGCCCTCGTACTTGAAGCAGTTTCCTCTCATGCAAAAAGGAAGCGGTCCTTAATCTAGGCTATACTCCCGATTGTCTGCCTGATTTGGGCTTAGGACTTAAAAATTCTCTCCTCTAACCATTCTTTCACGCCCTCTCATCCATCCATATCCTCTCTTCCTTTGAGGTCTATTGAGATTTTAGAAATCGGACCCCCTATTCACTCCATCACAGCATATTTACTCCAAGTTAAAATAAAAACAAAGAAAAAACGCCTATCTAAGGCTCTCTTACGCCAACCATGAGGATGTTCTCAATCGATAACAGTTCCTGGACGACCTGATCCATTTTCGGCCTCGCATCGTAGTGGTCATCGAGGCATCTCTCCATCAACGCGGTATACTCGGCGCAGATCCTCATGCCCTCCATCTTCACGAGATCCCCATCCCCTGGCTCTTTACCGGTAGAGATTTCGTACATGAGAACGCCGAATGAGTAAACGTCCGATTTTGTGGAGGTTCCGTATTTGCTGGTCCTTTCAGGGGACCACCACCTGCGGTAACTCTCTTCTATCTCAGGATATTGGCCAGTACGGGATGTACTCTGCTTGCACATCTCGAATCCAGTGATCTTGGGCTCCAGATCCCCATCCTGGCTCTTGTTGATCAAAACATTGGCGGCCCTGATGTCCCTGTGGATCACACACTCCCTGCCCGCCGTAATGTCGTGCATGGCCATTATGGCATCAGCGACCTTGCGCGCAATGGCAACCTTCTGCGGCGCATCCTTGATAAAGAATTCACTTAAAGGACCGTGGGTGGTAGCGTTGGTCACGATACGAAATCCTTCAGAGATACCATGCACGTGAAGGATATTCTGGCAGTCCGCAAGACACCTGCTAAGGCGGATACTGGTCATGATAAGATCGAGATGGGCACCTGCGAACTCCTTGCCTACCTCCCTGACATAGACTGGCTTGTCGTCGTAAGTCCCCATGTAAATGGTTCCAAATGGGAACTTTCCTACTTCCCCTCCAATCTCAAGTTTGCCTGGGTCCACAATCAGGACTTTCGAAATCCGAGAGGGCATATCGGACCGTAGAATCGCTCTCCCTTCATCTTGATTCCTGGACACTCCCTCCTCAAGGCGTATAGCCCCCAAATCCTCGTCAAGCAACTCTGCGTCGGACATTCTCTCAGGAACTGTGGCCAGCCACCAATCCAGGTTCTCCGCGTGCATATCGCAGATTAACGGTATTTCTCCAGACTTGATGAGGCGCATAAGAAATCCCAGGCCTGTGAACTTGGTGAGGTCGTTCCTGCATGCTTCAAGGGTGGCGACCAGCCCCTTCAGCTTAGGGTCGGTCGGCGAACCAAGTTCTCCATTCTCGAGACGTTCGAGCACGTAATTACATCTGAGGGCCAGGTAAAAGCATGATCTCTTGTTGACCCGAGTACGTCCTGCTGCGCTAGAGATACTGGCCACCAGGTTGGCAACGGCACTTGTTATATCGGCCATCTTATTTCAGCAGTAAAGTAGTTTCAAGTGTCGGATTCAGTTGTGGAGGTCTAGTTGGGTCAAGTGGAAACAAAAGAAGAGAAATGAAGGAAGGTTCAGACAGTGGCGAAGGCGGAATCAATTCATCGTCAGAGAACTGTCGACTTGTGTAGTTACACAGCATCAACCAAAACCCCCCCTTAACGTAAAAAAAGGCGAAGCTTTTTTTTTGTCACATCAAACATCTTTCCTTCAACAATCCCAACCAACACATCAAGTGCGAACCATGGCAATATCAACGCAAGGAGACGTAGCGCCAGGGCATATCTGGAGAGGGCAGAGAGTCGCGATAAAGAGTCCCCGAACGGGTCAGGAGGAGTCGTTTTTACGGGAGGTGGAGATTATCAAGAATCTTGCAGACAGGCATATCATTCAGTATTACCACTACACCGTCGAGGAACCGCTTGAACTTATTATGGAGGATGCCGAGGGTGGAGACCTCAACAGCGCCATCTCCAGACTGCAGTGGGAAGACAAAGAGAGGATTGCGGGTGAGATTGCTCACGGACTTTCCTACATACACAGTCTGGGCATCATACACTGCGACATCAAGAGCTACAATGTGTTGTTGACCAAAAAACTCGAGGCCAAGCTCTGCGATTTTGGGTCAGCGATGACAATCACGGACAAAAAGGACAAGAAGCCGTGCGATGGAAGTCCCGGATGGACAGCCCCCGAACTGCTGGAGGATAAAACTGCGTATTCGCCTGAGTCCGATATCTACGCTCTTGGGATTGTCATGTGGGAGATGGCGTCATCAGCCGCGGAACCATGCAACAGGCGCCAAGTTTTGGAGGAGAAGCTGGAGGACGTCCCGCACGAATACCGTAATATCATGCAAGCTTGTTGGGATTTGGACCCAAAGTGCAGACCGAAAGCTAGAGCAGTATTGTTTCTGAAGTATGGATGTTCTTTGAGGGAGATACAGGAACAGCTAGCGCGGCTGGCAACGGGGGATGCCGATGTACAGGACAAGAACCTACATATTCTATCCCAATTCGTGGCGGGTGGAAAATGTGACGCGAGCATGGATACCCACGCCAATGATCTGAATGAACTGGGGCGGATGCGCCTCGAGCATCAGGACTTTCTCAAGGACAGATCCAATGCGATTGAGCTCCGGCTCGAGCCTGCCGACCTAAGATGCGATGTGGCAAAGGCTGTAAAGGCTCTTGAGTACTATAGATCTGGGCTCTACGAACAAGCACAGGACTATGCACGACAAGTCAGCCATCATCCGGTGGGCAGCTATGTCTTGGGCGAGATGTATAGCCAGGGCCATGGAGTGACCAAGAACGAAGGCGAGGCACGCAGATGGCATCTCAGTGCAGCAAGAGGTGGACATGCCGTTTCACAGCATTTGATGGGTGTCAGCTGTTTCAAAGCAGGCAACCATATTGAAGCTTTGAAATGGTACCGCGAGGCTGCCGAGCAGGAAAATTCGGATGGGCAGTATAAGTTGGGTGTTATGTTCTACTATGGCCATGGCGTACCTCCAGATCCCATAGAAGCAGTACACTGGATGCAAAAGGCAGCGAATCAAGGACATATATCTGCGGCGACTGGGATGGGTAGGATCTGCTTGGGCCAGGAAAAGTATCCTGAGGCGATGAGGTGGTGCCGTAAGGCGGCTGGGGATCGCATCTCACAATATAACATTGGGCTCATGTATCGTACAGGATGGGGCGTCAGACCAAACTACACTACCGCCATTAAGTGGTTCCAACGTGCAGCTGACCAGGGGTATGGCCAAGCGCAGTATGCGATGGGTACGATGTATCGTTACGGCTGGGGCGTGAAAGAGGACTTGGACAAGACCATGGAGTGGTACAAGAAGGCGGTTGAGAACGGAGACCCAGATGCGGCCAACGAGTTGGCTATGATCGTTCTTGAGACGAACCGTAGGACAAGGCTCTACGAGAGTAATCAAAACCTGGGTTAGGCCATAAAGGAAGGGAATCTTTTGGCTAAGGGCAATCATCTGCTACGGGACATGTAGTGTTTGCATGTGAAGGCAAGAACGAGTAGAAGCAATAAATCCCCCTTAAATCCTTTCTTTGTTTTTATCTCTTCTTGGCGAAGCTTCTCTTATCTTCTCTATCCCCAGCATCTTCTACCAAGGCTCAAAATGAGTATGTGCTTCCTTCATAGTATCATTATTCAAAACCACCTCTCCTCCCGCCCATCTTGACTGTTTACTAGTCCTCGAAGCACTGGACTCATTGAAAACTCACTCTCTTGAAGTGTATTTTTGTATGATATCTTTCTATAGCAACCATCAAGTTGGGCATGTGTACAGCCTGTTATGGTCGGCCAGAGTACTTGAGCTGGACAGAATACGTAAAGGTGCGCGTAGGACAATGCGGTGTTCGAGGTGTAGCCATAAAGGAAGTTGTTGGTAATATACGAGAGACCGATCTCATGGCTATGAGGAATAGGAACATCATCCAGTTCTACCATCATTATGGCAACATCCAGGTCATGGACTTTGCGGACCGTGGCACTCTTGCCGACAACATTGATGAAATTGGAGACAGAAGGGAGGAGATCGCGAAGCAGATCAGCAGTGGACTCGTGTACCTCCAAGGTATGGACTTCGTCCACAGGAAAATCAGAACATCAAACATCCTCCTTACCAGGAATTTCGACGCCAAGATAGCGGGGTTCGGATCCGACGATATGGACTGTGATGAGCGATGGATGGCACCAGAGCTGCGTTCGGACTCTCCCCAGTATTCTTTCTATTCAGACATCTTTGCACTGGGGATGGTTATGAGGAAAATGGGAAAAGGTTCCGAAGACTACATGCGGTGGATGGTTCGGTGTCTAGACGAGGAGCCCAAGAAAAGACCATTGGAGTGCCCCATTGTCACTACAGAAGACGTGGACCCAGCGCCAATGATAGACAGTACGAACAGCGGACGACTGCAAGCACTCAAGAGCATGGCGCATAAGAATGGAGATGTTGCCAACTACATAGGAGCCATGTACCGTGCCGGGAGCAAGGTTCCAATAGATGAAGAAGAAGCGTTGAAATGGTTCTTGATTGCGGCTAATCTGGGGAATGCAAGGGCGCAGAACACCATGGGCGTTCATTACCACGATAGAGGGGACTGTGTCGCAGCCGAGGGCTGGTATTTAAAGGCCGCAAAACAGGGATATCAGGAAGCTTGGTCCAACTTTGGTGATTTGCTGTTTACCCAGGACCGATTTGTCGAGGCGGCGGAATGGTATCACATGGCCGCAGCAGTTAATGACGCGCATGCACAGTACTCTCTTGGGAAGATGTATTTCGATGTTTGGCTGAACGATACGCTAGCGCTCGAATGGTTCAACAAAGCTGCAGTTCAAGGATATGTTCATGCGGAATACATGATGGGATACATGTACCAACACGGAAGAGGTACAAGGCCGGATGACGAGAAAGCAGAGGAATGGTACCTTAAGGCCATAGGGAAAGGGCATGTCTCAGCAGAGAGAAGCCTGGAAAAGATGCGTCACGACAGAAGAGCGTGGGTACAGATTCGAGAATCCGAGTGGGATATGACATCTATGGAGGATGATGAAGGGAATCTTGATCCAACGAAGATTCTTCTTAGCTTTAAGAATTTTTCTCTTGGCCCAGAGGAATACTTCCTGCACGCCATGGAGGAATCAATGAAAAATGCAAAGGAGGTAAGCTTTCGATGTATCTGAAGCGACTTTGTCTTAATCTATGTGAGAGATGAACTAGAAAGGATTCAAATATTCAAACACCAATTCGATTTGCCTTTGCGGCCATCCACTTTATTCAGCGCTAGAACCGCCCCCTCATTCTGCCGCACTTGTGACAATGGCTATTGACCAGCGACAAGTCTACAGATAGATCAGAGGCCATGCTGTATCGGTAGCTTCTGCTGCTCGAATATTATTTTAGTCAGCCATAATCAGTACCAGAGACGAGTTCCAGTATAAATTACAAGAATCCCACATTAAACAATCCACTTTTTTTCTCGCTGACTTCTTGGCACATCTATTTCGATCAAGGCTTTGCGACTTTGAGAGTACCGGACATAGGAGTCCTAGGACCTGGACAGAAGAAAGCAATGGCATTAATGACGCAGCACAGAAAGCTACGTGCTCTTGCGTTTAAGATTCAGCAACCTTTCTTGTTGGAACTGTGTCCGGTATTGCTATAAAGTATAGTGTCAGGAGAGGTTAATGAGGAGTATCTGCACACCACACCGGCTAGATATTTACTAGTTAGAGCCTCATGGATAAAATAAGAGACGACCGTTTGGCTGGGGAAGGCAATAAAATAATATTTTTATTTCGCCCTAAAGGCGTCTTCGTCTCTTTCTTGAATCGGAGGTGGTTTTTTCGCGTTCCTTCATATCCATATCGCCTCCCCGGTGAATGGCTGCTTTCAATTGGGATATAAATTGTTAGACTTTGGGATGGGATAGATACCTTTTCTATTCTCTGTGTGCGATAGAGAGATGGAGTGAGTGAGGGTGAGGAAAGGAGAGAGAGAGGAGAAAGAGGGAATGGAAGTTCCAAGGATGACAAGATGTGCGATTGCAAAATAATTTTTACAAATTAATGCAACACCAACAGCGATTGGTCGTCTCTTATTTTATACGTGGGACTCTATGCACTTATTAAGGTGTTTTTCACTGATAAAAAGATAAAAAATCAGGGCGAGTATGAAATGGTTAAGCTGAGGCGAGAATAGAGGTGATGAAGCTGAGACGGAAATGGAAGGGGTAAAGCCGAGGCATGAAAGTGGAAGGAGAGGTATGGGTAGGGCTGTGGACGGGAGCGATAAGGAAAGGATTTTAAGGGTGCACTTGATAAACGAGTGTATCCTATTGGTGCTCACGCGCTTTGGTGCGACTCTCTTAATAGGAGAATGGCAAAGGCGTGCAGCAGACCAGCGCGAATTTGCGCTGTAGCCATACAAGCTACACGCCATGTTCAGCATTAAGGATTGTCAAATTAACATTCGCTGCCTCTGTAAATTTAAGACTTGCTCAGCCCGTCGGTACACGTTAACCAGGCTGATTGATTCAACTTAGCTAGGGCTATCATATCAAATTAGCCAGCCGTTTTGCTCGTCTTGTCCACTTCTCCACACAGTTAAATATACGAAGCTGCAAAACGATTGGAAAGTCCACAGTTGGATCGCGCGCTTCAGTGTTCGGTCAGGAAGAGGGGGCTGCGACGCGACACCCATGGCTCCTACCCCACCATCGTCAATGGGCGACCAGAATTATTTTCCAGAGGGATCGGGTTGGAATCTTGAGACATGATCCTCTGGTGACTTTTGAGGCACTAAAACAGCCTGAGCGAAGACTGCTAGAGACAGAGTACATCAACTGGATCATAGACGAGTATAGTCGGTGTCCTCTTTGGGAACGCTGGATGAAGGTTGTCAGAGCATCTGCTGCCGATGAAGGCAGGTGGAGAAAGAATACAGAGGGGATTGCCAGTGGCAGTAGCGGAACTCGAGCGCTGATGGATTTGATGATGGGAAAGCTTTGACGTTGAAGAGAAAGCTTACGCAACAGCAGGAGACGGAGCAGAACTTGAGTAGGGAGCAGGTCAAGGAGCGCATCGCGCAGTTGTATGGCGGTCATTATGTGTTCTTGAATAGTGATAGCAAGAGGGAGGACGGCAGACCAGCGGATGGAGATATGGATGGGGATAAGGAAAGGAAACAGGAGTCCAAAACCAAAGTGACGAAAGAGTTTTGCGGGGCACTGGAGCACCAAGTGGAGCTGTTCATGTTGGACATCAGGAAGTAATCGCGTATTTCAATAAATAATTGGTACGTGCGCTACATGCAAAGGCTCTTTGTGTGACCAGGAAGTAGTAACGACCAAACTAGTTGGGCCATATTCGCTATAGTTGATTCTCTATATGACCATGATCCAGACAGTCGTACGACATTAATATTGAAGGCGCTTGTGGAGTAGGCGTTAGCTGTCAGGATAGTCCAAAATCGATCGCAGTAAGAAGAGAGCAGCAGGGGAGATGAGCATCAAAGAAGGAAGGAGACACCTCCGATGGCGCGTCCGGCCGCTCCATTATCGGATACAGGTTCACAGACAAAGGTCGAGAATGATGGAAAAAAGATTTTGCTCGTTAGTAATTGGCGAAGAGATAGGGCCGGCGTTGGGATTGTAGCCGTAGACCCATGCCCCTGACACCTGAATAATCTCGCACGATAACGGCTGGTCTGAGGATGGCATATCACTGATGGGTTCGCTATGGTCGCAATCGATGACTACGTTTGTGGTGTGGATGTCAGGGTTGGTATAGCTGGTATTGCCGACAACGGAAGCGTCTGAGCCCAACCAAGGATCCATTTCTCGGAGAAAACCATTGGCCTCCACGTCGTAACAGATAGGCCGGACCACAGCGTCGATCTGTTCGTGAAAGCTAGCCATGTCTGATGTGTTGGTTTGCTAGGATTCACGTTTTCTTCTGATCAGGAGAAGAAAGTGCGGACAAGACGATGACAGCTTGAATAAGGGGACGGGCAAGGGGAGAAACCAGGGCTTTGGTGTTTGGGAAATAAAGTACTTTATATATGGTGCGACAACTTCACCATTTTACTGATGGAGTGAGTATAGGCATCTTTCCGATGTATCATGAGTTCTTTTTTGCCTCCGCTGTGTCAAATGCCATGCCATGCCATAATGCAGGAATTATACTTGGGCAGGAAATACAGGCCAATCTTTACATGGTCGATAATACTTACACTTAGACCACGAGACAGCACTGGAACTGACGGAAAGAGCAAATTCACCAAGCAAGTACCATTAGGTTGTCTGAGTGGGGCCATCCATCATGACACCGAGCTGTTCAAAGATCGACATAGCATCGACTCGATTTGTTACTGTCACAAATAATTTTTATTCTATGAGGACCATCGTCGAGCCCATCCAGGTCCACCACGAACTTCTCCAATGCACCATCGAGTACATCTTCGGTATATAACGCATTTCCTCGAAGTTTCATTAGTAGAGGACTCAATCTCTGGTGTTCCCCCAAGAATCTCCATTGAGAAGAACCTCGCCAATTTAATCGGGTCGAAACCACTCATAGCATCCTCGGACAGCTCTCTAAGCTGGACCTTCTCCTGCAATTGTTGATGACCTTCTTTCTCAATGCACCTTTTCTTTTATTCGCGAGCTCTGATTGCAAAGGAGAAATCAGGATCTGGTTTAAAAGACCGAGCATACCTATAACGACCTATAACGACGATTTATTCCACTCGCAGATCTGCTGCAGCAATTCGAAGTGATGGTCTGGAAATGACGATTTTATAAAGTGGACTATAAAGAAAACGGCTGAGGCTGACCTAACGGTAATCGGGTCCGCCGAATAAAAAAAGCGTGACAGAGGAAGGGATTTGCTTAGAGAACGTTTGTTTCTGGGACTTCAAAGCAATGTAGATCTTCCAGATCAGCGATGAGGTTTTTATTCTTGATAGCCAGATGCTGAGGCATAATGCTTCCTTACATGCGCGAGGATGAAATGGGTACTTCATTTTACATGCCAGGGGTACCAGTGTTGTCGCCAGAGTCCTCATCATCGTCCATGTCAAAATGGAAGCTGACATAGCTTGACCCTTGAATGTCTGTCTGAAATGGCTCAAAAAATGGGATGTTCTCTCTTTCAAACGACATATTGTCTAGACGACCTGTAGTAGTTCTGACTATATTGATCGCGGACGATCTAGTCATTTCCTGTATTTCATGCCTGTATCTTTCTTCCGAGTCAATATCCAATGCCTTACCAAGTCCCTCGGATGCACAGCCAGAGTACCTTTCCTTCGTATTTTGTAGAGATAGACGCTGTGTGGCAGTTGGAGGGATGATTTTGGCTAGGACATGGATGGAAGACACCTGTGACCTTATATTCGGATCTGCGATGGATGGCAGTGCATGGCACAAGTCTTGACATGGAGGGTTGGGCGTTATCGGCGGCCGAGAGAATTGAGCGCACATCTCTCCTGTAGAGCTCGGAGTAATACTGGACTCTTGAGGTGATTGCGATGGAGGGCACGATCTTTTGATGGGCGAAACGAACGACAAAAAGGATTCTACCGAATCTAAAGATGGTCGCTTGGTCTTTCGTCTTTCATCGTTCTTTGTCTTTTTGTTCCTCCGCTCAGTGGTTGGAAGGTTGGGTAGGACCTTGTGAAGGAGACATGACCCACGAACGTTCATGTTATGACAGGTACAACGCCCTGAGAGCTGTTGCGTAGCATGGAGAGATCCATTCGTGGACAAGTTTGCTGAGAGTGCTGACGTGCATTGTGATAATCGCGTCGAGGTTGTCGAATGGTGAGGGACTTTAGTTGCATCGACTAGCAAGGGCGCTGATTGGGACCTATCAGCAGCATTCTGCGGATGAAAAGAAGCCTCTTTGGGCCGCAGTCGGTGACCTAGCTCCGTTTATCTTGATTGAGGAGGTTGAGGATAATTTCGTTCTAGAAGGATTAGGGCCACCGATGGACATGATGGCCATAGACAGCGACGAGAACCATGGCCCCAATCCAGATTTTTTTCTAACTCGTATGCCCTTGCTGTCAATCACATGTGTAACACCTGCAATCTTACTCGCATGCTCACGGAAACTACCCTGCTGAGAGGTGTTGTCAATCTGGTTGTCGCTTAGACCTGACGATTGCTGGTCGTACAACGTGAGACCTCTCCTTGCAGGAACTTGCATATCAGGATGTCCACCTGCTCTAATACCAGCGTTCGGATTCAATTTCAATGCGTTGAGAGTGGCAAAGCTAGTAGTCTCGCTGGAGAGTTGAAAGGAGCGACCGTCAGTGTACTGTGGTCTCTGCAATCGCATTTTGTGGTGATCCTCAGTCGAAGGCATCTTTCCCGACTCGTTAGCACTATTTCTGATATTGCCATTGATCTCAATGCAGGGGCACCCGCCATCCCCATCAGACTTCAAATGTGGCATGGAAGGGGCGCTCAAGTAAAGCCGCATGAGAGAAGAAGTAGATCCAGAAATTGTCGCCGGAATGACAGAGAGAAGCGATACTTGAGAGGAAACTGAGGCTTTATCAACGTTCGGGTAGGACAGGTAGTTGTCGGCGATGGACGAGTCCGAAGAATAGGGAGATCATATCCAAGTTTTCCAGTAACGGCGGAGCGGAGGGTTGAATGTCTGATTCTCGGCGATCGTCTATTGTTGATCTCTACGCACAGACGATCGTGACACGCAGCCAAAAAAAGAAAGAATAAAAAGGGCAGTTGTTATTATACTTTGTTTGAAGGCGTAATAATAGACTGTCGATTTCATGCTCCGGGCAGGCATATGAGATGTGGACACCGGAGCCAACAACAGTAACTATCAGCATACCCTCGATTCCACTTGAAGAGGCGGTATCCGAGCTAGGTTCAGACATTGTGGTATTGGCGGTCAAGGCAGCGTACGGCCCTGGAAGCGAGATGGATGTTTGGCTAATAGGATTCGCTGTTGCCAGGGAGATGTGTAATGGATATTTAGGTAATTTAGGTACGAGATGGTCCTTGGAGAGGACCCGCCATATGGTGCACACAGCGAGTTATTGATACAGCTGGCCAGAAGCATCCTGTCGAAATCCATGTCCTGCATACGTCGAGTGCTGTTTCCTGCCGAAGGAGGAATTCGTGCGCGATTTGAAGACTGGTCATCCGTCGTTGTTGGGTTGAAAGAGTTTTTGTTACTACGCCTGATGGCCATGTCTAGGAAACAAGTACTGAGAACTTCAATGCGCGTAGAGATACGGCTTGCAATGGTAAGAGAAAAGATGTTGACTTGCGGATGATACTTGTTGCCGATGAGGGTTGAGGTGATGGATTTAACGAGGGAAAATGCCGAGGAGGACCTGACGGAGAATTAGAGGACATCTAGAAAGGCGGGAGAGAAAACTGGCGCACTCAGCAGAGAGGAGTGCATCATATTTATGTAAAAATCGGTTGCCACAGTAGAGTAAACGGTACAGCAATAAAAGACAGGTGCATCAGTGCCTGCGGGCGTTCTGATGACTTCTTAATACTAAGGGTTTCTAACATTCATGGACATTCCTTTGGTATTTTTTAGTGCAATGGAATGGGGCAATTTTGGTCTAAACTGTATATGGATGAATCTATTCTAAGGTACAAATGAAATGACAAAAAGATAGGATATGTGTGTGAAGCACGCCGTTGAGATGTGCTAAGGTGATGCATGGATTAGGTACATGGAATGCAGAGCGCTCTAAAAAAGAATGGAGGCTCAGTCTCTGCCAGCGCGGTGGTTCTGACGGCGTTTGTTGGCATCCAACTCACGCTTCCTGATTCTCAACGAGGACTGTGTCACTTCCAAGACCTCATCTCCAGCGATATAGGAGATCATCGACTCCAGACTCATCTCGACTGGTGGACGCAAGATGATGTTTTCGTCTTTGGCCACGGTGCGGATGTTGGTAACCTGCTTGGCACGAGTTGGGTTGACTTCCAAATCGCCTGCACGCGATGACTCCCCGATAACCATGCCAGCGTAAACCTTGTCACCAGGACGGATAAAAAGCTTTCCACGGGGCTCGATCAAGTTCAGGGCGTAAGAGGTAGCGGCTCCAACAGTCCCCATGGCGACCAAGCTTCCCTTGCGCGACCTCTCGAGACCGCCCTTGAAGGGTGCATATTCCAGGAACGTGTGATTCAGGGTGCCATCTCCGCTTGTGTCGTTCTTGAACTCTGCAGAGTATCCTAACAATCCTCGAGTTGGGCATTCGAACACGATACGGGTCTTGTCTCCGTTCTCCTCAAAGCTCTTCATTTCCGCCTTGCGTTTGCTCAGCTTCTCAATGATCGTTCCCGTGTACTGTGTAGCAACATCAATCGTGACCTCTTCAACAGGCTCCAGGCGCTCTCCATTCTTCTCCTTGAAGACAACACGAGGTGGCGAAACACTCAGTTCAAAGCCCTCGCGGCGCATGGTCTCGATCAAGACTCCGAGTTGCAACTCTCCTCGTCCACGGACTTCGAAGGCGTCCTTGTTATCTGACTCCACGACCTGCAGCGCAACGTTCGTCTCGGCCTCCTTCAACAGGCGCTCTCTGATCATGTTTGATGTCAGATTTTTGCCCTCCTCTCCTGCGTATGGTGAGTCATTGACAGAGAATTTCATAGCAATGGTTGGGGGATCAATAGGGTTCGACTAACATTATCGAAGAGAAATAAATGTCAGTCATTACAGCGGTATAAAGAATAACTCACATGTTCGCCTGGGCAGATGACAACATCAACTTACAGGAAGTGGTTCAGTAACGGTCAAGTCGCAGAGGGTCGAATTGACAGTGGCATTGGCAACGCCGGTAAGAGTAACAATGTCTCCAGCGCCAGCCTCGCTCACTGGGATCATTTCCAGTCCACGACGAACAAAGATCTTTGTCACACGTCCTGACTCGGTCTGCTTGCCCTCGGGATTCAATGCCTGCATCTTGTCACCAATCTTGATCGTACCTCCAGTAATCTTTCCAAGGAAACACTTTCCAAGGTAAGGATTGCTGTCGATCTGCGTAACCAACATCTTGAATGTATCTGAGCGGTCGACCTTAGGCGAAGGAACGTGGTCGACGATCAAATCAAACAGAGGCTTCATGCTCTCACGAGGCTCGTCCATGCCGCGAGTAGCCCATCCTTCCTTGGCAGAAGCGTACACAATAGGGTAATCCATCTGCTCGTCGGTCGCACCCAAAGATCCAAAAAGATCCAGCAACAGTCCGTCGACTTCGTCCACACGAGAGGTTGGGCGGTCGACTTTGTTGAGGACAACAAGAGGACGAAGACCAATCGACAATGCCTTGTTCAAAACAAACTTGGTCTGAGTCATCGGTCCCTCGCTGGCATCTAGAAAAAGAGGATCGACATGGATATTTAGGTATTGCATATCAACGACTATTAGTCAAGGCGATATGGATGAGGTAAGCGTACTTACCAACGATCAAAGCGACACCATCCACCATGGACAAGATCCGCTCTACTTCACCACCGAAATCAGCGTGTCCAGGGGTATCTATTCCAAATTTCCGGTCATTAGTCACTGCATTTGTCTAGTTGTATCGATACTTCTTACTGACCAATATGTCCTAGTCTACTACATACCGACGATGTTGATCTTGAAAGACTTGTCATCAGAAGGTTTGTAAACGACTGAAGTGACCTTTGACAGAATTGTGATACCCCTCTCCTTTTCTAGGGCGTTAGAGTCCATAACACGAGTCGATCCAAGCGCCTCTCCAGACTGTGCCAACAGCTTATCCACAAGTGAGGTCTTTCCGTGGTCGACGTGGGCTATTATGAGTGTAAATCAGAAGTGTTAACGAATATCCGGATCCCATGCCTTTCTGAAGTAACGGATCATGGTTGTACGAGAGGAACTTACCGATGATAGCAATGTTGCGGATGTTCTCGACAGGCATCATATCCTCGACAGACAGCACAGGGATAGACGCCTCCTCTTGGGTTGATTCTGCAGAGTAACATCGACGGATAAATTGTGTGCTTGTGGTAGCTGTCCTCCAAGGTTGTGCCTTTGCAATGAGCATTCCCAGACGATGCGGCTGAAATCTAGTAGGAACAGCCGTCGAGGTTCTCAGCAGCGGACGAGCAGGTGAAGGTCCCACAGTGGTCAATGTCCGGGCGAAGGAAAACTTTGTTGAAGTGGCCCTGACAGAGGGTCGTACGGCGAACATTGTTGTCGGTCCAGGAACGATAGGTATCGGTGGGGAGGAGTGGAGTGTGGATTGAACAACTTCGGAAAAGAAAAGTGTCCACCGATATGAAAATGCCGCATCCGGAGGACCAAAAGGACAACTCGCCCATTTTTTTACAAGCCACTTCAATGTTGACCTTTTTTAACATTTTAAGTTTGATGAACCCCATTCGCGGGTTTATCGGGCACTGCATGTCAAGGGCCGAAAAATACTTGAAGGCGCAACTCCAGGAACAGTTCCGGGGCTGCGCTAGACATAGCTCGTGTGGAAGAGCAATATTTAAATTGACACATGTGCATGGTGCCCTTGTTAGGTTTCAGGGTACCTATTGATATGAGTAAGAGCGTATGTGAATAACGCATGTTGCGTATATGCAAGCATGGATATATTCAGCACTCTGGACAACTATCGAATGCTGCAGTGGGCTGCGCTCGCATGTCATGGACGTCTCCTCCCTCGTATTACTGCCTGATACGGAACATCTGGTTGGGTTATTCTTGGATTATATCACCCTGAATGGAATTAATTGAGTAAAGGACGTAGGGCTTCTAAATGTATCTTGTAGCGTAGTATACGTCCCAGAGATTCTCGGCTTGTTGATTGTCTGCGTGTTGAAGACTATGATCATATGTGCAAAGCTTTGGATATACACGGGTTATCTGATGGATAAACAGTGCACTGTCTCTCTGCACGAGCGTTTCTTGATGAAGCTCACGCGTCATTTACAGTGTTCAAAAGAAATGCCTCGCTCGAAAAAATAGCTAGGATTGAATGGCCAATTACAAGTAGATCATTCAACTATCTGCCCAAGATACTCGGCACTACTCATTCAATGAATAAGGTATCGGTCGCAATGTCCGCATAGCGATCGTTAGATAGTGATGAGGCTGGCATGCTTTCTTTCCTGTTTGCTTCTGCAATCTGGCAAGCAAACAGTATGATAGGCATACATCAACTACATAAATAAACACAACATATCTTTCATTTGCACATTCAAAATGTCAATGACTCCGACTGCTTTCGCAAGATATCCTCCGGAAGCGATTCTGGACTACATGAATCGCTAAACGCGATGTTAATGCCCACGGTTAGTATCTCACTGGCTCTCGCCCGCACATTAAAAGTTTAGAATAGCAGGCAAGAACAGTTTGTATGATGAGTCGGTACACATAAATAAACTGTATCCACGTATGTAAGTGTTGGGATCTGAAATATGTTGTACTCTCAACAACCATCAAATGTGGCAGCGGAATGTATCTACATGCCATGCAACGAACGAAGGAATAACATAGTTCAAACCTAATTGCACGTTGTTTGTGCACGGAACATTTAGGCTCGTCCGTTCGCGTCGAATTAATTAACTGCGCACACCATTAACCACCATCTTTGTCGAAATGAGGTCTATTAACTCAGTCATCGATATAGTAGGACGCAGCACCCGACACAGTAAATTCGAGGGCGGCAAGACACCACTGATTTGCATGTACAGCTCTGTCGACACCATCATGGCCAAACGGCAAGCAATCAGCCCCCTCATAAAGGCAGCTCGTGGAGGAAGCCCTCTTCCAGATCCGTTACCTTTTATTGACATGACCGTCATCCGCCTTCCTGCTGGAGGTCATCCAATTCCAGTCTCCATGGTCGGCTTGGAAGCTGCAACCGCCTCTGCATCTCAGTACCTGGCATTGCTCGGTCAGAACTTTTATCCTGATTGGGACGCCTCCAAGCTGTACGTTGTCTACGACACCATGGACCAGGACCAGGGTTTCGAGATCCCGCTATGGCTTTTGATCTGCATGGGAGTAGTTGCTGCTGTTTGCCTGGCAACATGGATGTATGCACTGATACTTTTGCCAGAGCGATGTACCAGTTCGCTGTACAAGGTCCTGACGATGCAACTGGCCCCAGAGGTTAACAGCTCTGCTCCAATGCTGATCAAGTCCAAGATGAACCCCATGGAGTTTGAGGGACATCGAGCCATGCTGGAGCTCGAGGAGTGCGAATTGAAGGCTGACAATTCAGTATCTAGAGTGACAGTAACAAATAAAAATACCGACTGGCCCGGGCGCGTTTCGGCTTATACAGGTTTACAAAGACTTATGATTGCAACTAGTAAACGACTTTGATGCGAATGTCGTGTCATTTCTCTATCAAAAAACAGTTAACATGTAGCCGATTTATTGCTGTTGCAGCTTTCTTGATAATGATGCTTTCAGAACAACTCCTTCAAAGCAAACCATTGTGCTAATTGACCTAAATGTATTCGCGAAAGCGCTATATTTTTCCATTGTTTACATTGTTGATTATAGACCTGAGTGTCCTGCTCGGCTTGGCGCCACTTGCTACACTCTATGGAAAGCGGTACAAAGCATCTGAACATGCAATTCGAATACAATAAACCTCGCCAAGGTTATAGATACATATAAACAAACACGTGGGGCTCAGCTATGTTGTAACTCAGAGTGTACAGGACCAAATAAAACAGATACCGAAGCCACCAGTTGTCCTATGCATGCCGCCATAAATGAGTGTGGCGGGTTCCTTCATGATTGAATCAAATTCATACGTCGCAAAGAATATAGCTACATGAGCACCGGATAGCTTTCTGACTAATGAAAGTCCTTATCGATACCTAAGAACGGGCATGCTGTGCTTTGTTTACGTTATTTCCGTGAAATTAATTTGTCGCCATGCATTGTCTGCGTGCAGGCATGCTCACACGCGTCATAAAACCCAAGAATGGTAAACAGACCAAAACAGTAACAGACATGGACTCTATGGAACGACATTCAGGGCAATTGAAAGCCTGTAATGAGCCCTGGCTCGCTAGACAAAGGTTCACCGTCGCCATTTTTAAAAGACCCAGGTAAGATTCGTACTTCTTCATTTTTTTTTGTCCCTCCTCTCTCACAATCACCCCAACACCGCCATGTTCCTCGGCTGGAGTATCCTAGCCATCAACGTAACCTTGGCCGTCTTCAAGTTGCTTCTTCTCGCCGCCGTCAACGCAACCTTGGCCATCTTCTCGAGATTCGGAGGTGAATATGCCACCAGCATCCGATGGGCCCGATACGGCGGGTATCCGGAAATGTGCTACGCCCTCGTCAACTCCCGCAAGACCGCACCCAATCCAGCCAAGGCCGTTGTGATTGTAGCGTTCTTTTCATGGATCATAGAGAGCTCTGCAGACAAGATCGTCCTGAAATTTGTTAGCCGTACAGTACATCAAACCAATAATTCCTATGTTGTCACAAGTACCCCGCAATTCATCAATATGGCCGATCCGTCCATGTCCACAGACTGGTCAAGGTCTCTCGCACCCGGAGAGAACGTTGTCGATATCATGGGACAGATGATCAACGACACAAGAATCATCCCCGGTGCAGTGAGCGGCCGGACTTATACACCACGAAAATCCGAGTATGAGATCGAGTGCGACCAGTTCCGCCTGATTCTCAGCGGAGGCTCAAGGAATCGCCTCCCTTTCAACAATAGTGGTTGCGCAGACATCTTAATTCAGCCGTATGACTCCTTTGGCGCTTCGCAACCAAATACCACTTTCATCAAACTCTCGAGTGACCGCTGGAGCCTTACAACCACAAGAGGCGCAGATAACTTGTCGCGGCTGCCGGTCTCTGGTTTTAACCTGACCCACGGCAATTGGTCCTGCTCGTCAATGGACAAGCGATCGACTGTGGCTTTCGCTCTCGCGGACGGATTGATCGACTTACCCAAGACCATAACATCCAAGCATGTCTTCCCCTCTGGAGAGATCTCAGTCATGACCGTATCCTTGGCGTGGTTCGCGTCAACAAGCTTGGACAAGTTCCGCAACGTTTCAACCGCCATCTTCGACGATTATAATAAACTGTTCCAAGGCATGGAGACTTTGGTTTCCAAGACGCCCATCAAGTCAAACACGACTGTGTTTATGGAAGCGAGGGCTGTGGACTCTACCGTCGATATACTCACATGCTTCACCCGCGTCTCGCCCACAGGAAATAAGGCTTCCTTGGCCTGCTTGTATAATTCACTCAGTATCATCTTGCTCAAGCGACAGGAGGCCAACCCGATAATCTTAGAGTCTCTAAGAGGCGAGCCATACCCTATACCAAATACAGAAACCCATGTCGCGAGTATAACCTATCTGCCTGAGGTCATCAACGGCACGGCACGCCCATTATCCTTGTCAGCCTTCGGAAATGGAACCACCGGGGCCTCCAAGTTCTTTGCGTCGCTCGGCCAAAACTTTCTCCAAGACTGGCATTCTGTGCAACTGCACATTCTCTACGACACTACTGACCCCGAAGTGGGAATGGACGTTCCTGACTGGTTGGTCGCCTGCGCCCTGGCGACCATGGGGGTCTGTTTGTTACTTATTGGTTCGAGCTGTCTGTTGGATAAGCATTACACCTGTTCGCCTTACAAATTCTTCTCCATGAAGCTTGCTTCGCGAATGAACGCCTCCGCCCCGATGTTGATGCGATGCAAACTCGATCCGCTTCAGTTTGAGGGCATTCAGGCCATTTGCATAGAGGAGAAGCAGGACGTGGACGCCAGGAGCTCCAAGACTTCTTTGTCAATGACTCTTTAGGATAGCGATGCTTTTATGATCTTTAGTTCCCTGTTCTACACCTTTAGATCTTTACACGAACATGTCTCATGTAATGAATAGAAATATCCAACATATCTAATGAATGAATAAATGGCTAGTCTATTAGAACGTGCTTCGTTGTTTAATGACTCGCAGAGAATGTCAATACTTACAGGCGATAAAAATAACAATATGGATCGAAAGATCGGTTGCGCGTAGCCCATCGAGCAATTAATTGAAAAACTTTAGCGCTATTCGTTTAAGATTAAAACCAGCATTCATGATGTTCGGGCAACGGCACCGTGGTTGCTGTGAAGGCTGTTGTGAATTCCTTCTTTTTCCTTATTTGCTTGACAGACTGCACGAGGAAATATGACGAGCAGCAGACAAAATTATACCAATGAACACATAAACAGATAAACAAACACACCATTTATCTCAAGCACGCAATCAAATGCCGGTGTCTTCGAGTACTTTGGAAGAGTGCCTCCAGAAGCAATCCCGGGCTACATGAGACACCAAGCGCGATACTATTGCCCACGGTTGGATTTGTCACTGACTCTCGGCTCACTTCTCGTAAATTAAAAGTTTAGGGTGCCTTGCAAGGATGGCGAGGACAATGGAGGGGGTTTTTATTAAGATAAATCCCCATGAGCACGAGAGATGGCGAAGACAATGGTACGGTCGATTTACATGAAAAAACTACATGCATGCAGGCATTGGGATTTGAAATATTCCGTGCTCTCAACAACTATCGAAAATGTGGCAGTGGAATGTACCCACATGTCATATCCTTCTTTCCCCAAGAAGCACCCTGCTGTTAATGCGATGAACTGTATGTGCGCACGTCCATTATTATTGCGCATTTAATTAAATTGACGTGAACACACGCACACTTCATCCATGAACCTAAGAATAACACAAACAAACAAAAAAAATTCTGTGTACAAACAGAGCAGCAATTGAGTTTATAGTTGAAGTCGTGGTTCAAACGACGTCGCACAGCTCTCGCGTTTCGAAATATAATTGAAGCGCCTGTACTAGGGCCCTCAGACAGCGTGTAGTCGAGTAAATAAGCTAGGCGAATGAAAAAAGACGTAAACACTGCTCATAAAGATGATTGGACGATCCCAAATAGCATGGTGTAGACTTGAGATCGGCATGGTAGTCTCAAGGTGGCAGACAGATTGCTAAGGCCAAATAACCTGGGGTGAACGCCTGTGCGGATAGGTATGGTGGACAATGGCAATGCGAGTTAGCTTTCCAAACGAGCAAAGATCTCTTCTCTCAATAAATACACGGCTCTGAGGAAAGCGAGGCCCACTTCCAACAGCTTCTGCCTCATTCATCAGACTCGCTATCTTCGCCACTGCAGCCATTACTGATACATCACTCCTGCTACACTACTCCTGCTACACTACTCCTGATACATCACTCCTGCTACACTACTCCTGCTACACTACTCCTGCTACACTACTCTTGCTACACTACTCCTGCTACACTACTCCTGCTACACTACTCCTGCTACATTACTCCTGCTACACTACTCCTACTACACTACTCCTGCTCCTTTGAATCCGGCCCATCATGTTTCTACACTGGGACATTCTCATCCTCAACATCGTCCTCACTTTCTTCTAGTTCCTGCTCGTCAGTGCCGTCGGCGCCGTCCTTTCGATCTTCTCAAGGCACGGCCGAGGGTACTCCAGCAGCATTCGCTGGGCCCGCGAGGGCGGATACATGGAGATGTACGAGATCCTGTTTAACTCGCGCAAGCACACGTCTGGTCATGTCAGGTTTGCCATGGTTGCCACGATCTTGGCGAGCACTTCAGCAAGCCTTGCAGACAAATGGGTCTCATATTTCGTCAGATCATCTGTGCAATATAACAATGCGTCCTACACTGTTGTCAAGACTGAACAATTCAGGTCCATGAACGACGTCGCCGCGTTTGGAGGATGGTCCACCTATCTTCAACCTGGGAACGATATAGTCGATGTCATGACCCATACGATAAGCAATACGCGCAACATCCCTGGCTATGTAGCGGGCGGATGTATACCCCAAGAACGACCGAGTTTGAAGTTGCATGCAACCAGTTCAATCTACGTATAGAAGCACTCACTCTCGGCACCGGCGCTGGCACCTGCGCGAACCTTACTCTCCAGCTCGATGATGGCTCTGAAATGCACGACTACATGAATGCTAAAGTCCACAACCGGTCCAACGATCGATGGAGCATCGCCCTGCCCACAAATCTGATTATTCCAGCACAATTTAGTGCAACCATAGGCTTGAGCCAAGGAAATCGAGCCTGCATCATGGCCGACGAGGCGGGGTTTGTGATTTCTAATATCACGGACAGCCCGAGCGGGTTACCCAGAACTTTAACAACCAAGTGCATCTATCCAACGGGGGAGATATCAGTCCTGACAATATCTTCTGTGAGGTTCGCCTCAACCACGATCGACCGCTTCCGCAACGTTTCTGCCACGGCTTTTGAAGCCTACGATGAGCTGCTTCAAGCAATGGAGAGATCCGTGCGTGCTAGCAACACTACCTTGGCCACCACCATTTTCGTCGAGTCGAAGGCTATCAATTCCACTATCGACCTGCTAGCATGCAGTGTCGGACAGACAATATTCTCGCACGGCAAGGTCCCGCTCGTGTGCATCTACACCAATATTAATATCATCATGACCAAGCGGCAGGAAATCAACTCTCTCATAAGGTCAGCCCGCGGAGGAGCGTCCCTACCAAAGCAAGCCTCGCCTTCGGTTGATATGGTTGTCATCCACCTTCCTGCCGAAGGCTATCCAATCCCAGTCTCCATGGTCGGCTTGGAAGCTGCAACCGCCTCTGCATCTCAGTATCTGGCATTGCTCGGTCAGAACTTTATCCTGATTGGGACGCCTCCAAGCTGTACGTTGTCTACGACACCATGGACCAGGGCCAGGGTTTCGAGATCCCGCTATGGCTTTTGATCTGCATGGGAGTAGTTGCTGCTGTTTGCCTGGCAACATGGATGTATGCACTGATACTTTTGCCAGAGCGATGTACCAGTTCGCTGTACAAGGTCCTGACGATGCAACTGGCCCCAGAGGTTAACAGCTCTGCTCCAATGCTGATCAAGTCCAAGATGAACCCCATGGAGTTTGAGGGACATCGAGCCATGCTGGAGCTCGAGGAGTGCGAACTGAAGACCGATGATTCAGCATCAACATTGGCAGCATCAGAAAAAGAGACGGACTGAAAACATCTCTGCAACGATATGGATAAGCATGCCTCGTTTCCTGCATAAGCATTAGATTAGCTGTTTTGACGAAGTTCAATCCATGAAGTTGAAAAAGCGATTAAAGACTTCTGCCCTAATGTTAATACAATTCAAGGTCAACCCGATGGTGTTATGAAAATACCCTAATTATTGTACTAAAGGATTTGCATGACATGGGTGCCGAGAAAATCCAGGACCTCAAGATCATAATCTCCCCGAGGTTGCAATACCAATATGATCATCAATGTCATGTTTTCCGATATCCTTCGCTCGAGTACACAACGAACGTACGCATGGTCTAAAGAATCGGTTTATGATTTTATTTTCTTCGGTTGCAAAAACTGTTGGTGTCGCCAGGCAAGAGTGGACCTATACACATCAAAGAGATCAATTGAACGGCGAGACCATTCGGCGGTTAACCTAGAATTCTTCATATCATTAATCCCAAAATAGTGCGCAAACACTTTGCCATGGTAGCTCCTGGAATCCATGAGGCGATATGACATGGCGCCGTGATAGCCAAAAAGCGAATGGTCATGATATGGTGCTGATAAGTTGCATCGATTTTTCCGAGCGACTTCATTCGTTCGAAACAAGGTTTTCGTTCAAATTGCATATTGTACTGATCGTAGCGCAGTGATTAGATCCAGTTGCTGGCATATTGTATTGTCGCACTCGCCTTTTAGCAGATCCAATTGCCAGCCCAATGTATTGTGATATCCGCTAATAAGTGAATTCAGCTGTTCCTGTACAGGCACTCCTGAACATCCTCATGGTACCAAATCCTTTTTGTTCCTGCACTTACCAATTGTATAATAGGTTTCGCCTCAATTCCAGCCGTCATGCCTTGATGAAAACTCCCCAACGCTCTATCGACTGCCTTCACATTCCACCGGTCTGGTAAAAAAAAATATATATATACCCTCATCGTCCTTGCACGCTTGACCTCAATTATCGGGAACCAATCGCCTCGCTCCTGATTTGCCTCTTTTAGTGGTGAGACTCGCCGTGGTGATGGTGGTGGGCATCGGCCTTGGGTGCCGTGACATACTCATATCCGAGGTAGGCCGCAAATGCAACCGTAGCGATTCCGAGACCGGGGAACATCGTGCGGATACGTGCCGAGCGTGTAAACAGCCCGCTGTTGCGCCAGGCGTTACGCTTTGCCCAAGGATCCTCAAAGTTGGCCATATTTTGTTTGCTGGTAAGATGAGTGGAGGGGTGAGATGATGCGAAGGATCAGATTCTAAAGTTGGCGGGGGTGCCTCAACCGGAAATCGAAGCCGGTGAGAGTGACGTATCCGAACACTACAACGCACGCATAACTGTAAATAGAGTTTATTGTTCGCGACTTGGCTACCGCGCCCAACAAGCGGGCCCACTCATATCCAGCACTGGGGATCCTGCAGCTTGCGCCCGAGATATTGAACTAATACATAACTAGCATCCATTTCCCGCTCCCTCGCCGCGCCGCCCTCTTCATCGCCTTGTGGACCAAGGTCGCAACCGGGCTCGGACAGACACAGACTCTGCAGCTCCGACTTGCGATTCATCATCAACATCCTCGATATCTGCCGCTTCCATTGTAGATGTTGTTTTACGAACGGGTGCTGAGTCAACAATTTGACTAGCTTGGACCGGTCTCGCAAAGTCAACGGAATCAAGGCACGTAGGAATTGCTCCTGGAGCTGTGTTTGGTTATCCTGAGTTTGGGACCGATCGTCTTTGAAGTAAATGTTCCAGTCGTCGGGAATCTGGCCAAGGCACTGCAATGTCGGCACCGCAAGATTGGCGTTGTCATACGCGGACGCAATAGATCCACACCTGTATTTCAGGAAGATATCGATGCCATGGGGATCACAGTCGACTAAGGCGAGCAATGGTATGTCTAAAGGTTCTCGAGCGCACGATATCGACGGTCCGTTGGACGGAGACGCGACAAACACTCCAGACTGGATCATATCAGATAGACACTTTAACAATCGCCGCGCTGCGTTGTCTGGATATCCCTTACTTGTCAGCAGAACACACGGCCCATGGGTCTCGCAGAATCCAAGCGATATCAGATATTCCATCGTAGCCTCTTTCTCAATGACCAGAATAAAACGCGTCCTGCAGTGGATCTCGACCTCGAGAATATCGTCCATTGCCCTAGGAATCATCACCAGCGTGTTATAGTCCGTCCTGGAGAACAAATTGTCCATTGAATCGCCCCGTCCGTTTCCCTCTCTCGTTTTCCTAAACGATGCACCATCCGGAAGCTGCGTGGAATCATCGGTCCAACTCTGAGCGCCATCCAGCTGCGTCAACTCTCTTCCTCGAGCCTTACCAATCATCCTGACCGAGCCAAAGACCACGCTGCGCATACCCGCGGCGACATTGAGACATGATCTCGGGACCTGAAACGTGCATGCCATATCCTCCACAATGCTGTCCACAGTGGCCTGCGACCCAAACAACATCACATCTCTGTAATAAAGATCTCGCTTGGAAGACACCGTGTCCATGTACACATTCTTGTGGATGAGCTCTATTACGCGGATGATTGAATGTATGCCTCCATGAAAAGCCGGTGCACCATAACGGGATGTCTTTGTAAATGATTTTAATCCTAAGTGCGAGTCCTCCTCCCGTTTGCGTCTGATAATACCTGTTTCACTATCATACGTAATCGAGTCGGAAGAGTTTCTGGATGCTAGGTCGACCGTTGGTACCCTGTTGAACGAAAGGTCGTACAGGAAGCGATCTGCGAGTGCTTCTAGATCCTCCAAAATCATCTCTTTTGGGCGAGGCGCCGTTGTCGCGTATGGACTTGCTGATGGCGGTTCTTGGCATGAATCACGGTAGTGGTCATCCAGATATAGTGTTGGATGTCTAGGCTCGACCGCGACAGAAGAGAAAGTGTCGTATTCTTGACAAAAGTCGCCGCTATTCTGCATCGCAAGTCCGTCTGGATCCTGACCATCGGGATTGTAGCCGCTGTCGCTTCTAAAACTGTCGTCAAAGAGATGTTGCTCGGGCGTTGTCTGCTCCACGAATTGCCCATCCGCTGAGTCTAGTTGCTCGAGATATGCAACGCTATCTTCCGTATGGGCAAAGTGTTCGCTTAGGAAGCTGAATTGATCGCTCGGTTGCTGGTTTGTATGGCCCGAAATGTAATCCGAATACAAGAAGCGATCCATGTCCTGATCATCATCAAATATATCGTCTTGGTCTCCCATATCCATGTCCAATGCTACTGAGTAGCCGTCGCTTTGATCGAACGCATCGGACCCATAAGCACAGTCAAATTCATCTGTCCGGATGTCAGAGCTTTGATGAGAAGGATAAAAGAATGTATCAGTCGTGTGGTGCATCGAGGAGCCATACGAAGAAGACATGGTGGTGGATCGGTCACAACGGAAAGGAAGAACAAGGTGACGAAAGGTACCGGTCACTTTTTTTTTCCTCTCGCTTTTCTTTCTTTGGTGGCAAAGGCTCCAATGCACATAGCTTTTGGTATTCGTGGTATTTATTATACAGTCTTGGATGAATAGATGATGTTACGAAGTGAAATAAAAGAATGCTGTGCGAAAGGGATAAGGATCCCTTGACCATTAGAACATATAATTGTCCTCTCTCTTTCTCAAATACAGATCGGCTTTACTCGTAATCGCTCATGGGAGGGCACGAGCAGATCAAGTTGCGGTCACCGAAGCTGTCGTCAATACGGGAGACAGTGGGAAACAGCTTGAACTTGTGGAGGTGAGGCAAGGGGTAAGCAGCCTGGAGACGGGTGTAAGACTTGTTCTTCCAGAACTCGTCGTCCTTCATCAACACAGCCAAGGTGTGAGGAGAATTGTTGAGAACATTGTCCTTCTGAGGCTGCTTGCCTTCCTGAACCTCTTGGATCTCAGCGCGAATGGCAATCATGGCATCGCAGAAACGGTCGAGCTCCTCCTTGCTCTCAGATTCAGTGGGCTCAATCATGAGAGTGTTAGGCACGGGCCAAGACATGGTGGGTGAGTGGAAACCGTAGTCCTGGAGACGCTTGGCAATATCAATAGCCTCAATACCGACAGAGCCGAAGGGACGGATATCGATGATGAACTCGTGAGCGCACATTCCATTCTCGTTCGTGAACAAGACCTTGTAGTGCTTGCTGAGGCGGTGAGCCATGTAATTGGCATTCAACAAAGCAATCTCAGTAGCGTTCTTGATGCCCTCGCCTCCCATCATCTTGACATAGGCCCAAGAGATAGGGAGGATCGAAGCAGAACCGTGGGGAGCGGCAGAAATAGGACCAATGGCTTTGTCTCCTCCAACCTTCAAGACAGGGTGACCGGGCAGGTAGGGCGCCAAGTGAGCCTTGACACCAATGGGCCCCATACCGGGTCCTCCACCTCCGTGGGGAATGCAGAAGGTCTTATGCAAGTTCAAGTGGCAGACATCAGCGCCAATGTGGCCGGGAGAGGTCAATCCGATCTGAGCGTTCATGTTGGCGCCATCCATGTAGACCTGTCCTCCGTTGGAGTGAATGATCTCGCAAGCCTCCGAAACAGTATCCTCAAACACACCGAAGGTCGAGGGATAGGTAACCATGAAGGCAGAAAGGCGCTCAGAGTATTTGGCAGCCTTGGCCTTAAGGTCGACAAGATCCAAGTTACCGTTGGCCAAGCACTTAACGGGGACGACCTCCATGCCAGCCATGGCGGCAGAGGCGGGGTTGGTACCGTGGGCAGAGACTGGGATCAAGCAGACGTTGCGCTTGTGGTCGCCTCGGGTTTCGTGGTAGGCACGGATAGTACGGAGACCAGCGTACTCTCCCTGGGCGCCAGAGTTGGGCTGAAGAGAGACATCATCGAATCCAGTGATCTCGGCCAAGTCGCGACGAAGCTCCTTGAGCATGATCTGGTAACCCTCAGTCTGATTGTCGGGGGCGAAGGGGTGGATGTTTCCGAGCTCGGGCCAGGTGACGGGGATCATCTCGGTGGTGGCATTCAACTTCATGGTGCAGGAGCCGAGAGGGATCATGGAGTGAGTCAGAGAGAGATCCTTGTTCTGAAGGCGGTAGATGTAGCGGAGCATCTCAGTTTCGGAGTGGTAAGAGTTGAAGATCTTGTGGGTCAGATAGTCCGAGGTACGAATGAACTTCTCGTCGAGGACCTTGGCGGGGCTGGTCTCGGAGATGTTAAGCTTCTGAGCAATGCTGAGGAGGTCGGGGGCGGCGCCATCCTGAGCGAAGATCTTGATCAGATCATCCAGCTCGGCCTTGTTGCAGGACTCGTCGAAAGTGACACCGACAGTCTCAGCGTCGAATTGGCGGACGTTGATTCCAGCGGCAAGGGCCTTCTTGACAAGGCTGTCGGCGCCTCCCTGGACCTTGATGGTCAAGGTATCAAAGAATTGTTCGTTCTCAACCTTGTGGCCGGCCTGACGAACGCCCTCGGCAAAAATGGCGGTCATGTTGTGGATGCGTTGAGCGATCTGCTTAATACCGGCAGGTCCGTGATAGACGGCATAGAGGGCAGCCATGTTAGCCAAGAGGGCCTGAGCCGTGCAGATATTGGAGGTAGCCTTCTCACGGCGAATGTGCTGCTCACGCGTCTGAAGGGCGAGACGGTAGGCCTTGTTGCCCTCGACATCCTTGGAGACACCGACCAAGCGACCGGGCATCCTGCGCTTGTGCTCGTCCTTGCAGGCGAAGAAAGCAGCGTGGGGGCCACCATAGCCAAGAGGAACGCCGAAACGCTGAGAGTTACCGAGAGCAATGTCGGCACCCCACTCTCCGGGAGGGGTGAGCATGGTCAAAGCCATCAAGTCAGTGGCGGTGACGACCTGGGCACCATATCCGTGAATCTTATCAGCGAATGCCTTGTAGTCGGTAACGTTTCCGCGAGTATCGGGGTACTATTAATTCGATGAGCAAAGAATATGAAAGTTAGCGACGTGATTCTTCACATTGTATCTTGCTATCACATGCTGCTCCTCGCTTTGTAAACACACAAGCAGTCAAGTACTAATAACCAGCACAACCCCATCCTTTAACATCGTAACATAATGTCGTATGCTCGCTTCTTTGCTCTCTTTCCTGCTCTAAATTGCTGTAATTCCTTACCTGAATAATAACACCAGCCATGTCGCCCTTGATGGACTCAAAGTCAAAGTCGCGATGGTTTCCAACGATGACCTTGATGTTGAAGGCCTCAGCACGGGTCTGAACGCAGGCAATTGTCTGGGGATGGCAGTTCTCGTCCACAAAGAAGGTGCTCTTCTTGCGGTTGGTGGCAGCCCAGCACATGATCATGGCTTCAGCGGCAGCAGTACCCTCATCCAGAAGAGAGGCGTTGGCAATCGACATACCAGTGAGATCGGTAACCATGGTCTGGTAGTTGAGCAAGGACTCCAGACGACCCTGAGCAATCTCGGGCTGGTAAGGAGTGTATTGAGTGTACCTAATAATTACAGATACAGCATGGAAGAAGACCGTCCGGGTTAGTTACGCCAGTACAAAAAAGCTCCTCTAAAAACATGAATATGTATCGAACGAAGTCCAAAGGACACGCTTTCCGTGTCCACTGTTGCTGCAATTGTTAAAAAATGTAAGGTCCTGAGGACCGGGGTATGCTGAAGGGGCGATCGTGGTGTCCTCATCTGTATGATCCTTATGAGCCGCCTCTTTTGCACGAACTCTTCGATTTTGTTGATCCTTTTGATACGCTGGCACGATGCAGATACGTGTGAAATAATATATTTGATGCAGAAACAGATGCTTACCAGCCGGGGTTTTCCAGGACGTTTCTCAAGATGACATTGGGAACGACAACGTCGGTGTAGCCCATTCCGATGTAGTTCTTGAAGACCTTGTTCTTGGAAGCAATATGCTTCAGACGCTCCAGAACTTCCTTCTCTGTGAATCCATGATCGAGAGCCAGTGCGCGTGTAGAACGGATACGGTCAGGGATAGTCTTTCCAGTAAGTCCGTCCAAGTCCTTCAAGCCGATGGCGCTCAACATCTCCTTGATCTCAGACTGGCTAGGGCCATTATGACGACGGGCAAAGGTGTCGAGGGGCGAGAAAACAGTTCTTGCTGGGGGCTTCTCGGTGTGGATCGAGCGGAGGGCAGATCGGATTGAGAGGGGCGAGCAGGTCTTGATCGAGGCGGGAGTTGCTTTGCTGATCATAGTGGCAGGAGTGGCAGCGGCGAAGCGCTGGATCGAGGTCGCCATGCGGCGAGCGTTCCTCTGAGCAATGTTAGCAAGCATGACTGTATATGTGATATTAAGGAGATGAGGATGAAAAGGTCTATGGATGCAAAAGTGAGGAAGAAGACAATGCTGACAACGAAGGCGGAGAGTGAGATGCAAGGGGAGATGATATGTAAGAAAAAAGGAAGAGAGTGGAGAGGAAGAATTAAAAAGAAGGGAGGGCGGATGAACAAGAAGAGAAGAGAAGCGTAAGGGAAAAAAAGGCAAGCAAGGAGTGAAGAAGAAGAAGAAGAAGAAGAAAAAAAGGAACGAGGGACGGAAGAGAAGCACACTTTTGTGTTCAATGCGTTCCTGTTGTTTCCTTTGAGGTTTCATCGTTCCACTCTGCCAAAAAGTATAAAAAAAAGACATCCGCTTTCCATTCCACCGTGTCAAGAAAAAAAAAAAAAAAAAAAGGTTATTTCCAAAGTGCGGAGAAGTGCTATGAGATTGGCCGCCGGTTTTTCTTTCGCTTGCTGATGCCATATTACCATCATTCCTCTTCCTTCTCCTCCTTCTCTTTCATAAAAAACACACAGACACCGTCTGCCGCCTGGCAATTGCCGGCACTGACGCTAATCCCTATTCAAAGAAAAAAAATAAGCATTTGCACACTTGCAGCGGATTGTCCGTGTGAGGGTTACAAAAGGACGCTCCTGCCCTGACCGCAATTAAAATCAATTGAGTCCGATCTATTCATTCCTTACCACGAAAAAAAAACCATGGCAGAGTGGAATCGCAGTCACCATTTCGCATCCATCCAACCAGATCGCCAGCTGGGCACAAACACAAGAATATGAGATCCGCTGCTCCTTTTGTGAGTCTTTCAAAAATCCGGGGCAAAAAAAAAAGGTAGGGAAAGGGGGCAAGCATATCTACCTCCAGATCACGCGTGCGGATTCCTATCCAACTGTCCCATCGGGATGCGCTCGTACAAGCAAGAAAGTGGACCATATTCTCTCGCTTCATGTTTGAGTGCACTGTCGTTCGTCTTGCACCTGCCAGGCTGGCGCTAGTTCTGTTCAGTCTATCGCCTCATGCTGTCGTTGGGCAAAAAAAAGGAAGAAGTTTGGTTATACAGCCTTAGCACCAAGTATTTCCCTTTTAGACGAAAGCGAACAGACATCGGATCCTTCGTAGTTAAGAAGGTATCTGGGAGCCTATTGGTGAACATCTGCGATGTGTACCTGAATTTTGGTGGCAAAAAAAAACGTGGCTACTCATTATTTATTTATTTATTTGTCTATCTATTTATTTATATTTTCGCTGTGGACAGCGGCAGGGGAATTTGATTCAATCTTTCGATCTAAAGTGAGGATAGGGGGGTATCACGATAAAGGGAGAAACTGGTAGGGAAGAGACTACATCACCGGGATGGAGAAGGGACACGAGGGATAATGGTGGTGAGAGTAGATAAATAATAATAAGAAATGTAAAGCAACAGCGTTTCGTTGCCTTTACTCCTCACTCGTACCCAAGGCTCTCAAGGAATGCATCTGTGCATCTGGTGCATTGGGCAAAGTTCCTATCGAACCCCCCTTGAGGACCATAGTAAGGGTCCTTAATGATGCGATCGCCCTTGGGATCATACGTTCCAAACATTTTTACTACATGAACAAGAAATTCAATAGGCGGACGTAAGATCATTAGGAAGCGTTAGGCTAGCTATCGGGGGGAACCATCAATTCATCAGTTCCATCATCAATTAAGGATGTACCTATTGCCCTGTGGCCCTTAGGTGCCATATCCTTGAGATCTCTAAGGTTCTCCTCGTCCATGCACAAGATGTAATCATACTTGACAAAGTCCTCATCGCAAACCTGACGGGCCTTGTGTTTCATAGGAACACCATTCTTGAGGCACGTCGCAGCCGATCTCGCATCAGGATTGCATCCAATCTACAAGGCAGCGATAAAGGGTCGAGAGAAGAAAGGTTAACATACCATGCAGCAATGTGCAGTTGATCGATTGAAGACAGCATTGACATCTGTTTGATAGTAATGTAATAATGACCAGAGGAGTTTACAATCGAACAATAGAACTATAGCGAGACGTACATGGTATGATGCTGTGCCAGCACTGTCGACCTCGAGTTGTGAGCTGATGCCCCGCTTCTCGATGGAATGCTTGAAGACTGCCTCTGCCCTATGTAACGTTGAAAAAGTCGTAGTGGAAGTAGACAAGTAGAGACATGTTTGATGAGCTCTATGTTTTCAGCATTCAGGCCATTACAAGACGTTGGAATGAAGAAGGAAACTGATTTCGAGAGCTGTATGCACATTCGACTTATACCCCATACATGGTAGAACGGCAAATGTTGCCCAAGCAGACAAAGAGGACCTTGATAGTAGTGGTATCGTTGTCCATGTTGATGAGGATGATGGACAAGAGGAGATGAGCGATTGAGCAAAAGTTGAGGAAATCGAGGATCGAGATCAAGATTGTGGACAAGTACACTTGTACACTGATACGTTTTATGGAAGGGAAATGCGGTGCTGTGCTCCCGTAGCTCCAAAAAAAACTTTTGGTGTTTTGGTCTCATTCTTCCTCGGGAATCATCGCTTCGCCTTCCAATACATGCACACACCAACACAGCCACACGCACAACCCCAGTGCTCATGCAGTGATTTTCACGGTAGTCATGCGTCCTAAAGAAAAATCACACTCTTTTCGTCACAAGATCTCCCTCTTCATTATACCACAATTGTATTCAACCTTTGCCCTTCATTTTCGTAAGCTTTGTAAGTCTTCTATGACATTATCAATGAGGCACAGCTTCTGTTCTGCGGTATCCAGATCCTTACACCTCACCCAACTCGTGCCCATCTTTATCTCATCCGAGCCGACCATCACCGCATGGCTCGCATTGATCTTGGTCGCCTTTGATAGCTGCTTCTTCAGCTGGTTCTTGCTGCCCGCTGTGCTGGTGGGATACATGACCTCCACACGAATGCCTTGCTGTCTCATTGAGGAACTGATAGCCATTACGTGGCTGTAAAGCGTCGTGCTCAAAGCTACCGCGTTGTCAGCAGAAGCGGTCTCGGGATCTGCAACGCCAATGACTGCAACGGGTCGCGCTAGTGATGGAACATCATGTTCGTTCAATAACATACTCAGTCGCTCCAATCCTGCAGCCCAGCCAATAGATGACACACCTGAAGGGCCACCCATTTTCTCGACCAGTCCATCATATCTTCCTCCTGCAAGAACGGTGCCTTGCTGTGTGCCCAAAACGGTACTTGAGACTTTAAACTCAAAGACAGTGTCCTGATAGTAGTCTAGACCTCTGACCAGTCTCGGATTGACAGTGAAGGGGATGTTCATGCTGGAAAGGGCTTCAGTAATGAATGCAAAGCGCTGTCGTGAAAATTCACTGAGGTAGTCCGATAGAACTGGACAATTTCCCAGGATCGCAATATCCTGTGGCTCCTTTGAATCCAGTATCCGGAGTGGATTTATTGACAACCTACATATTAAATAAAATCGGTCAGCATTTCATATCTCACATTTGATATTCGGCCATAGATCGGATGGGGCTACAACAATGCATTACCTCCTGAGACTGTCCTGTGATAATCCACTTGAATATGTCGTTAAATAGTCCCTTAGGGCGTTCCTGTAGTTCTGCCTAGAAGCGTCGTCACCGAGAGAGTTGATCTCCAGCTAGCGAAGGGATTACACGATGCGAGGATTGAGGTCAGTCGCCATGTTGCGATTAAGAATATCGATAGTTACACATCAGCCTTTTCTTACCGCGGCAGATTCTAAGCCCAAGCTCTTTAAAAATGTCGACGCGAGCTCAATCGTCTCCACATCTGATGCTGGATGACTTTCTCCGTATACCTCGACTCCAAATTGTTCAAACTGAGGAAAGATAGAGTATCGGTTAGTCAGATAGATCAAATAACGGCGCGGTATAAGATGGCCCGAGGGCTGATCATACCTGGCGCAAGCGTCCTTTCTGTGGTCTCTCATGTCGAAACATGGGTCCAAAGTAGTAGAACCGTCGCGGCAACTCTTGGCACAGGTTGTTGGAGATTAAGGACCTTGTAATTCCCGCGGTTCCTTCTGGGCGCAATGTCAGACTGTCTCCTCCTTTATCGACAAAGGTATACAGCTCCTTTCCTACAACATCCGAGTCTTCTCCAAGTGTTCTTTCAAACACATTTGAGTGCTCCAATATGGGGGTCGTTATCTAAATCCTCCGTAGTCAACCAAAAGATAAAGATATACAAGGAACATGTCAGCTGGACGATATGCACAACGATGCATTATTAAGCCTAGTTAATTCCGAGGAGCCGTACTAACCTGGTCAAATCCGTAAAGACTGGCAAGTCTGGCACCCTTCTCGTTAATCCATTGAAATCGTCTAATGTCATCTCCGAACCGGTCTTTCATCCCTCGGACTGGTCTAGCCATCTCTATCAGTTTGACAAGAAGACCCGACTATTAACACCGATTTTTCTCAGGTACCGTGCTTTGCAAAAGCGAATCGGAGATGCCGATGTACCCTTGTGTGCTCTCGAGCTGAAGCTCCGGTACAGATTCCCCGCTGGTGTCGTCGTTAACTTCCTTGCTAGTGTCGCCATATCGTTGGTGGGTGCAGGTTCGATTGTATTGAGAAGAGAGCGTGCCTGAACTCGGGCGCGTCCGACAGTAAACTCAAAACTCGATCCAGCAGTCACGACCAGTAAACATCAACTTTTTTTTTTTGTGAAGCTGAACATCTCCTTGCCAGCGCACTGTTCTACTCCTTCCATCACTACCCCTGTTCTCAAACTCTCGCACTGTATAAACACCATGGATTTGTTCCGTATGCTCGGTGGAGGCGCTCGCTTCGATAAGAAGCGCTTTAAGGAGGACATTGAAGTCTTTCAGGTAATTATCCATGTCCTGCGCTGACTTAGCTGGTCTGACGAGGTAATACCAGTATTGAACGCCACTGTTCCTTTATGCTGTCACCAAGTAGCCCAAGGCTGTCTCGACAGGCCTGAATGCCGATACTGAGGCTGCGCTCGCCACAGAGCTGGACTTTTTCAAGAATAAGAAGTCTGTTGTCAAGAAAGCACCAGCCAAGAAGGCTGAAAAGAAAAAAAGTAATTCATTTGAACATGGAGCACGGGTCAGCATAGTGTTTATTGGGCGTTTAATTTGGAACGCCAGCACTCACAATTTTTTTTTCCGATTATTATCAATTAGCACAAAGTGAAAGCGCCAGCGAAGATGAAGATGATAGTGGAGAGAGCAGTGGAGAGGATCAAACGCACGAAGGCGACGAATCAGAGGATGAAGATGGCGACAAGAGCGAAAGCGACGACGACGAAGACCAGGAGGACCAGGAAGACGAGTCTATCGGATTTGAGGACAAGGAGCAATTAGCATTGTTCCGCAGCCATCTGAAGATCAGGGTCTATGGTACCGATATCCCTAACCCATTCAGGTCTTTCGATGGCATGGCCAAACAATATCAGCTGGACCCTTATCTTCAGCGCAACATTCTTTCCTCTGGGTTTAAGCAACCAACGCCTATTCAGATGCAGGCTATCCCTGTCTTCCTTCACGTAAGACAACCTATCTAGGAGTATTCATTTGTAATGGGGCCTCAAAAGAGGTAGTTTAGAGTGCTGATATGTTTTTGATTTTCTCGTACTATTAGGGACGTGATCTGATGGCAATGGCACCTACGGGCTCAGGAAAGACGATGGCGTTCGTGCTCCCTATTTTGCACGATTTGAAGGGACCAGAGAAAGTCGGCTACAGGGCAGTGATCATCTCGCCCACTCGTGAATTGGCTACTCAGGTGCGGGCGATTGCCTCAGTCTCATGAACAAGGAATACATGAGACGTATGAGAGACATGATGTATCTAATCAATTGCCTCCCCTTACATTTTCAACAGATCTTCAACCAGATTAAGAAGCTGAGTGTGGGCAGGAAGTTCAAGATTTGCATGTTAACTAAGGCAACTGCGGCGACTCAGGGACAGGCTCCTCACCTTCGACAGAAATACGACATCTTGATCAGCACTCCACTTCGACTTGTCCATGCAATCCAACAAGAAAAGATGGAGCTTGACCAGTATGTTTTGAGCCGTTACCCCATGTTTGCTCACAGCAAATGGAACCATAATCTAGATGTTTTTCAGTGCATACATGTATTGACACAAATGTTTTTATCTATTTTTTTGCCAAAACTATAGTGTCCGTCATTTGGTTCTGGATGAGGCTGACAAGTTGCTGGAGCAGGGATTCTTGGAGCAAACAGACGAGATTTTCGCCGCATGTTCACACCCATCTCTTCAAAAGTCCCTATTCAGTGCCACCCTCCCCTCTGGTGTCGAAGCCCTTGCCAACACTTTTATGAGGTCCCCCATCAGGATCGTCATCGGTTCCAAGAACGCCGCCACAGAAACTATCACCCAAAAACTCATTTACTGCGGCTCTGAGGAGGGAAAGCTTATCGCGATTCGGCAACAGATCCAGAAGGGACTCAAACCACCAGTTTTGATTTTCGTGCAGAGTATCGAGCGTGCAAAGGAGCTGTTCCATGAGCTGATCTATGACGGCATCAACGTGGACGTGATTCACTCGGAGCGTACGAAGGCACAGCGTGACAAGATCGTGGAGGGGTTCCGGCAGGGTAAGGTCTGGGTGCTGATCGCTACAGAGCTGATGGCTCGTGGTGTGGATTTCAAGGGTGTCAATCTAGTTATCAACTATGATTTCCCACAAACGGTTCAGTCGTATATCCATCGTATCGGTCGTACTGGTCGTGCTGGACGTTCGGGTGAGGCCATCACCTATTTCACAAACGAGGACCAAACATATTTGAAGAGCATCGTCAACGTCATGCGGGAATCAGGATGTGAAGTTGCAGACTGGATGTTGGCCATGAAGAAGCCAAGGTAAGCAGTCGTTTTTCCGATATTCTGCCTCATGTTAAAAATAAGCTGTGTTTTTTTTTTTGTTGCTCCTGGGTTTGATTCTCATGTATGCGTCTCATCTTGCCGCATTGCTATTTAGTAAAAACCAAAAGAAAAATCTGCGACAGATGCCCTTGGGTCGTAGTTCGATTAATACCATGTCATCGTACGACAAGAAGAAGATTGCCCATAAGCGGGATATGATCGCCAACAGCAAAAAGAGGAAGGCGAACGGTGCAACACCAACAGCAAATGGAGGGCACAAGAAGAGCAAGGGAGACAACTCCAGTGCATAAGGCGTCCCATCGATGCTAGAGTATACATAAACCACACCCATTCCCCCATCGCATTCTGTCTTTCATCGTCATCAAATACATCTAATCATCAAGCATTGTTCATATCCTTGACGCTCCTGCATAGCCAGAAGAAATGGTGTTGTTACATTATGATGATAATCTACATGGGATATATTCTATTTTTTGATAAACTTGGCCTGCAAGAATCTCCTGTCGATGCTGATATCCATGGCCCGATTGATAGTCTCCCTGTGGACATACTCGCACTCGACAGTCGTAAACCCTTCCTTCTCAAATAGCTCCTTGATCTGCTCTGTCGAAAAGAAATGCGATAACGTTCCATCCTGTCGAACATACAGATTCGTATCGAGCATATGTCCTGGGTTGGAGCTAAATTTGACCTGGGCTGCATCGTACACTGCGTAATCCCTGAAACACAGCATCCCTCCAGACTTCATGACCTCGGCAATATTCCTGACAGCGGCTTCCAATTTCTCAGCAGGGATCGCAGAAAGGACAAAGATCGACGAGACTACGTCAAGAGATCCTACGGGGATGGTGTCCGTGAGCGGATCCTTTGTCAGATCGCAAACGAAGGCCGAGCACCGTCCTTGCTTATAATCCTCGTGCTGTTTGACCAACTCAATCGCATGCGGTGCAAAATCACAGGCGTACATGAACAAGCCCGGGTTCCTCTCCAGGACCGGGAAGATAAAATTCCCGACGCCACATCCGACTTCAAGGCAGTTCAGGGTTTCGGAGGTTTTGGTCTTGTAGATCGTGAACTCGCGCTCAATCCAGTGGCGATCCTTATAGAACCGGGTCTCGTTACGTTTGTAGAAACGGTCCCAGTTCTTGGCGGCCTCGTTCTTGTACTTGTTCACCCAGAAAGGTTTGATAGCCTTGTCCTTTTCGATGACCTGGCGGGCGTACTCGAGTTTTTCGGGAGAGATAATGGATGTTTCCAGAGGCTGGAGGAGTTTCTCCTGGCGAGCTTCAATAGGCGTGAGCTCTGCTAGTGGTGATGGTGGTGGTTGTTCGGTCATGGAGATGTGTAGAGGTATGCTGCGTGAGAGAGCTCAGACCAAGGAAAATGAGACCTTGGAGAAATGTAAACAATGTGACGGTGTAGCTTTTTTTTTTTTTTTTGTGCCCTTCAAACCTTGCAGCTGTTTACTCCCTTCATTCCTCCTCCTCCCCCGTTTACAACATACACCACTACCACTACCAACACATCAGTCATGGACAAAACCAAGAAACCACTGAAGAGCGCGTTGAAGAAAACAACGCCAACGCCCGTCGCGCCAACTGCGTCTTCAAAACGCAAGAGCACTCCCACTGTTACCACGTCCTCAAAGAACAGTAACAGCAACAAGCGTGCAAAGACTGAGGCCAGCAAGGGGAAGAATAACAGCAGTAACAACGTGAACATGAAGAAGGAGAAGAACAGCAGCAACAACAAGAACAAAGCCGGACCGAATTCAGGAGCAGGGTTATCCAAGAAGAAGAAGAGTGTCACCGGCGCTGCCCCCAATTTCAAAAAGAACGTCTCGGTCACCGCCCCTGTCAAGAAGACGGCTCCCAAGCCCAAGAAGGTCGAGGTCGTTCCTGAGGGTGCCACGTTGGAGGACTTTAGAATCGTCGCAGGAACCTATGAGAACATCCTTTATGGTGTTGATGCTTATTGGAACGAGGTATGTCTCATCAACTGATATCGCAATTGGATCCTCAGGCCTGTCGCACAATTACCCGTATATTACCCATATTAACTTTGATCTACGCTCTATTTTTTTGCTTCTTTATTTTTTTGTGATACAGGACATGACCTTGAGATTGTCGCCAGTCTTCATCTTCTCCGCACACATCGGATGCATCAAATCACTAGCGATCGGCGGGCATCTCCTCGCCTCCGGAAGCACGGACGAAAAAATTCAATTGTACGATCTTAAGCGCAGGAAGGAACTCGGTGCATTATTGCAGCACCAGGGCACGATCACTTCGCTCACCTTCCACAATAAGACACACATGCTCTCGGGATCCGAAGATGGCAAGGTCTGTGTCTGGCGATCGAAGGATTGGGAGTGCCTCAAGAGCATGAAGGGACATCAGGCCTCGGTCCATTCGATCGCTATCCACCCCTCTGGAAAGATTGCGCTGAGCGTCTCGGTAGATCATTCGGTCAGGCTGTGGAATCTGTTGTTGGGCAAACAGGCGAGCATGACGAGGTTGCAGGCGGAGGGATTGAAGGTTGCATGGAACCCTAGTGGAACGGGGTACTCGATTATGTTTGATCAGGAAATCGGTATCTACGATATGGCTGTAAGTTGTGGAATAGCTCTCAACAATCTCATTCCAAGGATTTTTTTTTTTTTACGGACGGAATAGGTGACTAATGAATGAGGTACTTTTTGTTAAACAATCGAAAAAAAAAAAATAGACTGCCAAGTGTATCCGTACGATCAAACCCGCGAGGAAAACCCGTTTGAACACTATGGCCTATTACAAAGATGACTACCTCATCGTTGGCTACGAGGACAAGATGGTTCGCGTCTACAACACATCCACGGGTGATCTCGTCAAGACCCTGGTCGGACATGCTACCCGTATCAAGGCCCTCGATCTAGTCACGGTCCCCTACACACCTGATGAGAAATCCAACAAGGGCTTTGTCGGTCGTCCCGAGACCAAGATGATCGATCTCTTGACGACGGCGTCCTCGGATGGAACAATTTTAGTCTGGAATCTTGAGGACGTCGTGGCCCCAGCTGCCAATGCAGATGATATCAACATGAAGAAGCACATTGGAGAGCACAATACCGATATGAGAGTCACCAGCTTGGCGACTCAGAAGGGTATCTGGAAGAATGTCGGTGTTGAGGCTGTCGCTGGTGGTGGACAGGAAGAGGAAGAGGACGAGAGTGAAGACGAGGAAATGGAGGGTGGGCAACCTAAGGAAGACTTAGTTAAGGACGAAGAGGAGGGTAGCGAAGTCGATAGCGAAGATGACGAATAGATTCAATGTTGATACCGTCATGACCTTTTCTTAACAATGTCTTTTTCTAGAGACTCAGTAATTTTTTTTTTGTTTTCTCGCCACATTAAACCTCGCATTTGCATTCTTCGTTAAATGTCATACGTCAAAGGATGTCCATGGGTATAACTTCTCTGTGAACTTTTTTATTAGTAGTATAGGATAGTATTAAGAAAAAAGAACACATAACAAAGATCCAATTGATACCGGATTTGACTGCCGCCCAAATCGTGATGCCCATCGCCTTCTGTACAGCCTCCTATCCTCCTTGTCCTCCCACCCGAGTCCCCTCCTTTGACCTTGATCGCCTCCACTACCTCACTCAGTATACCCTCGGATAAAATCCGTCACATCCTGCATCTCCTCAGGAGTCAAAGATGGAGGACGGACCGGCAAACCCAACCGTCTCTGGATACGTCTCTGGTGCCGCTGATAATCGCGAATGCATTGCGGGTCGGGTACAGGTCCTGATTGGTATAAGCGCGCGTACGCGAACGCACCCTCGACATCATCGTCCCCTGTAACCTCTTCTTCGTCTTCTTCATCCTCGCTGGATCCACCTTCGATCCAGTAGTCAGACTCTGGAAATTCCCCATCCTCGTCATCAAATGGTGGCATGGCGTACAACGCAGTCGTAAAATCCCGGTAAAAGTATTGCTGGCGAGCTGCCTCCTCCTCCATCTGGGCTTGAATAGACCTCGGCACGTCTCCGGCCAACACGTTAGGACTGGCGATCAGCATCTGAGCGGGCGACGCGTTCGAAGTCAACTCTCCATAGGTTGGCAACCCATCCGTGCTTCGTGATATCTCCTCAGCACCGGCATCGTGCCTGTAGCTTTGATACAGCGCCTGAAGGTGACAGGATCGGTAGGACACAAAGCCCGGGGTATGCTGTCTCGGGGCAATAGGCGCCGACGCACCCGTCATCGAGGCCGACAGCATAACCGGATCCACGAGCGAAGTAACCGAAGGAGAAGGCGAACTGCCGTACCGAGAACCGTAGAAGCTCAACGGCTCGATAACGCGTTGATGCTCAATGGTATCACGAATCTGAGACTGAGCCTGGAACGTGTTCGATCCTGTCGCGTTGACACCAGGAGGCTCGCAGCGGATCCTCACGAACTCTTCCCTCAAAAGCCTCATCTCATTCTCAAGTTGGATCGATTGAACGTCCTGTGGACGCGAGTGCGGTAGCAGTGTGAGTGACTCCGGGAACACCAAGACTCCGTTCTCCTCGACGGCGCCGCGCTCAGCGAACCTGTTAGTGCTGGCTTCGATCAAAGGATTGATACTAGCAAAACGCTCCTCTGGAACCAGAACGAATTCAGGTGTGCGAGCCTGAGGCGACTGCAGGCGAATACCAAACTCTTCTGTAATAGACAAACCAGATGAGGGGACGCAGCTCCGAAAGAACCCAAGATCCGAGGTGTTAGGGACAGTTGGTTGGTTTGAATCAGGAAGAGTGGGATTCGCAACCATAAGTGCTCCCCCAGCAGGCGTCAAGGCGCCATTGCAGGATTCCTCATGCAGACTCCCTCTGTCACTGTCAGCGCCGTCGAAACAACTACCGATAGTAGACTCGGCGCGTCGCAAAGTGCCTCGCAGGTCTATACCCTCGAATTCAGAGTCAGAGTCGTAACTCTCTTCTATGCCGTTGTCATTACCTAAGTCCTGTCGTTCCCCGTCGGTTTCATACGCCTCCAGAGTAAACGACGCCCGTCGTGGAGTACTGGCTGGTTCACCCATCTCTTGAATAACCGAAAGACGCGACTTCCGAGAAGCCAACCGCTGTTTTAGGTGAGGTGGGATGTTGTGTCGTCGCGCATGTCTTCGGCGAAGCGAAGTTGGGTTCCCAAAACTAAGTGAAACACTCCGGCCCGTCTTAGACGCGGAATCCAGGTGGCTCGTGGGCGCAGGCGGACGTGGGTAAGGCACACGGCTCCCAGAGTAGGTTCCCACAAGGGTCGTTGATGCCCAGTCCGGTTCCTGCTGAGTTAGATCGCTCAGTGTAGCTGGAATACGCGTCTCGCTTTCGGGAGTCTGAGTATTGCTATGCGGGGCCGTAGTCCACGTAAGGTAAGGTCTCACAGCAGCGGGGTTCGCAAGAGGCATCGCTGTGGCGACAGGCCCCATAGGAGGCGAGGTGGCAGCGCGCAATCGCGCCGCAGTAGCTCTCGATAGCGACTGGACGGCAAGCTGCCGAATGTTTGACGCCGAGAAAGAGAACATGGGTCTCGCGTCATTGATGCTGCTAGCGGCAGAAGGCTGTTGCGCCTCAATGACAGACTCACTCGCTCGATCGACAGAGATAGCTTGAATCAAGTCCTCCGCAGGCACCGCAAACGTCTGAAGAAGACGGCCGGGAGGCAACCGCGGCGGATTGCAGTTGTTTCCGCAGCCCTCCGCAACGCACTTGAATGGGCCGAACATACATGTACTCTTTCCAACTCCAGTAATAGCGTCTTTGGCGGCTTGAATCTCCTCACACCGTTGCTGCTGAGCAAACAGATTATTGCGGATAGCCTCACGTCTTACATAATCACGCTGGACGGCAGCCGCTGGCGAGACGTCTTCCATCGCAACGTACTCTGGATCGTCGCCATTTTCGACCAGATCACTGTTTGGAAGCGGCTCCCGAAGTCGTGCTTGGATCCTACGGCCATCGGCGGTGCGAGTGATGAGTCTCGGAGGGACGTCGACTGGTGCACTGGCCGGCATGGATAGTGACCCTGCCATGGCATGGAGATTCATCGTGTACTCCAACATTTGAGTAGGAGTTAACTCAGACAGTGGGATGTTCATAAGCTGCTGCTCCTGATGCAGCTTACGGACATAGTCCTCATAGGATCGATGGTATTCATCAAGGTGCTTGCGCACCAGCTTGGCTGCATAATCAACGGCCTTGTGATTATGCTGGGAGAACCGGGTATAAATGCTACCCCCGACAGGGAAAAAGATACCGGCCTTTTCAGTAAAAAAAAAAAAAAAAAAAAAAAAAAAAAGTATAGTGAGTGAGCGAGTGAACGAAGATCATTTGAAGAGGCAAAGGACGAAAATATACCAAAATGTGCTGATGAAAAACAATACATATTTCACTTACTGCAAGGTCCTGTATCATGTACTTGCGTATCTTGCGTCGAAATTCCTTTTGTGCCGGCTTACCGATGTCGAGGTCCTTCAAAGGGACGTACACCTTGTGATATGTCATACAAAATGACGCGACTGGACCAAACCCAGGCACAAAGCCTTTTGCGTTATTATAACGACCACAGGAATCGAAAAAGGAACATGGAGGAGAGATACAGAATACATGGTTAGGGGATAGAATAAGCAGCGTTGATGACTGATTGATGTCCGGAAGAGGTGGAGGTACTGTGAGAAAGTATTGGGAAATGATATGTATATATAAAATTGAGTGATTGTGTTGGGCGAAGGCATTGGGTGAGCATAGATGATAAGGCCCTTCCACCTCGCGCGCGATGGGGAAGATAATCAGTGAGGAACTTAAAAATAATTTCCTCCGACGATTGTTTGCTACTAGAAACTCTCTGGAATGGAATGTGATTGATGGAGAGAAGTGTTTCTAAAGACTGGGTACGAATAATATAATACGGATCAGCAAAAAAAAAAAAAAAATTGGAGCTGGTGTAACCGCAAGCGAAAATATATGAAAAAAAGGCTGCAAGCATTGTCTTCGTCATCCAAGGCAATGAAAACATATTAGTGCTCAAGAAATCCTATAGCAGAGCTATGGGAAAGGTTTCGGAGTTCCTCATTTAAAATCAGAGGAAGAAAGAGAGAAACTCCACCAAGAGGCATTGACGATCTGTCGTCGTATCATTTTGTAGGATGGAGTTTTTTTTTTTTTTTTGAGGAACTTACCGATCAGCACCGAAAGGCCAGCCTTCTTCGTGGGCTTCCTCACCATCTTTGACCATGCCTTCTTGTACCAAGACCCTTTCGCAGCAACCGTAGGGGTCGCGACACCCGTGTTCGCCTGAGCTGCAGAGAATTCGTCAGCATCTAAATCCTCATCATCGCTCTGGTTCGGCGAAGCGTTTCTGGATCCGTCGATAGGCATATTCACGATCCCAGGCCTGACCAAGGTAGAGCGCCGGAAGATCCGGGGCCGGCAGGAGACTCGGCGGGGACCATCGAACTTCTTAGCGATATGTCTGACGCTCTCTAGCTTCCGCTCAAGTACTTCGGTTCTTGTTCGAACCTGGTGGGCCCTGGTCTCGACCTTGGCGGGGATATTACTCATTGTTGTACCGTTGGGACACGGCTCAATGCTGTCAAAGTTCATCGCTGGCCTTTTCTCAAGTAACAGGGCTGGACAGCATGCCACACAAAAAAAAAATGAGATACGGGGCAAAATGATACAGCGTGGAGGAGCCGTGAAACGGTGCAAAGAAAGCGGGTTGGGTTAGAAATAAAGGAAGGAAAGAGAAGAAAAGAATATCAGGGCAGTGTTAGGTTCAGGTACGCTCGTTGTAGAGGGGATCAACTTCAGGAACGAGCTAGAGCACTACTTTGTTTTATGTGGGGCGGTTATTTTGCGTAATGAGGTGAGGTGTGTGTGGAGAGGAGCGTGGAGCGGGTAAAGAAGATGAAGGACGCGACGAAAACGCGTGCCCTGCATGAAAAGCTTGTCCGGAAGGGCGACAAGAAAAGCGCTTGCGCTCACTGTCTTGGTGAAAGAAGGTTTTTGTTTTGTCGAGAAGAAAGGGAGAGCATAAGGGAAGTCTTCAGGAAACGCTTTGAGAGTACTTACCGTTCAAGCGAGAGATAGGAAAACGCGTTGCACTGAAGGAACTGGCACCTGGGGTCTCTTGGAGAGCTGCCTTGTTAGTAGAGGGAACTGTGTATGGTGTGCTTCTTTTCCTGACGTGTGAAGTGCTTTAGGAGGTTGAGGCAAGTAGTAGGGGTAAAGGAAGAGGAGAAGAGCACAGAGAGAGAAGGAAAGAAAGAGGGTAAAGGCAAGCAGCCGCCGCAAGCCCTAGTTATACTGTGGGACATACTCTCCTCTAGAGTCGTTCAATGGGTACGTAGGCCTACGTTTATCCATCACCTAAACAGCACTTTGCAAGCCATTATTTTTGAAACGCCCTGCTTTTCTGCCCCATCATTTGTGCCCTGATAGTACATTCTAGTCCTAGTCAGGGTAAAGAAAGCTGTGCTCGAAAGACGAGGGGCCTTTCTTGCCATAAATGGGTCTCTTATGCTGCGAGCGCGCTGTATTGGGATAGACGTATAGAGGGCCTGTAGCTGTTGAAGAACGTTAAAGATATAAAGAGGAAAGCAATTGCCTTTTACAACAGCGACGAGGCTGGCCAGGAATATTTATGTCCGCAGCTTCAAATGACAGCTGCTTATATTGCTGTGGACCCGCAGAGAACCGCTAAACCATATTTGTGGTTCCTCTGTGCCTGAGACGCGCGTGACAACGTATCTCTTTTGCGAAACTGCAACCGTGAAGGAGCGACAGCTCAGAGGTTTTTAAGGCGCACAACCACCACTTTCGACGTCTTTCTTAGAAACCAGCACCGAGCAAGCAAGCAGAAACCTCTGCTTTTATTTTATTTTTATTTTTTTTTCCTCTGTGTAGTAATTATCTCTCCCCAAAAAAAAAAAAAAAAAAAAAAAAAAAGAACACATTCTCTTACCTTCATTATGGCTATCAGTCATGCACTCAGCGCTTAACCTTTCTCAATTCTATTTCTGGGCCAAGTCGGTATGTAGACATATCAGACTTTTAAGCATCGACATTCCTAGACCTATCAGCATTCTCAGGGCGATACTTATGGAGTAATGGCAATGCAGGCTACAGGCTACAGATGGCAATAATGCTCGACTAGAAAATGATTCTTCATTTCTCATTACCCCTGCAAGTTTGTTTACCAACACATAGATCCTTAACCCAACACTCTTTTTGTCATATATATATTTATGGCTGCAAGGTTCTGTATGGACGTTATCAAAAGTACATTTTCAGCTGGTTCAAAATGGTTGGTTGAATGCAGTATCCTTTTCCTTGAGCAAAAGTGCATTATTCCATAGGCGAAATCCCGCCTGTTCACTAGAAATGTCTGTGGTAGTTATATAAAAAAAAATGAAGATATCAAGATGTGAGAGTGGCTCCTTTACAATTCACAAAGAAGATCGAAGCGTGGTTTCCTTCTCAGAATCGAAGTGGTTCTTTTTTCTTTTTTTCTTGCGCCCGAAAATCTTTAATAAAGAATGTTACTGTGGGCAACGCCTGCTGTGGTCATTCTGACCCCTCACGCGACTTTTCAAATAACACGCTCTGATTCCCAACACCCTGTTAGAACAAACGTCTAGGAAGGAAGCGGGAAGAGGGAATAAAGGATAGTCAGCCCTGTTCCCTCGAAAATGGTATGGAGTGATGCAAAAGTGCACGCTTTTGGAGGGAGGTACCTCATGATATTCGATATATTAAAAGTTTTTTTTTTTTTTTTTTTTTTTTTTTTGAAGGCGCGTGCTGACAAGGGCCCAAAGAACATGCGCTTTTTCAAGTCTTAAACAGTCTAGGTGAAAAAAAAAAAAAAAAAAAAAAAAAAAAAAAAAAAAAAAAAGAAAGACAAACGCAAGGAAACACATCGGTGATTCATAATCTCGCTGATTCCGAAGGCTCGCACACACACACACACGCTCTTCCTCTCTCTTTGTCCACAGCACTCTCCCATGCTTGTTCTGGAGGTACTGAGCAGAAAGCAAACAAAATCATAGAATCAACGCGTCGAGGGATCCGTCTATACCATATGTGTTACCGCCAAGAAATGTGGCCTGACCTTGTGATTGGTCAGCTCAGGATGGACGCGTCCCTCCAATCAATCCAAGGCTTTGATTTCTGTGCGTCTCATCCTCTGCCTGCCATGCTTTCTGCCACTAACCACTCCCACAAAGAAGACATACATTTCTGTCATACAATTCAACTGAATGGTCAAACCACCCAGGTCTTTTTTTTCCGTTTTTTTTTTAATATCGAACATGAAAGTGACAAAACGAAGGGGCCTCAAATGGTCCAGTCGGTGAATTCGGTGGAGGGAGGACGAAGGAAGGAGGAGGGGGAACAATAAAAAGACAAGTTGTTGCGCGTCTAAGGAATAAAATGATTCATTTTTTTTTTTTTATATATATGTATAGTCCTTGAGGGTCTCATTTTACATGTCATCCATGGCACGCAAGGTCTCCTCGAGCTCGTTCTTGACCTCCAAGTGCTTAGCGGTCATCTGCTCCAGCTGGCTCTCCAAGGTCTCGTTCTCAGTCTCGAGATTCTTAACCTTACGTTCGAGCTCCTCGGCCTTCAACTCGTGTTCGCGAAGACTAAGCGGCACACGTCAAAAAGAAAAGGTTGAGGAAATGACAGTTAGAAATCAGCTTGACACCATCAATGACATGAGCCAACAACCATGCCTTTAAACACAGCGCCTTTCAAGCCTCGGGTTTCAGCGACAAGATGAAAAAGGAAAGCACAACGTACGCAGCCTTGGAACCGCTGCCAGTAGCCTCGGTCTTCTCCAACTGGGACTCGAGCAGAGTAATACGGTTCTTGAGCGAGAAAATATCCTGCTCCTTGGCAGTGACCTCATCCTTGGCGCCAGCCAGCTGCTGCTCAGCAGCCTCAGCACGCTCGATGGAGGCATCGGCCTCGCTACGGAGAGTGGCAATTTTCTAAGGAAGAAATAAAAGCTAGTGTTAGAATAATCGTCTATGAAAACATCGTTCTCGATACCTCAATAGATACAAAAGATATTCGAAAAAAAATGTTGTTGTGTAGAGTTGCTAAGACGCCCAACACAAGAAGCAGGTGTGTTCTTGGCTTGGTTTGCCCTGAAAACAAAGCGCAGCGTAGTTTCCTGATGACTTTTTTTCTTTTTCTTTCTGCCACGATGAATAAAATCCGAAAGTGTTGCTTTGTGCAGTTGGCAAGTTCGCTCCTGAAGTAACGTCTCAAGTCTACGCTTGTCAAAAGGTCATCCCGACTTTCCCATCTCGTTTTTTTTTTTTTTTTTTTTTTTTTTTGTTGTCGAATCTTGTGTCGTTCTGCTGCGTTCCATGGGCAGGATAAAATAGTGACGTTCCTGAAGCATGGGTCAAATAAAGATATGTATACATATGTACGGATATCGTCTCCTGAACCGCGTCGAATATCGACGGTTGAGAGAAGACAAGAACAACAACAACAACAACAACCTCTACTGCAAATAAGAGACAAGTGCATCGAGCGAAAGAGCCAGATGTAAAAATAGGTCCTAGCGACTTACAGACTTGAACTTTTCCATTATGATGTCGATGTGGGTGAAGAGAGGATGATGAAAGATGGAGAAGAGAGGAAGAAAAGAGAGTAATATGCTTGAACTGGGCCACCATGAAATGTGCTCTCAGCCCATTCAATTTCGTGAAATCCATTCTACGGTGACGTTTTTAAGGCTACCCCGGGTGTCGCTTTTTCTAATCCTCGTGCGTATCCAACATGGATACCCTTACGCAAAGAAGCAAAGTACAGTAAAGAGATTCGTACTCAATGGGTTTTATTCGACAAAAATAAAAACACCTGGATCCTTTGTTTCCAGGTGGTCATATTCTTTTTTTTTTTGTGAGAAGATACAGATGTGCCTAAAGGACGTATGATACAGGGATGCGGTGCAGAGAAGGGAATGAACAAGACACAACCACATGGAAAAACTGGGCAGGCTCGGTTTCCAGCCCTTTAATCACCGCGCCAGAGAGAGTGGGCGACCGAGGGAGCCCAGTCCGACTGAGCATTGTGTCCCTGCAGGCAGACGTACTTGCGTCCGTCGTACTTGACCTTGTCGCCAGCAGAATAGTGGCCCGATGAGCTCCACTTCTTGCCCTTCTTCTTCTTGTGATCATCATCCGAGCCCGAATCCGAGTCCGAGGAAGAGTCCGAGGAAGAGCCACTGCTACTGCCGCCATGCTTCTTCTTCTTGTCCTTCTTCTCCTTCTTCTCCTTGTGCTCCTTGTGCTCCTTATGCTCGTCCCTCTTATGCTCGTCATGGTATCCGCTGTGACCGTGCTCGTAACCAGCCTGCGGCTGGTGCTGCTGAGGCTGTTGTTGCTGCTGCTGGTACTGTTGCTGCTGCTGCAGGAAGCTAGCCCTTTCCTCCTCCAGGCGCTTCTTCTCGTTCTCGAACTTCTCGCGATCAGCCTGAGACAGCAATTCGGCCTCCTTGCGAGCCTTATCCTCCTTCTCTTTGTCGTTCATGAACTTGTTGGCCAAGAGACCAGCACCGACTGCCAGGAGACCTCCGAAAGCGGCACTTCCGGCATCGGCAGCCGTCTCCTTGTTCTTCAGGGACTTGACGCGCTTCTGATGAGCCTCAGAGATGTGAGAAGTACCCTTGACGGGTTGTCCGGAGACAGCGGCGCCAGTGTTCTGGCCAGGGACGTTGTGGGCAGTCAAGGTCAGGTTGACCTCACCCTGAGGCTTGCCGTTGGGAGAGTAGACATCAAAGATGCCGTTCATGGAGCCACCAGGGGCATGGACAACCTGGTTGATTGGGATGGCTGCAAAGGCAATGACGGCATCGACCGTGGTCTCCTCATCCATGATCTCGATGAACAGCTCTGGCTCACCAGCGAGAGGGATGCTAAAGGTCTGGTTCCATGTAGGGGTCTTGCCGGCGTCCTTGTGGACAAAGGTCTTTTGGAATGACTTGGAGTTGTTGAAATCGAGCGAGAACTGGAGATAGGGATCCTGCTTGCCGAGGGTCTATTGTCCCCAAAAAGAAAAGACGGAAGCATGGTTGGGTTAGGATTCAATGTGGAACAAGGGGCCAGGAGTGGAGGATGACAGACACATGGAGACTGCAGATCTGTACCTCGACATCCTGCAAGTTCTGGGCGCCGTGGGCGACGATAACCAGGGTGGGGCCTTGACTCATTGTTGAAAAAATGTGTGTTTAGGGGTTGGTGGTAAAGGTGTTGTGGGTGGGAAGAAAGAGAAGGATGGAGAGGAATATGATAATGATGAAAGAAGGTGGGGAGGATACCTCATGCCTGGTATTTATACAAAACCAACGTCTTGAGCTGCATTGCAACATCCAATGCAACCAAAGGAACAATATTATAGCACTGTAACGAGAGCATGTACTGGGTATTGCCCATGAATTTGACCTATCAGTAGACATCACCGGGTACCGGAGATGGAGGGCGGATCGGTCCAAACGCAGCTCCACAAGTTACCTCACAGGACCATTGAGCCATTGATTTTTCTAGAGAGCGAAAGTGACCTGTTCCCGCATAACAGACACGTACACGCATACGCTCAGCCAGCTCCTCTTCGAAGAGCAAGCTTGGACACGTAAACTAAATCAGGGTGCCTTTTTTAAGGTTCGTCTTGACGGTTCCCCCACTTCCACAGGATAAATATAGCGCTTGCGAAATTGGTCTTGGTCAGATCAGCCCAATTGGACTCCAGAACCCCACCAGTTCATGTCGTATGTATAGCCCTGCTTACCTTACTCACTCCATTTCTTTAGCCTGGGAAGGAAAAAGAAAAAAAGACGCGATTCTTCAGAGGTTTTCTGTTGAATTAGCTGCATTATTTACAGGATACAAATGTCAGCTGAGTCTGTGAGCCAACAATTGAAGAAGACCGAGGCAACCGAATATGCTGTTACTGATATCCCTGGTTAGGTTTTTGGTCTTTTGGGGCAAAAGAAAAAAGGAGAGGATGTGCTGTCAATCTTTACAAAGACAAACGGGCAATCGCATAGAGGTGAGAAGAAGAGAAGAAGAGACGCCCTTGTCGCTGTTTTTGATCTTACCATTGTTGACTGGCGGCTGAACTGGAACAAGCCAAGGGACGCAAGTCATGACAGGCAAGCAAGTAAGCAACACAGGTTCGCGCGTCTCGATAATAATGCATGAATTGACCAAGAAAGACTTGGCCCAAATACGTTCTAGATCCGGATTAGCGTGTAAAAAAAAAAGAACCCCATGGAAACATGGAAACAACTAAGGCACTTGCCAGTAATCATGAACATGAATGTGCATTCCCACAATTAGCTGTGACCTTCACCTTCCGCCATGGAGGATTGGATTTGAAAGAGCGCGTCGTGGAACAAGGTTTATACGCGTCAGACGTCACGGTCGATCCATCCCATGAGAAGATCCTGCAAGAAATTTCGCGTTTGCAGAGACCATCAAAATACCCGGTAGACCAAAGAAATCTTCAGCACTTACTTTTTTTGTTGCAGAGGAAGCCGAGAATACAAGCACAAACAGTAATACCCCCTTCCGAGGGAGAGACACCATGGATGGATAAAGGAAAGGATGATAGAAATTCGCTGTTTTTTTTTTATTTACATACAAAAGTATTCTTTTATATCTGGTAAAACTAAACTGGAACCAGAATTATTTACATGCTAAGGATCCGCAGAAGCTTAGAGCTCACGCGCAGCTTCCTGGGCCTTCTTGTCTCCCTTGTGCTGGTCCAAGAGGAACTTGGCACCAACAGCGAGGGCAGCTCCGGCAGCGAGGGAAGCACCATCGGCGGCTTTCTCCTTGTTGGCGAGATCCTTGAAGCGTTTCTGGTGGTCAGAGACGATCTGAGATTCACCCTTGTGCTCGGGACCACCGTGGGAGGCGGGGGCCTGCTGGCCGGGCTGGACAGCGGAGATGGTCAGGGAGATGGTTCCCTTCTGCTTGCCATTGGGGGTGAAGATGTCGTACTTGGCCCTCAAGGAGTGGTTGGGAGCATCGATGACCTGGCGCAAGGGGATGGCGGCGAAACCAATGGGGGAATCAGCGGTGTGCTCGTCGTCGAGGACCTCAACGTACAAGTTGTGGTTGACAGAGGGCTCGAAGCCATCGAGTGTAAGGGTCTGATTCCACTCGACATCCTTGCCAGCGTTCTTCTTGATCGAGGTCTTCTGGAAGGAGTGGCTGTTGGTGAAGTCCAAGGAAATCTGGGCATAGGGGTCGTTCTTGCCGAAGTGCTGTTAAAGATGTAGAAGGGGAATAGGTTAGTAGGTGGTCTTTGCGCACTTGTAGAGTTGCACACTTGGCGACGAACACGTCAATTGGGGGAAGCCAGGCAGGTAGGAGAGCGTACCTCAACATCATCCAAGTGGTTGGCCGCATGGACGTTGACGATAAGGGACTGAGTCATGGTTGGTTATGAGTTTGGTTTTGGTGGGTGAGTGGGAGTAGAGTGTCTTGAAGGTATAGAAGTGAAGGGTGAAGAGGGAGACAGACAAAAACGCGACGAGGGTGGGGGTATTTATGCAAAAAACAAAAAGAGGATGACGGACCCCCTGGGCCAGCGAATGTTAGTGGTGGGTAGGCTGTTGAACACTGGACAGTGGACTACAATAGTTTCGTAGGTATTTCTATTTTGGTGAGTTGGTTCAATGGTTGAATGGTTCAATGGTGTTTTGCTTTGCTGTGGAGAGTATTGATTGGACTATATACGTGAACGTGAACATGAACGTGAATTTCCCTTTCTAATGCTGCTTAGCCATAGTAAATGAAGGGGGATGTGTGGGAAAACGAGGGCACGCAGGAAAGCAGACCGAAAATACGTGTTTGCGACTGTTGCTGACGCCAAAGCAAGTCAAAGCAGAAAGGAAGGTTCGGGGCCCACTGCCAAAGAGGCAATTGGAGGGACAGTTGACAGATGAGTGGTAAAGAGCAAGAGGATGAAGATTAAGCCCCACTGGATTGACCATGATTCCTCGGAGTATTGTGCTTATCTAATATGGTGCAATATGATAGGGTATTGTATGGTAGCGTACGATAGCGTATGGTAGGATACCGTAGACCAATGAGATCATGGCTCAATTGATATGGAGCCATGCTGGCTAAAGAAGCACGCCAACAAGAAAAATGAGGAAGAATCCGTACACAAACTCTGAGGGAGGGAGGGCCCGTGTCACAGTCTGAGGCCGAGATTGGTGGATGATGATATTGTCGTACGTGATGATGCATTTACAATACAGAGTAGCCTAGTTCATCCATCGGCCCGCGTCTTTTTTCTGTTGTGTCTGCTGCACTCCACAAGAACAAAGGCCTGCAATCCAGGGCTCTCAACCAATGGCAGAAGAAACAGCCGCGCATTGGTCTAATGTACCAAGGCACGCATTTCCACAACCGAGGGCTGGACTACAGAGCAAAGGCCTGTGGAGTCCATATTCTGTATATTCCGGGTCCTTCCTCCTTGCATGAATCCTCTTTCTCTCTGTCTGCCACACAGACGCAAGTCATGGCGTAGAATAAAAGAGTTTTTGGTGCGTACACACCTAAGCATTTTCAAGGGATGCTATATCTCAGGAGCACTGAAACAGTATATTTCCTTCATCCTACCATAATCTCTTCTTCACTTTGGGGACCCCCGTGGCATCGTTCATGGATGTCGAGAGCTTGAAGATGACTTCAGTGCTTTCTGACTGGCGATGATGGTGGTACTAGCGGCACTAGGGCCGGGAGTAGCTTAGAAAAAAACGCGAGCTGGGCGTGCTGGGCCTGCCAAGCTTGGGCCTGCAGGATATTCAGGGCTTTCGTACGCCACCCGAGGTCAGGGGTAGAAGCTATATTCTGCATTGAAGTATGGTTCTGTAGGTGAAGCTAGGGATGCGTAGGAGAAGGATTGATGAAATAAAGGTGCATTGCAAGGTAGGGAGCGATGGAGAATTGTCAAATAGTGCGGATTGTATGGGCATCAACTCATGCATGCACCGCCAAGAACGCGAAACCTTTTATTCCGGTAGGCCTTGAAAGATCCGGGGAAATATGAGGATTGATAGCCTTTGGCCGTCTTCTGTCTCCGTCGGATTATCTGCTGAACCGAGAGAGACTAACAAAGGGATAGATCGCTCAAAATAGACAGCCTCTCTAGTTCTAGTTACAGTAGGGTCCGTCCAAATACACAAACACGGCGTCCTTACAAGGTGATCAGTGCACAGGCGTGTGCACACTAAAGTTCATTAGCTTAACCACTCTCTAGTATCTCGTTTTTGATACTAGACGAGGACCATTCGTCGATGGTTCCTCTTCCTCTACCGCTTCCTCACCCTTCCCTCTTCACACTGAGGTCGTACGTACAGAACAGCCGCTTCCAAATTAAGAAGGTAAGAAGGTCGTGGCCCCTATGTTCGCGGGGACATTAATAAAGCTGTGCAACTGCAGCATCGAATCAACGTCCTCTGCTTCGCTTCACATCTCTTTGTATCCGTTGCCCTCCAGCCAGTCCTCTCTTCTCACAGAAAGCCCTCTCTTCTCACAGAAAGCCCATCTCCATCCTTCTCTTATCTTTTTCATTTCATTTCTTGAAGATTCTTAGAAATCGCCTGAATACCCTTTCTGCATATGGCCGAATGGTAGTCACGCCCGGCAGATGCGCCCTATCCAACCAGAACAGAATCGGACGTCCCATTCTCGTCAGTCCTGAGCTGTTCATCCTCCTTTTTCGCTATTAGTAACGGAACTCGGCAGGACTTTGAAGGATGCGCTACGCCACCCTCAGACAAAATTCAAAAAAGGTGCTTTTTCATCGGACCGCAACCAAAAAAAAAAAAAAAAAAAAAAAAAAAAAACACCTCCATCAAAAATGAAAGCGCTTCAAGTACACCCTTATGGACAACCCCTTCAAAGAGCGGGAATGAAAGTAAGGATACTCGCGCTACAACTATACAAGCTGGCCGGCGCTAAGATGACTAACATGATATGCGTTAAAGGACGGCCCAGACAGGCTAAGCAATATGAACAACCGCCTAAACCAAGGAAATTGAACATACCCCCTCTCACCACCACCACCACTGCCCCCCTTCCCCTTCCGTATTTCAGACCAGCATAGCAACTACAGCGGCAGCTGCCACGGGATAAAACACGGTCGAGTACCTGCGATCGTCATCGAGATAATGATACCAGGAACTCACAATATCGCAGCAGGCGCAGTCATTGACACTGATATTTGAGGGAGACGCCGTCCATGGAATAGTTCATTGAGCGAGAGGGAAACCGCACCAAAAACTATACAAATGAAATGTTACGCGAGGTATCTTTTCGGCATGCACAAAAAACGGGAGTAAAGAATATCATATCAACGATTATCTTCATATGCACAATGCAGCCTCAAAAGACCATCACTAATCCTTCTTTCTCGTCAATGTCCTTGTTGCATGTAGACCGTTAGTAAACAACGCGCGTTTGTGCATGTTCGGCTGATGTCGTATTTCTGTCTATGTACAAATCAAGGCTGATGAGCCAATCGTCTGCAAAATTCAGGGGACCGGGGAATCGCCTATGTACTGTGCGTGCACCGCGTAAAACGGAGGTGAGGGAGGGGAAAAAAACGCGCCAACCCAATCGTGCATACATTAGGCTACACGCGTATATACCCCGATAAACAAATAGCAAAAAGCGCCTTCAATCGCGTCTTCAGCTTCCACAGGAACAAAGAAGACGAGAGAAAAGGCATGCGCTGTTCAAAAAATGCCTTTCGTATTGGTTTCGTTGCTTGTGTACATGTGGTTCTGATTCTGTCGCCACGGAAATATTTGTTACTCTATTGGTTCTGATTTCCATCACCACATGCCAGTAATGCAAAGAGACAGCTCAATTACACGATCGCATATAGACTACGACCATTGGCGTCGCCCTGAGCAAGGCGAAAAAAAAAAAATCTACGTGGTCAATGGTTTCTAGCATTCTCGAATGTTCCTTCAAACACACCAAAACGACCCAACGTCTTTGAAATCCAAGAAATTTTAATGAGTACCGTCTCGTTTTAGTGAATTATATTCCGCACTCCATAAGTGTTTCTACCTGGTATGACGGCCGACAGGAAAGAATGGACGATTTTGTTTCTCCTCAGGCTACGTATTGTACGTATGACGATAACGACCATGGCTGACCATGGTCCGTCTCCCGATTCAACCTTAGTAAATATTATTATTAGATAGATCATTTTATTTTTCCAAGGTCTTCTCACAATACAGCGCTACTTTTTGGTTGCCTTCTGGAGCAATCCCAGTTCATCCTTTCTAGCATACGCAACACGGTCCAACAGAATCCTTGAACGATAATCGCCCAGGGTAGTCTCGGGCGGTCCAAAGGCGTTGGTCACGTAAGCAAACCCAATGTTGAGCTCCTCGATCCAAACACACAAGGACCCGCCCGCACCGGACCAGCCCTGGACTTCGATATCCTTCAATGGACCATCACCGTAGAAATTGCGCGTCTTGACCCAACCCCCAACCGACAGCGGCAGAGTCTCACCTACGACCTCGTCTGGCTTTTGAGCGTGAAAGGCCGTGGCCTTTGCGTAGGTCTCAGTGCTCATGAGGTCGGGTTCTTGGCCCGGACGGATCGAGGAACCCTTGTTCGCCATCATTGACATCAATTTTGCAAGCTACAGGAAGGAAAAAACGAGCAGAAACAACGGGCAAAAAAAAAAAAAAAAAAAGGACAGGATAGGACAGAACAGGCAGGATTGCATGTCAGCATGAATGTGCAATTCATATTTAAAGGACAAAGAGCAGAAGGAGAGAGCGTGAGAAAGCAATTGAAAAGAAAAGACGCGAACAACAAAAACACTTACAGAGTGAGCATTGGTCTTCAGCGAGAAGCTGGTACTCTCGATGGCATGGACCTCCTTGGTACGGAAGTCATGGGCCCAGGGCGCAAACTTGGGCAACATAGTCAATGATGGTAGACCCTGACCAGAGAACTGGCCAAGGACCAGGCTCTTGAACATGTTGCCGAGAGGAAGGATATTGGGGTGACCAAAATACTTGTTGGTCTGGATGAACCTGGGCACCAGCAAACGACCGACAGTCCTCAAGAGCGGATAGTCATGCATCACGGAGAGGCGCTCTTCCCAGTCAGAGTCCTTGGGGAGCTTGGAGTAGTATAACTCAATATCGGGATAGTCAACCATCAAGTCCTGCTCTGCGATCTGACCGATCGTCCTACCCTTGGAATCGACGCGACGGACAATCTCATTCAGGTACCATCCGCGGGTGATGGCATGGTATGCCCTGGTCTTCTCGCCATTGAACAGATGCGGCTGGCGTGCGAGGCGGTCCGAGAACTTTTCCTCATCCGCAAGATGGGGCCACAAGTACATCTCGGCCTTGTCCTCATTGTCCAGGAAAGGCACGCCTGATTCGTGAGTCATCAGATCCACCAACCGAACGTCTTCCTTGCCGTTCTGAGCAAATTCTGGCCAGTAGTCCGCGATGCGCTTCTCATAGTCGAGTCTGCCCTGCTCCACTAGTCTGGCGATCACAATGCCCTCGACAACCTTTCCGGATGAATAGACCTGTTGCAGCGTCCTGTTATCGTACACAACCGTGCGGGCGAGGTCTTTGGCTCCTGCATAGACATCAATGACCTGGTGACCATCGACAAGGACCGCAAACGACCCTCCGAGGTCCTCATTCTTGGCAAAGAGACTGGCGTAGTAGTTGATAACCTGTCCGTAGTGATCGGGCCGCTCAAGAATGCCTTCGAGGTGAAGTGGGGCTTGGGGACAGTTGACACCGAGGCTGGCACAAGTCGGAGGCAGGAAGGGGCCCCTCTTCGAGTAGGCGTAGATGCCGAAGATCATGGCGGGTATCAACCGGACGAACCATTGGACGAGTGTGAGTCTTGGGAAGAAAGATGCCCTGCTGGCAGGAACGGCAGCAGCAGTGGCAGCGGCAGGAGGAGTGACCTCTTTATCAGCCATTGTGTATGAGCTGGCGATGGATCGGCGAGTGAGGAGTGAGGAGCGATGAAGCAGTGGAGGGAGTAAAGAAAGAACTTTATGTCAAGTTGAAGAGGCGGTCGATGTGTTCGATTGTGGTTGCTTCCCACCCGTGAGAGCGGCCACCGAGAGGGAGCGAATCCGACTCGCCCGAATGGTTGGTGAGCACTCCGTCCAGCCCAGCCTCCGAATGAGCACTCGTCCAGTATTATTTGGGCGGGAGCATTCAATTCAACCCTAAGGAAATGAATGTCGCTGCCGTATTCTTCTTTTGAAGACGTGCATTATTTCGTGCGAAGTGAGCCTTCTCGTGCGTATGCCCATCTCATCCACCGATCCAACGCGTTCTCTTGCTGCAACGATGGTTTGCAAGTAGCGGCGCGCGTATTTTTTTTTTCCTGTCATCGTATCACCTCGGTAATAAAGGCTACGAATGCATAGACATCCTGAGTATCATAATCCATAACGAGGAAGACGCGTCGTGTCACATTGCTTATAGCTAGTATCAACGCTTCTGAACCATTGATGGATGCATCCTTCGATGTATTCGTACTTTTGATGAAGATGGCAGCGACAACGAAATGGTCTGATTGCCGCTGTTGCCGTTGCTGTTGTTATTGTTGTTCCACTGCACCAAGCGAGATAGTGCGCACTGATCCATCTTCATTTTTCCTATTGCGGGGCGATTGACTATCTCTTCCTCCCCTTCCCTCCCTTCCGTTTTTCTCACTTCACACCAACAACACTCATTCATCCTCATCTCAATGTCGCCTCCTTCATCCAAGAGCAAGCATTCCGAGTCTGGGGTAGCTCGCCTCTGCGGATCCGCCACCTCGGGATTCCTCGAGCTCGTGATCTTCCACCCCATCGACACGATCGCCAAGCGACTTATGAGCAACCATACACGGGTAAAGGCTTCGTAGAATCGGTTATAGTCTGTACCCCTCCGCTCGCTCTTTCTCTTTCTCTTTCTCTTTCCTTTCTGTCGAGGCCATGGGAAAGTGAGAGCAGGAAACCTTCAATGGAGCACAGCAGCAGGAGAGCGAAAGCTACTACGCGGGCGGATGTTGAAATCGTGCGAGTCCCCCTCCCACCCTTTTCCTGCCAATAAAGTTGGACTTGCACTCAACTCGGGTTACTGTCCACCCCCCAAATTTGAACGCCTTTTTCCTAATACTCAATCCCTCAATACCCTATTAGCTCTTCGTGCCCGGACAACCTCTGAGCGTGGGCCTGGCCGCAACCAACAAGGTGATCTTCAAAGATGCCGCCGAGGCCCCCTTTCTCAAGAAATACCGTTCCCTCTTCCCGGGACTCGGTTTCGCAGCCGGGTACAAGATCCTGCAGCGGGTCTACAAATTCGGCGGACAACCCTTTGTCAACGAGTTCTTGAATCGTCATTACAAGACCTCCTTCGATAGGACGTTTGGGGAGAAGACTGGAAAGACGATGATGCATGCGACTGCGGGGTCGTTCGTCGGGATCGGAGAGATTGCGTTGCTGCCGTTGGATGTATTGAAGATCAAGAGGCAGACGAACCCAGAGTCGTTTAAGGGACGCGGCGTCGTTAGGCTCGTTAGGGATGAAGGGTTCCAGGGACTGTATCGGTACGAACCGCGACCCATGAACCATGAGTGTTAGCTGGTATTATCACCATTTTTTATTTGTGCGCGCTTCCACTCTTCTAGTCAAATAACACCGCTTTCCTTGCCGCCGCTTTGCTATCATTCAATAGAGGTGCACTGTGGACAGCTGCCCGCAACGCTCCAGGATCATTCGCCCTCTTTGGAGGCAGCGCATTCGTCAAGGAATGGATCTTCAGACTGGAGGACTACAACAAGGCCACGTTCTTCCAAAACTTTTGCGCCTCCATCGGAGGCTCTGTTGCCTCCATCACCGTCGCCGCACCCCTGGACGTCGTCAAGACCCGTATCCAGAACCGCAACTTTGACAACCCAGAGGGCGGTGTCAGTATTATCCGAAACATGGTCCGTCATGAAGGCTTCGGGGCCTTCTTCAAGGGTCTGTTGCCAAAGATCCTTGTAGTCGGTCCAAAACTCGTCTTCTCGTTCACCATCGCCCAGCAGCTCATTCCATTGTTCCACCAAAAGTTTGAGGAGGTCGGCTTGACCCATGTTGGCAACACCGCCAAGTCCAAGCCCAAGGCTGCTTAGACGCAATCAGGGTACCACCAGATCCCCTCCTTCCACATTATCTCCATTCTTTTCGTCGATTACGCAAAAAAAAGTAAAGCACATTAACATCCGCATTGACTTCATGTTTCATTTTGAGCGCGAATAGCAGTACCATGTGAAGAGAGACGACGTTGGGGGAAATGCTATTTTTTGTTTATTTTACACTAAGGAGATAGAATTAGAAGAACCGGCTTGATAATCGCCCGCAGGCACTGGAGACAAAGTACATCAACAAGAAGAACTTAGTCTTTCCTCCTCTTGCCCTCCTGAGTTGTCGAGAGATCCAATCCCATCCTCTTCTTTGACACATCAACCTTGTTGAACTTGTCCAATCCAAAAATATCGTCTTCCTTCTCGAACGCCACAGGACCTTCCCTCTGCATGCTGCGACCACCCTCGGTGCCCTTGAATCCCTTTGCACTAATGCCTGCACCTCCGAAGCGGTCCGATGCCAGCGCGCGGGTGATATCGTCCTCGGTTCCAACTTCATCGTTACCGCCATCGTCTCCTGATCGCTTGGGTCTGTAGACGCTCGATCCAGTGTGCATAAACATGGGCTTGTCATAGACACTGTATGACTCGTCGTCCTTGAATCCAGAGCTCAGTCCTCCAGATTGGTTGAACAGGCGAGAATCGTACATACTGTCCTTGCTTTGTGTAGGCTTGGCCAATCCCAAAGCGACTCTTTCTGAAATATCTCTTCCTTCCGCCCTATTTGAAAAGGAAAAGAATAAAAACATTAGCAAGTGGACTCCGACACGATATATGCAGCAGTATTTGATGGGCAATCCATAATGAAGCCGGAGTGTTACCTGGCCATGACCTTTGCCTTCTGCTCTGCACCCATGCGGGACATGCGCAGATCCTTCTCGTGTTCCTGCTGTCTTTCTCTGCGGAGAGCGTCACGTTCGCGAGCCGCCCTCTGCTTCGCCTCGTCATCCTCATCGTCCGACTCGGACTCTGATGCAGAGCCACCACCAGGACGAGGTGAAGCATCCACGTCCATACTCGTAGAGGCCGAGGGCACAATACCGGCTCTCTCATCACGAGCCCTCTGGGCCAACGCACGCAGGCTCTGTTCCTTGGCTTCCTTCTCTTTCTGAGCAACTTTCTGTTGCATCAATGCTCTCTGGCGAACCTCATCCTGAGCGTGTCTTGAGGCCAACGCCAGAGCCTCAGCCAGGTTTGCAAATTTGTCGTTAATCTGCACCTCCTGCAGTCCACGTCCGTCAGCCGCGAGACGTTTATCCAGGGGAATGGTGTATCCCTTGGCGTTCTTCCAGTTCGAAATACAGGGTGGAATGACCCAGTTGGCCTGTTCCTGAGCGGTGACTTTGCGAGGTGGCGAGTGCAAAACTGGTGGTGGAGGTGATGGGGGTCCGCGAGGAACCTTCTTGTGCTGATGTTTGGGTGGTTCCATTGGGTCAACGGGCATCTCCACCATCTTGATCACTCTCTGCTTCGCGCCCTCGGCACCTGCAGCTTGGTTGGCAGGCGTGTAACGAATATAGGTCGGTGCTCCTGGTTTATTGTTGGAAACGACATTCTTGGGTAGCGCAGCAGTAATCTTGGCTGTTTTGTGAACAAAAAGAACGGAAGCAGTGTTAGAGTAAGGAAAAAAGCCTATCTGTCTGAGCAGCTTCTTTTTCCTGGCATGCAGCTGTAGACCTACACTTTGAAATCTTCTCCAGTGCTGTCCTAGTACGATCCGCTGTCTCCTGCACTTCCTCCTCGCTGGGTCGGCTCAAAGAGATCTCTCCAACATCCGCACGTTCGTTGAGAGGAACAAGGTCCTTGAACTGCGACTGCACGATCTGCTTTGAAGAGTGTCCCCGCTTGGCGATGGCATCGTATGCGACGTTTCCTTGTGCGTCCACCTGAAGTGCAATCGTCGAGCCTGCTTTTGTAGCCGCCTATCAATCGACGAGAGTAAATTGCATTCTGTCAGCGACCCTTCGTTTCTTTTTTAGCAAGCAAAGAAGCAATTACTGCTCTCAGACTACGCTTACTTTCTTCTTGCGTCCCATGTCAAGGGGGTACTGAGCGGTGTGGATCTCTGGGAATGCACCCCCATCGCCAAAGTCCTCTGGCTTCTTGGGCTTCCATCCTGCACGCTTGCCGTATGGAGGCATTCTTGGTACCGGGGCTGTGACGGCGGTGCTATACTGTTGCTGGTCGTAATCCTGTCCTGGATGTTGATGCATTGGCGTAGGCAGTAGTCTAGGCATCAGCCAAGAGAGACAGGTATTGGTAAGACACTGCAAAAAGGAATTCTTTGACAAAAAGCAATGGATCCGCAGCCAGAGAGGACAGTTACCCAGAGAGAGATGACATGATGCTGATACTGATGCGGGATGAAGAGAGAAGAACAATAACGGAGACTAAGTAGGAGAGAAAGAGAGCGCAGCAGATTAATAGTGGTGATGATGATGTCACAGTACGAAATATGGCTGTATCCCATAAACACACGACTCCTCACAGTCCCCGCAAAGGGGACACACACGCGTCTCTGTCGCACGTAAGTCACTGAGTCCGAGAAAGCACTTCCACCATTACCACTCGCCTCGAATTCTCTCCTGCAACCCCATCTCCCTCAACAAGAGCATCGGCTGCAAAAACAATCCAACCACCGGTCGTCTTACTTTTTCGCAACTACATAAATGTCGGGACTCAAGCCAGGCGAGGTCAATCTCGGTGTAAGTGCCTCCTCCTCCCTCCCACCTTGCTTGTCACTATCCAGCCTGCGACAAAAAGGAAAGGCGCGCGCCCTTCTCTTCAACTCTATTCACTAACATGCGCTGTCTATCAATGCAACCCTAGACGTCTATTATGGCGGTCGAATTCAAGGGAGGCGTCATTATCGGAGCCGATTCTCGCACAACCACAGGATCTTACATCGCCAACCGTGTCACGGACAAGCTGACTGAGGTCCACGATACCATCTACTGCTGCCGATCTGGAAGTGCAGCCGATACCCAGGCCGTCGCCGATATCGTTCATTACTACCTCCAGATGTACTCGTACGTATCATCCATGATCCCTTCCATGTTTTGCTTGACAGGGTGCCCCATCTGACAAGGATACTTTTTCTTCTATTCCAATTACGCACCCTATAGTGTTCAGAATGGAAAGCCAACGGTCCCATTGGCAGCATCGTTGTTCCAGGAGTTGTGCTATCAGAACAAGGATGGCCTGAGTGCCGGTATCATCGTCGGTGGCTGGGACAAGGTGAACGGCGGCAGTGTCTGGAATATCCCCTTGGGAGGATCGCTTCACCGTCAGCCTTTTGCCATCGGAGGAAGTGGATCGACATACATTTACGGTTACTGTGATGCCACCTATCGTGATGGCATGAGCCAAGAAGAATGCATCGAGTTTGTCAAGAACTGTAAGTCTTTTTTCGCGCCTTTAATTGAAAAATGCATTGTTTTAATTGCGGCCCATGCATTTTGGGACTGTATGGAAGGTGGCAGGCCACTGTGGACGATATCCTCAGAAGTTAATCAATTTGCTATTTTGTTTCTTGACCGATGTTTGATGTGTTAATGGCGGTTTTTTTTTAGCATTGGCACTCGCTATGGCTCGCGATGGCTCGTCGGGAGGTGTCATCCGTATGGCAATTATTACAGAGAAGGGTGTTCAGAGATTGTTTGTTCCTGGCGACAAGCTCCCTGGTAAGCACGTGCGATTGATGTGTCAATTCTTCGTATTTCTTTGCCGCCTATGTTTCAACGCTCTAACCTCTTGGCACCAATTTTTTTTATGAATTTTCTAGTCCATTGGGAGGGTTAAATGGTAGATTAACGCAACCTCTAAGAAATTACAAGCGAAAAGAGAGTGCGAATCGATCATTGTCGACTGGATTTTATAACCAAAAAATAAACACACTTGTAAACTTGACATAAACATCTCATTTCATCTACCCAATGACCTCCTCTCTCCCACAAGCTTCATTGTAGTCATCCATGCGAAAAGCGATGTTTATGCACTTGAATGTTTTGGTATTTCCCGTGTTGGTTAAAGGGCTTTATTTCTTGTTTCTATACAGCGATCACTGCTCGCGACTCTGTTTGTGTCCTTTCGTCCGATACTGTTTGTTGTATCCTGGCCATTCATTTATTTCTTTCCATAAACCTCGCCATCCCGGAACTCCTTTGCCCACTAGCAAGTAGGAAGAAATAAAACGGAATTGTTAGGATATATACTGATCCGACCGCAACTGAAACGTTGTTTGCATTTGATAGCACCATAGCAGAGCAGCAGACAGAGGAATGGAAGAGCGACTCACAAGCTGGGATGGGATCCAACCCTTGGGGCGGCTGTGACGCTCCTAATGTGTTCATTAAACAAGACAGCATCCGTTGTTGTTAGTTTCCTTTTGCGCGGCATTCCCTGCCTACGAAATGAGATTATCCTAGGGTGCCCTGATTGAGATCCATGATAGTTCTACGTGTTCAATTGAACGAATCCGGTACCTCGTTCTCGGCAGAGTACTTCCAGACGGCAGCAACGATGGTAGCAGTGATACCGACGGCGACGGCAGTGTTGGACTTCCAGTTAGTGGGCTGGGTCCACCAACCACCAGAAGGAGACCTATCATAGAGATAGAACGGTAAAATTGGTTTAGTCGACACACCGAGGCAAGCAGAGTAGGCGGGCGTGTTTGTTTGTAAAGTAGTTTGTATGAAGTGGAGGTCGTTGTTGCATGTTCCGAGCATTGTCCCTTCAGCATTCTGGTTCGATCGTCATCCGATGTGCTTAGAGGGATATAAGTCGGTAGTTGTTGTTATTGGGCAGAGGGGCGGAGGGGACGTACCAGACGTGCTTGGGATAGGGGTAGCGTCCACCGGCCATTATAAATGTAAAGTATGTGAGTGAGTGTGGGTTGATGGGAGAGTGGAGAGAAACGATGAACAAGGCGGTCCTACTTGCGTGTAGGCAGCATCACCAAATTCCGGGCCGCAAGGGGTCTGTTTTGACATGTGGCTTAAGGATTTGAACGCGTTTTTTCTTAGGAAACCTAAACTCGCTAACTCGCACAAAAAAAGGGTCTGGAAGACACCATATCTTCCGTTCCCTCATCAAGGACGATCCCTTTGAATGCAGTCTGCTCCATGTACAGCGCGACAATATGTGTCAAATTAGTATCAGCATTAATAGCTGTCATAAGAATCGCGTGTGAAGAAGGAGAAAAAATGCTGCAATGTTGGCAACAAGGGTGTCAACTGTATCTGATACCGCGCTTCGTTTCTTCCCTTCTTTTCTCAACACTGTCTTTCCCAGCTTCACCGACAGCCCCAGCTGCACTTATCCGTATGCCATAGCACCAATGGCTCACTCTCCGCTGCTCACTCCTCCTCTCAGGGGGTCTGCTATTAGACTATCTGAGCAAGAACAAGGACTCCGTTCCAGGCACATCAAGGTGTCATGACGTTCCGGGACAACACACAGTTTAAGACGCCTATATTTTCGAAATTCTAATTCTTGTCAGCAGTATCTACTCATGCCTCTTCAACCCCGCTATCTGATTAAACCAAAGAGATCCTTTTAAGAACGCTCCGCGAGTCTGACGTCCTACCATCCGTAGCACCCTACAAGGCTCCGAGAAGAAACTGCGCAAATCCGCCAACCTAGGGTTCCTCTATCTCACATCTGACTGAAACAGCGAAAGGAATTATTACCCCAATCGTATTCCCAGTTCATCCTGCATAGGGTCTTATGAAGCGTATCCAGGTGTCTACAGCGATACGCTTGCAGGTTGCTCTTTAGCGACAGCCTTTATCTCGAGTTCGAAAGCGACTCGCCTCGGCATCAAGGCAATGACTGCGTCTCAATAAGCCCTAGATGAACATCCGAACTTGAAGTCCGTTAGATTCCGGGTAAGATCTATCGACGCAAGGGCTACTGAACTTATTCTCTGTTGTTACACTACAGAACCTCATGATCGTCATGATAGATTGAATGCTCCTTCGGACAAAAAATTAGGAGTGTCCCGTTGTTTATGGCTGTATTTTAAATACAGCCGCAAAGCGGTATCATCGAGAAGGTTGAGATCGACGAAATTTGGGCAGTACCGAGGGTTAGTGGCGAGAAGGTCCTGTGGACTTCCATCGTCCTAACGAAGTACTGCCTCGAACATTTGAACATCTCCAGTTCAAGACCGAGGAATGGAACGAGCTCTTACGATTAATGGGATCCAATGGCAGCGTACGAAAGCTGTTTCTGGAAAACCTAAGAGGTAGCCAACAACTCGATCTTGCTCCGGTCCCAGGGCCGTTGTGCAGGTTTGTAGGAGGTCATCGTAAGAGTTCTGAGCAAAACTATATGCCCACATCTTGATCGAATGTCCTCACTTTAGGATTCTGAGATTGTATAAAAGTTCATCGCATGGGAAATATTTTTTTGATCCCGGGATCCAAGGTGTCTACTCAAACGTCGGCCGTTGGGACAGTGCGATTAATACGGACGCGTTTGCGGACGCGTTTGCGGACATAACTGACAAAGCTGCATCGATGCCGCTCCGCCCAAAAGCGGCTGATGAGCCTAAAATTGACGCGGACCCTGACTGAGCGCCTGAAGACCTGTGAAAGAGGTTGAGGGTGGATTGGGTTGACAGGCGAGGGAGTCCAAGCTGAACTATGGGATTTGGACCGTACATCTGTATCCCTCTTTCAATCTTCCCCGTCAGACGCGGGAGGTAACTTTAACGCAAACAATGGGGGCATTACATAACCTTTTTCTTCTGAAACTATCAAACGAGGATAAAACAATGAGGGCGAAGGTGAGGGCAAAGGAGAGGACGAAGATGAGGGCGAATATGGCTATACCTCAAACACTTAAAATCAACACAACATCACGCAGGAGTTGAAAAAGTCCCACCTTCTCTCCTCATACAACCGCATCCCCCACACACTCTTTACCGATGTTGTCCACCGTCATCCATACTATGCATCAAGTAGCAATGGCATATCCTACAATCGATTCTCTTACACCCTCAATCCACCTGCTGAACTCCTCGCAGGCAGCCAAAAAGATAGCCTCGGACACTTCAAGGGCCTTGTGTATCCGAGGACAGCGCACAATTCCGTCCTCTATCATCTTCGACCTCCCGCCTATTATGAAAACGATCTGCTCCCACCTCTCCAACGTCGATATCTGGAGATACCGAGCCGTTTCAAGGACCTGGTGTGTGCTATTTGAGCCTTACCGTTGGGAGTACGTCAAATGGCATTCTTTGGAAGGCACGCGCGTCAAGCAGCTCCTCATCGAGAATGCCACGCGAGTCCAGCACCTTACTATCAGTAATTCCCGCAAGGACGCGCAGCAAGAGCTGCGCGGGTTCATTAATCTCAAGTCTCTGCATCTCGTATCGCGTCCTCCTGGAGAGGATGTCTCCACGAGAGAGGAATACATGCGGTCATCGTGGGATCTCATCAGAGACAACCCAGGGTTATGGACGCTGCGTTTGGATTTCACAAGGGGCATTGTTGCTCAGCTGTTCTGTCACTGCGACCACCTCGACCACCTCGACCTGGACGAACCTTTACACCAAACCAGTGACAGCGCTCTTGCAGCTCTGAAGCGACACCCTAGCCTGAGGTCCGTAACGCTCACGATCGCAATCGACAGAGTGGACGTCTCGGCGTCCTTTCTCCGGCACCTCCCCACTGCAACCCTGCAACACCTCGCGATCGAAGTGGCTTGCTCATTAAGTGGCGATTCGATTGGCAAACCAACCACTACATCTGCTCCGATCGTGAACAACTCCTCTGTCTGGCCAACGTTCCCCCTTCTTCGGCAGCTAAATTTCGGTGCCAACTTGGCGCGTGCCGAAGACCTTATTGTGTTCCCACTGCTCCAGAGCTGTCCAAACGTCATCGATCTCATGCTTCCGAAAGTCAAATACGAGAAGACTTCCTCGGTCATTGATGCCGTGATTAAGCACTGTCCAAACCTCCAGATCCTGGACCTCCGATGTTTAGACATTGACGAGAGTGAAATCCTTCGATTGGTTGAGCCGTACACACAGTTGCGTGAACTGTACCTTGGGCGTTTCATGAATAGCCGTGAGTGCGTTCTCACAGCGGTCCTGGACCAGTGTGCAAAGACATTGGAGGTCATTGACGTCCCTATCAAGGCGGGCGTGATGAAGATGGATGAGGCAGCGACTGCTCTTAGCCGGACCTTGGGTCGAGCTTTGGCTGGATGTCCTCGGCTAAGAGAACTGAAAGTCCATGAAGACTGGCTGTGCGAGGATAATGCGATCCCAATCTCTGATCTTGTTCACGCTTCATGGGCGTCAAGTCAAATCGAGCATCTGCGGGCAGAATTTGGTCAATGGGATGAAGCATTGACTGTAGGCGAGTTTGTGGATATAGTTGCTAGGTTACACGGATTCCTTTCTGCACAGAGCCGACTGAAGTGTTTGTACTTGAAATGGACCATACCAGAGAACTGGGACCGCCGCAAGGTCAAAAACGCTCTGCGCGCAGCTGGAATGGACGCGATCAGCTTAAAGTGGATCGGGCTGAAGATATGAGAATTGCGGCAGGGGCTTTCTGAATAAGGAGGCGACCAAGATAGACTACGGTGTCACATAATAGCACTTTCTCATTGTCATCAAAAAAAAAAAAAAGTCTCAGCACTGCGCGTAATCTTGAGATGTATCTTAGTGTTCCTGAGCGCTTTGCTCACAAGCACGCGGTTACCATTGGTCATGAAACCACTTTTTAGTATAATCTGGTCCTGGTATCATGATGGAAGAGTGATGTTTATTGATGACAGGAGAAACAGCTAACCTGATCCTGCTCGAGACCATCACCTGGCGCGACATCGCTTCCTCTCAGTTGTCCTTTGGATGTAAGCCCTCACAGACGTTGATGAATCCTTAGGCTGAATCGGCCGATGCTTAAAGAATTGGGATGGGAGGGGTGAGGGTATATGCTACGCGCAGGTAGAGGCTGTGCGCATGATGGGAGCAGTACCAGGTACCGGCTGCATAGGATCAGAAAGAACGCCGCGATGATAGTAGCGCGCCAACCAGAAGACAGATATGCTCTGTAATGCTACTCATGGGCTGGCGGCTTCAGTTGTCGACGACGATATGTGTAACCTCCGCCTCCGCCTCCATGAACACCTGTGGAGACTAAATCGCCATCCTTGATCACAATCCCTTCGCCTACTTGTTGCCCACCAATTAATACCTCTGCCATTCCTGCCGGAACTCCTTTTGGTAAAGGCTGGGCTACATCATGACAGTATGCGTTCAGTCCATTGGACCAGACATAGCCATGGCGGACTACGTTCTGAAGAATTCTATAGGCCTCCTTGTTTGCGTAGGGAATACCAGTCTTGGGATCCTTGTATTTGGCCGGCAAACCTGTGATGAGACAGATGGGTTTACGGTCCGGATCTATAGATACGGATAATCAATAATTAGGCGCAACAAAATTAGCAGGAGCAAAAGCTGCACTCCCGATGGCCCATAGAAAGAACTAGCACTTACAGTTCTCTGCATATGACCATTCGTTGATTGGCGAATCCTCATCCTCATAGCCAAAAAAGGTCACCCAATTACGCCCACACATCTGCGTTGGATGCAATCTTTTCCGCTTGCGGGCAATGGATGCCGCAGACATGTTAACGGCCGCCCAGTGTGCTGGGGTCAGAGCTCCCGCAGGCATGTCGGATGTCTTCCGATCCTGGTCTCCATTTCCAGACGACAAGCTCATCTCAACATCTTTCCCCGCGTTGGTGATGTCTACATTCATGGGTGATCCTGGCACCTTTGATACCGACCCGCTGTCTAGCTCAATCTTGACGTGCTTTCCTTCTGGAGCAGGGCTAGAATCCCTTGACATGGGTACTGGTTTTGGCTTATCTTGCTGTGCCTGGAGCTGCTGCTGCTGCTGCTGCTGTAATAACGATTGTGCTAACGACTGTGCAAGACTCTGCGGTGGCACTCCTCCAACATGCCCTGATCCATATTGTGTCGGCATAATTTCTGGAGCCACGCTGCCAGCCCTCGATCCCGGTCTACTTCCAGCTCTCGATCCTGACCTCGTTGGTGGTCTCGTTCCTCCCGGCGTGGCAGTACCCGTCTCCGCCAATGCCTGGATCAAGGGCCCATGTCCAATCCATTCTGCAAACGAGTGGTATCTGATGAAGGACCCCATGGGAACCTCCTTTTTCTTAACTACCTTCTTCTTCTCCATCTCCTGTGCCTTGAATGCCTGCAAAGAAGCCAGGTTGAGTGCTTCCGTCTTCTTGGCCTCCTGCAACAGCTCCTCTTGAGTCATCTTGTGCACCACGGCTTTCTCGCGCTTGGGCTGCATGGCTCTTCGGGTCTCGTACTCCAGTAACTTGAGCTCTGTTTCCTGCTTGTTCAAAACGGTTGTCCTGCGGGAGGATTTACGGATCTCGGCCGGGATTTTAATGGTCGCTGACGATGGCGCAGGGGAGGCTGTTGCTGACTTGGAGGATCGTGATGATGTGGTAGTTGTAGTTGTGGTCGCTCTTCGGAATTTTGATGCTCCTGTTACCACTGTGAACGGCTGCTTCCTCGCAGCCTGTCGGGCTGACTTCGCTCGACCTCCTGCAGGTGTCGCTGAACCTTCCGGTACAGAGAACGCTGATTTTCCTGTTTTGAGGTGATTCAGCATGGCCTGCTGTTTTTTCCGCGCTTTTGCTTCCTCCGGGTCCTCAACGAGACTGGGATCCTCGCCGTCTTCGGGTTCTTCATCTGCGCTGGATTGGTCGAAATCCGAGTCAACGATATCATCCTGCTCTACAGTCAAGAAGACATAATGTTAGCCTGGCCTCCACGGTCTTGGGCGCAACAATGTCGAGAGTATCGATTCCCCATGCGTGCTACTGCTGCATACCGTTTCCTTGAATCTCAAATTCTTCATCCACTCCTTCATCATCAAACAACTCTTCCATATCCTCCTCCTGGTTCAACAACGCTTGCAGACTAAAGGTTCAAGCATGCGCGGGATAATTATTAGCGATGGTGATCACTCCGTAGCGTAACACGGACTTCGAGAATAAATATGCTCTTTCCTCTGATCCATACCGGTTTCCCGCATTTTCACGCCTCGAGCGATTCGCTGCCATGATTTTGATGCAGAGTTAGTGGTGGAAAGAAGAATGAAACACCACTCTTGCATGCATCTCTGAAAAGAGCTTTGGGGCCAACCATCACAAGCCACTTCCGAGCTCATTTTTGGTGGCAATACTACAGGTGGTCTCGCGCAGGAAAAAAAATTCAGAGGGACAGAGAATTTATTTAATTTATTTTGAAGGATGAATACGCGCTCTGGTATCCATGATTACTTTAATTTACGATGTTCCGGAGCATGCGATGTCTCATAGTCAACATGAACAAAAGCACGCTCGACGTTGGCCAAGGACTCGAGTTTAATCTGTATGAATAATGATAAAAAACCATAGAAAAATAGGTTAGGGTGTACCCTACTCCATGAAGGCACTAAGGAACACATCAGCCTGTTAGAACGATGACCTACCTGAAGACTTTCGCTGATATCATGACTCTCCCGCAATGGCGTCTCAGGGGCCATAACAACATCGACCTCGACAAAGAGATTGTTTCCAGCATGATATGCAGTACAAGTATCGACCTGCAAGATCTTCCGGTGATGGGTCAGCGCTATTTTTGAGAATTGAATGCGACGCACTGTAAGCATACCTATGGCCAAACAGATCGAGGGCAGATCTTCCGTTTGCGTGAGTTCAATTGAATTCCATACCGATATATGTTAACTTCTTCAGGAAGGCGGGGTCCGCGGTCTTGCCAACAATGAGTTGCATTTGTTCTTATGGTAGCAGGAAAAAAAAGAAAGAAAGAAAGAAAGAAGGAAGGACATGCGATGAGCGACACCAAATTTAATATTTCTAATATTCCGCTCAGTAATAAGCCCATGTCTTTTACCATATGCGGTCCACACCCAGGAGCGCAAGATGATCAACGCAACGACAATGGCTCCTGCAGGATCGAGCCACCAGCAGAGTCTGCTCATCAACGACGCAAACAAGCCAAATCCATTCACCACCAGGTCGTTCCTGTGATCGATCGCCAGGATGTTTGCTGCATTATACTGCGAAATGGCCCTGCAGTAGATGAAAAGCCCCAATTTACTCACTACATGACAAAAATGAACAAATGTGATGAGTGACCAGCATGCTATGGTTACCAAACACAACCGCTACCATGAGAAACGATCTAATACCGAGGGCGAATCCAACGAAAGCAATAGCGAGAGGGCTGGGCATAGGTGGTTGCTTATCGCTGTCCATCAAGGCTCTGACAGATTCAATCTGCAGGAGTAGCGTAAGACAGTTAGTATGCAAATCCTGTTGACATGTTTACTCATGTCCGAGGTGATAAGATTCCACGTACGATCAATTGAAGAGACACGGTGGCCATCAGGGATGCAAAGACAATAGTTCCTGCAGTCTCCATTCGTGACTTGCCCTATCAGGTTACCAGTCGCAGAAGCTTCAGTGTTAGGATTCATATTGAACGCTGCATTATACCTGGAATGCAGAGGTACACGCACAGATAGAGAGAGAGAAAGAGAATCGTTACCGATGGATACTTGAACCAATTGCTCTTGGTAGAGGCCCTGGCAGCATACATGAGGATGACTCCCGAGAGCAGGTCCATGAACGAATCGGCCATTGTCGCAAAGAGTGCCAGTGACTTTGATGAAATGGCCGCATAGAGCTGTAATAGAAACAGGCATACATTCACTCCGACTGAACCGTAAATAGCAATTTTGAGCTATCGCCACAAATGAATACAGATTAGAACTAGATAAGAGAGGTATTTGACGGGAGAGCTCCCAAGTATTCTGGTGGCTGTTCTGTAGATGCTGTACCTTGACTTGGTTTCGCTCCTCCTGCTCCTGAGCTCCCTCGCGCGATTCTGCCGGGTCCAAGAGCTCGGTGATTAGCTCGTTCTGCTCTCGGTAAAACTCCCTTACTTTCTTTGAGGATTGGATTGCCTTGATTTTGTCCTCCGACATGCGCTTCGATTCGAGTAACATGGGGTCTCGAGCCTCGTAGAAATCGTCTGCAGACGATAGCTCGGGCGAGGGGAGTCCACCGATTGAGGTGCCAGCAGGTCCTCCTGTCATAGTGCCAATATGGAGGGGTGTTACGGACATGGGGATGTGGACTGACGAGGACGAGGACATGGACTGTGCGGCATGGTGATGATGGGCTTTGCGCACAGAGTGTGTTTGGTGTCTATATGAATCGGAACTCGATTCAATCGGTGTGGAGGTGTGAAGTGGTAGTTCCATGAGAACTAACAAGAAAGTTGGCTGATTTTAGTTGATACGAACGGAGCAATGGGCGTGCGAAGAAAAAAAAAAAAAGAGTGGGAGAGGGGTCCTGCACCGTCCTTTTTATATTTGCGCAGGCTTAATGTGTCGAGAGGCCAATCGTTTCCTCTTTGGGATAAGCACTATCTTCATCATGCGATGTGATTCGCTGGAGCCATGGCCGCAAGCGTACACAAAAGAAAGCAGAGAAGGAAATTAAGTTTCGAACAGATGGAAGCACCAGGGGAGATGGACTACAAACTGCATGACCCGCTCATGGGAAATACTATATCTGCACGCGACGAGGTCTACCAGTCTACGTGTATGCACAACTGCATGGTCCCTGCTCAAACTTGCATTTTATTACATCTAGATACCCCTGGCTGACATTGACACGCATGCATCACTTTCTTTCACCTCTTTGGGTCGGCTCATAACTGGCGCATCCACCTGTGTCTTTGCCAAAGCCGTAAGCCTTGCCCATTCCGAGCAATCCTCCTCAAGGCATTCCTGAATCGGAGCAATAAATGTCCGGTTGATAAGTTTTACCTGGGATCCTGTAGAGTTGATTTTCTGCTGACTCTGATTCATCTTGCTCTGGAGCACCTTCAGCTGGGCCTGCTTCTCGGCCAGGGTTGCTTCCAGCTGGCATGGTTGACATTGAGAGGAGATAGATGTAACCGAAACGATGTCCAACGGTGCTGAAACTGAGGGTGAGGCCATGGCGGACTCTGTAGGCGAAGCTATCAATGTTCGAAAAAGCAGCGGTGCGGAAGGGACTTCCATGATCGGACTGACAATCGTATGAGTCACAGTCTCGGGTTGGCATGTAAAAGCTGTATTTATATCATGGAGCTCGCACCGGTGGTTAGAGTTGGGTTTCGAATACGAAGACGCGGTCCAGAGATCCCCGGTGGCGTTGGAAAATAAAGAGAGGCGGTTCTTGGGGAAATGCGCATTCCGTCTCAAAGAGGTTGTGCTCATCGCCTGTCGGCTCGATCGCTCCAGCTGCTCGATGCCAAGTGCAATGGTATCCCTTTCCTGCCGCAGCGGCCTTTGTGACTCAATAGCTTCCTGTTTATCTTGCATAAGCTGTTGAATCATTTGGCGGTAGTGCTCTAGCTGCTCGTTCCCTTCAGCAATCCTCTTCTGCACAACTGCAAGCATCAATTTCAGGCATGACCTGGACATGGTATCTGAATTCAAACTAGAACAGTTCCTGGTGTCGACAGAGTTACAGATCCCAGAAGTGTCCTCGAATGTGCTTACGCGAACACCTTTAGATCCAGTGTGAGTTAAAGACGGCAGCGACTGGCTATGGGGTCGAGTCGTATGAGGCGCAAAATCAGGTGAAATGGAAACTGAGGGCAATGGTGCAGGAACTGAAGTCGATGTGCCATCCGCAGTGGCGATAGTCGAAGCTGATTCGAGTATCAGGATTGATTGACGCGGTGGTTTCCATAGCGTCGCCCAAGAGCCTGTAAAGGACGAGGTCGAGGCTGCATTTGACGTTGGCAAGAACGGTTTCGATAGCCTTCCTGGAGCGGATTGCGGTGCTTTCCGGCTATCGTTCGAGATATCTCCAGTATTGTCGCCCGTTGAAGGATCTGGGGCTAGCGGAGGTGCGGACGCCGTACGCTGCATCGGTAACAGTGCGGTCGTGTTAGATGGATTCATGAATAGTTTTTGTCGAATCCAAAGTTGCGAAAAGCTGAATTTCGTCGGCAGAATGGTGGTTGCTGTTGATGGATCTGTCTGACTTTGCTGCTGTTGATGTTTTGACTTCAGGTTAGCTTGCGATTGCTTTGACGATTGATGTAAGCTGCCATCGTTAGTGTGGACGCGTCTGAGAATACGACTGGGCAATGTCTCAGTTGCGCTCTGATAAGTCGGCTTGATATTCGGTGTTGAGTCTGCAGGTGGCATAGAAGTGACAAAGGGGAATTTGGGAGATAAGGATGAGAGGGATGGCACTGAGCCAAGTGGTAGTAGATGTGAAACTGCAAGGAATATCATTGAGAGAGCTCTTGAAAGCAGCGGGCAAGTAAGGTTGACAGCAGCTTACCTCTCTTGCTAGTCTTACTTTGCTCGACAGCTTGGCAAAGCGATCAAGATAAAGCCTTTGCCATCGTGAAAATCTTCCGCCTTATTGTCTACGAGCGACAAAGGAACGCCTTTATCGTCTGGCATGCTGCCCTAAAGAATGAGAGAAGAAAACGATGCATAAGTTTACACAATCGGACTCTTGCAATGCACAGCATTGTTCAGCGCTTTACTTTCTTTGTCCTCCCTCCGCGCAGAACAATTTATTCAATCACTAGGCATTGGAGCGAACTATGTGCTGCCTTCGGGCATCTATGCTCAAAGAGGCCGCTGTATATCACCATCATTGATGGTAGCGAAACCAATAGAATCACCATAAGAAAGGTATGGCACCCTTCTCTCTCCTTTCAGCAGTAGCCGCTCCGCCAACACTTCCCATTGTCCTTGGCAAGAAGCAATGGTTCATTATTTCCTCTACTGCGTGGTCTTTTAACTTTCCAACTATCCGCTCTCGGGATACATGGGCTTATACATCAACACGCCGCTCAGTAACAGAACGCATAAGGTGGAAAACAGATAAAAGTGTACTTAATAACATGGCCTTCTGTTATCGCGATGTCATGGTACCAAGCAACATGGCCAATCTGAATGGTAAAGGACTGCCCAAGTATCTACTTGCAGCCACCGGATAAGAAAACAGCTACAGCTGCAAGGTTCTAACCAAAGGTAGCGGCTTTCTCAATAATCACGTCCGTTACCCAGCTCAATCCTTGATCTATTGACTAGCTGCTCGAGAATAACACCCGTTCAATAAATAAAAATAGCAAAATGGCACAAAGGCCGTCAGATGGTCTACCGAAGTCGCCGTCGCATATGAAAGCCTCGGCGGGGACAAACCCATAGACGAAATTAAAAGCGACGATAATCTCGACTCAACAGAGATACTATATCTGTACCAGTGCAACTTTCTTTGAACACTTTTAAGACTTTTACATCACTTCAAGATTCGAGGATACGTTATAATACCGTTAGTCAAGAAACGCCTGAGTCGAGTTCTCGACCGAGGTACTCTCAACCAGAAAATGCAGAAATTGAGTCCTCAGGACGGTACAATGTCCCCAGCGTTCATGTATACTATACTCCACGCCAAATGGCCTCCTGCAATATGAACACCTGCACTATTTTTCATAGCTCCTGTCCACCCTGCGTACTATCGCAACGTCCACTCTCCACTGAACTCATGCTCAGAACCATGTTTTCTTCCCTAACAGCAGCAGCTTGCACCGTACTTGCCAACGTCACCGTCACTCGCGTCCACACCGTCGCTCGCCTCCACACCGTCGAGGCTAATCCGAAGACCGTCTCCAATATTGCACCGCCGCTACTATTGATCCACAAGCTCTTATCTTCAGCGCCAGGCTGTCCAACCTCGTTCGTAGTCGTCCCGCTGCCATATCCCCCACTGAAAAGGGCCAGTGAAGACAAGGAACGACGAAACGACGACGGTAATGTAGTAAATGACCCTGATCCTCCTGATTTTTGCTGCTGCCTCTCTGCCAACTGCGCAAGATGCTTCTTTTTTTGATCACGCTCGTATTCTCGGGGACCGTAATACCCTGGCGAACCCTCGCGGTCGGACTCGAAGCGGATGCTGTTGATTAGTTCCTCGGACGTCAGGCCATTGATCATGTACGGAGAGGATCTCGGTGTTACAACGTCTTGGGCATTCGTGTCTGTGGATGTATTATGGAGTACTGAAGAGATGCTACCGCAAGTTGGAGTGGCGATAGCAGATGAAGCAAGGAGGATGGTCAAGGGTGAACATGTAGCAGACGAAGCTGAAGGCTTGCTTATTCCAGGAGACATATCTCCTAACGCGGCATCGGCGTTTGAGCCGATTTCGGTACCCTCGGATAACAAGTCGGTTTGCGGCCAATGCAGGCCATCAGTATGACCTTCTAGTACGTGCGATGCTGCTGTGGCTGCTTCCAATGTTCTTGCCTCTTTGGAGTCTGTAAACGACGCGCTAGATTGGTGAAGCGGTCCCTGTGGCGGCCACGACATCCTATCCATGACCATGAATAGAGAGCCCATCCCGACAGGCTGAATCAGAGGCATATCTACACTCCTTGTGCGTCGAAGGGGCTGGTAGCTGCTTAACGGTTGCTGCTGTCGAGAAACTGTGTGCTCCTCCATAACCTTGCGAGACTGCCGAAACGACGACGATCCTTGTTGATATTCTCCTAAACCCTGAAAGCTCACCTGGACGTCCAATGAGCTGTCAGGAGCGATAGATTCTGATTCCCCACTCGGGTCTCGGTTCTTTGCTGGAGTGAAAAGCCGCTTCACTTTCGTGATCCTGAGTCGTGCGCGATGCAACCAACGCTTGACGGATCTGGGTTGCTTTTTGATAGGACCGCGAGTTGAAGAGGCCCGGCTATGATTGTGACTCATATATGGGGTGTCGTTACAACTGGCGCAGAACTGAGGCTGTGGGGGTATCTCGCTGTCTGTATAGGGAGTAGACCATGTGGAAGGGAGTTGGGACAAACCTAAAAAAAAAGACGCCCATTGCAAAAAAAAAAAAAAAAAAAAGAGATAACAGATCAAAGAAAAGAAGAGAATAAAGGCGATGCTTCTTTTTTATTGATACGGCAATGCAATAAAACACGAAAGACCTGATGACAGACGACAAAGGATCAGGTAGCATCATTTACCGGCACTATCTTTCGATGAGCCAGCGCACGAGTTCTTGGCCAATGTCTGGTTCTTTGTCGATCCTGTAGTTTCCAGTCTTTTGGCCTCGTCCTCATCCAGCAGTCCATTAAACATGCCGCTGTACTGAGTGACATCCCATCCTTTGCCGCTGTTCGCACTGTTGCCCTGGTTCTCATTGTCGCGAATAGGTCTCTTTCCTTCGCGAACCGTTTGTGCCAAGGCGCCGGTATCGACATTTAATGCAACCACACCCATCCCTCTGCTGTCGGGGCGTACCACAACCGTGGGTGCTAAAGCCAGACCTTGATAACCCACAGATCCTTCCCTCTGGTTCGCATACGATGAATATCCTCCAGACCGAGGCGTATTCGAGCTGATACGACGCGCTGTCTTGCTGTGGGAGGTGTTATTGGACATCCGCTTCGCATCGGTGATTGTCGACTTGGTGGTAGGTAGAGGAATCCTAGTGGGCAGGGATTGTCTTTGTTGGCTTTGCTTTGGCGCAGGTGTCCGAGTCGGCACTGATGCAGCTCCTACGCTTCTGTCTGTAATTTTAACCCTACTGCCTTTGTTGTTACTGTTCAAGGCCTCGATCTGCTCGAAGATCACCATGAACTCCTCCCTCATGGCGGCTGTCTGGATCGCCATCTTGCGAGTTGTTCGCATGATCTTCGCGTATTTGTGCGCCTGCTGCTCGAGTACATGCTCTCTTTCCACGCGATCCAGAAAGCCCACGACGCACTCTGATTGAATATCCACGTACAGCTGCATGTCGTTCTGATAAAGCTCGTTTTCTTTTCTCGCGACATCTTTGTCAAGGTCGGATCCATCAGTAACAGGGTTTGAAGACTGAACCCATTTATCTTGGCTCTGAAGGCGCAGGCGACCATCTTTGTTGGTGAACAATATAGAGTTCTGTAGAGATCTCAACTTGAAGACACCATGGCCTGCTATGCTCGATGCATTTTGAAGGCGTTCTTGTGCGGGATTTCGACGTTGGTCGCCACTGGTCCCAGGTACTTGTTCTCCGAGCCGGTCTTTAGCACCAAGCGACCAGCGCTCGTGTTCTTGGTCCAGCGGACGATGATTCGGCCCATTTTGGCTTCGAGAATGGTGCATATATCCAAGATTGCTCCACTTGCGGGTTATTCTCTCTGCCCGCTCCGTTTCAGCCCCGGCGTCATTCCCGGCGCCAAAATCGTCGCCACCGGAACCGGCCGAAGATGACGCCAAAGAATTGCTATTGAAAAGAAGAGGAGGAAACGGAGTCCTGGGTCGATGGCGCATTTCGTTGGCGCGATCGCCAACGGGGGAAAGACGAGAACTTTGTACTGAAGATGAAGCTACTATATCCGGCTGAATGAACGAAGGCGCACGATTCTTTTTCCTTGACAAACTTGAGTCTGCATTCTTTTCGATACGATCTTGTTCCTCAGCGGCTGATTCGAATCGTAGAGGATGGCGCGACGACGGACCCGCAGCGTCGGTTTTGAAAGTAGACGTCGGTAGCTGTTGGGACCCGTCAACAGGCGCGACAAATGACGTACGGCCCTTGTAAGACATCTGAACGGCAGTGGTGGACGTAGGTCCCGCCAAAGCATTCGACATCGAGCAGAGACTCCCAGTGCCTTTTCGTATATATCTTCCGCTTGCTCTGTTTTTGGGGCTCTTGGAAGGGTCGGTATTGCTTCCCCCTTTGTCGTCTCTGGTGCCCAGTCTATTACCGCCGTGGGTACCAGTATGTGGTCGTCCACAAAGCCGAATATTGGGATTAACGCCTTTGTTATGTTCTCTTTCTTGAGGTGTTGGAGGTTGCTGCCTTTGTGATCTCAAGGAACCAAGTGATTTTGTGGACGAGCTAGTCGTGCTCGCACGACTCACTCCGCCTTTGTCAGCCTGTAGATCTAACTGCGGTCGGGGGCTCAAGATCATGGTGTTCCGTATCTATGACGACATAGGATGCAGGACCATTTCCAATGGTTAGCCGTTTGCCGCTATTCTTGCAATTATAGATCCTAAATGCGCTGCGAACTTACTGATCTATGGTCTGCGCTAGTGCTGCCGCTCTCAATAACGCTGCAGAGATCAGACTCCATGTTTTCGGACTCACAGGTGTGCTGTTGGATCAGGGCGTTTTCTCGATGGCGAGGGTCATGCTTCTCCTGCTCCCAGTCTTGAAAAGCATCAGGACCGCTCTCTGTATCGGAATCAACATAGACATCTGCGGAGACCGCGATCCTGTCGAGGTCGTTGTGCTTGATCCCCAAGAAGGATCTTATGGCCTTCTTCATGTCTTTCATTGCAGGGTGTAAGCGCTATAGCGTGGAAGTGAGAGGTAAGAACGCTTTTGAAGTTGTGAAACTGAGGTATGGTTGATCTGTGAGGACGTTAGCTGTGAAGTGTATGGGGGATGGGGAGGGAAGGTAGTGGATGGACGCGACTCTTTATCATAACTCATAGATCAAACGATTTTTCTTCATGCACGCCTTGTGCGACGACCACCCGCGTATGTGGATACTTCCTGGCTTTTCGCTTCGACTTTCAACGCATCCTTTTTCTCTCATCCTTTTTCTGCCATCCTTTTTTTCTGTCCTTTTTTATTTTTCTTCGCGTACTGTGGATATTTTTGGTCCAAATGACCGCATTTGTGGAAAACAAAGATACCGAGGCTATATACCGAAAGAGAAGACGGCATGTGAGAAGGCTGCAGCCTTGTCCCTTCAAAGATACCGCTGTAGGGACTAGTATCGCCTCGCAAAGAAACGAAGATCATGTCAAAAAGTATTTCACCTCAATAGGAGTATCCGCCTGAAGAACTCTGGCTTATGGAGGGAAGCTCTGATAACTCATCGCAGCTGCCGCTTACTGTCAATGCTTTTAATAGCTTTAATAGAGAGAAAGCGCCCAGTTCATGTCCCGGAACCGATGCTCCATCCTGACGCTCCCTCCTTCCTCCTCCCCCTCCCTCCATCTCCACCTTCAGGAGCGTATGTCTCTGTGAAAACATCTTGCGTAACTTCCTCCCAACCTCATTCACCTTCAGGCGCAAATATGGTATGTGTACTGTGAAACATTTTGGGACAAAGGGTAGCTTGGTGCGTTCGCTTCAATCAACCCTCAGTTTTCGTTCGCCTTATTCGTCAATCAATCTCTCGATTGGACCAAGTCATGTGATTACAACTATTTTTATTTATTTTTTAATAAGCTAGTGGGCCTGAATGGCTGTAACTGAAAATGAGGTGCCAAGGAATGTGATAAGATAGGTCCTGCTGCCTCATCTCACCCTTGGGTGCAGATAAACAACCCCTGGCAAGCCTTATGGGAAAGTTAGCAAGAGATACTTGATTTCCAAGTCCCATTCCTCCTTCCACAAAGTCTCATCCGCAAAACTGTCCAGATTGTTCTTGATGGCCTCCAAGATCTGGTTCAGGTTGCCATGCAGGGTCGCAACATAGCTGGTCAGCTTTGGCTGAGCGGTCAGGGTGGTCTGAAGAGCAGGTGCGATAAAGTTGACATACACATCCGAATCATCGCCATCGACGCGGGCCTGAAGCTGGCCTGTCAGCTTCTTGACAATCCTGGTCTTGATCATGGGCATGAAGTGACAGATCGATGGTGGGTTTCCGCAGATATAATCCATGTTGTGACAGTCGGGCATGGTCCAGTTGACACCGCGTGGGGGCTGGATGACACGATGAGGGTGATTGCAGTCGCCCTTGAACTTGGGCTCATCCTTGAAGATAGTGTCAAAGACCGTCTGGAAGATGGTGTTGCCCCAAGCGGTCTGAGCAGCGGTAACAGAGTCCTTGAGGGTCTTAATGGCAGTCTCCCTCTCTGTAGCCGTAAGGATGTCGACTGGAATGCCATAGAAGAGCGACTCCTCGATCTTGGTGTCGAGGAGGGTGAAGTAGTGGTTGGAAACGAACTGGTACTTGTCCGCAAAGGCGTGCGAGACATTGACCTGGCACTCACGCTCACAGGCGAGAACTGAGGGCGCAAACAATGCCGCCGAGAAGGCGCCGAGGATAGCAGCAGTAGAGAATCTCATTGTGCTCTGTGTCTTAATATATTTGTCTATCAGTTGCCGGGAATGGAGGTCTTGTCAGTGAAACATTATTACTTTTCAAAAAAGAGACAGAGAAGAGCTGCAGCGAGAGAGGTGTTTCTATCGAGTCAACTTACGATGAGGATGAGATAAGATGAGGGCCGAAGGAAGGGGAAAGGGGATGCGGATGAAAGCAAGGAAGCAAGGATGAAGAAAAGATGATGAGAACGTTGATGGAAGAAAAAGGTATGCGGATGGGGAAGTCCGATAGAAATAGATTGGGGCATTTCAACGCAGCCACACGGAGAGAGTCCGCTTGCGGGGTCTGGGGCGAGGTCTCAGGACAGAAACGACCCAAAATAGAGTCCAAATCACTGGCGAACCGCAAGATATATTTCTGAATACTTGAGAATCAATTTAATGAAATAAGGTTTCTTTGAGCAGTAGATCTGTAAGTGCATGGTCATGCTTTTAAAGGAGGCCCAACCACCCACCATCCAAACGACACGGATGGAATTGAAAAGGACTACTAAGGGCGTATCAAATCAAGTCGAGATCTGAGGCACAAGTCGCGAGTCATGGATCATAAAGCCAAGCATACGACGTGTCTCTTGCTGCCGTCCTCATTAAGGAAATGTATAATAAAAAGCAGGTTCGTCGCAATCGTATTTATTCCTCTTAAGTCCCGCCTAGACGTGACCCACGAGCTCCATTGAAGTAGTAGCCCTGCTAGACATTACAATGTCTGCTCTTCATAGTCCTTCCTCATCTATGCTCCGAGTCTTGTGGTATGCTTTGCCGTGCCATTTTCAGTTTATTCAGGGATGTTCAAGATGCCCGTTCTCGAGAATTCTATGGCTATATCGCATAACTCTACATCCACGCCAGTAATCTCAGACAAGCGATCTCTCGTCATCCAGTCTCGGACCTCAGGCGGAGCCGTGGAAAATTTTTTGAAGGTGTTGGCTAGGACCACGTACTCGTCGCGTGTGAGGGGGCTACGAATATCCTTAGAGGCATTTTCGCTTTGAATCCGAGAATCGGGAGGTGACAGTTCACAACTGGATGAGGAGCTTGCGGGTCCGGAGCAGATGAGGGAACCAGAAGTGCGCTCGGCAGGGGTCGACATTGCTTGCTGATTGTATAAGGGATGGAGTTGAAGGAATGAAGATCGTGCATTTCACAAGAGGCTATGCGATTAATTTTCGGCCCCATACATTGATTTCAAACAAAGAATCACGTTTAATTGTGGTTATTCATATTCGTACTCTTCCCCTTCGAATTCGAAATGGTCATCCAGCTTCTCTATGATAACTAATGGCCGGCCATAACGAGCATATTCTTCTTGGAGCTCTTCCTCCCAGTCCGCTTCACTTACAGACCTGAGTTCATCCTCATCCGGATAATGAGACTCCTCCTCATGGTCTGTGGCGGTAGCGGAAGCGCTCGAAATATCACCTTGAGACAGTTTATCCAGGGCATCATAGTATGCTTGGCCGATCTTGACGCTCTTGGCCCACACTGAGATGAATGTACTGTCCTTTAGCTCGCAAAAGTAGTGAGTTAGGGTTCTCTTGAGTCTCAACGGTGTCATCTTCCCTGTCGTATAGGCAGCGACCTTGTTCTTCACAACGGCCCATATCTTCTCGATGGGCTGGAGCTCGCAATGGTAAGGAGGGGTCTTGAAAATCTCATGGCCACCAATTTCCTCCGCAATTTTTGAAATCGAAAACGGCTGGTCAGGTAGACTCTTGATATACGCCAGCATTTCATGGTTCGTTGGTGGGCGTCCGTTCTTCCCATGTGGAACCAGGTTATTGGTGACAGCGTACCAATTCAATATGTCCTCCTTAGTGCTTCTGGTAGTGGGCTTCCTGTTGACCTTACTGAAGTGATAGGAGGCGCCATCAAGGTGAATGTGGCAAGGGCCGAGTCCCATGTCTCGCAGATTCTCGCAAAGTTTCCTGAAGATGCCGTTAAATGTCTCCGAGTTGAAGTTTCCATGATAATCGTCGTCCTTTGCTATGACATTAGATGAGCGAATTACATCCGGGACGTCCTTCCATAAGTCGGCGTCTTGCAATGATTCCAGACCATTGGATAGGCCTTTTTTTGATTTTGCGGGCCAGATATGCACACTGTCCTTGACGAACTTGCCCACAACTTCGTCCGTGTCCGCATCGTAGTACACCACAAAGGCGGCGAAAATAACCAACAATGGCTTCCGACCGGGCTCGGAAACTGCACCTCCTGTTGAAACCCACCGCTTCGCTGCTGCATGATCAAGGTGACAGTACGACTCATCCAAAAATACCTCGGGCCGTTTGGGCACCAGCCTTCCATCCGATAGAGTTCCCAGGTTTTGTAGGCGGCGCGCGAGGTACTGACGTCGGAACTTAACATTCTGCGGCGCATCGTGCAAAATGTTTTGGCGGATCCCTTTGCCCCAGTGAAGTCCCAGTTTATGGAGATAGCGTCGGATAGTGCTGACTGATACATCGAGTACCTTCTCATCTCGTAGCTGGTTTGCAATGCGATTAGATGAGTTGGGTAGTCCTAGCTTATTGGTCTCGACCACAATTTCCATCATCCTATTAGAAACGGCCATTTCCAGCGCTTGCTGGGGAGGTCCAGATCTTTTGGCTTCGCCACCTTTGAGGGTGCCGGTTATCGAAAAATCAATCGCCTTCCTGCATGTCGACTCACTGACGCCGGTCAACAATGACAGTTCTTTAGATCTTGAGCCATTGCCAAGGCTTGAGATCCATTGCTGGACAGGTTCTGGAGCGAGGGAGAGACTCTTGAAAATCATTGCAAGGATGCAGTATTCATTGAACGTAACGCAGGATCTATCACGCTTGAAGGTGGGGTTATTCAGGACAAGATCCTCGCTTGGCTTCGATGCTGAAGCAGGCTTTTTAGGTTTGGAAGAGTCCTTTGGTGCCCTACAGTCATTCCTGGAGTCAAAGGGGTTTGAGGAATCGTCCGCGACAAAGGCCAACGTCGGGGGCACCTTATGGAATTTGGGGGGTTGGATCGGAATGCCACAACTCTTGGGAGGGGTTTCCTGTACAAAGAACAAGTTCCCTACCGGTGGGTGATATCGGAGAGGAGGAGGAGGAGTACGAATCCTATGACTCGGGGAACGGTAAGGGGATTGTCGGTTGTAGCCAAGAGACCCCGGAGACCCCGGAGATCTAGTAGGAGTAGGAGTTCTGCGCCTCTGTGGGGGCTTGGGACAGTTCCTGGGCTTGGCAGAGTTTTTTGGCGTCCTGAAACTATTTCTGGAGGTGAAGGTGTCCGAGGGATCATCCTCGACAAAGGTTAACGTCGGAGGCACCTGGTGGAGGCTGGGGGACTGGGTCGAAATGCCGCGACTCTTGGAAGGGGTTTCCTGCACAAAGAACAAGTTTCCTACTGGTGGGTGATATCGGAGAGGAGGAGGAGTACGAATCCTATGACTCGGGGAACGGTAAGGGGATCGTCGGTTGTAGCCAAGAGGCCCTGGGGACCCTGAAGACCCTGGAGACCCAGTAGGGGTTCCAGGCCTCGGTGGGGTACGACAACTCACGCGAGTAGGGGATGTGGTAATATTCCACGCGTCTTGTTTCGGGGAAGCATTGGGAAGCGATGAATTAACGCGTCCGATGGTCTCAATGGGAATGCTAGTGCTGTTGGACATTTTTTCTCGGTTGTGTTGCAAGATTTGTGTGGTTCATCATCTAGCCATGAGCTTTCAAATGAGCATTGGCGTTGTGCATCCGTAGCCCCATTCCCTAAGTGCACTACGTCTCAGTTTGCTTGTAGAGAGCTACCAGTCGTTCCAAATTGGGAACAACAGGAATCTGTCCAAATCGGGATAGTAATCATTCAATTCAAAAAATATATGCGTCCAAATTAGGAGTATTCACTTCAATTCAAAATTATATTTCGCGGTTTACCAATGCTTTCGACTCTAGATTGGCGGTTGGACATACTCCTCAGCCTATGGGTTCACAGAAGCGCCGCACCTCAACCCACAAACGCGAGCAATTGGGCTGACACGTACATGTTAAACCCGCGCTGTAACGATAAAAGATCCGCAGGCAGGTCGGCTGTGCTTCAGGAGGCCCTATCCACCCCGTATTCAAGGGCCCACTGTGTCCGTTCAAGTCACAGCCGAACATGACTGTAGTTCTGGTAGAGCTTTTTAAGAAACGCTAGAGCATGGAGAAGTCTATTCATCATGCATTTTCCTATATAGTATATTGCGATGGGCATCGTCTTTACTTGTGGCGGAAACGCACTTCGATAAGTATAGCATATTGACCATCCATGGTCCAGCTCTTCGCTCGATGGGTCAGATACTGCAGTGTTCGAATCCATGTTAGTCTAGATTTTGTGCAGTGGGCATCCAAATGGGGTCAGACCACGTCCAGCAGTACTCTGGAGAAGCCGTACTTGGGCGCGCATGATATTCTTTTCTTGTTTATTCTTCTTTTGATGTGCGGAAATAAATATCTCCCGCACCTACAGCAAATGAATACTATGCACCCCATATGAGAGATATACACTCTTAACCCAAGAGAGGGGCGGTCTCGCCAGACTGGCGGCCAAAGAAGGAAGTGACGAAAGGCTTCAAGGTGTAGACAGCAACGGCGATGCCGAGACCAAGAGAGGTCCAGTGGATGGCAGCATCCTTTTGTTGGGCAAAGACGCCGAACAAGTACCAGGACAAGACCAATGCGCCAGCTATGCCGTCGCAAATCGAAAATAACGTAGCATCGTCAGAAGTGTGTGGCACCCCATAGCGCGTAATATTAATCGCCCGTAGCCTTGTCTCCCTCTTGCAACTGCGCTTAAATGAGTAATAAAGATAACTTACCGACATCACCCTTCTTATACTCGATGTAGCCAATGACAGTCGAGGCAACGAAGACAAGGCCGACAATGGCAAGGACCGCCTGGAAAGTCGAGGGTTCACCCTCCGCGGACGAGAAGACAGCGAACGCGTTGATGACCAAGAGGACAAAGATCCAGGCATGGTACAAAGAGAAAGGGAGATGCAAGAACAGGACCTCGGCCACGGTGTCTGCGGCGTGCTGCTCCTTCAGCCTGTAGTAGATGAAGGAGACAGCGCCAGTAGCAAAGATCAAGGTAACGAAGGCAAGGAAGGTGTGGCCGGCAGTCTATGATCATAAAGGCAACAGAGAATCCACACGTTAGCATGACAAGCGCCGTAATGGTGTCTCTCGGATGCAAGACATGGCATATCAAGGGATGGCATTGCATGAGATTGCATAAATACTATGCAGAATAACTGACCACCATGGTCCATGGTTGGTAAGCCGACTAGATTTCTCATGATCGCTTGACCCAAGAAAAAAAAAATACATTCCCCATCGCCGCGGAATAAAAAATCCTCCATCTTGAAACCATCCACGCTTGTGTACAAACAGACAACGACGCGTCTACCTCAACTGTATTGGCCGATAGAGCAAAAGATGGAATAAGATTATTCCCAAATAACAGCGCTCCAGGCCCAAGTTAACAGCAACAAGATGGTGTCTAGTTGGGCGTCTCCAATAAGCTGTAAGAGGAAAAGGTGGTTCATGTGGGAGATGTTTGAGAGCTTTTTTTTTTTTTTTTTGGTTCCCGCGTCTTCACGTCTTCACGTCTCCGATGGGCGCGCTTTTCATTCTCACGCTCAGTATTACAACGGAATGAGACCCTTATCTATTCTCAGTGCTCTTCATAGCGCAAAAAGAAGGGGATAATGAACAGGTTCGACAAGAATCTTACCCAAAGAGCGAGCCAGATGGCGTTGATGATCGAGACAATGACAAAGTGCCAGCCGACAGCCTTGTGAACCTTATCGTTGAACCACTGGTAGATGACCATACCGCCGAGCAAGACGTGGATCAGGGTCCAGATATAGAAGGTGAAGGCAGCAGGAGTGATGTAGGACTGGTGCTTGGAGTGATAAGGCGAATCTTGGTCCTCGCCACCGATAAAGGTAGAGTACAGATTTCCGGATACCAAGGTCAAGTAGACGAGGATGTTGGCGACCTTGGAGGGCCAGTGGTGGGTAGAGAAGGTCATCGGAGACGTCTTGCGAGCTGGGAATGGAGAAAAGAGAGGAGGAGGGATGAGGAGTAGGAGAAAGAAGAAGAAGAAAGAGAAGAAAGAGGAATATAAAATGGCGCGTAAAAAAAAAAAAAAAGCCAGGGCAGTGTGCACGTTGGTTAACTAAGTTGGAAGTACTTCTGTTTGAAGGACCGCTTGACACCTTTAACGATGCGATCTCGAACACTGTACAAAGAGGCACGCTCGAGCTAGATGGGACTCCGTTGTAGGACAAAGATGTGAATTGTCAAAGTACTAAGCACGCACACAAACATCAACATATCACTGCCTCTTGTCTTGTCGGTGTTGTTTGTTCGACAAGCGCACCATCCAACCACGGCAAAGTGTGCTGTGACGTGCGGGCGCTAGCCGTTGTCTGCCATCCAGGCAGACAAAACCTGTAATCTGGGGCTACTTCCGTACTTCCTCCTCCTCTTCCCTTTCCTTCCCTTTCTTTTGCTGCTTTCTTACTCTCGCTCCATTTGGCAGCTTTCACAAACCACAAGCGTGGACAAAATTGTGACCACATAGAGAATGTGTATTGAATTGCACATACACTCAAAATAGGACTGGCAGTATCAACAAAAAGGGCAACTCTTGGCACTATTGCTTTGATCAGCAGGCGCGTTTTTTTTCAAAAAAGAGGAAAAAAAGGCTGAAGCAACTATGTTTTTTATTCTAGCCTTTGTGGGATGCAAGTTTCTAAACCTTGCTTACCCAACAAACGTGGAACTCCTTCCTATCCACAACGTACGTTGCACGATACGCAGTAAAGAAAAGAAAGATGAACACGGAAGACCGCCAAAGCTTTTGCATAAGGTAGAGTATCAAAAGAGATCCTTTTGGATACTTGCAGGTCCTTCTCCAGGTGAAAACCTTATTCGTTTCAGCTTCATCTCTCTATAGCGACGACGATTGAACCCCTCTATTCTCGGTCACAGCCATGTTCAGTCGTCCCAGTCGCTTCATGACACCATACAAGGATAGTGCCTGGGCTTACGGCTCATAAAAGTGTGCTACCGAATATGTTTGTAGGTGAGAGGGAGGGGAGTCAAACGCGTCAGTGCCACCAAATATCAGGGGCCCAATTGAGGTCACACACTACGAGCGTTCCCAGGCACCCTCATTCGAATGTGCCATTGCAACTAAACCTCATCACTCGACGTTCGAATCAACAATCTTCTTCTTTACCCCTCCCTAGTCTCCAGCTTCGATGTCTTCTTTTGCAGCGTCTATTTCAAAAGTCTTTCATGGCACATTCATTCATTCCGTTTCTATCAACGAAATCGAATTCATAGAGGGCGGACTCCTCTTTATTGATATCCACGGAAGAATTGCCAGGATACTAAAGGGTGTGCAGAAAACTCAATTGGGCAATATGCTTGAGGGTGTGGATGAAGAAAAGGTACGTAAAAGACACGTTACTTTTTTTGCCTCATATGTAGTCGCAATAGCACATGCTGTACTTATAGCTACTTGTCTGGCTCTTTGAACGCACAACCTAATAGGTCATCATCCTGAATGAGAATCAGTTCATTATTCCAGGCTTTATCGATACCCACATTGTAAGCTCGCATGTAATGTCTTGACGTTTAACTCTATGACATATGTATCTCAAAGAGTGTCTTGTCCAAACACGCTGCTATGCTATAGCACGCCTCTCAATACTCGTATTGTGGGAACGGGCACGATATCCCTTTACTCGAATGGCTCGACACCCTTACGTTCCCGCATGAGAGCAAGTTCAAGGACCCGGACTATGCGCGGCAGATTTACTCAAAAGCCGTCGCCCGTTCACTCCGCAACGGTACCACCTCCGCCTGCTGGTTCGCCACCATCCATCTGGATGCGACTAAGGAGCTGGTCAGGGTCATTGAAGAACAAGGTCAACGTGCCTATATCGGCAAGGTCAACATGAATCAGAATTCGCCCGATTTCTTGATCGAGACAACAGAATCCTCGGTTGCGGACACGCGTGCCTTTATCGAATACGTCAATGCGACCAACGCACACATGGGGACCGAGTCCAAACCGCTGCTAACGCCGATCATCACACCCCGATTCGCCATCTCTTGCACCTCAGATCTTTTGAGAGAGCTGGGTAGGCTTGCGGCAGAGTATCATGTGCCGATCCAGTCGCATCTGTGCGAGACCTCGAGCGAGATCGATTTCACAATGTCGTTCTTCCCGAACTCGGTCAATTACACAGCTATCTACGCGGAACATGGCCTTTTGAACCGCCGGTCTATTATGGCCCACTGTGTGCACATGAAGGACGAGGAGTGGGCGCTGATGAAGGACGTCGACGCGGGTATCTCACACTGTGCGAACTCCAACTTTAATATCAAGTCAGGGATGGCGGATGTCCGTAAGATGATCGATCTGGATCTTAAGGTCGGTCTGGGAACAGATGTCGCGGGTGGATACTCTTCCTCGGTTCTGGAGGCATTGCGATGTTCCAGGACATGTTCGATTGCGAGAAATCCAGGAAAGTCGCTTTCGATTCCGGAGCTGTTTTATCTGGCGACCATGGGCGGAGCACGCGTGATGGAACTCGGGGATACAATCGGCAACTTTAGGGTCGGTAAGGAGTTCGATGCGATCCTTGTCAACACATCCGTGAAGGGTTCGCCGCTGGATATCTTTGCGCACGACACTGTACAGACAAAGTTTGAAAAGTACTTATTTGTAGGTGATGACCGCAACAACGAGAGGGTCTATGTCCAAGGCAAGGAGGTTAGAGTGCCAGAAGAATAGAGGTCTGGATATTACTATACTTTTTCATGACTTGTAAGAAAAGATAATGCGGACGATCGGCCAACCTGGATATGAAGAACTGAGTTTCCATGAAAATACATAATTGCTCTCGTCGATTTTCAGAGCGGCGTACAATACAAATGGTTTAGCCGGCATACGACATTTGTTCATTGCGCTGTGCGAAGCTCGTGTTGTAGAGCGATATTCGCCATTAGTTGCACAAATGGCGGGTTATTTGACTTAAAACGATACCACTGAAAAAAAGAGATTGAAGATTACACTGGGACGCTGAGGTTAAGGTCTGCATGAACCAATTACAAAGCCGCTCCCCTTTCCTGAAGTAGCAATTTCCCATGCATGACCCAAAAGCAGATGTTATGCTACTCTGCTGTGTCAATGAAGCGCCGTTACATCAGAAAGGCGCACTCTCCTTTTCATTTATGTGGTCAAATGAACGAAAATGTAGTACATAATTCAGTGCAGAGGACAAAGCGATTGGCCAATGGGACTATTGAGATAGAATACAGCGCTTTTATACATGTCTTTGCTAAACGACATCCAAGAGTGGACAGGTGGAAGGGTATAAGGAGAATATGGTTTAGGAGTTATACTGTGAGTACGATGATATTTATCCACATAAAGATTAGGCTATCTTCGGCCGCTCTCAAGTCGATGGCGCGCCGAAGAACGTAGCGGCACGGTCAATGTGCGATCAGGGACAGCAGGTGTTCGCTCGGGTATCGAGAAACTCAGACTAGGACGCTGAGTCGGCTCCTGCTTTTCATGAAGGTTCTCTACGCTGTCATAGAACTGCACAGCAGGGTCATTCGCCGAGAATGGGTAGCGCCAGTCGTTAGAATGGGGATGCGAACCGTATAAAGTATAGTTCTGATGGTGCGCCGAGGTCGAAATATCAATCTCGCTGCCGTTGCCAAAGCCGGCGGCGTTACTGGCCAGAGGAGAAGTCGAATTGTTGGTCAGGGGACGGGGTCGATTCGACGAGACCGCACCCATCTCCAGCTTACTAGAATGCATGCCATCGGGTCCGCGCAGCCCATCGCTCACCACGTCCGAATTGGTTCGGCCGTCTCCGCTGACCGAATTGAAGAGCATACGGATGTTGAGACCAAACTCGGTGAGGGTAAAGATGGTCAACGTCGAGGAGAAGAGTTCGTAGTAGACGTATGTGGGCAGGTGCGTGTTGAAGATACCGATGATGCGGTAGATAGACATAAAAATGAGGAGGATCAGATCGACCGTAAACAGGGAGGTCTGGAGCCGACGGTACTGCATCAGCTCGATATTCTTGCCGGAGCTCATTCCCTTGAGCGTGGTGAACAGCTTATAGTAAAAGATGCCCTCACAGATGATGTAATAGAATCGGAAGACTGGTGCACCAGCATCGCGGAACGTCCATGCGATCGCCAAAGGCGCACACCGTGTTCCCTTGTCGACAGATCCGTCACAGAGTTGGTTCTGGATAATGTTGACGATGACGATTACAAACAACTCGAGAGCTCGGAAGCCAATGAGGAAGTAATGCAGCCAGTTGAGCTTCCGGAAGGCAGGAAAGACGGCAGAGCACCGGAGGTAAGCGAGATACATGGTGATAGGTTTGGTGATAAAGTAGGCAACGTTGTTGATGACATTGAGCCAGAGTGCGGTCCGGAAGGAGATTGTATCAAAGGCGGCGGTAATGAGGAAGAAGACGCAGATTTCGTTGACAAATTGGGCGACGTTGATGATAGGGAAGAGATGGTATTTGGAAGCAGTTCGTTTCAAGAAGATCATCCTGGCGAGGGAGTGCATGGTAAGAATGAGGGATGCTCCTACGAGCAGAGCTCCGAAGAGGGTGTCGAAATTGATGGCTGTGGCGATCAGCGAGGCGCCCATGGTTAGAGGTGTATGTGATGCAGCGATAAGAAGGTGTCAGTTGATCGAAATGAATGGGCGTGAAAGGACGTCGTGAATGGTAAAGGAAGAGGAACAAGGTGCAAGACGTTCAGGGAAGTTGTCGTTATTAAATTAGAGAGTGAGAGTGATGAACCCTATAGCGAGAAGACAGGATGGAAGCGTGAGGCAAAGGAGCGTTTCTAGGAGTGCCTTCGCGGGCCGTCTTTTATATCGTTACCGAGCAAAAGGGGCCAAAATGCGATAAGGTTAATGTGAATGGTACCATTTAAAAGAGGGCGCTTCCATCTGGAAACTGCCAGCATGCTAGACATTGGCTGAATGGTCTAATCCACCACGTTGGACACACGTAGGACCCATTCAAGCTGAGAGCTAAAGTAAAAGAAAAAAGATCACGACCACATATACACAAGAATAAAGAGAGATGGTCGACAGAGGTTACACGTCCCATGCACCTGGGATTGTTTTGGGCTATAAATCTCCGCTGGGCTGGCGGTCAATGGTGCTATCGCACCTATTAAGACACAGAAATGATGCCATTTTGAGCAACATTGCAACCCAAGCACATGTACAAGCAACAACTACTGCCCGTTGTGAATCCAACCCACCACAGGCGCAATATCTACATTCAAAGCAGGGTGAATGCATGGCGCGTTCTGTTCCGGAGCCTTAACAATGGCTTAGTAGGCTTTCCCTCCATGTTGCCCTTCCTTCCATGCAGCTGAATGGATGTGATTTTAGAGACCATGCCTTTTGCGGATGTGAGGATTCTGAGCAACTATCACGACATGCAACCTTGATGGCCACATCCATATTTAAAAGGAGCTTCTTATATCCCCTCCATCAAAACGCATCATCTCGCAATTGCCGCGACGTTGTTCCTTTTTCATCCGACCCATTTATGTCTGCAACAATTGTTTGCCACACTTTTATGAAGAATGTGAAGAGACACTCATCTCAACTCTATGTGCGCAACTTATAATATATCGCGTGCTACGTTGTTTTAAATACATCAACAAAGGTCCTCGCACGCGATATTTTTGTAAGCACACGTTGTGTTGGATGTAGTCCAGACAAATGTACCCCATTTTCAATTCCTCTTTTTTGGCGCCATTCGATAGATCTTCGGATGCCTTTCCCGCCATCTTCCATGAACGAGCGCGATTGAGTATTTATTCGCCCCTGGAGGAGTGGCACATGAATGAATAAACGGATGTATATCGCGACACGTTGTGAATCGATGGTTTAAGATACAGATCGCGCATACGCCTACCACTCCATTTCTAATGCTCGACTGACATTTACACGCGAGCATTGTAAGAAGGATAGGAAGGCTGCCAAGAAAACGCCTCAATGGTATATGCAAAATGACGGGCTTTCAAAGAAAATAAAATTATCCAAGATAATTGACTGCTGACCTGCATTTTTTATCTCACACAAATGCTGCATATCTTACTGACCTGGATCCAATGAGCTCCATGTGGCTCCTTGAAAACGGCCTGGGAGATAGATAACAAACTTGTCCATATTTTCGCGTTACATACCTGCGCACCTCCTGTGTCTACTCAAATGGATCCGCTGCAATTAATGCAAGGCACTCTACAGACGAAAAGAAAGCGGTTCAATGAGTGAGTGCTGCCTCAGAAAAAAATAGTGTGGTTGCGACACACATTCGCCACTTCGGTGACGTAATTCTCGCGCCCATTGTCCTGGAATCAATGGACCAAAGCGAGAGGCACTTTTCATCAGTGTTCAATGGAGTCAGCATCACCTTGACCCTCACACCCTTCAACGCGTTTGATCTTAATCTCTAGAGATAGTACCATCTTCATCGCCTGTTAGTCTACTCCTTGCGCATCTTGCCTATTCCATATTCGGCAATCCTTTTTGTATCACGGATTTTTGCCTGAGAAGACTTTTTTTTTGCCGAAACAGCCGCTGGAGAATCGCCCTTTCCAGCCATTGCCTTTTAGGTAGGCGATCTATTTAGCTTTTTTTTGTGGCCCTGGCGGCATGGAAAACTGGCCTTTGAACTAGCATTCAAAACAACCCATCAACCCTTCTCACAGGAACTTGAGAACTAATTTCACACCGTTCGGCGTGTCGTTCTTTTTTTTTTTGCTAGAATAATACCTCTCGGACGTGTGGAAGCAACTTTTTCTATCTTCGGTTGCCTGTGCCTGAATATTTCGCCTCCGGTATGCCCCTGATCTGAAGGCCAGTGTGCAACGTTCCTCGTATCGGCTACCTGTAGGGTTAGCATTGGAGGGATTGAGTTCTTGCATATGTCCGAATCTACTGATACTACCACCCGCCCGTGCAGTGCTACAATCATGTACTGACAACATACTTCGTCTCCTTGCTGCTATCTTTTTTCCATAGATCTAGACTATTACAGACATGGAAGAAAGCGCTGCAAATATTGTAAATGGGCAGGCGGAGGGATACAACAAGCGCAAATCACAGCCCTCGCCAGTGGCAGGCAGTCTAGGATCACCCGTACTAGGAACTGAACCCAAGAGGGCAAAAACAGCGGAATTCAATGAGGAGCATTCCACGCAGAAGCATACTGAGGTCACGTCGGTGGAATTCAACGATATGCTGGCGAACATCCTGCATGTAGTGCACGGTTTGGACAAGCATAAGATTTTTGCGACAGTCGCCATCTCTGTCATCAATGGAGAAAAGGTCGAGACCTCTCTCCAGAATATCCGTTCAAAACTCAGAGAAGCCCAATATTCCAGCATCGTTTCGTTCAAGGTAATGCTCAGTTGCATCAAACCATCAATGGAATTTGTCGTTATTGGATTGCATGCTGACATTCGCTCGATACTGTTCATCGTCATTACTAGGACGATATCAGCAATATCTGCAAGCAGGCTATTCTCGCTAACGCCCAGGACTCAGAAAAGCAGGAACATGCACAGAAATTACTCCAGCTTGCATACGACCTCATCAGCGACAAATCTCACTACACCATTCGATCGCATGGTAAGAAGATCCGGTCACAAGAAGAGGGCCAGGCAGCTCCACCTGGGCGAGATCACGAAAAAATCGCGCTCTTCCAGCGAGTTCCTGAGGGATTCGTGTTTACTAGCAAGGCTATTGTCCAGGATGACGCTCTGGATCAGGATCTGGTGAAAACAGTGGTCGTCCCAACCGCCTCGAACGCGAATCCACCATTGATCAAAGATGTTAACACGAAGCCCAGACCAGTGTCCTCCGTCTGTGACCAAACAAAGAAGAGTGCAGGGGGTATGTCTTCGTGTTTTTATTGGTATTTGATATACCAGCCAACATTCCAAGGTTTAAATGTTAACTGTTCGTATGTTTATTCCAGTCGAGTTTACGCCCTACACGCCATTCACGTCGTTCGCACCGTTTGTCGACTCTTCCAACGCTCAAATGGATGCAGAGGATACATCAACAGCCTACGATGCCGTACTGACAAGAGTCGCACAAAAGACGAAAGCAAATGTGGTAGGGACCGAGGATCAGAACAAAGCAAGAGCCCAGCTGGATAGCATCCTTGAGATCGCGCAACAGTATCAGTCCCAGGAAAACGGGATTGATATCAAAGAGACCGATTTGCAATTTTTGTCCGAGGATGGCCTCAACGTCAAGAGCTTGTTGGAAGTTACTCATTGTGCCAAGGCAGACCACGAATCGCTCGCACCGCAGGAGGCCATCCAGAAGAATGCAATCTTACTGTATGAGCTGTACAAGATGCAGGAGGAGAGGTTTGCATCAAAGAACCAGACCGTCGGCGCTCGCGAGAAAGAAATTGGTAAGGCGATGACATGTTTGATTTATTACAAGCCCTGTCGATATTATCTTGAGCCCTCAATTCTAACAACAGCAATATTGCATGGCATCAGCGGCGATATTGCGCAATTCTCTTGTGGAGCTGGCCAGCAAGGCGACACCTTCTACATTTGTGACAGCAGAGGTTATTACGGACGCTATTCGAAGGATCCCATACAAGGAGCCCGCTTTTGCTGGAACGCTGCCTCCCACCAAACCTTTTGCATTCCCGAGCAACTCGATCCGCAGTGGACTTCCCCCAACTGCTACAGGATACCCCACACACAACCCAGTGGCCCACAAAAAGGCCACGTCGCCGACGACCATCATACCTCAGGTCGCCTTGTCCCCACACATCAACATGACTGGAGGCTATCCGTCTATCCCTCAGCCCAGTCACCATGCATACTCTGTTCCAAACCAGCCCACACACCAAAAGACATACTCGAGGCCTCGCGCCAACACTAGTAATGCGCCAGCAACGCTGCAGGTCCATGCCAACGGCGATGTTACCTTCAGGAAAAACTTTCATACCGTGGTTACTTCAACAGGTGGCACGCCTGCCCACTGGAGACGGAATGATTCTCAAATTCCCTGTGCCAATTGCGGAACGCTTGTCTCGCGTAAGTCTGCCAATGTGTCCTTGTCTGCTACAATGATCAATGCCTTTTTATTTATTTTGTATTGACATTTATTATTTAACGGGGTTTTCTCCAATGCCATGTAGCTATCTGGCGACTGGGGGTTCACAATGAAAAGCTTTGCAATGCTTGTGGGCAGTACAACAAGAAGTGGAATGGGCTCCACCGGCCAGTCTCGCTCTTCCCAAACACGCAAACACCGACTTTTAGAAAGTAGAGCTCACAAATACAATTGTTCCTGAACACTTTTCACCTCATCCGTCGCTCCCTTGGAAAATCACGTGCTTTGAATATAATTTTTTCTGTTTATAAACGACTGTCAACTTGAATCTTGCTGAATCCTCCTCTCTCTCAATTCCAACAGACTTGGTATGGACACTTTTTGGATCGACTTGGGATTCAACTGCGACTCCATGGTTTTCAGACGAGAGGCTCCAGCGATAGAAGTCGACCGCAATATTAACCACCGAATCAATTCTCATCTACTCGGATCATCCCATTCCCGATTCTCGACATTTAGAATATTCAACAATGGCCCCTATCAACAAGAAGAAGGTTAAGGCTGGTGAGGGTATCAACTCCCGCTTGGCTCTCGTCATGAAGTCTGGCAAGTACCAGCTCGGCTACAAGTCCACCCTCAAGACCCTCCGCACTGGAAAGTGTAAGTGAATCTAGATCAGGATCTTTTGGATCTTTTTTTTTTCTTTCTAATTGGCTTGTCTGGGCGGGATTCAACAACGCGAATCGAGGATCGAGCGGAACGGAATGAGATGAGCAGTAGATTTGCAAGGAGGAAGCGAAGGAAACTATGGCGAACAGAATGAACGTCATCGTTGGATGTTGAATTTCGACATTTACATGATCGATTCTCTGTGAACTATGGTCTTTCTTTGCACCTCGTTGGCACTGGTGCTCTTGCTACTCTTGCTAGAGCAATTGAACGAATGATACTGTTCCCCAGACAAGCCAATGCCCTTCTTTTGGTGACCGGAGCTCGCAAGGGCTGAGAACGTCCCAAAGATTCTTTTTTTCTCACCATTCTTCCATTTTTTTTTGTTTCCTCTTTATTTTCTGTGTTTCGTTGGTTTTTTTATACGACGCATGTTCTTGTATGCTCTTTCGTACCGGTTCTTGTCGAATTGGCGGGTGTTTTGCCTTGTTTACCATCTATTTGATGCGATGCAGCCAAGTTGGTCATCATCTCTGGTAACTGCCCCCCTCTTCGCAAGTCCGAGATTGAGTACTACGCCATGTTGTCCAAGACCGGTGTCCACCACTACACCGGCACCAACGTCGAGCTCGGTACCGCCTGCGGAAAGTACTTCCGGTAAGTTATTGCAACGTCATTTATCAATCGCGTATGCTGTTTGAAGGATATGCGGATATAATTTACTGACCTGGTTTTTTATCTCTTTTTTTGTTCGTGAAATGGATAGTGTTGGTGTCCTCTCCATCACCGATGCTGGTGACTCGGACATCATTGCCAAGACTGAGGTTTAAATTCTTCGTTTGAGGATATGAAACAGGGCCTTTGTTTTTGAGCTTTTTTTTGCTTCTCTTTGTTACCTCATAGTAAAGAGAAGGAAAGTGAATAAAATGGGTCAACCTTGAATATTTCTTGTTTGGACATTTTTTTAATTTATTTTGTGGCCTGCATTCATGAAGATGAGGATGCTGCTCAATAGTGTACATGTACAGTGCAATGCCGAGGTTCTTTTATTATGATTGTCTGTGAGGTTAAAAAAAACGTCGTTCTAGTGGCGCGACCGCTTTTTGGACCTCTCGGCTCTGCTTTCGGATGCGAAAGACGATGGAGCTGGGCTTTGATTGCGGCTATGGTTTTGGCGTACAGGTCTAGAGGATGGAGACGAGCGTCCTGTGCCGTTGTTGCTGCCGCTGGCACTGGTTCTGTTGGACGACTCCTGTCTGGATTTGCTTGCGCTTCTACTATGGCTCCTACTGGGGCCAGGACTTGGCTGTCGAATTTTCCTTGAGCGACTGCTGCCGCTGTCTCTGCTGCGGGATGTTGGTGTCGAAGAAGATGCTGCAGGAGCGAGCGAGGACGATGAAGCGGAAGCATGAGCGGTATGTTGCAAATACGAAGACGACGAGGATGATCGTGCAGGTGACGGTGATCCAGCATGGCTACTACTTCCCTCACTAAAGGGCGAATGGTCGTTACTGTCGTGCAAGCCATCCTCGCGCCATCGACCACGTCGCTGTTCGAGGTACCGGCCCATGAGCTCTGCTTCTTCCTGTTCGAGATTTGGTAAAGGACGAAGACCCTTTTTTGAGCGTAGCTGATCAACTTCTTCCTTGAGGATCTTATAATCGTGGTGCTTGATTTGTGAGAGGTGTTGAGAGAGTTGGTCGCGTTCCTTGATCAGGTCTTGTTCTGCTTGTTGGGCCTAATCGCGTTTTACCCATTGAAGGAAATAGAAAGGGGATATGGTTACTGTTGGTTGGCGGGTGGCGAAAGGGCTGGTAGATAAAGAAAAAGAGAGACAAGGGACGTACAAATTCGAAGTCCTTCTGCACTTGTTTGATCATGGCGATATAACGCGAGAGTTCCGACTGCAGCGCTTTTCGTTCACCACGGACCTCGTCCAGGATACTCTCTTTTTCTTCCAGGTTCTGCGATATCTGAAAGATCTGATCCTTCAAGTGCAAGAAATCTCCCTGTCGAATTCTAACACACGATGAGAAAGGAACATGAAAGGCTGTAAAATGAGTGCCAGCCATAATAAGACGGACTGGGAAAGCCAACTTTGATGGCATAGAACTGGAGTGCCTACTTCACTTGTTTAAGTTCCATCAGCTCGGCCATCTTTTCGTCGGGATCTCTGCTGTCCATAACCGGGAGACCGTATAATTTACTGGTATGGTGGGCTATAGGGGAGGAGCTACACAGTGGACGTGATGATCCTGATTTTGGTGAGATACTGGAGGGTAAGCGGGTCGTTGAGGTCGCAACTGGACTTTCTTGGTTGCTAATAAAAATAAAAATGAAAAAAAGGTTAGATTGTTTACCTTCAACGACAGATTCTATTCAGGTTTCAATAATTACCTCCGCAGAACTTTTGACGCTGCAACCGATGCAGTGGACCCCGAAAGAGCCGCCTTGAACCGTACAGACTTTTTCTTGACCTTTAGAGCCGGATCCGGTGGGCGCGATAGTGTTTCCACAAACAGCTTACGATGGCTTTCAGGAATGGATATCCGAGCGATCAATGAGGGTGCCTGATTCAAGGACGTGGTTCCTCCCGGTGTTACTCCTGGTGTTTCAGATACTGATTCTGGCCTCAGTACTGGTGATGATCCCGGTTTGCTTGTCAGACGCGGTATATTTGCGTCGGGATCGATCAAACTTGAAGAGTGCGAGAAAGTTGAAGAGCTGTTGGCGGTTTGGAAAGGCAGGATAATATTATGCTGTGACGGTGAAATACTGGGTGGGTCTGGTGGGTGTTGAAAGGAACGCTTTGACGGAGCAGATGTCGCTGGGGTATGTGAAGGCTGCACTGAAACGGCTGTAGGAGTCGACTGGGGAGTTTCCTCGCTTGATTCAGTTGGCGCCATTGAAGGACATATTGAAAATCCTAGGGCGGCAAGCTGGTCGCCTTCTATCCTACTGTCGTGCATGCTTTCGGCGTCAGAATGGGTTGAATACTCTTGAGGAATATGCTGATGGACCGTGAACCCTTTGGAAGGATGGTCGGAAGATATCAAGAGAGATGAATCGGATGACGGCACGCGGGTCCCCTCTTGTTCTGGGTACCACATGGTTATCAGGTTACAGGTTCCGCAGTGCTCTGGTATTGCACGATCAAAAAAATTACGCTGCAGCGCAGGTTTTGCACTAGAAAGTAAAACAGTGCGAGTCTGTCTATTGGAATGCGTGCGCCTAGGCCAGAACAGTAAACCTAGGGAAATACAATTGGAACGCGACACGCCCAATGCGTCAACGTGTTCTTTCAGGAGTAAGGCGTGGGACAGCAGGTGAGGATCGATGGATATTTGCTGTTGAAGCAAGCGAATGGATTGAAACGCAAAGAACCCCATATTCTTCAGCATTGGATAGAGTTATTTCCAATCAAATTTTTCGTCACGGATCTGTTGAAACATTATTTCCGCCGAGGGCTCCTCCTCCGAGACTGGTGGTATCACTTTCAAAACAGATCTCTGTCCTTTGCGTTCGGCTCTAACCATTCCTCAATACCATAGTACAAAATCACCATGACATCCTTTATCAGATCAGCAATGGGTATGGAATACGACAAAGTATAGGAGGACCAAAGAGAACGTACAATGGAGTTGACATGTCCAGATTCAAACGACCTGTTAACCGTCGCTATGTTTTGGCCTCTTGTATTCCCTGTAGCTCTTGCCTGGAGCCCACTCAAGTCCACAGCTATCGCATCAGTATCGCGACCTGCTGTATCATTACTCACTGCTCCTTCGCCCGCCACCTCTGTCCTCTGCAACGCCGTTCGCCATATGAGCTACAAACTTAAGACTAACTCTGCCGCCAAAAAGAGGTACACGCTTTTTTTTTTTTTTTTTTTTTTTTTTTTTTTGTTCAGGAACCATTTTTGGCAGACCTGGAGGTGTTTGATGCACGCTAGCGTGCTCAATGGCTCGATGCGTTAGACTCACTCTTTCCTGCCCTGTTTTATCCGCATCGTTCCTTGTGATTGCGTTGCAATTATGTATCAGGTTCGTCGCTCTTCCCTCAGGAAAGTTCAAGCACTGGAGGTCAGGAAAGCGCCATATCAACACAGGAATGGATCGCGGTTGTCTCAACAAGGCCGGCAAGGCGGCTTATGCGACACCTCGCCAATCCAAGCACCTGCGTCGTTTGATGCCCTACGCATAAGTAAGAGATCCTCCCACGTTCGCAGGACAATGCACTCGTGGCGGAAGAATGGAATGGGATTAATGGAGAACTATACAATATAGAATTTGCAACAATATACAATTGGATCTATCATTTCAACCTCCAGTCAGCATGGAAGGCGCACTGATGAAGGATCGATTTTATTTTATTGATACACTGGTGCAAATGATGTAAAAATAAGGAATAGACAAAACGAAAAGATAGGGAGGTATAACTATCTAAAACGAGTGGTATTAGAAAGAAGATGAAACAGCAATATAACGGCATACGGACGCTTTAGAACTCTCAATGCTCATGATCGACAGACAAGATCAAAGGCACAACCATGCCTCCGATGACACACAGCACCTCGATAACAGACAGGCCCTTCTCGCCGCCAGCGCCCCCCACATATCCAGATGATGCCGAGGACCTCTCCGTGTTGTTCATCTCGCTCATCACATGCATTGCTACATACAAAAACGTGCCTCCAGAGAACAACAACAGCATGCCTGTCCACCAATGCAGCGAAGCCGCATCGCTCTGTCCACTCATCTGGATGAAAATGTACGTAAGAATCGCTCCAATGGGTGCTGCGAGCGAAAAGATCCCGACCTGTTGGCGAGTCTGGCGACGCGAGAATCCATGTTGCAACAACACCGTTGACAGACCGAACGCCGCAGGGGCTTTGTGCAGCATGATTGCCAAAAACACGATGAAGCGCAGTTCCGGACGCGAGGCCGAGGCGCCGAGCGCAATGCCGTCCGCAGCCGCATGAACAACAAGTCCGATGGTAATAGGGTTGCCTCGCTTCTTGTTTCCTGCACCCATGCCCACAGCCGAGGGCATACGAATGTTACTGTCGTCCAATTGAAGGTTATGCAGCTCCGTGAAGTCCGCGACAGAGACATGGTTGTTGTGGCTATGGGCGTGAGTCGGGCCCATTTGATCGATCAGGAACATGAGGATGAAACCAGCGAGCAGGGCGAGGCCAATGTACTTGTGGTTGTCGTTCTCCTCTTCCTCGTCGTGTTCTGTTTCGTCGTGATCGCTCTTGGGCTGATCTTGATTCTCTTGATTCTGATCTTCGGGTGCTGCGCCTGTCTGGCCGTCCTCTCCTTCTTGGCGTTTGACGATTGGTGCGTGGCCTTGAACAGCCTGGTTCATGACGTTGGCGCTGTCCATTTCAAGTGCTGACACGTCCAGTCGATCCAAGTGATCCATGCTACCCTCAAACGACACTACTTGAGCGTCTTCCCGCTTGAACTGGTCTTGGATCAGATAGGCATGATCGGCCTTCATGACGACCACATCAGCTTCGCGTTTGAAAAGACCAGCATTGGTAGCGACCTTCCGAACTCCAGAGACTAATGTCAGGCCAGAAGCTGTAGTGTCTGGATGGAAGTACGAACGCTTGATGGGCTTGTTATGGCCGATATCGAGGCCCAATCCCGTGGATGTTAGGGGAGAGGGTGCTGAGGTGTCATGAGGGGTGCTATAGAGGGTCTCGACACCTTCTGGGATGATAACGACCAGCGAGGTTCCGACAAGGAGACCGACCCCAAAGTTGGAGATGAGCTTGAGACGATCCTCGGAGAGATGAAAAGAAAGAGGAACATTGCCAGCCAGGAAGGAGGCCACCAGCATAGCGATGCAGAGTAGGATGAGACTGAAAAAGGGATCCATCGTTGTTGGTTTGATCCGTTAGACCGAAAGCGAGACGTGCTGTGTGAGGGATAGAAAAGGCGAAGGTGATGTAGCCGATGGCAAAGGCCCTTTCCTGATGAGTTCCCTACGAGATAAGGGCGAATCGAGCAGGCAGGATGGTCGAGTTCGGTGGAGCGATGAAAGTGAGAAGGAAACAGATGCTGTTGTGCCAGGCACCACTCAATCTTTCTTTCATCGCAACAAAATGGTGACTTGCAGCGAATTGAGGAAATATTTCACACTTTTCAAAGAGGCGAGCAATTGAGTAAAGGTGAACAAATCAAATCACTCTTCCGGCTTAAACAGAAACGATAGCCGTGCCGATTCTGTAGAGCATGGTGCAGTTTTCTTGGATAATTTATATTTATAATGTCCATGAAATTGGCGGATGGACGTAATCTATCCTGTTTGATCTCCCTAAGAATCTAGGAACGCGGGCGACGTTCGCTTACGTCTTAAACCCATGGTGAACATCTCATTATAGAGTGGATGACACCGCCTGAAGCACGCATTTTATCTTTTAGGGCCAGAGAGTTGGCTCGATATACTCGCTTCTGTTCAATTGCTCGCATCTCACGTCCTCATCCAAACAATATACTTCGCAGTTCAAAGATTGTTCGTTTTCGTGTTACTTCATCCCATGTGGCACTAGACGAACACTTATATCAGTCGCGGGAGAACTCTTCAGTCTTCTGAACTCATAGATAAAGGAATCAATTATGTTCTACAAATGTAGTTGAAAGTTATTTGATCTTGAGCCGTCTTGCTGGAGATGTTGAGTGCGGATCGGCTCCAAGGTAGGGTATTGACGATTGAGGGTACCTCAAAGCTGCTTTCGTTTTTACCTACAACATACATTTGTTTACACACAGAGACCACCGGAGGAGGATAAGTGGTGATCGTAGCGGTAGTAAGTAGTGTCGGGAACTGTTGAAGATGAGACAACAATCTGTCCGCTTGCCTGGCTGTTTGGGATACAAATGGTGATACGAATTAGGCATTAATTAGAGGGTAAAAGGAGCCACTATCTTCGTTGCTACCCGGAGCATTGAGATAGAAGCTGAGGCTCCGTACAACAAAGCAGCTGTTGTATTCGAAAGCATGGTTATATTCGACAACAGGCTGTAGGGGAACTTTCGTTTTTGGCCTGAATTAGCCTCTGTGTCAGAGAGGAGCGAATAGTCAGCTATGGCAATCGAAGTATAAACGGCCACGGCTGTACAGGCTGGGTTAGTTGCCAGCTGGGCTCATTATCAGAAATTGTGCAAGGAGAAGCGTGGAACCTATGGTCGCTGAGCGCGGAAAGACGTCCTCTCATGCCCTATGTGGACCCTGAGCGAGAGACAGAGTCCCAGGAAGATTGAAGGATGATTTCTTTGGGTAGCGCAGGATTCAGAGACTGATGGTTTAATAGAGTTAAAGGCGCGATGTGGACATTATCATCGATATATGTTTTTGGTTCTCACAAAACCCGGTTCTGACTCCAATACATCTGCGGTACTGAAAGGCAATCATTGATGATTTCTGCTGTACTAACACAGGTATCATCATCATGGCCGATAGGCAAATTTGCGTTGAAATCATCAGTGCCTTTCAGAGAACCAAGGCTCCATCGGGCGTGGAGGAATTCCTCAGCGCTCATTTTCGCAACAGATACGTCGCGTCTTGACATCGAGTTGCCCGTTAAGGTCAGGCAAGTCTACTAGACCCATGGGATGATCTGACCGCGTAGCCTGTTTACTAAAAGGACTGCAACTAGGGGACATGTGAGCGAACTAAGCGTGGTGGGGAAGGAGAATGAAAGCAGCGCGTCCAAGTATTTTTTTCATGGTATGGTTGCGGTAAACAAACTATGGTTGAGCTGCCCTCTCCTCTCGTTTCGCGCAACATCACTCGTTCCTAACCCTCTCTCTCTTTCCCTTATATATCGCGTCCAGCATTAAGGCATTGGGGTGAAGCTGCCCTAGGCTCATCGCCAGCCGTCGATCGGCTATAAGCTCGTCACCAGCCCTCTCTATCTGAAATTTCGTCCCATCCTGAGGGCTGGGAAAAAAACCTCGCTTATTAGCTGGGGAGCGGAAAGTTGCAGTTGTACGAAATCTTTCTAAGTCGATTTTTGGCTGTAAAAACGTTCAATGCTGACCCTTATGCCATGATACACACAGAACAGACAGGACATACAGGAGAGGCAGCGCTCTACTTCTCTCATCTCATCTCATCTCATCCCTCATCTCCCATCTCTCATCTCATCTCTCGCTTACCATAGACCACAAAAAAGTGTCCTATCTATCCTGTGCGTCTCGCAACAGCAACTTTCCGCTCCCCAGCCAATAAGCGAGATTTTTTCCCAGTCTGAGGGAGACGAAACTGCAGAAGCTGCCTTAAAAGGCAATTTATTTTACTGTCGCAGTGGAGCTGATCGACGGCCGGTGACGAGCCTAGAGCGGACCGACGGCTGGCGATGAGCCTAAAGTCATCCTAACTTTCAGCGGCTCCATAATACGGTAATACGGTTTCTTTTTCATACGATTTTGGACAAAGCAAAAGAAAGGAAACTCGAAACTACAATACTTACAAAGACTGCGGCTCCTAGTGCAATAAGTCGGTGCAGGTTCCATGTGGAGGAAGGCAAGTACTAGATAACTACAGAGTAAGGATCGGACAAGACCTTCTATCTGTCTATACAAAATAGATCCACATCTGAAGTGGCCTATATGTGTCTACAAATTCGACAAGGAGCATCGGCGACAGAGAGAGCAGGGTCTATAAAGAGAGCCGTGGACGCTGGGACAATAATTGGCAGCCGGTGCTTTGTCGTTATCACTGCTCCCCTAAAATGGTACATGCTGGAGATGACACTCTTTGGGAACGTGATCGCTTGGACCCGCCAACAACACCCATAAAAGTCTCTCACGCCCCACTCTTTCCCGTCCTCACATTCTCATCTGTCGTCTTCATCCGACTTCTCCGCTTACTTTTTATCTCGCTATCCACCCTACCTACAACGGCGGTATCATATCCCGTAATCATATTGTACCCCACATCTAACATCTATCTCTCATTCATTTTAAAATTCGGCCAAGTTGCGCATAGCAATTTCGTCAAAGCTCATTTGTGAGGATTAGTCTCGTTAGGTCCGCTAGACCTAGTCCACAATATGCTCATAGTCCGTGCCGATGAATGAAGGACCTCTATAACATGTTACCAGTGCAGTATCTTAGGAAAGGTTGAGGGTCGGACCATCAAGTGCCAACAATGCAATCAGGAGAAAGATCGAGACCATAACGCTAACCGCAATATGGCTCGCGCCGCCCTCTATCTTATAGAGCGCCAAGAGTGGCCTCCAGAGCTGACGCGTCCACAGCAACAACAGCAGCAACAACAATAGCAACAGCGACAGTAACACTAAACGTCGTGTGGAGCGGCAGTGCAGGTACAGTGGGGGATGAAAAAGAGCTGTATCACTATCTCTTGTTATACAAAATTGAGCCTTAGAGCTTAGTTAGACGGAGCATGGGATAACCGACGTGATAATCCGGGGACATGAAACCGTCAACGTAGCATTCCGCGATAACTGAAGGCCGGGTTCTGAGGGCTACAAACAAATCCACTTCATCGAATATGACCATGATTGTATAGAATGGTCCATAAGCGTTTTGTATGTACTCTATATATGATGTCTATTTATTAGGTACTGTCTAATAGCTTCTAATCCACGCCGACATAAAACTGAGCCTTACGGCGATATTCGCGCTGCTTCCTGAGCCATGCGCGGTATTCGCTCACGGACTTAATCTTCTCTCCGTAAAAGTCTGGGATTGGATTGCGGACAGAATTGGCACTTGGATCAGCGCGGTTCTTGACAATGTGCTTAAAAAACTCGTTGTCCATCTGTAAAAAGGAAAAGGTACAAAAAAAGGGGGGTGCTTCGCAATTAGTATTCCAATATCATTAAGCACAAAGTCATGCAACTGATTCTTAGAAAGCTGGAGTATCGCGTGGAATCCCGAGGTTCCAAACACCAGTGCAAGAAAAAAAAAGTGCATTATAACACTTACTCTGTCGATAAGAGGCTTTGCCTTCGAATTCGCAGTCCTAAAGACCATGTTTCCGACGACGGGCCCCATCGCCAATCCAACAATACCCGCTGCGACCGTGCCAGCAATGTAGACAACGACTTGATCCATGCCAAAGATGGGGGTCGGATCAAAATCCTGTTGCGCAAAGTAGTATCCAGCGCCGCCAAGGCCAACGAGCGCGCACGGAGCCATGAAGACACGCTCATAGTTACGGCGAGTCCTGCGTAGGGCAAAATATGTGTTCCAGTCCATGGTCTTGACCTGCTCTCCCTCAATGGCAGCCTTAGCAGCCCTTTCGGTGGTCTGAACACTCCTTACAGGGGTCGAGGTATTGAAGAGGCGGCGGGGGGTCATCTGTGCACTACTGCTGCAATTTGATCTGGTGAGGCAGGCGCGCGAAACTGTGCGGCCGGTCATGAAGGACATCCTGAGTGCCGCAGTCGCCATGGTGATGTGTAGTGATGTTGTCGGGAAAGTGTAGATTCGATGTTCAAGTCGATCTCAGATCCCCGGACCTGCCTGCAATTCGTGACGTAGGTTACCACGGCTCAAAAAGGAAACATAAGAGCAACGGCCGCGTTGTGGACGCGTTCAGCTGGACCTTCAATGTCCAAGACGCGCTACTTTTACCCGGGAATATCTAATGTCTGTACCATGGGTCTCTGGTATTGGTACGATTAAGACGCAGTAGTCCGTGCGCGAATTGATCACTGACACTCCCTAGCTTTTTTCTATTGGCTAACACCGCCTTGTAGAGAGGAGTTAGACCCAAAACGGCTGCAATGTATGATATGGCGTGCAATTACTTCGGAACCAAGCTGCATTGTTGAGCTCTTCTCTTCATTAAGTACGTGGTAAGAATTAGCTTTTGCAGATACAGTTGTATAATATATGCTCAAAATACCCTAAGTTGACCAACAGTGCCGAAAGCTAGGCTCGAAAAGAAAAAAATGGATTGGTACTTGGACTCTGTAAACGTAACTTACAGAATTAAGGACGGCCTGGCAAAGTCGTTGGAGCGAACTGGCAGTGTACTATGTTGCAGATTCAGAGATTGAGGTCAGTTTGCTCCATGGCGTAAAACTTGAAATTTAAATCCCACATGAGCAGCGATTCGGATCTTCAACGCAGATAGTTCCCTCCCCCGGATCACCTCAAAAGATTCCAGGCGCCGAACGCATTTGTTCGGGTTTCGTGTACATAATCTAAAACGCTTACTATGAATAGCAGTATATCAGGCTTTCAGCCAAAGGGAACATATGCTGCGCTGCAAATTGTCTCTGTAATCGATGGGTATCTTTTGCATTTTTTACATCCATGCTGTGGTTTTCAGCGGAGGCAGGAAGAATTCGATGGATATGGATACCAAACAAGGATAAGACGCACTGCACTCTTTTTCACCGCGCGGTCAAATCATGACTTCCTACTAGAGTCCTGGCCAGAAAGTCGCGGGCCAACATATTTTTGAAATGGTTGGCTCAATTCAGTAAATAAGGTTGCCCTTTTCACGCACAAAGCTGACAGCCAGGCGCATCCACATTACATGCATGTCCCTGACTATATTCTCAATTATGAAAGAGATGACGGGGCCGGTGAGGATGCAGAGACTAGATGACCATTAAAGCCATAGATGACAAGAGGACGACTAGACGCGACCGTAGTGTCTTGTGTACATGGGGGTGTATTCATTTCAATTGAAAGGGCTCAAAAATATGTTGGCCCGCGACTTTCTGGCGAAGACTCTATCCTCATCGTTTCGAACTAGTGCTACGCCTGCATATCTCCCGTGCCCGAATACAGCGCAAACAGCAGGTCCATGCAGTTCTTGCGCATTGTATCTGCGATGGTAAACACAGGAATGAATAGAATTCGAGTTCTATGACCAGCTGATATTCTCTGAACGCTAATCGTCGTAAGGTTGAACCAAGTTTTTGTCGGAAAATATACCATCACAGTAGGTGAAAGGTGATCGCCCATTTCGTTCGTTTCTTGGACCGAAGCAGGATCATAACAACAAAAAAAATCTTCCGGTGGTGTAGCGTTACCGAGTTCAGGCATCGGTCACCAAGAAAAATGGCGAGACGACCAAGCGGAAGATCATGCAAACATAATAAAAGAGCCTTAATATATCCTGTAATCAGCGATCGCTCTCAATGTTGATTTCCATGTTGATTTTTCTTTTTTACGAGAGTTTGATGAAGGGTTTGGTGCATTCAGTGCTCTTCAGGAAGAGTTGATGAGCTCTGCAGCAGTCTATGTATTATCCGAATAATCATTCTTTTTCTTTTTGTCTGAGGCAGGGTAACCATACTGTAATCGAGAAATGAAATAGCCACTAGTTCCGCCTTTCTTTCTTGAGCTCTCTCCACATTGATATCGAAAATACGAACAGAATAATGGGAGCTATCATTGGGACAAACGCCGCGTGTGTAACGCGAGATAATACAAAAATCCACAATGAGAAAAGTGCTGGGCGCGCAAAGCACACAGCATTGTGAGGCGCCTTCTTTGATGTTTCTCCAGGGCGCGGAGAAAAGCATTGCTCTTCCTCCTCCTTCCCCCCCCCCCCCCAAAAAAAAAAAAAAAAGCGCCCGCGAGAGCCGCGATCTTTGATCAAGCACCTTTGTACTCCTTTGGATGATCTGAGGGGCGTTGCTGTACTACGGCGCGCACGTCTAATAGTCCTTTCTCCCTATTTCTGAGGCAATTACTTCATTGGTATGAATTCCACAGCATGGCGCCGCTGGCAGAGTAGGATCGCAAACTACAACAATGGCAACAAATACTCGTTTCTGCAGCATTCAACGATCTGCCATAGACTGGTGCAGATCAACAACAATGCGTCTCCATCGACAACAACACGACCTTAGTCTGGTCAACTCAGGTAGATCACAACATCTAAAAGATGGGTCCAGTACCCGTGCATGGGGCGCGATGGAAGGCATGGAAAAATCTGGTCTGTTTGGCGATGAGCGTGGAGGTGTATTGCTGCACTATTGGTGCCAATTCCTTTTCTGTAGCTACATCCGTGATGTGATGGTCCTTCATGCACAATGGGACGACCGGCGTTAGTGGGATCCCGGTGATTGTAGCTTGCTTTGGGCTGCAAATATGGCGAACGGAGCCCCTTCCCGCGAGTCTGCCTCGATGGCATCATACGCAATCGGTTAGCAGTGGATACGAATGAATTTTAAGAAAGACGGGCTATAGTATTACAGTATTGTTGTGTTTACTGTGCCCTTGCATACATATGCAGCAAGAGTTCCATCAAGAGCCTTCTCTTTCTGATTGACTAGGCTCGACGATGGAAGAGAGATAATGCAGCCAGTCTAAGAAAAGGGTGCCATGAACACAAACGGCCATCGTGCCTAGAACTCTAACACCCATCAGAAACATACACATCCTTCGAGGAGGCTCTTGTTGTCGCTTGTCTGTTTTCTACTGAGAAAATGCGTATCTAACTTTTTTTGTTATAACAGCGCTCTTGTTATGAATGCTGCAGGATTTCTAATGTAAACAAAGGAACACACAACACGCGCCATCAAGCAGAGCCCGGATTTAATCGGGCGCTGGAGATCTCAATGAAACCATCAGCGATGGAACAGCGCGGCAGGGAAGTTGTTCGGGTTGACCGTAACTGGATACAGCTGCTCAAAGCCAGCTCTGGTAGCAGGCGCGTAGAAAGCGCGAGGATCTAATTTTTTCCCGTGATGGGAGTAGGCAGAGGCGAGAGACAGAGTTGTTCCCATGAATACCTGGGTGCGCAATGACGAAAGGGTCGACGGATTGTGAACTAGCATTGCCATTGCGGATGAAGCGAGCAGCAGCCCTTGCAGAGCAGATGATGAGATACTGGTATGAATCCAGCCCTAGGTTTTCATATAATGTCCGCAGTGTTCGGACCGTTGTATGATCACTGATAAGATTGCTGTCTCTTTTGTGCTTCCATCTAAGCGCACGGCAGCCAAGCAAGGAGAGGTCTGTTCTCTCTTGATGGTCAGTACCATTAACGCTATTATTAGCCCACAAGCAACAATGGCAGAGGAAATACCGCTGGAATCGCGTTCATACTGAAGGGGGTGAGTTTTCTGTGCGCCGCGCCTGTTCATGTTATGATCGGAAATATCTTTCATTTATTTCTGGATAATGAAAGAGGGTGATCTATCAACATGATCAACAACAAAACAACAAAAGAGGCACCGACGGTACTAGCCTGGTCTAAAGTAAGAAACCATAGCTAAGTGGAGCGATCAAAAACGACGAAAGGAGAAGAGAACCCGGTTGATTGGAATCCAGCTGCACCATGAGGATGCAGGACGATGGGTTCAGGAATCCATCAAGAGGTTTCTACATATCTTTCTTTGGTCGGCTTGTTTGTTTGTTTGTTTGTCCATAGTTGTGATAAAGAATCAGGGCATACGAAGAGGCTCTTATTTTGTTGTCAGTCTGACCCTGTTTCGCTGCTCTCGCGCTGGCGAGAACCAATCCACGACCCTTTCTTCTTCTGGAGCTTAAGGTTTGGTCACAATCAAGCTACGATCGCATTTATCTGCGCGCCCCTTATTCTTTTCGATTTAGAAATCGGTCGTTGCTGAGACTGACAAAAGGAGCGGAGGAAGGGTCTCATCTACCCGCACTCAGACAACCGTGCTTCCACGTTGGCCTGTTCTGGCATACGTATAGCTCTGCAGACCATGAAGAACATATAGCCCCGTTTGACAACGACTTGTGATAATCTATGTGCATTTTACAACGGTTCTTAAATCCCTAATGCTGCCTGATGGTGACGCCGTTGGTGACGTTGGTGATGACAGCGATGATGTTAACACTCGTTCAAGAACAGATAACGAAAGACAAAAGGCATTACCGTGGATTAGAGGGGACCTCCACGCAGCTGGAATGTCAAGTTTGTCTGCACACGCCGTGTGGTACCTCTGAGCACATTAGGTGTTTGTGCCACCTATGCACCAAAAGCGTTCGTCCAATCAGATTTGAATCATTCATCTAATCTTCAATCCTGTTCCACGGACAACAGAATGCCAACAAACACCATCTTCCCTGCCTGCTGGCCAGAATCACACGCACAACAGTCCGCTCTCGTCGCCTCATCCTGTCCACACATGGACTCCATAGGAACCGATCCTTCTTTTTAGAGCAATTATGGCAGCGGACAATAACAACCATGGACGAACCATATCATGCCAGTCTATGCATACTGCGCATCGACATTGTCGGTCGAGGTAGAGGATAGGAATATTTCTCATATTTTTTTCTTCTACGCTGCGCCTCGAAAATGGTCGAAGGATGACATGTTCCAGCAGAAAATAAAATAAAACCGCACCCCGAGGACAAAACTACGACAAAGGAGAAGACACAGGGCACCTAGACCTAATGGGTAAAGAGGAACAGGGCAAGCAGATCGGCCATGTCTGTCCTGTATTAAGAATGCGAGTTGGTTGGATTGTAATGAGCGTGAGCCCTCTGGATGCTAAATAACATGTTCAGCAGACAGGCAAGTAAAACCAACAAGGTTGTATTATTTTTTTGAATTCATTTGAGCACATTGTTCCTGACATATTAAGACTACCCTTTGGTTGTCATCCGATTATTCAGTCCAATTCAACCCTATATAGAGCCGTTAGACTAAATGGGAGAGTGTATTGCTCTGCCTGCCTGTCCTGGGGGAATTAAGGAAACAGAGAAAACATCCGGCGTTGGCCTGTACACAGTCTAACTGAACGAGTTAGGAGCCAATGAAGGAATGGAAGGCCTATAAAAGGGTCCTCCAGTTCCCCACAAATACCTTTTTTTTTCCCTTGTCTCTCAGCCAACCTCCTTCGCCTCCACTGCCTTTCAACAGTTCTCCTTCCTCTCCCTTTCCCTCCCTCTCTCTCTCTCTCTCTCTCTTTGCCGCCAACAAACCCTCACACTTCACTCTACATCGCACTCTACCTTCTACTACAAAATGAAGATCTCTATCGCTGCCGCCATCGGTCTTTTGGCCCTCACTCTCACTGAGGCCGTCAAGGTTAACCCCCTGCCCGCCCCCGTCACCATCACCTGGGCTTCCTCGGGTCCCATCAAGATCGACAGCAACTTCAAGATTGTTGGTACCCAGCACGAGATCCTCAACAAGGCTTATGCTCGTCACGCTTCCTTGATCAAGAAGGAGCGCTGGGTTCCCCAAACCTGGGAGCAGCCCATCAAGGAGTACCCTCCCTTCCCCACCCTCGAGAAGCGCGCTGACGAGGAGACTGTCAAGGTCCTGTCCAACTCCAACTCCAACAAGAAGGCTACCCTCAAGACCGTCAATGTTGTCGTCTCCAACCTGAAGGCCGACCTCCAGCACGGCGTCGATGAGTCCTACACCCTTGACATCACCGCTGCTGGTAAGGGTACACTCAAGGCCAAGACCATCTGGGGTGCTCTTAACGGTCTCCAGACCCTCAACCAAATCGTCATCAGCGACGGCAAGAGCGGTCTTCAGATTGAGCAGCCTGTCCACATTGTCGATGCTCCCAAGTACCCCCATCGCGGTATCATGCTGGACACCTCCCGTAACTTCTACCCCTTGGCCTCCATCAAGAAGCAGATCGATGCTCTCTCCTACTCCAAGCTCAACATCTTCCACTGGCACATCACCGATAACCAGTCCTGGCCCGTTGAGATCAAGAAGTACCCCCAGATGACCAAGGATGCATACTCCCCCCGCGAGATCTATTCTCAAAAGGACATCAAGGAGATCATCAGGTACGGTCGCGAGCGCAACGTCCGAGTCATCCCCGAGCTCGATATGCCCGGCCACTCTGCTGCCGGATGGCTCCAGGTCGACAAGAAGGCCGTCACCTGCGCTGACTCCTGGTGGGACAACGATGGCTGGACTCACCACTCTGCTGTCGAGCCCAACCCCGGTCAGCTCGATATTGCCTACCCCGGCACCTACAAGCTGATCAAGGACGTCTACACCGAGATGGCCGGCGTCTTCACCGACAACCTCTTCCACGTCGGTTTCGATGAGCTCCAGACTTACTGCTACAATTACTCGAGCTATTCCATGGATTGGTTCAAGAAGCACCCCAACGCTGGCTACTCCGAGTTCGCTCAGCAGTACATTGACAAGGTTCTTCCCATCTTCCACGACAAGCCCAGCCGTCGCCTGATCATGTGGGAGGACTCTGTTCTCTCGCCCGACTTTGCTGCCAACTCCATCCCCAAGGACGTCATCATGCAGTCGTGGAACAACGGTATTGCCAACATCAAGGAGCTCGCCAAGCAGGGTTACGATATTATCGTCTCCTCCTCGGATGCCTTGTACCTCGACTGCGGTAACGGTGGTTGGGTCACCAACGACCCCCGCTACAACATCCAGGAGCCCCCAGCTTTGCCCAAGGCTATTCAGGATGCCTTTGACGCGAACCCCTCGGCCTACTCTCCCACCACCTTCAACTATGGAGGCATTGGAGGTTCGTGGTGCGCTCCTTACCACACCTGGCAGCGCATCTACGACTACGACTTCACCCAGGGCTTGACCGCGTCCGAGGCCAAGCATGTCATTGGTGCTGAGGCCGCCTTGTGGTCTGAGCAGTCTGACCCCATTGTCGTTGATGCCAAGTTCTGGCCCCGTACCGCTGCCTTGGGCGAGTCCCTCTGGTCCGGCAACCGCGACAAGAATGGCTTCAAGCGCACCACTAACTTGAGCGCCCGTATCCAGGACTTCCGTGAGCGTCTCGTCAGCCGTGGCATCCTTGCTGCTCCCTTGGTTCCCAAGTACTGCTTGAAGAACCCCCACGCCTGCGATCTCTTCCGCAACCAGACCGCCTTGGGCAAGTAAATTTCTCCTCACGAGAAATCCATACATTTCAGTGTCCTTCCCTCATTTTTTTTTTCTAGACACTTTCAGGACCATAGTCAAAAAAATAAGTTTTTTTCATTCAATAGTCTGGTTACGTTTGAATGAAGTTGGACATCGGTCATCATGATACCATCCCTATCTTAAGGAAGATAATAAAGCCAAAGAGTAATGTCGAAAACCAATAATTACCGCACCTGCACTTGCTATCTTTTTGTTTCACTCCAATAAGAAAAGAAGAAAAGAAAAGAAACGAGTACCTGGAGATACTTGTTGTTGGTAGCCTAGTCTTGTTGTTTCAGAATGTTTGACGCGACGCGTCGCGAACCCCGCCTTCCCCATTTTTGGTGGCAAGTGACTGTGGATACGACCAACGCGCTCCACAAATAAACAAGGCCTTCTATTCATCGCCCATCCTTTGTTTGCTACACACACCTACATAACACGTATCCCCCCCCTCCTCCACACACACACATAAATCAATAATAATAACAGCGTTGACACAGGATGGACGAACATCAGCAGCTTAGCCAGCATGAGGGCGAGACCGAGCAGGAACTCTTTCTCTACGATGGACCGATCGATCCTGACACCGAACAGGCGATTCAGGAACTGAACGATGGTGGTGCCAAGGCGTTTGCTCTCCAGGATTATGAACTCGCCGTCGAGAAGTTCGGCCTTGCCTCTGAAATGCTGTAAGACTACCATTCTCTTTCCATTTTATGTTGGTACACCTCACAGACTTGACATGAAGTTGGTGCCTTTTTTTTTTTTTTTTTTTTTTTCTTCCTATTCTAACATCCGCTTTTTGTTCGACGCTCTTCGACCTCTTCACACTAGTGGCCAGGTGTACGGCGAGATGAACCCAAAGTGTGCAGATACGTTGTTCATGTACGGGAAGGCGCTCCTTGAACATGCCATCCAGCAGAGCTCTGTCCTTGGCGGTGTTACTGAAAAGAAATCCAAGGAGGAGCTCGAGGCCGTTGTCGCTGCCGCAACCAGCGGATCATCTTGTAAGTTTGGACACTATACTTTTTTTTTCTTTTTTTTTCAATTGATCGAAATAAAAGGAAGTAATCCACTGATACAGGGGTTTTTTCTATCCATGATGTGGTGATTTAGCATCGTCATCTGCAGCACCGAGCAACCCACGTTTCGTATTCGAGGGCGATGAAGAAGATGACGAAGGCGAAGGCGACGACGACGAAGCTGACCCGGAAGCAGGCGCATCTAGTGGCAACGCAGAGGGCGGTGATGATCAGGATGATTTTGCCGTCGCCTGGGACGTTCTCGATCTTGCTCGTGTGCTTTTCCATCGCCAGGGCACTGAAGAAGCCCTCCTCAAACTCGGCGACGTCCACATCGCCCTTGGAGACGTCTCTCTCGAATCTGAAAACTTTGATCAGGCCGTCGCAGATTTCCGGGAAGCCATCGTCGTCAAAGAGGCCCGACTCTCCCCAGACGATCGTCAGCTGGCCGAGGCACACTACAAAGTCGCTCTCGCACTTGAGTACTCGCCCACGGAATCTGAAAAGGCACAGGAACATATTCATAAGGCGATCACTGTTCTGAGGGCCAGGATTGAGAAACTCAATGGGATGCTGGCTTCGGGCAAGGGTAAAGCCAGGGCGACAGATGCGAATGAGAGCGAAACGAAGATGGCCAAGGAGTTGATTGAGTTGCATGAATTGGTTGGAGAGATGGAACAGAAGGTTCAGGATCTGATTGCGAACCAGGCGAAGAATCCGCTGTTGGAGAATACGAACAAGACTCAGATCGAGATGTTGAACGAGATGTTGAATCAGAAGAAAGCCGTCGCTGCGAACGATATCTCGAATCTTATCAAGCCAAAGTCCAGTAAACCGGCGTCGACACCAGCAGCAGCATCAGTACCAGCAGCAGAGGCCGCATCTTCATTGTCATCCTCATCTTCATCAGCAGTAGAGTCCGCACCAGCAACGACAGAATCCTCATCAACATCAGCACTAGTATCAGCAGAGACAACTGATGGTGATTCGGGATTGAAGCGTAAGGCCGAGGAGGCTGTACCAGAAGACGGAGACAAGAAGATCAAGGTCTAGAGAATGTCGTCGGGCTAGTGTGGCCATATTCCCTTTGTGTTTACTGTATCCTTCAAAAATATAATACATGAATGTATACATATTCCACTCAGTACATTTTACAGAAGGGCACTTTTTTTTTTTATTTCGGCCATGATGGGATGCAATTTACATATGTAGTGGTATACTAAGAAAAAAAAAAAAAGTGTCGTGAAACCGTGAAGCTATATTAGTGTTCGTGTCGGAGGATTCAATGCAGTTTAGGAACTCGGAAGCCGTTGGCGTGTCGATGTCGGTATCCTTCTGGCTCCTTCAACCTGCGTTCATGCTGGTCCCGGTCGCCTTTTGGACTGCCTGAGACCTCTTCCCGGTCCTGCTCCTGCTCATATTGCTCGTTCTCCTCATGCTCATAGTCATCATGGTCATAACTGCGACTGCCATTGTCTCGAAGTTTTTTAGACGTTCGTTGCTCCGTGGTACGGCGCAGCGGTCGAGCAGTGTCCTGGGTATTATCCTTACTATCCACAGCACCAGAGTCTTGCTCATCCGTCCGCTCAGAGGCATCCTGCCTGTCCTTGCCCTCCCTCTGTCTCTCTTCTTCCCCATTGACGTCTTCTCTCATATCGTTATCACGGCCGCGATTTTGATCCGCATCAGAAAACGATGCCCGCAAGGTCTTTCCACGACTGACCCGCAATCCATCGCGCTTGCTATCGCCACGGTCACTGCTCTCATACCTCCGCCATGCATCCTTGGACTCTGCCGCATCTCTTCCACGCCTCTTCCGTCTCTGCTCACGCTCGTCCATCTGCCGCTGATGCAAATGTCGCTCCTGAATCGTCATAATCATATCCGCCTTCTCCGCCAAACTATCCACAACCTCTTGCAGCTGCTGTCGAATCAACTTCTTCTGCCGCAACTGCTCCTTTAGAACCCCTTCCGTTGCAGATCTCTTTCCGGTCCTGGGTTTCTTGCTACCGTCGCCTCCGCCACCGGCGCTTCCGCCATCTGTATCTGCCGCACCAGACGAGTGTCCAAGCGTTTCTAGATCCTTGGATAGTTCGAAATACGACCGCCGCAGGTGCTGAACCTCTTCGTCCAATTGACCCAGAACAATATGCAGTTTCTGCTCGGGCGATCGATCCTCATTCTTGGAGCGTCCTAGAAGCGATAAATTCTTCCGAACAAGGGAAGACTTCTCCTGCTCCCGCTCCCGCTCTTTTCTGTGACTCAAGGGCTGATCTTTGCGAGCTTCTGGGGAGATGCGTGCTGAGTTTCTGGGATCCTCATCGTCTGGAAAGGATGACAAAGACGACCCGGAATCTATATTCTCCTGCGATGCAGCTGCACGTCGTGAGCCTGTCGACACCAGTGCTGCTATAGGTTTTAAGTCCTTTTGCCGACCTTTAACAGGCATACTATCGATATTGGGCGAAGAGTCCTGGTGCCGTGTCTGCTGATGACGAGGTTTCCGGAAAAGGTCCTGTTGGTGATAGTGTCCTTCGTGGTCCCGAGCATCGCCGCCATTACAACATACAGTACACCGCTTAGGATCGTGCGCCTTGAGCAGGGACATGATACGCTGAAGATCAATCGAAATTTTCTTTTGTCGCAGCGCGGGATTCTACATCAGACAAGAAATGAAAGGTTAGTCCTTGACATACAGAATCTGAACGCCAGGGTTTCATCCGCAAAATAATACGTACAGTAAGAGCTGCAGCCAGTTCTCGAGCACGGTTTCCGCCAGACTTGATGTCACCTCTTGCTCGTACGCTGGTTGATCCATGCGCACGTATCCGGAACGGTTGATAGCTTCCTCCATCGTCGCTCAACTGCGCTAATTCATCGGCCCGTTCGCTTCGAGGAGCCTGGTCACCGTCGAATCCGCCGACCATGCGCGTACGAGGCTCAATATGTTGTCGATGTGGCTGCGGTTTCTTTGAACTTTGTACCCCAACCACCGCACTGCTCGAATGCCTGTTAACAAGCCCCTGCCCAGGCAACGACCGACTAAGCGCACCCCTGGAAGCCGAAGCAGGGAAAACGAGCTGTTCCTGTCCATAAGATCCACGCCGCTGTGACCTGAATGCAGTTCCAATGTTAAGGCGATGCACATCGCTCGGAATACCATATTCTTCATCCACACTCAAAGGTAGCCTCCGTCCGCCAGGGGTCGGTTTGGATTGTTCAGACAACGGTGGCAAGCCCCTGCCCTCGGGTCCGTAATGATGGTGATGATGAATGTGAACCTCCTCGAGCTTCTCCACAAGACGACGTGTCTCGGAAGTGGCCGACTTTGAACGGGAACCCTTTCGCAGGCTTGATTTGGAGGGGCCGCCTCCAGAAGAGTGTAGCCCATTGGCCTCGTCATGGGCGGCCCAGTGTTTTCGTCCACTTCTCGCTCTAGATGGAGAACTGGAAGCGGCATTTGCTGAAGGACGTCTCCTGGCTGACGAGCTCCTTTGTGCCCGAGCTGGTTTGGTGTGTGTCCGGTATGCTGCGGTTGCATATTGCTCTGCCACATCAACCTGGCCATCCTCTTCACTCTCGCTCGCGCTTTCACTCTCGGTCTCGCTCTCCGTATCCTCTTCATCCTCATCCTCCTCATCATCGCCAGAATCCAACAAAAACAACAGATCCGCCTCCTCCTCCACCCGCTTCCTCTCGCGCTTCTGCATCTCTGCTCTCTGAACCTCCAACGCATCAATCCGTTTCTGCAGAGTCTCCAGGTTTTTTTCAACTTGATCCTTCTCCCGCTGGATTCCAGCCTTTTTAGATTCTTGCTCCCGCTCCCGCTCATCCAAAGGTATATTAGGGGACCCTGTAAGGTGCTCTTTGCCAGCTTTCGACTCTATATGATGATGTTGGTGGCGAGAAGAAGGGGTATCCTTGGGCCGCGACAACTTCTCATTCGTCTTCCGCGTCCGCTCCAGCTCCTTGTGCTTCTTCTCAAGATCCTTTTGCAACTTCTTATTCGCCCGCATAAATGTCTTCTTTTCTGTCTTGAGCTGACGGATCATAGCTTTAAGAGTGCCAAGAACAGATGCCACAGCTACAACCGCAACAGAGACGTAAAAGTGGAGGATATTATTAATAGGTCCTATAGAACAGTGGCAAGCAACAATGTCATTTCATAATCGTAATATGACAAACCTTGTCCCTCGCCTAAAGATCCAGCGAGTTCCATGAACCGATCCTCAGCTCTCGTAACAATATCGAGCTGCGCCAGGTCCTCGGCTGTAGAGAGCAATGGAAAAGTCGGTGCCGATCGCCAGTTCTGCTCATTCTGTCCTATTGCTGAAGGATGCTGCTGGCGCTGCACTTGTCGCAGCTGTTGCCCTGGTTGTCGCTGCTGAGACTGCTGCGATGCCTGTCCTCCTCCGAAATTGAATCTCGTGGGCGAGACAAGGTCTTCAAGGACGAGATCTCTTCCATGATCCAGTTTACTCGCCATCGCGACAGGGGGCATCGATGATCCATTAGCCCCCAGGACCGCTGATGAGACACCTGGCTCTGTACCTGCAGCAGACCGCCTATCTGCTGAAGCCCCGAGTTCACGTTTGGCGCGGGCGATCGCCACTTCGCGTTCAAATGAAATTTCGCCACTGTCGTATCCAGGATCATCCAACACGTCATCTCGGACCTTGCCAGACTTTGGCTGGGAATGAGGTTGAGAACTGGGCTGAGGCTGCAGAGCTACATTCCTTGTCCCTGTAGGATTCGCTTGCATGGGAGACTGCCCATGAGGATCTTGCTGCTGTTGTTGAGCCGGCAATGGTGGCGTCCTTGGCGCATTTGAATTGCTAGGGGGTACTATACTCTGCGTCCACTCGACTGTATCTTGATCCTGCTCCCCCTCTTCCTCATCCTCATCGTCCTGCTCGCCGCTCTGCGTGAAATCCGAAGGCGAATACGAGGAGTGATACAGGTCAGGTCGCCGGCGCTCTGACTGCTGCATAGTTCTGTAAGCATCTGGGCTTTCCTTCGTGTCCGCAGTCGTTGTCTTGCCTGCGAATCTTGACGGGCCCGAGAATAGTGTCCGTTGCGAAGGATCTGTGCGCTGGTAATCCGATGCCTACGTCCAAATTTGATTTCAGAAATAAGGTGAGGTTAGCCCTCCATTAAAAACAGGATAATACACAATCACAGGCATTTTGACGAGATTCCAAGTGCGCCCATTTACTTGGATATCCGCATTCAAATCCGCTCGAGACTCTCTTTCGTGGGTAGGCCTGTTATGATGACTGTTCGCCGAGGAATCCATTCCCGCACTAGCCCTCCGCGTCGCATTCGCTCTGGCCCCGTCGGTCATGGGCTTCTCCTTCCGTGTTCTGTACAACTTGTCGCTGAACTGACTCAAGGCCGAAGACGAAGATCTGCGATACCCTTGAGGCCTCCTATATTGACCACCCGTTGAAACCCCACGCTCGCCACTGTCTTCTTCCTGCTGGTACTGATGCTGCTGGTGACGATCGGGGTTGCTGTTCTGTGACCGCCGCAATTCCGATATCTGATTCCGAAGCTCCTGACTGTCGAGGATATCGCGGATGGTCAAAAATCCCCCGCCCTCCTTGCCACTCCCACTGGTGTGTGATCGCTGGTCCTGATGCTGGTCCTGATACTGCTGCTGCTCTCGGTTACGCTCCCGCTCGTGATCAAGTTCTCGTTCTTGCGTACCGCCATCATCCTTTGCGGCCCACCTCGCCGAAAACGCGCTTTCAGCCCGATTCAAATTATCCCCTTGCTGCTGGTCGCTGTATCCGTCCAGGTTACTCTCCAGAGGCGTCAGCCGGTCCTTGGCCCGATACGCATCCCTGGATACTGCGCCCTGCTGACTATACCAACGAGCATCCATGGTATCCTGCTTCCTCTCCTTCCCGAATTCATTAAGCTGTGTCCCTTGATCAAGTCGCCGCTGATCTTGTGGAGTCGAGTGCCCGAAACTGAACGTGTCCAATACCGAGTTCAGTCCATAACTCCCCTGATTCTGACGGTCGTCGTCCAGGTCCTGCGTGTACAACAGATTCCTGAGTCGAGAAGATCCGCGCAGGCCTTTGTCACGCGAGCCTACTACCCCACTACCACCTCCTTCTCTTGCTACAGCAGAAGTAGACGAAGAAGTAATAGAAGGGGTAGGAGGAGCCGGGGTATTGATCCCTTTGCTCGAGATCTTTCGCTTAACTCGCTCGGCGCACGGTGTCAAGGCTGGGTCCATATCCTGACTGAATCGGTTGGCTGCATGTCTGTGTCCCTGAGCCTGTGCTTGTCCCTGTCCGTGCTCATCTGGTGTGAGATGGTCGTGCCCAGGGCCAGCCATGCCCCGGATCCCACGGAAGGCCGACATATATTGTGCTCGAACAAAATCGGGTTCAAAGGAATCGAATGAGCAAGTGTTTGATGTAGTGAGGGCAAGATGACCTGTTCCTGATGACTTTATGAAAGGATGCAAAGAGGCAAAAAAAAAAAAAGAGAAAAAGTGCGTTGTAGGTACTGGGGAAAAGGGTTGGGCGAGAGCGAGGGCTATGGGCTATATACGATTGGACAAAGATTTCATCCAATGATCGATAACACATGCATGCAATAATATCGTTCGTATAGCATCATCCACGTACAAGAAAGTTGAGATAGAGGGGGAGGTTGGTGCTCTTCCATGTCGCGTAAACTTCTCTCTCCCTCATAGACTCGATGCACTCGAGAGCCAGAAAATAATAAAAAATCTCTCTCATCAACTCTCACTCTCTCTGTCCGTCTGTCTCTATCACCGCCGCCTTACCACCATCCTACTCCCTGAAACCCCTTCCGCATGCCCATGTGCGAAAAGTGCAAGAAAAACCACGACCGACGGACTTACTACGCATGCCCGAAAAGGTATTTCATGACACCATATCGTTCGCTCATTTCGCACCGCAATAACCACAGCGAATGCTTAGTCTGAGATATGATGGATGATATCGGTGATGGTTCGATGAGTTTGACGAGTTACCCAAGGTTGATTTGGGGGATTTTTACACATCTAATAAATTTAACAAATAAACATATCAATTCACAGTAGGAGAAGAGGACTATGCAGTGGAGGATGATGAGCGCTGGACAGTGCAGGATCTTTAGCATGGGTTGGTGCCAAAATTCATAGTGGATAAGTGGAAATGCCTTTTCAAGACTACGGGAACGATCGCAGCAATTATGGTGGAGAAGTTCGTCGAGGCGATAGAAGACGTTGGGAGGACAAAAGTCTGGAATGTGAGATGCGACACTACTGTTAAATGGGAGAAGAGCTTAGGGATAACTGCGGTGAGCAAACGTGTTAGGGGAGGCGTCGGGTGTGGGACCTTCGGTGTAGCAGGCGGTACAGGTAGCAGCGGGATTGCCTCTGGACGATCTAAGCGGCAGGAGTTAGCATTGGACATGCAATGGTTATCAAGGATGGCGGACGAGCAGTTGCTGAGCCAGTATCAGGGTCGTTTGAGATTGGACGTAATGAAGAGAACGGGAGGGCTGAAGTTCCTAAAAGTGAAAGGATCAGACTAAAAGTCGCTACGGCGCAACAGGTCGCGTAGCGAGCAAGACACGTGCGGTACTTACCCATGCGGTCAGCAACTATGAAACCAGGATATCTGTGTCGGTGTAGGCCGGGATGGATGTAGCTGTGCTCCTTGTAGGAGACGTTATGAGGTACAGCCTCTGTGGACTACAAATCCCATATCGCTGAGGATCCTAGTTAATAAAAAAAAAAAAAAAAAAAAATATCAATTTACAGTGCCTTTTCTTTGATGTTAAAATTTCGATGGCCCTTTGCAATGCCCTTTCTTGATGCAAAATTCCGAGCAACGCAATTCTTGCTTCGCCCAAAAATAAATTTTCTCCCCTTCAACCTTGCATATTCATTGCTTGACCCTTATCACTCAAAGCCATTCCCTCTCTCCTCCCTCAACTACCACTACTGCATCCCTCTTACAATGACTATCGATAGCATGGATATAACATGCAACCAAGCGTATGTGAAGTGTGTCCTTGTTACTTTTTACATTGATAATGGTTCCCATGCTGACTCGACACGAATCTATCGAATCTATAGTCCTGCTGCTGGACCTGTACGAGCACCTCGAGCATGCATATGCGGCCAAACTGGTTAGTCCAGAATCACCTTCAAGGACTGCCCTGAGAATCCCAAGAACACGCTCGAAAGGCAGGTTCTTTTTTTTTTTTTTTTATGGGATGGGCTTACGGACAATCCAAACTAACCGCTGATGCACTTCTCACCAGGCGTGCTGGGCTAATTCCCGCCTATGCCGCCAAGTGCGCCCGCGAAAGACAGCAGGGGCATGAGCGTGCTAATCACCATCTGGAGGAACTAGAGTATACGGATCTGGCACCTGCCCCTGCTGCAGGATCTCTCCAAGCGTCTTGGACATGCAGATGCGGCCAAACCGGCTACTCCAGAATTATCTCCAAGGACTGCCCTAAGAATCTCAGTAACACGCTCGAAAGGCAAGTTCTTTTTTTTTTTTTTAAGAGATGGGCTTATACCTCTCACCATGCACGCTGACATAATTACCGCTTACAATCGCCGGAATAGCGCAAAGGATTTAGATGCGTTGTCCCTTGCACGGTGGCCTTTCGCTGAGGATTTGGTAACAGGCGTTGAAGTCCCGCGACCTTACGCCATCCTTTCGCCATGGCTCTGCACCTATACAGCCCATCTAATCCTCCTGAATTATGGGAAGCATTCGCTGATAACCTATCTCAGGATTTTCTCTCTGTACGTTGCTGGAGATCGCCCGAATGCCGAAGAGGATGCCAAGAGCGCTGCACTGTTCCACGTCAACGAGATTTTGAAGGGAGCTGAGAACAGTCTGGCGGTCTATGAAGAGATGCCTCGAGACTTTCGCAACCTCATCAATCGCCAACCCAACTGTGACGAACTTGGACAACATGCAGAGCTCGACCCTGAGGCACTTGCGGCTGAGGCAGCTCATGACTTTGATCTCTGCAACGACGATCAAAAAGCACTGTACGCTGCAATCACAGCAGCGCCGGATAACAAGGACGAAGGTGTGGCAAAAGTGTTCTTTATTGATGCGCTAGGAGGAACGGGCAAGTCTTTTTTGTACAACGCTTTGATTGCCCACATCCGAGGAAGGCACAAGAAGGACGTGATCATTGTTGCGTCATCTGGAATTGCTGCTCAGGAGGTCGCACAGCCCACTCGATTTTCAAAATCCCGCTCCAGATCATGTAAAGCTCAACGTGCAATAATCCTCCAGGTATGCTCTTACGACCTTGGACGACGGATCTACGCCAATCAAGTTTACAAGGCACCAGTTTCCTGTCAAGCCTGCGTTTGCCGTGACCATTAACAAGGTATAAGGACAAACACTTGATCATGTTGGTGTTTACCTTCCTCAGCACGTCTTTGGTGCTGGGCAATTGTATGTCGGCTTCTCGCGTTGCAAACACCGAGATAGATGGAAAGGAGGGCGTTTATACCCAAAATATCGTCTGTAGAAATCTGCTGAACGTCCAAGCTTTTTTTTTTTTTGTAACAGTACAGTATTTTTTTGTCTCGGACCCGTGGCGTGTGCCACGGGCAGTTCTACTAGTCCAGGATAATAAAATTACCTCCATCTACACGCCTCTCTCTTCTCGCCTTCCAGCAATTCCTCTTCCCCTACGAACGACTGAGCCATTTGTCAAGTCGGATAGGTCAGTGTCCAGGCCCCAAGTAGCTTGGTGCATTACAAAGTGACTGAAGTTTCTTTTTTCACATTGGAACATTCGTTAAGGGTCTATCTCTGCACGGACGCGTATATAGGACGGGTCGAATCCTTTATGTAACAGCTAGGCAGACCAGGGTGCGGGGGACTGGGGTGGAGCTGGAGTCAGGGAAACCAGGATGGAAATTGGTTTATTCGTACGGTCAAAGCTGCCTTTCTAAGGGTGCGGGTCGAGCTGCTTAAGTACTAATTCTACGAGGCCATGCTTGTTGTTAGCGCAGTGCACTAGATCATAGCACAGTACGCGAGATCAGAGAGCTGTACTGCTGCAGATGCTTTAAGAGCGTGAGGACACATCCCTGGACACAATCACGCACAATAATAATACATTATTTGCTTTGCTCCTCCCCTCAACCCCACGCATTCTACACCGGCGCCGATTTTTTTTAAGGTCTGCGTCTGTTTCTTAGCACAGCTCTGCACAACTTTCTCTCTCTCTCTCTCTCTCTCTCTCTCTCTCTCTTGTAGAGGATGGATGACATTGACGCTGACACAGCGTCTATTTAATTATTGACAGTGCTCAAAGATTGGGCAAAGTGAGGGTGCAATTCTATCGTGTAGGCCCAATGCAGCACCCTGCAAGTAGCCAAGGTCAATGACATCATGGGAACATAGGCACTATTAGAGTACCACAGCTGGAGGTAACGGTTCAGGGATTTTGACTCCTTGTAGATAGAATGATGGACGTGTCAACAAGCTCTTCTCCACTTGAGCCCGGCGTGGACGACCAGTGATCTTGGCAAGAGTGTTGGAGGCGATCTCCTAAAGCAATTGGCAAAGGGATATAGACATATTAGTAAGTACAAATCGCAAAAAAAAAAAAAAAAAAAAAAGGCTTATATCATACCCTGGCAGCTGTCAAAGGACCCAGTGCATGCAGCAGTAAGGGTAACTGGAGCTTGTTCTCAGGGATTCCGAACATTCCTAGGGCCTTCGGTATATAAATTGCCTCATAGGTAATGTCCATCGAGAACACTTCACACCGTCGATCTAGAGTGAAGGAATGATGAAAGATATGGATAAGAACACGATATCTAGCTGAAATGAAGTAACTCAGAGCCCTAGAGGCATCATATATACCTTGAACAAGCATCCCTAGAACGACAGGGTCCTTCACGCCGGCTTCAAGTAGGCAGTTAAGACTCAACTTCATGAGAAGGATTACCTTTCTGACATCTACGTCACAATCATCCGGATCAGCATCTGGAGACTTGACTTCAAGCACGGCAAAGGGAAGGCCATCCTTTTCGGCAAAGAAATCGGGATAGAGTCGTTCTTCGTAGTCTGTTGGCACTGGGAACGGGTCAATGGTCCTTTGAATACAAATGAAAGTTATGTGAGATATGCAGACTAATGGTGAACAAAGGACGACATCTTAATCAAGCATCTAAATGACACATACCAGTGTTCCTGAAAGTCAAGCTGCGCAAAAGTGCCAGTAACGAAAGGCTTCACTGACTGTTCAATGTAGATGTTCTCGTTGATAGCAAGTTTCGAGGCTCTATCACGCAGGACTCCTGAAGACGCATAGGCCGATATGATGTCACCCGCAACACTATCTTGCTGCGCTGTTCTCACCTTGATGTATGCCCTCCCTTGCTGGTGGTTGGCCGATCCCACATTGAGACAGCAGGTTAAGAGTAGATCAACGTCTTCGCTCCTTGGATTTGCGACTGGTTGTTGGTTAAGACGGCTTGCAGTTCCTGGCGGCAGATTATCCTCGAGAAAAGCCTTGGTGAAGATGAAGTTGAGGGAGAGCAGATCAGCTGTTGATTTCAGAGTACACTGCTGTCTGATCATCTCTCTCCTTGCAGCCATCAGTCGTTCTGATACGTCCAGGTCGCCAATGACATACTTAAACTTCGTCGTTAGCCTGCATGACGTTTCCCCAGGGCCAGTAAGATTATTGCGCTAATGGAAATCGGCTGTGAAAAGCGAAGTTCTTGCACTGGTGCTCGTCGAAGGCTGGAAATCAGAATCCGAGAGGTTTGAGCTGAGCTCGTCCCCAAGGAGCACTAATGTCGATGTTCCCTGCTCCTGCTGCTGCTCCTGCTCTTGTGCTGGGAGTTGCTCTTGAGACCGTTGCTTCTGTGAGCCTTGGAGTCCACGAAGTGCATCCTTGAGATGTTGCTCACCCACTGCAATCTGCAATGCGGAGGAATTCCTGGCAGCTGCGATCACATTCTTGGACTAGGTTAAAGCCGCATGAGTATGGTATGTTAACTTCAAAATCTAATATCTCAGGACATGTATAGAGCACTTAGGACATGAATCATACTTGTAGTTTCTTCAGACTCTTAGCTACCCAGTAGTTGTCCAGGCTAGTACCCCTGTCCTTCCACATTCGTTGCATCTCCTTTCCATCTTTTCGTATCTCGGGAACAGGTGATTTTTTGGCTTGACTGTATAATGAGACATAAGCCAGGTGCAGCTTCTCTTTGTCCTTAAACGTGCCGTCTATCCATTGGAGAAAGGCCGCTGGGCTTAAGTCGTCTGGACTGGCTGATTTGAATTCCTCCAAGGTGAACTGCTGACTTTTCATGGACATAGACATGATGCTACGACAACGCAAGGTTAATAGTCTATTGGAAGTTGAGGCGCAGTCGTGCACAACAAGTGGTCGACAGTAATGTGACGCGAAGTTGAGCGGCGGAGTACGACGATGTGAATGGGGGACGTACGAGGGGAAATGTGAAGAAATGAGATGTGTTTGTAATCGCGGTCCAAATGGACATCACAGAGCTAATTATTTTTACCGACCATGGGGACGTTCGCGGAGCAGCCAAGTATATATCAAACCGATGTCCAAGCACGAGTTTATTTACAAGCAGTATATTATATACGATACAGGTAAAGCGAGGGAGTAGATTATATAAGCGAAAAGCAAACAAGGAAACTTACAAAGCAATAGTCAATCGACAGCGTTAACAGTTCGACGGTGAAGGATGAAAGTGCATCGGCAAATAATACACTTCTAGAGCACCATCGGTTCACCCTTGTTGTCCTGAGCTCGCTCGATCCGACTTAGCCTGATGTTGGGGGCTTAGCGAGCCAGGCGGAACTGAACAAAGGGGATGAGAAATCTGCAATGGTGCGCTTCTGAGTACGAGGTGTCGATTGCAGTGCCATATCCTCTTCCTCGTCCAGACTAATGGGACGAACGACCTCAATCATCGTAGCGGATGCAGCGGAAATCACTGAGCTCCTTCGCCAGCTTGTCGAGTCGCGTCCATCCCCAAGAGGAAAGCATCGCCGCCGCGTTTCGTAAGACGTTCCGATTGGAAGGTGTAGAAGGAAGCCCTGTCAACTGACAGGATGTTGCAGGAGATTCATTCCTTGAATAGGGCGTAGTGGGAATATAGTGAGGAATATTCCTTATGTCCTATGAACTGGGCGTACCAGGACCGCTTTCATTGTTCAAGCCGATCCTTTTGGAAGTGAGTGTCCTGAGGATGGGTGCACTGGTGGTGGTGGTGGTTGGTTGGTTGGTTGGTTGGTTGGGGAGGAATCGCCTGCGAATGGGCTAGACGTATATATTGTTTGATGCAAGGCAGGAAGTAAAACCAAGAAAGAGAAGCGCCATTGCAACAATCCCTTCACGAGCCGTAGCTACACTCTCTTGCGAGAGGGAATGGGCTAGACGCATCTATTGTTTAATGCAAGGCGGGGAGGTAGAACAACAGAGAAAAGAAATACCTCACCTCTGCATTCGGCGTTGAAGTCTTCACAGGAAATGCTGAAAGAAGGACCGGTGAAAAGTATGACGTATTGCTCTTTATTTCCTTGCAGCGCATCATGGAAATAAAAAGCAATCTGTCACTGCTCCCGCGCTTTTCGTCTTAAACAACTCTGTCAACCACCCAAGAGGTCAAATTAAGTTTGTTGGCCGCGTTTTGTTAACAAACCCCGGCCTAAAAACGAGTTTCGACTATCTTTGCACGCCTTTTCTTCATCGCCTTTGCCCACCACTCTCACCCCTTCCCATTCTTTTCCTTTGCCATCACTCATCCCTTATCTTCGGCTTATTTCTTTCATCCCCCGCCTTTCTTCCATCGCTCTCCTTTTCTTTCATCCCTCGCTTTCCTCTAAAGCATACATCATCAACACCTCCTTTGTTACTTTCTCCATCCTCTTCTACACCCTACACCCGAAGCAATGACGGACGACCGCCTGAATCTGTTTTGTCTTTTTGATGGAGAAACGCATTCTCTGTCAAAGCTACATCTACAGACACCGCTGATGACCTCAAGGACGCAATCAAGACCAAGAAGACCAACGACCTCAGCGATGTCGATGCAGACAAGCTCATACTCTGGCGCGTCTCGATTCCCGTTGTTCTAGCAAACAAGCACAGGCCGATCGTTCTGAACGAGATTGCATCCAAAACAGAGCTTGACCAACAGATGATCTCTCTGATGTCTTTGAAGAAAAGCCGCCCAAGAAAACGATTCACATCCTTGTGCAGCGACCTCCGCCAGGCAATGCGGCTGTGCTTTGCTCTCAATTACACCTTGCACATGAGCTTGTCCAATGTATTAATCTGTACTCGTCGTTTTTTTACGATCTATTATACCTCTCCTTTGTGTGAGAGCACTACGGCCGAGTACCGACGAGGATTGACTTACACCTCCTCCTCCTCGTCTCCCTCACCCTGCGCTGCCATGGCCTCCTCTACCTCCTTCATCTCCTTCGCCATGATCATGTACCGTGTCAATGCCCGCTTGGCCTCAGGCAACATATTTAACCGCTTGAACTCCATCGCCAGCTTCTTGTCCTTCTCTATGCGAGCGTTCACAGTCTGGCAGTACGCGTCCATGGTGAGCTGACCCGTCTGCACCTGAAGCACAAGTAACTTCATCTTGATCTCCAATTGAGTCAAACGGTCCTGGTGTTCCTCTGCGGCCTCCTTATTGCCCACAGCCCGGGCATCGTGTACCATCTGCTGTGCTCGTTGAATCTCGCTCTCTAAAACCATATTCGATACCAACAAGTCAACACTAGATGCGAGCAGCAGAAATACAAAGCAGGATGTTAATAACAAATAGTGGGCATCTTTTTGTTCATTGCGACGGTTTGTTTCGCAAATGTCACGAGAAACATCGCGTTGTTATACCTGTTGAGCTCACTGAGGGCCTTGTCGGACTCGCTTTCTTCTGGTTCTTCCGGTGCTGGCGCTGCCATTTTAGGTTTTGCTGTTGCTGCAGGCGTTGCAGCTTTTGGCACCGCAGGAATTGGATTGCTGCTCCGAGCAGCAGGTTCAGCAATTGGCGTACTTGAAGTTGCTGCAGGCTGTTTAAGCGGTGCTGCCGTTTGTCTAGGTTGCGCTGCTGGAGTAGTTGGAGGCGCTGGTGCTGCTGTAGGCGCAGGGATAGGGACAGTCCGACTGGCAGGCGCTGCTGGTGTAGCAGCACCCTTTGTAGCCCTACCTGCAGACGTTCCTGCCCTTCTTGCAAGTGGACTGGCTACTGAACGCGATGGTGCTGCTGCTGCGACAGGTGATGGGAATCCCAATCCGCCAGAGTTAAACTCGTCGATGACCAGCCATTTTTCCTCCTTGACCACAATCTCTGGCTCCAGCAGTGGTCGCTGCAGGCGGATCTTGATCTCAATCTTTCCTCCGGTGTTTCGTCGTGTTGTTGGGTTCAGTAGCTATGTAGACATATGCATGCGATGCGAGGTTAGAATACATGCCTACAATAAAGAGCTCTTCATGTTGACGACTAGAAGTACTTGCAGGAAGAATCTCGTGGATCTCAGAATGGTTCAGGAGCGACTCCAGCGGAACCTGCGCGCGTCCGATCAAATAATCCTTCCAAAGTAGACCCCTATAGTGCCACACTTCAAATGTCGCCTTCCTCTTCTCAGCAAACCTCTGGAAGGCCTTCGTCCGTTCAATGCCTAAGGTCTTGTTGTAATTAAAGTCGGGTTTAGGCGAGCGTTTGACAGTCGGTGTCGTTCCTTTACCGTTTCCCGCACCGGCCATGTTCTCGGTCGGCCATCCCAGATCCCATATCACGTACGCCTCAATATCCTTCGGCTGCACGTCCTTATGCGACAGGTCCCATGCCCTGACAATGCTGAGTGCCAAATCATTCAAACCGATCTCCTGATAGAATCCAACCTCTACCTCGAACCGAACATCCTGGAAATGGAACGCCGGTGCCTTCATTTTATGACTCCTGTGCGACTGTAACGACACGAGATCCGCCTTGAAGACCTTATTCACTCTGTTGAACTCTACCGCAGTTTTCTGGTCTCCAATCTGATAGTAGTACATACAGATAGTCGTGCACATCTTGATCTGAGACTCGAGCTGTGATTGCAGCATGTCATAAGTGTCGTCGTCCGAGTTTGAAACTATTTGAAAGTCGTCATCCACTGCCAGCCGCTTGAACTCGATACCGCCTCCTGCAGCTCCACGAACTAGCGATCCGCTCCTCATGTCCTCTGCTGACGCCTCCGCAATGCTGCTAGAAACTTGAGTTGTGGAATTCGGCGCCGACGATGAGATTGGTGGTGTATATGACTTGGAGCCCGGAGTTTGGGGCGCACCCTGCTGCGTTGAAGGAATCGCAGGGGAGGCAGATGTTCCAGCAGGGCTCGCGCCTTCGTCTGCCTTCGTCGTGGTCGTTCCTGTCGAAGGCTCATCTGGAATCGGGTATAGCTCCAAGTCAAGGAATCCTCCTGCCTCCACTAGTCGAATCCATGTTTGCAGAGTCTTGAATGTCTTCACCCTTTCCGCAGCCAGCGCCATATCTCCTGCTCGTTTAGCGTCCAATGCGGCTCGTTTGTACTGCTTATCCCGCGTTTGCAAAAGCCTCAGCAGATCCTTGTCATTCTTTTTTGAAATCTCCTCCAGTCGCTTTGGAGATTTTTCTTTCACAGGAGATGATAATGTCGGTTGTTCAGAGGTCTTGGGTTCTTCCTGTTGCTGCTCAGCCATAATGGAATCTCCATCCATATCCTCGTCGTGGAAAGCCTTGTCCTTGGGTGGAATCGCAATTATGGACGAATTGGTCGAGGCGGGCTTCTTTTCGCTGCTTGGCTGCGCGTCAGCTGATGATAGCGGTCCAGACTCGGTAGGAATGGGTGTTGATGTTGCTGGAGGCGGCGAGGCAGGTGCAGGTTTTGCTGTGCTTCCCGCTGCCGTTCTCGCAGATGCTCCAGGCTTTTGATCATGGTGTTCTACATGTCCACCATAGGACTGTAACTGGGCCTAGGATGTTGAATATACCGCATTAGTTATTCATTTTGTCATGCACCACTATAATTTGAACTTTATAAGGTTAGAGGGGCATCTACCAGAAGGTGCGGATCGTTCCAGTCATCCTCAGTGAGTTCAACATCCTCGTCGTTATCCTCCATGACTCCATGAAGGTCCACACCGAGCGCAGCTAATGATGCCGGTGTATCGGCAGCCGGGCTTGATGGCGACGACTTCTTGGACGCTTGGGGCTGAGCTGAGGTATTTGTTGATGGCTGTTTTGCCGCAACGGCTGGTCGCTGTTGTTGTGCTAGTGCTGCAACTGGTGCCGGAGCGATTGTTGATGTTTTTGGAGAAGCCTGCGTTGGTGCAGGCTTTGGCTTCGGGGCAGGAGCTTCGCCGGTCAATCCTTGAAGTTCTGCCTACTCGTTCAAGCGGAGGCATTATTTGGGTTAGATGGCGGTCTGGAATGATACACACGACTCTCCATTTTGCGCAGGGATTGGCCCTTACCAGCAAGTCAGGGTCATTCAGATCAATATCGCCAAGGTCTCCGTCGTCGTCGTCGTCGTCCATGTCCTCGCCTATGCCATGGTCATGGTCCTCGTTGGCAAGTCGCATGCCCTGTGCAATGAGGTCACTATAGTCCCCATGACCGCCGACTGCCTGCTGCTGCTGTCGTTGTTGCGAGGGTGGGTTCTGTTTCTTCCAGCTAAACATGTGTCGTTGTTGTTATGTTGTTTGTGGGATTAACTGCTTTGTTCGTTCTTTGTTGCTGTAACTACGGCCGAATGGACTGAGTGATGCAGAAGGGGAATGGCATGAAATTGTGGGCTATGAGGGACATGTTCAGATAAAGAAGGTTAATCGATTACGTGGGGTTCGTAGTCGCGTCTTTGTTAAGGCGCGTCTTTTCGCGTGCGATACGTGCCAAAAAAAAACAGGGTAATACCCACGTCGTTTTGCGCCAATCAACATCTTGTTCCTCTCTGTCGGATTTCTGTCGATAGACACACGTCCTAGCAACTGAATCCAGAGTAGCCGGCTACCAGCTCTTCTGCTAGAGAGCACAAGGAGCACATCCCGAAACACTTTCAAAGAGAAAGGAGCCGCCGATTTTTCTTCTTATCTCTCCTTCCAGTCTGCTGCCATTTTATCAGCCAGGGAGACCAGCATGGATCTGGACACAACCTCACGTCCATGGAGGAATCCAGTCAGACATTGGTGATATAGTGAGCAACTTGACATCAGAAAAAAAAAGAGAGGGCTCAGTTTTGCCTGTAGTGCTCTGAATTGGTGCTGGTGAGGATGGTCAAAGCCCTTTGTCTTTTTAGAAATAGCAAACACTGAGCAAAGACGGAGGAAACAAGAAAAAAAAGTCAGGACATCCCGAACGAGAGCCCTGGATGTCATCGGGACCAAGGACTAGCAAGCGACCAGCAAGTAACGATCACTATCCTCATCAGCATCCTAAAAAAAAAAAAGCCAAACAGACTCCCCGGAGATCATCATTTAAAAGCGCCATCCGAGCGGGTTTTGTGAAGGGCTTGTTTCTTCGATTCCTCATTCCTATACTTTTTTCAGCAGCCCTTTTCGCTTGAATATCGCTGTTGCCCTAGGTTTAGAGAAGCAGCATTTGTAGCATATCTTCCATAACGCGTTTCCCCTTGGACGCCATCACCCTTTATTTTCCCTCATAAATCAGACACGGGGCTCTAACTTGGCCCCTTTCCAGGAACACTTCCTATTCTTACACACGTCCATAGACTACTCGTTCAACGGGCCTCTCTCTGAACATCCGAATCTGCCTTCTTTGGTCCCACTTTCTCTTTCCTTTCCTTCCCATTCACTCTCTCGTTTGGTTTTCTTCATCGCTCTTTCAAAGACTCTACACTACTAGTTTCTACGGTTTAACCTCCTACCTGCCTAGAATAGTGTTTTCTGTCCCAGATACCACACAGTGATGCACCTCTCCCGCCTCGCCGTCTTGGCCCTATTCGGCCCAATTCTCCTCTCCTACACCCAATCCCTCCATCTCAACGGTAACTTTGACCACCCACACGCCCACGACCGCAACCGTGCAACAAAACGCGACATCCTCGGCAACATATTCAGTCCCCAGCAACCTCCAGCTTCAGCCCCATCCCCTGCACCAGCATCCGCAGTCCCACCCACTTCAGAGGTACCAGCAGCACTCCCACAACCGCAACAGCAACCCTCATCAACATCCTCCACCGATATCCCTTCCATCGACCCCTCCAAGACCAATGGCATAGCGCCTGTGCCCAGTCTGATCGGTGAAGTCCCCAACCCACCCACCCAAAGCAACATTACCGGTTCCCCTGTCTCCGCACCTGTTGCTACCTCAACATCATCCTCCACCTCACCCACACTTCCCAAAAAGAAGCAACCCGCAGGGTCCAACGCTGGCACTAACCAAGACCCTTCTTCAACCGATGGCTCAACCGATGACCCCGACGCATCAGCTTCAAATGACCCAGCAGCGGGATCTGCAAACAAATCGCACACCGGCCCCACAGACCAGAAACAGAGACCACTCTCCCCAGGTGTGATCGTACTGATAGTTATCATTATCCTCGCAGTCCTAACCGCCGTACTCTTTAGCTGCTACAAAATACGCCAATCTCGACGTCGTCGTCGCGAGAGCTGGAGTGAGGACTTCTTAAAGAACCATGCAGGAAGCGTTGGCTATACCGCAGGAGGCGGCTATGGCATGGTTATCGGCCACAAGGAAAAGCCCGATCTCTGGAGAAAGAACCTTGATCTGTTCCATCGCGAGTAAATACTGAGCCAGCAGCCCCTACTTCACGTTCATCATGGGAGCATGCATATCCTGCACTACCAGCATCGTTTTATGGCTCCCTTTAAAACAACTCTCTCTCTCTCTCTCTCTCTCTCCTGCCACGATTGTTTAATGTCTTTGATCATGAATAAAGCGACGTTTTTATTGTGTATGCATTTGTGTGCTATGATTCAGCAAATAGCTCAGAGACACCACGCTGTTGACATGCCCTCATGGGGGTCATTTGTCCGTATTTGAAGAGAAACAATTGCGAGCGCGGATGGCCATCGCTTCCGTTTTAGGCTACAGTAGCCTCGGCCTCAGAGGCTTTGGCTTCCTTTACCTCAGCGGATGGGGTCTCAGCGGGCGGGGTCTCCGTCACCTTACTCGGCTCTTCACCAGTCTCCGCGACGGCAGCAGCCTCCCTCTTCTCTTCCGAATGAGGTGCCGTGGGATCTTGATCAGAGACCTCTAGAACAATCGAATAGCGGGCCTCGCACTTCTTCTCGAGTTCAATCGCCTTGTTGAAATCCTCAAGCTTGAATTTCACTAGCCAGGGACGGATCTTGTGCGATGCGGCGAACGCAAGCATTTTTCCGACATCCCTGCGACCGCCCTGGGACAATCCCTCGACCTTGAGCTCACGATGGACCAACTCCATGGTTGGGAGGGTGATAGGATCCTTAGTTGAGGCCAGGACGACGATCAAACCGCGGTTCACCATCAGGTGGAAGATGTCAGTCCAGCTGGTTGAGCGGTCGATGCTGTTGACCAACATCAGATCGATTGTGTGGATCGCAGTCTTGATCTGGTCCGCGTTATGGAGACTAGAGGTAGAGCAGAAGGAAAAAAACGAATAAAATGCATTATGAAGACGACGCATGAAGTGATCATAAGCTGATCGCGGGCCTGCTTGACATCATTTGATCATCCATCTAGACTTACTCGACGACATAGTCGGCACCAAGAGCGAGGGCATCGTCCATGAGAGTAGGACTGTCTACGAAGGCAACGATTTCCCTGCAACCGAACGCTTTAGCGAACTGGATGGCGAGATGGCCCATCTTCCCGATTCCCTTGATACCGACGACACTGTTGGGCCCCGCACCGGCTCTTCGAAGAGCAGCATACGATGTGGCGCCAGGACAGAGCAATGGAACCACTATGCCAAAAAAAAAAAAAAAAGGTGGTAAGCAGAAGCAGACAATGGTTCATCGTCGACCAGCAAGGCCGTTTCTGCATCGTATTTTCTATATGCGTCGTCCATAATATACCTTCATCGAGCGGGATCGAGTCTGGGATCTTGTAGACGAACTCGCTGTCGAGTCGGATACGGTCAGAAAAGCCGCCACAAACGGGTGCGTCGCACGTAGACTTATGCTTACTGTTGTAGACGAACTTTTCGTTAGTACAGAGCAGCTCGTAGCCGGCTTCGCAGTCCTCGAACTGGAGGCAAGTGCCGCCCTAGTGTTTATGCGCGTGCAGAATAATGTGGTGATAAGGATCAGTCCAAAGCGCACAGACCACAGAACATTGCTGATATAAAGTCAAACGTTTCACAAAGAAACAAAAATCGAACAAAGACCGAACTTACAAAAACGCCCGCCCCGACGCGATCGCCAACCTGATGCAGGGCCTCGGGTCCAGCTGCGATGACCTTGCCTACGATCTTGTGTCCCGGAACGACCCCACCGACGAGCTTGACCCGCTCTTCGTCCATCATATGGGTGTCGGACGTGCAGACACTAGAGTTCAGGATATGGATCTCCACGTCCTTGGGCCTAAGTTCCCAAGGAGGGTACATCAGCCTGTGGAGTTCAGTGCCATCAGAGATAGCCCAGGCCTCGAAAAGGGTGGTCTCGCCAACACCACAGCCCTGCTGCTGCTGCTCTTTGGCGGCGGGTGCAGTCTGGGGCTCGTCTTGACTCATGGTTGATTGTCTTGTTGTTGGCGAATGTGTGTTCTGAAGATGAAGAGGCAACGGATATGGATGAGTTGCTGCAGGGACCTAGGGAGCTGTAAAGGAAGTTGCAGAAGAGAAGAGAAGGAAAGAAGGAACCAAAAGAAAAACGCGTCTTTATGGTCCCCCGTATCGTGACTGTACATAGCGTCTCTATGATCACTCGGTTAAACGCGTCAAAGATCGGAACCTGATCTGCACGCTTCGTTTTATTGCATTGGTTGCGGGATAGCTACCTGAAGCTGCATGATCCTAGAGCCATGATGAGACCACGCGCGAAGGAAGTGGCGGTTTCTTGCTCCATCCTGAACTCCAATTCTAGTACCACCAGGGATAACCACCCCAACTCCGGCCCCAGCCCCAACCCCACTTGCTGTTCTCCCCAAAGTCACGGTTCAACGGGCATGGATTGCAACCATAGGTCGTTGCATCTTGCGGCTGGACTTGGGGGTCATCGCAGGCGGTGAGAGCCGTAGCCTGGATGACGACCACGGAGCCGACGACGGCGAACAAGGTAATGGACCTAAACGTCATGTTTGCAAGAGTCAGATGATGATGAAGAGTGGATCTGCGTGTTGTAGTTGCGCTGTGCTTTACTGTGGCTCTGGGGGTCAGATAGTGTGTTTGCTTTGAGCACTTTGAGCGACTCTACTCTTCTATTTATACACGTTAGTGGCGTCTGAAGATGAACGTATAAGAGTTCTCTCGCGTCTGAGGATTACCTGCACTGAAGGCGCCATGCTGCCGGACTATAGACTGATGATAGGATCACCTAGGAAAAAAACAGCGATCTCAAGTCGGAGGTGATCTTGGTGGCCTGATGCGGCCTCGGTCATCTAATAATCTTACCGAGTGAGGAATTGTTGGCAAGAGTAGAGTGCTCGGCTCATGCATGGCGGTCGCCATTCAACTGGACTCACTCCAGATCCAATTCTCAATATCTGAACAATCCGCCAAGACAAATTTATTCCGGCCATTTGGAAAACCTCATACAAAGAAGAGCCTCTGATAAACTGGACGAGATTACGGGAGGTCCTTGGTTATCCAGTGCTGAAAGGCCTTCGCTGGAACAGCCCAGTATCCTGCTCGAGCTGATGCCTTGGAACATGAATCTTGCAGGGAGATTGAGATTGGGGTTTTCGAGGTGGAGACCCAGATGTCAACATCCTACTTGGGGAACTCAAGGACATGGCGCTTTTTTTATTTTTATTTTTATTTTTATTTTTTTATGAATGTGTTGTGTTATGTCTATGATACAAGGAAATGAAGAATCCAAAAAAAAAGAGAGAGATGATATAACGAACGAACAGACGGACGCATGAACGCACGATGCCACGGTTCAAACATCCGGACTGACGTTACCGATCAAGATGCAAAAAAAAAATATAGTCTACAAGCATATATAAAATGAATAATGAAAAAGAAAAGAAAATATGCCGTTGCGGACGAAATAACGACGATTTCCTTTTCTTACAACCCCTACGGAAGACTCGATCGCACCAATGTCACGATCACTGTAATATCGTCGATCTTTCTACTCAAGCATGAAAAAAAAAAAAAAAGAACCGGATTTCGAGTGTTAGCAAGTGTATTCACGAAAAGAATGCCATTCGTATTAACGATAGGTAATCTACGCAACGACAGTATTAAAAAAATGCTATGAACTTACCCGCCGCACTTGATATGCCGAGCTCCCTGGCTAAACGGCGTCATCCGCTTCGGGTCCAACGAGAACCTCCTCGCCGTATTCGTCAGTCTCTTGGAGAGTGCCCGCACCCTTGCCAGAATCTCCTCTGCCGACAACTTCGGCTGCTCATCCCTCTTGAATTCATCCTCCGCATCATGCCGGTGTCGTTGCTCTCGAATGATATCTCCCAGCTCCCGATTCACCAGCTCGAGTGCCTCCTTCGTAAACACGTTGTCCCAAAATCCATCTGTCGCCAGCACAATCACGTCCCCATCCTGTAACTGATGCGTCGTCTGCATCGCATCCTTGGGGAGATCCTGGACATATGATTTTGTCTTGATCTTTTTCGTTTCCCTGGACTCGGCCGGTTCCTGAGCATTGCCGTTTGCCTGTGTCTGCTGTTGCTTTTGCTGCTGCTGCTGCTGACGAAGTTTTGGCGGCAAGACTGTGAGTTGGTAAGGACAATTCCAGAAATGCTGCTGAGACGGGGATTCGTAGATACATTGGTTATCCCGGATCAGGAGGAACGAGCTGTCGCCGAGATTCGACGCCTTTAACGTCCCTGTCATCTTGCAAAGCGATAGAATGCAAGCTGTGCTCGAGCCTAGATAATTCATTTCATTCCCACCGTTGTTTGTTGTTTGTTGTTGTTTTGTTGTTGGTGTTGTTTGTTGGTGTTATTAGTTCATGCAAAAAAAAAAAAAAAAGGAGCACAAATATAGAAAAAACAACCAAGGTTTTTTCTCACAGTATTCGTTCTCTCGTACCTGCTTCGACGGTGCCACTCTGGACGAGTTCACTATACGCGCCATCCAGGATCGTCTGCGCATCCAGGACCGTCCGTTCACCGCCTGCAGTGAGTGCGCTCGGCTCTTCTGGCGGTGTCGTGTCCGTCAGTTGAGCAATGTTCTCGGCATTGTTCATCAACGCCCACGAGAACAGTGCAGGATCCACGCCCATCTAGACAACCATGCACCAAAAAATAAAAAATAAAACCTAGAGTTAGCAAAGCTAATTGCACATCCATTACCATACAACAAAGTCTACTTCTGTACACCTGCACACAAACAAGCGCTGACCTAAATGCAGCTCTCAACAATTCGCTCCGCTCTTCATCCGCTTTCTCTTTCTCTCCTCCCTTGAAAAGAAAATTTGCTGTGATGGCAAGGCCAAAGCACTTGCTGAAATGACATATGATGAGAGCAGCAACAAAAAATGATGAGAAGGAGGGTGAAAAAAAAAAAAAGGCGAAGCAAAGAAGAGTCGGTAATACCATTTATGGACGACAAGAGAGGTCTTCGTTGATCAATTACTCCCCCTCTTCATTCCGAACTCTACATTAAGAACAAGAAATGATGTGAAAGCGTAACGGAGCAATCGTCAATGACGCTCGCTCGTGCCTCCCCAAAGGCATCTGCTTTCCGTTACCAAAACGCTCACTCCCACTTGAAAGGGCGAAAAGGCGCAGGCGTGACAAAGGATGTGGAAGTAAATACACGCCAAATGACGATCAAAACAACTATACTATCAAGAGTATAAAAAAAAAAAAAAAAAAAAAAGGACACACAAAGAGAGTCGCTTCCGAATAGACCATCAACTCACCTCAGACCATCCGCCGACTCCGTCTGCAACCCCTAACGCCACACGACTCGGGGTCGACACATGAAAAAACGCATCCTCGCCCGCATCGACCTTCCCCGGGTGCGCAGCCCTCAGTTTTTGTTTCCATCGTAACGTCCTCTCCGCTTTTGCTGCATCCTCCAGATCCTGTCGCTGCTGCTGCAGTTGATCCTGTTGATGCTGTAGCGCCTGCGCCTGTGGTCGGTGCCTCGATTTCGGGTGCCAACTCGCAGCGAGCAAATAATTGTATGCGATAGCATTCCTGGTCACCGTTGAGGGCGAATTAACAGAAGAGACATCTTTGGCTGTCGTGGCTGTTGTGTCCGCTGTAGCTGTTCCATTGAAAGATGATGACGGTGTGTGTAGCTCTAAGGGCAGCAGAATCTCCTGAGCGAGCTGCGCTTGCACCTGCGCCAACGAAGCAGTTGCTGCACTAGTGTGGAGTTGACACGACGATGACGATGACGAACAAGTCGAAGAAGAGGGTGATGATGCTTGTGCGACGGCAACGCCTCCGTCGAGGGAGACGAGCGTCGGAGTCGAATTGGGGAGACCTGCTGGACTGCTGGTGAGAAGAAGCTGCGGGGCGAGGAACAAGTACCGGTGCATGAGCATCGAATACGGTCTAGACGACAGCATCCACTGGGTCAGACGGTGGGATGTCATGGCATTGTAGGCAGTAGCGATACGCGAGGGAGACATGCCCAGAGGCCTGGCTACATTCCTGCCTAGCATTATCGATCGCTTTTTGTGTGTTTTGTGTTGTTGCCAGAGCGAAACAGATAAGAGTGTGCAGTCCAGTCGGAGTGTGAGGTGGAATATGCGGATTTATCTAAAAAGGGAAGAGTGTGGGGTAAAGAAAGCAAGACAAACTTTATCGTGGATGTGATGAAGAGTGCTGATGAGGATGAGGATGAATGAGAAGAGGGTGGTGGTTAAAGAAAGAAAATGAAAATAAAAGACAAGAGGAATAAATAAAAAGAAGGCTGAAGGTCAAAGCTAGAGCGGAGACTAGGCCTTTGGTATTTCCTTTCCCGTATGTTCCGATCGGAAGAGGGCCCTTGAATTGCTCATGGCAATCCACCCCTCTGCCGCGCTTTCTCTCCGGATGAACTGACTGTCCTTGCCGCCGAAGAATAAAGGCACGACATGGGCTATAAACATTCCTTTGGACCTTTCGGTTGAAGAGGATCAGATAGGGTACTGCGATGCATTCTGACGGCGTAGACAATGTGTATGTGCACATGTGCAAACACACAACAATATGACCACAGAGACAGCAGCAAAACGCATCACCAACCATCCCCGGTCTCCTTGCCCACAGGGAGAAAGAAAGGAGCAATACATAGTAACATGCTCTTTTTCCGTTTAACCCCATCCTCTCTTTACAACAGGACAGGCACAAGGTACAAAGCGCATGCAGTAGGAAATGTGCTTTTTATATTACAGTTTTTTATTGGTAGTGAATCGTTCTCGCGGTCGCGCTCTCTCTCTCTTCTGGTGCAAAAGGAATGAATGTACAAATGTCTTTCTCAATCGATCGTCCAAAGGGAAACTAGGCCCTTCTCGAGAGTAATAAAAAAAAAGGAGGAACAGAACCGACAGGCGCACAAAAAACGAAGATTCCCTGTTTAGGCAGTCATGTAGGTCGACACATCAATCTCGTCAGGGAGCTCGGGGATCTGGACCTCGAAACGAGCCTGGATGGACTTCAGGATCTCGGCATCCTTGTCATCTGCAACGAACGTAATCGCGAGACCCTTGGTTCCGAAACGACCGGCACGACCCACACGATGCAGGTAGGTGTCCGCTGCATCGGGCACGTCGTAGTTAATCACAACGTTCACACGCGACACATCCAGACCACGAGCAAACACATCCGTCGCAACCAAGATACGCTTGTTGAAATCCTTGAACGACTTGTAGCGCGCAATACGCTCCTCCTGGGGCATCGATCCGTGGATGCAAATACTTGGGAAGTTGCATTCCACCAGCAACTTGTTGAGCTGATCCGCACGTGCAACCGACTTCACAAAAATGCACACCTGGTTGAACTCGAGCGAGTCCAACAGATCATTGAGCTTGCGGTTCTTCTGGGCCTCGGTAATGCCGACAAAGTACTGCTGCAATCCGTGGAGAGTCAGCTTGGTCTCGTCATCGACATAGATCTCCAGAGGGTTCTGCATGAACTTCTTGCATGTCACGCGGGTGTCCTTGCTCAGCGTGGCAGAGAACATCATCACCTGCTTGTGGTGAGGGGTGGCCCTGAAGATCTCCTGCACATCACGGCGCATATCTGTTACCAGATGAATGAGAGAGACATGAACAACATACAAAATGTTAGCGTCAAAGGATTCATTCCAGAAAACATCTCTTTGCTGCGCACACGTCTTTCGTCTCGTCGTCCCATTGATGTCCAACAGTTCAAGGCATGGGTCAGCATTAAAAAGTGTATCTCATGAGGAACGTATTTTGTCCTTTAACGAGCTGGGTTAATAGCAAAAAGTATCATCATAACATTGCCGTCGAACTGTAAGGACATCATCTGGGGAGAACAGCGAAAGGCAGAAAGACAAGCAGACAGAGGAATGTTTGCAAAATAGTATTCGGAACAGAACACATACCAATCTGGTCAAGCATCTTGTCACACTCATCAAGAACAAAGTGCTTAACATTCTTGAGGTTGAGGGTCTTCTCCTTGATCAAAGCAAGGACACGACCAGGGGTACCGACCAAGACGTGGGGGCAGAGCTCCTTGTTGCGGAGAAGGTCTTGGTCTCTCTTCAAGGGCGTGCCTCCGTAAAAGACCTCGGACTTGACCTCGGGAAGGTACTTGCTAAAGCGAGCGTACTCGTTCTTGATCTGGAAAGCCAATTCACGAGTGTGGCACAAGACAACGACAGAGACCTCGCCGGGGACGGGCTCGACCTGCTGGAGGGTGGCAAGAACGAAAACGGCCGTCTTACCCATACCAGACTTGGCCTGGCACAGAATGTCCATACCGAGGATGGACTGGGGAATGCACTCCTGCTGGACTATTGGCGAGCAATTCCAAGCACAAGCGGTTATAATTAGAGACGAGATCGCTTCAGACATCATAAACAATAAAGCAAATAAAGACTTACCCTCAGAAGGATGCTCGAAACCACAGTCGACAATGGAGCGCAAAAGCTCGGGCTTCAAGAGGAAATCACGGAAACCGGTCGAGTGGACACCGACATAGGAACCCTTCTTGTCCTTGGAGTCTTCAGCAACCTCGGGCTCGGCAGCAGCGGGGACGGCGTTGATGGACTGGATGACATCATCATCCTCATCGTAGTCAACGAGATCATCGTGGTGGTCGGCCATTTTTAGGATCTGGGTGGCGAGAAAGATGGGCAGGTGCAGTAGATAAGATGAGAACCAAGCGGCAGAGCAGGTGGACGAGGAGAGAACGCGGACAGGAGGAAGGGAGGGCGATATTTTGCGTTTAGTATTTGGTTTTTTCTATTCCCTGGGGGATCGATCGTGCGCGACCAAGTAGAGCGAAAGAAACGAATGAAACGAACGAACGAACGAAAGAAAAAAAGCGGAAGGGGAGCAGATAATTGGGCCCCACGAATGTGGCGAGAAAAAAAAAGAAAAAAAAAGAAGAAAAAAGGGCGCAGTGTGGACATCCTGAGCAGGCAGCGTCACGAAGCGGCGGCGGGCAAGCCCCCATTCTCTCTGATCGGATCGTGTCTTTGTCGCTCTTTATCGAAACAAAACAGAGACAGAGTGCCTCTTGCTGGCGGACGAGCGTCGCTGGCGCTTCTCTCGTTCTCGTTCTCTGTCGTGCGTGACAAAAAGCGGGTGGGAACCTCGAATCCTTTTCTCCTCCTTCATCCAAGGATGATGGTTGCCATCCTTCTCTTGAGAACGACGCCGCGGGAGGTGTGCATATTGCCAGCAGCTGGACGCGACACAGCAGTGCAGCGGCGTGAACCGTGCAACTGTGTCGTAGAGTGCAAGCCAGCCGATCCGATGGATGCAGGATTCAAGGCTCGCCGTTGAAGCAGTCGCTCTTTTGTCCTTTTCTTTTCTTTTCTCTTCTTTTCTTTTTGTTTCGTTTGAGGGAGGAAGTGATCAGGGGATCAGGGACAGATGAACGGTGCCGAGACGCGGGCCGCCAGGCACGAGAGAGGGGAAGCGCCATTGCTTCTGCTGAAGCAGAGGATGTCCATCTTGGTGGTGGAGATAGACATACCGAAACTTTATGGGAGGAGCTGGTTGGTGGCGGTTGGCGAGCGTTTTAGGCTGGCTTGGCGGGACGAGATGAAGAGCCGCGGCTGAAGCTGAAGCTGGCGATGGGTCACTCGGGAGTGCTGCTGGTACTTGAGCTTGGAGAGAGATCAAGAAGTGGGTCGATGGGATCGAAAGGTCGATGGATGGATAGATAAGAAAGTAAAAGAGCCGATGGATGGATGGATTGCGTGGATCGAGGGATGGATGGAAGTTAAAGGAGTGTGGGGAGGGGAAAGAAGGACACCATTGGCAAGTGGTTTGGCCCAATAAATGAGCATATGCGTACGCACCGAACCTTATTTTTGGTGACGTTGCATCTTTCTTTCTCCAGCTGCACAGCAATGCGATACCGTGTGGATGGGCAGCAGCACGAACATACGGCAAAGGTCCAAGTACTGGAGCACGACCATATCTAAAACTGGCAATGATCTTTTTGTAAAAGAAACCACAATCCTGTATAATGGACTTGATTGCCTTGGTCCTAGCGAGAACAGAACCCACTCACACGACCTGGTCTATGCGCCGCGAAAGAGATTCCTTTGGCTGCCCTGTATTACCAAGTAAACTCAACTAATGCATCTGCTTTAGCTGCCCTGTTTGCCGCCACGACCCTTCTACAGTCATACATTGGTATATTGTCATTACTAACCCAAGGAGGTGGTGCACAAAGTAGCCTGCTCATAAGTAAAGATCAAGACAATAGCACTGAGCGTAGAGGTGAGCAAACCATAGTAAAGCAACTGGACCTCCTTGATCGTTTGTCTGTCTTTGTCGCTGCCGAGTGCATTCAACCGAAGGCAGGCAGGACCCAGAGCACGATGCACTTAATATCAGACAAAAAGGTCGTGACCGACATCCTGGATACACGTCTTCGCCATTGGTACTCAGTCATACTGATATACTGGTTATACTGGCTGTACCTCGGCGACACCCATTGAGGTTCAGGGGAAACAAAAGATTATTCAGGACACTCGCGGAGCAGGAGAATTAGTAGCCGCATTTTATACGGACCAAGCAAGCAATTGCTCTCTTTTTATGCATTTACGTACGATTTCAAGGGTCCCCATCCTCCCCCCCGCTTGTCCACCTCCTGGGTCTCTGGATCACTTCTATAAAAGAATAGTTACCGTACGAGGCCCACGCGTCAACCCAACAACGTATTCTGTATTCATTGGTGTTCTGCAATTCCTTTTGCTCTTGTTTTTTTTTCTTCCAAAGGTCTACAAAAGAATGAAGCAACCTGCCTAGGTTCTGTACCAGGTAGGTCGTATGACCCCCCATTTCGACGGGTAATGGTTTGCTCACTGTGTCTAGGTTCCTCTTTCTTTAGAACCGCCCCATGTGCTTTGATGACTCGTCCTCGGAAGATTGCATCCGGAGGGACATATTCTTGTACTGTAATCAGAATAGTCAGAATGGATATATGGAGTGGTATCGTACATTAGTGCTTGTAGTCAGGATGGGAATATAGAGTAGTACAGCAGTGCAAGAGGCGTCCCTTACAAACTGCGAGAACCAGGAACGTGTATCTGAATGTCTTTCTTTGACCGCGAGGTAAAATTACAAAGGACTTTTTTTTTCGTTCAGCCAACCACGGATAGTATTCGCATGCCGTGCCCTTGGTCTGTTCTCTCTTCAGCCTTTTAAGAATGAGGAGGACGAGGAGGGATTGCGGGATGACGATGATGAGATGATCCTGTGATATGCGCCTTCGGTCCGATGCGGATGCATCCAACACGCGTACTCGATTCTATTGGACTGAGTGTATTTTATTACGTTCGAGGCACGGAATGTATTAGTCTATAGGAAGTGCAATGTGATCTTTTTGCAACAGTAAGATATATTTATATTTTTGGCCTCTAGAAAACCATATGAATGAGTACTTGCATGAGCCAAGAGATGTGTGTTAGTTAGTACATACTTGCTTGCCCTTGCAGTGCCTATCTCCATCCATTTTTAAATATAAACCTTTCTGGAGTCAGGTTCATCCTTTTCTTCTTTTCTCTTCAACTATTGACTCGACAAAACAAACCTAACCCAACCCCACAACCCCTTGATAAGCACTCTTCGTCTCCAAGCATTAAAAACTACAACCAGCCGCTGCATCATTTCAGGAATTAGTACCGGATACTTCACCGACCACTTCTATCAACACACCTTACTCGCTGCGCCCATCTCCAAAGAACCAGGAAAGGAACAAGCGTCGATATAGCAAAGATAGAAAGCCTCGCACTACAATAGCTACATTCTCCGTCAACACCAACAACACAACTAGCACCCCGCCGTTCAATCCCAATTCGCGTTCTTCATTCGCTCTTTCATCTGGCCCAGGTCAACGAAACAGCGTCTTTAAAGCAACCTACACCTTCTCTACTCCACCACTCTTTAAACCAACATGTTTGTTCTCTCCTGGATCCGCTCCTCCGACACTCAGGCATCCAATGCCTCCACCACCGCCCCCTCCATCACCGACAAGAACGCGCCCAGCTCGACCTCCCCTCAAGAACCAGAACCGCATCAGGACGACTGGGTCTTCTTGCCCTCAGACCATACGGACCTCATGTCCGCCTCTGTCTCGGACCTCGACCTCCTCTCGGCCTCCATGACCCTCTACCGTCCGTCTACACACCCGGCCTCCAGTCGGACACGAACCCTCACTTCCGAAACTCTTTCTCCATCAGACGTCTGCAGTGATAGCAACGGTATTGTTGGGAAGAGCCGGCGCCAGTTGAAGAAGGAGATGCGACAGCAACAGGCATTGGAGGAATTGGAACGGAGGCCACGATATGATCCGACGATTGCAAAGATGCGGGATCTGGAGTTCAAGATGGCCAAGATGAATAAGCTGGGACTGAGAAGCGGTCGGATCCTGAGCGCCTCATCCGGAGGCGCCGGTGGACCACATTCCGGGGCGGGAGTGCGAAGTGCTGCCGCAGGACCGCAGTAAAGGATGCGGTTGCTGCCTGTAGATAAAAACGCGCTTTGCTTCTTAGGTCCTTTTTTTTTTTTTTTTTTTTTCTTTTTTTGGGTGACACGAGCATTAATTTTCTGACTGCTCATTCCCGTGCTTGGGGCAGCACTATCTATCGCCTATTGCCTATCTTTTTTTTTTTTTTTTTTTTTGTCGTTATCTAAAGCATTCAGATGCTACGCTGTCTCCACCGAACCAAGTTCGACTGGAATGCACAGCAATAATAAAAACATAAACAAAACCAACATGGTCTATACCTCCTCTCTCTCTCTCTCTCTCTCATACACAGTTGGTTTTTATGCTAAGCAACGTGCACTGGTAATTCAGACACTGCCTCGCCTGTACTAGTCATTTGTTCTCGCTACATACGCCGTCTTTCAACAGGTATGCTCAGAACACTTGGACCCATAGTACTGGCAAGGCGATTCCATCGAGAGATACGGTGTATCGGGATCGCAAAGCTATTGTTACCAAAAAAATAAAAGAAATAAGGGGTAAGGGGCAGGGAAATCGACGACAGGCATTTTTCGAACTGGCACGAACTCGAACCTTTTGACCGCGACATCGAACTAAGGTGAAGACAGGGAGAACCCAAGATATAGATTAGTTGATGGATATACTAGAAATGGCTGAAGGAGCTACCCTACTAATGGAGTCAAAAATAAAAGTGATCCTATTTCCATCGTGCTTTCCCTACATACCTAGACCGTCGCCACATATGATATACGACCGTTCATCGACACCTAAAAGGATAGGTATGAGAGGGGATGATTGGAGGGTACGAGCGCGGGTTGTCGCGTCTCAGAAAGGGCTAGTTCACTATAGCCTGGAAAGCATGCATGATAGGTACGGTACATCGCATGAATCCTCCGCGTGGACATTGTGCTTGAGTAGGAGGAACGAGCGCCAAGACGACGATTGCAAGCAGCAGTACAAGCTTGAGCGGCGAGGAGGCCGTGTTCAGTCTTCTGGTGTCCTTGAACATGTTGTGCGGTGGGCGTCAATGAAAGACGATAGACTTGGTTGGTTGCTGAAAATAAAGACAAGGAAGACAAGGAAGACAAGGTCTAATGCAGAAGAGAAAAGCACGAAGAGATAAAGTGTGGATGAAGGGGCGCCTGGAGGGAAAAACGAAATAGGAAAAAAGAAGGTGAAGAGACGGCCATTGAAGCCAAGATGCGTTTTCTGTACAGTCAACTCTCAGATGTCGATGTAGGATAGGGTTGCATCTAAAAATGTGCCTATTTCTATTTTCAATCGTACAAGTCGCCTATGAAGTTGAGCAAGTGCCCCAATGTACGTCTTCTTCGAACAGGGCGTTACCATTGGCTATATCGGTCAGACATACAACGTTCGACGGCACATCGCATCCACCATGAGCTACACACCACCCGCAGCAAATGTCCAGCCATTAAAAACGTATCGTACAACAGTGTACGTGCTGTACAGTCGAACTCCTATTTTGCAGCTTAAATTGGAGGAGCAGTCATGTATTCAATCCAATTGAACTGAGTAAGCATTTGTTCACACGCACTCTCACTTCCCGAGCCCATCCTGTCCTCTTCTTCTGCCATCCCAAAACAACGCGCTCTGTTCACACAGCCCCAGCTTCTAGTCCAGTAAACACCAAAGGTACTGGCTCTGGAACCTCCGCTTCCAAATCACACAGACCTTGAAAGAAGTACACTCTTTACGACAAGGGTCAATTCCTCTCAAAGTCAAAACTGTTCTCCGCGGCCGCACTGTGGATAAGATGGTTCCCCTCGAGGATTTCTCTTTACTACTTTTAAGCCCCTATCTTGATGAGGATTATTCTCGAGAATCTTTTCAAGAGACTATAAACGGATTCATGGATACTGAAAAAGAGAGGGCGAAGTAATATTTAAAGGTGAAGTAAATGTAGGAGTTTCAATGGTTGCATGTTTGTTTGTAAAAACAGCTTTGGTCTGGGGCATACATGAAAAAAAGAAGGCGAAGTAAGCGAGAGGTGTTGGCGAAGCAATGTGAGAAATACACTAAGTATTCAGGAACGTAGTGGATACCCCTCTCCCTCAAAAAATAAAGACATGGCCCATCTATCAAATTTGTCATAGAGCCCATTTTTTACACAAATCTCATTTTTCTCGGTACCGGTTTTGTTGACATACAGTGGTTCTGTACATTGCCCATTGATAATGTCGTACAGTAATTATGTTATTTGCCAATTTTTTTACATATATAATCTCTTGTCCATGGCATGTCCCTCCCACTGTAATTTATCCATTTCATCATTCGATTCCACACCATTCCTACATTTGATATTCTCACTGAAACGCTCTGGCATGTACTCAAAAACTAAAATATACCTGATTGCCTGGATAGCTTTGGCAATATTAAGAGTTGTCAGATCAGCTCCTAGCAACACCGATTTAACCGACTCTGGTGACGCTCCTGGAAGGGTTTACCGATGGATTGCAATAGCAAGTGGCGCCGTAATCAACATATTTATCGGTGGATATGCCGGTTTGACAAATATTTTGGAAACGGAAGGGAGATGGACCCAGAGACTAGAGTTTGTCAAAGATGAAAACAAATGGTGGACTGGAATGAGCTCGATTGTACTGACCGCTTTTGCTATGGACTTAGTCGCATTCTCTAAAGGTGAAAGCGTTGATGCCACAATATTACTCCTTGCTGCTGAGGTTGGTATTGTGCTCTTCGTTTATGTTGTTCAGGGGACACTACACGCTGAATTCAGACATATACTCTGGTTAGCCTGGACCGGGAACAGCAGAACAGGCTGTGATCTACCCGAAGGAGCAAAAATAAGAGACATTCTCTCATCCGATAATCGAGGCTCAAGTATTACGGACAAGAAGCTTCGGTATGAGTCCAAAGTCGATATTCCAGGTTACGGTGCTGTATTTTCCTCCAAGATCAAACAAGACCTCATGACAGCACTTAAGCAAAGTGAACAAACAGGAAAAAAAACCGCTGCCGAAATTTTTGGGTATGTTGAATCGCATAATTTGGCAAGAAACTTTGTCTATCCCCAGCATCGAAGTAATCAGTCAAAGGTCAGTATATTGTGGGGAGGAGAAAATTGTGATCTATTCTCCCGAAGAGTATCCAGAGGTATTACAGGATACACATTGGAAAGGATTCGATCATCATATTCATTAATTAATGTTGATGAAAAGAAATGGATGTTTGTGGCGGGGGGAATTGTTTCACGTAACAAAGGATTATACCCCAAGGAGTTGATTTATGGTCTAAGCGCAGGAACTGATGAGGTCGAAACAACCTCAAAGTGGAGACCACGATCGGCTAAAACGAGTAGAAGTCAATATGATGCAGAATCGAAAACCCAATTCTCTGGACTTGGTTCAGCTTTTTGTTCGGCAGTTGTAGAGATTGCTTTATTGATGCAAGATATACCAAACGGTGTCGTTATCAAAGCGCTCAAAGGAAACGTCGAACAGCAGCAAAGTCAAAAGATGTGGCAAGTACGAAAGCTAATCGACAGCATCGAGTTACAAGAAGCAATGTATGTATGCCAGTACATGACACTCTGCGCCAAGCTCAACTGGTATGGCGAAAACGACGAAAGACCAGATTTGCTCATGGGTATGATGTACGCAACCTACCGAGGGTTGAACTATGCTGTCAGCGAGAATGAGGAACACTTATCCGATATTGTGAAGATTGTGAAGAGGGAGCTAAAGGGACTGGATCTTGACAGCAAGGGAAAAACCGACTTCGACACCTTGATTTGTCTTGGAGCTTATTTGGGAATCCATAAAGACAATCGCGAAAATGTGATATCTGAGATGTCCAGCAAATTCCCACCAGAAAGTGAAATCCGGACAATTTTCAGCAAAGACACTATCATAAATGCGGGGGGGAAGCCAGAGTTGACGCATTTGGATGTTTAGTTATAAGTATGCGGATGTCTCTCTCTCCCATAGCTGAAGACGATGAAGGTGGTGCTGAAGATGACGACAAGAACGATGCAGAAGGTGTAGAGGAGGTGAACAATCCCGAGGGTGTGTCTAAACAAGACACAAACACAAAAAAGGTTCAGAGCAAAAAGAGGCCTCACAAGCCCAACACATCCTCGGAAGTCAAAAAAGAAAGGTACCAGAAAAGATGCCCCACTCGCCACCAAAAAAACAAAATGCTCACAATAGCCCAGATGGGCGTGGATTTGATTTTGTCTCTTCTTTTTCGTCTACATCTTCTTCACCATCACTATCATTTTTTGCTGCTTCTTCTTCTCTTTCTTCTCTTTCTTCTTCTCTTTCTTCTTCTCTTTCTTCTTCTTCTACTTTGCCCACCACTTCACGTTTTTCTTCTTTACTTTCCTCTTCTTCGTCCACTTCAAGTTCTTCTTTGACCTCTTCTTTAGCTTCTTTGGCCACTTTTTCTTCAGTTGTTCCTTCTCTACTTCCTATTTCACGATTATTACCACCTCTTTCTTTGTCCCCCTCTCCCCCTCCTTCTTTATCGCCCACCCTTTCCGTCCCCGCATCCCCATCCACTCTTTCTCCATCCCCGTCCGCCCTTTCCCCATCCTCGTCCACCCTTTCCCATCCTTGTCCACTCTTTCCCCACCCCCGTCCACCCTTTCCCCATCCTCGTCCACCCCTGCTCTTCCCACAGTCAACAATGCCTTCCTCCCAGCCGACATCGCCTCTGACAGTATCAAGGACCGCGCCCTGTCCAACATGTAGAGTGGTTGCACCCGGCACATGCACGGTATCCACGACGTCCACAACGCCACTGCCAACCGCATTACAGGAGCTATGCAGCGACAAGTCGATATTCGCCACCGGGAGTTCCTGAAATATAAGAAACTTTACACAGGACAGAGCCGTAACTTGAGAAAGGATCTTACGGAGCTACACGACCTCAATAACCAACAGTTCAGGGATCACCTTGCGCAACTACGGCGAGAGGCCCAGGAGCAGCTGAACACGACGATCACCCAACGCAATGCGAGTCTGCGAGGGATCAGAGTTCAGAGAGCGCAGCAGCAACGTCGGATTCAGGACAGCTTTCTAGCCCGGAGGCAGGCGCAGGGGCGCTGTAGACCCCACCCAGAATACCTGTTGGAACACCCATTGTACCCAGATTTCAGGATTGACGCAGTCCAGGAGGAGCCACTGCGAGTCGCCGTGGCTACGGTTGGTCCGGTCTGTCTCCCGAATCTTGAAGCTGAGGCGGTGGAGAGGCTTAGGCGCACTGCTGTTGACAACACAACACCGAGGACTCCCTTGTCCGACGGCTCGATGATCAACGCTGGTACAGAGGAGATTGCCATGGCCTTTGGCGTCGTGGATCGATCGCAGACAGAGACGCTCACTGTGCACGGACGTACGGAAGGATATGCGTCCTCCGCCAAGGCAGAACTTATGGGCCTGCATACAGCGATCCTTGCTTCACCTCCAACCCAAGACATTATTGTGGAACCCGACAATCAGTCAGTAGTGCGGCAGTACCAGCTGGTCAAGGAAAGGAGAGAGACACTGCCACGGAAGCGCCAACCCAGCAACTATGCCGGCCTATGAGTAGTGGTATATCAGGGGTTTAGTACCCAAGGAACAAGACTTGTCTTATGGCGACTAAGGATCGATCCAAGGAGGATGGGAGATTCGGTAGTTCATTGCTGAATGGTCTTTAGATTCGTAGCGTTATTCGACTTGAGAGGCAGATCGTTATAAAAAAAAAAAGTTTAGTTGTAAGTAACAGACATCTTTCGCAACCTAAATCAAACTTGTAGCACTTTTTTCTGAAACGGAAATGCTGCCACCACTTCAAAAACGTCAATAATTTTTAGGGACAGAAGTTGTGCGCTTGGAGATAGTTCTTTTACAGTTGTATGGAGTAAGGAAACTCCCAATCTGAATGCTCGAATAATTTGTGTTCCACACTGAATACAAGGGCCTAACGCACAACTACGCACACTGTAGCGAGTGATCAGCACAACGGTCTTCTTGTCCAACTGGAACAAGGAACAAAAGACCGCTGGCTTCGATCCTCCTTTTATACAGGCACAACCCCAAACCTAATATCAAATCCTGCGTACCCTCGGTGGCTGCTGGCCAACATCCGCATCATTCTGACTTTGAGACGTTCAGCCATAATCCAATGGATGGTAGCTTCGCGCCATTGCCTGCTCAGGCAGACCCAAATACCAGTTATCCGAATGAACGGCTCCTCTTGTACTAAGTTTAATTATTACTACTGCAACAACATTTCATCGGTAGGGTAAACCTAACTTGTCTCGCCACGGTCTAAACCCAGCTCACGTTCCCTATTAATGGGTAAGCAATCCAACGCTTACTGAATTCTACTTCAGTATGGCGAGTGCACTATTGGCTGTAGATCTGGTATTGGTCGCAGCGGCGGTGCTGATGATATTGGCAAGGGTCGGTGAAGGAAGTTGGGACGATGCTCTTCGCGAGTGGATCGTTTAGGATCGGAAGAGTTACGTTCCCCTTGCGCGTATTGCTTAAGACAGCGAGCTGCTATGGTCAACATTTACGGGCCTACAATACCCCATACCCTAGCTTTGATCTCTTCATTGCTCATCGCTTTCGCTCCCGCTTATTTTGGTTTTTCACACCCATTGGGTGCTTTAGTTTGTGCTCTTGACTACCGCTCTTAATGTGCGAACTTGTTATGGACAAAGACTGCCCTGTATATTGTCTTTAGAAAGCGCAGTCCATGCGCTAAAAGATTGGCAATGAGTAAAAGTCAAGATGCGGTTGCTAATCCCCTATTTGCTCCACCTTCACCTTTCAAACAAGCGAAAAGACATCCGCCGAATCGACCGGCTTTGCTGACTGTACAGCGAAAGAATCGGCTGTGGCAGCAGTATCCACCATACTGTGATTTGACGGCACCTTGAGTTTATGCACCATGGACGCCATGGTCATTAGCTTTTTGCTCGCTTCGCGGATACCCAAAGGTGGAATCGGCTCGCCCACAGCGCCGCGTTGTTCTAATAGTCGCATATTTATCCTGCTTAAGCCTTGGACGTTTTGGATAGAGGTATTTGACACGGTAAGACTGTCAAGCATCGAACTCCAATGCAGGCGCACCTGATAGCGATCCCCCTCTTCTATGACCTGCCACATACGAACGGACTTATCCTTACAGCCGGTTGCGAAATAGGTGCCGTTTGGAGTAGGGTTCCAGGTGATGCTTGTGACTGATCCATGGAAACCTTCAACAACTGCCAAACATTGAACCGAATTCACATCCCACAACCACACGGTCATGTCACAACTTCCCGAGGCAATCTGCTGGCCGCTGGGCGAATACACCACGCTCGTAACTTCGGAGGCATGGCCGCTTAAGATGGGACCGGGTGCACCGGTTTGCGCATCCCACAGTCGCACCGTGTTGTCCCGACTTCCCGAGGCGATCTGCTGGCCACTGGGCGAGTACACCACGCTCCAAACACACTCGGTATGGCCGCTTAAGATGGGACCGGGTGCACCGGTTTGCGCATCCCACAGTCGCATCGTCTTGTCATAACTTCCCGAGGCGATCTGCTGGCCGCTGGGTGAATACACCACGCTCGTAACATACTCGGCATGGCCGCTTAAGATGGGACCGGGTGCACCGGTTTGCGCATCCCACAGTCGCACCGTCTTGTCCCAACTTCCCGAGGCGATCTGCTGGCTGCTGGGAGAATACACCACGCTCGTAACTTCGGAGGCATGGCCGCTTAAGATGGGACCGGGTGCACCGGTTTGCGCATCCCACAGTCGCACCGTGTTGTCCCGACTTCCCGAGGCGATCTGCTGGCCGCTGGGTGAATACACCACGCTCCAAACACACTCGGTATGACCGCTTAAGATGGGACCAGGTGTACCGGTTTGCGCATCCCACAGTCGCACCGTGTTGTCCCAACTTCCCGAGGCGATCTGCTGGCCACTGGGCGAATACACCACGCTCGTAACATACTCGGTATGGCCGCTTAAGATGGGACCGGGTGTACCGGTTTGCGCATCCCACAGTCGCACCGTGTTGTCCCAACTTCCCGAGGCGATCTGCTGGTCACTGGGCGAATACACCACGCTCGTAACTTCGGAGGCATGGCCGCTTAAGATGGGACCGGGTGCATCGGTTTGCGCATCCCACAGTCGCACCGTCTTGTCCCAACTTCCCGAGGCGATCTGCTGGCCACTGGGCGAATACACCACGCTCGTAACAAGGGAGGTATGGCCGCTTAAGATGGGACCAGGTGCACCGGTTTGCGCATCCCACAGTCGCACCGTGTTGTCCCAACTTCCCGAGGCGATCTGCTGGCCGCTGGGAGAATACACCACGCTCGCAACATCGGAGGTATGGCCGCTTAAGATGGGGCCGGGTGCACCGGTTTGCGCATCCCACAGTCGCACCGTTTTGTCGCCACTTCCCGAGGCGATATGCTGGCCGCTGGGAGAATACACCACGCTCGTAACATCGGAGGTATGGCCGCTTAATATGGGGCCTGGTGCACCGGTTTGCGCATCCCACAGTCGCACCGTCTTGTCGCCACTTCCCGAGGCGATCTGCTGGCCGCTGGGAGAATACACCACGCTCGTAACATCGGAGGTATGGCCGCTTAATATGGGGCCTGGTGCACCGGTTTGCGCATCCCACAGTCGCACCGTCTTGTCGCCACTTCCCGAGGCGATCTGCTGGCCGCTGGGCGAATACACCACGCTCATAACATACTCGGCATGGCCGCTTAAGATGGGACCGGGTGCACCGGTTTGCGCATCCCACAGTCGCACAGTGTCGTCGTAGCTGCCTGAGGCGATCTGCTGGCCGCTGGGCGAATACACCACGCTCGAAACATCGGAGGTATGGCCACACAAAATGTGAGCTTTTGCCCAAGTCGAAGTGTCATACACGCTGATCGTGCCATTCCTGAGACCTACTGCACAGAACTTCCCATCTGGCGAATACGTGCAGGAATTCACCTCGCTATCTTCTAAGAGGTACGGCCATTCGCCAAACTGCACCCCCGCCACCTGTGCGTTGCTCAAATTGGCCTGACGCAGCCAAATGTTGCGAAGGTTGACTTTTCTCAAATCTGACCCTTGTAGCTGTGCAGAATCGAATTGGCCCCCACTCAGGTCCGCTCCTGGGATCCGGATGCCTTTCAGATCTGCACCGATAAACGGCATCCCCGCTCTGACCAATATCGTGATCGCATTGGCTGCCGCCTTGCGTGCCTCTTTGTCGGTTTTGGAGCATTCGATCGTGGCGAGCAGTTGCTGCTTGAAGAGAGGCTCCTGTTGGACACGCTCTGTTAAAAAGTGCAGAATCGACGGCTCGTCCACAAAGCTTTCCCGCGCCAAGGGTGAATCGAGCACGGCCTGTTCAACGGTTCCCACTGGTTCCTCTGCATCAGCTTGTTTTTCAAAGCTCATGATGGAATGGACGCTCCCTCGGCGTGGCAGGACTTCAGGTAAGGCCGCACGGCTCGCACTCTCTCCGTCCCGCGGCTCAAATACCGCACGGGCCAAGCAGTATTCCAGCAGTGATTTATGGATAAACCGGTACTGATTGCCACTGCGCGTCAGAGGACACGCCTCACGCAAGAGCTGTTGCTTCTCGTTCTCCCGGCTAAAGAAATCTTCTTTCCATGTCCCTTGATCGCGAAAGGGTGAGTATTCGACCACCGGATTGCCCGCTTGCTTCTCGTACATCGCTACCGCTAACGCCTTCAAAAAGCCGACCCCATTCTGCGCGAAGCCATCGTCGGACAAGTTCTCGAACACCTTCTTCTCTTGGTAGCTCAAGTCCTTCTTCTCAACGAGCCGTTTCTTGCCTCGCTCCAACCATTGATCCACAAACTGGTCATACAACGCGACTCGCGTGACCCGGACGGTCGAGAGGTCTTGTCCTGGATCCACCATGCGCGGCAGTACCTCCAAGGACAACGTCAACATAAAGGGGTTCTTGACTAGGTCCTGCAGGCTGGGAATTAGATTGAGGGCCTTCAAGTAGTCCGTCACCTGCCAGAGCGGCTTCGTCGTGGACACATATTTCCTGATGTATTCTTGAATTTGATTCATTGAGAATGGCGCAATGACCGCCTCTTGAAACGCTTGCTCTGCTTGGTGATTGCGATCTGCTGGCTGGAACCGATCTCGATAATCAAGCCCAAGGTACTCGCTGCGGCAGCTAATGACCATCTGAGCCCTCCATCCTCCCTCCTGATTCAGTCGGTTGCTCGTGTACAGGTTGTGTGTTTGCTGGCTCTCGTCATATCCGTCACAAATCAAGATGAATCTGCGGTAGTCTTTCAGCTCTCGGATCTGGGGTTCGGTAAACTCTGCCTTCCGTAGATGTTTGGCAATCAGATCCTGTTCTGGCTTGTCGATGGCGGGCAAGCTGATAAAAAGCGGAATCCTGCCTTCCTTTTTCTTATAGGCATCCCACAAGTCGCACTCGAGCTGCTGGTTAAAGGTCGACTTGCCTCCACCTGAATCACCTAGCAGGAGCATCACCTTATGGTCACTGCTCAGGAAGCCTTCGACTTCTTTTGTCAAGTCGAACAGGTTGTCATCAGACGCTTGCAGGTTAGCCTTGGCTTGAGGAGGGATGTACACGACTTTGCCTCGTTCCTTCAATCGTTGCTTTCTCAGTCGTCTCAGGTCGGCTTCAACATCGGGTTTGTTCTGGACAAGGTCAAGCAATGATGGAGATGCGACAGTTGGCAAGGCGACCTGCAGCGGATGTAAGCTTCGATTTTCCTTTCGGCAGTCCTGACAAAGAATCCTTTTCGCCTCATCGCCATTCGATTCCAGCTCTTGTAGCAAAGATTCGACACCTACATCATATATCGCATAGACCACAATAGAATATAGTACAGCTATTAGTACCTGCTAGGTGGTGAATTCCATACCTCATAATAAGGCAAGAGCCTCTCACGTATCCGTTCATGTTCATCATACATACCTGGCATAGCTGAGCCAAATGTCGAAGCCAACTGCATAAGAATGTCAAGGATCCATTGCTTGACGAGGGCTTGCTGACCCCACTCCGTATCGTTTCGGTACATCTCGCCCAGAAACGCAACAGCGCCTTGGCGGGACTCGATGTCCCACAGTGGATTGGCCGCAAGGTCCCCCAGGCGTTGGCATACTCCTAGTTGAAAGGCTAGATCACGCCGGCAAGGTGCTTCACAGACCAGGGTCTTAAACTTGGCAAGTTGACCGTCCCGAAGCAGTGTGTCTGCTCCGCGTAGTGCTGTGTACCAGGCACGTTTCTGGTTGAAGCTGAGACCGACTTTGAGAGATTCTAGCAGTCCTTGTCCACTCTCGACCAGTGCGCTCACGCCTTCGTAACCGATTTTCGCTACCTGGATCACCTCTCCCAGTCCCTCCTGAAGATGCCCGAGTCCTGTGATGAAGCCGTTGACGTCCAGGCCTTTTACGGCACTAACTAGTCCCGAGACACCCTTCAAAACAATTCCAGTGCGCCGCACCGTTGCTTGCCATGGTGATTCGTTGTCTGGGACACACTGCAGTGCTTGGAAGGCATAGGCAGCCTGATACACCAAGTAAGGATCGCTGCTGCCTCGCAGTCCATTCAAATAGGCAGAGAGTGGCTCGTGCAGCTCTACACGCTTTAAGCCTGAGACCTTGGTATCGGCCATGGCGTCCAGGACTTTGGACACTGCGAGAGTGAGACGGCCGATGTGATCTGAAGACTGAGTGTGAGTATCCTGTAAGCGGGTGTTGAGGTTGCGCAGGATCGTGGCTAGGTCATCCGAGTCGAGGTATCCCTCGGGAGCACTTTGGACCAACTGCGCTAGCCCTTCGAGAGACTGCACATCCAGCAGACTGGACTTGTCAACACCATCGACAAACAGCATGAGTAGAGAGTGGAAACATTCCTTTTCAAGAACTGGGGCCAGGCACACGACTTCTGCGACGGCGTTGGTATCCTTGAGCTCATCACGAGTGAATGCCCGGATCACATCTGTCGCCAGCGTCCTGAGTCTCTCCTTCTCCTCTGCATTCTTCTCTGTGGATTTCACCCAATTCCCTGCTGCTGGTTCAAAGACCTCTTCGGGCGATGGCGTCACTTGCAGAAGGCCAAGGCAGTAGGCGAGCTGGGATGTATCGCGGAGTCGCTCATCTGTGTCTGGTAACGTGCACTTGACGGTGGGCTGACGCATGTCGTCGGGAAAGATATCCTCAGGGATCCGTGCCAGGTCGCGGCAGGCGCTATCGGTGACAGATGAAACTGTAGGACTTGGATGTTTTGTAGGACGCACATGGCTGTTGAAGTCAGAGGGCCAGTCAACATAATTGAGAGATGTGTTAGATGCGACGTATGATATAGCCGGGCTAATGTGAACAAGCAGAGAGCAGGTATTCTGTCACTTACCCCCACTTTTCTGCCCTCTTGTAGCTGACCTGCGCCATTTCACTATATCCTAAGCTATCCAACAAGTTGGCGTGCTCGAGGTAGGCGCCGGCGAACCCATCGCGCAGGGCTTGATCCTCGACGGACAAGGGAGTTGTAAGAATCTTTTTCGCAGCTCTTTTCATCCGGAATAACGCGGTCTTTGCGTCGTCGCACAACACTAAAGCAATTTCCTGATCCTTGGTTTTGCGCGCATTCTCCACGTAAATGTTGACGAGTTCCAGCTCCTTTTGTGGCGAGAGAGCCTTTCGCGGTGACGAAAAAGTTCTATCAAACATGTTGCTTCTCTGAGGGGGGGGGGGAAGGGATTCTCCTGTTATCATAGAGCAGATGGCGGCGATATTAGTGACCTTGTGGGGTCGATTAATCGACCTGTGTGAGTAGCCAGTATACGTACTTGTACTTGACAGACACTTCAATAATGCAAATGGGGACCAATAAGTCGCAGTGGGCTGGTATATTACAGACGTAGTAGGAGAGAATGAGCTATCGTACATAAAAAACATTGATATCCATAGCAGCTGCATGAACTAGATCATATGTGGCTACTCTGCCAAGTAATGGCGCCCCACCTCGGAAGTGTCTATTCGACTTTGTTCCTTTGATTAGATACAGAAGTAGTCCTAACGATTTGTCCTCTTCGCGCCTCTTAGCAACGATACCAACTGCCCATCATGCAACAGGAAAGATTAATAACCTTAAAGCATCCCTGTAGGCTACTATCGAGTGACAAGAAACAGTGCCTCACCTCAACAGGGATCTGTTTCTCGAGTTTCTTTCACCAGCCGAGGAAATGGTCCGTCCTTGTGCAATTATTCTCTACTCCAATTCTTTTTTAAAGACGGTCTGCACACGAACAAGGCGGGTCGAGTGAAGTGATATTCGCTTCCCTCGTCACTTCTAGCAGAGATCCCTGTGAGTATGAAAGAAGGGATTATTATCCATTGCACATGAATGAGCTGTTCTCCTGATCTCGGATATTCTAGCATTAGCACTCCTTGACTCGACTGTGGTTGTTCAGGCACATTCAGGGGTGGGGCTTTGGCAGATAAACCGTGTCTTTGTTACCAATGAGTCACCGCTGGGCTGTGCTTATTGAGATGGAGCAGAGACGTACTTGAGACAGACAGTAAAGCGAGAAAAGATGAGAGAGATACGAGACAGTTCCTGATGGATTAAGGAAGGGTGGATGTGGGAAGAAGGGAAAGTGGAAAGGTGGGAAAGTGGGAAGTGGGAAAGTGGGAAAATGTGAGAAGAGGGGGAAAGAGTGCCAAACTTGCTCCCTCGCCCTCGTGTAGCGTGTAATGGACTCGGATGCAAAGGAGAGAAGGAAATCAACAATAAGCATCGTTCTGACTTTGTTGCGCTTGGAGATAGTTCTTTTACAGTTGTATGGAGTAACCCAATCTGGATGCTCGAATAATTTGTGTTCCACACTGAATACAAGGGTCTAACGCACAACTACGCACACTGTAGCGAGTGATCAGCGCAACGGTCTCCTTGTTCACCTGGAACCGTAATTCATTATTGATATATCTAAGCAAAAGGGTAGCGAGCGGTCAGCACAACGGTCTTCTTGTTCAACTGGAACAAGGAACAAAAAACTGCTGGCTTCGATCCTCCTTTTATACAGGCACAACCCCAAAACCTAATATCGAATCCTGCGTACCCTCGGTGGCTGCTGGCCAACAACGCCTGGAGGGATCTGGCGTCAATAAAAAAGATGCGCCCTCTGGCGCTCGACCCGCTTCTAGACATGCGTGTCCGAGACTCGGAATGGAGTATTGAAAAAAGCGGAGCGAGCAGTCTATTGCTGAGCATTCTCAGTAAATATGTCCCTTGTAATACATGTTGTGCAGCAGTGAAATCTTGCCTGTGGGCGTTAATGTCCACTCGAATCTCCACACATGCACCTATGCATGATACCGTCAGCAGGCCACTCGGACCAGTGATGGCCATGCCCCACAAATAAGCCTGTCAGTCTCAGGCCTGGTGTCTACATAATAAAAAGCTCCTGTCCCTGGTGGGTCGCAGTGGATATGCATTTTAAATAGCCTACGTCTTGCAGCCTTGCTATATACATTATTCCATCTTCACTTTCAGATACGGCCTCTTCGTTTGAAACCAGCGCAAGTGAGGCGGCACCTCCAGCTTGTCAGAATTCGGAACCGAGGCAGGGACCGGATCACACTTTCAAGCTCCTTCTAGAGTCCAACTTTGTATAACCCACCTCCCCATGAGGTCGACTGTACGCAGCATCGGCCAATGTGCATCCATGAACTCAACCTCTGCTTGACCCATCCTGTACCAGTACTGAATGCCTATGCTTAGGTGGTGTAGCTTCTTTAGCCCTGCCAGTTCCATCAACCAACCCTTGGAAAGAGTGAGGTTCCACTCGACGCGAGCGAAATAGTTGCAATCAAGTGATAAGCCTTCTAACAAACTCAGTCTGCCAATCTGCTCGTACAGCTTCTTGCCCACCCGCGTCTCAGCCTCACGCTCGTTGCGTTTAGAAAGTTCACCCGCATCCATCGGATCCTGTTCCACGTTATCTGACATCTCCAGCTCCGTATATTCTAAAGGTTCCTGCTCTCCAGCAGCCAAAGACTCTCGCTGCATAGCTTTCAGTGTTTGTTGAATATCGACTGTTCCTCCAATTTAAGCTGCAGAATAGGAGTTCGACTGTACATCAAGAAGTGGTTCTGCAAACAGATGTTGATCAATATAATAAAAATGCACGGTTGTAAGCCACCAAAAATTTTGAGCTAACTCTAAATTTTCACGTATATACTTCTTTATAATCCACGTGCATCCACGTGCATCCACGTACAAGCTGAAAATTTGGATAGAGGGAGGGGGGACTCAGGGGACGTTGCCATGTCGCGTAAACTTATATATCTCTCTCTCTCTATCGCTCCTCACTCATAGATTCGATGCACTCGAGAGCCAGAAAATATATATAAAAAATAAAAAAAATTTACATCTCCCATCGACTCTTTCTCTCTCTGTGTCTGTCTGACTCTATCACTGCCGCCCTTACCACCATCCTAGAAACTTCTTCAATATGCCCATGTGCGAGAAATGCAAAAAAACCCACGACCGACGGACTTACTACACATGTCCGAAAAGGTATTTCATGTCACCATGTCGTTCGCTCATTTCGCACCGCAACAACCACAGTGAATGCTTAGTCTGAGGTATGATGAATGATATCGATGGTGGTTCGATGAGTTTGACGAGTTACACAAGGTTGATTTGAGGGATTTTGAAGACTACTTTACACATCTAATAAATTTAATCAATTTGCAGTACCTTTTCTTTGATGTTAAGGTCTCGATGGCAATACCCTTTCTTGATGCAAAATTTCGAGCAACGCAATTCTTGCTTCGCCCAAAAATAAATCTCCTCCCACATCCACCACTGCCAAATGCCCTCCATCCTTAAACGTTCACTGCTTGACCCTTATCACTCAAAGCCATTCCCTCTGCTCCTCCCTCAACTACTGCATCCCTCTTACATTGACTACCGAGAACATGGATATAACGTGCAATCAAGCGTATGTGAAGTGTGTCTTTGTTACTTTTTACATTGATATTGGTCCCTATGCTGACTCGACACGAATTGATCGAATCTATAGTCCTGCTGCTGAACCTGTCTGAGCAGCTCGAACATGCATATGTGGCCAAACTGGCCACTCCAGAATCACCTTCAGGGATTGCCCTGAGAATCCCAAGAACGCGCTCGAAAGGCAGATTCTATTTGTTTTTATTTTATTTTATTTTTTTATAGGATGGGCTTACGGACAATCTGAACTAACCGCTGATGTACCTCTCACCAGGCGTGCTACGCTCATCTCCGCCTATGCAACCCAGTGCGCCCGTGAAAGATAACAGGGGCATGAGCATGTTGATCGCCTTCTGGACGAACCAGAGCATGCGGATCTGGCACCTACCCCTGCTGCAGGACCTCTCCAAGCGCCTCGGATATGTAAATGTGGTCATCTTGCCCACTCCAAAACTAACTTCGGGAACTGCCCTGGGGATCCCAGTGGTACGCCCGAAAGGCTTTTTTTTTTTTTATGGGGTGGACTTGCAGAACAATCTGAACTATGTAACCGCTGATGTACTTCTCACCAGGCGTGCTGGGCTAATTCTCGCGAAAGACAGCAAGGGCGTGAGCGTGCTAATCACCATCTGGAGGAACTAGAGTATGCGGGCCTGGCACCTGCCCCTGCTGCGGGATCTCTCCAAGCGTCTCGGACATGCAGATGCGGCCAAGCTAGCTACTCCAAAATCATCTTCAAGGACTGCCCTAAGAATCTCAGTAACCCGCTCGAAAGGCAAGTTCTTTTTTTTTTTTTTTTTTTTATGAGATGAGCTTATACCTCTCACCAGGCACGCTGACATAATTACCGCTTACAATCGCCGGAATAGCGCAAATGATTTAGATGCGTTGCTCCTTGCACGGTGGCCTCTCACTGAGGATTTGGTAACAGGCGTCGAAGTCCCACGACCTTACTCCATCTTTTCGCCATGGCTCTGCACCTATGTAGTCCATCCAATCCTCCCGAACTATGAGAAGCATTCGCTGATAACCTATCTCAGGACTTTCTTTCTGTGCGTTGCTGGAGATCGCCCTAATGAGAAGAGGATGTCAAGAGCACTGCATTGTTCCACGTCAACGAGATTTTGAAGGGAATTGGGATCAGTCTGGCGGTCTATGAAGAGATGCCTCGAGACTTTCACAACCTCATCAATCGCCAACCCAACAGTGACGAACTTGGACAACATGCAGAGCTCGGCACTGGGGCACTTGCGGCTAAGGCGGCTCATGACTTGGATTTCTGCAAAGACGATCAAAAAGCACCGTACGCTGCAACCACGGCATCGCTGGATAACAAGGACGAGGGTGCGGCAAAGGTGCTCTTTATTGATGGGCCAGGAGGAACGGGCAAGTCATTTTTGTACAGCACTTTGATTGCCCATATCCGAGGAAGACGCGAGAAGGACGTGATCGTAGTTGCGTCTGTGATGGTTTATGTACCTGAGTGTGAGTCAAGGAGACAAAAGAGCGTTTTTGTTTATTATGCTCCCGGTAGAGGTTTTTATAGCCTCGACCTGGGTCTTGGAGCACTAGATAGCTTAATAGTCTCATGAATAAAAAAAGTAGTAGCCTAAATGAGAAGGTTCACTCCCAGTACGATCCCAATTTGGGGTCTGGACGGAACAGCGTCATCTGGAATTGCTGCTCGGGTCTTGATAGAAAGTCGTACAGTCCACTCGACTTTCAAAATCCCGCTCCAGATCATGGAAAGCTCAATGTGCAACAATCCTCCAGGTATGCCTCCTCACGAGTTGCTGTTGAAGGTGGGCCAGCCTATCATTCTTCTTCGAAACATGGATGGGAAATCCGGCCTCTGCAACGATATGCGTCTGATTGTTCGAGCACTCCGTCAGAGATACATCTGTACCGAGATTCTTAACGGTGACTTCAGGAGACGAACAGTGCTTATTCCACGCATACCTCTTACGACCCTGGACGACGGATCTACGCCAATCAAGTTCACTAGGCGCCAGTTTCCTGTCAAACTTGCGTTTGCCTTGACCATTAACAAGGCACAAGGACAAACGCTTGACCGCGTTGGTGTGTATCTTCCTCAGCACGTCTCTGGTGCTGGGTAATTGTATGTCGGGTTCTCGCGTTGCAAACACCGAGACAACCTCAAGGTTCTGGTCGAAAATGGTGCCATAGATGGACAGGAGGGCGTTTAGACGCGAAATATTGTCTGCAGGAATCTGTTGAACGTGCAATAAAGCTACTTTATTTTTTACCTCGGACCCGTGGCGTGTGCCACGGGCAGTTCTACTAGTGTACAATAACATTCTCAATACCGTGAACTCTATCTTACATCAAAAAATGGTTTCACAAACTGGCTATTAACCACTTGAGCTGGTCGTTGAATATCTTCAGCGCCATCCATGCCCCCGATATTCCAACGGTAGGCCATTTTCAAGTTGCTGAACTGAACGTTCTTGAAACAACGCGACTTTTGGAACTTGCCGATGACCCATAGCGGCACCTTGTCGGATTTATCACCATTCGAGCAGTCATCGCTGCCTAAACACCTTGATGCCTGCTTGGCATAGACTGGTCAGCCTTACCCTGCATTCATGAGTGCAATCGGGGCAACAGCTCTTCAAGGGCTTGCATGTTCACAGATCCGCTCTCTCCGACTGTACGATATTATTGCCATGGCGCTTCTTGAACGATGTTAACCAGCCTTCAGAAAACTCGAATTTCGCTTCCTCGCCGTAGAGAGTCTTGAGAAAACCCTTTCCTTTAGCTTGGATCAGGTGCCCATTCATCTGGACCTGGCCCTGATAAAGCCATCCCTTTTTTTTGTATCGCTTGGTGTCCTTCTTGCATCGATCGATGTTCTGGATTAGTTCTGTAGACCGCTTCAGTGTCTGAATATTACTGACCTGGCTTCCTTGATACTATGTTTCTTCTCGATCCATGAACTAAGCTGATCAATACTCATGCTCGAATCCTCCTTCCTTTTACGGCAAAGACCGATGCGCTGCTCGTCGGTCATCATGGCATGTGGGGATTCTTTGGAAGTCATGATGGCTTGCAGTTCCTGGATTTGCACTGTACATGCACAAATGAATGCACAGTATTTTATTAATGTAATGGATTGAGAACAAGACTGTTGTCAGTGCAGTAAACGGGATATCGAAACTTGAAAGCCTCCCATTCTGTAAAAAGGAAGACTCTCTATAAAGGAAACAGCCGAGCTAGGTCCAGGAGGGGAATTCTTTTACATATACATAGAGAGTTGAGTGCACATCCACTTCAACAATAACGGTCCTTTGTGTCGGAGTGGGAGGAGGATTAGCGCATTTTCCTTTTTTGTAACAATTGTCCACGCCCTCCTATCCAATAGAAGTTTTTTATTTCACACAATCAATCCCAACATCCATCCCATCCACCCTATCCACCACCACCACCACCACCATGACCGACTCGACCACCGATCCCCTCTCCAATACACTTGCACCCAGCACAGCTGCAACCCTCACCATCCGCGTGATCAAGTCCTTCGAATACCGCACCACCAAAAACCTCATTCTCCACAACATCGATCTCACAGCCACCACAGTCGCCCAGCTCCGTGAACTGATCATCGAGAGTATGTTCATCTTTGCCGCAACCGACTCCCCTCTCTCACTCCTCTACTTCCTTATCTCTTTTCGTTTGCTTTACACGGCCATGAACGAGTCCCTTAAGCACGCCTTGTTTCCTGTCAAAAAAAAATCAGCAAGAACAAAAGAGCGCTGTGGCTGTGGGGGGAGAGGAGCCAGGGGATAGGACCACCTACTAGTGCGCGCACTAGTCCATTTTCTTTTTAACTTGTATCACTGACCTTAAAAAAAACCATCTTCCATCTCTATAGAGGTCAAAACCGCCCCCGGATGGAAGCCCTACCAGAACGTCGTCTTTGGTAAGCCATTGGGCCGTTCTATCCAACTGAACCAAAAAAAAAAAAAAAAAAAAAAACGGGGAAAACCAGGCCAGATATCTCACACACACAATATGAATCTTTGCCCCATCGAAAATAGATACCCTCAAGCTGTACACGAAGGCCCATGGCGCCAAGACGATGAACTTGATCATCAACATGGACCATGACGAGGACTGGATCCTGAGCAAGGATAACGAGCTCCTGATCGACCACGGCATTGGTAATAAAAAACAACAACAAAGAACATCATGTATAATTTTTTACCTCAAACTTGTATCCTTTCGATTAACATTCGATTGTTGTTGTTTTTTTTTCTTTCGTCTTCTTTTGCTGCTCGTCATAGAAAACGAAACGGAGATCTCAATCTTCAACAGAGAGCTGTACGAGGCCTATAAACAGCATCCCGATATCAAGTGGTAGTCGGACTTGTCGGCCACGAATCCAAACACTAGAGCGCGTTGACCACCAACCAGGACTAACCATAGTGGCTTTCACAAAAGACTCCTCCTCCTCCTCCCCCCCCACAATTGTTCATATTCCCCAAAGCAAATAAATATAAAAACCCGTATTCTTCTTTTGATCATCCAATCGTTATTTTATTGTTGCGGAGCAAAAATTTATGAAAGCTCTTTATTCGCATGCTAAATGTACAAGGTGTATGCTACAATGATTGTAAAGAATGGGTCGCGTCTATTTGCTTCCGCACCAGCAAGTCGAAACAAGTCGTCTAGTCCGGCCTAGCCATCTAATCCTCCTCCTCCTCCTCCTCGGACTCGGACTCGGAGGGCTCAACAATGTTGTTCTCGTCCTCGCTGCTGTCCATATCGTCCATCACCAACTGAGAGTTCCCTCCCCTTTCCTCGAACTCATCCTCGTCCTCTTCGTCGTCCTCCTCATCGCCGCCACGTCGATCAAACATCCTCCCCAAGCGGGTTCTCTCCAAAGTCGTCAATACACCTCCGGAGAATTCGTCGACCAGTTCCTTCTTCTTGATGTCAGAGTCCGATAACACGTTCGAGTCATCTTCAGAGTCCGATACAACGGCGCCAGAAATCGCATCTCCTCCGAAATACTGACGCTTGGTATCGTGCTCTTCATCGCTGTCACCGCCCTCACTCAGACGCCGTCGCTTCACACCCTGATCACGGTCGTTGTCCGTATAATCGCTGTCAAAGTCCTCGCTCAGATGACGCTGATTCACACTCAGATCATGATCACTGTCGGTATCGTCTCCATCTCCGTCATCGTCCTTGCTCAGGTGTTGCCGTTTTATGCCCTGATTACGATTACTGTCCATATCATCGTCACTCCCATCGTCTTCCTCGGCATGTTGCACATCCTCTTCATCCGTGCTCGCGAGGACCACAGATGCCTCCGAGACAGTCCCTTCGTCGGCCTCCATTTCCTCGCCTTCGTACGAGTCATATCCAGAAAGATTGCTCTCGTCATCGTCGTCGTCATCATCGCTATCCATGTCATCATCCTCTGGCAAAATCTCGTTGTTAATCTTGGTGGCAAAATCTGCGATCAGCTCCTGGATAATCATCCCCAGCGCTAAATGCGAAGTCAAGTCCATCGCCTCAAACATGTCTGGGCTGGGGTTGACATGGGTGTAGTAGTAAGAGGCATAATGGTGGATGGCTTGAAGGAACGGCGTGGTCGGGAGGTCTACCAATACAAACACACGTGCTTTTGTTAGCATTCAGAATTACCATTCTGTAAGGAAAAAAAAAAAAAAAAAAAAAAAAAAAAGCCGCCTCGATGGCCCCTACTTACCACAGACAGAAGGCTCGATAATTTCGTCCGGACCCGGAATCCACGGCCGAAAGGTATTGGCCATCCTCTTCTTGTACTCTGGGACCCTGTGGCTGTTCCAAATTTCCTTATCCTCGTCAAAGTCTTCTGCGAATTTGGAAAACTCCTCCATTATAGAAGACGACGGACCTTTGTAACGTCTCAAGACGAAATTGCTGGGCCGGACCATTCCTTTGACCTTTTTACCGCCAATCGGCAGCTCCACAACCTTCTCCTCCTTGGGTTCTTCGGCTTCAGGCGACTTTTCTTTCCCCTCTACCGTCAGATCGAACGTTTCGACGTGCCAGTTGCTGATGCTGGCATTTTGCGACTGGTGGGATTTGAGGTATACCACCTCTCTCCGGCTGCCGATGTCCTTGCGTTGGATCTTATTGCGAATGGCATACTCCATCCGCCTCTCCTGTCTCGGCTGGTTCAATGTCAGTAGCATCTTGTACTGCCGATTCTTTTTTGTTTGTTGTGGGGTGAGGTATTTGGGCTGGGTATTATTCTTTCGGCGCCCCCTCCGTTTTATCCTGTCGGCCTTGGTCAAGGACAACTCACTCGAGTCAATCAAAATCCGCTCCATCCACGTCAACTTGCGAGAAGGACGTGCAATTGTACGACGTGCCTTCGCCCCCAAGCCTTCTCCAGAAGCCGCCTTCGGTCCCTCTTCAGACGCTGCCTTTGGTCCTTCTTCAGGCGCCGCCTTCTCCTCTTCTTGGTCCTCCTCCTCCTCCTCCTCTTGGTCCTCCTCTTCTGGTTGCTTCCTCTCCACTTGCGCCTCCACCGTCCACTGCTCCTCATTCGCTCGCTCCAACTTAAACCACCCTCGCTTCATATCCCGCCTCCGGTGCTTGCTAACCTTCTCATAAAGCGTCCGCGTCACATAAAATTCATTCTCGGGTTCCTTCTGCCTATATTCTATCTTTGTCAAAACGTCGACACCCGCCGCGGGATTCCTGTCGATGATCGGCATCCCTGTATATCCAATCTTCCATCCAACATCCTGTGTCTCGTCCTTGGACACCGTCAATCTCCTGATTTGTTTCGCAAACCATTTCGGTGTCTGTCTGATGTACCTCAGCCAGACGTTCGGTCCAGAATCTACATACTTCAGAATCCGATACATGTGCGCCGGCACCAGGGGCATACCATCGACAGGGTAAGAGCAAGTAAGTGATGAGTGGTAGCAATAGTTGCATTTGGGTCGGTGTCCTGAACAGTCCTTGTTTTGGAAGAGACAGTTCGTGCACGCTTGCGAATACCGAACAGTCGGCTCAGGCGAGTCCGCATATCCACTCCCATCAAGCTCCTCCTGCCGTGCCGCGATATCATCCTGCTCTCGCTCCCTTTTCTTCTCTTCGACCCACTCTGGCAGCTCCTTGTGAGTCACTCTCCTGTCCGATGGCGCCTCATGTAGGTCTCTCTCGTCGTATTTCCATTTGGGCATGCGTTGAACAGCTCCCCGGATCGGCGCGACCCTGTGATAATATGTCTTCCGCAACACAAGATCCTCGAGCTCCTTCTTGATCTTTTCTCGATGCAGCGTCGCATACGACGTCTCGACCACTGGAGGCTGTGGCATGGGGACACAAGTTTCCTCGGTCCGAGATGCGATGTAGTCGTAGAAGCCCCCGCGTTCGAGATCCTGCATGATCACTTCCTGATAATCTTCTTCCGTGTATTGTGGACCATCCTCCGGAAGAGGTGTTGGAGTGCAAATACCGCGAAACTTCACACCGGGATTTTTAGATTTTTTACGACCTCTAGTTGGACGAAGAGGAGGAGGGGGAGAAGACGGAGCGGGAGTGAGAGCTTCAGCTGTGATTTGGGAAGCTTGCTCCTGCTGCTGTGGCTGCTCCAATGGCTTTTTCCGCTGCCTCCGCTGCCGCTGTGGACCCTGCTCATCCTTTTCGTGCTCTTGCTGTCCCTTCTCCTTGTGTTCCTCAGAGGTATTCTCCTGCTTGTCCTCCTCCTGTTCACCCTCATGCCACCCGTCGTCGGAAGGCATGGTGCAGTACAGTAGACGAATGAGGGGGATGAGGAGCTCGAAAGAATGTGTATCCTGGAGCGAGAAGGATGGGGCAAGCGAGCGAGCGAGCGAATGAGTGAGAGAGAATGAGAGAGCTTCTGGTGAAGTGAAGGCATGTGAAAAAAGGAAAAAAAAGCTAAAGAGTGTGTGGCGTGGCGTCTATTTATTTCGATTCAAAGTTTTACACACTCCATCCAAACCCCAATTATCGCCCAATAGGATTGCATGAATTAAGGATACACACAAAATTGGTGGCAAAACACCTTCACGCTTTTATCTTTTTTGACCTGTAGAAAAGCATACAGTCCTCTCTCATTTTCGATACTTTTTTTCGTCGAAAGTGAGATCGCTAAAGATTCCAGCGATTCTATTGGCTGGAGGGGCATTTTCAGTCAATCAGAGTACTCTATATCTAGGCTCGTAGCACTCTGCCCTCCATCATCCCCATCCCCATCCTCATCCTCATCCTCGCCAGCGTTCCCAGCATCACTAGCATCGCCAGTACCAGTGCTCCATAATCCCTCTCACCACGTTCTACCCATGCTTCCTAAGATTGCAGACGCGCTGGACCGACCTAAGTCGAGCGAGGACGCTTCATTGTCGGACGCAGGTCGCGGTAGTTGGACACTTGCTAGCAAAAAGCGGATCATGGACAATTGGGATATCTTTCACAGAGGCTATCAGGACCTGCTTGGCAATCCTGTACCAGAATTATCACCATCAATGAAAGATTTTGAGACGGCTAACAAGCTGCCACCTAAAACGATCACCCGACTCATAAAAATGAGGCCTTTTATCAACAAAATGCCTACCGGCTCTTTGGATACAAGGTGCTACACCAAAGCCCACATCCGCGAGTTTTATCCAGTCGAGACGATTCTTCACCAGGAGATCCAACGTCTCCGTAAAATGAACGTGCCGGTAGATCAATGGCTGTTACAGTTGCTTGCAGGAGAGGTATACGACCTGCTTGTGGAAAGAAATGGACCACTCACGTTTGAAAAGCCTAGATTCTCGTCCGGTTGGGTAGCCAGTTTCAAGGCCACCTGGGGACTGTCGTTTCATAAGCTGATGGGCGAGGCAGGGTCGGTTGATTGGGATGCGATAGCGGGGCAAGTGGAGGGTCTCAAGTCAATTCTTGCGACCTATGATCTGAATGACATCTACAACGCCGACGAGACTGGCCTTTACCTGCAGACCACCTCAAGTTGGACGCTCGATGTCGAGATGAAGGCCGGAGCAGCCATTCCAGCATCGCGCGTCTCCATTCTCTTCTGCACCAATGCCACAGGAAGCGACAAGCGAAAGCCTTTTATTCTCAGTAAGTATCCTGTCAGAAGTTGATATTCGGAACGAGGAGAGACATGGTTTATTTTTATTTTTATTTTTATTTTTTTATGCTGGATGCCATGTTGATCATATTTGGATCCATTTAGGCGAAAACCTTGCTTCTGGCTTCAGGAAAGATGAAACGCTGCAGCGCTTGGTGGATGTCATGCCATGGGATACTGCAAAGCAACCACGCAAGTCCAAGGCAGCTAAAGCAGCGGCAGTCGCCCAGCAACAGCATCATGACGCTAGTGGACAAGATGGCGCACCTGGCAATACACAACACCAGCAACAGGAGGCCACTTCACAGCATACCCAGGCGCAGAAGCGGCAGACTAACAAGCGAGCAGATTACATGACCAAGTATACCTTTACCCACTGGCTGCGCCAGTTCCAGCAGGACATCGTCGCGGAGGACCCTGATCGGCGCGTGGTCCTGCTCATCGACAATGCATCATGCCATGCAGTGGTAGAACGGTGCAGTGTCGATTTTCCGAACATCAAACTGCTGCTTCTGCCGCCGAACTCGACATCAGTAACACAGCCCCTGGACGCAGGAATCATTGCTGTTTTCAAGAGGCGGTATCGTAATCTCATCCTAAAGTTACGTGTCTTCAAATCCTCCCAGCCAGTGCCAGACCCCAATGCGCCTCCTAAAGCGGCCAGCAAGGGAAAAAAAAACACGAGGAGGGCCAAGGCAGTCGACAAGGCCATGAAGTCGAAGAAGGATGGGTCTTTTAGGGTGTCCAACCTCGAAGGATGGCACATGATAGCTGCTGCCTGGAACGAGGTGGAAGGCAAGTCCATCCGGAGCTGCTTCAGACACGTCCCCATTTTCGGCGAGGCCCAAAAACAGCAACTTTCAACGCACACTTGTTTAGAAGAGGAGGTGGTTGCGGCGCTCAAGGAGACCCAGCAAAACATTCTCCATCGGTTCAGGGTGCAGGGTTACCACGACTCAGTGAGTGGCAGAGACCAAGGTCAGAGCGGCTCGTCAACAACGCCAGTCCTAGATATTTTAATGGACGCCGCGGAACAAAACGCCCTCGTCCCAGAAGATGGCTCTTCGTCAGCAATATCAAGAGGTGTTTCAATCATGGGTGCTCTTGAGAGCCATGAGAAGCTGCTGGCTTCAACCGCGAAACTTTTGGATGGCTCGCCTTACATATGCGAAGTCATTGATCAACTACAGGAGGACCCCGATTTCATGTCCTTCTTCTTGTCACTACAGACGGGTTCGGAGCTTTTGGATGGCGACTGGCTAGAGAGCACAAGTGATGGCGAAGGCGCGGAAGACGACGATTTCGTGGTGGTGCCCAATCCATTCTTGGTGGTAACCAACGACAGAGGGTCTCCTCTGAAGCCCAAACATATCAACAAGCCTTTACACAGCCGCGTCTATATGAGCCGAGTCGAGCAATTGGCTTCCTCAGAGTACTCTGACACTGACCAGTCGGGACCACAAACAACTTCGACTGAGGAGGAAGGATCTATCGACGAGCATTGGGAGAGTGAAGAGGAGGAGGTCACAGGGGACAAAGCTGTTGGCGAGAATATCGTCAATCTATTGAGTGCCGCTGCAGTTTTGATGACCTCAAAGAAGCACAGGCGATACAGGAAACAAGTGGAGCTGCTTGCAGATACTCTCATGAGCAAACGCATGGATGACGCCTCAAAGAGCTACCGTACGTCCTTCGCCGAAGACTACAGATCCAAGATGGAGGCATTCAACAAGAAGAAGGCAGCTCTGCGCGTCGAGCAAGCGCGGGTCAACAAACGTTTTCCGCCAGCAAGCAAGACCGTCAAGCCAGCACACACCAGAGTAGTCATGCCACGATGATATTTATTGATATCCCTTTGCATAAAAAAAATACATATATTGAAATCAGTACGCCTAGGAGCGGTGGCGATGAGGATGAGGATGAGGATGAAGATGAGGATGGGGATGATGGAGGGCAGAGTGCTACGAGCCTAGATATAGAGTACTCTGATTGACTGAAAATGCCCCTCCAGCCAATAGAATCGCTGGAATCTTTAGCGATCTCACTTTCGACGAAAAAAAGTATCGAAAATGAGAGAGGACTGTAGTAATATTATAGACAGAGTAAAGAAAATTTTCACTGAAAACACTTTTTTATTTTTTATTTATTGAACTAAAAAGTTTTTTTTTTTTTACATTTCCATGGATAAAAACTGCAAATGGCTCATATCATATCACCATGACATATTCGTTGGTTCCTTCACTGCTGACCAGAGGAAACCAGGAATCCAACAACTGCCTCAACCTCTCCTCCAAAATCGCGCACAACCGTTCTCAGCTCCTCATTGTCCGTGAACCCCATTCTCACTAATGTCTGGATCTGCTCCTGGAACTCATTCGGATCCGCCGCTGGGCTCAATTCCGTAGTCGTCGCTACAGGACCGGAGGGCCAGATACCTGCAAGGCTTCCGCCTCCAACGGGTCCACTCCTCAAAGATGATGCCGGTTCCGCGGAAGCATGTCGAGTCCGGTCCACCAACTCCTCTAGTCTCGCTTCCCGACGCTGCTGTTCCTGAACTCTCCTCTGCTCTTCCTGAGTTCTCCGTTGCTCGTTCTGCGTCCTCTTCTGTTCTTCCTGGGCTCTCTTCTGTTCCTCCTCTGCCTGGCGCTGCTCCATCATCGCCTCGCGCTGTTGTGTAATGGCCTGACGTTTGTTCTCAAGCATCTCCTTCCGTGTCTGCAGCATTGCATGGCGCTGTTCGTGAAACGTCTGCCGGCGCTTCAACTTCTCCTCACCAAGCGTCTCATTGTCGGACTTGTTCCGTTCCTCTCCTCCGGACTTGGAACCAGAGTGTCGACGACGGTGATGATGGTCGTGGTGGCCGTGTCGGTGATGGCGTGCGTCGCCATTGCCTCCTTGATGGTGCGGGTAGAAGAGATGATGCGCTCCACCGCGTCCACCGGCGCGTCCTCGGAAGGGTCCAAATCCTCCAGGTCCTCCAAAGAACTCACCCCGTCCACCTGAAGGTCCACCAGATCTAGACGCAGCAGAAGGTCCAGCAGTTCCATCGGCCATCTCCTCATCCGAAGCAGTGTACAGAGGAGTGGGCTCGGGGTTCTCGCCACCGTCCTGGTTTCCTTTCCAGACCCATCCAAAGTTGGGTCGATTAGGTGAAGATCCTACAGCCCTGGTGTCGTCCTCAGGGAGCTGAGTCCAGATCCAGCCATCTCCGACTTCGGCCATCTGCGGCTGCTGGGGAAAGGAACCGGGCATGGGTGCAGAGGACGAGGATGCCTCGCCCTGCTGGTCGACGGCGCTTGAGGGATCAGCCGCCTTTCCCTTATTCTTAACAGAATGGGAAGAGTCCTTCGCAGCCTCAGTGTCGCATGGTCTAGGACGCCCGCCTTTGAAACTAAAAGTATAATCCTTGCATCCCGGAGTGCTGCTGTTGAACGGAAATCCTTTCGAAAATGGCGAGGGTCTTGAGTTGAGGATTGTCATGTAAGCATCATCGGAGAATCCATAAAGATCATCAGGTACACAAGGCGGCGCGGGGGCCATGGGAGCCAAAGGAGCCATAGGGGGCATAGGTGGCATGGGTGGCATAGGAGGGACCATCTGAGAGAAGAAACTGCCAAGGCTCCATCCATGATGTGCGCCGCGACCTCCACGACCGCCTCGGCCGCCGTGCTCACCATGGTGGTGGGCATGATGATGGCCATGATGATGGCCATGATGGTGACGAGGGGAAAAGGCAAAATGATCGCCTGAGAAAGGATCCCCGTGATGGTTGCCGAAGGGGCCCATATGCTCGCC